ACCACCACATTCTCCATATTTGTGACTCTTTCTCGTTCTGAAAGAATGTTTATTTTAAATGAACAAATTTTATCAAGTCAATTAAATTCCCCGACCATTATTAGATTATTTTCAACCAGTTTAAGAACCATGTCTACTGAATATAACGTTATTATTTATGATCTTCCAAATGCTGATCGTTCCAAAGTTAGAGCTCAACATGTTGCTGATATTCCTCAACATGTCCCAAACCCAATTAGATCAGCTGGTGCTATTTATCATGATGAAGCAAAAACCAAATTTGCTGGAAGTGCATTTCATTTAGTTGCTAATTCTAAAGAAGAAGTAATTGAATTCTTAAAAAAAGATATTTATTATCGTGAAGGTGTTTGGGATATCAATAATGTTGTCATTAATCCACTTGGTGTTGCTGTTCGTTTACCAAAGAAAATGGACAAAGTCGATAGTGAACTTTATAAAATTTAAATACATCACATTGGATGAATAGTGAATTAAAATAAAAGAGAAACCAAATTTTATTAAATTTCTAAAAGTAAAAGTATTAACAAACTAACGAATAATAATAATAATAATAATAAACAAACAGATAAAAACAATCTTCAGTCTTTGGATCAGGGCCAATTGAGAAAACACAACTAGTTCTTCTTTTTCTTGAATAATTTAGTAAGAATATTATTTGGAACTCTAGCGAGATAGTAGAAACAGAATGTGCAAATAATATTGAAGGCAGTAAAAGCAATAAAGACACCAATGTCTCTTCCTCTAGTATCATAATTAGCACCAACCTCGTGTAAGAAAACATTTTTTGTACTCATGATACAGAAAGCACATTCCAGGGTACTATTTTTATCAACCAAGTAACCACCAGCAACACTCATATATGGCGTCATGTATTCTCCACAAGTATAACCTTCTGGAGGAGGAAATCTCAAATATTCCTTTACAGAACATTCAACAGGAGAATTGACCAAACCAACAGAAAGCATCACGGAAACAAGATATGTGAATGGATTAAATCTGTACATAAAAATCCAAAATCCTGGCATGTCATCTTTAGAAACCAACACACCAGCAAATGCCAAACACATAATAAGAAGTAAAACAGCCAAATGAACAGCATTTTCACCTGAACTCATAAATGAAAGACACATTTGTCCCAAAGTAGAAGTGTAGATAAAGAACAAAACAAGGGCAAACCACATAAATGCGCCTCTTTCATGGACAGTGTCAGTTAAACTGGCATTATTGTAGAAACCAACAGGATAATACCAACAGAAATAACAAATAGTTCCACAAAGAATATTCCAAGGAATTTCAGAAGTGACTTGGGCTCCGATGTAGGCAAACCAATTGAATGTTTTGGAAGGTCTTTCTCTGACTTCATATAAATCTCTTTGACTAAGATGGGTTGGAACAAATTGTTGAATAAGGGTATGGACAATTGGGAAAAGCATGAATATGGAATACAACTGGTTTTGAAGTGATTGTATAGAATTGCTAGCTTTAAAGAAAGAAAACCCATTAAACAAACTAGATGCTATCACCAATAACAATTTGGAGTATATGTAGCTAGGAGTTCTCCAATTTTGTTCAAAAATTCTCTTTGTAACCAAGATGTACTGGTTCCAATAAGATGCAGCATAAGAATCAAGTCTGTGAGGATCATCATCTTCTGGTTTTTTAGCAAGTTCCACTTCCATTGTATCCAACTCTTGATTCATTTCTTTGTATTCAGTAGAGTTCAACCAAACATCATAATAGTTTTGATTAGCCTTAGAACCAGGTGCAGCACCAATAACTTCCAACATCCACTCTGCTGGATTTGCTTCTGGTGGACATTTAGGAGCACCATATTTTTCAAAATAATTGATAAGAGTGGTGAAATTTTTTCCCAAATCACCGAAATATACCGTTTCACCACCTCTTTGCAAGAACAATAATCTATCAAATTCAGCAAGAAGAATAGCAGAAGGTTGATGAATGGTACACAAGATAGCTTGTCCATTATCAGCTAATTTTCTAATCAATTTACAAACAGACCAGGCAGTTTGGGAATCTAAACCTGAAGTTGGTTCATCCAAGAATACCAAAAGCTTTGGCTTGGCAACCAATTCAACACCAATGGATAATCTTTTTCTTTGTTCAACATTCAAACCTTCACCACTAACACCAACAACAGCATCAGCATATTTTTCCATTTCTAACAATTTAATAACATGGTCAACATATGCAAGCTTTTCTTTTTTTGGAATAGACTTTGATTGACGTAAAAGGGCAGAAAATTCTAAAGCTTCCCTGACAGTTGAGGTTTCCAAATGTAAATCTTGTTGTTGGACATAACCAATTGATCTTTGGAAAGATGAATCCAATGGCTTACCATCAACCAATCTGACACCATCAGTAACAACACCAGAGGTTAATCTATCAGACAATGCATTCAACAAAGTGGTTTTACCAGCACCCGAAGCACCCATCAAGGCAGTCACTTGTCCTGGCTTGACCCAACCATCAACTTTGTTCAAAATAACTCGATCTTCAGTTTTGATTTTCACTTGGTAAGTTAAATTTCTCCAGAAGAAAGTATGACCACCTGTTTCCAACACCTGTTTACTTTCATCAGAGTTGTCAGTTGGTGGATTTTCAAATTCAGGAGTATCTTTTCCAATTTCACCACTTTCAATATCCTTTTGTGCTTTCTTCATCTTTTTTAAACCTCGTTTTTGGAATAACAAAACTTCACCTTTTTGCATAGCACCTTTGTTAATTTCACATAATAACATGTAAGTTCCAAAGAAAAACATCATATAACCAATCATGATACCAAAGTTTCTCCATTTGTGCAGATTTCTATAAACAAATGATTCTACCATAAAATTGGTTCCATTGACAAAGTCTTGTCCAACGATACTACCAACAGGAGTACAGATTCTGTTTGGACCAACGGTAGGATAACTACCACCGGCAGGGACAAATTGAGCACATGGAAACAAACGGTTGTGAAATTCATTTGCTATTAATGATTCAAAAGCATATGCCAATGGATTAATATAATTAATCCAACGAGACCATCCACGCATATTTGGAGTTGGGATAACAAAACCAGTGAAAATAGTCAATGCCAATAATAAGATAGCAGCTGGAGTCATTGCTTCTTCCAACCTTTTAGTAGCAGCACCAATTGTTCTAAAGATATGTGACATAACCAAAGTGGCAAAGAAATTAATCAAAAAGTAAAAGAAAAAGTTACCTGGATGTCGACGGAAATTGATCATAAAATAATAAATGAAATTGAAACCAACTGCAGAAAGAAGTTTTGTTGGAAGTTCAGTAAGAATTGAAGCACATGCATCTGCACCGGGATGATACAAGGCATATTTTTTATGTTTTTCAACAATAGGTCTGGCTTCATAAAGGGCAAAGATTTCCAAGACACAAGAAAAAGCATTAAATAAAACAGCAAAAAACAAAGCAGCAGTTCTATGATAAAAGGAAGATGTATCATTTGGCAAATTATAAAAAATTGAAGATAAAATAAGTGACATAATTGTATTTGCAAAAATTTGGAAAAGAGTAACACTTGGATTCCCTTTAACACGAAGGAAATTTCTGTAAGCAATATATCTAACTTGCATGAAAAAACTAACAGTATAAGGAGAAGCTGGTTTCATGTGATTTGATTGACGAGCTTCATGAGCTTCAATCAAGGCTCTCTTTTCTTCAGCTTCGTCACGACTTTTCAAATATTCGTCAATATCTTGAACCAATTGTTGACGTTGTGGAGAATTTTGCCAACGGTGATAAAACTCTTCTGGGGTTCTTGGAACTAAAGCTTCAAATCCAGGTTTAGCAATTCTTTCTGCTGGATTGGTCAATGAAGTCAAGAAGTCAGCAGTGGTTTGTCTTTCTGGACAATAATAACCCATATCTAAGAAATATTGTTTGGCAAGTTTAGCACTTCCAAAATAAATCTGGTAACCTTCATACATCAAAACAACATTATCAAATAAATCATAAGCTTCTTGTGAACATTGATAAATAGCAATTAATGGGGTGTTACCAATTATATCAGCACCAGCTTTCACGGCTTTAACAAATTCAAGTGCTGTGGCTGAATCTAAACCTCTAGTAGAATTATCCCAACATTGAACTTTGGCATTATTAAGTGTAATTTCGGCAATAGAAACTCTTTTTCTTTCCCCACCGGAAACACCTCTAATATAGTCGTTACCAACTTTGGTATTTCTTGTATGGGATAAACCATATAATGCCATTACAACAGATGTGATGTGTTTGGCATATTCTTCTCTACCGACACCCAAAGGTCTATTTTGTGGAGTTCTTAATCTAGCAGCAAATTCTAATGTATCACCCACAGTCAATTGAGGGAAATGAGTTTCAGTTTCCGCACAATATACAACTTCCCCACGGAAATGTTTTGCAATATCAGCTGGTGATAAGGCATTATATTTAAGAATTGAATCTTTATCAATATGGAAACCATAAGTTTGACAAGCAATTGTTTTCAAAAATGTCGAACAACCAGCACCTGGACGTCCTAAAACAACTGTTGTTTCACCTGGTTTAAGTAATCCATCCATTGGTTTTAAAATATCAAATGTTGGACTTGAATGTTTTAATATTTTTTCTCTAACAAATAAAGAAACATATTTTGAGATTGTATTTAAAAAAGTACTTTGATAATCAGCATCAGTAGCATTACCATAAGCACGTAAATTCTTATAACTAACCCCAATATTAATTGGTTTAAAATATTCCGTATCAGACATGACCAATTTATGAGCATTTCCAATCCAATAAGCAGCATTAAAATCTTCTGAATCTGGATTTAATCTTTGATCAACAAATTCCCCATTTTCATCAATTGGAAGAAGTCCAAATTCAGAACCTTTTTCATGATTTGAAGATTCAACCAATGAATTTCTACGACTTGGATTGTTTTGTATTTGTAATTGACTTGAATGGGATAAAGTTCTTGCTAATTCTTGAACTTCTTGGGCAACTCTAGCAGTATATCCACTATATGGATGTGAATTATTATTATTTTCTTCATGTTCATCCCTCGATGATGAAGAAGACGTCGACTCCAAATCTTTCATGATTTGTATGTGAAGTGAAGTAATTAAATTAAATTAAAAATTAAAAGAAAAAAAGGGCAGAAATCGATAACGATTTAAATATCACACTTGTATAATGATTAATATTAATATGGAAGAATTATTGAATTATAGAATTATAGAATAATAACAATAAAAAAAAAAACAAAGAAGAAAAACGGGGGGGATTAAATAATTCAATGACAAAAATTGTAATTTAAATACTTTTGGTTCTAATAATAGGACGATACATGAAAATAGTTAAAGTAATGATCTAATGCAAGAGGTTGCATTCACCAGATATTTTTCAATCTCTTTTGTGTACGATACATAACATGCAAGAACGAAAGCAAAAAAAAAAAAAATAAGTCAGAACATTTTTTTATTTACAACTGGTAGCTCTGGGGCTTGAGATAATTTAGAACTGGGAATTGTATTTTCACTTGTTTGAATTTCATTTTTGTTTTATTGGATTTTTATTTTTTCTTTTTTTTGTTCAAAGCAATTTTGTAAATACATTTTTGATTGTACTTTTAGCTAATAATTCTTGTCAATAATACACAGCCATTCTAGCTGTTCTTTTTGGTTAGCAAATGTAGTTGCAACCAATTACAAAACATTAACCAAAAGTTTTCTCCTTATTTCCGCAACAAATCTCACAAAAGAAAAGCAGAAAAATTCGGATTTAAACGCACACAGAAAAACAAGCGAACGGATGGGGATGTATACAACTAGCCATGCCTACCAATAAACCCTAAATTAAAGTTCATATTTTTGCTATTTTGCTTAACCCTGAGTTTCACTTTGTAAGCGAATTAACTGTTGAGAAACCCTAACCTTGTGTATTTGTTATTATTGTTCTTCTATTTTGCCTATCTGAGATATCGGGATAGTCTCGGGCGTGTCCTAACACCGTCGCGTAATTTCGGAGCACCCCACCATCTGGGGGCTTCAATAGAACGAAATAAAAAAAAAATGGGATTAGCATGATCATTCGAACATGTACTAAAATTCGACGACTTTGAATTCTTATACACTATCGTTTAAATCCACCAAACCCATTGTGTGATATCATAGAACAACACGATACCTTTTTCTACTACAGATCGTAACTGTAGATTGTTTTAATATTAATTGTTTTTATTGTTTTCTATAGTTCTTCTTAGTATAATTTATTTTTTCTTGTCTGAGACCTAGAACCACTACGGATATATCTCGGACAACATTCATGGTCTTATATGCGCAGTTACATTCTATAACACGATAATCCCTTGGTTAAAATGGGCACTAAAGCTGTGTATTCAATGATTAGTAATTGAATAGCAAGAAATAAGGTGGATTTAACAAGAAATGTGACTTGTTCAATTTGGCACAGTTAACATCTCGCTTAATCTGTGTTATCTTTTAGCGGATTAATTAATTTATAGTTTTTTGATTGACGGAAAATGACATCCTTATTCTTGGATGAGATCATCATGTAAACAATGCCTCTTATAATTGCAAACAAACAAGCAAACAAAAAACCAACAAACCACGGTTCTTTCATGTACCGAGGATGAAAGAGTTTAAAACTGATGATCAGAAAGCTTGTCTACTATGGTTTGTAGCCATGACGAATTCTACTTGGATATTCCCACTAAACATCGTCAACGAAAAGAGAAAGTATTTCACTATATTTCCAACTTGCGGGATTGCAAACTAAACAAAAACAAAAAATGTAACCGTAATGATTTATATTTGTCAATGAGCTATAAATGAATAATAGACATAGACCTAGAAAGATGTTATTATTTTATGGGTGAAAAAAAAAAGTATTCGAATAATTAATAAGAATAGATAATCTTGTTTCTAGATACAAGACCAATAAATATTGTACACATAGGATAAAAAATTCAGATTCCGGATCAATAGAAATAATGTGTGGAGATTCCAACTTCGAAGGACAAACTAATAATCTATCATCATTTTTTTCATATATATTTTTGTTGTTGTTGTTGTATTTTGTTTCTTCTTCTACTTCTCTAAATATCCTTTGGTGGAAGTCCAGCAGTGAATCTTGGGAAACGGAATTTAGATTTGTCATTATACAAGTCTTCTTCAAATCTTTCTTTATCTTCAGGACTCATATTTTGTTTAACCAATTCTCGACGTTCTAATTCAGCAAAATATCTTCTAGCAATGTTTCTATCTTCTTCAGCAATCAACAATGGTTCCAAATGAAATCTAGCCCAGTTTCTTTCTCTAGTAAATTCTCTTTGTTCATTTACACCTTGATAATATCTATAAAATCCAAAAGTCATCAAACCAGCAATACCCCAAAAGTATACTGATCCTCTGAACCCTCTAGAAGGAAGATTTCTTTTCCATTGAATTGGTTCATATCCTCCAATAGGTGGTAAGTCTTGCATCTTTGTAGCTGTGTAATAATGTATGAATAAATAAAAGTACTATCGTACAGTATGGAGCCTCCTTTCTGTCTATTTTTTTTATTTTTTCATCTTCTTTTTTTCTCTTTTCTCGCCTGTTGCTTATTCTGTGATTTTTCATTGGCTTTGGTTGTTTTCGTGCACAAAATTTTTTTTGTTTGCCTGCATATAGTTCAATATATTATTCACTCCTTAACGCAATTTATAATTGCAAAACTATCATTTTATCAGTTATCAATCATTTTTTTTTTTATATTGTTGTTGTTTTATATATATAATATAATATAAACTCTTACTATACATATCTACATATACTTTCAAAATAACACGAAACAAAGTTGATTATTTAATATCAAACACTGGTTTCAATTTCTTAATCAACAACCAGTCGTCCCTACTAACACTGTCACGGAAAGCTGGGTCTTTCAAAGTATCAATGGATTTACGAGTGATCAATGAGTACAAGTTATCGCTTTCATCGACATGACGTCCCCAAGTTGGTTGAGAAGAAGATGGGTTTTCCAATCTCATGGCAACACCAGCAGAAGTTTGACCCTTCTTGACAGAATCATGTGGTTTATGACTAACTTCCAAGGAAACAACAGTACCTAACAACAAGATATTTGGTTGTTTGGTGACTGGATCAGTTCGCACAGCACAGATTGGTGTTCCGATCTTGACAGTACCTTCAACAACATCAACACCAATAATCATTGGGTTTCTTTTATTGATAATTTGGATTGTCTTCAAAACACATGGGAAAACAGCATATTCCATGAATTCCTTACGACGAACTTCCATCAATTTAGCTTGGTAAGCAGTGAAAGCATCAAACAAGTGATAAATGATATCGGCATTGAAGATCTTGATATTTTGTTCTTCAGCATATTGTTCAGCTTCTTTATCAACCTTGACATCAAAACACAACATCACAGCCAATTCTGGGGCTTTTTCCAACATGGTACATGCTTTCATAACATCTCTCTTGTAAACTGGACCTAAACCAATAGACATAACTGGAATCTTCATGTCCTTCAAGAAATCTAACAATGCTTCTAAAGAACCCAAGGTGGAGGCTTGAACAACAACCCCTTTACCGGATGTATCAACAGTGTCCAATAAACCAGTCAAATCATCCATAACTTCATCCATCAATTCTTCTTCATCGTCGTCTTCTCCAACAACGAGCAAACGTGAACCGGCAACAGCCTTTTCCAAATCATTAGCAGCAATCTTGACACCCAAAGCAGCTTTGACTTCTTTAAGATGAACATATTCAGATTTGACTCTCAATTCACGTGATGGTGGTGGAGTTAATAACGCTCTGATATTGGTTGCAATTGGTCCATTCAAACCACACAAGACCACACGATCACCTTCTCTCAAAATACCGTTGGACAAAACAACATCAATGGTGTAACCAAAACCTTCAACGACTTTGACTTCCAAAATAGTGGCTTCAACTTTAGACAAGTACATCAATTGTTTGGACATTCTCTTTTGGGTCAATTCAAGAAGTAACCACAACAAATCTGGAACACCCTCACCAGTAACAGCGGAGGTTGGAACAATGGAAACGTATTTGGACATGTTCTTGTTTTGGAAATACAATTCGGAGTTCAACCCTTGTTCAGATAAGGCTAATTTGATTTGATCATATCTGTTTTGGAATTCCGATTGAACGGCCTTGGTTTGTCTGGCAAAAGAATCTCTAAAAGAGTTGTTTGGGATTTCCTTCCAGTCATACAATCTATCGATTTTGTTCAAGGCAACAACGAATGGAGCTTTTCTATCTCTCAACAATCTGATAGATTCCAATGTTTGTTGTTCCAAACCATGCATAATATCGATAACCAAAATAGCAATGTTACACAAGGATGAACCACGAGATCTCAAGTTGGTAAAGGACTCGTGCCCTGGTGTATCAATGATCAACAAACCAGGAACATCAAAGGTTTGTTTTTCGTATTGAGCCATAACAGCGGTTTTTTGTTTAATGGATTCAACTGGGAAGTAAGTGGCACCAATTTGTTGGGTAATACCACCAGCTTCACCACCTTGAACGTTAGTTTGACGAATCTTGTCCAATAACTTGGTTTTACCAGTATCAACATGTCCCAAGATACAACAAATTGGAGAACGCAAATCCTGTTCAGGTGGAGTACTTGATTTCTTTTGAGCAGCAAGTTCCTTGGCTTTGGCTTCTTCAGCAGCTTTCTTCAATGCCTCTTGTTTGGCTTTTCTTTCAGCTTCTTCTTGCTTACGTTTGGCTTCAGCAGCAAGTCTTTCTTGTTCAAGTTGAGCAGCCTTGGCCTTTTCAGCTTCAGTTTCAGCTTCAGCATCGGCACCAGCTTCTTCTTCATCTTTGGTTACATTTTCGTCATCCAAAGCAGCTTCCCAGTCATCAACAACAGGTTCATCGTCATCCAATGCCATCTTTTCCCAATCATCAACCAAAGCTTCATCTTCATCGTCTTCAGTCTTTGCAACAGGAGCTTTAGTTTGAGCTGATTTTTGGATAAAAGTCTTTGGTTTGGTAGACTTTTTCTTTGTGTAAACGATTTTCTTTGGTTTTGGTGTATCGGAATCAGTTTTGTTCAAACCAGCAACTGAAACGTTTCCAGCTTGTAACAATTGTTGACGACGACGTTCTTGCAATTTCTTTTCTTCCTTTTGTTTCTTGGTTAACAATTTACCTTCAGCTTTCAATTGTTCTTTCTTTAATCTTTCACGTTCCTTTTTGGCAGCTCTGGCAGCTTCTTTCTTGGCTTCTTCTTCAGCAGCAAGTTTTTCTTCTTCCAATCTACGTTCTTCTTCTTCTTGTTCCAATCTACGTTGCTCTTCTTCCAATTGTTTTTTCAATTCCAATTGTTTCTTCAAAGCAGCAAGACCAGCTGGAGCTTTCTTACCTTTTTTAGCAGGTTTGCTCTTAGCAGGTTCAACTGGAGCTTCTTCAGGTTCGGGAGTAGCAGCAGCAGAAGAAGATGCAGAACTAGCGGCAGCAGCAGCGGCATTTTGTTTATTGGCTTCTTTGATTTGTTCTTTCTTGGAAGCTTGTTGAGCTTTCTTCTTTTGAGCTTGCTCCTTTTTCTTTTGCTTTTCAGCTTCTTTCTTCAACTTTTCCTTTTCTTTCTTAGATAACAATTTTGGGGCACCTCCATTATTAGCATTTGCCTTTTCAGTTTCTTCCTTTTGAGCCTTCTTTTGTTTGTTCTTACGAATTGAGTTTAAAAAATCTCCAGAAATATCTTCTGCTGAGGCTTCTTGTGGTTCGCTGTTTTCTGTTTCCGGTTCTGGAGTTGCAGTTTCCAGTGGTGTACCGAATTCTTCGGCTTGTGGTTGCTCTTGGGCCATATCTTCGTCATCCCAGAAGTCACCTCCGGCTTGGCCTCCTTTCTTTCCCTTTTTAGCCATGTTGATTTTCAATAGATATTAATATTTTCTATTTGAAAATTCAGATTTCGATGATCTAGAGAATTTTTTTTTCTCTCACTCTCTTTTGTTTCTTGCCCTTGGTACCAACTTTTGTTCACTGCAAGTGAAAAAAAAAAAAAATTGAGAGGTGTAACCACTTTGTTATATGCACTACTGTGTTCCAGCGCACACGACCTTGAGTATATTAATAAACCATTGATTTATAAGGATCATATTTGAAGCATGTTAAAATGGCAGTAGGTTAATGTTGTTAATACTATCTAGTCTCTGATAGGATGGATTTCTATAAGTAAAGCAAAACAAGCTATGATTCTCTTGTTTATCCCGGGTTATGGTCCAGTTTTCAATGGCAGACATCTCTAGGACTACGACGAAGAGCATTGGAGTTAAAGAGCGGTATTACATCTATCCTAGCTTCTTAAAGCATTTGTTGAAGAGGTACTTGTGATAGAAATAAGTGATTTCATGGGGTTGGCAATGATCTCATAGTTTATACTGACATCGATTACCTAAACCATACAGAGAGAAAAAAGAAATGAAAAAAAAAAAATTTTTTTCAATGTAAAACTATTCATTTCTATATCTTTGATAACTACATTCAATCATGACGACAGTAGAGAAGATTAAAGCCATCGAAGATGAGATGGCCAAAACCCAAAAGAATAAGGCCACTTCTTTTCATTTGGGTCAGTTAAAAGCCAAGTTGGCCAAGTTAAGAAGAGAATTATTGAGTGAAGGAAGTGGAAGTGGTGGTGGTGGTGCAGGTGTAGGTTTTGATGTGGCAAGAACAGGGGTTGCAACCGTTGGTTTTGTTGGTTTCCCATCTGTTGGTAAATCTACATTATTGTCAAAACTTACCGGTACCCACTCTGAAGCGGCTGCTTACGAGTTCACAACCTTGACAACTGTTCCTGGTACTATTAAATATAAAGGGGCCAAAATACAAATGTTGGATTTACCAGGTATTATTGAAGGTGCTAAAGACGGTAAAGGTAGAGGTAGACAAGTTATTGCTGTTGCCAGATCAGTAAATTTGCTTTTCTTGGTGTTGGATGTCAATAAACCTTTGCAACACAAGAGAATCATCGAACATGAATTAGAAGGGATGGGTATAAGAATAAACAAAGAACCACCAAACATTGTGATTACTAAAAAGGACAAAGGGGGTATCAATATTACCAACACTGTTCCATTGACACATTTGGACAATGATGAAATCAGAGCAGTTATGTCAGAATATAAAATCAACAGTGCCAATATTGCTTTCAGGTGTGATGCCACAGTGGATGATTTGATTGATGCAATTGAAGCCAAGGCTAGAAAATACATTCCTGCTATATATGTTTTGAATAAGATTGACTCGTTTTCAATTGAAGAGTTGAATCTTTTGACCAAAATTCCAGATGCCATTCCAATCTCCTCTGCCAACGGTTGGAATTTGGATGATTTGTTACAAATGATGTGGGATAAATTAAAACTAGTCAGAGTTTATACTAAACCTAAAGGTAAGTTACCTGATTTCAATGAACCTGTGGTGTTGAGAAATGACAGATGTACTGTTGAAGATTTCTGTAATTCCATTCACAAGTCTTTGGTTGAAGATTTTAGAAATGCCTTGGTTTATGGTACATCAGTTAAACATCAACCACAAATAGTTGGTTTGAACCACTCTCTAGAGGATGAAGATGTGATTACGATCTTGAAGAAATAATAGAACTCAGCAAATCCATATATCTTCTCTCATTCATAATATACGGATTACAAACATAGTTTACAATAGAATATAGATGTCGATGGACAACCAAAATGACAACAGCTAAAAAGAAAAAAGACAATGAATGTTACAGTCGTGTAAAAATAACCAAAAATGAGAATCAATCAGAAAAAAAAAAAAGAAAGTCTTCTCGTTTTTTTTTCTTCATACTCTGCTCTCACTAGAAAACACCAGACAAAGAAGAATCAAAAAGAGAGAGAGAGAAAAAAATTTTTTTTTTTTTCAGACTTGAAAATATTCTCATATTAGATCTCGTTACTCAGAGAAACAACAATTAGTGTTACTAATACAAACTATTCTATTTCCCTTCATTCCTATAGTTGATCCCCCCAATCTTTACCAAGTCACACTATTTTATCACAATCAACTAGTCACTTTATAATTTTTTTTTTATTCAGATTTGATTTACGACTTCTAGGTATCTTTAGACGAAAGAAGGAGTGTAAAAGAAGAAAAAAAAAAAAAAAAAGAGAAAAAGAAGAGAAAAGAACAACTCAAGAGCAAAGAAGGACTAGAAACCTCAAGTTATAGAGAACATATATCCCACTATTATCTCCTCACAATTGACTCGTGGTTTAGTTTTATGAATATCGAAAAACTCAAGCTATAAATTACTTATCGGGAACGAATAGAAGGACTCAGAAAGAGCATTTATATATATATATATCCATATATTTAGGAACGAAAAGAGAGAATTAAAGAATGTCCGTTGTTCCACAAGAATATTCAACAGTTTTAAACCAGTTGTTGGAGAATTTATTGTCATCAGACAATTCTACCAGAGCAGCTGCTGAAAAGTCACTTGAACAGGATTGGAGTGCAAGGGCCAATGTGGAAGTATTATTGGTCTTTTTGGCTGAACAAGCCTGTCAAGGTAATAATGATACTATTCGAGCATTTGCCTCCGTCATGTTCAGACGTATTGCCATCAAATCACCAAAGGAGTTATCAAGTGTTACTGATAGAACTATTGGGGTTATTAGTGAGCCTGTTAGACAACAAATTAGAAGCATTTTATTGTCTGGATTCACTGCTCCCCAATCAAACCAAGTGAGACACAAGCTTTCGGACGCAATCTCCGAAGTATCAAAAGAAGATGCATCCCCACCAGGTTCTTGGACTGAATTAATTCCTGCATTGTTTGAAGCTACAAGAAATCCGGATCCAAGTTTTCGTGAGTCCGCCTTCAGAGTCTTTTCTGCTTCTCCTGAATTGATAGACAAATCTTATATTGATGATGTTTTACCTGTTTATAATGCTGGGTTTGAGGATGAAAATGATGATGTCCGTATCGCGGCATGCACTGCATTTGTTGCTTTCTTTAGAGAGCTCCCTAAGAAAACTTGGAAGTCTTTGTCCCCATTATTGCCAAACTTGTTGAATTCATTGCCTCGATTTTTGCAAAACGGACAAGATCAAGCATTGGCCTCTGTTTTAGAAGCTTTGATAGACTTGGTTGAATTGGCCCCAAAGATGTTCAAGGATATGTTTCCTACTATTATAGAGTTTTGTTCTGCTGTTGCTAAAAACAAGGAGTTGGAGTTGAACACAAGAATGGCTGCCTTGGAGTTACTCAGTACTTTTGCTGAAGTTTCACCTGCAATGTGTAAACTTACTCCATCATATACGGAACAAATGGTTCTTCTCACATTGTCCATGTTGACAGAAGTTTGTATTGACGACGATGATGCAGCTGAATGGAACAACAATGATGACAGTGAGGACGAGGATGATGAACCTGAATATGGTGCGGCAAGACAAGCATTGGATAGAGTTGCCTTAAAGTTGAATGGACAAGCATTAGCAGGTCCATTGTTCCAATACTTGCCATCAATGGTTCAATCCAATAATTGGAGAGAACGTCAAGCTGCACTCATGGCACTTTCTTCAGCCGCCGAAGGGTGCTCAGATGTATTGATCAACGAAATTCCAAAGATTTTGGACATGATTTTGCCAACCTTGGACGATGAACACCCTAGAGTTCAATATGCATGTTGTAATGCATTGGGTCAAATGTCTACAGATTTTGCTGACTTGATCCAAAGAACTTCTGCTCACAGAATTTTACCAGCTTTGATTTCTAAATTAACAAACAAATCTGTTCCTCGTGTTCAAGCTCATGCTGCTGCTGCTTTGGTCAATTTTTCTGAAGCTGCATCCAAGGAAATTTTAGAACCATATTTAGATGATTTGTTGAATAACCTTTTGGTGTTATTGCAGTCACCAAAAAGATATGTCCAAGAACAAGTTTTGACAACTATTGCTATTATCGCTGATGCTGCACAGAAAACTTTCATCAAGTACTATGATACTTTAATGCCTTTGTTGGTTAATGTTTTGCAAACTGATGTTGGGGATGAAAACAAATTGTTAAAGGCAAAATGTATTGAATGTTCTACTTTGATTGCTTTGGCTGTTGGAAAAGAAAAGTTTCAGCCTCACAGTCAACAATTGATCCAGTTATTTGGACATATCCAACAGAGTACCACTGATGATGATGATACTGTTAAACAGTATTTAGAGCAAGCATGGGGTAGAATCTGTAAGATTTTGGGCAAAGATTTTTTGCCTTACTTGCCATCTGTTTTGCCTCCTTTGATGGTGACTGCCAAAGCATCTCAAGATATTTCCTTATTGGAAGAAGATGATGCAGAAGAGCTCAAAATGAATGAAGAATGGGATGTCATTAACTTGTCAGGTAAATGGATTGGTGTCCACTCTGCTGCCTTGGACGAAAAAGTCACCGCAATGGACCTTCTTAGAACTTATGCCATCCAATTAAAGGAAGACTTCCAGCCTTGGGTCAAGGAAATTGCCGAAGACATTGCCATTCCTGGGTTAGGTTTTTACTTGCATGATGGTGTACGTGGTTCTGCAGCATTGACTTTGGCCTCATTACTTAGGTGTTCAATTGCTGCTACTGGTAATAATTCAACCGAAACCCTTACCTTGTGGTCAAAAATATGTGAAAACATATCTGAAGTGTTGGGAACAGAACCTGTTCCAGAATTACTCGTTGCATATTACACAGCATTGGTAGAATCTATCAACAGCTTAGCTCCTGGTGCCATTTCCAATGTCCAATTGCTGGCATTGGCAAAAGCAATGCTTACAAACATGGTTGAAATACATGACAGAATCAAGGTTCGTGACAATGACGAAGACGAATATACTGAAGACGTTGAGGAGGATGAGGAAGAATACACGGATGAAGAATTGCTTGATGAAATCAATAAGGCAATTTCCGCCATCTTCAAGAATGTTAAATCCAACTTTCTTGAAAGCTTCCAACAGTTGGCACCTACTGTTTCATTGTTCCTTAATGATGAAAATACCACTCTCAAACTTTGTGGTTTGTGTATTGTATGTGACATTCTTGAACATTGTGGACCTAATTCAACAGTGTATAAGGACATGTTCTTGGGCGTTATTGCCAGCTCTGTAACTTCTCCACATGCTGGAATCCGTCAAGCAAGTAGCTATTCTGTGGGGATGGCAGCTCAATTTGGAGGTGATGCTTATGCTGAATTCTGTCTTTCCTGTCTAGAACCTATGTTTAAGATGGCAGTTGTTCCTGATGCAAGAGCAGATGAAAATGTTCATGCTACAGAAAATTCTGTTTCGGCCATAGCCAAGGTTTGTCATAGATTTGCCAACTCCGTTCCAAACTTACCCGCTGTCATTGACCAGTGGATCGCATTATTGCCAATCACTCAAGATGAAACTGCTGCTCCATTTGCATATATGTTTTTGAGTGAACTTATTGACAGCAACCATCCATCTATCACCAAACAAATTCCAAAAGTGGTTGATTCTGTTATCCAGGCGTTAGCACACGGATCGATTTCTGGAACTACTGCACAAAAGATTGTTGCTTCTACACGAGCATTGTTAGGGTCAATTCCTCATGCCGATGCATTGGCTTTATTGCAAAGAAACCCATCCGATTTGGATGTTGTTCAAAAGTATTTTAGTTAAGTATATAGGTATTGTTGATTAATAATCTGTTGTTGTTGTTGTTGTTGTTGTTTTTCTTTCACCTTTCTTTATTTTTATTGCATAATTGAATAGACATGATCCAAAGTATATTATTATTTTATGATTTTAAATTCTTTTAAATTGATTCTGTAAAATCTACAACATTCACAATGGTATATATGTACCGTTTACTTTTAACCACTAGTACAGCTAGTTTTCTCTGTAGATCTCTACTGTTTCAAAAGTAGCAATGAAGAAGAAAAAGAAGAAAAACAAAAAGTAAACAAACAATCACCATTAAAAAAGGGTGAGGCAAAACCATGACAAAGGAGGAAGAAAAAGTAAAGATCAAAGGAAAACGAAAAAGGAAAAAGGAAAAAAAAAAAAATGAGCACACATTTAACACATTTACAACCACAACAACCGACTATACAACCAGATCATTCTCAACAACAAACATGTCAGTGAACAATTCTCGATCTAGTTCAATTAGTACCAGTAGTTCAACTCATGCAAGTGATGGTAGTCAACGGCATTCATCAAAAAGAAGATCATTGAATACAATAGAATCAAGTGTCACTCGACTTCTCGTATCAACAAAGCATTTGTTGGAGAGTTTGACTCAATGGGCAAGACAAGAAGCGGATGACAAATATGTTTCGGATGCTTATGTCAAGTTAGGCAATGATTTCAGGACTGCCATAAGAGCATTCGGTAACAATGGCATTGATACGTCAGATATTGGCAATGTCCCACAAGCATTGAGAATAATCTTAGAGGCAGCACTTAGTGAAGCACCCTCCCAGGAAAATTTAGATAAGTTCTTACCTGGAATAAGAAATATAATTGTTACATTGTTACAAACTTTAAAAAGCAAACAGGCTAAAGCAAAAGCAATCTCCCAAGAAAGAGCAAGCAAGGAGATCACTGTCCCTAACCATACAAGCAATAATAGTGGATCTGGTACATTTCCAGAAGAGGAAAATCACGTCAAAACACAACCCACAGAAACAAAGCATGAGAAAAACGATGCCTTGTCACAGTTGCAAAAAGGTGATGTTCTTCAACGTCGTGCATCAAAAAGGTTCAGTGCGTACCAATATGCAAAGTTGACCAATTATAACAACACCACGACCAATGCCATTCCAAAAATTAATATTGAGAATCAAGGAGTTCGAAACTCTATAATTCAGGAAAACGAAGATGAAACACCGGTTCCTCCACGTGCATCAGTGGCAGAGGTTGATCAAACTGTTAATGTGGAAAGCGCTGATGATTATATTCTTTTGCGAATTAACTCCAAAACAAAAAAGGCTAATGTTACATTCCCTGTTACTTTTGCCTCACTTAGATTATTGTTTGTGGAAAAGTTTGCATACTCACCTGGGTCTGGGAACTTCCCAGATATTTATATTCAGGATCCACATACTGGGGTATCCTACGAGCTAGAAGAGCATTACCTTTGTGAAGTTAAGAGAGGTACTTTGTTATGTTTGAATGAACCTGGGTCCCTGGAAAAGGGAATAAATGAATTAGACTCAAAGTTAGAAGAATTGAATAAGCGCATAGAAGCAATGAGCACCGATGTCATTGCAAAAGTCAAGGAGTCGTTGGCTAGTATAGAAATTCCAGTTGCTGCTGCAGCTCCTGTTCCTCCTGTTGTGGAAAAGACTCTTGATTCAACAGTTAAAACTACTGAAAGTGTTGAGAGGAAGGATCTACTTAAACTTGAAAGAGATTTTCGAGCTGTCAAACAATTGCATAACTCTTCATCTACTGCATTTAAAGAAACAATTGCCGGTGTTGTTCAAGATCTCCGTAAATTTCAAGAAATTGGTCTCGAGGTCTCTCAGAATTCAAACAGGGCTTATATGGAATCATGCAATTCTAAATTATCAGATGATTCCGATTTATTGATTACAAAAGTTGATGATTTACAGGATGTGATGGAAGAGATGAGAAAAGATGTGGCACAGAGAGGTGTTCGTGTCAGCGAGAAACAGTTGAAGCATATAATTAAGGACATCAAGTCGGCAAAGGATTCCCTCCACGATATGAGTTCGTATATATCTAAGGAACGACCAGTTTGGAAGAAGATTTGGGAATCAGAATTAGATAAGGTTTGTGAAGAACAACAGTTCTTGAACTTGCAAGATGATTTGATTCAAGATTTGCAAGAGGACATCAAGAAAATTGAAGAGACGTTTGGCCTTATTGAACAATGTTCCGTGGAGCAAACTAAAGGAAAGTCCAGCAAGAGAAACAAGATTGTGGCAAACTTGTATATCCCAGAGCCAGGTGAAAGTTTGCATACCGCAAAGGATGCCGTTTTGAATGACATTGCTGCTTTGACTCCTAATCATGAAAGCAGGGTTGAAGCTATTGAGAGAGCTGAGAAAATACGAGAAAAGGAACGAGAGATGATGAGACTTAATAAATTCCAGGAGGAATTAGGTGATTTTGTTGAGGATAACAGGTTGAAGAAATCTGGGGGTATTGAAGAGTTGGAGAAGGCACGTCAAATAAAAGATAGTGAAAATTTAAAGAGTTCGTTTGGGATAATTTAGAATAATCATCGTTTACTGCAATGCCTATATTGTCAATGTATATAACCATTCTATTATCTCTTGTTTAGTTGCCATAAAGGCAAGTGATTTTGTTATTGTTATTTTAATGCATGTCAATAGATATTCTACTCCTTCCATTGAACCATTTACTCTTGCAAATTTCTCAATGGTAGTCTCGATGATCACGTGAAGAAACTTCATAAACCGGTAGCGCTCGAAGGAGTCTTGTTTAGAAATAGTTGCAAAAGAAGTTTGTATTGCTTCGAATGTTAATTTCAATATGGCATCCACGTTTTCCCTGATCGTTTCGAGTGAGTTTGAAGAAAAATCCAATAAAAATTCACTTAGATTTGAGCAATAAAACTGTTTTAAATTAGAAAACAACGCTTTGAATGACCTAAACTTGCAAGTTGGTCTACTGAATTGACTTGAATCCTTTTTGACATCCAAAGTAAGGCAATTTATATCTAAACCCACAAACGTCATTTTGTTCGAGGAACCTGCCTCTCCATTTATCTCAACAGTTTTTTCATGGTTTACAAACGCCCCATACTTTTGAAGCTCGTTACTTGATATTTTATCTTTCACTTTCTTCAATGTATCTTTATTGGACGTTATAAATATGAAGTCATCAACTAGGCGTAAGAGCAAGTTGTCCTCTGTTGCTTCCCATAAAAACTTGAACTCTTTCAGAACCATTGTACTATATAAAATATCACAAAATATCCCCAGCAAGCTGAACCCTTGAAACACACCTTGCTTTCTTTTGAATAAATCATACTGGCCCTCTTTATTTTTAACTAAACAGGTAGCATCTTCAATCTGGCTATGACATACCTCTATAATTTTATTCTTTGATATACTCAATGTTTTCACCTTATCCACTTTGGTCCCATACGATCTACTTCCTGCTTCAGCTTCGTCTTTGGAATTCATAATAATATTGAAGTTTTGCACCTCGGTTTCTATGAGAGTTCTGACCCGTTTCAATTTAAGAAATTCATCCAAAGTGCCATACTCTCTAACATGATAGGTAGTATTCTCATTATCCTCTTTGAAAATACCAGCAATTGATTCTTTGAGAGCATTTTGATTGAGTCGATCGTAGCATTCCTTCATATCAAATTTGATCATGTAAAGCACAGGAAGGGTTTTATTCTTTTTAAGTAGATCATTTCTAAAAGTTAAAATCCGATCTGCCACTTCATTTGTTGAATTAACGGATGACCTGTGACCCATATCTGATTTTCTTAATGCATTCAACTTTAACTGAAGAACCTGTCTAACTGGCAGGAGAGTATACTTTTGATAGAAAATATAGTCCCATTTCTCCTTTTGTTTCAAAGCAAAATTCCGTTTGTTGTTAAAAGAGTAGAGTGATTGTTTCAAAGGCACACAAATAACTCTAAACCCTCCTCTCTTGGGTATCAATTTGATTTTTCCATTTGTAAATTGTCCTTTGGACTCTGGTGATACAACTTGTACAAGGTTTCCCTTAGCATATTTTGTTATCCAGTTCAGTGATAGTTCATTCCATATGGAATGCGTAAAATAAAACAATTTCAGACGATCCATATTTGACAGTTCAGTGACATACCAAAATGCCCGAACGATATTCTTGACCAAAGAAATAAATACCCAGTTTATGTATCCTTCTAATAACCTCTTGCGGATCTGAAAATCTTGCTGTGAAGAGATATTATTCCCAACACCTAACCATTTAAACTTCAGAAGCTTTATTCCACTTAACACATCGTCCAAATGCAATCTCTCATTTGCTCCTAGCCGTAAAAAGTCGACTATTCTGTCCTGGATAACTTTCTTATTTTCCGTTCCACCCCATGCATCGAGTGGAAGTAGCTTCCCCATTATTATGAGAACAACTTCAACAACTCGGTTAAATTTAGTACTGTAGTCTATCATTGTTTTTAGTTTTCTTGTGTCGGACAGCAGCAAATACTTGTTATATATAAGATCATATCTGCACTTTTTATCATTCAGTATGATTCTGGAAACAACATTTTTGATTCCTCGAAACCTCTTTTTTACAGCTGGATTCTCAGAATTGGGATTCTTTGTAGAAGGTGATACAATTTCTGCAAGCACCTCTTGTACATTTGTCCTTATGATTTCATAGTTTCTGTATCTTGGGTTTCGTGACTGGTACAAAACATCAAATTTGTAAATCCATTTCGGAATAGGCAAAACTGCCTTTGCAGCTGGTTTAGCATAGGAAGTAATATCACCAAAAATTTGTATCTGTTGTCCATTTTTATGTTTTAGAAATCCCTTGTGATTGATAAGCAAGTTTAGAAACTTTTCAGACCCAAGTAAAGTAAACACCCGATGCCAGTTCGAGTCGTTCAAATTAGTTGGAAGGAAATTCCCATCGAGATTGACACATGGCAATGCAACTTTGGAATCTTCAATGGTACTCTTATAACCAGAAACTAAAACATTCTGTGATTTTCGCAATACAAGCTCCGTTATTAAATTGTTGATGAAATCTTGGTAGGAAGTATCGCTTGTGATTCTTGGTAGTTTGTTTGGTTTGGTGATTTCTATCAAGTTTACACTTTTCAAGTAGTTTATGAAACTAGGAAGTTGGACACTCTGATCACTGGAATTATCTTTAACATATTGTAGTAATGAAATTGTTTGCATTGATGGCTCTATTCAAAACTACCGATACTAACAGGATAGTTGCATTGAATTATTGTGGTGCTTTCAAGTGGAAAACAAACTGCACAGAAGAAATAGAAACAAGGAAAAAGAAACAAAAAAAAAAAACCTACCACAATGGATTGAGATGTTTGAGTGGAGAACTGGATTGAAGTGTTGATAATGACCCAGATAAACAGCCATGTTGACCTAGAGAAAGGGATATTATATGGAACACTTTTGCAGATTCGTGAAGCAGATGAATGCTATTCCAGCAAGAATCCTGAACTTGTCCAAGTTTGGACTGGTCTTATTGATCCAAGAAAAAGCAAGTTTTTGATGCAGTTTTTAAAGAGATTCTTTCCGTTAGATGAAACATCACAACTAGATCATTTCAAACGTATACGAAAAGTGGAAGAACACTTACAAGTTTTCATATGCAAGTATGAGTCTGAAGACCAAACTACTGAAATTTTAGAGTTAGCGAGCAAGATAGACCCTGATTTCATCATTTCCAATTTTAAAGTCATATCAGTGCCTCGACATGTCCCAAACACCAAAGAGTTGACACAACAATGGTCTGAACAGTACTGGCCAATAACATGGAAAGGAAACCCAAACCATCAGTTTTTAAACTCTGTTTCGTTTGATATGGATCAAGAAAAGGAAATGGTCAATATGCTTTTAGACTCAGTTGACAATTCTACAACTTCGCCTCCTGGATATTCGGTTCTGGGAACATTGATAGCTCAACAGATTGGTGATAAGCTTCAAGTATGCACTATTCAAACAACTGAGGGTAACAAAAAGAATAATCCAAAAGGGCATAGTATCATGAAAGCCATTTCCGAAATTGCTACTCGAGAGATTGAAAATAGAAAAAACAAGGAACATGACAGAGGGTATCTCTGTACAGATATGATTGTTTATACTACACATGAACCATGTATAATGTGCTGTATGGCACTAGTGCATTCTCGTATTGCGAGGGTAACCTATATAAACACGGCTAAAAACTCGGGTGGTTTAGAATCGCATTATCATCTAGGTGTCATTGATGGTTTGAATTGGAAATTTCAAATCTGGAAATGGCTCGGAAATACTGAGATTTTGAGGTTAGACGACATCAATAGGGATAGAACACCAAGTATAGAATATTAGATTGTACCTTGTGAAATATCCAATAATGTAGATATTTTATTCATTTTTTGAAGGGCATCTTCTATAATCTCGGTATCAACATCATGCTCAAGTGAGCTTAGAATATCAACGACCTCTTTTATTTCTCTTAAGAGTCTGTTTGTTGTAGCATTCAAATCCAGCTCGTGGCTCTTGAGACGTGTTTTTAGTACTTCAAGTTCTCTGACTAAGCTCGCTAGCTTTGGTCGTTTCATAGTATCAGGGTTTTTGGCTGCCTCTGATAGCAATCCTTTGATTGGTATGTTAAACTGTGATTCAATATGAGTCTCAACCCTCAGCTGTTTGGTTTGGTGTTGCTCGAGTAATTCGTGATAAAGATCTCCCACTATGTCAGGAGAGATATTAGATGGCAATTCATCTGTAAAATCATCTAAAGATAGCTGATCTTCAAACTTCAGTCGCTTAATTAGATAGTCAACTAGAATATTGGTCGACTTTGTATTAGCTGAAGGAGTCATTGGATATTTGTCAAACTGGTTGTTGTAAGTCTTATTAGATGTTCATTATCAATTGTTTTTATTTTCCATTGGTCGTGTCGAAGGTCAATTTTCTTTTTTTTTTTCTCTCCTTTCAGTCTGTCGCTTTGAACTGTTTGTCTCACCAACCATCACAACAAAAGTAAACATAATCTGCTTTTTTTTTCGTTTTTTCAACTTTAAAATTTCAATCACGTTTGCACAACAATAAAATGGGTTCATATGGAGTAGCGCCAACGGGCGTTCAAGGTCTTGCCACAAGTTTCTCAAAAAGATTAATGAATGATTCCGAAAATTCTTTACTATTCAATATTGCGCCAACCGGAAGACAAGCCAAAAGACATGTTCAACAAATAAACTATTCTGAAGATTTTGGTGATGATTTTGATACTGAAGATTCTCCATCTTCTGCTTTTGGAAATCGTAACATATCTGACAATAGAGCACAAGCAGAGCTTCAGAAATACACACTTGCAAAAAATACCCCAATAATTAAGAATTTGGCTCGTGACATAGCATTACCTGAATTGGTGGAGAAACCAGTAGTACTTGTCCCGATAAAAATATCACTTGAGAACCTAAACTCTAACCAGAAGTTGGTGGATACATTTATGTGGAACTTGAATGAATGTGTATTGACACCATTGGAGTTTGCAGAAATAGTATGCAATGATTTGGATCTTCCTACCAATATGGCTACACAAATTGCTGATAGCATAAACCAACAAGTGGAAGAATATACTTATGTTTCTAATCTAGCATTGCCTTCAGACGGCCCATACAATGTGACGGTTGATTTGTCGGTTAACTTGAACAAACACTTGTATCAAGACCGATTCGAATGGGATATGAATCAGTCAGACGTTACACCCGAAATGTTTGCTAAAATTGTGGTAAGTGATTTGGGTTTGCCTTTAGAATTCGAGAATGCAGTATCGCATGCATTACATGAGGTTATAATCAGAGTGAAAAAGAGGGTTATAGATGGAAGCTTTGATAATGAAATCTACAATTTGCATCTTGTGAAGGGTATAATATTTGAGCTTGGTGTTAGAATATTCACTGAAAGTAGTATCCAAAACGGAAACGATCGTTGGGAGCCATTAGTTGAGACGTTAACTTCAACTGAAATCGAACGTAGAGAGAACGAAAGGGTCAGAAACTTAAGAAGATTGAAGAGAGAAAATATGAGAAGAGATTACGATGATTATAATAAGAGAAGACATACAGGAAGAAGAAGATTTGATGAGTTAGAAGGTTCTTGGAGTTGATATTCTCTCTATTTGACTATATTATTAGGTGTGTTTCTGTATTTAATATGTAATAAAAGTAAACTGTTTGCTAATTATGAAATATTACAAAGCGTAGAAATAATAAGTCGGTATAGTATTGGTAGTTCTTGTGAATTTTATATTGCAATTTCATTAAAATTTCGTTCAAATATTGGACAAAAAAAAATGGTACTAAATGTCTCTCTTTATTATTTGACAAATACGAACAAAATAGAATCATCATATACATCTGCCCGACCTATAAATACCCATTTAATGAGCAAATCTGAAGTCCAACCTTCTTGTTCCTTCGTCTTTTGTGTTCATTCTATAATTTTCCTTTTCCTCTTCTGTCATTGAAGACCAGATTTCATCTCTTTTCTTGTTCTTATATACATAGTATACTTTGGTTAACAAAATGATAGGTATAGTTGCCAAACTAAAGCAAAACAATTGCATGTTACCCCTTTTATATAAGGGCAAGTCATCCTGTCTGTAAATGTTTTGTCCAATTATATTACTTAATTGAACTGCCATATTGTACAACGCAGAACTTATAGACCTGGTTCTAACCCCATTGGAATTTCTAGAAACCCATGCCACACAGATTGCATGGATATAGGGTTGACCAAAATATAACATGTTCAAGACATAAGTCGGCCATTGTTGAATACCACTTCCCGGCCACCACCTAATTATACCCATGATCGTGGCTGCATAGATTGGCGAAACCACTGCAACAAAACAACGTTCATTGAGCCTTTCAGATGTCCATGTTATTAGTAATAAACAAATGATGTGTAAAACTTGTGGAGGAATCATCAATAGATTTGTATCAAAGGTTGAAAATCCCATCTGACGATTGAGCAAAACAAAATATGAATTGAATGTCATAGTTCCAATATATGCCATTACCCCAATAGCAAAAATAGGGAATATATCCACATCATGCAAACTTTTGACCAATTGTTTTAAAGTTAATCCCTGTCGGTTATTCATAGACCCCTTTGTTGGATCATCACGTAAGATCCTATTCACTACAATCTTTTCTTCACGTTCTGTGAACCAGCCCTTTGGGTGCATCCAGTTTTTAGTTTGAACAGCTGATGGAACCATTAAATAGAAGCCAGAGATACCAATACATAATGTGAAAATACCTTCAAGTAAGAATAACCACCTCCAGCCAGCCATTCCAGCAACTCCCCTCATTCGTAAAATTCCAAAAGCTAACAAGGATGTTCCCACTTGAACCAAAGCCAATGTTGTCCAAAACCATGATAATCGAATTGGCAACTCCTTGCTGGTGAAAAAATAGCTTAGCCACAATACCAAATCTGCAATGAATCCTCCCTCTAATGCTCCTATCAATGCTCGAGTAATATAAAATGATGTCTTTCCGCTTAATGCCGCTTGACACAATGCAACAACGCTCCAGGAACAGATTTGAACTGGAATAAAAATATCCGGACCCAAAGCTTTAGAAATCAATTGGGAAGGAATTTCAGCCAAAAGGAATGCCACAGTAAAAATAGTATTACCAGTATTATAATCATTGGTGGTTAATCCAAGATCGTTTAATAAATTATCCAGAACAGCCTGAGCAAAATTACCTCTTGCGACTTGCAAACTAATGAAAAGAAAACAAGAAGTCAAAGCTACTCTATAATTAATTTTATGGATTACTTTCTTTTCTTCCAGTTCAGTCCACTCAAAATTTGGATCGAAAGCGGAATAGCTTTCGTAATTGCATGATTGATACAAATTATCATAATATTCAGCAACCTTTGGATCTAAAAAGGGATTGTTGACCAATTGATCTTCTTCTATAGATGCTGATTCCTTCTTTGACTCTGCAGTAATTTCAATGTATCCCTTATCCATATTTAAAGAATTCAATGACAGCTTGTCTTCCACTTGAATTTTGTTTTCTACTGAATTGTTTACGTTGTTTTCTTTCTTTTTAATAGAATTGGCTCTGGACATTTTGAAGAAATCAGACTTGTATAGGTGTTTAAGTTTTGAAGTAAAGAAAAGAAGGACACCCCCCCAAAAAAATAACGATCCTTGATTCGATTTATATACACATGGGCAATGCAGATATTTCAGCTACTATACGTCCAAAACCAATTGATTCAGAAATACCATCTGGCAATTAATAAAGTCAATAAAAAAAAATTCTTGGGTATACCAATTAGAAAATGCCTCAAAACTTAATTTTAGCGCAAACCGTATAGTAACATCTGGTCAAAATTGCCAGTATGAAAGTGAACTCAAAGTAGACTCGTTCTTCAGTCATCTTCATTTCATACTGCCGGCTTCTGTATATATAATAAAAGATATATTTTTGACTGTTGTTTGGGCAATAGTGAAGCAAATCACGTATTCTTTATGAAAGACGTTTTGCAGCATGTCAACTGAAATCTAGAAGACACCACACTTTCTATTGTTGCAAAATCAAAATCTTCCAACTGTGGCTCTCGATTAGCACATCGAAAAAAAAAAAAAATTACTAATAATAATATTAATAAACCTTGTATATATTGAAGCTTAAAACTATAAATGACGAAACAGCTTACACACATTATGGATATTTTGTTTCCTTGGTGGTAATTAAAGCTGTGAATACCTAGTTTTAATCTTTTACAAAGAATTAAAGGAGTTCTGGGTGCTAACAATTGTTGCCAAGGAATCACGACCATAGAGTCTCATATACATGGAACCTTTTTCAAACAAATATGTTCTTTTTTCGTGGTCACATTTATTGTAATATCAAAATATAGACATAACTAAAAGCCGCTTATTCGAAATAAGTCAATACCTTCTTTGCATGTTCTTTAGTTAGATAATCCTTATCAAACTCGGCTGTGTATCCTAATGCGGTTTTAACTCGGTCTCTGTAGTCGGCTGGGAATTCAATATTCTCTTTTTCAGATAGAGCTACCAATACATCGTGTATCACCACAATCGCTGCTCTACGAATAATAGAACTTTTCTCCAAATCCAAGACCCCAATACAACAATCTAGCACTTCATTTATGTTAACAGCAAATATGTTGCTAGTCACACATTCTCCTAGTATAGAAAGTGCCGACATATCAAGTCTGTGGTCCCTCTCCTCATTACCAACTTTCCTAATCAATTTCATGACCGCATTAATGATTAATTCAGCGGATTCCCCGCCAAATAGCTCATTTTCATGTTTGATGAATCTTAACAATACTTCGCCAATTTTGACTCTTTCATCCAAGTCTGTGTCCCCCTCGTCATCATCATTCAGGTACATTTTACACAACTTTTGTAATACCCCAACTTTATCCCACTCAAGCAAATTCTCTAGACCCTTGATAACATTAAGGTATATAAACGGCTCAGGATCTTTTAATTGCACTAAATGCAAATTGATTACGAAATCCAAAGTAGTGACAGTGCTTTTCTTTTCTACCAATTGTCTTAATAGATATAAACCATGGGCACGAATAGGAACCAATGGATCATTCAAACTCGTAATTGCCCGACTGAGAATTTGCCTTTGATTATCGAGCTCGTTATCCGCAGACAATGCATGGTTCCCACTAACCAAATCTTGAATTCTAGTACGAAGAGCTCCAGCAGCAGCATTGGTCGATTCTAAAGCTAATAAAGATTTCATTATATTGGATAACACTTCTGAACACTGGTCATCTACAATGATATCATTTTCTGACAATATTGCCGAAAGTAATTGTAATAACACAGGCAATATCAGCTGAGCCTCGTCGTCACCTTCTTCATTATCATCATCTTCGTCGTCCGAATCAACTTCTTGCATTCTATCATCTGAACTGATTGCTTTCGATGAACCTAGGAAACTGTCAACCAACTGCAACATGTCGATCGGATTGGTTGCTAGCTTATCTTTAAATTTTTCCCCGATACTTTCTAGTAAACGTAAATCAACAAGCATCAAGAATGGATTAGGCTCATCTCCACCAAGAATAACTTTATCTTTATTCAACCAGCTCTTTAGGATGCTAACAAATAGCTTTTGGATCAAACTATCATCTAGTTCTTGTAATAGATTAATCAACGACTCGCAAGCAAAATCTAATGAATCGATAAATTTGTTGACTTTTGTTTTTTTGCTTGTAGAGGTGAATTCGGGTTTGATCTGCACAATCTGCACCAAATCATTGTCACCTATTTCATATTTCCAATCTTCGCCGTGTTCGTATAGTAAATTCTTGGCTATAATAAGTAAACCAGCAATATTGTCACTATCAAAGTCCTTCATTATAGTAAAATAACTCGTAAGAATATCTGAAATTATTCCAAATGGCTTTTTGTTCTGTTTTAGGAATAGATAATATCCCCAGAGAGGTAAAATTATGGGTTCTATGACAGCCTGATATAAATCTGGTTCCATTCCCTTTTTGGTTAATGAAAGTATGACATTGATACTATTGTTAAGGTCGGCTTCTGTCACCAAAATTTCCACTTCCCGGGGTGAAGGATTGAAGTTCTCCCAGATCTTTTTCAATACAAAGTCACTTGCTACCAGTTTGTTCCTTTGCCATAGTTTTTCCAACACAAATGACACACATGATGTGATTGTGGGTCTATTAATATTGATCAATAGATTGTATATCTGGGCTCCAACTGATGTAAAGTAACTTCTTGCGTCCACGCTTTTTGGCTTCAGCAAGACTACGTTTGACACATGCTCAAACTTTTCGATATTAATTTCCTCTTGGTCTCTAAGTCCAAGCACAAATTCCACCAATGTCAATAAACCATCACTTCTTGAATAATGAAGCAACTCCAAACGAGACATGACAAATCTCTTGAACTGCTGTGGTGAGGATGAGGCCATAATTAATGTGTATATTTGAAATAATTCAAATGTAGACGCAAGACTTTCAACTTTGGAAATGTCAATATGACTTGAATTGAAATTGGGAACGGTGATTAACGTCATGGCAACGATTAAAAAGTCCGTGAATCCAGTTCCTTTAAATAGTAAGTCAGCAACATCGGACTTGTACAGAAATAATCGACTGAACTTGTCATAAACCAATACTAAAAGCTTTTCAATATATTCTATATTATCTCGCGGGAGTGTATCAAGTTTGATAGTTTTCTTGCTATCTGAAATATTCTTCAATTGTCTTTTTTCAAATTCAACTCCAATTCGGAAGACATTCAAAGGCGGGTAAATACCGTGGATGATAATCAAATTGACCAACTTACTAAACGTTTTAATATCATGCAAGGATATTGCCATCAAGTTTTTGTCATCAGTTTGCGGTACATTCATTGAAAGTCTTTGGATTTCCAATAATTCGTCCAACAATCTTTCCACAACTACATAACGTTTAACTAACAGATCATCTGGTCCGGATAACTGAAAACGATTATAAAGTTCATCAATGTTTAACTTATCATAAGGTAAATCGATTTGTTTCTGTAATTTGTCAAATAAAATGTCAATGGGTTTTGTTGGTTTGAATTGGGGTTTGTTAAGACCTTTTCTTTGTGGGTACGCTTCGTCCACTGTTCTTTTCACTGTGACTTTCTTAGGACGAGTTGCAAATGGATTCTTTTTGGGTTTAGAAACAGTCACATTGGTATCGCTGTGATTATCTATCTCTTCGATTTTTGGTGGACTCATGACTTTTATTTTTTGTTAAAAAGTAAACATAAGTTGTTTGAATTACAAATTGGTTTAAAGGAACAAGAATAAAAGTTCGATGGAAATCTTCATTACATATAAATTTGCTCTGGCACGCGAGCTTATGTAATCGAAATCATCTCTGAGGTTCCACAGATAGAATTTTTTTTTTTTTTTTATTTTATTTTTTTCACGAAGATGAACTACCCTTCTGATTGGTAATACTAACAATAGCAAGCAGGACTTTATAAATACAGTACACCATGGCTGAAGAAATTACCAAGTTGAGTCAAGAAGAAATGGACGTAGTGATATACGATTCCAGAGTTGGTGATTTGGAAACATTGAAGGAAATATTTGATCTTGAAAAGTTAATTACTCCAAAGACATTGACAGTTATAAAAGATGATATCACATCAAGTACACCATTACATATGGCTGCTGCAAATGGTCATTTGGATGTAGTTAAATATTTATTACTGTTGGTTGATAAAGATGATGTCAAAGAATTTCTTGAAGCCAAGAATGATAATGGAAATACTGCCTTGCATTGGGCCTCATACAATGGCCACTTGGAGGTCGTTCAATATTTGGTGGAAGAATTCGAGGCTGATCCTTTTATTAAGAATAATTCAGGTCATGATTCTATTTTCGAGGCCGAACTGAATGGGAAAACTGAAGTTGAAAACTGGTATTTGAAGAAATTTACCCCAGAAGATGCATTTGATGTTGAAGAAAATGAAGCTGAAGGAACCACAAAGATCACTTATCAACCTGGTAAAGAAAGTAAACTAGCTGATGAACAGGCTAGAGATGCTGTGTTTAAGTCAAGTATAGAGAAAGACAGTAGTGCTGATTTGGAGGAGAAAACAGCAGAATTGGATATAAATAAAGATTAGATAGAGTGAAGTAACACAAACTATAACTGTTCATATATGAATATATATATATACTCTTTGTATATTAATTGCTACTAATACAGACAGACTCTGGAAACCATAGATGCTAACTGGTAAGACTTCTTCGCTGTTTTACTAAAGCGTGAATCTTTATTTCGTGCGTGCAAATTGGATAAAAAGAAAATTTTTCTCTTTGCTTGATTCTGTTGTAAATTTTTTTTTTTTTCAGTCATATTTATACAACAGCCTACTATTTGATAGATTTATATACCCAACAAGATCATCATGTCAGATTTAGGATTTGATACTACATTAAAGAAGAAGAAGAAATCAAAGAAGCCATCTTCTGAGTCCCCTGCTGTCGATGCAGCTGGCTCAACAGAGTCTACACCACAACCAGCCGATGCTTCAGTAGATGATTTGTTTTCTGGCTTGAAGAAAAAGAAGAAATCAAGCTCATCTAAAAAGTCAGTTGAAAAATCTGAATCTCCATCTGTAGACGAAGATTTGAGTTCATCATTAGGTGATTTGTCATTGAAAAAGAAAAAGAAGAAGTCAACCAAGAGTTTGGGTGTCGATGAATTTGAACAACAATTAGAAGAAGCTGGTGTTGAAGAAAATACAGACAATGGCAGTGCTAGTAATGGCACCAAAGATCAATCCACAATTGGTTTGTCTTATCCGGATTTATTATCTCGTTTCTTTACTATTTTGAAAACCAACAACCCAGAATTGGCTGGTGATAGATCAGGTCCAAAATTCCGTATTCCACCTCCAGTAGTTCAAAGAGAAGGTTCCAAGAAGACCATGTTTGCCAATGTTCAAGAAATTGCTTTAGTTTTACAAAGAAGTCCAGAACATTTAATTCAATATTTATTTGCTGAATTGGGTACCACTGGTTCCATAGATGGTGAAAAGAGATTGATTTTGAAAGGTAAGTTCCAACCAAAACAAATGGAATCAGTTTTGAGAAGATACATCATTGAATATGTCACATGTAAGACTTGTAAGAGTATGAATACCGAGTTGAAGAGAGAAAGTGCCAACCGTTTGCACTTCTTGAGTTGTAAGGCTTGTGGTTCTACCAGATCCGTATCTTCCATCAAGACCGGGTTCCAAGCCCAAATTGGGAAAAGAAAGAAATTCTAATGAGTGTAAACTTTTTACATCAGTGTCAATTTTGCATTGTATAATAAGTGCTCTATGTATAGTTTAAACCGTAATAAATACAGCATGCTGACAAAAAGTTTATATACTAGCCACGATTTTCTTCATTGGTGAACACCAAGTACTAACACCTTCATGAACCATCATATATTCAACAACTTGATTCTTTAAGTCATTTCTCAATTGTGGAGTGATATTTTCAAGATTATCTAGGATTTCCTGGCAAATATGATGCATGAATATCAAATGTGAAGACCCGGGACTCATTTTCTCAACAACATTGACGAGTTTCAGCTTGTAATGATTCAATTCACGTTCGGAAAGGTTCAACTTCAAGGCAAAGATTTTATTTAGTATATCGGTAACATTCTGCACCGTTATATCTCGGTTGTGATCTTTTGTAATTAAAATGGATTTCTTTTGTGGTATAGGACAGTCATTCCAGCCTTCAATTAAGTCTCCTCTTTGGTACTTGGTTAAAGTCATTGCAATCTGTTTCGTATTATATCCAACTTAAAGGTAAGAACTTGAAAAAGAAGAAAAAAAAAGGAAAATAAAAGTAAAAATAATATTGAAAAGTAGATGTGGAAAAATAAAATAAAAAAAAAGAAAATGAAAAATTGAAACCCACGGTACAACGTGTCGTTATTACAGCGCTAATGATTGATGAGAATGGGCAGAATTTCATTCAATGTTTCCTTCCTTCTTTCGCATGTTTTACGACTAAAAAGAAGAAACCCATCCCAACAAAAAAGAAAAAAAAAAGAAATTAAAATATGGTGGTACTGGAACCAGAACACGTAATCTTTATGTAATTTTAAAATCCTACAAATTACATGCACCACATCATAGATTCAATTGTCTTGCCACCTCTAATGCTTGATTAAGCAACTCATCTATATCGGGTCTATTCTCCGGTTTCAATTGTAAACATTTTTTAATCAATTCGATTACTTTTGGATCAAATTGACCGTTGTCTGCTGGAATCTGATACTTTCCCTGTAAGATTGCCAAGTTCAAGTTTGCACCTTGTTCGATTTCCAACTTTTCAAACGGAGAGTATCCAAAACAACAACAATACAATAAACAACCCAATGACCAGATATCGGTTTTCTCGGTTATTTCAGCATTTGTGGCCACATCGACCAACTCAGGAGCTCTATATGGCAATGTACAATGTTCTTGAGCAAAGTCTTGTACCGTCAATGCCTGTTGACGATTCTTCACAGAAATTCTTGCTCTAGAACAAGATCCCAAGTCACAAAGAACAGGCAAACCTTCAGCTGATAACATGACATTGGCGGGTTTCAAATCATGATGTGCGTAAGGAACCAGTTCTTGCATCTGTAAACTATTCTCATTCCCATTAGGCTCCTCAAAATCTTCATCATCACTTGTGGGTAACAATACGTCTTGCTCATCGTCGTCTAATCTAGTGTTATTCGTGGTGGTTTTCTTGTATCTGTGCATAGCTTTCAATCCTCGACACACCCCAATGAATATTCTCATAATTTCTCCCTGCTCCATCTTTGAATTGTTTAAAACTAGTTCATTAATAATATCCTGTAAAGACTTTTCAAAATATGGTAGTAAGATCAATATATTCTTGGAGCCATCGCTTTCCAGTTGTATCAATTCATCGATACTGGAAATTATATACGGCGACTTGAATCGATGATAGTTCTTGATTTCCTTTAACGCATTCTTGAAACTTTCATCTTGTATTCCATAAGGACATCTTATTTTTTTCAATGCATAATACGATTGAGATGATTGTGTTGTTGTAGAAACCAAATAGACATATGAAAACCCTCCTTCTCCTAATAATTTAATAATCTTGTAATTGCGATTATTTATATTTATCGAAGGTGACGACAATGTTGGAAAGCATGGCAAACAAGTCCCACATAATGATAAAATGGCATCCATATTTGGTGATCTAATAGTTAGGTAGATAAAGGTTTTCCAACGTAGACTCAATCTATGGATTAATTGGTCTTCTATATGTTTTTTTTGTTTGTTTGCTTTCTCTAATACGATCTATTATTTCAACAAAAAAAGACATTTCTGCCAGTACACGCGCTGGAACAATAAACCCATACATAAAGAAAGAAAGAAAGAAAAAAAAATTTGCTGTGTTCACACTAAACCTTTACAAAGTAATCGAACCAAGAGAGTATCTATTTATTTATTTATTTGCATCTAATACGAAGATGAATACAGAGACCAATGATGAAACGAAATCAAGATCAATGTCCCCATTACCTTCAAATAACACGACTATACTTGGGGAGATAAAAACAGGCACACCGATAGATCTAACTGTCGACAATTCAATAATTCAACAACAAGAAACAGAATACCCTGTGCAACCACTCCAGCAACCTGAACTTCAAACGAATCATCAACAATTTGAAAATATAACTGGAAATGTTACTAATGGACTGTCCGGTATTGATGCTATAGATTCAATAGAATTGATGCAGAAACAGGTTCAGGGACAAGAACAAACATTAGAAAACACCCAAAATGAAGAAGAGAAAGTAATTGAAATGCAAGTTGATAACGAAGAGGACGATGAAAAGGAAGAAGACCCTATTGACAAAATGAGATCAATGGAAGTTTTACCTGATTTATTTAACTTGTTATACGAATTGAATAACAGCGATAATACAAAAGTAACAGCGAAGGATTTTGATAAATACCTAGGCAGTTTGAGATTGAAATTGAGCAATTTCAAGGATTCAATGCAACAAATTGACAACATCAATGAAACACTAGTCAACACGTTTGATAAGATAGAAAAGCTAAAACAGAACAACCATAATAAACAAAGTTTCTTGTTGCAGCTTAAACAAAAAGTAGACCAATGTTTATAGTTGATATTTTAATGAACACTCGCCCGAAGTAACCAATTTGATTGTGCGTTGTAACCCCCCCCCCCACGTCGGTGTCCCTACCTCCATTCCCAGTGCCGCGGATCTAGACCGAGATCCAAACCGACGATGCGAGAAAACCGAGAACGACGAAATGAAAATGAAAATTAAAATGAACTGAAGAAAAAAAAAAAAAAAACTCTTCTGAGTCGATTCAACAACAGACACCGGAGCCATTCATAGATCTACTTATAATCATTACATTTGAATCATGATTAACTTTAAAGAATTTCCTCCTACTTTTGATCCCAATACAAAGCCTCCTGCATTGACTATTGGTTTAATCATCTTCACCCTTATACTATGTGTAATAAGAACATTCACACTGTACAACTTGAATAGTTTAGTTTTGTATCCTAGGGCTCCGTTAGATTTGAACCTTAATAGTCTTTCATTTTATTCCATGGTCCATACCAACTTCTTTCATTGGATATGCAACATATTCACCTTGTTAACTCCTTTGGCAATCTTTGAAATGAGAAATGGTACCATTCACACAGGTGTCACTTTGAATTTGTTAACTGTTGTGGCGGGATTGCAATATTGTTTGGCAGGATTGCTCTTTTATCCAAATACAGGAGTTGTTGGGTTGTCAGGCATTGCTTTTCTGTTCATGAGTTATATGGCCTATCAGGAATCTAAGTTTAAACCTATTTTCTATACCTGGCATTTCAACAATATGGAGCTCAAAATTTACACCATTTACTTGCCATTTTTCATTGCTCTCTTCTTCATGGTGTTGTTTCCAAGCAGTTCTTTTCCTGGACATGTTACAGGAATTTTGACTGGTTACTTACTAGCCTTGGGATATTTGAATAAATTGTACCCACCTTCACACATTTTGGTATCTATTGAGAAGAAGGTGAGCTCCTTGATCAACCTTTTGGGTAAGATAGTCACATTTTACAAAGAAGATGAGTGTTTGATTTTAAGAAACAACAATGAGTATACTCCTATGTTGAATCAAGGCGCTGACATAGAACAAGGTATGAGTAACAATAGTGGTTCTTCCAATAGTGCTACTTTCCAATCTGAGACTCGTGTTTTAGGTACCAGAGATTCAACAGCATAAGTATGTGAGTATTTAATACAACAATATCACTCTTCATACTCCAAATATTGCGAAATTGTCTATAGTTACTACCAAGTGAAAGCTACTTTGCCAGTCTCACTACTGGTGATTGTTTGATTATACTTTTTTTTTCCGTTCTTTATTTTCCTCGTGCAAATTTCTCCACCTTTTTCTTTTTCCTTTTTTTTTTTTTTCTTCTCAGTAATTTTGTATTCTCTTTCTCTTAATTAAAACCAGGCAACCAGAGTGAGTGAAAACAACAACATCAAAAGAAAAAAATGCCAGTTTCAACCGAAATTCACCAATAGTACTCCCATTACTTGAAAGTCGTACTTGAGTTATTATTACATTTTTCATATACTATACATGGTGTTGTAATATCTATATTGCTTAGAAAATTATAAATAACCATGGCTAATGAGAACAACTCACATGATTTTACCGGCAGAAAAAGGAATAGGAAAAATTACAACAAACGAAAACACAAGCACCAAAACCATGAACTAACTCAGACGGGACCTCCAAAACAGCAGCAAAATAGTTATGAATCACAACACTCCTCATCGTATATTCCCAGCCAGCCACCACCAGTCACATTATTAAGAGACCAACGACAAAAAGGAGACAATGACCAGACATTAAGTCGTGGGGACCGCACTACTACTCCACCCCCACAATCGTTACAACATGAACATGTACACAGCACTAATCCTTATAAATCCCCACGAAAAGAAGCCATATCTAGATACAAGCAAGATCAGTCGAACTCTTCCAATCAACTATATGATTTGAAGGACAACTTGAAATCAAATGATGATGGTCCGCGTCGTGGCCAACTACCCGATCTCGAGAATAGTGATATCCCGAGTCTACCTCAAAGTCTAGACGACAAGATAAATTTGTTTCGATATAAGTCTGTGGAAATCTTGGAAATTGCGAATCAGAATAATATCAATGGCTCATTGTTGGCACACGGGGTATTCGAAGTCTTCCAACTACATCGCGGTGATGTTACTTTCTTGTCCTGTGGAAGTACATTTGTTTACCCATTACTTTCGAAAACTAAAATATTGAGAATCAATTCCAACCAATTCATGCTACCGTTAACTAAACCTGAAAGGTATTGGAAGATCTCACTTCATTGTGATGATTTTGAAGTGATTAACAGTCTTGTAAATGTGCTTCAAAAGAATGTACAATTTATCAGCTTGTATGAGCAAGAAGAGCTGAAAGAGGAACTCAACATAGATAGCGTACCTAAGGAATTACAGTCTCCACGGAATCAGTACATTTTAAATGACATTCCAGACTCTCCACCTTCACCACCTATTTCACCGCTGACGTACTTGCACTCTCCTGTTCAGTTTGCGTCCGCGATTCAACAGCCACCCCAATCATCCATTCTGCAGATGCATGTTCCAAAAAAGGAATCCATTGAAACTTTAAACAGTAATATTGCCAGTCTTGACATAAATCTGAAATTGTTGTTGCATCAACCGATACCCGGTAGACTGAATGTCGCTTATTCCAAGAATCATCATTTTGTGAATTATAGTTCAAATAAGTATACCACTATCGACGAAAAATCAGAATCATCAATGGATTCACTATTGGATGAATATGAGCAGAACCTTAATAAATCAACAGTCATTAATCTGAGGCCCCCAACAAGACAACCATCTATCGCTTCCACGCAACATATCCAAGGTTTTGCTCACAAGAATGATAATGTATTGGCACAATATTATCCAATTGAAAATAAAGTACATAACTATCTGCGAAGTAGAAGGTCTTCAAGAAGCGAGTTGTACACCAGTGAGAGTGGGTGGATGGAACCAAACTTGAACCACCTGAATCAGAATGGTACAAGTAACAGTAATAATGTGGGTGTTAATTCTAGCACCATGAATGGAAGAAAAATACCAAAGTCAAGATCAACATACAGTATAAACAGCGTCACTACAGACTTGCATAGTATCTACAGGAACATCCAGCTTCGAAACGGTAACAATGCACGCGGAGAGGAGGATTCCAAATCTATAAAATCAATGTCAAGATTACCATCGACGATAAAATCATCCATGCCTCGATCTGAATTAAATAAGCGAAGACAAAGCGTTTACGGTGTTGGTGGGGTTGATCGCAAAAATGACGTTAAATTGGATTCTCGGGAAATTTATAAAATGCTAAGCACTAAACCTGACAAGCCGATTTTAAGACAGCCAAGTACTGGGTCTATGACGACTCCAGCTACCAAGAGCACTAGCTTTACTTCAAGATTATTTGGCTGGTGATGATACTCCGATCTATTTTTATTGTTCCTTTTTTTATTATTATTATTATTTGGTAGTAGCCTTCTCCTTTTATTGTTTAATAATTTATATTTATATTTATATATATACAAAGATGGTAAAATAAATCAGAACGATAATGATGGAAAATTGTGCTTAATACTCTCCTTTGCACCCCCCTTTCTCTTTTTACTTTTATTTGGTTTCTCTTATACACACTCTTTCTTTATCATGATTTGTTGTTATTTACATTTGAGCGGCAGAAGCACCTGGGATTGGGTTACCATTGGCGTCAACTAAACCTTGTTGCATCAACATTAATTGTTCGTTACCAGCAGCTTCAAATTGTAAACCTAAACCTAAACGAGATGAGTTCTTGAATTGGTCGATTTCCCCAGAAAATAAGACAGAAACAGTTGGTAAAATTCTCTTTTCCAAGAAAGCACTAATCTTACCCTTTGAATCCAATTGACCTCTGAAAACAGCAGTTCTGTATTCGTATTTAGCACCAATGGTGGTTTGACCTTCAATGACTGGTTCAAAACCAATACCCATCAATGGATCAGCAACTTGCTTCATGGTAGCAGCAACTTGAGTTTCTAAACCGGCTTCAACTTTGTCAGTAACCTTTCTCCAGAAACTGGCAATCAAAGCACCTTGGGCTTGAAGTTGAGCAGAAGCAATCCAGTTACCAGCGTTATAACGGGCGACATAAGAAACAGCAGTGTCTGGTGGAGATAATGGTTGCTTAGAGTACATGGTTTCCAAACCAACAGCTAATTTAGTGCTCAAGGATTGCAAAATTGAACCAACAACAACACCACTAAACTCGTTACCAGACAAGAAATTTGGATTTAAGGTCTTTAAGTTAATGGAGAAATCGTTAGCTTGGTAATCTTGTTCTAATTGAATCATAGATGGTTGTCCGTGAGCTAATTGCAAAGTGATCTTAGAAATGTTTGATTTGTCCCAACCATAGTTGATTCTTCCAGAGAAGGAAAAATCGTTGTCAATATTTCCTTGCAAAAAGTAATCATCAGTAGCGTATAAAGCACTAAAGGCGTATGCTGGCAAAACATTTGAGCCAATACTCAAGGTGTGAGAAGTTTGGAAAGCTGGCATCATGGAGAATGCTTTGTTCAAATCAGCTCTTAAACCAGTAAAAAAGTATTGATTCAAGAAAACATCACGAGAAACTTCTTTATTCAAGTTTTCGATTGTACCTGGGTTGGTTAAGCCTAAGGACTTACGGTGTTCGCCGATGGTAATATAAACATCATTGATGTAACTGAAAACTGGGTTTGAGGACCAAAATCCATTTTGCTTTGGTGGTTCTGGGGTAACTTGTGGCAAAGTTGGAATGCTTAATTTAGCAATATCTGCTGAACCTAATGGCGGAGTGACGGATTGAGACATCTTTTCTCTATGTGATTTAATGGAATCTATGTTGCTGGAATGCAAGGAAAATGTTGGTTAACGAGAGAAGAGAGTCCTCTTAGTCAACGAAAATATTTTTCCTTCTGTTGAAAAATTTTAAGACGTAAAAACAAAAAATTGGCAATGGTGCACTACTTTTCTGCAATTCATTCAGAACTTCATTTGCTCTGATTGAACAATTTCTTTGCCTTGAACTATTCTTAATAGTTAATGGAAAAATTGTCCATCAACAATTAACTCGTGTGCGTTGTAATTAGTTGAATATTAGTTTGGCTAAAGCGAAGTGTCAGCTGTTTAGAGCAATACCCTACACAAGCTATTGTCATTTAGTTTGTGAATCATTAGTTTAGCTTATTTTCTGTTCATTCGCGGCAAATCATGAAGAGCAAAAAAAACACACCAATCAAAGACGATATTCACGACAGGAGTTGGTAGCCAATAACAGAACCTAACAACATCAAAGAACTGTCTATCATGGATGGTATGTATGCCGATGCACAATACTAGAGATTGATAAAAAAATTGAACCTGGCCTAACTTGAACTTCTAAGATTTCTTTCTGCGAATAATATCTTGTGATTCCAAATCTACCCTACGAAGCATACAATCCGAACTTAAAACATTAGAAGAATCTATGGAAACGTCTGATCTACCATTGTATAAACAAAAGGTGGACAGAGATAGGATCAATGTACTTAATAATCTTTTACAGTCAAAGTCTAATCAACTTAGCAAGAGAATGTTTTCATTCGAGGGAAACCCGGTCCCTATTAATGGTAACGCAAAAATTGACACAGCATATCTGCAGCCAGTTTTATCGACCAAAAACACAATTGAAGATATCAAGAATGTGGTTTATACGATCAATACGTCTGGACATACGTTAATCGATACGATCAATCACTCATATGTCAGCACAGAAAATATTCCTTCTTCATTGCACTTGAAAAATGGGAACAATTCTATATTCAATTTAGTTGTTCATGGTCCCATATTTATTCACGACATCGACAAATGTATACTAGTTTTAGAGGGACATCAAGTGAGACTACACAATGTTCGCAACACCTTGGTCTTGGTAAAATCTGTGGAGAATAATAGAATTGTTATTGAAAATTGTGACCAATTAATCATTAATCAGGGGATTGAAGTTGATGACTTTGATTTTCCTACAAAGGAATTAAAAAACCCACATTTCCAATATGTTGACAATATAGATATGGATATGGTATTAAACACTATCAGTAGTATCGATGACTTGTCGGTGATTGATGATTTGTTTATAAAAGTTGCTGATCGGGGTTTAGTTAGACGTTAGAACAGTTCATTAATGGCTCAAATGCATGATCCTTTGAATGTATGTTGACGTCTAGAAGAAGGATTTGGATCTTTATTGAGAAAGCCGTGTTCTTTGCAGCAGTCCAGGTCTAAATCTAAGTTTAACCCGCAAGTCGTTTCCCTTTTAGGAAGGTACCGACGGTTCACAGACTAAGATTTTCCCCCCGCATCAACTAATGGTGCGAGTTCTTCCGAAAGAACGAAGATTCTCACAAACCGTTATTCTGTCAAGCCGACGGTAGAAATTTGCACCACTCATCGGATAGGTGGGTGACTATTGGATTTGTTACTATGAAGTATAATATGATCCGAAAAGTGGGGGGCATAAGATCCTGTTTTAAGCCATGAGAATACAGCTAATATACAATATAAATAGTATTGTATTCGACTTTGTCTCGGGTCATTTATTCATTTTACTTTACTATCAGTGACAATCACTTTAAAGTACTATGACTACTTTACCTTCGATATCTGAAACCGACATTGTTTATGCTACAGATGATAAACCATATGTTTTTGAAAACCCAAATGACTTACCTGTTGAGACACTTGTGAACCACATTTTACCATTTCCACAGGAAGTTGCTGGTGAATCTATCAAAATTCCTGGTACTGCTGTTGAAGGATTTTCCGAAATTTACAGGAATGCCGCTACTCCCAATGGTATTAAAGCAAGTCTTATCAAGGGATTAGATACATATCATGACATCTTTGAAAGATCCGCTGATTGCTATGCCGATGAACCATGTCTTGCATTCCATGAATATGATTATGAGAACTCACAGCATTTGGAAAGATATGCTACAATTTCTTACAAGGAAGTCCGTCAAAGAAAAGACGATTTTGCAGCTGGTTTGTTCTTCCTTTTAAAATCTAATCCATTCAAGAACAACTCATTAGAGTCACATCAGAAAATAGATAACCATGAAGCAAATTACAAACTGTACAACAGTGATGACATGTCTTTTATTGCGACATTCTACGCGGGAAACAGGGTTGAGTGGATCTTGTCTGATTTGGCATGCTCATCAAACTCCATCACATCAACTGCATTGTATGATACTTTAGGTCCTGGAACGTCAAAGTATATTTTGGAAGCAACCCAATCCCCAGTGATCATCACTTCAAAGGATCACATTAAGGGTTTGATTGAATTGAAAAGAAAATATCCTGAAGCATTGGAATCCATTATCTTAATTATCTCCATGGATCCATTAACAAAGTCCGACGTTGGTTTGGTTCAATTAGCAGAGAATTCCAATATAAAGTTGTATGATTTTTCACAAGTGGAAAGAGCAGGTGCCATTTTCCCTCATGAAACAAATCCACCAAACAGGGAAACTGTATTCACAATTACTTTCACTTCAGGTACCACAGGTGCTAATCCTAAGGGAGTTGTTCTATCACAAGGAAGTGCTGCTTCGGCCCTGTTTGTGTATAGTCTCTTGATGCCACACCGTCGTGGTGCCAGAGATTTTGCTTTTTTGCCTTTGGCTCACATATTTCAGCGACAAATGGTAGCTTCGACCTTATTTTTTGGTGGATCTTCGGCATTTCCAAGATTAGGAGGTACACCATTGACCTTGGTGGAAGACTTGAAATTGTGGAAGCCAAACTTTATGGCTAATGTTCCTCGTATATTCACCAAGATTGAAGCAGGAATTAAAGCATCCACCATTGATTCAACTTCGGGGCTTACGAGATCATTATATGGACGAGCAATTGAAGCCAAACGTGTCAAACAGATCAAGAATGATGATAGTGGAGATCATTTCATATATGATAAATTGTTGATCCAAAAATTGAGAAATGCCATTGGTTACGACAAATTGGAATTCTTGCTCACTGGAAGTGCACCTATTTCTCCTGAAACAATCAAGTTTTTGAAATCTAGTTTAGGAATTGGGTTTGGTCAAGGATATGGTAGTAGTGAATCATTTGGTGGAATTTTGTTTGCTTTGCCATTCAAGAACTCGAGTCTTGGAACCTGTGGTGTCATTGCTCCAACCATGGAAGCCAGATTACGTGAATTACCAGACATGGGATATATGTTGGATGATGCGAATGGACCAAGAGGTGAACTTCAAATTCGTGGTGCCCAATTATTTGCAAAGTATTTCAAGAATGATGAAGAGACTGCCAAGTCAATTGATGAAGATGGTTGGTTCAGTACTGGAGATGTAGCTGAGATTGGTGCAAAAGATGGTTATTTCAGAATCATTGATAGAGTCAAAAACTTTTACAAGTTAGCACAAGGAGAATATGTTTCACCAGAGAAAATTGAGAACTTATATTTGTCGTTGAATTCGACTATTCTGCAACTTTTTATTCACGGCGACTCCACTAAATCATATTTAGTTGGGGTGGTTGGTTTGCAACCTGATGTTGCCAGTAAGTATGTTGATCTTTCGTCGGGTGATAAGGTGGTCCAAGAACTAAACAAACCAGAGTTGAGGAAACAAATATTGTTGGATTTGAATGGAAAGGTGAATGGAAAACTACAAGGTTTTGAGAAATTGCACAACATTTTCATTGATATTGAACCATTGACTCTTGAAAGAAATGTTGTTACACCAACTATGAAGCTTAAGAGACATTTTGCTGCTAAATTTTTCAGGGCTCAAATTGATTCAATGTATGAAGAGGGATCCATTATTGCTGATTACAAGTTATGATATTCATTTTCTAATTTCTGTGTGTCTACATTCTAGTATAATACAAGTTCTAAAGTCAATTAATTAATACGAAATCCAAGTCATCTCTTTAACTATTAGATTGTGGTACCAAAGCACAAGTATTTAATTTGTTAAACAGCAGAATGTATTCACGGACTATAAACTTCTTCATCAAATCTGGCTTGTCTTCACAAAAAACACTGGGGGTCAAATCTCAATTTGTACTAGTAGTTCAATGTGGCTAGAACTGGTCACTACATAGACTCTTTTGTGGTCATTATTTGCGCTCCCTTTCAAGCAAGGGTCTATTCAACTTCAGAGGGTTCAAAATCGTTCTCCGTTCCATCTTGGTTACTGACCGTATTTCAGTTACGGTTTGCCCATTGAGTCACGTGTTGCTTGGTTTTGTGTCATTTCTAACTAAGCTTTTCTTTTGGTATGCCCCATACATTATTCTTTGGTATGCCAACGTCTTGTTTGGTATGCTTCTTGGGGAGCTTTATGTTATGCTCGGGTGGAGTTTTATGTTATGCTCGGCTAAGTATTATCCTGTTATGCTCGGCCGAAATCAGTTTGTTATGCTCGGGTGAATATATTTTTGGTATACTCGGGTAAAACTAATTTAAAATGCTCGGGTGAATATAATTTTGGTATGCTTGGTGGTCCCTATTTGATATGCTCAGTGGACCCTATTTGTTATGCTCCGGTGAGTTTATATTGTTATGCTCGGCCGAAACTAATTTGATATGCCTCTTGGAACGTTGTTTGTTATGCTCTGCTGAATTTTATTTGTTATGCCTCTTCCAACGTTTTATGGTATGCTCGGTGAACCCTGTATGTTATGCTGGGCTGGGTCATATATGATATGCCCGGTGATTGTATCTAGAGTTTTGTGATTCACCGACCCTGAATGCGTCATCTTGTTGCAAGCTTTCCTAAAGTTCAATAATCAAGGGACTTGGGGTATGACCGGAACTATGTGTTGAAGGTCGGAAGTGCTTCGCATGAGGAGGAAGCCAATGTTTGGCAGACGTGTCCAGGTGATAGCCTGGTAGTTGCCAAATCATTGTAGGAGTACCGCTCCTCAATCTGACTGACCTGGCAGTCATATTTGTAGGATAAGATCATGAATTCAAGGTGTCCATTTCCCGTTAATTATCAATGTGTTACAGATTTATCCACAACTTAAATTGATGGTTATCTAGGTAATAGATTGGCCATAGTCAACAGGTAGACTAATAGATAGGATATCAGGATTAAAACGTGAAATAAAGACAAATATTCCACACATTTAACATAGCAGTGTTGTACTTTATTAGCTATATTTCAAGACTCACAACCTATAATACTAATGGAGTTGTCAGAACATGTGATAGCAACAGTTCTAGCAGCTACACATGCGGTATCAACGGCTCTGTGGTTAGTAGTAGACATAATAATTACCAAATCTATTTCTGTATAAGTTTACATGCAATACCATATGATGAAGCAGACGTATATACAGCTATCCATTATGTGATCCTAGTATATCGGCTGCCCTTTTGATAACACACGTTCTGCTATTCTACCAACACACATGCAACGTACAATGCCAGTGTTTCTTCATACATTATATCAAACTTTAATTCACTATATTGGTGGTAATGGCACAACTAACGTTCTTAAGAGCATCATACACCAAAATAGATCACTATCAGTGTCATCTCATGGTCTTTGCAAGTAACTTGGGTATTGTCATTGTTGGTGTCTATTCGACTATGAAATGTCGTTTGCACCCTTTGTCGCAAGTTGAATGCTGCGTGTCGCATCTACCGTGTCGCATAAATCATGTCGGATGTACCATGTCGCGTATCTCGTGTCTCATACACCATGTCGCATCAACCATGTCGCATCAACCATGTCGCTGTTACCTACGACATGTGTACCCATGCGACACATATGACAGGCGACATTTTAAGGTTTATCCGACATCAGACATTTTTGACAGAAAAAAGTTTGACACTCCAATAATGTCGGAGCATACATTTTAGCTACCACGCGACATTGTGGAAAAGGAAAAGGAAAAGTAAAAGCGGAGATATCATAATGTCGCACGACAGTCGCTCTTTTTCCGTGTCGCAAAATTCTACAACTAATTGTACGTGTGGAAACTATTGCCAAACACAGCAAAGACATTTGTATAGGCATATGGAGACTGAATAAGACTTAGAATGCAGTTTTTAAAATATGAGAGGTATTACGTAGGATACCGGAACACTGCTGACCCGGAAGTGGGAAATTATCGGGTCATATTGTTGGAAAGGGTCTTACATATAGATCACAAAGCCTGGTTTCCCCTTCAAGATGCAGCATATTATTAAAGAAGAATAACATAAAAGCGCTCAACTAATGGGATAACAAAAAAAGAGTGGAGGCAGCTGCATAACAAAATGATCTTTGTGTTCTATCATATCAAACTCCTGGCATAGCAAAGTTATTTTTGTTATGCTGATTATTTCGATATGCTAGCTATTTTGATATGCTGATTATTTGATATGTTGACTAGTTTGATATGCTGACTAGTTTGATATGGAACTTTTATGTTATGTCATTAGTTTGTTATACTAACTATTTGATATGCTGATTATTTGATATGTTGACTAGTTTGATATGCTGATTATTTTGATACACTGACTATTTCGATATGCTAGCTATTTTGATATGTTGTTAATTTGTTATGTCGTTTATTTGTTATTCTCGTATTTTGATATGCTGATTTATTGTTATGATGATTTATTGTTATGTCAATTATTTGATATGGCATTTATTTGATATGGCACTTATTTGATATGGCATTTATTTGATATGGCACTTATTTGTTATGATATATATTTGATATGTGTTTTATTTGTTATGCTCGATATTTGTTATGCTTGTTGTTCATTTTTTTTGTTACACTGCGAAACACTTTGATATGCACTAGTAAATTTATTTGTTATCCAACTAGTTGACGTGTTTTGTGGTATGTTGGTTCTATTTATGGTATGATCGTATCTCACACTGTTTCTATACTCTATTCCTCACATCAGTTCGTGTTATATGAACGTAATTTACATGTACACTAACTTGAAATCCAAACTGATGGGAAATTTTGATGGTGTTTTGCTGCAAATTTATACAGAAAATGCACAACAAATAGAACACACACATATCTAGTAACTACAATGTAACACGTAGCAAAATTAACTCACACTAAGCTCAGCGTATACGTTTCCATTATCATTTCACGTTGTTTCCAGGCATCTGTGATCCTGTACTGTTTGCCGTAGACAACTCGGTGGCGCTACCAAAACACAAATCCACCACTTTGCACGACCACCGCGGAATTTCCTTTAAATGAACTAATTACAGATTAGCACCTGGTAACAGTTGTTGGTGGACAAAAGCAGACACAATGGACGTGTGTGTCTCTATTATGGTGTTGTAAGATGTTGTGTGTTGTCTAGTTGGAGTACTCACATGTGTGTTAGTGTCAATTGCAACACACAAGATCCTCTTAGTGGAGACCAACAATAGCAAATGCCAGCTCAGCAATTCAAAGTAGCTATTTATACTGCATCATTTTCCTTCACCAATCTCTTGTTTGAAATCAAATTCTGGGTACTTTCATGTGGTAGTTTCCTATACTTTGTCGGGTAATTTGCTCCTGTATTTTCGGCTGTTGCAAAAGTTTTTTCTAAGGGCGTTGGATTGAAACACAGACACAGATGCAGGTATCAAACACAAAAAGGGGGTGAACTGACCATACATATTGGTGTTTTCTGAACACGTTAATAATGGAATTGAACACGATAGGATGGTTTTCAATGACGTCTGGATGGTTTTAATGGTAACTTTTCTCATAATTTCACGCCGATTTGGGTAGTTTGGAATGGTGATTCTGGTGACTCCTTTTTGTAATCTCAGTGGTGGTTGTAAATAATTCAGAAAAAAATACAGCTGGATCCAATTCATTTCCCGACTTCATTGTAACAATAGTTTGATTGTGTATTGCAAACGTTGATTCATAGTTATGTAGTTATGTAGATGCCCATTTGTTTGGGCTATTTTACAGAGTATGATAAATGATTTGATGAAGTTATTTGTAGGCAATAAATAAAAGTTTAAAAGAAAATTCGACTTACACAAGCGCCTCATGGGTGGCAAGTACAGCGAAAAAATATCACTCCAGCAAGAAAATCTCAGGATACCACCGTCCTACTATTAGTTACTCTGCTAAAATATATGCGTCTCGCGTTGCAAAAGTGCGACTCAGAATCACAAACAGAACAAAATGAATGACCTTATTCATCTTTCTCGGCATGCTTTGGGCAAGCTTCGCGCGCATTTTTCTTCAATCTAATGGCCGAATTTCTATCAGTTTGAGTACACTTTCTGCTAAAGTTCTGAGGACCTAGACACCTGTTACCAGCACAATACGTACGCCCATTTTCTTCAACTTAGAGTACTAATCAGTATCATTGTATTTTTTATTGAACAAGTATTTTAGACAAATATTGACCAGTGGCGAATGTCAATCAAGGTGGTAATCATGAACTTCAGTTGAACAGCAGATTGCAATATCGCTGACATATTCTATGATGATTGAGCATTATTTAGGATCTTAATTAGCTTGACTACTAAGCACGAGAGCGACCAGATCTAATGGAATTAGTAATTGAGTCCTGAGTGAATTAGTGTCAATCTCTACTGCTTAACCGACAAAAATCCAACTCATTACTTCCGTTAGTTTGCTCGTATTTGTAGCTTCAGCTTCTAAATAGTGAGACAAGCACTACTGAATCGAGTCGAATTCCAGTGAAGCATCTCAACAAGGTGGGGTTAATTATAACTAGTGGATGTACACTATTACGGTTACTACTGTTGGCACCGATTCAGGGCTTTAAAAGAATGGTTTCTAGGCGTTTAGCTGTTCTATTCTTTGCTCTTCCCAACTTAGTATTCTACAACTATGTACCCTCCCTAAAGTTTACTGCGTCATAAAAATATCTAAGATCGTCTACCATTGCTAATAGGAGTATACTGAAATTATCCAGTATATTGACTATGACTTCAATCATTTGTGTATCAATGGCTAAGTCCTTAACAAGAATTTCTACCAGATCCACTGTAAACATAATCTGATTAAGAATTAGTAGAGGCGATTAATGTAGAAAAGCACTTAGCAAACGTTTGAATTGGAAGAGTTGGCCTCAGTGGCCTACACCTGTAATCATCAGGTTAAATTTTTAAACAAAGAATCTGCTAATTAAGCCAGTCATTAATGTGCCAGAAATCATTCTATTTTAGGGAGGAAATCGTTCCTTGTAGTAATTATACTTACTCTATTGACATCTTTGTCAACTAAGGTATTGTGGTTTCAAATTGTTGCCACTGATATTACCAGGTACAAGTATAGCATTAGCTACAGCTTTCAGAGTACGAAGTGAGAATTGTTGACAGCGTAGTATACCCAACATGACGAAGTTGGGCTAGAAATAGCTCTGGCAATGTAGAGTTCTACAGGAATTGCAGGCCGCTAGTACTATCTAGTTATGATTGTGAAGGTTGCCATTCCGAAGAAATGAGGTAACCGGATGTGACCAACACCTGAAATGGATATGTAGATTTGTAGAGAATTGTGCATAATCATTAGTGTTAGATAATATTCAGCAAGATATATTTCATTGGCGTTGGAGTATTATTATTCCCAGGAGTCAATTGCGAAGACACCTAAAATATTATCTGGTAGGTACAAATTTACTTATACTTTTGCCTACACTTCATGGCTATGTTGCTATAGAACTGTACCCAAAGTTGCCCTAAACCCATTCAGTATGTAGTTAATATTGAATTCTATTACCGCGTTAACGTTCTAACTTTACTCAGCGTATTGCCATTTCTACTTCAGTTCATCCATAGACTGCGCCTACATTAAGATTTAGTGGTGGCTATATTATCTAGAATGTAATCCCAATTGCTGTATTGACTAGCAGTAATGGGTGGACTGGATTCGACTATCCACCCCCGCATCGAACATAGATTCTCACATCGAAATGTGGTAGTAAAATTCTTATGACGGAGAGAAAAGGTCGCACTGGCCACCGTGAAATTTTGTGTCTTACGCCCGAAAGCGTCTCTGAGTTTACAGCAAAGCTGTTTGAAAATGTAGTAGAAGTTTCCAAACTTTTCAACATCAATAAGTTTTCCATTACTGGAAGCATAGTGAGATTTCCCGTTTTTTGAAAGATAGCGAGTTGTCATCTCTTGAATCGTAGTGAATTTTCTACTTTTTGGCAAGATCGTGAAATTTCCCACCAAGCATTCACAACATTATATTCTACAAGAGCATTTATTTGTGACAAAACAAAGTGCAACTTTAACTTCTGTTGTTGCTAATTAATTGAAAACAATATCCAGATTGTATCCTTTATCTTTGCAAAAACTAACTGTTCAGAAGCACAGAAAGGAAATCCATAGATCTACTTCATCTACAATTACCCTAACCAGCTAGATTTGCTGTCAAATTATTAGCAACCACCACTGAGATTACAAAAAGGAGTCACCAGAATCACCATTCCAAACTACCCAAATCGGCGTGAAATTATGAGAAAAGTTACCATTAAAACCATCCAGACGTCATTGAAAACCATCCTATCGTGTTCAATTCCATTATTAACGTGTTCAGAAAACACCAATATGTATGGTCAGTTCACCCCCTTTTTGTGTTTGATACCTGCATCTGTGTCTGTGTTTCAATCCAACGCCCTTAGAAAAAACTTTTGCAACAGCCGAAAATACAGGAGCAAATTACCCGACAAAGTATAGGAAACTACCACATGAAAGTACCCAGAATTTGATTTCAAACAAGAGATTGGTGAAGGAAAATGATGCAGTATAAATAGCTACTTTGAATTGCTGAGCTGGCATTTGCTATTGTTGGTCTCCACTAAGAGGATCTTGTGTGTTGCAATTGACACTAACACACATGTGAGTACTCCAACTAGACAACACACAACATCTTACAACACCATAATAGAGACACACACGTCCATTGTGTCTGCTTTTGTCCACCAACAACTGTTACCAGGTGCTAATCTGTAATTAGTTCATTTAAAGGAAATTCCGCGGTGGTCGTGCAAAGTGGTGGATTTGTGTTTTGGTAGCGCCACCGAGTTGTCTACGGCAAACAGTACAGGATCACAGATGCCTGGAAACAACGTGAAATGATAATGGAAACGTATACGCTGAGCTTAGTGTGAGTTAATTTTGCTACGTGTTACATTGTAGTTACTAGATATGTGTGTGTTCTATTTGTTGTGCATTTTCTGTATAAATTTGCAGCAAAACACCATCAAAATTTCCCATCAGTTTGGATTTCAAGTTAGTGTACATGTAAATTACGTTCATATAACACGAACTGATGTGAGGAATAGAGTATAGAAACAGTGTGAGATACGATCATACCATAAATAGAACCAACATACCACAAAACACGTCAACTAGTTGGATAACAAATAAATTTACTAGTGCATATCAAAGTGTTTCGCAGTGTAACAAAAAAAATGAACAACAAGCATAACAAATATCGAGCATAACAAATAAATGCCATATCAAATAAATCAGCATACCAAATATCGGGCATAACAAACACACAGCATAACAAATATAGAGCATGACAAACAAATGACATATCAAATAAATAGCATAACAAATAAATGTCATATCAAATAATATACATAACAAATAAGACACATATCAAACAAATGACATAACAAAATAGTCAGTATAACAAACTAATGACATAACATAAAAGCTCCATATCAAACTAGTCAACATAACAAATAATCAGCATAACAAACCAATGACATAACAAATAAACAACATATCAAATAATCAGCATATCAAATAAACAACATATCAAATAATCAGCATATCAAATAATCAGCATATCGAAATAGCTAGCATATCGAAATAGCTAGCATATCGAAATAATCAGCATAACAAAAATAACTTTGCTATACCAGGAGTTTGATATGAAAGAACACAAAGGTCTTTTTGTTATGCAGCTGCCTCCACTCTTTTTTTGTTATTCCAGTAGTTCAGCGCTTTTATGATATTCTTCATTAATGATATGCTGTACCTTGAAAAGGAAGCCAGGCTTTGTGATCTACATGTAAGACCCTTTCCAACAATATGACCCGATAATTTCCCACTTCCGGGTCAGCAGTGTTCCAGTATCCTACGTAATACCTCTCATATTTTAAAAACTGCATTCTAAGTCTTATTCAGTCTCCATATGCCTATACAAATGTCTTTGCTGTGTTTGGCAATAGTTTCCACACGTACAATTAGTTGTAGAATTTTGCGACACGGAAAAAGAGCGACTGTCGTGCGACATTATGATATCTCCGCTTTTACTTTTCCTTTTCCTTTTCCACAATGTCGCGTGGTAGCTAAAATGTATGCTCCGACATTATTGGAGTGTCAAACTTTTTTCTGTCAAAAATGTCTGATGTCGGATAAACCTTAAAATGTCGCCTGTCATATGTGTCGCATGGGTACACATGTCGTAGGTAACAGCGACATGGTTGATGCGACATGATAGATGCAACACGAGATACGCGACATGATAGATGCGACACGCAGCATTCAACTTGCGACAAAGGGTGCAAACGACATTTCATAGTCGAATAGACACCAACAATGACAATACCCAAGTTACTTGCAAAGACCATGAGATGACACTGATAGTGATCTATTTTGGTGTATGATGCTCTTAAGAACGTTAGTTGTGCCATTACCACCAATATAGTGAATTAAAGTTTGATATAATGTATGAAGAAACACTGGCATTGTACGTTGCATGTGTGTTGGTAGAATAGCAGAACGTGTGTTATCAAAAGGGCAGCCGATATACTAGGATCACATAATGGATAGCTGTATATACGTCTGCTTCATCATATGGTATTGCATGTAAACTTATACAGAAATAGATTTGGTAATTATTATGTCTACTACTAACCACAGAGCCGTTGATACCGCATGTGTAGCTGCTAGAACTGTTGCTATCACATGTTCTGACAACTCCATTAGTATTATAGGTTGTGAGTCTTGAAATATAGCTAATAAAGTACAACACTGCTATGTTAAATGTGTGGAATATTTGTCTTTATTTCACGTTTTAATCCTGATATCCTATCTATTAGTCTACCTGTTGACTATGGCCAATCTATTACCTAGATAACCATCAATTTAAGTTGTGGATAAATCTGTAACACATTGATAATTAACGGGAAATGGACACCTTGAATTCATGATCTTATCCTACAAATATGACTGCCAGGTCAGTCAGATTGAGGAGCGGTACTCCTACAATGATTTGGCAACTACCAGGCTATCACCTGGACACGTCTGCCAAACATTGGCTTCCTCCTCATGCGAAGCACTTCCGACCTTCAACACATAGTTCCGGTCATACCCCAAGTCCCTTGATTATTGAACTTTAGGAAAGCTTGCAACAAGATGACGCATTCAGGGTCGGTGAATCACAAAACTCTAGATACAATCACCGGGCATATCATATATGACCCAGCCCAGCATAACATACAGGGTTCACTGGGCATACCAAGAAAGAATTGAGTTTAGCATAACAAATTAGTTTCGGCCGAGCATAACAGTATAAACTCACCCGAGCATAACAAATAGGGACCACCAGGCATAACAAATAGGGACCACCAAGCATACCAAAAATATATTCACCCGAGCATATCAAATTAGTTTTACCCGAGTATACCAAAAATATATTCACCCGAGCATAACAAACTGATTTCGGCCGAGCATAACAGGATAATACTTAGCCGAGCATAACATAAAACTCCACCCGAGCATAACATAAAGCTCCCCAAGAAGCATACCAAACAAGACGTTGGCATACCAAAGAATAATGTATGGGGCATACCAAAGAATAATGTATGGGGCATACCAAAAGAAAAGCTTAGTTAGAAATGACACAAAACCAAGCAACACGTGACTCAATGGGCAAACCGTAACTGAAATACGGTCAGTAACCAAGATGGAACGGAGAACGATTTTGAACCCTCTGAAGTTGAATAGACCCTTGCTTGAAAGGGAGCGCAAATAAAGACCACAAAAGAGTCTATGTAGTGACCAGTTCTAGCCACATTGAACTACTAGTACAAATTGAGATTTGACCCCCAGTGTTTTTTGTGAAGACAAGCCAGATTTGATGAGGAAGCTCGAGAGTATGCAAGGAAATGAAGTTTTAGTGCAATATTCTTGATATGAAAAGATATATAAGCTAAATGGCACCAGATTATGTTCAGATTCTATGTATGCATTTGATTTTTAAATAAACAACTTTCTCTCAAAACTCTTCATTTGGATTAGATTGAATGACTTTTAATAGAGATGCGTCTTATACTGAAACACATTAATATTGTATCAAACTATGAATTCACACTTTCGTTAGTTGACCACAAAAATCTTCGGTCATATGCCTGTAGACCATATTTGGTTTTATTACTTTTAGATGGCAGCAACTAACAATATAGCCAAATAGAAGTCTATGAAAAATATTGTTTTTATTAAGAAATCTAGTATACACGATATTATTCTATACTTTTTGTTTTTTGCCAAAGGCTTGACTTCCACTAGATGCCAACTTTCTTTTCTTTCCTTCCTTGCTGAAAAATTCCTTCTTTCTTTCACGTTCTTTCTCTTTTCGAAGCTCTTCAACTTTGGCGATCTTCTTTAACTTCTCTTTAAATTTCTCATCCTTCTTGGCTTTTCTCTTCGAATCCTTTTCTTTCCTGATAGTGTTGATCTTTTGTATCAAGTCTCTAGCTTTCTTTTCTTCACCTCCTAACACAACAGCACGCTTACTCATGTAGGTTTTCTTCTTTTGCGGCTTCATTGCATGTATCTGTGACTTGAATGGTAATTCAGCTTGAATTGATTTAGGTACTTTCAATGGATTAAACCTTCTTTCGGCTCTTTCTATCTTCTTGTATTGAGAATCATTATTCAATGGGGTAGGAATATTTGCTTCAGCCCTAACTTGTCCAGTAAGTCTCATACCTTTCCATTCAGATTGTCTTTCAATTAACAACGAGGTCACAGGATTATAGAACTTCTTGACTTTCACTGGATACCAGGTTTTTAAGAAGATAGTATCTGACATTAATATTTTATCTTCAAAGGTAGCTCTGAAATAACCATCAGGTTTTGACAATGCACGCTTAATTTCACCCCTGATACCTGACACTGTTCGGATCTGAGCACCTTCGAATTTAGCAACCTCCAATGAATTTGAAAACATATCTTTGATAAAAGCAGTGTTTCGGAAAATCTTGTAAGGATACCCAACCAATTTCAACTTTTTGACTATTTCAGTGCTGGCATTCAAATCCTCAATAATACCTGTAGCTGCAACTCTAAAAGCTCCTGTTGTAGAACCATTGTCAACAAGGTTAAATCCAACGAATGTTGTGTTAGGAGCAACCAATGGCCCATAGAATGAAGCAAAACAATAAGCATGTTCAGGAGTATACTTCAACATTCTGTTTCTAGTTCTAGAATCACTAGTTGTATATATTGGCAATGTTTGGAAACGACGCCATCCCAATGATAGAATCAATGGATCTTGTGATTTTAAGATTTTCTTGTGCCATCTGTGTCGTCTTATTCTGGCATTCATGATTCCAAATCTGGATTCTGTGTTGAGCAAACCACCCAAAATAAGTGGATACAGTGGATCGAAGTTGTCAATAAATTCACATGGCATATTCTCAAATACTATCTTTACATATGAACCAGCACGATAACCTTCAATTTTGATACGCAAATCTGGAGTCATTTCCTCATATTCTGCACGGTTGATTTCCAATTGCTTGGCCATTTTATTTTTCTGAAATTCGTACCAAGTTTCTGCCTCTTCTTCAGGATCATCTGCTCCGAATTCTCGGTCTTCTTCCTCTTCAAATTGTAATTGTAATTTTGCTTTCTTGGCGGCATTCAACTGTCTTTTCTCTTCAGTAGTCATAGACTCTTCGTTTGGATCTTCAACACCATTGTCTTTCTGCTCTTCCGCTTCAAAGTCAGCAAAATCATCTTCATCCTCAGAATCGGATTTGGTTTGTGGTTTTTCACTCTCTTCGTCACCATCATTATCACCGGCTTCCAAATCTTCAAAATCACCGTACAATTCTTCGTCATCGTCATCTCCGTTATTGCCACCGTTGTTTTCATCTCCCTCCACATCATTCAGAGAGTTCAAATCTGGTGCAGTCAACAAACGAGCCTTTAAAAGTTTATACCCATTTTCATATTCATCATCACTTGAACTATCATTATTCTTATCGAATTTAGCCTTCAAGACTTCAAGCGAAGGGAAACTAGGCTTGGAAAGATCCAAATCTTCGTGGTAATTAAGAGTCTTCTTTTTAGTGAAGAAAGTGTCATCTTCGTCGTCAACTTTTCGAATATCTTCCTCTTCCTCATCATCAGTTTCTTCATTTCTCCACTTCTTTAAAACATCTAATGGATCTAAAGTATTCAAATATAACAACTTGTTAATATTCCATCTTCTTTGCACCGACCCTTTTAATTTGGTAGCTGCAGACTTATAGTAATCTTCGTCCGATGATAAACTGGAGTCTTCTTCATATTCTAATTCATTCTCACGATATTTGTTATTGGCTCCAAAATCTACCTCGACAGTTCGTGGAACACGCAGGTTAGCATCATCGTCATCACTTGATAAATCATCATTATCTTCGTCCCCTGAAACAACACCATCGAATTCATCATCTTCAGCAATAGACTTTCCATAAACTCTAGCTTTTCTCAAAGTGGAACGACCTGTGTCAACAACCTCTTCGTTGTCATCTTCATCGTCCTCCTCATCATCATCAGATTCATATTCTTCCACCTCATTTAATACTTTAGAATTGGAGAACAATTGTAATCCTGAATCCTCTTCTAATCTTTCAGCCATAGTTTTAGTAACTTCCTGCAAGTCAGTGACAAGTTTTTCACCTTCACCTTGAATCTCATTTGAATCTCCTGAATTCTTAAAACTCTCTTTACCGATGTCAATATACACGGCATCCTTATCGACCAAAACACCTCCAACATTTGACATTGGTGCATAAATAATCTTTTGCTTGTCTTCCAATCTCTTTCTACGTCTAGTAGTTTTGGCAACTTCACTTCCTGACTCACTCGCATTTTTCAACTTTTCTCTTTCAATTTCTTCTAAACGTTGCTCAAAGTATGGTGTTGGACAAGGATCAGGTAATTTTTCAACAGAACTAGCATAATAATCACCAACACCGGCTATATGTACGTGAGCATTTTCTGATGGTAATGGTGTACCATGAAGATAACCATATACTGCTACCTTACGGTCACATTTAGGATTTTCTGCAATTAATTGAGGATGAGTCAAGTCAGTAATTCTATCACCCAATAAGTATGGATGTTCATTTCTCCATTTCAAAGGTCTGAATTTCATCACAGAAATGAATCTCGACAAGTTTAAAATCTCTCTATCCGGATAACGACCATTGATGACCCCTGATAAGTAAAACAATTTAGCCCCCTGGTAAACTTCTGTCCAAAATCTATGCTTTAACCTTTTCTTACTAGTTCTTAAAGTCAGTTGTGATTTGAACAAATCCAAATGTGTAGCAACACCCAATACTCTTGGCATACCGTGGTGTTGAGCAATATTCAAGAATTCCATAGTTTCCATCTCCAAACCATAATTACCGTCGATTAACAACAAAACCAAATCTGCCACCTTGGCAATATCAATCATGGAGTTCAAGTCGTTGTTAACTTCAATAAAAGTTAATCTTCTCCTCTTACCACTGACTACAGTGACTGGTCCATTGATTTCCGATAATGTGGTTTTAGTTAATCTTCGAATCAATGACTTGATCAAAGTAGATTTACCTGTACCAGGAGGCCCAACCACCGCAACAATAATAGGTGGTGGGTCATCGTCAGGTGTTCTATCGACCATCGGAACATGCAATTTCTTTTCATTCACATCGTGAGATCGTCTTGCCATACGTTCCAATTTTCTTGGAGCAGAAACAGCAAACGCCTTCTTGTTCTGTCCATCATTATGCAACTTTTTCTTTGCTCCAACCTTCTTTGATCCACCTCTATGAGCTTTGTTACTTTGCTGTTGTTGATCCATCGTGTAGTTGACAATGCAAGAAGTGGTACTGAAGTAGATGGTTTCTGATACAAGTTTCTTCCCTTACTTTACTTTTCTTAGTTTTTCTTATTTTTTTTTTCCTACTTTTTTCCCTCGTTACCTCATCTCAACTTTCGCTATGAATTCACAAAACAAAATGAAAAAAAAAAAACATAGGAGTCACGTGCAGATGTGCGAAATATCAACAAGACAATTCGCAACCTTTTCTTTATTTTTCGTGTTTCTCCAGTCATTTGATATGTTCAAAGAGACCTATAGCTTGATACCTTTCAAATGATACTAATATTCCTCCTACTATGTATGATGTCATCTATTTTTTCCAAATTACTATACAACCAAGACCATAAAATTTGCAATCCCAAGCAACAGACACCATTTTTTCCTTTTACTGGATTCAAGATAACACGGCAATACAAGATATCTGGTTATACATTACCAGTATCAATGCATTTCATTACCATCTCCCACTGTAACCATGGACAGGTAGACTATCAAAAAGTTATAAGAACTGACTCTAGTGGGAATATTGATTGGGATAAACCATTTTGCATGCTCAAACCTAAATTGGGAGAAATGCTTACTCTACCAGCAAGCGATGTTATTGGGGATCCCGAAGAACAAGATAATGACGAGGAGAATGACGAGTTTTTTGTTGGAGTATTTGGATTTATCATGTATAAGGGTAAAAAAATGTCTAGATTGTTCCGGAAGAAACTTGATATTCAACTTGAGAAATTCACGAACGGTAGATGGCTTGAATATACTGGCAAAAACAAGTATTATCATCATAAAGATTTGATGTCAAAGGATCCACAGTCTTCGCTAGAATGGGAGTCTAGGAATTTGGTTTGTTATAAAATGGCAAGACGAAAGAAGTATGCCAAACGCAAGATTGATTTTTTCATGCCCCATACGTTTGTGGGAGGGTTATTTGAATGTATTCTTCCGATGGATCTTAAACGACAGATCTTTCATCAATTCACCTCCCTGGATTTTGTAATTCAACAAATCAGGATTGAATGTGATCCAAATTTATCACGACCCATATCACCTCTCATAGCCGAGGATTCTACCACACAATGGTTTGAAAACAAGTTGCACAACGTTGTGAATCCCGGCATTATTCAAACTATCCCGTATTTAACGACCCTGACTCCTTTGAACTTGAGGTTTTCAACTAGTGAAACCCCTGACATGTTCAGAGACTCGTGGGCAACAAAAATTGAAGTGAATGAAAACTACATATACCGTGAAGCCGATTTACACTTAATAAGTAGGGCAATAGCTTTATCTGCAGACTTGTTGAATAAACTCATTTCTCCAATTGACTTCAATCTGTTGATTAGACTGTACAACAAAGCAAGTGAAAGAGAGAATCCTAATATTGAACACGATGAAGATTTCCTTCAAGGAATTAAGTGGGAACAAAAAGTCAATTTGTGGCTTGCAACCATTGACAGGAAAATTTCAAATAAAATCTTGACTCAGATAGAAGGCTTCTGGAGTAACATTGAAGATTAATTAACCGATTTTCATATATTTATAGTGGATATTTTTACTTAATCTCAGTAACGGGATTTAAACTCTATATGTTTGCTTGACACAATACATGATGAAAAACAGAAATAGATTCCATGGTTGGAAATTCCGTTGCACTCAGATGTCTATGGTGGCTATATATTATCCATTGCTCTCAAAAGCGTCCATCCTGCGACAGAAAAGGAAATCCATATACTTATATTGCTTGTTATTCACTAATAAAACTGCATACCTATGTCCAATCTTTTAATACCTTTTCCCAATCTGCTGAATGATCTTGTGCGGCAATACCCAAATCAGCTAATTCACCATCAACAAGCTTGTCCAGTTTTTGTTTGACGGATGATTTTCTTTGGAAAGAAGTTCTATCATCCTTAACTGGAGCAAATCGGGCATCTGGATTCTTGGATGTCAACGACAATCCGATAAATACTAAAACTAAAATCAATAAAACCAAACTAAATGCTGCATTCAAAATGAAAAACACCCAACCCATGATAGAACCAACAGCAGCTGGTTGGCCAAAAAGATCACTGAAAAACATGAAAAGGAAACTGTTGATACAGTTCACTATCGCAATCAAATAACTAACAATATTGGTAGGCTTGTTTAAGTATGGACCGGTGTAAATCAAGAAAGTCGTATATGCCAAATCGGCCACAAATATTGGAATAACAGAAACTTTACCTCCTATACCATTGTTACCTTGACAAAATGCAATGAATATTCCCTTGAATACATTATATGACGTGAGGACGACACCAAACCAGTATTTGTCCGCGTGGAACATGGTATAACAGAAACCATATCTGTCTAAAATCTTGTTATCACCAAACAACAAAGCAGCAGGATTGTTAAACTTCTTGGCTGATTCTCTACCAATCTTCAAGACATTTATATATGACCATACCAAAACCCCAAGTAATAATATAATAAACAACACAGCCAAAACAACAAGTGCTGGGGAATCAACTTGTGTAAATTCCCATAATGAAAAAATCACCAATTGTGTTGAACCAATGGCGACGTATCTTAATACTGAACCCTTGATGACATTGTGGAAATGGCCACGGAAGACATTGAAGCTTCGAGGATTTATTTTCTTGAAACGTGTCAAAAGTATCACTATTGATTTGATCAATACGAGCAAGACAACCATCAAGTATCCAATTAATGCAAACCAAGTGTACCCAGTTGCAACGATGGATGTTGGTTCGATATGAGAATTGTACCCAATTCTTTTGATCCCTCTCAAAACAATCAAGTTTTGATTCGAACGCAAACTGTAATCTAATGTTCTTTTAGCAAGTCCAGAAATATAGTCCAATGATCTCTTGTGTCTCTGCACCAATATTTGTTTAGTACTAGAAATGAAGTAAGTTGTTGGAGTACCACCTGTCAGCTGAACGTACCATCTGAAAATATCTTGCATAAACTGAATACGAATCAATCCCATTGACCATGCTAAATTTTCGGACCAGGAACTGGCAATTGGAGGAACTCTTTCAACAGCTTGCATGGAAACAACGACGACACTTTGAAAATAAAGGAAAAGTGACATTGAGTTAGCTGAGATGTGAGATGCAGCATTGGAATTACCAAAGGTAGACAACATAGCTGCCACCAACAATCCCAAACCAGCTATACAAGCGGTGGCCCATTTAACCCCCGTTTGACTGATTGTTTTACCGTTGGAGAAGGAGGATTGAATACACGACAATTGTTCCCCAGAGTCTCTATCTTTGACAATAACCTTTACGACGGCGTCAATATCAGGGACCTGGTAGGCAATTCCTGGAATCTGGTTGGTGTACTCAGAACTGATATATTGAATGGATTCAACCTGCATTGTACCAGGGTAAATAGGACAGAATTGTTTCCAACCTAAAGAGCACATATCGACATCCTTCTCAATGATAAGGAAACCATATGCATAAACTTGAATATGACCAATGACATAAGCACTAATGTCTGTAGTTAAATCAAGTGAGTATTTCAATGATCTATCGTCGGGATTGAATGTGACGTTGAAATAACTTGGCGAGATCTGGGAATTATCCATACAAGTGACTAAGGATGTGGCCGAAAGTTTTCTTCTCGCTTCTGCTGTAGTTATCAATCCCGATAATAGAATGGTGAAAAGCGAAAGTAATGTGGCTGGCAACATTGTGAATAGCTAGTGACTGTTATAGTAGTAGTAGTAGTAGTAGTGATGATAATAATAATAATAATACAAGGTCGACGTAGTAAACCAGTCCAATGAAGTTTGTTTATTTATAATAAATAGATTCTGTTTCTTCTGTTTAATTCTGAAGGATCACGATGTGTTCCCTGTAACGTTATTCTGGTACTGGAAATAGTGAGTGTATGGTGATAGTGGTGGCGGTAGTGGTGATGATGGTAATTCTAGCTTAGATCAAGGGTGCTGGGGTTGGAACAACAAAATAATAAAACTACTACTAGCAATAATAATAATAATAAATAATTATAAAGATCGTGAAAATTTGAAATTATTAGAGGAACGAAATTTTTTTTTTTTTTTTTTCCTTTGATTATTTGATTCCTGTTTGACAAATGTGAGATTTTCTATGATGTAGGCAATTCCCCCTACTATAACCATGTGTGTGTATCAGTATGGGTGTATGGGTGCGTACGTGTCCCATTGGCTGAGGGAACAAAAAGCACCGAAGAAAAAAAAAGAAAATAGAATTTCTTTTTTTTTTTTATTTCTTGATTTACCTTTTGCACACGACACTCCTTAATTAGTTTCTATTTTTATTACACATGACTATAGATATTTATAGCAGTATTATTATTATTATCAGAACATCTGATGGGCATATTAAAGGAAATAATGAGTTGAATAATTATTACCTTAACAGTAGTCCAGAGCAGTACTTGCAAACATTTCCCATCATCATCTTTTCCAACATGTAGGACCCTCGTATTTAGAGAATGTGAAACGTGACTTTGGCTGTTGATTCATAGCGAGAATCGCGACTTGAATTTTTTTTGGTTTTGTGTCGTGTCTGCTTTGCCTCCTTTTCTTGTGTGTTTGTTTTGTTTATATGGCAGACGAACAATAGGAGCAACAACAACAACAACAGTAACAATGTCGGTTCTAATACACTCGTGTTACTACAAGTTTCTCACTACGATGATTCTATTAATTCCCAGGCACAGGGATAATGAATTCTTGGGGTACACATTGCACCAAAGATATTTTGAACTGAAAAAGAATATATACAAAAAGTAGTACTTGTAGAGAGTCAATATTAATGACTATTTTACTCTTAATTGAGGGCCTATAACCATGACTGTAAGCTAATCCAACAGCCTAAATTAGAGACAGACTAGGTATTCACAGAGATATTTCAGTTTACAAAGCAGTGGTGCTCATCGATTTCTGTTTCACAATGCAAGTATAGCATTCGCAGGGTTATACGATATCGCTTGCAACAATTCATAAACAGCTTGTTTTCCAAGTTTCTACAGCACTTCCGTTATTAATATTTTCTATTATTCCAGTGCTTGTATTTAATTAGTCATGTTAGTTTGCTGGTAATGAGATGCAGGGCTTTTCTATAGCTGGGTATGGCGGATAATAGGACACGAGCTCCTTTTGCAAGCAGAACCACGGGCAGGAAGGATGCGAGTTTTATTCTTCCCTTTCATACATTTAACCTCCACTTTAAAGATCAAAGTAAGAAGTATTATTACCAGAACTATTTCAATTGCACCTCTCATACGATTCAATCACTGGAAAAAGAGGGGTTGAACGGAATTAATCTGGGAAAATGTACAATCCCTTCCTCTATTTGACTTTAGGGTCACTTCCTCTAGCTCAATATTTGTTTGGTACTATAGTGTCTCTCTTTAACTGAAGATGATAAATACTTTTCAAAACTTTATTACGTTCTGCTGGTACTTTCCCTTGGTCATATCTTGATTATTCTAATTGAGTTTTGGTTTCTTTTGTGGACCGACATTTTTGTGGTTGATTTTATTTCTTTTGGCAGCAAATTTCACTATTGCAGCAACTAATTTCTTTATTTAATTTGGTACAGATACGGACACTAGATCATTACAGTAATTTGTTACTATAGTTAATTGAAGAAAATAGAAATTGAAATTAAAACATAGTCCATAATCACGTGGTTTGCTCACGTTTGTTATCCAAAAGATCTGAAGACCAGCTTCTAATTTAGAGCCAACCGTACATCAGGGGACAGCAAAGCAAGCGTTGAAGGTACTAAATCAAGCATACTGAAAAGTAATACGGGTTTATTCCACAATGTATATATAGCATTTGCATGATTATAGATGTTGCAATTTCCGACATTCTTTCTACTTTGATTAATTTTACTTTTATCTCGCAGGCATACTTTAGTTAGCTATTAAAGTTTATGAAATCGTTTTACTTTCGGGATAATACTTTCACTCTCGACTATAATCAACAACTTTTCGAAGGAGATTACATTTGATGAAGGAGAATATCAAAAATACAAACTCTATTCTGATCTTCCCCCACCATCTCTTTGGACTTTTGTTAGATTTAACTACTACCAGACTTTTCATTGTCTTTACAAGCACTAGATTGCTACTGCAATACTTTACTAATTCAATGTTTCTTACTTTTCTCGTTTTTTGTGGGAATTTTCTTCCAATTTTTATTGAAAAAAAAAAGAATTGACCAGAGGAGGACTAGAATTAGAGTCTTTTTCAAACCAAACTAAATACATATTGTGCTAACAACAGTAATAATATCCAGTCATCATCTTCAAAGAGCAATCATACAATAATATTACGTATATAGTCATGTAGGTATGCAAAAACGATGAATAAGAGTTGCCATCATACCTTTTGCTCTTTAAGTAGAATAACCCTCATTTTGCCACTAACATTTTTTTTTTCGCGGCCATCGTCTCAACCAATCAGGGCGGCTCAAAATAATAGAACCTTAAAAAAAAAAAAATCAAATACCCCGGAGTGGATATCGAGATCAAAATATACCTATTCAATCAATGCTGACAAACCTTAAGAGATGTACTAGTAATATAGGTTAAAATGTAGACCATGTCAAATCACAGGATTAATAAATACCTCTTGTATCAAAGCCCACGGATTATCCGGTGTCTAATGCATCGATGTCATTCGTGGAGTTGCAATTACTCCGATATTTGGTTCCGAGCGTATTTCCCGGGTATACACATTTCGTGATGTGTCAACCCCGGAGTCACCATGAAATTTTAGACTTCCAAGACTCTGGCAATGAGTGAAGAGGAAAAAAAAAAAAACTCAAATAAGCCCGATGATATATACCGATTGGCAAACAATTGACTTATGATACATATAATACATCTACGTAGATGGAAGAGAGTGAGTATAGAATGAGAATATATACTCTATGAGGAGTCAGCACTGAGAAATACATCTGCACTTATTTATTTCCTCGTTCCCCCGGGGCTCAATAGGAAATTTTCAATTAGAGTCGTATTTTGTGGAGGAGGAGGAGAAGAATAGTAAGAAGAATAGTAAGAAGAATAGTAAGAAGAATAGTAAGAAGAACCTTGATCAACCACTGTGCGAACAATTTTTCTTTTTTTTTTTTGGGACCGGAGTCTAGGTTGCTGTTCGTTAACCTTTGCCCTTTTTAATTTCATTTCCCCTTCTCATTCTCACTCTCATTCTCATACTGTAAGTTTTTTTTTTTTTTTTTTTTTTTTTCCACCCTCTTACCACACCCAATGGAGAACAACAGAAAATTTTTAGGCTTAACTTCCACTGTTTTTTCCCATTTCCTTTTTTCTTTCTTTCTTCCTTTCTTTTATTTTCAGCTTCTTAATCACAAATTGATCTGGTTATTTTTTGGTTAGAATCCAGTTATAATTTGATATATATTCATATTCACAATGCTTACTGCTTTCAGAAATGCTGTTCCTCGTGCTCAGCTTTTGAAGGTAAATATTCCAAAAACCACTTATACTCAATTGAGTAAACGTTTCCTCGCTACCGACTCATTTTTACAAGGAAACAACTCCACCTATGTTGATGAAATGTACGATGCCTGGAGACACGATCCTTCCAGTGTCCATGCTTCTTGGAATGCTTACTTCAAGAACATTGAAAACGACAATGTCCCACCATCAAAGGCTTTCCAAGCTCCACCAACCATTGTTCCTACTGTTTCTGGAGGTGCCGCCGGATTTTACCCTGGTCAAAGTCCAATTTCTGAAGACGTTGTCACCCACTTGAAGGTTCAATTATTGGTACGTGCTTACCAAGTTAGAGGACACCAAAAGGCAAAAATTGATCCATTGGGAATTTCCTTTGGTGACAATGCTACTGTTCCTAGAGAATTGACTTTAGAATACTATGGTTTTACCGACAAAGATTTAGACAAAGAAATCACCTTGGGTCCTGGTATTTTGCATAGATTTACCCAAGATGGTAAAAAGAGCATGACTTTAAGAGAAATCATTGACACCTGTGAACAAACATACTGTTCTTCTTATGGTGTTGAATATGTTCATATTCCATCTAAGGAAAAATGTGATTGGTTGAGAGACAGAATTGAAGTTCCTCAACCTTACAAGTATTCTCCAGACCAAAAGAGACAAATTTTGGATCGTTTGATTTGGGCCACCTCCTTTGAAGCCTTTTTGTCCTCCAAGTTCCCTAACGACAAGAGATTTGGTTTGGAAGGTGCCGAAGCCGTTGTTCCAGGTATGAAATCATTAATTGATACTTCTGTCGAATACGGTGTCGAAGATGTTGTCATTGGTATGCCACACAGAGGTAGATTGAATATGTTGTCCAATGTTGTTCGTAAACCAAACGAATCCATCTTTTCTGAATTCACTGGTTCCAAAGAATTTGATGAAGGTTCTGGTGATGTTAAATACCATTTGGGTATGAACTATGCTAGACCAACCACATCCGGTAAACACGTCAACTTGTCTATTGTTGCTAACCCATCCCATTTGGAAGCCGAAGATGGTGTCGTTTTAGGTAAGACCCGTGCCATCCAACAATACAAGAATGATATTGGTAACTTCAAGAAGGCCATGGCTGTTCTTTTGCATGGTGATGCCGCTTTTGCTGCCCAAGGTGTTGTTTATGAAACCATGGGTTTCGCTAGTTTGCCAGCTTACTCCACTGGTGGTACTATCCATGTTATTGTCAACAATCAAATCGGTTTCACTACCGATCCAAGATTTGCCAGATCTACTTTGTACCCATCTGATATTGCTAAATCAATTGATGCCCCAATTTTCCACGTTAATGCTGACGATGTTGAAGCTTGTACTTTTGTTTTCAACTTGGCAGCTGAATGGAGAGCCACTTTCCACACTGATTGTATTATTGATGTTGTTGGTTACAGAAAGTACGGTCATAATGAAACCGATCAACCATCTTTCACTCAACCACTCATGTACCAAGAAATTGCCAAGAAGAAATCTGTCATTGACATTTACGAAAAACAATTGATCAACGAAGGTACTTTCACTGCTGAAGATATCCAAGAACACAAGAAATGGGTCTGGGACGTCTTGGAAGATAACTTCAAGAAAGCTAAAGATTATAAACCAACTTCTAGAGAATGGTTAACCACTCCTTGGGAAGATTTCAAGTCTCCAAGAGAATTGGCCACCGAAGTTTTACCACACTTGCCAACTGCCGTTGACGAAGGTATCTTGAAAAAGATTGGTAAAGCTATTTCTGAAACCCCAGAAGGTTTTGAAGTGCATAGAAACTTGAAACGTATCTTGAATGCTAGAAAGAAGAGTGTTGAAACCGGTGAAGGTATTGACTATGCCACTGGTGAAGCTCTTGCTTATGGTTCTTTAGCCCTTGAAGGTTACCACGTCAGAGTTTCTGGTCAAGATGTTGAAAGAGGTACTTTTTCACAAAGACACGCTGTTTTACATGACCAAAACAGTGAATCCACCTGGACCCCATTGTCTAACTTGGCTGAAGATCAAGGTGCTTTCAACATTTCCAACTCTTCTTTGTCTGAATATGGTGTTTTAGGTTTCGAATATGGTTACTCCTTGACTTCCCCAGATGCTTTGGTTGAATGGGAAGCCCAATTTGGTGATTTTGCCAATACTGCTCAAGTTGTTATTGATCAATTTGTTGCTGGTGCCGAATCTAAATGGAAACAAAGATCTGGTGTTGTTTTGTCCTTGCCACATGGTTACGATGGTCAAGGTCCGGAACATTCTTCTGCCAGAATTGAAAGATACTTGCAATTGTGTAACGAAGATCAACGTTATTTCCCATCTCCAGAAAAATTAGAACGTCAACACCAAGATTGTAACATGCAAGTTGCTTACCCAACCACCCCTGCCAATATTTTCCATCTTTTGCGTCGTCAAATGCACAGAGAATTCAGAAAGCCATTGATTGTCATTTTCTCCAAGTCATTGTTGCGTCATCCATTGGCCAGATCCAATTTATCTGAATTCACTGGTGATTCACACTTCCAATGGATCATTGAAGATGTTTTGGGTGAAAAATCTGAAGTTAAGAGAGTTGTTTTGTTGTCTGGTCAAGTTTACGCTGCTTTGCACAAGAAGAGAGCTGCTTTGGAAGACAAGACCACTGCATTCATCAAGGTTGAACAATTGCATCCATTCCCATATGCTCAATTACGTGATGCATTGAACGAATATCCAAACATTGAAGATTTGGTTTGGACTCAAGAAGAACCATTGAACATGGGTGCTTACAACTATGTTGCTCCAAGAATTGAAGCTGTCTTACAAGAAACTGAAAATTACAAAGATTTGAAATTAAGATACGCTGGTAGAGACCCAAGTGCTTCTGTTGCTGCTGGTTCTAAATCCATGCATGTTGCCGAAGAAGAAGAAATCATTGCCCAAACTTTTCAATAAAGACGATAGTTCTTGCTATTAGAAAGGGAGGAACAGTGGTGTAAAATACTTTTATTTTCCCTTTAGTTATTTTCCTTTTTTATTATTATTTATTTATCAGTTGTCATCATGTTTTCCTTGTTTCTCATTTTTTTTTTTTTTGTTTAATTACAATCTCATACCTCATATTGAATCTAAAACTGAGAGAAAAGGGTTGTGTATATGTATGTGGACAGAGAAGCTTACATACTTGCTTGTTTATAAGAAGAAAAATAAATTAAAATGAATTATTTATTATAGAATTCTTTCTTTTTGAAGTTCTTCATTTTTTTTTTTGTAAGTTTATCTATAGTTTGTTGTCACTAGAGCGAAATAGATCACATAAGTGATCCACAACTCCCCACCCATATCCGTTAGCAAACCTTCGTCTAACTACTATATTGTTATGAGCATCAGGAGGAAGGTTTACCAACACTTTTCTCCATCCCCAAGTATGATACTTATCAGCAATTTGTTTTTGTTTTTCTAACTTCCATTTACTATGATATCGTAATAGCACAGAGCTCAACCAATCCAAAGTCAGTGTTTATTTCCATTGATTTCTCCACCAGGGGGAGTATCAAACTGGTAATACTTGTCATGGAATATAACGTGTTGTCTTTGGTCTGGATTCATCAAATAGAAGCTTGATGGGACTGGGCCAACTATTGTATTAATGGCAGATTCTATTGCAGATGCTCTTGGTGGGACGACAATACTTTGGGAATCATGACTTGAAACAGAAGTCTGTTCTTGTAAAGAATTCTGTTCTGGTAGTATTTCATTGAATAAAGATGATTCCGTTCCTTTAACACTAAATTTCTTATATCTCTTTTGTCTTCTTGTTAGGTGATGTTTACGTTTGTGTGAAGTAACTTGTTCACTTGCAGCAGAATCCGAATTTACAAAATTATCAAGCTTACCTGGTAACTTGGTCATCAAGGAGCTCGCAGTTTGCTGTTCGTTGTTCACCGCAGTTGCATCCTGAATGTCCTTAACTACCTGGTTATCTTCTTCAGGAATCTCCAGTACACTATTTCGACTGAGATTAGACTTTATTGGGTGATTCCTTTCTTCAAGCTCGGGATGATCCTTAATATGCCTACTCTTTTTCAATTGCGATACATCACCCAATGCCTCGTAATCCAAGTACAACAACGCTGCAGTTCTCAAGGGGACTATTCCATCGTTTATTGCATTGGCATAAACAACCAACTGTTCAAATCTACCGAGAAAAGTTTCCAATGGATCGTCAGGTAAAGTCTCTAGTACAGGTTTAAACGAATCCCTTTTCTTGGAGTCCCCAACACTTAAATCACTCCATGCTGGTAGCCTATTCAGCAAAGTTAAATCACGACCAGTTTTTCCAAGTGTTCCAATATCTAATACCCATGAAATTAAAAAGTTCATTTCGTTCAAAATACCCAATAACGGCGATGCCATACTTATTAGATTGGTAGGCTTTATGTTGTGCTTATCAAAATAATCAGCACCTTTAGTCACCAAGATATACTTAATAGCATATAACTGTACCAATCCACCTAAAGAATGACCAATAAATGAGATTTTATCAAAAGAATACGTCCCGTCTTCAATTAAGTCGATAATGTAGTTTGCAACATTGGTGCCCAATTTTTTGACACCTTTTTCTGTATGACCAGCATTATACTTGTAACCCCTGACCAATATATTATCTTTGACTCTTAGTTCCAATTGGTCTTTAATGTAAAGCATATCTGCTGTTAGATTAGAAAAGATCCCATGGGTAACAATAATCAAATGAACAGGTTTCTTCGGAAATCTCGGTTCATTAGACCAAATGTCATCAGCAGTCATCTTTTTAACAACCAATTGAGGGTTGTAAACATGATTATCCGTCAGAGGGCCATCAATAACGTCTAATTTCTTCATATGCTCATTACTACTATTATTAGATCCAAAACTATTGAGTGTTTGAGTGACAATATTATGACCATTCAATTTCTTTAAAAAGCGCAAGTCATCACCAATCATGAGATCATATACCACTTCAGTTTTTGTAGTTATGACAATTTGAGATACGACTTCTATTTCCCATTGGAATATATCATTTCCATCATTATTTGTACCCTTGAGGGAGTTCTCATTCAACAATAGTGTGACATTAAATGATTGATTGGGTTTGATTTGATTGTGAAACACCACTTCACTGTTTGTTGCAACATCTTCTGGATGGAAAGGTTTTCTATAGTTGTAGTTAACGGGTACTACATGACAGTATAGTATAAAAGGTCCACTTAGTAAATGTATGGCTCTGATGGTTGTTTTTTCAATATTTTTTAGGCGAACATATATCTCCGATACTGATGGATCTATCCGGGTATACTCAACGGTATATCTTGAAACTCCTCCTATTCGTAGTCCACTTCTATCACGATACCATAATGATGGATGTACTGATATCAGCATGGTATAATGATTAAATAGTTGAATACTTGTCTTCTAACCAAAGTTAGTTTATTTTTTTTTTTTCTGTTTTGTTTCACATGAAATTTGCTTCTTTATCGTTCTAAGTTAAAAAAACCACACTCTTCTCTAATATCGGGGTAGAAAGAAAAAATAAAGAAAAAGAATGGAACAATTCGAAAAAGCGGAGATATGTCACAAACAGGAATAGGAATATATTAGCAACGTTGTTGATATACAACAGACTACTACATAGACAAAACATAAACACACCTAGTGGATCTTATCTTTCAGATATTTCTGTTTTAAATAAGCAAAGATTCCAGCCAATTGGAATTTTCTAACCAAAGCATATTCAACAATAAATCTTGGAACAAAATTAAGCACATGTCCTAAGAAGGTACTCATTCTACCACGGTAATAATTCAAAGCCCCGCCTAGTTTTGCGTTTTCAAAATCAGAAACCACTTTGCGAGCATAAACCTCTGCTGGCATAGGATGGTTTCTAGCAGCCATTTGTCTTCTAGCATTAAACGCCTCAGTGATTCCTGGGACATTATAAAGGGAAGTTTCAGGCAAATCTCTTTTATCTTCAATATTTGTCTTCACACCTCCTGTAACTATGTTAATTACCTTAACCCCAAATGGTTTCATTTCTAATCTCAAAGTTGCTGCGTACTGGTGGATAGCTGCCTTTGACGAGGAGTAGATACATGAAAATGGGAAAGGAATAATACCACTGACGGAACCTGTAAAACCAACAACACCCTTGGCATTAATGATCAATGGGATCAATTCACGGGTTGTTCTGATACCACCAAAAACATTGACTTCAAAACATTGTTTCATTTGTTCATCAGTGACGTCGGTGGCAGGGAAAGTACATGATTGTCCAGCATTGTTGTATAAGAAATCTAAATAATCACCACCTGTTTCGGACTCAATCAACTTACGTGCTTCTTTAACACTATCTAAATCACTAACATCTAACTTGAAAATATAAATACCATAATCATCTTTCAATTTTTGCATTGGCTCTAATCTTCTAGCACCAGCAAACACTTTATATCCTCTTTTTGCAAATTCAATTGCAGTGGCATATCCAATACCAGATGATGCACCTGTGACCAAGGCAACCTTTTGACGTTCACTCATATTGTTGTTGTTGCTGGTGGGGGGGGGAGGGGGGTAATTGTAGGGAACTTGAGAATAAGCTAAATGTGATAAGTAAGAGGAAAAAAAAAAAATATTCAAAAAAAAAAAATTAAATCAAACTGAAAAAGATGAGAAATTATGTTTTCTTTTACTATATTTAGTTATGAATGACAGGGAAACTTTGAAACAAAATGAAGAGCAAGATTATGGAAGAATAAAACAAGAGTAATTTCAAGTCAAGTTTAGTTTACCTTTTGAGCCAGATAGTATTGCAAATTAATACTACTATCTGGTCGAATTTGATATCAAATTACGATTTTTACGTGTCCAATGTTCAAAAATAAAACTAACATTTTTGGTTAAGGTATTGAAGCAAAATATCACTCCAAATCAAAAGAAAACTTTGCAACCAGATTTTCAGACGACTTTTAAGAACTTCAAGAAGCATCGTAAATGAGTGCAAGTTTTTTCAAGGATATCAGAGGTGCTAAAGATAGCAATTTCTTTGAGAAAAAAAGCATTAACAATGTGTCTGAAATCAAGCCTGCTGCTAAATCATACACAAGTACAGAGGGAAAGGAAGGCGAAACCAATTGTGCAATTGATTCCGAAGAATCGGATATCGAGTTGGATAATGGAGGTGATGTTGCTATAATTACAAAGAAAAAGGAGTCCTTAAAAGAAGAAACACCTCCTCCCGTACAGACAAGGTACTCACCCGAGGCTGATAATCCATCTCCAAAAAAGTCCGATAAACATAATCTATTTGCTCCTAGATTGTTTGCAACCAAGGAATATCATTCTGAAACTAGGACGAACACAAGCAAGAATACAAAAAGACGACATGAGAGAGTTCAGACTTATTCACCTGCAAACACGTTTGAAAACACATCAGGAGTATCATTCTCTGAATTAATCGGTCAGTTGGAGGCAGCAAGCCATAGCTCAGAGAAGGAATTGGAAGTAATGAAAAGAAAAATGAAGGGATATGAGAAGATTATAATGCAAAAAGATTCGGAGATTAAAAACTTGTACAACAGGAACAAGGAATTAAATTTAAAAACCGTGGGATTATCCGAGTCTCTCACGTCCATTAACAGAGAGTTAACCTCTTTAAAAGAAGAAAAGGATAGGATCCAAACTATTTTTAACGAGAATGAAAAGGAGCTATCTTGTTATAAGATAAAATTTACAGATCTTACGAGTGCTGCTGAAGTTCTTAAGCAGAATTTGAAAGCTATCAAATCACAAATTCAAACACAGTCGAAAGTGCAAGAGACAGAACTTTTGCAAAAAGCATCTCAGATTGATCAGCTTTCGGGTATGTTATCTGAAGAAAAATTGAAGATGAGTGATCTACTTAAAAGGTTAACGAATAAATCAGAATGGGAGGAAAACTTGACTTCCACACAAACTACATTGATTTCATCAACGGAGACAATAATAAATCAGCTAGATTCTGCAGCTAAGGCTAGTGCTAATGAGTATAGCGAGTTATATGGTAAAATGGAGAATTTGGTTTGCAACAAAAACCAACATACGATTGAGAACTTAAAGAGTAACTTTGCTGACATGTTACATTCAGAGATATCTTCATTCAGGTCATTGTTGGAGAATGAAAACCACAGAGGAAGTTTAATGTTGATGTCAGAGATCCAAGAGGTTTCTGGTTCTATGAAACGTGAAATGGAGAATCAGGCGAAAAGTATTGAATTGCAAATTTCGACGCTAAACCAGGAATCATTATCTGCAGTGATGAATGGTTTGACAGAGTTAAGAGCAAGCTATAATTTAGAAATAGATCAAGTCCGTTTAAGAAGCAAAGAATTGGAAGAGTTGCTAAAGGATAAAGCGACGGAAATTACTAGAATACAAGAGAGTCACAAGAAAGAATCACTTCAACACTTGGAAGAAATATCCCAGTTGAAGTTGACATTGCAAAAGAATGCGATTGTAATTGAAAAGTTGGAAGAGGAGTTGAAAGTAAAATCAAAGTCAATCGAGATCCTGGCAGCTTCACTAGAAAGCATGAAAGTAGTTTTATCGGAAAAGGAGAATAACCACATAATGAATACTCGCAAGCTTCAAAGTTTATTACAAGAAAAAGAGACTGAATGTATTATTCTAAAAGATAGGATCAAAGTATTAGAGGATAGTGTTTCCGTGTTGAAGACATCCTGTGATGAAATGAAGGAATCCGTCAGTGCAAAAGAGAGAAAAATCGACAAATTGGAATGTGAAAAACACAAAGAATCAGATAGAGTGAACGAATTAGAAACTCAGAAAATGATATTGTCAAACGATCTAAAAGTCAAAGATCAAGAGATGCAGATTATACTGAAGAAGTTGAAGGATTTAGAGAAAGATCATCAGAAGGCTATGGAAAAAATCGAACGTAGTTTACAAATGGAATACGACAAACTGAAACAACTAGAAGAAGAAAACACAGAGCTAATAGTGAGCATGAAATTAAAACAAAAAGAGTATGAATGTGACAAAGAGGTTCTCGAAAGATTATATAATGAGAAAGTTTTGGCTTTACAATCAAGTTTAACATCAGAAACGGTGCCGTCCATCAGTGCCATTAACTCTTTAATGAACAAAATAGAGGAATTCAAGACAGAGTTTGTCGATAGAATGTCAAAAATTTCTGTCATACAAAATTCTGGATCAAAAGAAATGGGGATGCCCAGTGAAAATGCAAGTATTAGAGAAACCCCTGAAAGTCAAAAGATTGGTGGTGAGTCATCGAAGCGGGTCAATAAAACTACCAGGCACAGGAATACAAAGAGAACTTCAATATTGACAAGACTAGGTCAAAAAGAAGAGGATGTGTTTTCTTTGGATAAAATCACCAGTTCGCCACCAAATAAGAAAGCTAGAAAAAAGTGACAAACACATCATTGGGTATTTATTATTGATGTGTAGTATTCTGACCTCCCCACCCACATGAAGCAATGATGTAGTTTTAGCGTATATATGTGTATCATTTATTAGTTATGCATTAATTGCAATATTGCCTATTTAAGTTAATATTCACACAGTGCTTAGATGGAGGTGTTGCAAAATTCAGGAATGTATATAATCTCTAAATTTACACGACTGTGCATATTTGTGGGGATGAACAAGAAAATAATACAATAATAACAAAAATACAGATTAAAGGGAAAACCCCAGATATACACAGTTCATAGACTATTAGTGCATGTTTTCCATTTTCATTTTCATTTTCATTTTCATTTTTTTTCTTGGGTTTTCGATGATTTGCTACTTGTAAGAACTTTAAGAACTTTAAAATAAACAACTAATAAAATAAAAAACTCCGGGGGATGCGAGGGTGGGGGTGGGGCTGGTTATAGTGACAGGTACCAGATCTACTAATACAAATTGTCATACTAGGAAACTAATATCTAGAGAATTTGAATCCGTAATGTGTGTGTGTTTTTTGGGTCTTTTTTATTATTATTTATTATCATAGATAGAAGAAAGTAATAAAGTGACTTGCAGAGAAACATGTACCACCACTACGAGTATACATTATCCCCAGCAATGTTAATAATAATGATAGTAATAATAATCATAATAATTCAATGTCATAATCAGAAAGATAACAACCTTAGATCCGTATGCAATTTTGTGTAATCTTCGGAGTTCGTTGCTGTCGTTGCTGTCGTTGCTGTCGTCGTTGTTGTTATTGTCGTCTATTGAGAGAGAGAGAGAGAGAGAGAGAGAGAAAGACAAGAAATTTAAAGTGTAGATTATTTTTTTTTCTTCTCTTTGTTGTTGTTCATCGAATTGTGGGGCTGGTCGTGTGTAGAACAACAAAAGGTCGTGTGGAAGGTCGTTCATCGATTATAATGTGCCTCCTCCTCCTCTTCCTCTTCCTCCTCCCCCGCTGAGATGAAATTGAATTAAAATAAAACATGCCATTTGGGTTTTTACTAAGAGATGAGAAATATGCAATAAAAGAATAAACCACAATTAAATAAAGAAATCAAAAAAAAATTAGCAAACTTATGAGTTTATATTATTTGAATGTCGAAAATGGAGTACGACGACTCGGTTATAATGGTGGTGGTGTGGAAGGAACAGAAATGATACCACTTCTTAGGCTCATATACAAACTTTAAAGTGTAATTACTATCGATATATATATATCTATACTCAAATGTGAATAAAGACAGGTTGTCAAATACTGATGAAATTACTGTGCATACTTTAATTTGTATTCTTTAGTTTGTTCCAAGTTTGCAAGGCATTTCATTGGTGCATCGGTCAGCGGGTTGGAATTGCACACAAAAACTTATACCTATTGTTATTGTCAAAGTAATACTTGCAGGAGTACGGAAAAAAAAAAAAATAAAAAGAAAAGACAAACTAAAAAAGAAAAAAACTCCGAACTGCCAATCAAATGAAGAATAAACAAAATCGGTTCTTATTCAGCCATACAACGTTTATAGCACTTACAGAGTCTTACTCTTCTGGGAATTGATATTCTCAAAGCCTCCATTAAGGGTTTGAATAATCAGCTTGATCTCATGAGATACTTTTATTGATGTACATGGTAGACTGTTTCTTTCTCTGATCATATTCTGAAATGAGTTCGGAGTTCGTGGGGCGTTTTCCAATACCGATTATGTGAGCCTCGTATCCTTCTATCCTGAAAATCTTTAACCCACAACTACACCAATTTACTGTCACATCCCTTCGGACTTCGTCATTTCCCACTTTCTTTTTAGTCTTCACCCGCAAGTTTTTACTCAACATTGATTGAAACAAAAACAAAACAAAAAGAAAGAGACCACGCTGCATGAAACGGTTGTGGGTTTTTTTTTGTCTTTTTCTTTTCTTTTCTTTAATATCTTGCGGGTGAAATAAACATTGAATTATTAGCTAAACAATAAACGTAATACAAATTCAAATGCAAATTCAAATGCAAATTCAAACTCAATATGCAAAATGACATTGAACTAGTTTCTTTTTCTTCCTCTGGTTTTATCACACCACCTCTACTTCTGCCTCTACTTCTGCCTCTACTTCTACTTCTACTTCTACTTTTACTTTTACTGCGCGCGAACCCACTACCCAAAATTGACCCCACTTCGGCCTAAAGAAAAAAAAAAAAAGAGTTCAATCAAGTTATCACCAAAAACTAAAATGTGGTACAAAAAATTTCTTTTGCATTTTCTAATTTCTCTATTAATCTATATCGCCCATAAACCCATAACCCATAACCCATAAACTCATAAACTCATAAAATAATAATCACACAAAGCACCCACATACATTATACATGCCTCCCCCTCTCGCTCTCTTTCTCTGAACAATGAAATTTTCATTCTAATAATTTTTTATTTTTTTTGTTTCTTTCGTCATTGCATTGGAAAAGTTCTCTGGTTAATCTTGCTGTTGTTGGGAAAGCAGCTGTAGGAATTTTTGGGAATATATAAGAGGCTTGCATTTCCCTTCTAGTATCACTCCAGGTTTTTTTTATTTTTTCATTTATTTTCATATTTCTCTTTGACATCTTTTATACAAGTTCTCAAAACCTATTGTTTTCAACTATAAGTGGAATTTTCATTTCATTTCATATCACATTATCACTAATATTACTATTTTCATTTCTATAGAGAACTACAATATAGACTACAAACATGCCTTCTACCTCATCTCAAAAGTCTACTAATTCTTCAATCATTGATCCTGGTGATCAACCAGTTAACAAAGTTCACATCACCGGAGATGGTGGTGAATTTGTCATCATCAACAACCACAAGTACTATAGACATGACTTGATGGCTGCTTTCGGTGGTACCTTGAATCCAGGTGCTGCACCATGGCCAAAAATCAATATTAACCCTGCTCCTCTTGGTTTGTGTGGTTTTGCTTTAACTACTTTTGTCTTGTCACTTTATAATGCTCGTGCTGAAGGTATTACAATTCCAAATGTTGTTGTTTCCCTTGCTTGTTTCTATGGTGGTGCTGCTCAATTTTTCGCTGGTATGTGGGAATTCATTGCTGGTAACACTTTTGGTGTAACTGCTTTGACTTCTTATGGTGCTTTCTGGTTAAGTTATGCTGCTATTTTGATTGACAATTTTGGTATTTTGGCTGCTTATGAAGGTAATGAAGAACAAATTCCAAGTGCTATTGGTTTCTTTCTTCTTGGATGGACTATTTTCACTTTTATGTTGTGGTTAAACACTATGAAATCTACCCTTTCTTTCAGTGCTTTGTTCTTCTTTTTGTTTGTTACTTTTATTTTCTTGGCTGCTGGTGAATTGAGTGGTAAAGTTGGTGTCACTAGAGCTGGTGGTGTTTTGGGTGTTATTACTGCTTTCATTGCTTGGTATAATGCTTTGGCCGGTACTGCCAACTCTTCCAACTCATACTTCCAACCATACTCTATTCCATTACCAGGAAATGTTATGCTCAAGGAATAATTTTAATCTAATGTATCTTATTATGTTAATCTAATTTTATTTATTTATTTATTCAAGAAAGGGGGGCTGGAAACCAACTAATTGATTTAATCATCTTTTTTTTTTATCATTATATATTTTATTTATTTAATTTTACGGGGACTTAATTTTTTTTTATTATTATTATTCTTGATTGAAAATTGTAAAAGAATCATATGTCTTGTTAAATCGATTATCAATCGCTTTAGTGAAATTAGAGAGATTGGCATGAATTTTAATTAATCAAACAGAGAAAAAGTTCTTACAAACTGACGAAAGCCTGGTTTCAATTGCTCGTATAAATTACATAGCGTACATTGTTTTGACGTACAGTTAAGCAAAACCTCCCTTTCTTTTACGCTTTCTTCTGACACCCGTAGACGAGGATCCAAGCTGTGATGAAAGCATTCTTGACGATGATGACAAGCGTTGAGAATGTAAAGGTATCTGAGATTGAGATTGAGATTGAGATTGAGTCTGAGTCTGAGTCTGGGTTTGTGAGGATTGAGTCAACATTGAAGGTGCTTGCATCAGAGAGTTCAATCGAATAGAAGGCATGAATTGGGAATCATGTTGAGTTGCTTGTGTTGGTTCAATAACAGATGTTTCAATTTGGTTCCCACTCTGTGTAGTATTTTGATCATCATCATCATCATCATCCCACTGTTCTACCAAAGACTTTACATGTAATGGTGCTTCCGAAATTGCTTCTTCGAGTTCATCTGTAAATAGATTAGATTCATATTGACACTTTATTAGCGACAACCCAAGTAAGATAGAAACAGCAATTTTTGAAGTCCGACTATTCTCGTCCTTCAGGTAAACATTATTTATCAACTTGTAAATATCATTAATGTGAGTTTGGGTGGTAGCATCATTTTGAAATTTACTTCTTTGAATAAAAGAATTATTGATCAAACTTTTTAGTTTCAATTTATCAGCTGGTAATGACAGTTCTAATTGAACAATCATATCATCCAACTCCAATATATCTCTTATTTCAAATGGTGGATCACTGCAAACATCAAATAAAGAAAAATATCTGGCAATCTTGGTTTGAGAATCACCAATCCTGGCAAACCCACTTCCTAGTTCATAAGCATACTTTTGAATCAGTTCAATTTGTTGTGATTCTGTTGCAATATCTTGAGAATGAGGTTTTGTGTTCAGCATTTTTAGTAAACCCTGAATCTGTTTTTGGGAAAATTGTTTAAAAAACTTGGCAGTAATTTTTGAATTTTGACCAATATTGGATGTTATTGCCAGTGAAGAATAGCCGTCTCTGTCACCAGAGGTGACAGCACCACTCCCACCAACAATCAACGTCCTGGAATGTATGGCTAAATCCGTCGTTAATTCAAACATAATCAACGTTTTTCCTACCTTCCTAATCATAACCTGCCTTAACTCAGAATTATCATGTGTCTTTCGTAGAATATATGGATCTCGCAAACTATATGGTTTATCATTTCTCATCCCAAATGTATATACAATGATACAAGGGTTAATTTGTGAATACACCAAACAGGTAAATGTATTTGATCCACTAAGGATGGTCAATTTCAAAGAAGGATCTTTGTCATTTAGAAAATGTTTCCAGGAAAGTAATCTTGTCATTCCATCAGTAAAACCAAACCAGATCAATTCCTTAGATGTTAACATGAACCCATAATTACCAATAACTGTGAAATCTCTAATTCTTGACCATGTATTTGAAGTAATCAAGGTTCTTGAAGTGGCTGTTGAGCCAGTAAGTGTAATTTCATCCACTTTCAGTCTTGATAGCACTAATAATTTGTTTGAATCTTTTGGAACCCAAAATATTCGTCTCCAACTGGATAATGATTCTCCATTATCGTCCATTTCTTTCATGGTCTCCAATATGGACATACTGATGTTGTTCACTTTTTTATTTACTTTATAAACTGTAAAATTTCCTTTGATATCAGTTATAGCCAAATGTGGGAATTCCTTATTATCAAATTTGACATCAGCAAAAGAATGACCATTCAATGAATCAGCTGTGACTTCACCTACTATAAGTAATTCAATACTTGGAACATCCTGGATATAGCCTATTCGTGATATCATAGCACTTAATATAAACACTTTTGCGGCTGTTCTTACTGCAATTATTGCAATCTTATCACTTTTATCAGACACTTGTATTTGTAAAATTGGATCAAAGAAATCTAATTGGTATGCAGCTGACATGACAAATTTTTCATCTGGATGTTCACATAGTACAATGTTCAATACTGATGTTGCTTCACCTGTGACAAATGCCATTGCATCAACATATGCATTTTGTTCCTTGACATACATATCAAACATTTGCAATATATCTCCACAATTTGGATCATATGCTATATTAGACGTTAATGTTTTGGATTCTACTAAATAAGACAGTATGATTTCTTGAGGAATATAGTCATGAGTAGCACTCTTGGGTGTAGTAGTGGATTTTGGGATTGCTGGAACACGAAGATTATCATACATAGATGAATTTATAGTGAATTTCGATGTCTGACTTTCTACTATTTGAGTAGACTTTTCAGATTTAAATTCAAGTTTATCACCTTCTTCGTTGATCCTGGGAAATAAAGTTCTATATGGGGTATGTAAATCCAGCTCATCTGAAGGTTGATCCAGATTAGATGAAACAAAAGTTTCCTCATTCAGTTGTAAATAATCTTGGGCTTTAGGAACAGTGTCAATAGAAACTAATGCATTTCCATAAACACCGTAACTCAATCGAACACCAAGACCTTTTTTATGTGGCCACATGGTAGAAAGAAGTGGTAATGACGTAAGTTATGAAGGGCATAGTTTTGCAAGATCGGAAAAAAATAAAATAACAAAACTGGAAAAATGTCCCTAAAGGAAAAAAAGCATTGAGCAAAAAGTGTAATTATAATGCACGTGATTTATGATCACGTTAGATTTGTACCAGAGCCTTCCAGATCACAAAACAAACAACAACGACAATCCAAAAAATGCAAAGGAAAAAAAAAAATGGAAAAGACAGGTTTACATAATAGAAATCACGTCTTTGATGTTGATGAAATTATTCTGAGATTTCCTTGAAGAACAATATAAACTTAAAAACATCAATTAATCATGAAATGGTTCTTATGGGTATATCTTACAGCATTGATTCAATTGGTTTATTCTGAACAAATTAAATTTGATATTTATGGAGATGAAGAAATTATTGACGATCTGATAGATAGTTTAGAAACTCAATATTCTCAATTATCAAATAATTCATTATTATGGGGACCATATCGTTCGGCATTATATTTTGGTATTCGTCCAAGATTCCCACGTTCTTTATTATCAGGATTAATGTGGTTTACAATGAGTGATTATCAAGGTATAGGCAAAATTCGTCATTTTTATGAACAACATGATAAAATGTCAAAAGCTAATTGGGTTTCTTATGATCCAAGAATTGGTGGGAGACAAATCATTGATGATGATGAATGTCATATTAAAATTATTATTGATTTTGTTAAAAGTGATGATGGTTTATCTTGGGGTGTCAAAGTTAGAGCAAAACCACATAAAGGATATGAGAATATAATAACATCCTTTGTTTGGTATAGTGGTTTAGAAGGTGAAGAAAAGACTATTGAAGATGGAGAGGAAATAGTTACTAGAACTGGATATTTCAAACTTGAAAATCCAAAGAATGTCTTGGGATACGATTCAAATGTTAAATTTGCCGGGGTTTCTTCAGAATTAGGTGCATTTGAATTGGAAATTAATGATGGACCAAAAAATAATCGTCATCCAACTGGAAGAGCCGATATTGATCCAGAACTAGATCCAGCAAAGGCTCATCATTATAGTTTAACAGTTCCAGATGATAATGTTTGGAGAGCAAGAGATATTTTCATGACCATGTTACAAGAATCCGTTCAACAACTTATGGAAAAATTTGGTACAATTGAAGGGATTCCACCACAAAATTTATTTATTCTTCGAGATTTACAAGATTTTGAAGGAAATTTACATTTTGTTCAGAAAATATACCAAGGTGCTTGTGAATTTGATATTGTTTTCACTAATGCATTAACACCAGCTACTGAAAAGATCACATTTGAAAATATCAATTCTAAAATTAAACAAACTATCAAAGATTTTGATAATAAATTTGATCAAAAATTTGAACTTACTGCTCCATTCACAAACAAAAAACATAAAAAATTTGCCAAAGAAGTTTTATCAGGTCTTTTAGGTGGACTTTCTTATTTTTACGGTGATCATTTGGTTGATAGAGAAACTGTATTTGATGAGGATTCATTTGAAAGTTATGAATTACAAGGCAAATCTGAAGGACCATTTGAATTATTCAGCTTGGTCCCTTCAAGACCATTTTTCCCTCGTGGATTTCTTTGGGATGAAGGATTCCATTTGTTACCATTGTTAAATTACGATTCTGATCTTGTTTTGGAGATTATTAAATCTTGGTTTAATTTAATTGATGATGATGGCTGGATTGCTCGTGAACAAATATTAGGTGCCGAACTGAGATCTAGAGTTCCTTCTGAGTTTGTTGTTCAAAGTCCACAAATTGTGAATCCACCAACACTTACTTTGGTGCTTACGTATTTATTAGATTCAGTTATGGAAGGTAAATATGGTGATGTTAATGAACCAAGAAATATCGATGATGCCATAACTAAAGAGAACTTGGGTAATTTTATATTGCAAAATCCTGAAGTTTTAACAAACTATACCAGAGATGTGTATCCTAAATTAAAATCACATCTTGATATGTTTCGTCGAACTCAACAAGGTTATGTTGAAGAATTTGATAGAGGAACAAACAAGGAAGCTTATAGATGGAGAGGAAGAACTTTGACTCATTGTTTAGCTAGTGGATTGGATGATTATCCAAGAGTGTTACCAGCAGATGTTGCTGAGTTGAATGTTGATTTAATATCTTGGATTGGTATTATGACTCGATCATTGAAAATGATGGCTGAGATATTAGAGAATAGAGATGATGTAGCTAAATATCAAGAATTAGAAAATGCTATTATTGAGAATATCGAGAATTTACATTGGTCATCTGAAGATAAAACTTATTGTGATGTTTCTGTTAATGAAGATGATGAGAATATCTTTGTTTGTTTTAAAGGATATGTTTCATTATTTCCATTTTTAACTAAATTGATTCCAGAAAATGATGTTGAGAAATTAGAACATATAATTGACTTAATTTCGGATCCTGAAGAATTATGGAGTCCTTATGGTATTAGATCCTTATCTAAATCAGATGAATTATACAAAACTGGTGAAGATTATTGGAGATCACCAATTTGGATCCCAATTAATTATTTAGTTTTGGAAAGCATTCAAGATTATTATACTCGTAGTAAGAATCATATGTCACCTGAATTACAAGATAAATTTGCTAAAACTTATCATGATCTTAGAATTAATATAGTTAAAAATGTTTTTGAGCAAGCTGATAAAACTGGGTTTGTTTGGGAACAATATAATGATGAAACTGGTGAAGCACAAAGAGCTAAGAACTTTTTAGGATGGTCTTCTTTAGTTTTAGTAATGATGACCATGCCAGAAAATTTATAGAATCATAAAAAAAAATAGATATAGATATTCTAAACAACTCTACTTTATATATGTACAAAACATAAAAAAAAAAAAAGAAAAAAGAAAATGTAAAAAAAAAAGGTCTATTGAAATCCTTATTTAGATGGATCTTCTTCGAATCTCAAATCCCAACCAATTTGTTCACCCAATCTTGGTAATACTTCAGCAACTGATTGAACATCTTTGTCACCTCTACCGGAAACATTGATAACAATATGTTGATCTTTTGGTAAAGATTTAGCCAATTGAACACCACCATAAATAGCATGAGAACTTTCTAAAGCAGGAATAATACCTTCTAATTGAGATAATAATCTAAAACCTTCTAAAGCTTGAGCATCAGTAGCAGCAATAAAATCAGCTCTACCAGTACTTTTCCAATAAGCCAATTCTGGACCAACACCTGGATAATCTAAACCAGCAGAAACAGAATGAGTATCATGAACTTGACCATCATCATCTTGTAAAACATAAGTTTTAACACCATGGAAAACCCCTGGAATACCTGCTGTTAAAGTAGCAGAATGACGATCGGTATCTAAACCATCACCACCTGCTTCAACACCCAACATTTTAACTTCAGTATCATGTTCAAATGGAGAAAACATACCAGTAGAATTGGAACCACCACCAACACAGGCAACAACAGCGTTTGGCAACTTACCATTGTTTAATTCTTTAAATTGTTCTTTGGTTTCTTGACCAATAACACTTTGGAAAGTTCTAACTAAAGTTGGGTAAGGATGAGGTCCAATAGCGGAACCAACAACATAATGAGTTGTTTCTAAATTAGAAACCCAGAATCTAAATGCTTCAGAAGTGGCATCTCTTAAAGTTTGAGTACCATTTTTAACGGCAACAACATTGGCACCTAAAATTTTCATTCTGAAAACATTCAAAGCTTGACGTCTGGTATCTTCAGCACCCATGAAAACAGTACATTCCAAACCAAATTTGGCACAAGCAGTAGCAGTGGCAACACCATGTTGACCAGCACCAGTTTCAGCAATAATCTTTTTCTTACCCAATCTCTTGGCAATTAAAACTTGAGCCAAAGCATTGTTGATTTTATGAGAACCAGTATGGTTCAAATCTTCTCTCTTTAACCAGATTTGAGCACCTCCAGCATGTTCAGTCAATCTGTCTGCTTTATGCAAGGAAGATGGTCTACCAATGTAAGAATACAAATCTCTAAAATCTTTCCAGAATTGAGGATCAGCAACGGCATCTTCAAATCCTTTTTCTAATTCAAGTAAACAAGTGTGCAAAGCTTCTGGGACATATTGACCACCAAAATCACCGAATTTTGGATTGTATTTGTGGGTTTCTTCCAAAACAGCTTTGGTTTCTTTTGAAGCATCAGCATTACTTCTTTCAAAAGAAGCTGGGTAACTTGGTTTGAAATCTTCACCCAAAATGGATCTAACATAATCATAAGCGGTTTGGCCTCTAGCACCTGGTTTGGATTCACCAATTAAGGTCACAATCTTGGAACCAATGACAACACCATCAGCAACTTGACCCACTGTTTCAAAATGTTCTCTTGTTGAAACACCAAAACCAACTGCCAAAGGGGTATCTTCACCAGCAAATTTTCTGACACGGGCACATAATTCTTCTATACCTGAAGAAACTTTAGTAGAAGCACCAGTAGTACCCATTTTAGAAACAACATAAATAAAAGAATCGGCAATTTGACCCAAAGTTTTCAATCTTTCATCAGAAGTTGCTGGAGCAACCAATGGAACATAAGATAAACCATGTTGAGCACATTCAGTTCTGAATTTAATGGCTTCTTCTGGTGGTAAATCAACAACAATGAAACCGCTAGCGCCGGCATCAGCGGCATCTTTTAAGAATTTTTGTTCACCATATTTCAAAATTGGATTATAGTAACCCATCAAGATAATTGGGACAGTGACACCTTGTTCTCTTGCTTGAGATAACAATTGTAAAACTTTTGGAACAGTGATTCCGTTTTCCAAGGCAACATTATTAGCTTGTTGAATAGTTGGACCATCAGCAATTGGATCTGAGAAAGGAACACCCAATTCAATGATATCTACACCGGCTTCTTGCATGTTTTTCAAGATTGGCACGGTATCTTCAATAGTTGGGAAACCAGCGGTGATAAAGTTTACCAAGGCCTTGCGTCCTTCTTTTTTGCATCTAGCAAATGTTTCTTTTAATAAAGCAGACATATCTCTATAGTTGTTTGAGTGTATATGAGTTTAATGAGATAAGATAATGTATACACTTGATGAGTGTCTGTTTTTTTTTGGATTTATTTTCTTATTTTTCAAACTTGAAAATTTTTGGCTGGCGTCAACACAACGTGAAATGAGTCAGTGCAAAAGAAACGAGAGACTAAAAAAAAAAAAAAAGAAAAAAATAAATGCCCGAAGTCACGTGCATAGCAAGCAAGCAAGAAAGGGCAAATCAAGATCTGGATTATAGGTCAGTGATCCCTGTTGAATTGGTGAATTGGGTTAGGAATACTTTTTGATATTCAGAACAGTAGATGTAATTGATATTTAGTCGTAAATTGAATGAAATTTATTAAATTTTTTACTAATTTGTGTTTAAAGTCGAAATGGGTAAATAGATATTAAGGAACAAACGACGACAGATTGATTATAATAATGTGACATCTTTTTTTTAATTATTATTATTAATAAAACTCCGGGATCAGTTTAACTTTTGATTGTACAGGGCGCAATAGAACCAGATGTTGCACGATTCTACTAAATGATCTGGTAGATCAGTTTCTTTAATTCAATTTTGTTTGAAAATTTAACCAAATCCTGAAGAAAAGGTTTTATTTTGGCTGAAAAAAAAAAAATAAAGTGTACTGTGTGAGTTTATTAAGGACTCCGGAAAATTCCGAATGGTCATGATGTCATTGGCAGTGAAACAACGGGAGAAAGTGTAATTGAATCATGTTGTAGTTCACATTGATTGAGCATAGTTTGGCAATCCAACCAATCATGTTGTAGTATCGAAGGTAACAAAAGGTTATTTTTGTGATTTTTTACGAGGTGGACAAATTTTTGAGTCGTTGTTGCTGTTGTTGCGGCATCTTGACAAAACAAAAACAGAAAGTCGGCAAAGAAAATAAAAAATTTCATTTCATTGCAAAATGGGCCGAACTCAGACTCAAAAAGAAACTCTTGTTGTTTGCATTGTGTATTGTGTTAGAGATGATGATGATTATTATTACAAGATGGGCACACAAATTTACTGCAAGAGAACAAAAACTAAAAAAGAAAATCTTGACTCAGTTCTCTTTTCTTTTTTTTTTTTTTTCTTTTATCATTATCCAATAAACGATGGCTAAACGTCATTTGTGTATGGGTCCATTACACAAGAATGGAAAACCAGTAATCACAAGGGCATGGACATGGGCAAGTAAAAGCAAACGCTCCGGTGGGATTCCAACAAGGTGTACGTTTTGTCTTTTTAATCAAGTTGTGTTCCTGACTCTGACTCCGACCAATTGAATTGATTTTTGGGTTATCTTTAAAATCATATTGCGTTGAAACAGTGTACACTGCTGATTCATGTGTGGGTCTGTAGTATTCCTCCTCCTCCTGCTGTTGTTGCGCTTTTCTTTTTCATTTTGCCTTGAAAACAGATGGATGATTCAGGGCAATTTTCTTTTTTATTGAGTTTTTGCGATTCATTGTAAGGTGGTTTTTTTTTTTTCTTGACTTAATTTTGCATTCTCCGAGGTGACTCTCTTAGTCTCTTACTCTCTGTCTGTCTGTTGCCTTGTGTTTTGTGTATTGGTTGAAATATGAGCTAACATAGTTAACTAGTGTAGCCATTTTAACAGACTGTAGTCTATTGATCGTGGTGGTGGTGGTGCTAACTAGAACAATTGACCTGTATCCTAAATGGAGTAAGCCGAACCGGTGATTTTTGTTGATTGTTCTTGTTGTTTTATTTATATGAGTATGTGGGGGAAAGAAGAAGGGGAGGCAGGCAGACAGACCAGACCAGACCGGGGGCCGGAAGCGGTTGAAGTCTAGTCACGATAGACACGACTCAGGTCAAATGATTCTTATTGGCAGATGAGTCGTCTTATCTGCAATATCCTGCATATTGGCCTCATTATTACAATGTGATTTTCTTTTTCTCTTAATTTAATTTTACGGGTTCTTTTGGTAAGGTAAGGTAAGGTAAGGTAAGGAAATTAACTATAGGAAAAAGAAATCAATGAAAATCAAAAAAAAAAAGAAAAATATCACAATTTTGTTGGATACTGATAAACACACACCAGGATGAATTTTTTTTTTTTTTTTTTAAATTTAAATTAATTACTACACAATATGAAAATTTATTAACTAATTTACATTTGAGCAAGACTGTTTAATAAATTTCAAGAATATAAATATCCAATTGATCTTCCCTTCTTTTGGTTTTTTTATAAATTCTAGTTTTTCTTTTTAAATCTTTTTATTTTTTTTTTTTGTATTTTCATTAATCAATCCTTTTTATATCTACATCTATCAATTATCTACAATGGTCTTACCTTACGAACCAGAATTCCAACAAGCTTACGATGAATTAGTCTCTGCTATTGAAGACTCTACTTTGTTCCAAGAAGAACCAAAATACAAAAAAGTCATCCCAGTTGTTTCTGTCCCAGAAAGAAGTGTCCAATTCAGAGTTGCTTGGGAAAACGATAAAGGTGAAATTGAAGTCAACCACGGTTACAGAGTCCAATACAACTCTGCCTTGGGTCCATACAAAGGTGGTTTGCGTTTCCACCCAACCGTCAACTTATCCATCTTGAAATTCTTGGGTTTCGAACAAATTTTCAAGAATGCTTTGACCGGTTTATCCATGGGTGGTGGTAAAGGTGGTTCCGACTTTAACCCAAAGAACAGATCCGATAGTGAAATCAGAAGATTCTGTGTTGCTTTCATGAGACAATTGGCTAGATACATTGGCCCAGATACTGATGTCCCAGCTGGTGATATCGGTGTTGGTGGTAGAGAAGTCGGTTTCATGTTTGGTGCCTACAAGCAAATGCAAAACAACTGGGGTGGTGTTTTGACCGGTAAAGGTTTGTCTTGGGGTGGTTCTTTGATCAGACCAGAAGCCACTGGTTACGGTTGTGTCTACTATGTTGAAAAAATGATTGAAAAAGCCACTGATGGTAAAGAATCATTCAAAGGTAAAAGAGTTGCCATCTCCGGTTCTGGTAACGTTGCCCAATACGCCGCCTTGAAGGTTATTGAATTGGGTGGTATTGTTGTCTCCTTGTCTGACTCCAAGGGTTCCATCATCTCCAAGAACGGTATCACTGTTGAACAAGTTCAAGCCATTGCCGCTGCCAAATTGAAATTCAAATCTTTGGAAGAAATCACCAAAGAATCCGTTCAATTGTTCTCCGGTGACAACTCTGTTGAATACTTGGCTGGTGTCCGTCCATGGACTAAAGTCGGTGCTGTTGACATTGCCTTGCCATCTGCTACCCAAAACGAAGTCAGTGGTGACGAAGCTAAAGCTTTAGTTGAAGCTGGTTGTAAATTCATTGCTGAAGGTTCCAATATGGGTTCCACCAAAGAAGCTATCGATGTTTTCGAAGCCAACAGAGAATCCAACGGTGTTTGGTACGCTCCAGGTAAAGCTGCCAACTGTGGTGGTGTTGCCGTCTCTGGTTTGGAAATGGCCCAAAACTCCCAAAGAGTTCAATGGACTCAAGAAGAAGTTGATGCTAAATTGAAGGACATCATGTACACTTGTTTTGAAAACTGTTACCAAACTGCTCAAAAATACTCTGTTGAAAAGAACAGCAACGGTTTGCCATCTTTGTTGAAGGGTGCCAACATTGCTGGTTTCATCAAGGTTGCTGATGCTATGTTTGACCAAGGTGATGTTTTCTAAGCCTTATCAAAGATAATCAAAAAGTATTGAGAATAAAGAATAAAAAAAGAATGATAAAAAAAAATAAAACTCCATGGTTTTTATTTTCTTCTGTTTTTATTAAAGATTCTTACATGTATTAATGGGTATTTAGTTCTTTTTCATTTATTATATTGTATATTTTCAAAGATGTTTCTAGTATAGTTTTATTTTGTACATTATTATAGAAATGCATTTTATTTCCTTTTAGATTGAGTTTCATTCTGTAACTGATATTCCATAATAAATGTACGCCGTTGGAAAAGGACGTGCGCGTCTGTCCAATATCGATCGACAAATCGCAATCGAAGTTTAATGAGACGAGAAGCAAACAAATCAAAACAAACAAAGGAAAGAAAGAAAAGACAGAAAAAAAAACAAACAAAAAAAATCAAACCATTTAAGTAAAAACACGATATTTTTAAAATTATTATTCAAGTTTTATCAATACTACTACAGTTAATTCTCCACACACACACATATATATATATATACACATATATACACAGCTAACAGTTGTCTAAGACATAATAATACTATAGAGTCAGATATAAATCTATAAAACATTGAAGTAATGCCTCCTAAAGAAAAACCATCCAAAGAGGACATTAGAGGTCAATTATCTGACATCCAAAAGAGACTATTCACCAAGAAATCTTCAACATCAGGATCAGGATCTGGGTCAGGATCAGGATCAGGTCCGAAAAATCCTCTAAGAGAATCAAATAGTCAATCATCCACACCAAGTAATGATCAAGAAAAATTTGCTAATTTTCTACCACCTATTCCTAAATCTAGCGGCGGAGAATCACTTACCGCGCCAGCTCCTACAAAGAGAACATCTCATCATAATCTATCTTTAGGTCCAGAATCTAAAGGTAATGATATGAACTTTGTGGTTGGGTTAAGTGAAAACTTGTTGACCGAGTGTCGTCGTTTAAATGCCGAAAATATAAAATACAAGAGTAAATTGAAGGCAGCATTAGATGAGATCCAGAATTTTAAAGAAGAAGCCTCACAATTACGCGATTTCAACAAATCTCAAAGTGCAAATGAACTGAATTTGAAAGATAAAAACTGGGAATTAGAGAGCAAAGTTATTAGTTTGCAAGATGAAATCAAAAACCTGAAACGTGCTTTTGATAAAGCCACACGTGAGAATTCAGAACTATCAAATCAAATCAATAATTTGAATCAAATAAATGACAAATTGGAATTAAGTAACCAATCTTTGTCCAAAAATTTAAGGGACATCAAAGTTAGCACGCAAAATGAAATTCTAGCTTTGAATGAACGAATCGAGAGTTTAAACGATGAAAATGATCAATTGCATATGCGTTTAGCAGGTGCAGATACAACCACCCAGACGCACATTGAAACTTCCAAAGATATCAGTACCAAACTGGTTGATGATAGTTCTGAAGTTGACGAGGATACCACTGAATTTGATTCGATTTTGAAGGAATTGCAACCATGTGATATCCCAGACTCCAATCCAGCCAACCCACAATTGGAAATTGATACCTTGAGATCAACATTGCAACATTCCAATAGAACAATTGCAAAATTGAGATCTTCCATGCTTAAATATAGAAAAGTTGAACAACAAGCTTCATTTTCACAACAACAAAGAACACCAATGAAATTGGGCTCAAGTGGTAAACCAAAATTAAGAGCATCAAAAAGTGAGCTCACTCAATCCAGTAGAAATTCCATGATGATTTCTCCATCTCGAAAGGATTCTAAATTTTTAATTCTTGACAATGAAGATAATACCACTCGTACTGATGATGGTGATGATGATGTTGACGAAGAAACAGAACCTTTCCCAACTGAAGGAGGCAAATGGGAAGACTTTTTTGGTGATGATGTTGATCCTTCTGCTGCTACTCCTTCGAAATTGTTGCCTAAGAAAATATCGGCCGACTCAGATACTGAATCAACCCATAGTCGAAGCATGAATGTAACTGTTGCAACTGGCGACTATAATATTCCATACTTGGTAGAATCGTCTGATTCTGATAGTGAATCTGGCATGCTTGACGAAGACTCACCATCCAAAAAACCGGCTAGGTCATTGACATTATCCAAGGAATTAGAGCAATCAAATGACTTGCGAAACAAACATATTCAAGATTATGCTGCTTCCAATAACTTGGTTCTTGTTCCATTTGATGAATTGGAAAAATTAAAGACAATAGATGATGCCAAGTTGCTCTCTATGGCACAAGAAAAGGGCTATCACTTGCTTACCACCAAAGAGTACGAAGAGTTGATGTCTGAAGAAGAAATGAGAAAGAAACTTGAATCCAAGGGTCTCGTGACGCTTCCTCAAGATGAATATAATACTATGTCCGACAAATTGAAGAGCCCCGATAAAGAATTTATCACCGAGAAAGCCAATGCCATGGGATTGATTGTTTCATCCACTGAGGTTTACGATTCATTGGTCAAAAATTCAACCGATCCATCAATAGATCACCTTACCGAAATGGCCAATGCCAAGGATTTGACAGTAATCGCCAATGAAGAATTGGACCATTTAAAGAATCCAACCATTGAAGAGGTTTCTGAGTTTGCAGCTAACTGGAATTCAAAAGTTATCACCAATGATGAGTACAGTTCATTGACTGATCCTAGTGTCGATACAATAAAGGAAAGAGCAACCGAACACAACATGGTGGTGTTGCCAGAAGAAGAACACACAAGGTTGGTGAAACCATCTTTAGAATCATTATCATCTCATGCATTATCCCATAAACATGTTCTTGTTGAAGGAGCAGAATTAGAGCTGTTGAAGAAATTAGCTCATGAACCAAGCTTGCACCACGTTAAGTTAAATGCTGATAAGTTGAATTTAATCACCATGTCAAAATCAGACTACACAACATTATTTAAGTCCGCCAATGAACCTTCAATTACCCAGTTGAAGACTAAAGCTGGCGATTTGGGTTACACTGTGATCAAACAAGATGAATACGATACTATGACAGACAGTATTCTTCATCCAAAGGTCGAATCAGTTGCTGAAAAGCTTCCTGACTATAAGATTGTCCCAGTGAATGATTATAACGATTTAATCAAGCTAGCACATGAACCCGAGTTCTCACACATTGAATCTAAAGCCAAAAACTATGACCATCAATTAGTCAAGAATGACGATTTGGAAAAATTAAACAATCCAAGTTTGGATACCCTTCGTAACAAAGCTGGTTCTTTGGGTCATGAAATTATCGATAAGTCAGAGCTTGTTGATCTCCAAACCAGAGCAAATGATCCTGATGTTGAACATATCAAGTCGGTTGCTGAAAAGATTGATTATTCAGTTGTACCAAATGCCGAATTAGAACAGTTGCACAGACCAACTTTGGAAACAATAAGTAATAAGGCTTTAGAATTGGATCATAAGATCATTCCACTGAATGAATACCAAGAATTGTATCAATTGGCACACAAACCTAGTATTGAACATATTTCTTCAAAAGCAAAGGAAACCAATCATAAATTACTTCCAAATGAAGAGGTTGAAAACTTGCAAGAGTTGGCTTATAATTTCAGTGTTCAAAGATTAAGAGATTTGGCCAAGAAGAAGGACTGCTCTGTTGTTGATAACAAAGAATTGGACTCCTTGAAAAATCCATCCATTGAAAGAGTTCAAGATATTGGTAAATCATTAGGTTACGCAGTGATTGCAGATGATGAATTGAATTCTTTGAAGAAACCTACACTCGAAGCTATTCAAGCCAGAGCTCATGAGTTGAATCATGCTGTGGTTAGTAATGATGAATTAAACTCATTGCACAATCCAGATCTCGAGACTATTAAATCAAGAGCTGCAGAATTAAACCATAATGTTATCGCGAATGATGAATACAATGAATTGAAACAATTAGCTCATGAACCAAGTATAGATCATATTCAAACCAAGTCAAAGAGTCTCGGCTTTATTCCAGTCAAGGAAAGTGATCATGAAGAGTTGCAAAGTTTGGCACACCATCCAGATGTTGAACATATAACTGAAAAAGCTAAAGTACATGGTTTGGTACCAGTGAAGGACGAAGAACTCTCGCAATTGAAGGTATTGGCACACGAACCAACTTTAGACCATATTATTGAGAAATCACGTGCACATGGTCATGTTCCAGTTGAGGAAACTGAACTTCTGAAATTAAAGACTCTTGCTCATGAACCGGAATTGGATCATATAATTGAAAAATCTAAGAACCATGGCTATATACCAGTGAAGGAATCAGAATATAGTGAGTTGACCCAATTGGCTAATGAACCAACTATTGATCATATCCGTCTGAAGTCGACACAATTAGGTTATGTCCCAGTTAAGGAAGACGACTGGGAAAGATTACAAGAATTGGCTAACCACCCAGACTTGAAGCATATTGAAGACAAGTCGAAAGAGTTGGGTTACATACCTGTCAAAGAAGAAGAGTTCAACGAAATGAAGCAAATTGTTGACAAGCCAACTATTGATCACATCATCAAGAAGTCAGGAGAGTTGGGATATGTTCCAGTACAAGAACACGAGTTAGAAGAGTTGCGCCACCCAACCAAGGAACACGTTGAGGAATTAGCAACAGGTTATAATTTGGTTGCAGTACCGAAGGATAAATACCAAGAATTGGAGTCAACTGTTAACGAACCTACTATTGATTTTATAAAGACCAAAGCCGAGTCGTTGGGTTCTGTTGTTGTTGCCAAAGAAGAATATGAAAAACCAAGTCTTGACGAATTGAAATCGAAGTCAGCAATTCATGATCATGTCATCATTCCTCATGAAGAATTAGCAGAATATAAATCTATTATTGAAAGCCCAACACATGATTACTTGCACGAAAAACTGGCATCAAAGGGATTAAAGATCATAGAGAACAAGGATTATGAGGACTTGCACGAGAAAGCACATACTCCAAAGGAATCCCATTTAGCAGAAAAAGCTGGTGCATTAGGTTTGACTTTGATTGGTGTTGATGCGTTGAAGCAATTGAATGATAAAGTTGACAACCCTGCCAAGGAATATCTTATTGAAAAAGCCAAGTACCAAGATTTGTCAGTTGTTGAAAATGAAAAATTATCGGAGTTGGAGAAATTAGCATACTCTCCAGATATTGCTCATATTGAACTGGTTGCTCTGAAACAGGATGCGACTGTCTTGCTGAATAGTGAACATAAAGAATTAGTGAAGAATGCAACTGATCCATCTGTCGAACACATTAAATCAGTTGCAGGGGCCAAACAGTTGACTGTTTTGGATAATGATGCTTTTGCTGATTTGACACAGAGGGCAGATAATCCTTCGATTGAACAACTCACAGAAGCTGCCAAGAAGAGAGAATGTGTTGTTGTTCCAGACAATGAATACACCAAATTGGTTAATCCAAGTTCTGAACAAGTAACATCCATGGGTTCCAAATTAGGATTGGCAGTTGTTCCATCAACAGAATATACAACCATGAAAGAAAGCATTGAGAAACCAAGTTTGGAATACTTGCAAACTAAAGCGTCTGATCTTTTCAAATCAGAGATCATTTCCAGTGACAAAAAGAGGGAGTTAGAAACATTAGCTCACAAACCTGATGTTGATCATATTAGAGAAGTTGCTACATCTGTGAACCATTCTGTTGTACCTAATGACGAATTGGACAACTTGAAACAGTTGGCAAACTCTCCAGATGAGGATCATGTCAGATCCAAAGCACTTGGTTTAGGGTTGGTAACTATCCATGAGGCGGAACATAAGGAATTATTGAATCCTCCAAAATCAAAACTTGAAAGTCACGCTACTAGCATAAGTCACACATTAGTTTCGAATGAAGAAATTGATCGCTTGAAGAGATTAGAGGAAAATCCATCCAAAGAATTCATTGAGTCCAAAGCATTACAGCATGACTTGGTTACATTGTCAAGAAAGGAACACAGTGAATTGTCGACTTTGGCCAACGAACCATCGAAGGATCACATTATTAGTAAAGCCACTGCTGTTGGATTGGCTGCTATTCCTCAAGTTAAATATGATAAGATGGTTACTAAGATTGATAAGCCAAGTATTTATTACTTGAATGAGAAGGCAGCTAGTGAACACAATTCTGTTGTCATTCCACAAGTTGAATATGATTCCTTAAAGGAAAGCATAGATAAACCAGAGTGGAATTACTTGGTAGAAAAGGCAAAGTCTCACCTGGCTGTTGTTGTTAATGACAAAGAGTATAATGACTTGGTACAGCTTTCAGTTGACCCAAGCGCTACCTTCATCGAGAACAATGCTAAGAAACATGGAAATTCTGTGATTTCTACTGAAAAGTTGAATAATCTTGAACGTCTTGCTCACCACCCATCGAGAGAAGAGGTCCATGACAATGCTGATAAACTCGGGTTGGTTGTATTGGATCAAAACGATCACAAAGAGTTGACCCATAAGATTGATAATCCATCAGTTGAGTATCTTCGAGAACACGCAAGTAAGTTGAACTATACTGTAGTATCATCACCTGATTATGACAAGTTGACTACTTTGGTGGACTCACCATCGAAGGAGCATATTGAAGAGAGAGCTGAATCCGCTGGTTTAGTGGTGATTCCTAAAGAAGAATACAATCAATTGGTTGAAGAGTCAAACAATCCAGATAAATCAAGATTATCTAGTTTGGCAGATGCAAAAGGATTGTTGGTTATTGATAAAGAAGACCACCAAAAGTTGGTAGATCAAGTAAGCCATCCAACTATGGAATACTTGCGTGAACATGCTGACAGACAGAGTGCAGTTGTCATGACGATTGATGAGCACAGTAAATTGAAGAATCAAATTGACTCACCTAATACATCCTACTTGGAACAAAAATGCTCAGAAAAGAATTTGGCTGTTGTTGCTACTGCTGAATTGAACAAGCTTAGATCCATTTCAGAAGAACCAAGTATGGATTTCCTTAAAGAACATTCATTGAAATCGAACCATGAATTGATAGCCAAAGATGATCTCACAAAATTGAAATCAAGTGTAGACTCACCTAGTGAAGAGTACATTAAACAGAAAGCAGCAAAATATAATCTCGTGACTTTACCAGAAGCTGAATATGAGTCGTTATTGGAACCAACCAAAGAAGCCGTGACAGCAAATGCTTCGAAATTGGGATTAGCCACTATTGAGAAACCAGAATTGGATTTGTTGAAGAGTACAGTTGAAGAGCCTAGTGTTGAATTCATTACTGAGAAGGCTGCCAATACAGGATTCGTTGTTATTCCTAAAGGCGAATTTAATGAATTGAAATCGTCTATTGACAAGCCAACAGAGAAATATGTTGTTGACAAGGCAAAATCTTTAGGTCTCGTAACCTTGACAAACAGTGAATATGAGACATTGAATGAGAAGGCACACAAGCCAAGTAAAGATCATATTGCGTCCGTTGCTGGAATATTGGGATTATCAGTGCTTGGAAATGAAGCCCACAAGAGTTTGGTTTCTACGGCAAACACACCATCATTGGCGCATATCAAGGATAAAGCTTCCAAACATAACCACGTTGTGATTCCTGAATCCGATCATGATAAATTAATTGAAAAATCCAACAAGTCGATTGATACCATCGCTGATGAATTAGGAATGGTCGCTATAAGTAAAGATGTACATTCTGATTTGGTAAACAAATCTTCACGATCCGTAGAAGATCTTGCTCGAGAAAACGATATGGTTGTTCTTCCATCTGAAGAATATAAGGAGCTCACAACCAAGGCATCAAAGAGTTTGTCAGATATTGCAAAAGAGAACAAATTGGTTGTGATTCCAGTGAAAGACCATCAAGAGTTGATAACTAAAGCATCCAAAACATTAAATGACCACGCTGATGAGCAAGGAGCTATTGTATTATCAAATGAAGAACACACCGAATTGGTCAAAAAGGCTTCAAAGACAGCTGAAGAGCATGCCAAAGACAAAGGTATGATTTTACTCCCACTTGACGAACACGATAACTTACAGATGAAAGCATCAAGATCATTGAAGGATATTACCGAAGAGCATGGAGTGGTTGCTATTCCACACGACGAGCATCAAGATTTGATTGCCAAAGCTTCAAAGACATTGGATGATCATGCAAAAGAGCAAGGAGTGAAGATTGTTGCAACTGGTGAATATGATGATTTAGTATCAAAGGCATCAAGGACTGCAGATAAATTGGCAGAAGAAGAAGGCAAGATTGCCATTCCTCTTGAACACCATCGTGATTTGAGTGAGAGAGCTTCAAAGACGGTTCATGACCTTGCTGAAGAGCAAAACTTGGTAGTCATTGAAAAGGAGAAGCATGCTGAGTTGGTTACCAAATCAGAAAAGTCCATTGAAGATCATGCTAAGGAACATTCAATGGTTGTTATTGATCATGATGAATTACAAGAGTTAAGAGAATCTGCCACCAAACCATTGGATATTAAAGCCAAGGAATTGGGAATGTCAGTCATAGAAACTTCTGAGTTGAATGAGATGAAGAACACTATTGAGAATCCTACTCTTGAATACTTGAAAGAATGTTGCAGAAAGCACTTGCAAAAAGTTGTTCTGGAAGAAGACTACGAACACCTTCAACTGGTTGCCAATGAACCTATTGAAGAAAAAGCAAAAAGTATGGGAATGGAAGTTATTGCCGCTGATAAATTGAAGAGTCTTGAAGAATCAATTGAAAAACCAACATTGGATTATATCAAGGATAAGGCTAGTGCTCAAGGATTTAATATAGTTCATGTTGAAGATTTGAACCAAATGAAAGAACAATTAGCCAAACCAATAGAAGAACTTTCAAAGGATAAAGGGTTGGTTGCAGTGAAAGAAGATGAATACAACACATTAGTGTCAAATGCAAATGAACCTTCATTGGAATTAGTTGAACAATTTGCTGGTAAACATAATTGCGTGGTTGTTAAAGGTGACGAATATGACAAGTATTTGACCAACTACAATTCACCAGATATTGAGTTCCTTGAATTGAAAGCAAAAGACCGTGGACTTGTGGTTGTTGATGAAGCTGAATACAAAAAGACCGTTGCCACAAGCGAAGAGACTATTGAAGAAAAAGCAGAAAGAAGCAATTTACAGTTAGTACCAAAGCATGACTATGAAGAATTGATGAACAAGATTGAACATCCAACCCATGATTTCTTGGTGGAAAAGGCACATGTTTTGAATGAAGTTGTTATTCCCGAAGAAGAGTATAATAATTTGATCAAACTGGCCAATGAATCTGTTCATGATAAGGCTTTAGTTGCAGGAATGGTGGTCTTGGATAAAGATGAACATTCGAAATTGCAATCTACCCACATGACTCCATCGCTTGACTTTTTACATCTGAAATCAAAGGAACAAGGAATGTCATTGGTTAGTGAAGCTGATTTGAAAGAGTTGCAACAGAAGGTTAATAGTCCATCTATTGAACAACTTCTGGATGCTGCAGATAAACAAGGTCATGTTGTTGTTGATAAAGAACAGTTCCAAAAGATGACTGATGATTTTAACCAATCTTTGGAGGATAAGGCTAAAGCCAAAGGATTGATGGTATTGCCAGAAGATGAAGTTTTGTCATTAAAAGAAGTAAAAGACCAACCAAGTGTTGAATTCCTTAAAGAGAAATGCGATAACCAAGGATTGTTAGTGGTGAATAAAGACGAGCATGAAAAGTTGGTAAAAGAAGCAGGAACTCCTCTTGAGGATAAAGCTGCTTTAGCCAACATGGTATTGATGTCTAAAGACCAACATGATGAAATTATAAGTCCAAGCTTAGAGAGAGTTAAAGAGCACGCCCATACTCACGGTCATACATTGGTTGCTGTTGATGAATTGAACGAATTAAAGTCGAGAGCCGATGAACCAAGCATTGAAAAATTACAACAAATTGCTGAAAAGAACAACTTTACATTGGTAACCAACGATGCTCATGAGGATTTGGTTAGAAGAGCTGATGCTACGATCCAGGACAAGCTTGAAGGAACAGATTGGAAGTTGATCAAGAATGAAGAATATGATGAGTTGATTCTTAAAGCGCACCAGCCAACTATTGAAGATATCACAAAGTCTGCAGGAGCAATCGGCTTTACCGTATTGTCTATTGAAGAAGCAGATAAGATGAAAAAGAGGTTGAACCAACCATTAGATGAATTAGCTGCTGAAGCAGGATTGGTAATGGTTACGAAAGAGGCACACGATTCAATGACTGCACAGTTAGAACAGCCTTTGGTTGAAAAGGCTGCTGCTGAAGGATTCGAATTGATTAACAAGGACGAATTAGAAGCAATCAAGATATCTGCCGCCCAACTGGCCGAAGAAAAAGCAAAGAATGATGGCAAGATTGTTATTTCACAAGAGTCATATGATGAATTGGTCAGAGAAAGAGATTTGCTTGATGCTAAGTTTGCTGGTGTCAATATAAGTACTGGAGACGAACTGGCCATTGCCAATGTGAAGGACCAATTTAAGACCTTGGGATTTACTGTCGTTCCTAATGAGCATGTGAAGACTGTACGTACTTCAAAATCATTCAGTTCTGAATCAGATCAATACCATGATGCCGAAGAGTCGTTTGTGCTTTCTGAAGAAGAGTTGACTAATTCTGCATCGAAATTAGGAATGGTGGTTATATCTAAGAGTGAATACGAAAAGTTGTCGCATGCTGATGAACAAAAAGTTCGTGGATTAGCTGCTGGATTGTCGTTGTCGGTCATTGCTGAAGTGGAATTGCTTAAATGGAAACAATCATTAGCTGCTAAAGATGATGAGATTTACAGTTTAGCAAAAGAAAGGGACACTAAAGCTAGTGAGATTGAGAAATTGATCCAAGAAAGAGATGCTAGTGTTAAGGCATTAGAAGATGAACAAGCTGTGTCAGATGCTGCTTTGAAATTGTCGATTTTACCAATCCCTGAATCACAGTATATCAGCACCACAGCTCATCCAAAACCAGAGGCTACAAATGTGAAAGTGGTACCAACAAGTTACTTCAACCAATTGCTCAAGTTAAAGGCGATGTCCCTTGAGAAGTGTTCTGATGAACTTTTCAAACAGCATGCTGAGAAACGTGGTTTCATTCGTAAGGATGAGATTACTCCAGTTATAGCTTCCACAGCACAATTTAAATCGAGTCCAGCCTCACAACAAAGAGACTCTTTTGATCTGAGCAACAGAATCACACCACCTTCAAACCTCATTGCTAGACAGCGCCAGACAACACCTGGGTCCTCTAGAAATAGTTCTGGTGGTAGCGTTACAAGAGGTGTTGGTCCTGGTATACCACAGTCGACTTCTGTTGTTTCACATTTGTCCGAACAATCGGCTCCAGATTCACTTAGATCCAATGCCATATTCTCGATGGCCACAGATGTGTCTTTGACAGATAAATCAATGATTCCTGCAATCACACAAGTTGTTATTGGTGAGTATTTATTCAAGTATTACCGTCGTTTGGGTCCATTTAAAGTTATTAGTGAAACCAGACATGAACGATACTTCTGGGTTCATCCATATTCGTTAACACTTTATTGGTCTGAAAATAATCCAAGTTTGGCCAATCCATCCCAGGTTAGAACTAGAGCTGCTGCTATCATTGGTGTTGAGAGTGTTGAAGATAATAACCCATTACCAACTGGCTTATACTATAAGAGTATTATTGTTCATTCTACTGATAGATCGATCAAGATTACATGTGCAACTAGACAAAGACACAATATTTGGTACAATGCCTTACGTTACTTGATCAACAGAAACATTGACGATTTGACTATTGATGAAGACACAAATGCTGAAATCATTTCACAACAAATAAGTTCAGATGAAGGTGGTTTACATCCTCCACCAGTTAAATCTGAATCACAAAGAAATTTGGAGACATTGATGGATACAGGTGACAGACGTGCTTATCCAAGACCAAGAAGAATAAACTCGACCCCACTTGCATCACAACCATCATCACCAACATCAAGACTTTCAAGATTCCTGTCATTAAGAAGATTATAGGTGGTAAAGACGGGTAACTTATTTAAAACGAGTGTACATTAGAATTTTTAAAAGACGTAATTTATTTAATATTATTAATTTTGTTTGTCCATTCTTGTAGAATTTACTCTGGCAATAACCCGAGTTAACCTAACTTAGAAGAATAAGGTTTTTAAATGGGGAGGGGGGCTGATTAAACCAGTTGAGAAAAATACTCTAAATTAACATCCCGACTTGAATGCCGAAAATAACAATCCCGGTACAACATGTTTGTCATGTATTAAGCTTGAACCCCCTAAGTAGTGTAGACAACAATATAGAGTATTCCGATATGTAGTGTGTCGTTCAAAAGTTGTTATGGCTTTTATATGTTAATAAATGTAAGCAATTATGTGGAGATTTGCAGAGAGCAAGCAACCACTTAAATGGTATGATTTATTTCAAGTCCAACATATAATATATATCTTTGTTGGCATTGTTCAAAGAGATCATGCATGGTTTATACGGAGCAATAGGATCGGATTTTGTTATTTTGTTTCCATACCGACCTGAACCCTTTCATATCTTTGAAGAAAAATATCATACAAACTTTGTTGTTGCGGACTTTATTATTTGGCAATCGTGTTGGTTAAGAGCAAAAGGTAAGTTAAACACACAAATTAGAAATAAAGGCTAGTTGAAAGCCCGCAAGTGTTATAAGCCAAACTATTGTATATATCCCACCCACGTTTTACTCAATGAATCATAGCAATCTTCCCAACAATTAAACGGAAACGACCAATTGCTATGACGTGACAAAAAAATTATCTATTGCCTTTACAGTTCGGCTGCACCGCGCACTCACACACACACACAAGGCGATAACAATATAAATTAGTGCGATGCGCACGACCTCATAGATAGGCAGAAAAAAAAAAGTGAAAAAAAAGAAACTCAATCTACAATGGTGATGCGGTGATATCCACATGTGGGTCGTGCTTAAATTTTAGTATTGATAAATTGAAATCTACCAGTAACTTACATGTTTTCTTACCAGAATCACCTTTAGACTCTTATAGATCACCAAACAGTATTTTTTATATATGTTCATACAATAATGGGTCTTGCATTTCGACATGTTAATTACTTGGGGTATGGTATCTACAATGATATCAAAAGTAGATTACCGCATTATGCATCTGATTTCAAAGATGCTTACAATTATAGAGTCATACCGTCTACAACATTTATATTCTTCACAAATTTATTACCAGCTATAGCATTTGCCCAGGATATGTTTGACAAAACAGATCATGCATATGGAGTTAATGAAGTGCTAATGCTGAGTGCAATGGCAGGTGTGGTTTTTGGATTATTATCTGGTCAACCATTATGTATAGTTGGTGTTACTGGTCCAATTTCGATTTTCAGTTATACAGTTTATGAGTTGATGCAACCAAGAGGAACACCGTATTTCCCATTCATGTGTTGGATATACCTTTGGTCCATGGTATTTCATATCATTATCGCCGTGGGAAATTACATTTCGTTTATGAGAATTATCAGTCTTTATTCATGTGATATCTTTGGATTCTTTATAAATATGGTTTATATTCAAAAGGGTATTCAAATAATAAGTAACCAATTTGACGAAGTTGATCTTGCTAGCGGTTACTGTTCCGTAATGATTGCTTTGTTGATGGTTATCTGTGGTGTTGGATCATCAATTTTTGGAAACAACTTACATTATTTCAAACCATGGGTTAGAAAAGTATTCACAGATTATGGTGTCGTAGCGCTGGTGATATTTTTCACCGGGTTTATCCATTTTGGTGGGAAACTTGATGACACAACATTGGCAAAGTTACCTATAACCCAAGCATTCCAACCAACTAAAAGTGGAGATACAAGACCACACGGTTGGTTCATTCATTTTTGGCCTGGAGAGAATATATCTGTGGGGGACGTTTTCTTGGCCATTCCATTTGCCATATTATTGACATTCTTATTCTATTTTGATCACAATGTTTCATCGTTAATGTGCCAACTGAAAGAATATCCGTTAACAAAACCTGCTGCATTTCACTGGGATTTCTTGTTATTGGGAATCACTACTGGTGTTGCTGGAATAATGGGTATACCACCTCCAAATGGATTAATTCCTCAGGCTCCACTACACACTGATTCTTTGGTGGTGTATGACAGTTCAGGTAAAAAGTTGTCAGTTGTTGAACAGAGAGTGACTAATACATTACAGGGAGCCATGACATTTGTAATGATGTCTCGTCCATTTTTGGTTCTTCTAGGATTAGTACCTCAAGCTGTACTTTCGGGATTGTTTTTCATTATGGCTATTGGTGGGTTGCATGGTAATATTGTTACCAACAGAATAAGATATTGCCTTTTAGACAAAGATTATATAGAGAATGATCCCCTGTGTCCAGATGTATGGAAAGATATACACAAGCTTCCGACCAAGAAGTGGTTTTATATTTATACTGTGCTAGAAGTACTTGGTGGAGTTGCCGAATTCATTATTACATTGACTAAAGGGGCAGTTGGGTTTCCAGGGGTTTTGTTATTCCTCGCGTTTTGTGCTAAATGGATATGGCCGTTATTTATTCCAAAGGAAGAATTAGCTAGACTTGACGGAGAGGTTGCTGATGAGTTCATTATTAGAAATTTTACCGTAGCTTCAGATGAAAAGGAAAGAAGGAAAAAAACAAAGAATGAAGATGTGGAGAAGGATATTGCGAGTGATTTCCAAGAGACCTCAAATACATTAAATCACAGGAATAATAGTATCTATTCCTCATCAAGCTGAGTGACAGTTAATACCGAGGAATAGTCTCTTTGTCAACAATTTGTTTATTAGGTTGAGAAAATTAAGGAAAGAGGAAGTTCCCCAATGCTTTAACCTTTTGACTATACAGTCACCTGCACATACTTGCATTTAATAAATATACACACATATATAATTTGACACAATTTCTCACTAGACGAACTTCGCCCCACGGAGCGACTCATATCCACAAAGTCATGTATTACAATTTTGCTAATAAAGTGGCCATTGTAACAGGTGGTATATCTGGAATTGGTTTGTCAACAACAATCAAATTGCTTCGAAGTGGAGCCAAAGTTGTTATTGGTGACTATAAGCACGAGTCAGAAATCGATACAACATTGAATTATCTTGAAGATGAAGTTCCAGAGAACCACAACTTCAAATTTTTGAGAACAGATGTGAGTAGCTACCAAGATAATATAAACTTAGTTGATTTCACCTTGGACCAATATAAAGATTTGGACTATGCTGTTGCAAATGCAGCTAGTTCGGAAAAGTTAATACCGGGTGCTGATGATAGTTTTGAACTGTTTGCAAAGAGCATAGATGTTAATTTGAACTCAGTCTTTTCATTGAACCAGCTTGCGATTAATTATTGGGAAGAATTCAATAGAACCGGTTCAATCGTGAATGTGAGCTCAATATTGGGGATAGTGGGAACAAATTGTCTTGCCAGTCACTGTGCGGCAAAGGGTGGTGTGAACTTATTGACAAAAGCATTAGCATTAGATTATGCTAAGAAAGGGATCAGAATTAACTCTGTATGCCCAGGTTATATCCACACTCCATTGCTTGAAAATTCAAACTTAGATGTTGATGAGTTGATTGAGAAACATCCCATTGGAAGGTTAGGCAAACCTAATGAGATTGCAAATGCAATTGCATTTTTATTATCTGATGAAGCATCATTTATCACTGGAACATCTTTGGTAGTAGACGGTGGTTATACTGCTCAGTAGGTGGTTTGTTTCACTAAGTAGTTATGTCGCAAAAATATTATGTCGTGTTAAGTTGCAATGTCGGTCTCTAGATTATTCTCCTTCAAGAAAATTTCAATGAAAAGATTCTGTTCACATTTTTTTTTTTCTCAAGTTTTTTTTTTTTTTTTTTTTTAGTATTGATTTCCAACCTGAAAACATACAAAGCAACTTTGATAACTACAGAATGGATAACAGGAGGGTTTATAAGTCGTATAGGGAAAAACTATCTAATAATGATAATGGGTTCAAACCTTATTCATTGATAACTGGAAAATTGAAGAGTTTGTTTCAGCTCAAAAAATCATCCCCATCGAATGATGAGAATCAATCATCAGCTTCAAGTATAGCAACAACGAAAGTGAATGAATCTACTGGGGCCACACCACTGTTTATAAAACCATTCAAATTCCCAGAACCGAAATTATCTGAAACATTACCCACTAACAAAAATTTTAAGTTACCAGGGTCATTTACCATTGTCTCACCAAAAGTGAAGAAACAACCACTGCATCAATTCGACGCTACTATGATATCAAGTAGATCGGGTCGTGTACAATCCACTACTGAATTAAACGAAGATGCCTCAATGAATGATGATGGTGATGGTGATGCCGATGTTACGGCAAATGAGGCATTGTCGAATTTTTTCAAAAGAAAGGGAGATAAACCACTAAATGATATTGAATATGAAGGAGTTATGGCATTGATATCGAAGTCAAGGTCAGGAACACCAATGAGAAAGAGAGTAATGTCTGAATCATTCTTTGATCAACCACAAAGAAAAAAGACCAAGAATGATACCGTGGGACATGATGTTGGACAAGAGCAAAAGACATTGATACACGATGCTTCCAACATCAGCTTCAACACATCAGAATACAAACCAAGCTACCATACTGTTCATAATGATACATTTGACAGAAGCCATAATCAATCATATAACAATACTACTTCAATGATCCCTTCAATAAAGAGAGTCTACCAATTTTCAGGATTACCTTCGCCATACTCAACAAGAATTAGACCTCCAAGTTCGTCAAGAAGACCACAAAGGGTTAGAGGGGATATAGACAGATCAATTAACGCCACAATGACTGATACTAGTATTAACAATACACTGGCTAATAAAACCCACGAATTTAAGAGTGAAACGTCTAAGTTATTGTTATCAATTCTAGATGGAAAAGGGGGTCCTGAAGTTCCCGAAGCAGAGGAAGATGAGTCACAAAAGGGTGCTTTTAAGTTTGTTAATCCATATTCTAAAAACGGACGTAGAGTTATATCGCGATCCAAGAAAACCCCGGCTGCAAACGCAACTGTTGCAAAACCAAAAACATCCATTTCTATTACAGCAAACGATATTGAAGAAACTATATCATATGACAAATCAGAAAAGTTACCAGAAGAGCCTAAAGATGCATCCATTGAGAAACAATTGGATAAGAAACTGGCCGATAAAGAAAATGGCAGCACGACTCCAGCAAAAGTTGCTGAAACCACCAAAACAAGTACCGTCGTGGAAGACAAAGCACCTCCAGCCACAAGCACACAAAGCACATTTTCATTCAAACCAATTAGCAATGGTTCACTGTTTTCTAGCAAATCGTCATCTGAAAGTACCAAGAAGATTGAAGAACAAACGAAACCAACTTTTTCATTCCCAACCACTAATAAATCGAACAAGCCAGAGAAAGAGTCTAATACAGGAATTGATAAATTTGCAACCGAATTTGTATTCCCTGATGTTGACATTAAGAAAGTTGCTATTGATTCAAATAAAGTTGATGATTTCAAGTCATTATTCCAATTTTAGAGATATTTAATTTGAGCTCATAACTACTTTTGTGTACAGATTATTATTATTATTATTATTTTGTTTGTAAATGTTTTATACTCGATAATTGCATAGATATTATTATATTCACCAAAAATAACACTAATAAATAAAAGAAGAAGAAGAAGTAAACAACTAGACTCACATTGTTATACAAGTATCACCAATTTAAACTCAATTTTTCACCGCCCACTAAATATAAAACATGGTGTTTCGGATATTTGGCGCTATGCCATCACCTAGTTTTGCATTTGCTCGTTCTATTGGAGAAGATCCCAAAGTTGTGTCTTTGGCAAAACCATAAATGTAATCCCTTCCACGAGTACAAAGTAAGTCTGCATAATAAGCAGCAGGAACAATTTTGACACTTTTTGTAGCTCTGCTAAATGTGTGACATAAATTATAAGTGATTCTTTGAATTTGATCCGAAGTATAGTTATTTTCATCATGTAAAACATAATAATGTGCAGAGACACCAGTTCCTTGTAATGCTTGCTGAGATTGAATGTAAAAATCAAAATACGCTTGCGATGTAATATCTCTGTCAACAGTTGTTCCCGGTATAACATTCTCATAGCTTTGAACAGCCACTACTTTGTTTGTTCGTGGATCCTTTGCATTTTTCTCTAATGGAATGAATCTAGTATGGTGTCTCTTTACAACAATCATAAAAGTTATAGTTGGTGAATATTTTGGCACCTTCTTGGACCTACCATACTCCGCAAATGCAGCCTTAATCTTTGATAATTCTTCTTTCAAAACAGTATAGTATTGTCCCTCAGACACTCCATCACGATAAAACAATACCTTGGAAGGTAACTTTTTCACTTTATTATGGAAATTTTCCAATCTTTCAAGAACCATTCCTTTAATATCCTTGATAACTTCTTGCCCACCAGATTGAATTCGAATTGAACCTGGGAATTTGTTGAAAATGCCATCCTCACTTGCCACACAAGCAGCAATTGAAACTGATTCATGATTTATTTGTCCAGTTGGATGGGTAACATCAGCTCCAAGAATCATAATAGGGACACCATTCTTATCAACTAAACTGGCACTATCTTGGTGTGACAATTTGTGGTTTGAACCACCCAATTTAATGTTCACTTTCATGGCCATTTGTGCATAAGTCATAGTATCAAACGAGCCTCTTCTTTGCTTGATAAATACACTTAAAATAGAACAACTGTTAAGAATACCAACCTTTAAATCACAAACTCTTTTCACAGACAAATAATAGGTTGTATCGCTTCTCGGTAACAAAACTAAAAGATAATCACATTTGTCTTGTGACTTGGCCTTTTTGAATATACTTGTCAAAGTTGCCTCCAATCCAGCTTGAGTTTTCACACTTTCATGCTGTAAATCAACAGAGTATTTTCTGAAGTCATGTCCATTATTAGACTTGCGAATAGGGATACCTAATCTGCCAAGCTCGGATAAAAAAAGTGGAACCGCTGAAGAAAATGCTCCGATTTTCTCCTTAGTGACTGAACCATCCTTCAAAAGACAAATTCCAAAAAGGTATTGCTTAGCTCTTGCAGGCTCAACGAATTGAAAATTTTCAAGATTCCAGTTACCTTTTTTAGTTTCATTTTTCCCATTAGCAGGAACATCTCTGTAAGTTACCTTTTGGTTCTTTGCATACTCGATTGTTGGAGCACTCAATACTCTTGCTGGGACAACAGTAAATTTCTGGTCTATGGTACCAAAATCAACTTGTTTCTGGAACAAATTGCTGTTAGCCAGAGCAATTAATTTAGCTCTTTCCATTGGCCTTGAAGCTGTAATTTTAATAATCTTTGCCGGATCAGCCAATTCACCTTTATACTGCTGATTTGGCATAATCAAACCAAGTTCCATAGGCAAATATGCTTCCAGACTAATTTTTATCAATGGTAACTTGGGGTACTTTAAACTAATCGACCATCTCTGCTTGAAGTATTGTTTCACAGTAACTAATTTATCATCAGAGTCCTTAAATTTCAATGTCTCTGAATTATCTTTGAAATTGAAACCCAAGATTGCCTTTGCAGAAGCCTTTGGTAGATATTGACGACGAATCTTAACACCTTTCATAAATTGCTCAGATTTTCTGATATCTCTTTCCGTTGGCAACCCTTTAAGGTTCAAAAATTCAGCAATCAAATCCAAAACATTCATCTGATCACCATTGCTTTTCACTGATTTATAGAATATAGCTGGCGTAGGATTAAGGTTAACCTGAATGTTGTCAAATGAGCATCTAACTGAAGCAAAAGTGCCCATGACGAGATACAAGCCTTTTTCTAATTCATGTTTTTTGGTACTTTTATCAATTAAAAAGAACTTATTCGATCCAATTCCAACAACATGGTTGTTTTGCAATACCTGAGATCCAATCACAGAAACTAATGCATTTGTGTACTCCGCAGTTTCTTGAAAATCGGTAGTGTACTTTTTCAACTGGGTATAATTGATCAAGTCATTGAAGTTCAATACTTTGATGAATTTCACTTTCAAGTGAACGGTTTTCTTCTCACCACTGACAGTAATTTCAATTGGGTAAACAACCACATCCTCAATTGGTAATGGAATACTAGAATACATGTTGTTGAAATCACGATAATAGATTTGAGATCTCTTGGATTTAAACGGCTCCAAGTCAAACAAGTACCGTTCCACAGCTTGTTTAGTGGTTAGCCTAGTTTTCACATTGGAACCAATTTCCAATTCAACACGGTACGAATACAATTTCAATCCAGTAACATTGTACTTGAAATAGTTAACACCAACCTTGGTGTTGACACCGGCACTGCCGTATGAGCTTCTCAATAAAATTGAATAAGGATCACTCTTGATTTCATTGGCAAACTTTTTCTTATAGGAGTTCACAGCTGGAATGCTATCTTGTTTAGGGGTAACAATTTTTGCAAATTCTACTGCACCACTCATCTTTATTTCGTTGGATCGGTACAGTGCACGTGCTAACAAGCCCCTAGTCGTTGAAAGATAGCGTAATTGTTTATACAAAGCTGGCAATTGAGGTGGTTGTCAAATTCCTCCTTATAGAGATATGTGATCGTAGAATATATAGCAAATGAACAAGAAAGCTAGCTATGTGGGGGACAAACCTAATTAAATACAAATTCAGGGAGGTTTTCAATTTCATCTTTCTCCCCCTGTATAAATTTTCTGGTGATACATATTCCATAAATCCGATTGAACAGAGAGGAGAAAAGTTAAAAAGTTAAATGAAACAATGAATAATTTATAATTCTCCGTCATGTCAACCTTACCCCTATTGTAAATTCTCAATATATATTAACAACTGGGAAGGTATATCAAGATACAGAACAGAGAAAGTCAAATTTAAAGAAAGCAAACAAATCTAGTACACGATAAATCCTATCTGATGATTATGAAAACATATTACCCCCCTCCAAATGGTTTTCTTTTTTTGTTGAAGAACTTTATATCTTATCTAATGGGAACTCTTTGTATTGTGTTACAATTTTGTATTTCCCCGATTACACGCCACGAGAATTGTACCCACGTGACACCATTTTCCCCGATCGTTTAGTCTACTTTTATACGAAGCGTCGCGCTGTACACGAGAGTCGCGCGACGTAAACCACGAAGAACGAACTGAGAGACCGTTGAAAAATAAATACAAAAGAGAAAAAAAAAAAAATTTCAGTATAGTAGTACGATATTTCTTCTACTTAAACCGGTGATATATTCTTTATTTAAACAACCATGAGTGAAATCGAAAACAAACTCAAGTCTGTATTGATTATTGGAGGTACCGGATTTCTTGGTCTTCATTTAATTGAACAATTTTATAGACATTGTCCTGATGTTTCTATTAACGTATTTGATATACGCCCATTACCAGAAAAGATATCAAAGTATTTCACATTTGATCCGTCTAAAATTACATTCTTCCAAGGGGATTTAACTTCAGAAAGTGATGTTGCTGATGCCATCACTAAATCCAAATGTGATGTTATTGTCCATACTGCCTCACCAATGCATGGTTTACCACAAGAGATTTATGAGAAAGTCAATGTCAGAGGTACTAATAATTTGATTGATGTCGCTAAAAAATTACACGTCAAAGCATTAGTTTATACTTCCTCAGCTGGTGTTATTTTCAATGGGCAAGATGTCATCAATGGTGATGAAACATGGCCATATCCAGAAGTCCACATGGATGGTTACAATGAAACCAAGGCAGCAGCTGAAACTGCGGTGATGAATGCCAATGATAATAATGGTTTACGTACTGTATGTTTGCGTCCAGCCGGTATATTTGGTCCAGGAGATCGTCAATTAGTTCCAGGGTTGAGAGCCAGTGCAAAATTGGGACAACTGAAGTTCCAATTGGGAGATAACAACAACTTGTTTGATTGGTCTTATGCTGGTAATGTTGCTGATGCCCATGTTTTGGCTGCACAAAAGGTTTTAGATCCAGAAACAAGGGATCCTATCAGTGGAGAAACATTTTTTGTTACCAATGATTCACCAACCTACTTCTGGACTTTGGCAAGAACTGTGTGGAAGAGTGATGGTTACATCGACAATTACTACATCAAGTTGCCAAGACCAGTAGCATTGGGTGTAAGTTACATCAGTGAATTTGTTGCAAAGAATCTCTTGAAGAAAGAACCTGGTCTCACACCATTTAGAGTTAAGATTGTTTGTGCTATCAGATATCATAACATTACCAAGGCAAAGAAATTATTAGGATATAAACCAGCTGTCGACTTAGAAACTGGTATTAGATATACCTTGGACTGGATGAATGAAGATTTGGAATAGCCTACAAGTGTATCCATGTACGTATATATAGCTCCATTCTATGAACAAATACATAAAAGTAAAAGACGCAATAATCGTAATAAAATACCATTAATGCCAATATAAAATCTAGAATGGGCTGGGGAAGGGATTTCTTCAGAAGGATAGAAATATTTAATAATAGCTAGCTAATACATTGCAATAATAACTATGCTAATTAGTATTGCGAAAATCACTCTATTAACAGAATGTAAGTAAGACAATGCATCTGATGACTTTGAAAGTTCCTGAACCACAGAAATGTTTGAAATATTAGAATAGTTTTGAACAGGAGTGACTTCTTTATCAATTACCAACTTTATCTTCTTTTTAATGAATTGTTCTTGCAGGACATGTTCTTTCAACCCATCAATTTTATTAAACACTTTGCTCTTTAAACTAGCATCAAATTTTTCATCTTCCTCAAGAACTTGATCGACAGATTTGGATCCTTTCTTTTTAGAAACAACAGTAGACTCGTCTGTTTTCTTGAATGGCAATGAGCAAGCATTAACGTCACTCAATTGAGAACAATCCAGAAGTAGTACAGTTAAAAAGTTAGTCAGTGGATTTCCTGGACATAGATGATAACAGTCTTGATTAATCAGCTGTAATGCGCAACATTCACATGCCAAATCGTCTGGTTTGCATTGGTCAAGCTGGTGTAACAAATCATTACAACAAGATGATAATTTAACTAAATCATTGGCTTGACATTGTGGAATTTTACGTGGATTTGGATTCATGTAAGTTCCGAATTCATCATTAACAATCAATGAACTGACAGGTAAGACTAAGCAAACAAGAAACCACAGTAAATATAACCTTAATGTGAGACTATGGTGTGATTGGACCATTTTTTGACGTAAAAATAAGTAATAATGAAATCAAGAAGATAAGTGATGTTATAAGAAAAGAAGTAAAAAAAAAGGTAGATACAAGAATTAATTTAGATATGAGATGTTGCTGTACTTTTTGGTCTTGCTGCAAAATATGAAAAAAAACGTACTTGCGCATACGCAAATAATTTTCTATTACATTATCAATGGTATAACATTATTTATTGTATAGTATTGTAGAGATTGGATATACCGTAGAGGTTGAGGTGTATCATAAATTGTTTCATCATGACAGCTTGTTTTCGCTTAACAGCGATATCAAATAAACACATGCAAATTTGAAAAATAACAATATGATTATCTCCTTTCGTTAACTAGTATTCAAACCAAATGCTGGAGGGTGACTTCGGGTGGTTTATATACCTGCCAAAGTTCAATTGAACGTTTCCTGATTAAATTTTCTAGTTGTTTTACTTTTTTTTTCACATTGTATTACAAATTCGCCAAACTAGTCAGAAGTCATAGAGATATTCCTGCAGTGATTTAATCCTATAGTAACTAAAAAACTATAGAAAGCCCATAGAAATCTGTTTAGCAAAAAAAATTTGATTTTTAGCATTGATTACGATTGTCAAATCGTTCCCGCCAAATCTCAACCCAAAGTCAAGTTCACTTTGAAAGCGTCAAGTGTTGGATCAACTGGGAAAAAATAAAAGAAATAGTCCGTGAGGTCAGCAACAGAAAAAAAAATAATCAGAAGAAAAAAAAATATCAACAGAACAACACTTAACCCACCCATAACAAGGCAACACACCAATTGAGCCATCAATATTATTATTTCTTGTTTTATAATTTTTGTTAATTCAATTCCATTTTAATGACTAGTTATAATTGATAATGTTTAGAAGTCCAAAGAAATCAAAACAACAAGCCCAATTCCAATCTCAGGGCCGTCCACCTGTCCAACAAGAACAACAACCACCAATGCAACACCAACAATCAAAACATCATATTCCAAACCCATTTTCCAGTCGTAAACAGTCACCAAAAGCACTTGCTTCTCCTTCATTTACCACGAATTCGGGATTCTCGACTCCTCCTAGAGCAGGAGCAAGCCCTGTCACTTCACATCATTCTAAATTCACGTCACCAGGATCTCCAGTTGGAAGCTCGAATTCAGAACAGCAAAGAAAATTGGTTACCGACAAGATCATTTCAGATTGTTATTCCAAGACAATTCATCAGGGCGATAGAAAATTAAATGAAGTATCCTACATTACCCACATTGGAATAATAGAATATTCTCATTCACCTTCAGGTCCCCCACCACCGAATTCCAATCCGGGATCAGTTAAACACCGTATTCTTGTTTTATGTAAAAAACACACGGGAAGAATGCAGTTACAAAAAGGAAAGTTTCAAGCAGAGAAGAATTACTATCAAATTGGGCGTACTTGGGACTTATCGGAATTACAGTCGATCAAGAGAGTTGGACTGGATGGATTGATATTGCAACTCAATAAGACCTATTATTGGAAATGTGATGAAGATGAACGTAGAGTTTGGAAATTTGCCCGTTACTTATGTCAACATTACGGGATGTTTACTGGCAGATACCCTAAACTAGATGGGTTTAGTCTTGACGACTTTATGTTACCGTCTACACCTAAATCACCATCCACGACACCTTCTCGAACTTCATCTGTAAAAGATCCAACTCCAGATCCACAATTAATGAAGTCACGTTCGTTGAAGAGAAAAAATATGCCAAATCCAATTTTGCCGACTCCTCCAGTAGCGGCACCAACCCCACCACAAATACCATCCGGTGTATCAAAGACAACAGCTCCAAGTAGTGCTAATGTAAATGATTTATACAAGGATATGGACTTTACCGTAAATGGTGGTCTTCCACAGAAACCAATGAAAGTCATACAGCGTGATTCACCAAAGAGCACTGGGGGTGGAACTCTTGATCCTGGACCTTCACTTTATGGACCAAGTAGTAGACCAAACAAGCCACATGCACAATCTCAACCAATGATCCCACATATACAACCACAACCACAAACTCAACCACAGCCACAACCGCATCATCTTGCACATTCTGAATCCATGTTACAGACGCGTCCTCAACCTCGTTCCCAACCACAATCATTTGCACGGTCAGAACAAGGAGACTCTCGTGGTTATCAACGAGGTGATCAATCCAAGGAAAATCTTAACCGAGAATTTTCACCACCAACAATGAAAGCCAACCAACATCCTTATTACCAGAAAACACCAATGAATGGGTTGGACAATGCCAGCGAAATCAGTAATGATTCGCATAGTTTTATTTTCAACAATAAGGAGTCTTCTCAAGAAAAATTAGAAGACACGGCAAAACAAGAACAGCCCAAATTTTCTGGAGATGTGTTAGAATCAGTTTCTGAATCTATTCCATCGATCCAAGAAAACAACGAACCGATTCAACGTAGATCTCATCCATATGCTAATTCACATGCAAAGAAAGATTCACAGGTGTCTCAAAAATCTGCAGAAGAAGTTGTTAAGGAGTTTTCAGAATCAATTCCATCACCACTGGTTAAGCCAAAGATGGCAGCATCAGCAAATGTACCTGATTTTGGTGTTGAAGAGATCACTGATGATAGTGATGATGATCAGCGTCCAACTCCTACATTCAGCATAAGAAAACGTCAACAGCAGAAAAAGGCATTAGAGAAGGCGCAAAACTTGATGCCAACACCTGAAGAACAGCAACAGCAACCAGGATTGGAATCCGTGAATGATGTTACTGACAGTTTTATGGATAAATCAAGTAGGTACGATGCAGATAAAACTGACAGGTTTGATATAGATAAATCCAGTAGATATGATGAGAAAAGTTTTGTCACACAGAAAGGATTGGGTATCTATCCACCAAATTCCAATTCATTTATCGAAGAGTCCACCAAAGTGGAGGGTCAAACTAGAATTGATTCTCACATGCAAGAAATCCAAGATATGTTGAACTCACATCTTGGTGATGCTAAAGAAGAGTCATTTCCATATGATGACAAAGATAATGAAGGCTATGAAGATGTTGACGATTTGAATGATGATGATGACTTGAACAATGAAGTTCCACTTGGTGCAAAGTCAAGGATGAGCAAGGATATGCTTCATGCTGATGATGATTTTGAAGAGGATGGCGATTCTTTTGAACCTGGATTGAATATTGTTAAAAAATCTGCAACACCAGAAAGTGGTGGTACTAATACGGGTAGTGGTATTACACGTTCAAATACAGTGATAATTCCAGATTGTGATAGAGATGCTGAAGTTGATAATATACTTGACGATATTGGATGGTCGGTACAAGATGATGCAAGTACTCTTATCAAGAAATTGAATAAAGAAGCAACAAACACAAAACAGGATATTGTTTCCAAATTGGTTAGTATTGATTTGACTAATAATTCAGGAAGCGATATTGGATCGGCATTGAATGAAGTCGACAACATGACCAATATATTCCAAAAGATGGAAGTCAGATTAAAGCTTTTACATAATGACTTACAGAATTCTGTATATGTATAAATAAAGAGAGATACGAGTTGTAACGTTGATTTTCTATTTCTTGATCTCTATTAACTAATAGTAGGCTCCGCGTCCAGCATATTCGTGTTTATCTTGATCTGATGCATCAACTGGGAACGGATCATATGGTTTTATAGATGAAACTGGAATGGCATAACCAGTTGGCCACTTGCTATCAACAAATATATCCTGCCAATTAACAATGGTGTCAAATTTCAAATTATCATTCTCTTTAGTAAATTTCAAGTTTAATTTAATCAATTGATCAAATAAATATGTCAAGTCATTCAATATAAGTTTTGAAGAAGGAGAAGTTTTTTCATTGAATGCCGATTTATCAACTTGTAAACTTGACACGGAACTTAATCTAGACAATAAGGAATCATTTTTCTTATTGCTAATCTTTGTCTTGACATTCCGTAACACATTCTTGGACTTGACTGGTTCAGCTGCTATTGATTTCTTACTTTGTAAGGATAATAAACTAAAATGGACCAACCCTATAGCATTTCCCAATTTGTCTTCTTTATACATTTGCAAACTCAAAAATAACCCAGCATACCCATTGATATATTTTTCAATTACATTAAGATAATCCAACCAATCAGAATAATCCAAAGTAAAGTCATAAACTTGATCGTTGGAGGAAAGGGACATGTTATTGATCAAATTTCTAATAACTTTCAACTCCTGCAAAATATAAATAGCAACTTTACATAATGTTGAGTTATTTTCTGTCTGAATAGTTTCATTATTATACTCAAATGCATTTCTATTGATCCAGGAAAATTTAATTAGAATAACCATTTGAATTGAAATCTCACACACTTTATGAATTACGTTCAAAAGTATACCGTTAAGTTTTGTACCATCCTTGACTGTTTCACAACGTTGTAACTCCATGGCATACAATACGTAGGATATAGCAGTTTTGTAATATGACGTTATGCGTTTCCAGTTTTCATTGAACTCATCAACATTATTTGTATCTTGAGAAATGATTTCATTTGTCAGTTCAGCGGCTTTTTTAAGATATGTCAATGTAATGGATATCAATGTCATATAGATCTCGTTCTGAACCGACCAAGATACCTTATCATCCAATGATGATCCAGAGCTTGGTGAAAATTTCAGTAACTTATTTCGTTTCGGGAGATTTATGCTAGTCCATGGTATTCCCTCACAAATGATAGTATCATATTTGAAACTGTTTGTCTTCACACCATGTAAGATTGACAGTAAATAATCTTCTAAATGGATTAGGTAAGCTGTGGTATCAATTGAATGCTGAGATACTTGTATAGCTGCACGTAGGGAAACCAATTGAGATGAAACATTCGGATTAGTAAAGGGAAGAGCTACCGGTGGAGTCTGTGGTAATACAAGCATATTATTGGTGAATGAAATTTAGATATCTACTATCTTTAGGCTGCAGGTTTTATTGTTCGCTCCACTTGGTGATCTTTTTTTAATTTTTTGTCGACGCGATTTAGAATCACTCCTTTTTTTTTTGTCCGTTGTTGTTTCGTGGTGGTAAATTTTCTGAAAGAATCTCATTTTTTTTTTTTTGTTTTCCATTTTTATGGTTTCTGTTTTGGTGGCTTGTTATTCATTATTCATCAGTAATGTCAATTGTTAAAAGGTCTACACAGAGTGATGACAAATATGGGATAGTCATAGATTCTGGTTCATCTGGTTCAAGAATTCAAATCTATAAATGGAAGGATCAGAAACAAGAATTGAAATCAAAAGATCAAGCCGTATTACAATCTCCACCAAAAATTGTACAAGAGAAAGACTGGAGTAAGAAAATCACTCCTGGTATATCATCATTCAATACAAGGAGTAAGTTCTCAAAAATTTGGCTGGACCATTATTCCGATTTGTTGAAGTTTGCTGAAGGTATCATTCCGCCTGAAAAGCATTCAGAAACTCCCGTGTTTGTCTTGAGTACAGCTGGTATGAGACTCTTACCTGAGAAAACTCAAAAATACATACTTAAAGAAACTTGTTCAAGTATCAAGAAGAATACCAATTTTTATATTCCTACCAAAGATTGTGATAACTTTGTTGAAATCATTGATGGGTCAACAGAAGGTATTTATGGGTGGTTAGGGTTAAATTACCTTATGGGTCAGTTTAACGGATATGATAGCACGCAAGATAAAATTCACGAGTCTATCGGATTTATGGATATGGGAGGTGCTTCGACCCAGATCGCATTTGTGCCGTCATCCAAAGACCAGATTTCTAAACATGCAGATGACTTATCTAAAGTGACATTAAGAAATATAAATGGGGAAACGCAAACTTGGGATTTGTTTGTCGCAACTTGGTTGGGATTCGGTGCCAATGAAGCAAGAAAACGTTTTCTTAATCAATTAATCAATTTATCAATTGTTCAGGAAGATAACTGGAACCATGAAATTAGTGATCCTTGTTTACCCAAGGGTGCTCTTTTAGACTACACATATGATAAAAAGAAATACAAAATCAAAGGTGTTGGGAACTATGAAATGTGTGTCAAGACAATTTATCCATTGTTGATGAAAAACATGCCTTGTATCGATGAGCCATGTCTTTTCAATGGTATTCATGGGCCAAAGTTAAATTTTGAACTGGATAAGTTTATTGGAATCTCAGAATATTGGTATACTGCAAATGACATTTTCCAAAGTGGTGGAGAGTACAACTATAAAGCGTTTAACACGAAGGTCAAAGAATTTTGTGAAAGTAATTGGGATACAATTTTACTGAAATCGGAACAGGGACATTATTCCAATTTGGAGCCTGAAAAATTCTTGAAAGATGCATGTTTTAAAGCAAGTTGGGTGATGAATATTTTGCATGAAGGGTTTGAGTTGCCACGCATTGGATTTGAGACCGATGACCAGGGTGAAACTGAAAAAGAGAAGGATATCACGAATGTACACGTTCCATTTAAATCAGCCAACTCGGTAGATGGCGGGGAATTATCCTGGACATTGGGTAAAATTTTACTCTTTGCTTCTTCACAAATTGAGCCAAAAGGTAAAAAAGAAGATGCTAGGGAAATAGGTATCTTTCCAAGTGAAGTTTCAGGAAAGAAATTTGTTCCTGGAGGTATGATCCATTCGAAGGATGGTAACTACTACTCAAGCGATGATGAGGAAGACGATGACAAGGATAGTGGTCTAATGCATGGTTTATACTCCTTGATATTTATTTTGTTGTTGTTATTTTTCTTGTATCATTTTGGAAAATCACATTTTGGAAGATGGACTAACAAGTTGAAGAAATTGCATGTTCCAATACAAGTTAGAAAGGCTGTTAATTCTATTGGATCGAAGATTCCAGGAATCAAACAATACTTTGAGAGCATTGTCATGTACCAAGATCTTGAAGATCAAAATATTATGTTGGAAGAAGGTGTTGCTGATAATTCAAATGTCAACTTGAATACAATTCCCGAATCTAATTCTGCATCAGCATCGGTATTGAGAACTCGTCTGGCTATTGGATTGAATGAAGATTTCGGCAACGATGCTAGAGGGGTTTCAGCCCAGACATTAGCCAACTCAAATTTGTTTAATCCACGAGCTACTAATTTCTTGAATAAGCCGTTTGTGCTTCCGAAAAAGAATATTTATAACAATCATTTCTCAGCAAACAATAGTCGAGAGTCATTACCTAGAAGCTCTAGTAATTCATCTATTCCAAGAGCAAAGAGTTCGTTAGATTAGATTTATCATTAAATAGTGTATTATACTGTATATTATGCATTTATTATTTTTCTTTTGTATGTCGGTTGTGCGTTTTATAGATTTACTAACAAATTTGTACAATTTTCAACCAAAATTGTTATGCATATCAACAGACTGTAGATTATCTTACCAGTCTGATTTAATTTTCAAGTTTTATTTTATTATGATGAATTATTGACTTGTATCGGTTTTAGCAGACACCATGATTCTACACTTTCCTATACATGTTACTTTCATATACTTCTGGTACCTTTTGTCTCAGTATTCTTATGCAGCAGTAGTTCCATTTAGAGATTCTATAGAACTAGTATTCACTCCTGAGGATGTAAAAAAGACAACAGACTATGTATTTTGGAAGGTTCCCGAAGTTAAGAAGAATTTTAAAACCACTGTTAAACAAAAGATGCTTAATATGTTGTTGAACAAAGATCTTCAAGATATAAATCCCAATCCACCTTTTGTTTATGAGAATGAAATAGACGACGAAGGTGATAGATTATTTGCAGAACAGGAACATAATGATCAAATACTTGGACAGGCACAACAGAATCGGCTTGCAGATTCTTTCCAAACAGTGGAAATTGATATCAAGAAACCTTATGGTCTTGTTCATTCAGTTTTGAAAGGACCTCCACCGACAGGGAAGAAGAAGGCGAAAATAACTGTACATAATCCAAATGTTAATTCAAATAAAGTTGAAATAGCCAAAATGAAGGTAAACAAAGAAATGGAAGAAGTAGTTGCAGGATTACCAGAACTTTCCAATGAGGAGTTGCAAAAATTCCAAAATGAACATATGGGTTATCTGCGTCCTACCAAAATCAAGAATGATAAACATGACTTTGGAGAAAAGTTCAAGAAACTTCCAGCGATCCCAAATAGCAACGTGCAAAGTATAGATGCTAAGCAGAATGAAGATTATGAGGATGACGAAGAAGAAGACGAAGAGGAGAAGGAGGACGATTATGATAACGTAGAAGAGAATATTAAAGGTAGCAAAACGGGGTTTGGTAATAAACACGTAGCCAAAGGAAAGACAAAGAAGAAATCCAAAGATCCATTTTATGACGATTGAACAAATTTCAACGGAATTTGATATTGAAAGAGTGTAGGTAATGAGTAATAACAAATAATGACATTACTCAAATATTCTCCCCTATTACATCATTGTAGTATGAGTTTGAGTAAGAAGAGAGAAAACCAATCCGCGCGAATTTCATTTTTGTCTGGCGCGAGGCTGAGAGGGGAAAGGCACGAGGCGACAAAAGAGTATAAACACACACGCACGCACACACACACACACCTGTCTCTAAGTTAAACAAACAAAACAACAAAAGGTTGCAAAAACAACTCCGAGGTAAGGAAAACAAAGCAAACAGAAAAAAAAATCTCAATCAAGAAACGGCAAAGAAAAAAAAAAAAGATGAAAAATGTAATGAAATTTTTTCATTCTTTCTTTCTTTAAGATCTAATATAAAATAGTTGATATCGTTTGTTTATTACTATTTGTTTTTAGAAGCTTTGTAATTACATCATTCATTAAGTTTATCATGAGTGTGAGGACATTTTCTATTACTACAGACATCGAAGACAGAATGGATTTGATTGAGTTATTTCACAACATGCAGTTGATAAACCCAGACGCACAATTTAAAATCATTGAAATCAAAAACCACGATGGTAAGATTGATTGTTGTATATCCTCCAACCAAGGAACATTAAAGTATAGTCAACTAATAAACTTAGCAGGCGATATCATAGCAGCTAAGAGACAAAATATGAAGTACTATTGTCATGAATCTGTCAACTGTCTGTTTGATATAGACTACTACGATCCACGCAATATATCAGCAGAATCTTGTTGTAGTTGATATCATTGGTACGTTTCGATTGGGCATAAGCATGTAAATAGGTGAAATACATACACTTTCAAATTTGTATCAATTACAGGTATGATCTGTAGATACCTGGTCACACTACACGACTTTATTTCTCAGGTTTTGTAGATTCTTTTTTTTTTTATTTTTCGTTTGGTTGGAAAATCAAACTCATCGCACTGATATTTTTTTTTTTTTTTTTTTGATTGATAGAACTTTTGAGAAGGCGGAACTTCTATTTGTAACTAGTATTAACGACATCCCATTTGCATAGTATATATAATCATGAGAGTCAAGAAACCAACTTCCAAGAGAACTACCACTCGAATGAGAGAGGGTATTAAGAAGAAAGCTGCAGCAAAGAGAAGAAAGGATAAAAAATTATCAAAGAAAGATGTCACTTGGAAATCAAGAAAACAAAAGGATCCTGGTATTCCAGCAAGTTTCCCATACAAGGATAAAATCATAACAGAGTTAGAAGAAGGTAGAAGATTAGAAAAGGAAAGAAAGGAAGAAATGAGATTACAAAGACAACAAGAAAAAGAAGAAGCATTGGCACGTGGAGAAGAAGTTGTTAGTGATGATGCCATGGAAGATGATGATGAAGAAAACGATGGAGCTAATGGTTTAGCAGCTTTGTTAGAATCTGCTCAACAAGCTGCCAAAGAATATGACGGAGAAGATGGCAATGGTGATGACGATAACATGGCTGACTCTGATGAAGATGTTGAATATGAAATCAGTGATGTTGAAGAAGACAATGATGAAGAATTTGGTGAATTAGAAAAATCTCGTAAAGCGTATGATAAGATTTTCAAGACTGTTGTTGATGAAGCAGATGTTATTTTGTATGTGTTGGATGCTAGAGATCCAGAATCAACTAGATCTAGAAAAGTTGAACAAGCTGTATTACAAAACCCAGGTAAGAGATTGATTTTGGTATTGAACAAAGTTGATTTAATCCCAACCAATGCTTTAAACCAATGGCTTAATTTCTTGAAATCATCTTTCCCAACTGTTCCTGTCAAAGCAGCACCAGGTGCCACTAATTCTACATCATTCAACAAAAACTTGACTAACTCCATGACATCTGAATCATTGTTGAAAGCATTGAAAAGTTTTGCTGCCAAGTCTAACTTAAAGAGATCCATTATTGTCGGTGTTATTGGATACCCTAACGTTGGTAAGTCTTCCATAATAAATGCTTTGACAAACAGACACGGAAACAATTCTAAAGCCTGTCCAGTCGGAAATCAAGCTGGTGTGACCACATCTTTGAGAGAAGTCAAGATTGATAATAAATTAAAAATCTTGGATTCACCAGGTATTGTTTTCCCAGATGAAGTTGTAAACTCCAAGAAACAATCTAAATCTCAACAATTGGCAAAATTAGCATTATTATCTGCTATTCCACCAAAACAAATTGTCGATCCAATTCCAGCTGTTACTATGTTGTTGAAGAAATTCTCCAAGGATAACGAAATGGCTGATGGTTTAAAGAACTATTACCAATTGCCAGCATTGCCATCAAACGATTTAAACGAATTTGTCAAGCATTTCTTGATTCACATTGCTAGAACTAAAGGTAGATTAGGAAGAGGTGGTGTTCCAAATATGGAATCTGCTGCTATGTCTGTTTTGAATGACTGGAGAGATGGTAGAATTATCGGTTGGACTTTACCAAAGGCATCAAAGAGCAGTGCAACTGATACTGTCGATGCTTCTGACATTGATGCTCCAAAGAGTTCATTGAGAGGTGACAAAGAACCACCAAAGGTTGAACAAACAACAGTTGTTACCTCCTGGGCTAAAGAATTTGATTTGGATGGTCTCCTAGGCGACAACTTTGGACTTCAATAGTTTAAGTATATATATATGTAGATATATTAAATTTGTGTATATTAGGAAATACAAAGAACAGTAAATTTTGATTATGGTATATGTACGCTATTTAGTTGTAGACGTTGACTCTATTTTCTTTGTTAGCTTAGGTATTGTTGAAAGATTATTCATAATGCTTGAATTCTGAATGAGCAACTCTTCATGATTTCTTAACAATTCATTCAATGGATCATGTAATCGTTTTATTCCTTCAGTGAGGACTTTATATGGATCAGTTGATTCAGGCTGTGTATTAGATTCATTCATTGCATGGGTTGTAATGTAAACAATGAGTGTATTTTTGATGTTCTGACAATCATTAAATCTGTGGAAAGACGCACGCAGATGCGTTTGAACCAAGAACACGACTTTGTCGATAATTTTCAATCAGATCAATGAACTAGTCTGGTTGTACCAATAGAGCTAGTGAATCATTTGTTTGACAGGATATTACATTTTGTAGCTTGCTGATCGGAATGTGTGTGTTGACTGACATGATTTAGCTTGATTTACTCTTTCTCGTATCACGTGATGTATCACTATGTGGCAGTTTTTCCGGACAGTACAATTTTTCTTCAGACATACGCGTCTATGTAGAATTTTTCATTTATGTCTGATAACGATTCTTCTTTTTGTTATATACAACCAAATCAAAATAAACCATCATGCCAGCACAAAATGAAGATATAGACGATGATTGGGTTCTAGAAGATGATGATGACCCAGAGTTCCAGGCTATTTTATGTGGCAATCCTCCACCAGCAATAAACAATGGTTTACCGCAGAGAACTTTAGAAGGACGTGTAGCCACAGGTCAAACCCCACAAAGAGATCAGTATGAAGAGATACCCGTACCGAAGAAAGTAAATCTACCTACTCATCATGTCATGGATTTTGAGAATTTAAAGACTTATATATACCCAACCAATTTTGAAATCCGTGACTACCAATTCAATATAGTTAGAAGAGCATTTTATGATAACGTACTAGTAGCACTACCCACTGGTTTAGGTAAGACATTCATTGCTTCCACCGTCATGTTAAATTTTCTACGATGGTTTCCGAATTCAAAAATCATATTCATGGCACCAACCAGACCATTGGTCGCACAACAAATTAAAGCCTGTTGTTCAATAACTGGGATTCCAAGTTCAAAAGTTGCAATTTTACTAGATAAAACACGTAAGAATCGTGCTGAAATTTGGGATTCTCGTCAAGTGTTTTTCACTACACCTCAGGTTGTTGAGAATGATTTGGTAGCTGGTACAGTTGATCCAAAATCAATTTCTTTGTTGGTCATTGATGAAGCGCATCGAGCCAAGGGAAACTTTGCTTATAATAATGTTGTTAAGTTTTTAGATAGGTTCACTTTTTCCTACAGAATATTGGCGTTGACAGCAACCCCGTCATCAGATGTTGAAGGTGTACAAGAGATTATCAACAATTTGAATATCTCCAAGGTTGAAGTTCGAACGGAACTGAGTATTGATACTGTAAAGTATATGAAGAAAAAGATCATAGAGAGAAAAACAATTCCCCCATCTCCAGAAATTGAAGAATGTATTGATATGTTGGCAACTGCAATTGAACCAGTTTTGAAAACGGCAAATGAAAGAGGTTTGTTAGATCTTACTGATCCCACGAAGATCAACTTCTTTCAGTGTAATGAGTTATCTCGAAAAATGACAGCCAATCCAAGTATCCCTGAAGGTTTGAAGTGGAGTAATTATTTTATATTGCAGCTTCTAGGAATTGTTGGTCAGTGTTACCGTAGGTTGAATATCTATGGTATCCGTTATTTCTATGAGTATTTCCATGAAAAATTCACAGAATTCAAGACTAAATGGAATGCAAAAAAGTCGACGAATAAGCTCAATGCAGACTTTTACTTTAGTGATACTATAACAACGTTATTGGAAAAAGTTCCTAAAATGATTGAGGACTGTGAATATAGTCATCCTAAAATCGAAGCATTGATGAACGAACTTAGTGATTTTTTTGAGCATCATCAAACAGCGGATTCCAAAGTTATTATCTTTACTGAATTTCGTGGTTCTGCTTTAGAAATTGTTCAGAGTATAGAAAAAGCAGGTGATAATAGAAAACCACATATTTTCATTGGTCAAGCAAAGGAGAAGGAAAAGTTTGATGTTGAAAACTTTGGTAAGAAAAAGTCAAAACAGAAAGGAGGCAAGAAACCGAAGAATGATGAAAGACCATCGGGGAGAACAAGTTCAGAAGCGGCGCAGATTTCAGGGATGAATCAAAAGGTGCAAAAGGAGGTTATCAAGAAGTTCAAAAACGGTGAATACAACATATTAGTTGCTACTTCTATTGGGGAAGAAGGTTTGGATATTGGTGAAGTTGATTTGATTATCTGTTACGATTCAACATCTTCTCCTATTAAGAATGTCCAAAGAATGGGTAGAACTGGTCGTAAACGTGATGGTAAAGTTTTATTGTTGTTCTCTAGTAACGAAGAATCTAAATTTGATAAAGCCATGGGAGGATATGAGTATATTCAACAACGTATTATGAAAGGCGATTTGTTCCAACTTCGACCACAGAATAGGATTATACCCGAGTCATTCTCACCGGAAGTCGTGAAAACATTTATAGAGATACCAGAGGAGAATATTGAGATAAAAGCAGAAGATGATGAAGACCAAATTATCAAGATTGCAACACTGTATATGTTGGGCCAAAAAGGGAAAAAAGGTAGGAAGACAACTGCCAAGAAGAGTGCAACAAAGAAATTCTTTATGCCTGACGATGTTGAAACAGGATTTAGAAGTGTTGCTAGCATGGTCAGGAAAGTTGGTGATGACAAGTCACTTGAAGAGCGGAAAAGAGAAAAGACGTTTCTTGATACGCTTGTGGATTCAGATAGTGACAGTAGTGATGACAACTTTGGTCTGCCAAAGAAAGTTAAGGAGAAGAACCAGCAGACATGCATTGATCTCACAAATGAAGATATAGATGATGGAAATATTGAAGCAGTCACAACAAGCCTTGGGGACAAGGTACTTTCAGTACTGGAAAAGGAAGGAGAAGGTACAAACGATGAAGATAAAGAGTTGGTAGTCAAGAAACCTCCAAAGCGAAAAACTGTGATGGATATAACTGTTCATTCTGAAAGTGATGGTGATGATAGTGACGTTGGGTTTGTAAAACCAAAATCTTCGTTATTAATGGATAATCTGAATATTAAAGCTGTTAAAAGAAAAAATGATCCAGTTATTAGGGATGACGATGATGAGAGTGATTTCAAGTTTAGCAGTGATGATGAGAAGGATGTTCAGATGGTGGAACGTCAATCTGATCCAGTAGTAAGCAAGAGTTTAGGAGTGAAGAAAAGAAAACCTATGGTTCAAATGCCAGTTGTTGAAGAGTTGCCAAATGCTGTTTCTCGACACGAACCAACTATTGACAGACCATCACTTTCCAAAACGACTTTGGCTGCACCAGTGAATCAAGTGCCAGAAACCAGAAAATCTTTGGGTATCAAAAGATCTCGTCCGTTAAGTATTATTGATCAGTTGAAGAAGCAAAAGCTGAAGTCCTGGAGTCCAACCATAAATGCGCTATCCTCAGAGACTGAATATTCTACAACTGCAAGAAGCAATGGAGCAACATCATCTTCAACCGGTTCAAGTAAAAGTGATCCAATAGCTAAAGCGTCGGTAAATGGAACCTCCAACACTCCTAAACAAAACAACAGTTTCACCAATAGTATTTGTTTAGACACTGATGACGAGAGTGAAGACGATAAAATATTTGATGATGGTTTAGATGATGTACTTGGACATATCAGTTCGAGTACAGAACCCAAAGTCGATACCAGTGTGATTTTTGAGCCTAATCATGATGATGAGAATGAAGGTTTTTTGACTAATCTGCAGCTGGGAGACTTGTACACTAACTATTATATGATCCTTGATCCTAGTGAACAAGTACAGTTTTATGATCCAGTTGAAGGATTTTCAACCAATGAAGAATCGAACGTGGTAGAAGCCAAAGCTGGGGGTAAAATATCTCATAGTGTAAAAACAGAAAGATTACTTAAAGTATTCAACTCGAAGGTAGATCATCGATTGAAGAAGCTACCTCAACTGGAACAGGACATAGATTTATCATTTATAGTACAGAAATGAATGTGAAATGTGTTTGGTGTGTTGCGTGCATGTACCAATTTCTTCAACAAATTTATTTTGGTTTTCGCGACTATAAATTTGCCAATCGTTTAGCCAAAGAAAAATTTTTTTGCCTTTAGTTCACTTTTTTTTTCCTCTTTTTCTTCTTCTTGTTTCTTTGTCTTTATGCAGGGGCATTACGTGTATCAGTGAGGATTCGTCCGAGATCATGTTTTTGCTGGTTGAAAACTTAACCTGACAACTTCTTGGGATTCTATAACCATGTGTTTGTGAATGTCAAGGGAATTTTTGGAAACCTTTTTTTATTTTATTCAAATGAACTTTTTATTTTTTTCTAAATAAGTACTGTTATTTCCATCAACACTGGGATGGCACTTCCTTGAAGGCAAATCTCAAATTTGAATGTGAAATAAAGTGACTTTGATTTTTGATGTTGTCTGATTAGCTTTTTATTACTATTATTATTATTAGGTTCATCATTTTTAAGACATTGTATAATGTGAGGTCATTACCAATGTATTTAAAGGTGGAGTTCATCAGAACATCGTTTATATACAATATCTAGAACGCCTTGTGCCTCGCTCGGTTTAATTTGATTTATTTAATTAAATCTTGAGCTGGATACTTCTTTGTTTGTTTTCAAACGTTGAAAGTAATGGGCAATAGCGAGTTTGTTATTTTATTAACAAATAAAAGATTTCCTTTGAGTGCGATGACATCAAGGTTTTTATTGAACTGGATGGTGGCATTGTAATTATAAATCTTTACATTCTCTCAATCCTCTTGTAAATAATATTACCATTCAAAAGAACCAGCCTCTCGTGAAATATTCATTTCTTTATAAAATCGAAAATCGCAAAACTCCTGTTGATTTTTTTCCGTCCACATAAAAGTAGATGAAGGAAAAGAAAAAAAAAAGATGAATGGAAAAAAAGAGTGAAAAAAAAGCAAACACTGTTTTTAAACCCAACAATACAACATCATGTTTAAGAAGTTCACCAAAGAGGATGTTCATTCTCGTTCTAATATAAAGTCTTCTGTTCAAAGAGGACTTAAATCAAAATTTGTTGATGAATATCCACAAATGGAACAAGCCATTGATAATCTCATACCCAAAAAATCTCAAGTTATTCTCATCAAATGTGAAGATAAAATTCAATTATATTCAATTGATAACAATGATAAACCAGAAGTAGTTATGTTCCAACATTTCAGTGATGAATTGGTTCCAAGTTTGAGAACTGTTCATAAATATCCAGAATGTTTCCCTCGTGTTCAAGTAGATCGTGGTGCTATCAAATTCGTTTTGGGTGGTGCCAATATTATGTGTCCAGGTTTAACAAGTGCTGGTGCCAAATTACCAGATGAAAATATTGAAAAGGATACTATTGTTACTGTTTATGCTGAAGGAAAAGAAAACGCCTTAGCCATCGGTAAACTATTAATGAGCACAGATGAAATCAAAAGCAAGAATAAAGGTATTGGTATTGAATTGTTGCATTATTTGGGTGATGGTTTGTGGAACCACCAAGATTAGATTTGTATTTTTCTATGCTTCTATATCTATATAAACTTTCTGGTTAAATAGTAATCCATAATTATCTAACGTGCTAAGAAGATCTTCTAATTCATGTCTCTCTGCAAATCGTGATCCTTCATTGGTGTAGAAATAAACTGAAAACTTGAGGATTGATAGTCCATCTAATGCTGACGACATCATTCCTTTAAACTGGAGAATGGATGTGCTTTTAAGAAACTTTTTGGATATGGTAGTTGACGTAGAAACTACAAGAGTCAATTGTATCCAATCTTTGCATTCTTCAAATGTGTTGTCCAATGTCTGTTCTTTTTTATCATGTTTTGAAAGAAGGTGTTTCCATCGTGAATCATTATCGATTTGATAAACACCTTGTTCGACCTTGGAAATAAAGTAAAGCTCCCCATTTGCAATTTCTTCTTCGTTCAAATACGTCCCATTGAGTTTCCACAAGCCTGATTTTGAGCATTCAAACCTTCCAATTAATTGTACAGTCATGTCATCGATAGATAAATCATTGAAAATTGGGTTATGATTCATTCGAAGTTCTTTTATGTTCGGTAAGCAGCGAGATAATGAATCGATTTCCTTCCAGGTATTGATTTGGTTAGCTCTCAAATCTAGTGAGACAAGTGTAGGTAAAGAATGGCTTATGATGTTTGTTGCTAAATTGTTGTGAGAAATATTCAAAGTTGTGACTGAATTTGCTGTGTTTGGGAAAACCGTTAACTTATTATATGACAAGTCTACCAATTTGACACTAGCTGGTAGTAGAAACTGTTGAATGTCAGAATCGGTGTAATTATTTCCTGAAATATAAAGCTCTTCTAGATTAGGAAACTTCTTGACAAGATTGGACACAGTCTCCAAAGGAAGTAATGTACCAGACACTTGTAATCTTTTAATATTTTCATGAGGTTTCTGGATGCCCGAAAATTTACCAAATCTGTTACCATTGACATTTAATTGTGACAACGATGGAAGATTATCAATAATTTTGGAAATTTCATTCAAATCAGAAAACAAATTGCAGCTCAATTCCAAATTGATTAAATTATTAAGATTATCGAAAATGTCACCGCTATTGCTCTCTTGATCTGTATTATATGCAAATGATATCAAGCAATAATCTAACGTCAATGATGTAAGATTCTTTAAATCTGATTGGAATTTATTTAACTTTTCCCATCCAAGCTCTTCCACAATTTTGCTTCCAATTTGAATGTTTTGTTCAGTATATTCCAGGTCCAAATATTTCTCTTTGACCACATCAATAAACGACTTGTGCTGTGAGTTTATCTTTGTGTTTGTAGATTTGATAAATGTGCCTGATCCTGGAATTATTGGTGTGAAATATTGGATCCCATTTAGATCTCCATTATTCTTACCCCGGGTAGGATCATCCCATTCAATTCCGTATGCTATAGTTTTGTCACCCCAAACAGGTAATGTCCCAATGAACCGTATTGTCCCTAGATCATTATCGACAGTGGATATCCTATCATTTTCACGGTATATAGTTGTCATTAACAATATTGGGTACAAGTGTCGTCCATAATTGAGTAAACAAAACAATTTTGTCTGTTCTGACAAATTAAGAGAAAGGTAGTGTAAAAGTGGATCAATCAACCACGGATTTTCTTTTTTCTTTTTTACAACCTGTCGCGAAGTAACAAACTATCGCGCCAATATGCCGGATTTAGTTTGTTTCCGAACAAGTGAATTGTGCAGTAATGGAAATTGATTTATGCAATATACTGCAAATTGGAAAGTTTTGTTTATTATTGATTGAAATGTTATTTGTTATGAAATCGTTTGATTTTCATTAGTTTGGTTTAAAGTATTATCGATCCACTTGGACGAATAGTCATTGGATTAGATATAAATGAGAGAAAAGTAGTAAATGTTTTATTTGTTATAATTATATAGTATCGATGTTTAAGTGAATATAAGGAACTATTTGAAAGAAGAAATAGACTTAAACTAAGTTGCTCCCAGAAACCTGGTTATCTTTAGATCACTCGCTGTATTTTAATAAGAGAAGTATTGAGTTCATTAGTGGCGTATTCACTGCTGCGTTATACTCTAGAAATTAATTCATTTGAGTTAAATTAGTTTCAGAGTCGTCCGAGGTTTTAGTGCGAAGTAATTTCACTTACCGACACAACCACTATATCAACAACCAGCCGTGGGTTGCAAAAATATAAATTCAGTATCCAAAAACAAAAGACAGAATATTCAACTGACTATTTTGATTACTAACCATTTATAAGTCATGCCGCCTATTAAAAAGAATCAAGTCACACCTGAAGATGCTAAACTTTTGGTGCAACAATACATGAAAGATCAATATCGCCCTTACTCAACTACTGATATTCAATTAAACATGCACAATATTCTAACCAAAGCAAAACTAACAAACGTATTGGAATCGTTAGTTTCTGATAATGAATTGATTTGTAAAACAATTGGCAAAACGAATTATTATACCTATAAACAACTAAATGTTGATGACAGCAGTGGTGATAACCCCAAAGAAGATTACGATCTGTTGCAAAAGCAAGTTAAAGAGTTAAATCAAGAAATTGGAGAATTGAAGATAGGTATGTATTACTGAAGACATCCCATTATAGATAATACAGCAGACTAACTACTATTTGTCTCATTAGAACTCCAAGATGTTTGTGCTACTCCTACAAATGAAGAATTGGCTCAACAAATCGCTAACTACACCACCAAGATTGACAAATTGAAGAATGAATTGAAAAAATCTCAAAGGAATGAAATACCACGAATGGACCCAAAAGTTGTATCAGATCATGTTGCTAAGCTCAAGAGAACAAGAAAGCAAAGGTATAATATGGTATGGCCAAACTTGAACTATGATTTTGTGTCATATCGTGCATACTAACATTCTTTGTAGTTTAAAGAATTGATCGGAATCACATCTGAATTCATGGAGATCCACAATATATTTGTATGTATTTACCATGGTGCTATTCAATTGATTAATTACTAACAAGTATGATCTATTTTCTAGGAGTTTTGTGGCATAGATGAAGATGAATATAACAAGTACAAGACTAACTAGTTCAGCTGATGTGTCCTTTTCGATCTTCAACTAATAAAAAAAAACGCGTTGGATCTTGCACGACTATAATTTTGGTTTTTCTTCTTACATAATCAGCATAAACAAACTTATTGTGTACAATTTTCCGTCATTCAGACCAAAAACTTGATTATTTTCTTTTGCTCTCATAGTGTTTGTTGTTTTCTTTATCCATTTTTCCTTTTCTGTTTCAGTTGTATTTGTTTCTGAATTCAATTCAAAAGAAAAAGAACCCTCTTTCAGAGTTTAGGAAATTATCTTGGTTTAGATCTTCAACAGAAGTAATATCATTTGTTGTTGTCTACTTGTTTTTTTTTTTTTTCTTTAGTTATAATCAATTGCTTTCAAATCAAAAGTTTCCTAACCTCCCAAGCCAGAAAAGAAAAGTACAGAGAATTAATTGATTTTCAACTTCTCCCCTCAAATAACATTGACAAGTTTAAGAATTAATGTCACGAAATTTGAAGAGAGTTATTCTATTACTTAGTTGTACATTTGCTGGATTAATATGTGGAACACTATATTTATACTCCTCCTATAGTCCTCAGTTTTCCCAAAGATTGGGATACACGGCCTCTCAAAGTTCACAGATCTCGATATGGGGTAGTATAGGAATGGGTGTTGGTGCACCCATTTCAGGTATTCTAATCGATAGGAAAGGTTACACCTTGGTGTCTATAATTGGATTTATTTTATTGACTAGTGGATATTATATTATGAAAAAACAATTTGATACTGAGTGGGCAAACTTAAGTGTTTCATGTGCATGTTTATTAGTTATTGGATTGGGATCTTCAACCATTAATTCGGTTAGTTTAAAATGTTGTGCTGTTAGTTTCCCATCAATTCGTGGAGTTGCAACTAGTTTACCTTTGGCTTTATTTGGATTAAGTGCATTGTTTTATTCTGTGATTGCATCTGTATTTTTCCCCAATGATACAAGTAGTTTCTTTGGATTCATCATGATCTCAATTGTACTTATTTTTATTGCATGTTTCCCTAGTATTTATCTAGCAGATTGTGAACACCAATCGAAAGGCAGTACCAATAATACACCAGTATCGGCACAACCACAGCTACCATCAACTCCTAAGGCACATGTCAAATCACCTCGTACAACCACAAGCGAGATTAATATCTTCACAAGTTTCAGATTTTATCAACTTTTTGTAATCACAGGAATGTTAGCTGCATTGGGCCAAATGTACATTTACTCCGTTGGATATATAGTAAAAGCGTTGATCATTAAAGAATCAGGTACAAGTTCTTCATTATCTATTCTAATTCAACAAGATCAACAATTCCAAGTGGGTATCTTATCAATTGCAAATTTTTTAGGACGTATAGCAGCTGGTGTTCTTGGTGATATTGTTTCTCAATCTTTCAACAAACCAAGATCATTATTATTATTTATTCCTGCATTTGGCATGACAATATGTCAAATTATATCATATAACATAGATGATTGTACAGAATTACCATTGGTTTCATTTATGATTGGATTCTTTTATGGATTTATTTTCTGTATTATGCCAATTATAACAGGTGATATATTTGGCATGAATGATTTTAGTTTCAATTGGGGAATAATTAGTATGAGTCCTATACTACCTAGTTATTATTTTATTAAATTATTTGGTAAATTTTATGATGGAAATTCAACATTAGATGAAACAAATGGATCTTTGGTTTGTACTATTGGAAATTTATGTTATAATTATATTTTCAAACTTACTCTTGTGGTTAGTATTTCTGCTACCATAATTGTGCTTATTTTTAATTCAGGAGATTCAATATTTAGACGCAAAAAGGCAATAACTTCATTACCATTGGCATCTCCAACCAATTTATTTAATGAAAAAGCTAGCTGATCTAAAAAAAAATAAAAAATAGAAGAACAGTTAGGTTTTTTTTTTTTATCTATAGTTGATTAATATATAGAATAATATATACAAAAACATACATTCAAGTATTTTATTCATTCAAAGTGATGGAATCCTGTTCCATAACTCCTTTACCAATATAATCAGAAACAAATTTAAACTTGTCTTTACTGTCATGTAATGCATTAGTAAATATTTCATAATTTTCTTTCTTTCCAATCATATTCTGCATATCTTTTTGTTCTTTAATATCATTAAATTTTTCTGCACATATTGGACATCTAATCTTTTCACCATTAATTTCAACACCATTATTTCTTTCATCATCAACATGACTATTAGCAATCAAATTTACCGAAATACATTTCTCATGAAATGAATGTTTACACTTGAAATGAATTACTGGGAAATCCAATCTGTTCTTACAACTTGAACATTTATTATTTTGAATAATCATAGGTTTGGTCAATTCTGATAACTTGTATGAATTTTTGGTTGATTCTTGTTCATATTTCTCAATTAATTTTTCATTATTCATTATCTCTTGATTCTGATTTGTGAAAAAATTAATAAAATAATCTTTAACTAACCCAAAGGTTATAAAATCATTATCTGGATTTTCTGTCAACAATTCAAGCAATTCCATTGGTTTTAATAATTTGTAGTTGTTAATCTGTTGAAGTAATATTTGTATATCATCTTCAGATACTTTATCAAAAATGGATTTCTTGGACACAATAAATCGAAGCATGTATTTGTACAATTCTGGTTTAGTATCACCATGTTTATCCAAAATCTTGAAACAACCTTCTATATTTTCATTCATTTGGTATTTCATAAATAAATCAATTTCACTTCCTGTTTTTTCATGTGATATGACTTCGCCAACTTTGAAACCGTAAATTGTACTAAGCAAAAGCAATGATTGACTATCTAATAAATCAGCATATTGTTCACTCAAACTATTGGCCTTCTCCAACCATTCTTGATCAGATGTTGATTTATGCAACGACAAATAAATTTCAAGCAAGGTCATCACTGTTTCTTGTTTATCAATTGACTTGCCTTGAAATTTTTCAAATGCTTCAATACTTGCTTCAAGGAAAATAACAAACTGTTTTGGATGGTTGGTAAAACTAGCATAAATCAAGTTGGGCTTTGGTGGTAAGTACGTTGGAGCAGATGATTTTCTGGTTTCTTGTTCAGCTTGTTCGGACTCATTGTTATCTTGTAGTGACAAATAGTTTAAAAATGCTCTATAATTAGATATTTCAACTGATTTCTCCTTTTGCTCTTCGGATTTACTATTAGTGACTGCACTTTCTTTAGATTCTCTGGGAATGTACTCCCCGGTAAAAACATTGATCAATAATTCGGTGGTTTCAATAGGACAAGAGTCCAATAAATTCTCCGAGTGATCTATCAATATCAAAAGCAATTCATCTATTGGCAATGTCTTCATATAACTCAAAGCAAATTTGGGTTTTTTGAGATCATTCAATTGGATGTCGACAATAAGGTTTGGTTGGTCTAATTTATATAACAACTTTAATACTTGGTCATAAAATCCACATTCTTTAAACAAATTGATAATCAAATCAAAATTCAAATCCTGCAAGTTTTCAATAGTCAAGTCAAAATCGTTTATAAAAGCATCCAAGTTTTCAAGTTTCTTCAACTTACAGTAACAGCACAATAACAATGTTACATGATCAATACTTGCTAATGACTTTTCATACAATCGAATTAAGAACTGGGTAAGATTTGGAATGTTCACTGCCTCCTTGAATTTCGTGATTATGTTCATGATAAATTCGTCAATGTCCTGATCCACATTATTGTCAAACAATTCGAGGCATTTAATATAAATACCAATTGCTTCATCAAACTGGCCCTTGTCATACAAATAATCACCGTGAAGTATCTCGATTTTTAGCAACGTCTCATTAGGTAGTTTCTTCTGTTGGGCCAAATTAAATGCAACAGAGAATAATTCACGTTGTAATATAAGCTCGATTTGCTGGTTAGTTGGTTTTTCGTGGATTTTGTATAATACTCCATCGCTAGTCAATAGATAGAGATCTCCTGACAATATGAAAGCATGGAAAACAGAACTGTTTGGGATCAACAAATTAAATGAAATATGATTGTTTACCAAATCTAGAATCAACACTCTTGTCATAACTTTCTTGCTTTCGACATCATCATGGGGACTAACAATTAAAAGAAAATTTTTGAACTTGACAATCTTTGATTTAGGAATTTCAAAGTTAATCGTCGAGATTTTATTTACTGTATCATAAAATTGTATGGAATCCGGTAATCCAACTATCAATTCATGTGTCTCGTCATCCTGATTGACATCAGTAAAATTCAAATCTGCTCCAAATTTTTGGGATAATATTCTGGTTGGTTTTTCGTGGTTTCTTCCAGTTGTTGGCACAGTTAAAATTTTCCCAGTTGTGGTTACATACAACAACTGTTCAGTTTCATTAAAATGTACTCCCGTTATTGGATCATTACCACTCATGTAAACAACTCTTTGTTTCGATCCTCTATCACGCAATAAGTCACCACGTATTAAAATCACTTTCCCATTCGTATACCCCACGGCAAGGCAGGTAAGATCATAATTAAATTGGAAACAACTTATCGGATATGAATTATCCCCTAGTTTATCATGATTACTAACTAGTACTTGGGTTTGAAATTTGTATTTATAATCAGATTCTTCTACTTTGGAATCAAGTTGTATCATTTTGTTGATATCCCATAATTTAATGACACTTGGGTTTCCTTGCTTTTCTGCCAAAGTCACGATGAGATTGTTGGAGTTGTGTACGGGTTCAATGAATGTAATTCGGTAGTCAACATCATATGCCTGAAATGTCTTTAGACATGTCAAATCCTTCTGGTTGATTATTCTGATTGTTGAATTATTGACGGCAATCAATAAATATGTGGAAGTAGTGGAATTAATACATGACAATGTTGGGTCGGAATATAAAGGTTCATCCGAATTACAATTTGGATCTCGTATCGGTGTGAATTCAAATAATTGGAATTGTCTCCAGGATGACAATGCTGATGACATGATTCCCTGGAAGTGATGATAAATAAAAATGATTACAACCTAAATTTATCGTTGTTTCTCTATTTTTCTCTCTTTTTTTATTCGAGGTATTTTCGCTTACCAGTTTTTTTTTTCCTACAATCAAATGTGACAATACAACTGGTAGCGAAGCTATGTAACAATCTTTAATTAGGAGTTGATTTTTACAAATATTTATGTGTATATGTGTATATATAATGTATATTTTTATCATAAATGGGGTATCAAAGAAGAAACGATATAACTGTTCTATTTATTGTTTAAGCGGTAGTAACAGTGGTAAAGGTAGTAGCATATGTGGTGGCAAAAGTAGCACCAACATTGTTGGCAACATTGGCAACAACACCTCTACCAATGTTACAAGCCAAATTCTTGAAATTGGCACCATTCATAATCTTGAATGGGTTGACACAGTCACATTGTGGGATATGGTTCCATAAGACGTCATCAGACAAAGCACAGATACAGTTGATACCTTTGTTTTCACAATTTTGTTGAATGGCATCAGCAGCCATTTTACAGTGGGAGTTACAACTGAGCTTAAAGTTACCGTAGTTAACATTGATTCCTCCGTTGCCATTGTCTGAAACAACAGCACCTTGTAATGGAGAGCCAACGCCGACTGGGACAGTAACTGCAGAAGGAGCAGCAATTGGAGCAGCAATTGGAACGGCAGTAACAGCAGCCGTAACTTCTGGTTGGGTGGTTTCAGCGACAGAAGCGGAAATTAATGCCAAAGCAGAAACAATAGTGGAAGCGAATCTCATTGTTGTTGGTGTCAGTTAGTTTTTCTTTTGGTTGATGAATTGAATATATTGATGTTTCTGTGGCATCATTGTTTGGATATTTTGGGTCCTATTTATACCATCTTGGTCGTTCCAAGCGGGCCAATTAAATCTTCCTTTGTATTCATTACACTTTTGAATTTCCAAGTGCTATGGAAGGGTTATCCATTGAAACGTGATTTTCCGTAGATCACATAGTCTCTTCTTTCAAAAACAAAAAATGGAGTTGTTTCTGCTTTGTAACAATTTTTCATTAATATTATTATTATTAATATTGTTATTTTTTTTTGTTGCAAATCATTTTCAATGCTTGATTACAATGGTATGCATTTCATTATGAAACAAAAGTTAAAGGAAGACATGTTGATTATAATTAATTTGGAAATGAGCAGCCTCCCCCGGATGATGGTTGCACGTTATATGGGGCTTAATCAATGCTCCATCGTGAGATAATATAATCATGATCATTGAGAAATGGATTTGATACTGGAGTCTGCCCTTCTCCGTTCCCCATAAATTATCTGGAACGTGTTGTTTTGGTGCATAGAAAAAGGGTGATGTAATAACTAGAAAGCAACGTTGTCAGTCCAGCACTGCCTGCCTTGATTTTCACACACATTTGCCAATCAAATTACTTTTTGCATTCTTCGGTAATACTAAAGAATTCTAAATTGTACAATTCTTAATTGGAGGGTTGCAAATTATGATGGGTATATTTTAAGGGGAAAATTCAGTGGTTAAGTTCATCAACATTAAATTGATAATACTACTAATAATAACAATAATCCATGGATTTTCAAATGATGGATCATCAATGGATTTGGTTTCAGTTTGACATTGTTTTAATTTGAAAAATTGATATTGGCTAGAATGAAGTCATGACTGAGTGGTTGGGTATTCTTATGAGTTAGAACTTCTTATCAATCATCACTTCACTGGCATAGTTCGTCTTATACTTGATTATACCACTGGTTGTTGTTTAGTCCACATGCATATGACAAGAAATCAAAAAGAGAAAAAAAAATCATCAATCTTTATCCCGAGGGAACCGTATCGACAATCTCAAGAACGTCAGAAAGTGTTCGAATAATTGAGTGGCAGTATGGTCTACGTTAAATGGAATATCCAAATTGAATGCTGTAATTCATATCTTTGAATCATACCCATTCCCTTGGATATATAAATATCTACAGAATATCACAAGAGGGACAATAGCATCGCCGGTACAACACCACCGAAGCATTTTCGGCGAAAATTCTGTCGCAAGAGGAATTATTTTTCCGTCACAAATTCAAACATCCCAGGCGATACGATCAAATGGGTTTTCGAATAAGAATTACAACCGCAGCATACGATTTATGTTTTCACCACTAATAGCAGTTGTGATTTCCATTCCTTACCATTCAAGAGATCCAGTGTCGGCCCTATTATCACTTGTCATACACATATCACCACTCCATCACGTGTCAATCTCACCTGAGAAATATCATAAGCCAAAAAAAAAGAAAATAGCTAGGACAAAAATAGGACAAAAATATTTGAACCAATTTGTATTTTTTTTTTATTTTTTGTTTTTTCAGTTGAAAAGAAAGAAAGAAAGAAAAAAAAATTTTCTATGTGAAAATCAGATCCAACCTTGTGATTCAAAAGAAGAACGAATTGATTATTCAAGAACCGGAATAAGAAACTAGGTTGAAAGTTTTAAATAACATTACTAATCATTGCTGGCAAATAATATATAGATCTCAATTCACCGGCTTTTTTGTTTTTAATTCATCCTAATTATTCATCTATAATACTGATTTCAAACACATTTCCACAGAAATACATTACCTTATCATGACATCAACTAAAACATCAAAGACACCTGTCACAGTTAAAGACATTCTATTATATATTCCTAACTTGATTGGGTATTTTAGAATAATAACTGGTATCATTTCATTCTTGTGTATGAAAAATCATCCAGTTTTAACATCAATTTTTTATGGTATCTCTGGATTTTTAGATGCATTTGATGGATACGCTGCCAGAAAATATAATCAAGGTACTAGATTTGGGGCTGTGTTGGATATGGTCACTGATAGATGTGCCACTAGTTCTTTAATTGTTTATATTGGTGTTTTATATCCTCAATATACTGTCATGTGGCAAATACTAGTCAGTTTAGATTTGGCTTCTCATTATATGCACATGTATGCTATGTTATCTGCTGGTTCAACTTCACATAAAAATGTTGATGAAACTCAATCAAAATTATTATCTTTATATTATACAAATAGAACCGTTTTGTTTGTTGTTTGTCTTGTCAATGAATTATTTTACATGGCTGTTTACTTGCATTACTATGGTTACTTCTGGATGGGTACTTTAATGGGTGTTTTAAGTGCTCCAATTTGGTTATTTAAACAAGTTGCAAATGTCATTCAATTGAAAAATGCTTCATTGATTTTGGCCAGAATGGACGCTGAAGAACATAGCAAAAGAGATTAATTTCACTATTATAGATTGATTGTTCTGCTTCTTCCAAAGAAATAGTCACTTGAGATTATTGAAATGAGTTTATTTGTGATCTTGCTTTCTTAGATGCATTGTTATTATTATTATACAACTATTGGTCGTTTGTTCACCCTCTCTTTATATATACATCTTGTTATTATTATTTTTATAAAGTATACGATTTCATTTTTTTTTTTCACATTTTGCTTATCATATATAACCTTTTCTGGTTTCTTTCTGTAACTTTTGTTGAACTATTGCAAGTACATTATTGGTTTTTTGAGCAATTTCTGGTTCATTATGAATAACTGCCAAATTGATTTGCAACTTTAATGATTTTTCCAATAAAATAAAATTTGAACATTTTTCAAATCCTGATATTGCAAGTTGAGTATACAGTAATGCAGTTGATTGATCTTTATAACTACGAGCCAATTCATAATATGCTCTCGAGATAAGTTCTCGATTGTTTAATCGTTGTACGTGGGGCATTACTTCTTCACTTAATTTTAGAGCATCAGAAAGTGCACCAACTGAATTCAATACTTCCCAAAATAATAGAACAGCTTCGGTGTAGATATATCCAAACCCGCATCGTTTGGATAACTGTATTTGTTGTGTCAACAACGAGAAAACACGATAATGGTTGCCTGACCTGATAAAAATGTTGCATTTCAATAGGGCCACTCTAATTGCCAAATATACATCGTTCAGTTGTATCTTAGAAAGCAAGCATAAAGCATGACTATAGTTTTCTAAACACGTTTCAACTTCAACTTGCAACATCAACAATTCATTTCTTAATTCTGTATCCTTAAAAGCATTATCCAACAATACATTAATGATGTTTTTACAGATATTGTATCTTCCCTTTTGAAGGTTCAATCTTATTGACATCATGAGACATCGTTTGTGGATTGAATTATACATTGAATGATCGGTAACTTCTTTTTTCAAATTTTCCAACTTATTGTACGCCAAGTCAACATCTCCACTTAAAAATTTCAAAAAACTCATACGAATAGAAAGACTGACTTTATCTGTTGCTTTATCGGTAAGTTCCATAGCAATCATACTATAAACCTCACTCAATGCTGGTTCACCAATACGACTCCATACTGTGGCTGCAAGTTCGGCTGATTTTATAAATGTAGGTCTAGCATCGTTTATAGCAATGAACATGGATTTAATCAAGCTATTCATATAGCTCTTCCCACCATTATGCATGATTTGCAAAGTTTCAAAATTATAACTCATCGAATAAAGCAGTGGTGATACTTGTTTGGATTTTTTAATAAGAAAGTCAAGAACTTGTGTTTCGTTATTATTGTTGTAAAAAGTCTGACGATTCCATAATTCCGGTTTGTTCTTCATAAAATTGAATAACCATGATAAAATATACGTCAAGGTGGAATTATCTTTGTTTTCACGGGCAACAGATATTGCTTCTTCAATAGCATCCATTGCCTTATCATCTTCTCCGAAATATTGGTGTAGCGCTGCACGTGAAATTAAGGCAAAATGATAAAAATACTTGGAATTGTTCGATACCATATAGTCGAAATATTGGTGTAATGCATCAAACGCCCCATTGTAGTCAGATTCTTGTAGACATTCTAAATATCGAAGGTAATGATATGAAGGTAAGTTGTTGAAATTAATATTCTGTATTCGTCCAACATTTGAATTGGGAGATGTCATTAATAGCATAATATCTTTCAAATATTGAGGTGTTGGTGTTCCATAGCTTTCTAACAAAGTAATCTGATTGTCTAGCAATTGTTGCAAGTCATATCGAGGAACAGGAATGATTTTTGATGTCGTATTTATCACACCAATTTCTTTCAAATTGTTATTCAAATGATTAAATAGTTCAAAATCGGGATCAGATATGCTGTCACTAATAATTCCTCCTTGATTAATATATATCTGCCGTGTTGATTCTCTAAACTCAGAAAACGCTTGAAATAATAATTGACTTTCATCAAATTTCAATGTTGCAAATGCGGTACATATTTTAAGAACAAACGAACCAAATAGGGATTTTGAAGAAACAATTTTCGTGGCTTCCGGAGAAGATGAATTAACTGTGATTATTCCCAGTTTAACGCATTTCATTAATTGATTGATATGATCATTTTCCAAATCTTCCACTGATCTGACGTTCCATACAACATCTAGTAAGATTCGCTCTGTTTTTTCATCCTTTATAATGTCACACAAGTCCTTTAAACTATGAATGATTACGCCAGGTGATGCTCCAGGTATTGCTAATACCTGTTTCTTTTCGATCAATTGGGTTAGAAGGATTAATTGAGGAACAGGTAATTTGTTGTTCAAGTATAATTGTATTAATATCAATAATGATAACTTGTAAGGGGACAAATCTTCCGTAAGCAATAGCTTGATTTCATTTTTCACCATTCTAAGTTATTGGTATATTCAAATATATGGGTGGTGTTGAATGAAGTTGATCATAGACTCGTATGGTTCAAGTGGTAAAACACGCTTGTTTTTGTTTACCCTTTATTTTTTTTTTCGGTGTCTGTCTGTCTGAGAATGACAAAAGTGTTTGTCGATCGATTCGCTCATGTTTGTAGCACACGACAATGATGATATCGAACATGCAATTGAAAATTATCAACAAGCGTAATGATAATCGAAATTAACTTTAATTCCAGGTAATCTTATCATCTGAGCAATGTTTCCGGTGATTATGGGAATTACTTTTAGTAGTTTTAGAGATGGATAGCATGTAAATAGTGTCTTTTTGATTATTTCTACCATAGGCAAGATAGCGTTCTACTAAAGTGAGTCTGTGGTTTACTCAGATATATTGACATTGTTAGCTTTTTTTTTAATCTAATGTAATAAAGAATGAATTCGTTATTATTGACCTTACCAACTCAACTTTTTTGCTAAAAACACTGCAAAGTACACTTGGGAATACACGTGATATACATAGTTGAAACCAGCAGTCGTTAACCATCTACCTGCTTTGTAATCCTGATGTATTATATCAAATTTAACCATTGCTAATGTCACCACTTTCGCCTTTGATTAGGTGGTCAAATATCATGGTTTCATGTGGTTCACGGCTACCAATTCGCGGTCGTGTGCAGTTGTTCATGATTTCTACCTCGATGAAAAAAAAAAAAAAATTCTTCGTCTACCAATTTTTGGGTTTTCTCTTACATTCAATTTTTTTCCTCTTGATACATTCATTCAGTGTTGTTGGATCAATTAATTTGAAGACTGTTTCACCCATATTAATACCATCTTGCTTTTCTAATTTTCTTTTTTCTTTCTTTTTGTTGGAATTTCAATTGTTTTAGAACCAGAGACATTTCAAATCATGACTGAATTTCTTAATTACACTGTTGATTTAACATTGAAAGATGGTACTAGATCTAGTGGTTTGATTTCCCATGTGGATGGACAACAAATTATTCTTTCCAATGCAATTCATTCTGTTCAACCAAGAAAAGTAGTACCAAGTTTTAACATTAGTAGTACTGAAATTGCTGATTTGAAAGTTATTAAATTACCTTCTGATTTTAAACAACAGCAACAACAGCAATCCAAGAGAAAACAAAAGTCAAGAAATGAAGGTCTTGTTGATGATGCGATTTTATTTGCTTCCAAACCAAACACACCTCGGCCTAATACTCCGAAATTGAGAAATCCAAAACCACAACAGACAGCACCGTACACTGGTGGTTCTGAACAACCAGATTGGGATGATTCAAGTGATATTCAAGAAATAAAAAGTCTGAATGATTTTGATTTCCAAGCTAATTTGGCAATGTTTGATAAGAAGTCTGTATTTGCTGATTTCCAAAAGAGAGACCATACCAGCATTAATGATAGGTTAGTGGGTCACAATAAGATCGAAAATGTAAACAAGACTAAGAAGGAGAAATATGATAACAATGAAATGGTTTTGGAACAAAATAGAGTAGATAATTGGGATAATATTGGTACTGCTGCTAATAGTAAAGCGGGTACTCCAGTGATTCATCAAAGTTCATACAAAGAACAACAGAATCAAAATTTGAAATTGATTAATCCAGTTAACTTGGCCACTGTTCCGTCAGCTTCTCCAGTTCAATTATTGGAAATTGAAAGATTATCTACTGATACCTATGGTATAACCCCAGCAATGATGGCTGAAGTTTGTGCTATTAATTTGAGTCAGTTGATCATGGAATCTGTATTAGGGGGTGCTTCAAGACTAAGCAATAAAAAGAATCATAACTTGCCACCTTTGGTATTGTTGCTTATAGGTAGTAGTCGAGGAGGAAGCAGGGCTTTTGCTACTGGACGACATTTAACAAACCATGGGGTTCGAGTACTAGCATTTATGATTAACACCGAAGAAGTTGATTCGGATTTACAACAACAATGGAAGTTGTTTGAATCAGCTGGCGGTAAAGTTGTAATTGGAAATGTTCTTGAACTTTTGGACATTGTTAATAACCAATTGGACACACCAGTGGAAGTGATAATAGATGCTTTGCAAGGATATGATGATCATTTGGAAGATGTGTTCTACCAAGAAGAAGATCAAGTTACTTTACGAAAATTGATGAAATGGTGTAATGAACCTCAACAACAAAATAAGATAATGTCGCTAGATATCCCATCTGGTATTGATGGTGGATCGGGAACTTTACTGGATGATTCATTGAAATTAAACTGTAGGTGGTGTATTTCAATGGGATTACCATTATCTGGTATTATACTAGCTTATAAGAATGGAAATATGAGTTCAACAGATGATGAAGTTATCCATTATGTGGTGGATATTGGTATTCCAAACAAAGTCTACAGTAACAAAGGTAACTTACGTAAGTTTGATAAATTCTGGTTCAGTGCAGAAGCCAGTTTGAAACTAGAAGTTTCATCTTAGAAAAGAGTGTAGATATTAGGTCTTATGTGTATATTATATGTAATGTAGAAGGAAGCAGATACTATTCTGACTCCATGTAAAATATAAGTTATAATTTTTAGTGCTTACTCTGTTGTCCATGTGGATATTATTATTGATCGTCAACAGGCGTTAGCTCTACTTAGATATTTATAATTCTAATTAACGGTGTTCATTCATCATTCATCATTCATACTATGTGTATATTGGACAAAACTATTAGACAAGCAAACATTACGTACAATTCATTGCGCACCCAGTTTCATCGAACAGAAGAAAGAAAAAAAAAATTGAAATCGAAAATTTTCTCAAAACAAAAGAAGTAAACAACCATCATCGCCATTTTCATAATATAGCATATCTATACCTGGTGATTGACAACAAATAATTGATTAAACCAATTGAAATCGACAATTTATTAGTATCATGTCATTTTCCTTTGGATCAAATAATAATAACACCAGCGCTACTACCAACAATTGGGGTGCATCAACAGGATTTGGACGACGAGCATCTGTTGGTGGTCCATTATCATCTTCAACTACTGCAGCTCCAAATACAAATCAACTGTTATTTGGAAACACAGCATCAAAACCAGGTGGATTATTTGGAAATCTGAATAACACTACTGCAGCATCTACAGCTTGTAGTGGTAGTGGTGGTCTTTTTGGAAATACTTCAACTGGCAATACTGGTTTATTTGGAAATTCCGCAACTGCAACTAATAATAATACTGGTGCTACAAGTACTGGTAGTACAGGTTTATTTGGTAATTCAAATACTACAAATACTGGTAGTACAGGTTTATTTGGCAGTTCAAATACTACCACCAGCACTGGAAATACAGGTTTATTTGGAAATAGTCAAACAGGTGCTGCTTCTTCAAGCACATCAACAGGTTTATTTGGCTCAAAACCAGCCACTACTACTGGAGGACTTTTTGGAAATTCTTCAAATCAAGGAAGTACTGGATTATTTGGTGGATCTACATCCACTCAACAACAACAACAACCAACATCTGGTGGTCTTTTTGGCGGCTCATCCAATTCCGGTGGATTATTTGGAGCTCAACAGAACCAAGCTCCTTCGCTTCAATTAACTGTTAACAATAGTAATCCTTACAGTTATTCCCAAGTTCTTTCAAATTTACAAGCATCAAGCGCCAATATGCCAGAGTCTGTCACCACATCTGTTTTCCCTGATATGATGAAGGGGTCTAATGAAAAGAAGAGAAGATTCTCCTATTTGGAAAAGCCAGAAACTCATAAGCCAAAATCTTCATTGTTGAGTAAATTGGGCCAAACTTTCAGACTTATCCGTAATGGAAATGCTGCTGCTTCTTTTGAATCGTTAAAAGGTTTATTCACCAGTAATGACGAATTAAAACCACAACAAAAAAGAATTATGTTATCTGCTGCAGCTGCATCATCATCATCATCTAATAGCTCTTCTGTAATTACTCCAAAGACAATTACTAAGCCATCATATAGAGCTGTCGATGCAAGAAGAATTGGAAGTATGAAAAGATTGATTATTAAAACCAAACCAATGAAGTATCATATGATTAATGTTAATAAAGTGTTCAATGCAAAGAGAAGAAAAGTTATTACTCAGTCATTATCAGCAGATAAATTGTTAACCGAGAGATATGACAGTCAAGAAGAAGAAAGTGATGATGAGTTGGAAGATGAAGGAGATGTTGCTTTGAATAAGGCATTTTCTAGATATTCATACAAAGCTGGCAAAACATTTGAAGACTCTGCTTCAGCCACTGCTACCAGAATTGTGGAAAAGACATCAGCTAATGAAAACGAAGTTAAACAAGATGATTCTAGTAATTTAGATGAATTGCATGATGGTTACTGGTCCACCCCAACAATCAAGCAGCTCTCAGAAATGAATATTGACCAATTGTCAAGCTTGGATAACTTTATTATTGGAAGGGTTGGCTGTGGACAAATTGCTTACAATTATCCAGTTGATTTGTCACAAGTGTATTTGGATGCTCAAAAGAAAGGAATACCATTGGAGAAAGAACTTTTTGGGTCAGTTATTAAAATCAATTCAAAGTTTATTTTAGCATATAGCGAAGACACAAACAAACCGGCCATGGGGTTCGGATTGAATGTTCCAGCAACAATTACACTTGAAGGTGTTAAACCAAAACCAAATATGACCCTTGATGACCATATTAATTATTTGAAGAAGCAAATTGGTATGGAATTTATTACCTACGATCCAATAACATGTGTTTGGGTGTTTAAAGTTAAGCATTTCAGTATATGGGGGTTGATTGATGAAGAAGACGCCGACCTGAAGGATTTATTGGCAATGAAGAGAAAGCAAGATGTTCAAGAATTAGAAGCATCCGCTGAATATTCCAGATTATATGAAAATGATAAAATACAACTGGAACTCAAGAAACAAAAACTCAATGAACAAAACAAGATTGTTCCTGGTGGATGGACTTATACCATTGAACCATCAGATGATCCTTTGTCAATCAAACGTCGTTTGGTTTCCGATGAAATCAGTAAGCAATTGATCAAATACCGCTCTGAGCAAAGCACTGATGAATTAAGTGAACAAATTAGTGATATAACAATAGAATCTGATAAAGAACCAACACCTGTTCCTCGAGTTGCTGAATATATTCATCAAATGACCAATGTTTTACCTCCGGATCTTGATTTGAATGAAGTGGTTAGTGAAAAAGTTTACGAGCCTCACGTTACCAACGAGGTTGTGTTTGATTCTATCCAAATTCGTCCAAATTTGCCAACTTCAGATGATTGGTTACTTCAGTTGGAATTAGCTAATCAGATGACTTCTGCGTTAGCTCCATTTGTCACTAAACCAAAAACAAAGAATGACCCCTTGAGTATTCAAAAAATCGACGATATTTTGTTTTCTGATTTCAACCAAAAAAGTATGAATGTTTCAACTCCGACAAAGCAACTTTCACCAATAGATGATATGGATGAATCTGAGGATATTTTCAATGATAATATACCTACTGTTTTTGGTACATTGTTATCACAATCAAAAGTTACCAACAGAGATAATTCTTATCCAATGTTGAAGGATACTATTGGATTTCAATTTAAAGATTTGGTTACACCTGGTCAAGAGAAAGAAGAGAATGATATTGTCACTTTGGCATCTGCATTATTTGACGATGTGCAAGTTGACAATTCCACGGATCCAAATGTTACTGCAGCTTTGGTTGAAAAGACTAGGAAAGGAGTATTCGGTGATTGGTTAAGAAACTTTAATTGTTCTGATGTCGAAAAATTATTGGTGGAAAATAAATCTGATCCTTTGGAGACTGTATTCATCTACTTGTGCGCTGGAGATTTAACTAAGGCTATCCAAGCAGCAATTGATGCTAATTGCAATCATTTATCTGTTGTTGTTACCCTTTCCGATGCTAACGATGTGGTGGTAAGATCTATTGCCAAAAATCAATTGGATAGTTGGACTACCCGTAATACCATCAATAGAATTCCAAAAGCAATTGTCAAAATCTATCAATTGTTGGCTGGCGAATTTGAACAGATTATTGATGGTTTGTCATGGAATCTTGGATTGGCATTGAAGCTATTCTATGGTGATTTCAAGGATATTAAGACTTTGATCACTGAGTTTAAAGACAGCCTACCACATGAAAGTCCTATTACAGATATTTTCACATTATACATTGATGGTGTGAGCTTGTCCTCGATAAAATCTACTTGCTTAAATACAAAGTTAAAATGGTTTGTGTTAAAGATTCTAGCAACTGGTTTTACTTACGACGATATAACAAAAGAATTTGGTAAATACTTGGCATCAAATGATTACTGGAAAGAAGGTGTACTTACTTTTGCTACTTTGACAAACGATGAAGAAGCTAAAGAAGCCATAAGAGACTTGGTTGTTTCTAAGATCCAGTTTATCAAGAGCACATCGGTTGATAAAGAACAATATGTCCTTTCTGTATTAAAACTTCCTAGGGTTATCATTTACGAAGCAGTTGCTTTACAAAAGAATAAGGAAAAGGACTATTGGGGTGAGTGTGAAGCATTCCTTGAGGTTGAATTATGGGAAAAGGCACATGCTACAATTGTTGATCAATTAGGTCCAGCCACAGTTCTTTCAAATTCAAATGAAGATAAGAGTCACTTATTGAAGATTCTTAAGCAATTTCCATCAAACGGGTTAATTATACCTGATTGGAATAAAGGCGCAGGTATCTTTGAGAAATATTTATCTGTATTGAGCAAGAACGACAAAGATTGCTTTGAGGATTTAGAGTTTTTACTTTCATATTTACCATTTGTTAAAACTGAATCTTTTGATCAAAAAGTGGCTGCTAATTTGATTTCCAAAAAAGTTGGTAATTTAACACTTGAGAACATAAAATTTGATGCTTCGTCTAAATCCAAAGTCTTGGAATTACCATTGGGCACTGTTGATAAGAGGTATTTTGAACTCAGATTGTCTAATTAGAGTGTAATGATCTTTCATATAGTTAATACATAAGAAACTTAAAACTTGTAATTATAAATATTAATGTTAATTTTAAAAGAATATATTACAGTTATAGTTAATCGCGTGGTTTTGTCGAAGTGAGCCATTGGTTGTCTCATTGGGTTATGTGGTTTGACAATAAATGACTCTACTATCACATTTTAATGTTTCTATTAGCTTCCAAAATACTTCATCTCTAAGTTAAACAGTCTGATAATGGGCTAATATTTTTGTTGATGATCTTCGGACAATTGTGTGCGATAAGCGTGATTACTAATCTAACTAAGCGGCAACATCAACAACAAGAAGAAAAAAAAAAAAAAAAAAGAAATGAAATGATAATCTACAAGAATCGTTGTAGAATTTCTTTACTCATCAACTTATCATAACAACTACAGAATAAATGTCACCAAGTCAAACAACAACGGCGAGTAATAGTACCACTGAAATAGAAAATTCAAAACTAGCAGCACCAGAGCCAGAACATTGTCCAGGACCAGAATCTATTAATGCTGGACAAGGAGATGCATGTAAAGGATGTGCTAATCAAGAAATATGTTCATCACTGGCACTTAAAGGACCTGATCCTGATCTTGAAATAATTACTCAACGATTATCTAATATTAAACATAAAATTCTTGTATTGAGTGGGAAAGGAGGAGTTGGAAAATCCACATTTACATCAATGTTAAGTTGGGCGATTGCAGCTGATGAAGATTTAGAAGTAGGAGCAATGGATTTAGATATTTGTGGACCTTCATTACCTAGAATGTTAGGAGCTAGTGAAAATGAATCTGTTCATCAATCAAATTCAGGTTGGGAACCAGTTTATGTGGCGGATAATTTAGGATTAATGAGTATTTCATTTATGTTGCCTGATCCTGATGTAGCTATTATTTGGAGAGGTGCAAAGAAGAATGGTTTGATTAAGAATTTTTTAAAAGATGTTAATTGGGGAGAAAGATTGGATTATTTAGTAGTTGATACCCCTCCTGGAACTTCTGATGAACATTTATCAGTAACTACATATATGAAAGAAGTTGGTATTGATGGTGCTTTAATAGTAACAACACCTCAAGAAGTTGCATTATTGGATGTTCGAAAAGAAATTGATTTCTGTAAAAAAGCTGGAATAAAAATTTTGGGGTTAGTTGAAAATATGTCTGGATTTGTATGTCCCAACTGTAAAGGAGAATCTCAAATTTTCAAAGCAACTACTGGTGGTGGTAAACAATTGTGTGAAGAATTGGGAATTAAATTTTTGGGATCAGTACCTTTGGATCCAAGAATTGGCAAAGCTTGTGATTCAGGTGAATGTTTCTTTGATGATTATCCTGATTCTCCAGCTGCCACGGCAATCTTGGACGTTGTGGATGCATTGAGAGATGAGGTAGAATTGACCCTGAACCTACAGAAGTTGAGCATTGATTAAATAGCAGTATTTAGTTTATTTATTTTAATGAAAAGAAGCATATATAGAGAGAGAGATATAGACGAAGTGAATGTCAATATCAATGACGTGGATTTTGTAGTTGTGAATTGATTGACAAAAGCTGATATCACGACAATCGTAGAAAAAACGAAAAAAAAAATACAAATCAGAAAGAAAACTCACGATTGATAAGGGATCAACAGTTTTCCTTCTTTTGGAACTACAAAAATGACAAACTCTAATGATATTGATGAGGAACATGAACATGAAGATTTTGAGAAGTTTATAAGGACCGTTCCTGATTTCAAACAATCTAGATTATCATCGCTTTATTCCAATTTCGAACATAATAAAACGTTAAATCAAATAGGATATGAAGCAAATATAAATGCTTGGAAATCATTACTAATTAAATTAACTACTTCCAAATCAATTCTACCTAAATCAATAATATCTTTAGATACTACTGGATTGAATGATTTTTTAACTATTCCTATTTATGGATATCCTCAAAATTTAGGTAATATACTTAATGAATTAATCCATACAAAGGTGTTTATACCAAATTCCGTTTATCAATCTAGTAAAGGATCATATTTTGATATAATGAATAATAATTCTGGTAATTCAATATTGGATTATTTATCTGTTAAATCATGGGTAAAATGGAGTGTTGATGCGATTATTGGACAAAATTATTCCATAGTTAATAAAAATGGTAGTTTGAAGAATGATAGATTAATTTATTGGAATCTGTTGGTTAAATATGGAGATGAAGTATTGAATTATATTACTCAGGATATTATCAAGAAAGAAGGTAATGCTTATTCATCAAAATTATTTTCTAATCTGAGTTTACTTGAAAAATTGATACATAAATTTCCATACTTAACAAGTATCGATTTTGGTATTCTTTTATTATATTGGTCAAGAGATAAATCGGCATGTAGTATCAAGAAATTAAAAGATTCAGAGATTGTATATATTAAATTTGATTCAGGTTTAGAATTAACTACTGATGATATTGGAATCATTAATATTCAACTGACATTGTCTCAACTCAACAATAGAATAAATCAACTTGAAACTCAGATATCTCAAATTAATCCAAAAACAGTATTAGATCTACCTTCAAAATCAGATCAATTACGTAAATTGAAACAATTGAAATTACAAAAATTATCATTAGTTAAATCATTAGAAACTTCAAATAAATTATGGGATGAACTAAATACTATTTTGATTAAGATTAATGATTCAAATTTAAATCATGAAGTATATCAACAATTAGTTTCAAGTTCTAGAATATTGAAAAATTTAAATGATAAAGTCAGTTTGGAAGATATAGATTATGTGAAATTGGATATTGATGAGGCCATTGCACAGGAAGATGAAATAAGTCAAGCATTAGGTGTTGGTCATGGAGTTGAAGAATATGATGATGATGAAATTGAAACTGAATTACAAAATATGACAAATGAAATGAAGAAACAAGAAACTACAAAGGAGAAGCAAAGTAAAGAAGGTATTCAAGAGCAGAATGAAATTGATAAGGATTTGTTGACCAAATTGGACAATTTGAAAGTGTCTGATATAGAGGATAATTCTAAACGACAAGAAGAATCAAAACAATTAGTACCAAACTAGATTATTTATAGGATTTTAGTAATACTCATATGAGTCTTTTGTTAAAGATACACTTAAACCAACTCCTATATAACTAAACAATCAAAAATAGAAAAAAAAAAAACATCGAAACTTTATGTATTATATATAATTCGTACAAACAAACAAAATGAATAACAAGAAAAGGAACAATTATAATAATAAATTAACAGACCGTTGACACATTCAACTTGAAGACACTTATCCCAAAATTTGCAAAATTTGTTGAGTCAAATTAAATAGTTCAACTTTTGGATCTTCGAATTGATCATCGTTATTGTTATTATTATCACCATTCTCGTTATTTCCTTGACTAATTTGTGATTGTTGAATTTGTTGTTGAGATGCACTTAAATTCTTAATGCCAGCTAAAATAGTTTCATTTTCTTTGATTAGAGAATTGATTTCATTATTATTAGATTCCAATAATTGCAAGATTGTCCACAAAGCAATATGCTCAAAAGTTGGACTACCACTTTCTAAAAATCTAATAAGGAATCCATAAATACCTTCATTTGGTTGTGACCAGTTGTTTAAAATGTATTGCTTGTGGTCGTTGGAAACACGTGAACACAAATTAGCCAAAGCAGCAGCAGAATTACCACAAACTTCACCATTCTCGCTGAAAGTTAAAGGAATCAATACATCGATGATATGGCTTTCATATAATTTTGGTTTCAAATCATCAGCCAATGCCAAAATTGCAAAACAAGCAGAAATTTCCAGTTGGACTGTAAGAGGCACTTTCAATACCAATTCTTTACATTTATCGACTGCACCAGCAGCTAATAAAGCAGTTCTATTCTTTTCTGATGAAGCAGCCAAATTTCTTAATGTTGAAACCGCATGGCATTGAATTTCTTCCGACTCGGTGTAATCTAATAATCCAACTAATGGTTTCAAGAAGCCTGCTTCAATAATCAATGCTTCATTCAATGGATGAATGGAAATGTTTCTTATACAAGCAACAGCAGCCAACACCAAAGGTTGGTGGTTACAAGTCAACAATTGCACCAAATGTGGCAAGCCACCGGCACGGACAATTTCAACTTGATAACCCGAATCAGAAGCCAAATTTCTCAATGCCAAAGTAGCTTGACATTGAACACGAGGGGATGGGGAATCCATTAAATGAACCAATTGACTCACTAATTTAGGTTCAGTGCTTGCCAATTTCTTTCTATTAACTTCATCAACAGCAATATTCGAAAGCGCGGTTGTACAGTAATATTGAACATCGGCATCGTCATTGGATAACAATGATACCAAAACTGGAACAGCGCCGGCATTTACCAACTCTTGTCTGTTTTCACCAGAATGTGTCATATTCAATAATGCACCAGTCGCGTTTCTTTGTACTCTAATATCTTTAGACTTGGCCAATTTCGTCAATGGAATTAAAGCTCCACTTTTGGCAATCTTTGATTTATTGTCATCTTGAGTGGCCAAGTTGGTTATACAACCAACGGCATTACATTGGACTTCAATATTGGTTGACATCATTTGTCTAATCAAAGGTTCTAAACCACCCATTTCGACAATCAAGATTTTGTTTTCAGTATTAACGGCCAAATTGCCCAAAGCGCCACATGCGGCACGTTGAACTTCAGAATCAGTCAGTTGTAATAAAATTAAAATTGGTTCCAAGACATCTCTATTGACTTCTCTAACATCCTTTTCGGTAATTTCAGCAAATGCCAATGCCGCACTTCTTTGTAGGTCGATATTTTCCGAGTAAACCAAAGTACTCAAAGCACGCAATGGACCATTACTAAAGAAGTCAACATCAGAACGGTTTTCCAAGTATTGCAACAATGCTGAAATGGCTTCTCTTTCATTCTCGGCAAGTAACAATTGAGTTTGACTTCCATCGCCTCCGCGGTTTCCTAAACAACTGCAACAAGAACCCATGGTATATAAATGATATGCTCGTTTAAAAGTGGTGAGTTATAATGAAACGAGATAGATAGGATTAAATGAACGGAGTTTTAAATTCACTTAGATTATAATAAATAGATCTGTCAAATACTGATTGGACAAATGAGGGAAGTTGATGATAAAACAATCTCTGTCGAAAAATGAAATTGACTGGGTTGCTGTTGGTTGAATGAACGAGTTGATAAGGGAAAGGCAAAGGAAAAAAAAAAAGAAATGACACAACTCAGATTATACCAACAAATAGATAAACGATAAAAAACTGAAATTGGATTATGAAACTTGACTGATGTTGTAATGTAAAATGAATTAAGTCAAGTATGTGATGATTGGTTGGTTGGTTGGTTAGACGATTGGTTGATTGGTTTATAGATTGGCAGATTGTTTGAGGAAAAGTAACAAGGAAAGGCGAGTGTAGTAATTTTACTTTTTTTTTTTTTTTATTCTTAGAAAATTGAATTAGAGAGCGACACCGAATAAATTTTTTTTGGTTTTTGTTTTTGTTGTTTCCTCTGTTGTCTGTTGTCTCTGTTGTCTGTCTGTCTGTCTGCCTGTTGCGTAAATCTTCGTGTAAATGAGAAAAGCACAGGTTATTGGGTCACGTGATATTGTGATGCGTGTGTAAAATTTTAACCCAAAGAATGAAAAAATAAAATGACCAATGCGCTAAACAAGGGAAAATAACACAAACTTAATCCAATAGTTTCTCCTCTTAAATTGACGACCGTATATATCATCATAACAGACGGATGATTGGTATGGTTGAGACAAAGTATCTTGGGTTATTCTTAGAGGTGTTAAAGATTAAGAATGTTATATTCTTCTATGTTGTAAACTATTGTATGGTATACAATGGAAGAAATATGTACGTCAGTAGAAAGGTATCCAAGAACAATAGATAAGGATCTTGTCAATACCTGTCTTTAGTAGTTAGTAAGTAACACTAACCCCTTCGAGCTCTTATTACTAGTAATTGAAAACAGCACTGCTGGTGTTTTATCGTATTACATTTAACATCCACCCATAAAATAATGTCACGTGATATCTGTAAATTTTTATTGATTTTACCTACGAAATGAATTTTCATTCCCATAAAAACCAACTCATTAAGTTCTACAGAGATGGTAGGTATTTCTTAACTACTTCAATTACTCTTATAAATTTTTTTTATTCTGTTACATGACAATTGACCGGAGGTTGCATATCAATTGACGCGTTTTGAAAGTGCAAGGCAGAGAAATATTCGGTGGTAGTAACGTAGTTCCTTCGTAACTATAGTTGTTTACTGACTGATATCCATTATGGGTGGTATTTCATCCTTTTATGGTTTCTAAACACAACATTAACTTAAGATTACATTTGGTAGCGCTTGCTATTGTTGAAATGGATTTTTATTATGGTTTTATTTCAAAAATTGTCTAAAATTCTCAATAAAATAAAGCAACGCTATTGATATTAATTGAGTATATGATATGTGAATCCTCAATAAACAGTAGTGATTATGACTAGTACGTTGATGATACCAGTAATATTACCAGCAGAGATTTAGAGAGAACGATGTCAGGGTAAGCCATTCCTGTTAGGTAGCTTCCATTATGAGAATATTATACTTGATTTGTAATAAACTATAAACAATATATTATCTATAATAGTTTGGACTTTTACGACAGTATCAAATTTATCAGGATAAATTCATTATCTTTTTTGAAATTTCTTCCTTTGTCAATTCCAACCAGAATAAATCTCTACCCATGTTTCTAACCATTTTCACACATGTATCAAATCTATCGTCATTTATAGTTTCCTGTTGGTTGTGAAAGCTCCCGGTAATCAAATTTATTGTATCTTTGATAGCTTTAATTTCCAGTGTTATTTCATATAGTTGTTTTGTCAATGGCAGATCTGGGATAATCAAGTCATCAAGTGAAATTGTCGTCAAAGGATTTATCGATACATTGCTTTTATCATGACTATTCTTTTCATCTAATTGAGATAAATCTCTGTTTAGGTTAGTTAAATTGGTCAACTGTGTAGAAAGATAGTTGATATGATCATCCAAGTTTCTTGAGTTTCCTTGAGCTTGTTGAAGATGATGATCCAACTGATTATACAACGCTTCAATCTTCATAATATTTTCATTTGTTCCTCTGATGTCTTGATTTATCTCGTCATCAACAAGACACTTGTTTATATTAATTGCCAATTGATCTAACATTTGCTTCCTCTGTAAGTTGCCCGTAGAAGTAACACTATTCTCATTATCCATCAAGTCCACAGGCGCTTGAATTGTCGTTGATGGTGACACAGTTGATCTATTTTGAAGAATCACGTCACATTTATCCTCTGTACGAGATGGCGGCTTGTCAAATCCAGTAGGGTGGAGTGGCGAAGACGTACGGTCCACTGGATATGAGAATGGGATCTGCATATTGTTTCTTTCATCTGGTAACGGCAACGGAGATTGATATTTCAACGGGGTATTACTATAATTTTGCAGTGGTGGAGATTGTAATTTCGGAGGTTTGGCTGGCAACGGAGGTCCTGTTGTCTCTGGTTGTAGACGACCTGGTTGATTTTGATTCTCACCCGAGAAAGACATCAGCACTGGTGATTGTGTAGGCACAGAAGGAAGGATAGGTGCTGGCGTTGCATCTGGTGAATTGATAGCTATCTTTGCTGGTTTTGGTGGTAAATTGCTTGGGATCGGTTGCTCGGAAACTATTGGACAATTTGTTGTTACACTTTGATACACCACATTAAGTAGTTCCACTAAGTTATATCTATTCAAAGAACTTTGGTTCACCTTTTTACACTCTTTATACCAACTAGACATGTAAGGGTGATAAAACATTCCTTGTGTGTCGACGTTATTGCTTGGCCTGAGGTACCAGTTTCTATTATGATCTGGAACTATGTACACCAATGGTGTCCCATTCCCAGCTTGATCAACAAATGGGTATGATGTAGGTACCCAAATCTCTACCGGAACAGATATTTCATTGTTAATGGCAATAGTACCAAATAGATTTATTAGTAAATTGGATTGCCCCGATCCACTTGAGGTGTAGACACGAGTTCTGACCTTAAAGTTAAGATTCTTTTTTAAATGAACTTGTAGAAATTGGTAGACATGGGTGTAGACTATTTGTTTGTTGTCATATAACGGTTGAATAACGTTAAACAACCAATTGGATACCAGTTGTGGGATAGGATCAGACATATTAAATGATATTTGAATCCAATGGTGTGTTGTTTCCTATAGTCTCAATGTTAGTGTACACTATAAAGAAAAACTGACAAAAAAAAAAAAAGAAAATTGATTACCAGTCAGATAATACCACCAACGGAAAAAAAAAAATCAACTAAAATTACATCACCTTGGTTTAATTAATCAACAACTTCATAGATTTGTTCTTTCCAACTAATTGTTTATTTAATTGTTAAAACTATGAGTGGGTATGTTTTTATTTATTACAATGTATAATGTACACGAATCACGTGTGCTTTTCTTCTAAAAGGATTCGTGAGTAATACTAACTAATGACTATAGATATACAGTAGTAGCCGTTTTAGTAGTAGTTGTTGCCTTATCATGTTTGGCTTGGGTATTTGCACCAAAAGAAAATAGAACTGTGTTTAGATCATCTGTTATATTAGCATTGTCGATGTGTTACTTGATGTGGGCTATCACCTACTTGGCTCAATTGCATCCATTAGAAGCACCAAGAAGATCAGATTTAAGACCAGAGGTTGAATAATTCATATTGAATATGAATAAAGAAATCGTTATATCTAATCACAATCTGAAATAAAGCAAAGCGTCGGACCTAGTTGATCATACTCCAAGGGATTAAGGATTATAGTATTAGAGAGAAATTTGTACTACGAGATAAGAAAATTTATATACTGGTTAGATTGAAAAATTACAAAAATATACACATCCATTTGTTTTATCCATCTGAAATAGAACTTATCAAAGAGATTATCTCATTTACTCCCACCATATGGATTGGTTGTTTGCATTGGTAGATAATGAACATTTTCCCGTCTCGTGTTGGTCGTGTTTATATACAGTCCACTAATAAAATTGTAGTACTCCATTAGGAAAAAGACCACCATAAAAGTATTAGAGACATGTATCTCTTTGACTTCATTTGACCAAATATAAGCTCACTCTAGTATATAGTAAACAATATCAGTAGTCTAAGTGGTATATTTTACTTTTCATTCATATTGGACACCTCGTATAGCCTTGCATACTTTTAATTAATCAAATAATATCTTGCAAATACGTAGAACAATAATGAATTTTATATTTACAGAAATATGATGAACAGTTATGGGCAGATTAAATTGATAAGATAAACAAAGAAATTTCGTTTAATATGATTACCATCAGGGGAATTTTACCAGCAACAACCATGACACATTTCTCTTTAATAATTAAAGACAACTTTCCAAATGTTTGAATAACCACCACCATTGCTAATAATCCACTTGAAAGTCATCCTACTTAAACAAATGAATTGAATTTAGTACTTACTGTCGTTAAAAGACCGACAATGATGCTTTCCTCTAAATCAGTTAAAAATGAAACATAGTATTAATCGAGGTACATGTAAATACTAATCTTCCTTTCTTGTTCCATTACCTGAATCTTAGGCTTTAAATTTGTGCTTGCTTTCATTGGTGTCTTGTCGTTCAAGTTATTCTTGGTTAAGAGTTATTGAATCTGGTAGGGAATTAATGGGTGTAGGCTGCAATGATTGAGTTAGCACCAATTCACCACTATGGACTCAATTAGACTTATTTTCTGGTTCATAGAAAGCATAGTTAAATCACGGTTAACCAACAACAAAGTTAAATCACGTGACAAATATATTAGAATGCACGGTTTAGTTAGAATTAATGAAAATATAGACACTTTAATAACAAGAAATAATTAACTCCAAGTGTTGTAGATTCTAAATAACAGTCTTAATATTTTGCAGTAGTTATAAAAACAATATATGTATGTTTGATATTTGTAATTAATAATTTGCTTATTTACGGTGTCGATTGTAAAAATTCCAAGGGATGTTCCTTGGAAATTTATCTCTCGACGTAAACGGGTCGATAATTTTATAATTTCAGTTGACAATTACCGCGAAAAAAATGTAGAATTCAAAAAAATTGAAATAAATCATGAAAATGATTTAATGATACAAATGTACAAGTTTAACACTATTAATACCTTTAAGGGTATTTAAACTTTACAAGAAGAATACATTCACCTTTTATGACCGTCACAATAGATTCAAGTGACAATAAATTGATGATATCACTCTAGTACAACTGAAAATATACCATCAGTTGAATTTTGTATGGGGAGAAGAGATTCAAGTGATTTTTGGAATTTTTTCGTGTGTGAACCAAAATTAAAATCATGGGAATAAACCACTTGAGATCCTGATGGACCCCTTTGGAAACACTATATGGTCTAAAAACCTTAAATAGAATATAAAGATAGTATATATGTGTCAATATGTATATTAATATTCTAATGAACACAGTTTCAGCGGTCTGGATATCATAATTATTGACTTATTTGGGAAAATTATAATTCCCGAAGAAAAAAAGATACTTTGATTTTTGAAGAGTAAGGTTTGATAGATAACTCCACCAGTTTTAACTGTATTGGCTCAAAAGTTAGTGTGACAGTTTTAAACACTGATACAGATAATATCATGCTGCCAAAATGACTAGAATCGAGCTATAATTGATAGATCTAGCGAAACATATGCAACTTCATGAAATTGCTTTGGTTTGCAAAATAAGAAAATTAATTTCCTGTCGTCGCATTTTTGGAAATTGCCATAAAATTAATGAAGTTTCTTATTTTCCACCTTTTGGCAACCTTTGGGCAACCTTATAATGTTGCCGCTTTTCAGCAACTTAATGAAGTTTTCAACAAACTAAAAAGAACATTGGTGTTTCTCAATTTTGGCTATTTCTAAAAGTTTTCCGCAACTTTACAAATACACCTATTTTTCCAAAATCTTGCAACAACATCAATTGACTGGTAACAGCTTTCATCATATTTTTGTTAGACAATAATATTGATAAACAATATAGTGGAATACTATGAATGCTCTTATAGACTATCTTTATATATAAAATAGTAACAAATATACATCAGCGGCAATTAATGAAACTATACTGTACGGTAATAAAAATCCAGTATGTACTTCATTCTCCAAAGGGGTGGACTGTAGGTAGATTTGGAAGAAAAAATTTACCTTTTGAATAAAGTATTAGTAGTAGATGGTTTGAAATGAATCAGCATTACAAATATTTGCATATTTAAATTGGCTATTAGTTATGTTCAGCCTATTCTTGACATGCAAGTGGGGAAACTTCTTGAATTTAGGTCCATGGTTCGTACGAAAGAATCTGAAGAAAAAAAAGAATTCAAATATCAGAAAGAATGAAATAAATAATCTATAATTTGGCTTCTGTTCCATTTCTACCACTTTTAATACTTACCAGGACAATCTATTATGTAATTCTTTTTATTATATAAACGTGTTGAACGCATAATACCTAAAATGTAACATGTTTCCTTCAAATACAACTGAAATCATTCCATTTATTACATTTTGTATGGGGAAAAGAGATTCATGTCATTTTTGAAGATTTTTTCGTGTGTGAACCGATTTGAATTTCACGGGAATAAACCACTTGAGATCCTGATGAACCCCTTTGGGAATACTAGATACCCTAAAAATAAGAAATATAAACTAATAATCATATGAATGGAATACTATTTACATTAATATTCAAATGACTGTAATTTGAACGGTCTGGATAGTGCAATTACTGACTTATTTAGAAAAATTATAATTCCCGATAAAAAAAAGATTGTTTGAAATTCCAAGAGTAAGATTGATAGATAACTACACCAATATTTATCCAATTGATTCAGAATGAACTTATATAGCATAATTTTTCACTCCAAATCATATACCATTTTCAAAATTGCAAAAATCGTACTAACAGTGACAAATGTTACAAATCGTGGAACATTTGCATGTCGCACTGTGACGACCATAGAAAACAGAGATATAAATGCTACTTTTTTCTGGAACATCCAAATATTCTACAAATTTGGAACATATAAATCTATGGATATATGGACGGAATATTCGAATATACGGATATATGGAGGGAAAATTTGCACATACAAATGCGCACCAAATCAGGAACATACAAATCAATGGTTTAATGGATGGAACACTGTGACACACAGATATATGGCGCAATCACTGGAACATATAAATGTACAACAAAAAGTGACATTCAAAAATATGGTTTCAAGGATGGAATATTCGAATATACATATATATTTATTTTTGGAATGTAGATTTATAAGTTACCGCCATCAAATTGATGAATATAATCTACTGTTATGCGTCTTTCCTTATTCAGAATTGTGTCAAATTGAATATCTTGATTGATTCCCACTATATTCAAATGGATTATAAAATATACGTCAAAAGGAAATGTTCAAGAGTGTCTAAAATGCTTTCATTTTTTCTGTATCATTACAAAAATATGAGGTATACTCGCAACATATCAAATTTACTAACCCGATTCACTCAATATAAAAGTTTAATCTGATCATAATTTTAAGTAGGAAATCTTCGTTATTTAATTAATTATTATATAAGATCCTTGATTATAGTGATTTCTACCATTATTCACTTCTATTTAATCTAACTTATCAAAATTATAACAGTTGTTACTTTTTGTATGGTAAAATGAGGTTCAAGTCAATTTTCGTGCCTGAATCAAAATGAAAATTACGGAAATAAATCAATTAAGATCATAGTGAATCCATTAGGAACACTACATACACCAATACTGTGAATTTTCAATATCCAAAACTCTTAATGTGATGGTAAACATATGAATAACATAACAATACCATTTTCAGCTGACTCGATAAAACATTTATTGATAAATTTATACAAATCATAATTCCTGATAAAAAAAGGTGTTCCATATTCACCAAAGTAAGATTTGGCTACGGTTGATGCTATATCATTAGGAAATGCATTGAAATCGATTTATATTGACGTTAATTTACCTTATCTTTCAAACGATGGTGGTTTCAGGGATGTAATCCCAAGACAAAACGGTAAAACCACAATTACACATGAATTTGGCCAAATACGATTATTTAACCAAAACTGTCATTTATAGAAATTTGGCCAACAAGATAAAAATCGCTAAACCAGTGATTTCACCGAATAGTATGATTTGGAAAAACGTACCATTTATGAAAATTTGGTTAAACAGAGTAAAATTAAGAAACAAGTGATTTCACCGAATACTGTGATTTGGCTAAAATTAGTTTTTATTGAAAACTGGCCAACAAGATTAAAATCGCAAAACTATTGGTTTGACCAAAAGTCCCCACTTATTCAAATTTAATCAACGTAACTCTAAATCCCAATACGATGATAATAAATGAAATATTTCATTCTTAAATTAATTATGACGAATTAGCCACAAAATCATAATACAAGGCAAAAACATCAGTGGATCCACAGTTTTCCGCACGTGACGTAATTTAGTTGCCGTTCCCAAAAATTTCAGCTCTTCTCTTCTCTATCGTTTTTATTTTAATTTTCTTGGGGGTTCTCTTAAAGATAACTTAAAATATAAATATAGCAAACTAATCCCTCTTTTTACATGATGAAGAGTCGATGGTAATCTTTTTTCAAATTTTTAATTACAAATTATTTTCACTTTTAATTTTTTTTTTTTTTCACTTTCCCGCTCTGTTGATTTTATAATAACATGGTTGATTCATCAAAACTGTTAGAATGGGTAGAATCAGCATCTGCTTCTGCAAATCTTGACGAAAAAGAATCTATATCATATGACACAACTACTGGATTAAAACATAGTCTTAAGGACCGTCATCTAAGTTTAATTGCATTGGCAGGTATAATTGGTCCAGGTTTGGCCGTTGGTGCTGGGCTTGCTTTGAAATCAGGACCCGCGGCTTTACTTCTTGGTTTTGGAGTGGTTGGTATCTTGGCCTTTTGTATGATGCAAAGTCTTGGTGAACTAGTAACCATGTACCCAACAGGTGGTACATTTTCGACATTAGGTGCTAAATTTGTTGATTATGCATGGGGGAGCGCCGTTGGATGGAATTACGTCATTATTTGGGTTGCTGTTTTAGCAAATGAATATAATTCAACTGCATCTATTCTTCAGTTTTGGGGCCCACAAGTTCCTTTATATGGATATATCTTGATGTTATGGGCATTTTTCACTGCATTCCAGTTCTTGGGTGTAGGTGTTTGGGGTGAGTTTGAATTCTGGTTAGCACTCACCAAAATTCTTGGATTCGTGGCATTTTATATTTTCTCCATTGTATATGTTTCTGGTGGAATTAGTGGGACACCTGCTTTTGGGTTTCATTATTGGAATGATCCGGGAGCATTTGCTAGCTCGAATGGGTTCAAGTCATTTGTTGAAACTTTAACATTTGCAAGTACTTTTTACTCTGGATGTGAAGTGACTGCTCTTGCTGCATCAGAATCTAAAAATCCACTGAAAGCCATGCCAACAGCTATTCGCCAGACTTTTTGGAGAATTTTAATTGTTTATATTGGTGCTGCAATTGCTTATGGTATGACAGTCCCATACAATGACGAAGCTTTGTCTAGTGGTAGCAAAACCTTAAAGTCACCAATGACTATTGCAATTCAAAGAGCTGGTTGGGAAGGTGGTGCTCATTTAATCAATGCTTTTATTATTGTCATTTGTATTTCTGCCATTAGTTCATCGATTTACACTGGATCTAGAGCTATTGTGAATTTGGCTCATGAAGGTGCTGCTCCGCGTTTCTTCAAGAGGGTCAACAAGCAAGGGGTTCCATATCCTGCGGTGATATTGACAAGTACTTTGGGATTGATTTCGATGATGAATCAAAGTACAGGTGCAGCTAATGCATATCAATACATTGTCAATCTTTCTGGTGTTGCTGTTTTTATTGTTTGGGGTAACATTATGTTTTATCATTTGCGATTCAGAAGAGCATTAAAGGTACAAGGACGTTCTTTAGATGAATTGCCTTATAAAGGGTTGTGGTATCCATATTTACCAATCCTTGGATTGGTTTTAAACATTCTTTTGGCATTGATTCAAGGTTGGTCCTATTTCAAACCATTCGATGCTGGAAACTGGGTAGATGCTTATATATTATTGCCATTCTTTGGTGTTTTATTTCTCTGGTTCAAGTTTTGGAATAAAACCACATGGGTCAAATTGAGTGAGGTTGATTTAGACAAAGGTAGAAGAGAAGATGTAGAGAAAGACCAAAAAGGTTCCAGCAAATGGATTATATAAATTGCTTGATTTAAATGTAGGCTTAGTTTCAATAACATAAATTAAAGTAGAACACGTTAAAACGACAATACAAAAAACCGACGCATGCACGACTCACGTCCTGATGTTTTTTTTTTTTTTTTTGGTGTTTATCTGAATATAATTTTTTTTCTCTCTGTCTTGTCTCTTTGGATTGATCACAGTTTTTAGAAACGTAATTGAATTTTCTTTTTGATCGACCTGTAATCAAATAAACATGTCAACAGAATCAGAAAACGTATTTAGACAACTGTTTAGAAACTGGAATGATAGATCAGCCAGAAACCAAACCACACAACCAAATAGCAGACCGGTACTTGCAGAATGGACCGACTATTTCAAGACCGGAGCAAATGATTTATACAGTAGATTGCCTACATCCGTACAAGAGATAGGCGCAACAAGCAACACTGTACTGGAACCTGGATGGTTCAATTTAACTAGGTTCGAAAGATTAGTTGGATTTGGATGTTGTCTAGGAGCATCAGTGTTATGTTTTGTATTGTGTTTCTTCATGTTTCCTGTATTAGCGTTGAGACCACGAAAGTTTGGATTATTATGGACAGGAGGATCGGTATTGTTTGTGGTTTCATTTGGGGTATTACAAGGGCCATACAACTATGCGTGTCATTTACTTTCTAGAGATAGAATAGTATTCACTGTGGTGTTTTTCTCATCTGTGTTGTTGACTATTTATTCCGCATGTATTATAAAGAGCAGTATATTAACTGTGTTTACTAGTATCATTGAAATATTGGCAGTATTGTACTATTCAATTAGCTACTTTCCTTTTGGTGCAACTACATTGACATTTTTCACAAGCTATATTGTTGGTTATGTCGGTGGACTAGTGGGTGGTGTGATCTTATAGAAAAATCCATCACTGGCTTGGTTTCCATTTCTGACATTTATTTATTTATACTATGTATATGTACCTTTTATAATTACACAACATTCATAAATATGATTATAATTTTTCATTTTCCAATGCTTTCTTCAATTCTTCGTGAAGTTTGCCTAATTTTTCAAAGTCAGTTTCTTGAGCTGGCCAACCAACACCCAAACCAGTGGCTTCATCTCTCTTTGGAATCAAATGGAAATGAACGTGATCGACAACTTGATGAGCAATTCTTCCGTTGTTTTGTAAAATATTGTAACCTTCACCTTCTGGGGTATTGTTTTCATCCAATTTCAAAACTTTGGTCAATTTCTTGACAACTGGCAACAAATCACTCAAATAATCATCTGGGATATTGTGCAATTTAGCTCCGTGGTATTTAGGAATGATTAAAACATGACCTTCAGTAGTTGGTTGAATATCTAAAAAGGAGTAAGTCTTTGCAGTTTCAATTAACTTGAAAGATGGAATTTCGCCTTTGATGATTTTACAGAAAATACAGGAAGGATTGGAAGCCATAATTGAAACGGTTGCAAAAAAAATATAATTAAAGAATACAAAAAAGTAAGTAGATCTAACGGAGTTGTAACCCTACTGGTTAAAGAAACACCTTTAAGGGAGAAGTAAAAAAAAAAAAATAATTAAAATCATGAGTGAGCGCTTACAGCATAAACCACCACCACCACCACGAGTGAGGGTGAGCGAGGAAAAAAAAAAGGCAAGGTGGGTAAGAAGTAAGGAGTATTAATTTTTCTTGATGGGAGTTTAGACTAAAGACATGGATTTCCTTGTCTCTCTCACTCTCTCCTTCCCCCGCAAAATACCATCTTGGTTCAGGCATTTTCGAGGGAAAGATGGTGGTGATGTTGCAAAGGAAGCAATAAGGGGGAGGATCAGCTGTCAACACCTTGATTAGAAACAATGAGGATGATAATATGATACGAGTCTTTGTATAAACCATCAAATGAGAGAGATTAATATTTATTATTATTCCAGTATTAATTCAATCACCTCATTGAATTATATTTAGATTATGTTGGCAAACCTCTTCCTGAGTTCAACATACTGTACACTTCAGATCCAGGCACTATGTGCAGTCTCAAAGTATTTTTTGTTCTTTCTCTTCCATTCAGATTTGTTTGCAGTTCAGTTCTCCATGGCAATAGAAAAAGAGAGAGAGAACGGTGGCAAAATGAGCCAACGATATAAAGTTATTCCAAGCTCAGGCGTGAAATTCTCCAGTAGAGTTAGTTGTTAGACTGCTAATACATTCTCTTTATAAAGCCTAATTGATTCTCTTCCAATATAAGTAAAGATTAATTATTTTCTCTCAATGGTAGTTGTTGGTTTACTATTACTATTGCTGTGTCCACTTTTCTATTGATAAAGGCAAATTCAAAAAATTAATAGGCTGTAAGATTTCGCACACTGATTATGGGTGGGAAAAATAGAGAAAAGAAAAAAATAGCGAGAGAGAGAGACAGAGAGGGCGAACAACAAAGAAGAAAGTGAGAAAAATTCCAACACCAAATAAATTTCTGATTTCCTTATTCACTTTTTCTCTTTTTCATAATCATACTACAACCAAGTCTTACTACGCAAATATTAACTTGAATATGACTGGTGAAGAAGATAAAAAACCACATTTTGATGCCTCCGGCGCCTCAGCAGTAGATGACAAAACCGCCACTGCTATCTTGAGAAGAAAGAAGAAGGATAATGCCTTGATTGTTGATGACGCCACCAACGATGATAACTCAGTTATAACCATGTCTTCAAACACAATGGAATTATTGCAATTGTTCCGTGGTGACACTGTTTTGGTTAAGGGTAAGAAAAGAAAGGACACTGTGTTGATTGTATTGGCCGACGATGATATGGAAGATGGCGTTGCCAGAATCAATAGATGTGTTCGTAACAATTTACGTGTCAGATTGGGTGATATTGTCACTGTTCATGCCTGTCCTGATATCAAATATGCCAACAGAATCTCAGTGTTGCCAATTGCTGACACCGTTGAAGGTATCACCGGTTCCTTGTTTGATCTTTACTTGAAACCATACTTTGTTGAAGCTTACAGACCAGTCAGAAAAGGTGACTTGTTCACTGTAAGAGGTGGTATGAGACAAGTTGAATTTAAAGTTGTTGAAGTTGATCCAGAAGAAATGGCAATTGTTGCTCAAGACACCATTATTCACTGTGAAGGTGAACCAATCAACCGTGAAGATGAAGAAAATAGCATGAATGAAGTTGGTTACGATGATATTGGTGGATGTAAGAAACAAATGGCACAAATCAGAGAATTGGTTGAATTGCCATTGAGACACCCACAATTGTTCAAATCCATTGGTATTAAGCCACCTAAGGGTATTTTGATGTATGGTCCACCAGGTACTGGTAAAACCATTATGGCGAGAGCTGTTGCCAACGAAACTGGTGCATTTTTCTTTTTAATTAACGGTCCAGAAATTATGTCCAAGATGGCTGGTGAATCTGAATCCAATTTAAGAAAAGCTTTTGAAGAAGCTGAAAAGAACTCCCCATCTATTATATTCATTGATGAAATCGATTCCATTGCTCCAAAGAGAGACAAGACCAATGGTGAAGTTGAAAGAAGAGTTGTTTCCCAATTGTTAACCCTTATGGATGGTATGAAAGCCAGATCCAATGTCGTTGTCATTGCCGCCACTAACAGACCAAACTCCATTGACCCTGCTTTGAGAAGATTTGGTAGATTTGATAGAGAAGTCGATATCGGTGTCCCAGATGCTGAAGGTCGTTTGGAAATTTTAAGAATCCACACCAAGAACATGAAATTGGCCGATGATGTCGATTTGGAAGCTATCGCTTCTGAAACTCACGGTTTCGTTGGTGCTGATATTGCCTCATTATGTTCAGAAGCTGCCATGCAACAAATTCGTGAAAAGATGGACCTCATTGATTTGGAAGAAGAAACTATTGATACCGAAGTGTTGAACTCTTTGGGTGTTACTCAAGAAAACTTTAGATTTGCTCTTGGCAACTCCAACCCATCTGCCTTGCGTGAAACTGTTGTTGAAAACGTCAATGTCACCTGGGACGATATTGGTGGTTTGGATAACATTAAGAATGAATTGAAAGAAACTGTCGAATACCCAGTCTTGCATCCGGATCAATACCAAAAATTCGGCTTGGCTCCAACCAAGGGTGTCTTATTCTTTGGTCCACCAGGTACTGGTAAGACCCTTTTGGCCAAGGCTGTTGCTACTGAAGTTTCTGCAAACTTTATTTCTGTTAAAGGTCCAGAATTGTTGAGTATGTGGTATGGTGAATCAGAATCTAATATCCGTGATATCTTTGACAAAGCTAGAGCTGCTGCTCCAACCGTCGTTTTCTTGGATGAATTGGACTCCATTGCCAAGGCTAGAGGAGGCTCTCATGGTGATGCTGGTGGTGCATCTGATAGAGTTGTCAATCAATTGTTGACTGAAATGGATGGTATGAATGCCAAGAAGAACGTCTTTGTCATTGGTGCCACTAATAGACCAGATCAAATCGATCCAGCCTTATTGAGACCTGGTAGATTGGATCAATTGATTTATGTTCCATTACCAGATGAACCTGCTAGATTGTCTATCTTGCAAGCTCAATTAAGAAATACTCCATTAGAACCAGGTTTGGACTTGAATGAAATCGCCAAGATCACCAATGGTTTCTCAGGTGCTGATTTGTCTTATATTGTTCAAAGATCAGCCAAATTTGCTATTAAGGATTCTATTGAAGCCCAAATCAAGCTTAGTAAACTCAAAGAAGAAAATGAAAAAACAAAAGGAGAAGATGTGGAGATGAATGAAGTTGAAGAAGAAGATCCTGTTCCATACATCACCAGAGCTCATTTCGAAGAAGCTATGAAGACTGCGAAGAGATCCGTCTCTGATGCTGAATTGCGCCGTTATGAATCTTATGCTCAACAATTACAAGCCTCTAGAGGTCAATTTTCAAGCTTTAGATTCAATGAAAATGCAACCAATGCTGCTGCTGATAATGGTTCTGCTGCTGGCGGTAATTCAGGGGCTGCTTTTGGAAATGATGAAGAAGAAGATGACTTGTACAATTAAGTAAGCCAAGTCGAAAATAGAATAAGACGGAGATGAATCTAGTAATGTAAGAAGGAGAGAAGATAAAACGATGACACGAAGAGGGAATAGTGAAATCTTTACATTCCCAGTAGTGTATATTTATATCTATATATTTCTTGAAATTTCACTTTTTGTGTGTGTCTTTATATATATATATTATCAAGTACCTTATTTGTAAAATAAAAGAGTCATAAGTATGTAACTATACTTCGTTGATACCGTGACTAGTTATAGCTGCTAATATTGTAGTTATGTATTTCAGGAGAATTAGTAAGCATTTGAGAACTCAAAGTACAAATTGCACTAATCTGAGTGGTAGCGCGCTCTTAGTCTGTAGATGATTTATAAAGTACTTGTAGAAACTTATGAAACACAGTAGTAGTAACACACATCAAATTCAGTTACGCAAAAGCATGTCATGTCATTCTCCTCATCTATGGTACAGTTCTTGGTATTAAACTACACAATACAGCTGGCTGATATACGGAGGTTACTGTTTTTGGAGTAAGTGATTTCGAAATGGGTCACGTGAAAGCACGATATTTTGTTTGAAGTTTCGGCGTTCTTGCGTCTTAATTTTGTGGATTTTCTACAACACTAAAAGAATGGTTTAGGTGCGTAATTTGGTCTTTAATTCTGTACAGGGTAGCATGATGAAGATGAGATGACTACAGCCGTTGCTCTTACCATAATCAGGCTTAATGTGTTTGTTAGAATTATAGAATTACCAAGAAATCCACCACGTATTGTTTCCATTATGGTTATCATGTTGAATTGTTCCGCACTGGGTCCCTTTTTTGATTGTGGCACACGATTATTATAATTTGTTATTATCGCACGGCAAATATACTGAGCAACCGCCAAGCAGGGGACAAAACACAGTTCGACGGAGAATTTTATTTCTTTTTATTTTTTTTTTTTTTATTTTATATTGTATTTTGCCATTTTTCCATATGAGATAACTAATCATCAGTTCCAGGAAAGAAACCATATAAAAAACACACCGAACCCCTCTAATGTAAAAATATTTAGAATAAAAAAAATTTAAGAAAGAATAACTACAATTCAACTTGGTTATTAATTCTTTTACCTCTTAGTTTTCCCATAATGTCTTCAGTATACCTGACTCAGTTTAGTACTGATGATAAGAAAATACCAGTCACTGATTTAGAAGATGTGGTTGAAGAATCATCGTCTTCAGACCATCCAGTGGAACCCCCACATCTGGAGCATCTTAATAGAAGTTTATCTACTAGAACAATTAATATGATCACAATTGCAGGTATCATCGGTACCGGTTTATTTTTAAGTCTGGGACGTATGTTAAAAACCGCTGGTCCATTGGGTTTGTTATTGAATTATTTGATCATTGGGATCTTGATCTTTTTCATGATGTTATGTCTTGGTGAAATGTCTGTACAATATCCCGTATCAGGTTCATTTTCAGTGTATGCCAAAAGATTTGGTTCAGACTCGCTTGCATTTGCAGTTTTGGTGAACTACTGGCTTAATGATTGTGTCAGTGTTGCTGCAGATTTGACTGCTTTACAATTGGTTTTCCAATATTGGACTGACTTCCACTGGTATGTTATCTCGATCATATTTTGGGTCTTTCTCCTTTTCTTGAATGTTTTGCATGTCAGAATCTATGCTGAAGCAGAGTATGGACTTGCGTTGCTTAAAGTTATCACAATTGTGATATTCTTCATTGTTAGTATTGTCTGTAATGCTGGTAAGAACCCTCTTCATGAGTACATTGGTTTCCGTTATTGGAGTTATGGAGATGCTCCATTTGTAAATAATTTCAGAGGGTTTTCATCTGTTTTTGTGTCTGCAGCTTATGCTTATGGAGGGGTGGAATCTATTACGCTTACAGCTGGTGAAACCAAGAATCCTACTCGTGTGATTCCTAGAACCATCAAGATGACTTTTTTCCGTATCCTTATTTTTTACATTTTCACTGCTTTTTTCATTGGTATGAACATTCCATATGATTATCCTAACTTGTCCACTAAAACCATTGCCACTTCTCCATTCACTATTGTTTTCCAAATGGTTGGCAGTCACGGTGCTGGCAATTTCATGAATGCAGTCATTATGACTTCCATTATCTCAGCTGGAAACCATGCTCTTTTTGCTGGTTCTCGTTTAGCATACAATTTGAGTTTACATGGTTACATACCAAAAGTGTTCTTACCACTTAACCGTTGGAAAGTACCATATGTTGCTGTTATTGCCACATGGTTACTTGGTGGATTGTGTTTTGCATCAGCATTTGTAGGATCTGGTGAATTGTGGAATTGGTTACAAGCAATTGTTGGTTTGTCGAATTTGATTTCATGGTGGGTCATTGGTGTTGTATCGCTTAGGTTTAGAAGAGGATTGGAGAAGCAAGGTAGAACCCATGAATTATTGATGAAGAATTGGAGTTACCCATATGGTCCTTGGTTTGTGGTGATTTTCGGAATGTTTATTATTCTTGTACAAGGCTGGTCAACGTTCTCACCATTCAGTGCTCATGATTTCTTTCAATCTTACCTTGAGTTGGGTGTTTTCCCTATTTCTTTCTTATTCTGGTGGTTAATAGTTAAAAAGGGTAAAGATAAGTTTGTCATGCTGGAGGAAATGGACTTTGATACAGATAGATATTTTGAAACAGAAGAAGAGATAGAGGAGAAGAAGTATCTGGAGTCATTGAAAGGCTGGGCCAAGTTCAAGTACAGTTTTGCAGAAAATTTCTTATAAGTCACATAGATAAATACGTCATTCAACACAGTAATAATACGAAACGTTAATGAAAGTTTATTTCAATGTAGGAAGCCTGCTTCAAACCTGTTTCGAATCGCAGCAAGCGCAACAAAAAAAATTAAAAATAATAATAATCGCATTGGTAGCGTTGACGTGTTATAAGAGAGTGTTTTTTCCCGCTGATTTTTTTAAATTAATAAACGTACGAACCAACCATTATTATTATGTTTACATCCGTCACTGCTATTGCAATTTTGACTGGTGTTGCGTTATCTCGTCTTGTTCTCGTTGAGTATGTCCAAGTATTGGTGTACCCTGCTCCAACACTCGACAAAGAAATCCACGATTACACTGGCCCCTACTATTTGAACACCACTTTTGCAGAACAGATGCTAAAGGAACACAACCTGTTGCGTGAGATCCACGGAGCACAGCCACTCAAATGGAGCACGGAGCTCTTTGAGTTTGCTTCTCAGTTCGCGATTTCTTACAACTGCTCAGGTATATTAGAACACTCTGGCTACAAATACGGGGAGAACTTGGCTTTCGGATATCTGCCCCTGGGTGCCATCAAGGCATGGTATGAAGAAGGTGAAACGTATATTTACGGCAGCGAGAATATCTACAATCATTTCACTGCATTGGTATGGAACAACACCGACAGTGTTGGGTGTGCATACAAATCATGCCACAACGGGTTGTACACAGTGTGTTCCTACAATCCTCCAGGAAACGTCATCGGCCACTCGTCCCAGAATGTATTCCTACCACTGTCCCTAAAGATGGTCACATAAGATTTTCTCATCGACATCTGTGTAGTTCTCGAAATAGGATCTGAATAAATCTGTCAACCTGACAACATCGAATGTCCCTCCGGTTTCTCTGATCGAATGCATCGACAATTGCGGGTTTCCCAAGTCCAAGGTTCTGATACCCAACTTGGCAGCTAAAATAGGCCCGATGGTGGATCCACATGGCGAGTCGTTTCTCACAACAAACAACTGCAATGGAACTTGTGCCTTATCGGCCACCTTCTTGAGCAACACAATGCCAGGTGAGTTGGTGGCGTATCTCTGGTTGGCATTGATCTTGATAACAGGACCCTTGTTCAACTGTGGGCGGTTCTGCGCCTCGTATTTCTCGCCATAGTTTGGATGCACACCGTGAGCCATGTCAGACGACAACAAGAAGGATTTGGACATTGTCTGGTGGAAGTAGTCGTGTGGGGCTCCTTTGCCATCAAAATCTACTTTGGTTAATCGTTGGATGATATCTGGTAAAAACGTCGAATCAGCACCTTGGGCAGAACGACTACCAATTTCCTCGTGATCGAAAAGGGAGATCATGGAAATACCACTATTGTTGCCTAACTTGTCCACTGATTCAATAATGGCCCTAGTGGCAGTGAAACACGATGTCAAGTTGTCCAATCTTGGAGAAAAGATAAACTCGTCATTCAACCCTCCCATGACTGATTTCTGGTGGTCAAACAAGACCAATTCGAAATCCTCGATTTGTTGTGGTGTCACATCCAACTCTCTGGCAATCAACTCCACCAATGATTCGCTGTGGCGGGTGACAACGCTTTGGACGGACTCAAACTCTTCGGGTGTCATCTTCAATGCAGGGTCGTCGGCACATGTCTTTGGTGATTCGTTCTTGTCCACGGAAACCTGTCCCGCAATTGGGACTAACTTGGTTTCACGGTTGAACTCAAACTTGGTGTTGACCTCACGGTCCAAATGGATGGCCAAAGTGGGGATTCTCAACAATGGTTTGTCCACCTTCAATAACTTGGGAATGAACTTGTCACCCTCCTTCACATAGACTCGTCCTGCAATCGACAAGTCTCTGTCGAACCACGAGTGGGCAATCAACCCACCGTACTGCTCAACCCCGACCTGGATGAACCCCTCGGCTGTTTTCTTGGAGATCGGTTTGATTCGGAGACATGGGGAGTCCGTGTGGGCACCCACAATGGCAATACCGTTCCCGTTCTCAAACTTGTCACCCACGGTGAAGGCAATCAACGAAGAACCGTTTCTTGTCACATAGTATTTCCCGCCTTTCTGCAATGAGTGACTGGAGTCCCAGTTGTTTCTTTCCACGAGCTCCTCAAACCCTGCTTGTTTAAGAAGACCCTTGGCTATGTTGACAGCATGGTATGGTGTTGGTGACGCATTGACAAAGTCAACAAAGTCCTGTGCATAATCCAATGCTCTTGTAGTAGTCATGGTATGTATTGGTGAAGGGGAATAGGAAAAGAAACAAAATGTGTAGAACTAACAGAGATAACGGGCGAACCGCGAGCTTATTATAGTCGTCCGTGTTTTGTTGAGTCGCTGGTGCGAGCTGGTCCCGCGACCAAACGGCACGAAGGGTTATGAGGAGCGGCACAAATTGGACCGACATTACTCAGACAGAGTGGTTGGACTAGAGAAAAGTTGATTGTTTCGTGACTAGCTAGTGTTTGTCGGTGTGTGCATTCTGCGAGAGTCAGGGTGATTGCAACAGCGGGTATCATCACCAGCTTTGTCAATGGTTTGGGAATCATCATATTGAGCAAGATCGCACAGAGCTGAGACTATAAATAAGAGCACACCAAAGAGAAAAAAATTTTCTACAAAAATTTACTCTTCTTCTTTCTCTTTTTCTTCTTCTTTTCTCTTCAACTCCTGTTTCTGCCTCAGATTCGTGCTTTCATATGGAAGCAATGGGATTATGGGTTCTGGTGATGGAGGAAATCAAGCCATCGAACAGACAATTGCTACCTTTGATACAACCAGCTTTTGTTTTTTGTTTTATGGATCGTGTGGTCGACTTGTATCCGTAGTTGGTTTGTTGTGTGATTACAATATTCAATGAACTGATCGTCCCACTATATTTCATTCTCATTCTTGTAGTTAGTTATCATGTAAACTTATTTGAAGAGTTGTATGCCTCGTTAATAAAATCGCTTAATAGTCCAATTGATCCGTCAAAGTTATATTGTTGTACTTTTCTCTTTACAGTAAGCCCAATAGGAATTATCGTTTTAGTATCTGTAACACTATTATTATATAGGCTATTTTTGATCACTAGCATGTTCCAACAACCGTAATATAATATTTACAAAAAATTTGGTAAGAAATTATTGGTAAAATTATATGTGTTTAAAAGCAAACCAAGATATTTTTGATAAAATATAAAAATCAATCTTCCCAATCAAACTACCAAGATCAATAGTTGAAATTATTCCTGAATCACTTCCGTGTATACAAATTGATCTACACAAGTTACAATGCTTTATTTCTAACGGCTGTTGCCAATTGTTGTGCATTGTCGTCCCTTTACCAGTTCTCCTTTAACTGTTGACAAAAAAAAAAAGTAATTGAAAAACGAGGAAGAAAACAACACATTATCATTTATAACTAATTGAATTTTGTATATTCAACCCTATTAATCTTATCATCGTTATCCAAATGAGAGTCCTTTATCTACTAGCATTATTTCTCCCATTAGTCACTTGTCGAGTTACACCATTATTGGTGGCATCACATAAGTTAGTTCGTGGATTGAAGCAAGAGATCAATCCTTCAAATTTGGCAGTTCACAACGTAACATCCGTTACAAACATGCTTAAGAAATTAATCACTGATTGTTCATCTGATGCATATTTGATTATAAATTTACCAGGATTGACATATCAAGATTTGACTACTGTTAATAAGGATCAATGGCCATTTTTGAGAAAATACCTCTATATGGCTTCAACTCTTGTTGGGTTGCCACGAGTTGAAGCAAACTTGGACTTGGACTTTCTTGAGCAATACATTATTAATACCTGTGAAGCAGAAACAGTAAATGTTTTCCAAAGTCATGAAGAAGTGGTTGATTACTATGATGTCAGAACTAGAGTAATTAGAATGGATTTAGCACCATTGTCAGAGAACGATGAGGATATTAGAACAAGTCAAATCTATGATTGTGATCAATTGATTAGAAAAATTTTGAGAAAGTTACCATCTCCTCATTATTCAATTATCTTTACAAGTTTAAATCCAGGTGTAATCCATCCTATTCCGAAGCATATAATGCAACAAGATCCCGATTCATTTGAAATTTTCAGTGATATCTTGAATGATCCGATTAATAACCAAGAAGTTGAAAAGAATGACAGATTTCATAAAGTTGAACCAGACTTGAATCCAATCAGACATAGTAATGATAAATACATTCGAAATAAAAAGAAAGATGAAATCCATTTGTTTGACTACGAGTTATGGACTAAAAATGAAAAATTGGTCACCACAATTTTCGTAATGGTTGTCAGTTTATTCATGATGAAAATCGTATCCTTTTTGAAGACTTTAAAGCAAAAATTCTTAGAGTATAATCAAAACAAGGCCAAAAAGGGAATTATAACTTCTACCGATAAAAAGAAAGACTAAATAAGTCAGTATTTATAATAAATATATATGTATATATATATATATATATATACACTCTTCTATAAATGATGTGGCGATAATAATGGCTTTATCTTATTTGTCACCACCATTCAGTATATATATATGAGTTCCCACTTTCTTGACTTCTGTTTATTTGTCTTTTTTTTTGGTTTTTTTTTTAAAAAAAAAATATCATTATTATAATAGTTCTAATTATATTTGTGCATTTAGTCTTGCTAATACTAAACACATTCATTAGTCACTATCCTCTTCGTTTTCTTCATCTTCGAGATCCTCTTCATCTTCAAACAAAACACTGGCATCAAAATACAAAGATGGATCTAAACTTGAAATATCTGCAGACTTTGTCTCACCTTCAAGTAATAACTCACTCATAATTTTACCAGTACCAGGAGCATTATTTATACCCCAGCATGAATGACCAGAAGCGAGATACAAGTTGGCAACGTTTGTTTCTCCGATTAGCGGTCCACTTGATGAAGGAACATCCAATACTGGCAAATAACAGGCTTGACGCTTTAGTATTTGACCTTTTCTTAAATTTGGAGACACTTTACCTACTTGACGGAATAACTCATCACATTTGGATTTGACAACTTCAACATCATCTGTAGTCTCTGGAACTGCCACCGTCGAATCTCCTTCTCCACACACGTACACTTCATCTTGTCGAGCATAAATTTCTGGCGAAATATATGAATATGGACCGGTCTTGAATTCAGTGAAAATTGCATATGGACTAACAGGTTGGTCTTTAAATGGTGCAATTGTGATAGAATGTGCTCGTAAACCGGATATTGGACAATCTGGTAATATTTTAGAAGTCCATGGTCCAACTGTCAACACCACTTGTTCAGCTGCAAGACTGATAGTTTCACCCTGGCTCTTCTCATCTTTAACAGAAGTTGGTTGATATTCAACACCCGTAGCAGACCCTGATTCTTCTGAATACGTAATCTGATCAACTTTACCCAAAATCAATTCTAAAGCTCCCTTTGAATCTTCCACGGCTTTTCTTAAAATAAAATTTGTAAATTTGTATGGGTGAACTTGTGCCGTTGTATCTGTGCCACCCAAAGTAGAACAATGTTCAATCAAAGATGAAGTAATCCAATTCAAGTTGGGAGGTAAACGATTGTTTAATGTGTCTAATTGAAGTGTTGAAGTGGATCTAGTATTTCTAGCAGTCTTTTTAGGTGGTCTATCTGTTATCGAAGATGAAGAATCACTATCATGTGCAGTTGCTTGTTTGAATGTACCGTCATCAAAATCGTCACGTTCCTCGCTTTCGTTTTCATCATCCTCATCATCGTCATAATCATGCTCATGGCCATTACCCTTCTTATCCATCAAATGGGATATATCACCTTCCAACGAGACGGTTGTCAATCTTCTGTAACCCCATTCCTTCTCACCATTAAATTCATTCGATAGTTGCTGATGCAAGTCAAAAGATAACGATACTATTTGTTCGGGAAATGCCCACAATGCCAATAGTCCTCCTGCTTTACCACTGGCGCCCCCGGCAACTCTTTTACTTTCTATGAGGGTGATGTGATACTTTTCAGGATCAAATTTTGGGTGCTGGACAAGATAGTAAGCTGTACATACACCAATTATACCCGCTCCCACTATTATGATATGGTGCTTGCCTTCATGGTTTCCCGATGGCTTCGAATGAAACTTTAAATACTCTGGCATGTTAACGCTAGATAATGTGGACTATGATTTATGGTCGTAGATGGATTTATACTGAAATTAATGACAGGGAAGTTTCCTTTGAGTAATTTTTCTCGTTCTCTTTCAATTTGTTAGATTTTTTTTTTCTTTCCTGTTGTATTTCTATAATTTCTCTCACAGTGCTCTTTAATTTTTCCTTGCTTTTTCTTTTTGTTCTTTTATTGTTATTATAATTATTATTATGATCACTGGATGAACTCAACAGGTGAAGTGGGAGAGAGAGAAAAAAATGTGACACTTGATTTAAACTTTTCTTCAATTGCAAAAAAAAAAAAAATTAGCAAGAAGTTTGGATTGTTTTGATAAGTCAAAGGATATATTTGTTATTCGTCACTTGGAAAAGAAGCCAGTAATTTGAAATGTGAAGAATTTTTTGACCTCAAATATTTTCCTTGATTTTGTATGCGTAAAAGTTGATTAATGTACGTTTCTTTGTAATACAAACTATTATGTCCCCACCTATTCTCTCTCAAAAAATCAGTTCACTTTTTTTTTTCTTGCTCTTTTTTTTTTCGAGTAATGTACGTAGGTAACCTAGATTTCTAATATGGTAGCAAAGTACTTATTTTGTAGGTATACGCTTGGAAACTCTTGCTCTTTATAACTCAGTATGGTAGATTGGTTTGGCACGTCGGAATCACAAGAATATCAAATTACCCAAAGGAACGGGAAATGATGGAATTTTGTTTTAATTGAGACGTAGTACAATATTGATGCCACTTACCAGTGCTCAGTTTTAATTCTCTCTGTTTCTTTTTTTTTTTTTTGCAACACTACTATTTTCACCACACTATTTCTATTTCCTTGAATTAGTCTGAAGATAAGATTCAATGGGGTTCAACAAGGAAATTTGAAGATGATGAAAGAAAAATGACTCCCTATATTCACTTGAAGTATTTCAAAACTCGGGGTCCTTTTATTATCTTAGTCTGTTTTTTTTTTTTGGTTCAATTATAATGTGTTTAATGCGTGCGTTGGATCCTATTTGTGGCCCTAAAAATGTGCTTTAAACGGAGTCAGCTCTTAGTATTAATTCTTGCTTGCTCTCTTCTGTTTCTTCCTTTTGCTTGAATACGTTGATTAGAAGATAGTAATTGTATCGTCGAAAGTGAAGAACACGAATTTATTTCTTGTAGTTTTTAATAGAAGGTAAAAAGAACTTCAAAATAGATATATATATTATTAAAGTAGTAATTTGTTTCCAATTGGCTCGCAAGTGTAACAAAAGTACACTAAAAAAATAAGTTGTTTTAAACTTCTGCAAAAAACAGGTGATTTTTTTTTATGTGTCGGCCCCTAAAATTACAAGAAGAAAGGAAAAATGGCTCTGCGAGGGGAACAAAACGTAACCCATCTTGAAACTTGAACCACATTATCTGATGATATTTTTTTTTCAGTTATAATTATAAAAATTATCTGATTCTATTCTTCATTTATTACCACTATCTAGAGATGTAGTGTCTTACGATCGATCAGATTTAGTATATTGCCCTTAATTATTTTTATTTTGTGGTTCCATTTGTTTTTGTTGTATCTTTTTGCCAACCTGGAACTTAGTTAGTAAATCGTACAGCTGGAGATACTGCATTGCGCTTCCCTCCGGTTTTGAACCAAAGACGCGACTAATGGAGGAACTATCCACCGATTGGCATGGTGATCAGAAGAGAATATTACTGTTCATTTCTAATATACACCAATGATGTAGATATAAAACGAAAACAATAATTCAATTGAAAGATAACATTTTTTGTCATCACAATTCGCGTTAACAAGTTTCAAAACTTTGCAACCGAGACAAGTTATCAATTACAATGATTCTGTTGCCAAATTTTTTTTTGTCTCTGTACCCCCATACCTGCTTTTGTTGTTTAAAAGGAATACGTCTTCATGTCGCAGAAGCTGCATCAATTGACTAATGCGTCTAGTTTCACTGAATCTTCGTCAAACAATACTTCAACGTCAAAGACAAAGAAGGTTCTGAAACATACCGACGCTTCTAGGTATATGGTTACACCACGAACAGCCGAACAGGAGCCTCCAGTCGAAAGCTCAACTGCAAAGCAATCACAGAAATCATACGCAATATTAGATTTTTCACCAAGAAAGAAGACAGCCTTGAAGGACAACGACGTACTGATTGAATCAATAGATGTTGGTGATAGTTTCGAACAATTGATGAATGATACGGGTAGCTCCGTAGATCGTGATCATGTTGTAGAAGAAAGAGAAGGACAGAAAGGTCAAGATATCGAGTCTAATTCGGATAGCTATTATAATCAACTTGAAAACTCTTCTATTATTGAACATCTAACTGATGAAAGAGCTATCTTTGAGTTTAATTCTCACCCTTTGTCACATGTCAGGTTAGGTATGACACATGATTCTACTATTGATTGTGGATACAATTTATCCAGGGACTTGCTGTTTGTTGATTGGGCAAGTGAGTTATCTAGACTAGCACAAGAGCAGATCCAGTTATATAAAGCATTAGTTGCTAGGAGATATAAACTATTCTACCAGTTTGATATATTAAATTCTATTGTGAATGATCATGCTTTAAAATTGCAACTCGAGGAGGATCAATTGGTTGAGAAAATAAATCAATTCAAAATGCGCTTAGCAGAAATTATAGAATTAAATTTATAGATTTGCAATAATAATTCCTACACCTATCTACCCCTGCGAACACCATCCCATGTGAACAAAGAATTCATAAATCTTAGATGCTTTGTTAACATCAATTTTCAACACCTGTCTTGCATCTTTCTTCTTCAATATACCATTGTTCTTTACAGCTTCTTTCATTAGTTGGTTTTTAATAGCCAAGTACGGTTTCGGTAGGATTCTTAATGTTGCACATAGTTGCTTTTCTTCAGCTGATAACAATTCGAAATCTGCTGCGTGGCTGATATCAAGTGGAGCTCTTGTAGCAGAAGCCTTTGGTTTGAATTCTGGTTGTGGAGAAAACTTGTTCCTGTGTCCGTTTCCATTCATACCACTTCCATTTGTTAATCCAGGTGTCAGCGAATGTCTTCCCGTTAAAGAACCATTACCCATTCTTTGATAATGGGCCGCTCTGATAACTTTGTCTTTCTCAAATTTTGCTCCATCATCAAGCGTTGTGATCCCGTTTCGTCTCCAAGTTTGTAATTGTTGTATTTTCATACGACATTTCAATTCAGTCAACAAATCACGACAAAAAGAATCAAAATCATCTGGGGTAAGAATTCTAATGTAAGCATTTATTTTCTTCAACAAATCCTTTTCTTCCTTTGACTTTCTCTTGTCAGAACTTATATTCTTTCTGTAATCTAATAAATTATTCAAAATCATCACTCTTTTACGTTCTGCTCTAGTAGTCAACCTTGAATTGTAAATATCTAATATTGTCAATTTCAAATCAATATCGTTTGCCAGATCTTCAGGATCAAAAATCATATCTTTGATTGGTACTTCAGCTTCATTTTCTGCTTCATGATCAAATTCTAATCTACCAGGCATATAGCCTTGAATTTCGTGACACAAAGGAACTGAAGCGACAGGTTTACCCTTAGGTGGTGGTAATGGCATATTCTTTCTCTTTTCCAATCTCTTTTTCCTTTCTTCCAAGAATTGTAGGGGCGACACATCTGTAAAATTTTTGTTCATTTCTGGTAAAGGATAGTCCTTACTTTCAAGATATATTTTATAGTAATGTTGAGCAACTTCTTCCTTCGATCGATTACCAATATGATCAGCAATATCTGCCCAATTTCCCAATCCAAATGTTTCACATCCTTGAATTAATAGCAACTCTTCGTCTGCACCCCACTCTCGATCAAATATCGGATACGTGTTTTGTTCAATAATCTGATAGTCGTGCCATGGTTTATGATCCCCTGTGGTCAAACCAGCTGCAAAACACGGTACACACAAATCATAATCGGTACATATTGCACATTGAATTCGAATTCTATTTGTACAATCAGTGCTACAAACATCACAATGAAATAGTTTCGTTCTTGAATCCATGGTATTAGGTTGTATATCAGACTAGTTGGTGTGTGTGTGTGTGTCTATGCGTGATTTATGTGAAGTATTAGTTTATTTTTATTTTTATATTATTATTATTAATTTTTTTTTTTTTTTTTGCAATCAAAACTTATGGGTGAGGACAAAATAAAGAATAATGCAAACAAACAAAAATTGAAACGATTGATTTTGGTATAACTTGATGGTGTTGAATCTATCAAAAGCCAGTTATCAATCAATCAAAAGGAAGTGAAAATGGTAATTAATGTATAGGTTCCCAATATATATCTCCAATTTAAAGTGAGAAAATACTGATATGAACTGGTTTTTCTTATCGAATGTAGTAGTTGATTTAAGGTGGGTATTCAGTTCCACGAGAGGCGATTGTTTTTTTTTTCTTTCGTTCATTTTCAAACTTGCTTCAAAGTTTTGTTTTTTTTTTTCTATGATTTCTCGTTTCATTTTTTCTCGGACACATATTTCCAGATCACGCGTAGGTCAATAGCCCTAATATGAAACGTTTACACGTGATGTGGTATTATATGCAGTTTTGAGTGCGAACTTGCAAATTGAGAATCTGCGCAACTTTTTTGATTGGTTCTTTTTTTTTTTCTTGTTTGGTTGTATTGCATAGAATTAGTCGCGCACAACCATAGTGTAGGCGCTAGCACTGAGGATTTTCAATGCCATTGTACACGCCCCCGAGCGAGAGTGTGTGAGAGTGAGTGTGAGTGTGAACTCAGTATACGCAGAAAAAATCTATATTATCAAATTTGAAAATTCTTCCTTTTTGAAATTGATACCAATAGCAGAACATATAATCAACAAAGATGGTATGTCAAAACACAAATACCAATATAAATCCCTTATAAGACTACTTAACGACAATTTATGAACTACTGTGAATATCGACAGAGAATGATAGTATATGGATGAGAGATGAAGTGTCATGAACAATGATTTCTTTCTTTTTTTTTTTTATAAGAATTTTACGTTTTCAGTATTACAACAAGGAGACATAATCACAGGTAAATCAAGTAGGAAATGGATAAATGAATAATCTGTCGTATTGAGGAAAATAAGGAGAATATTGAATCGGAACTTTTTATTTATGATACTAACTATTTATGTTATAGGGTCGTGTTAGAACTAAGACTGTTAAAAGAGCTTCCAAGGTTTTGATCGAAAGATTTTACCCAAAATTGACTTTGGATTTCGAAACCAACAAAAGATTGACTTCTGAAATCGCTGTCATCCAATCTAAAAGATTAAGAAACAAGATTGCTGGTTACACCACCCACTTGATGAAGAGAATCCAAAAGGGTCCAGTTAGAGGTATTTCTTTCAAATTGCAAGAAGAAGAAAGAGAAAGAAAAGATCAATATGTTCCAGAAGTCTCTGCTTTGGACTTGTCCCACACCAACGGTCAATTGGAAGTTGATGCTGAAACCGCTGACTTGGTTAAAACCTTGGGTTTCAAGATTCCTTTGCAAACCGTTTCCATCTCTGCTCAAAGAGGTCCAAGAAGATTTGCTAAAAGAAACTAAACTATGATAAATAAATAATATAATAATATTCTTATATTTGGGGTAATTTTAATGTAATTCTAGTTATTTAAATTTTGTATAGTTCCGTTTTATTTCTGGCAATTCTTTTTAAAAGAAAAACCAACAACAAAATACATACATGTCACATACAGTAATAATTTAGAGCATGTAGTGTTCTACAAGTAGATAGAAGATTGAATAACTGATTCAGATTGTGTCTACGTAAATTAAGTATGTCGTAGTGGAATCGTAGTAAGCGACATCTCATCTCCATCAGTAAGAGAGTGAAAAAAAAAAAAAATACAAGGAAAGAAAAAAAAATTTATAAACACCATATATCTGATAACTAATCATCACCTATTTATTAAGCAATGGCAGAAAAGGTTAGATATTACTTGGAACAGTCTGTTCCTGAATTGGAAGATCTTAAATCAAAGGGTCTTTTTGATAAAAATGAAATCACGATGATCATGAGAAGACGTACAGATTTTGAACATCGAATTACTGGACGTGGATGTAAACCAAAAGATTTCCTTAGATACAGTGAATTTGAATCAAACCTTGAGAAATTACGTAAAAAGAGATATAACAGATTGAGTAAAGTAGGTTTGATTGATACCAAGCCAAGTATAAGTGATTGGGCTGGAACTCGTCGAATCATGTTCATATTGGACCGTTCAACAAGAAGATACCCTGGGGAAACTGACTTATGGTCACAATATTTGAAATTTGCCAAACAAAATGGAGCCATTAAAGTGATATATAAAGTGTATTCCAGATTATTACAATTACAACCTAGAAACATCGATGCCTGGCTCTCTGCTGCCAAATACGAATTTGAAACAAATGGTAATGCCAAGGGTGCTAGAGTTTTATTCCAGAAAGGTTTGAGGATCAATCCAGAGTCGACAGAGTTATGGTTGAATTATGCTCAATTTGAGTTGACATATATTTCAAAATTATTAGCCAGAAGAAAAGTTTTGGGGTTGCTTACCGAAAAGCAACAACGAGATGCTATGGAAAGTGAAGAATCTAAAAGGGTTGAAGCACTTAAGAAGGATAAGAGTAATGGCGATGATGTTGAAGGGGCTGATGATGAGTTTGCCAATGATAAAATAGAATTACCAAGTACTGAAGAAATTAAGGATGAATTGAACCATTTACCAGAAGCTGATATGAACATGTTGGGTAATCCAGAAACCAATCCTGCATTGAAGGGAGACGTTGTGTTGACTATCTTTGACTTGTGTATTCCAGCAATTCTTAAATCCTTACCTAAACATTCCACCGTGATCAAACCAGATGATAAAGTGTTTGAAATTGTGGGAAAATTCTTGAATTTGATTGACAAATTTACTGATTTGAATAGAGAATACTTGTACTTGCACATTTTGAATTACCTTCAAAAAGAATATTCCGACGATTTGAGAACTACACTCATTGATATAACCTTACCTATTAGAGGAATCACAGCTGCTACAGATGGTTTATCTTCCAGCTTACAATTGTCGGTGAACAAATTCATTGCTTATAAACGTAAATTAAAGGACGCTGCACAAAGAGATACATTAACTAACATGTTTGTTAACCAACTTAACAGTCAGTTCTTCAACGATAACAACGAGCCACCATCAGAAAAGGTTGATACTTTATTGAAAGCGATCATCAAGAAATGTCGCACGATCTAATCTTGTTTGGATTCGTTGTCAACTGGCATGTACTTGTGTTTCTTGATCTTGTTGCTGATCCATCTATAGGAGAAAACTATAACCAAGACTGAAGTGATGAAAACAGTAAGTAGTATGTATGAATAGAACAATGGATAGCTGATTGGAATAAAAGCAATAGGAAATTTGTAGAACCCATCCTGGAATGGTAACTTGGCACCCTGGTTAGAATTTGCAGGAACTAATTGATCTAACCATCTGACAGCAAAGTTCAAGGTAACCTCATCTCCAATTACAGTCCTAGTGGTGTTAGTACCGGCTCCATAAGCAATAGCACTTATAAAAGTAAACTGGTCTTCATCATTGTTCGAAGGCTTGGTGATAAGAACATTCATTGAGTGATCAATATCGATGTGTGATTCAGATAATGTGCCTCTGAAACTGAATGTGAATGGAATTGATGCACCGCCTTTTTCTATCAGTAATGGTTCTGAGGATAATGGTAATCTGCAACTGAATGGGACATCTTCATGTAAATACAATTGAAACAAGTGGTATAACTCATCTGTGAACTCAATAGTACAACTAATATCTTCATTGACACCGTACTTCAACAGCAATGGTTTGCCAGTTTCTTTACATTTTGGGAATGGTCCATAAATGATGTTTTCCTTTTCGTCGAATTTGTGTTCACCATTGTCAATGTTTCTTTGAGTACAGTCAAATTGAATATCTTGACCTTTGGTGAATGGTTTAATATCAGCAGGTATTTCACCCTTTGAGTTTACTGGATACCAGTCAATCGCATGAGTAAGTGACAAAGTTGACAACAAGAACAGGATGGTTGATATCTTCATTGTCGTATAGGTGTATGAAAAAAGAAAAAATGAAGAAAAGGGAACAGCACTGAACAAAAAAAAATAGATCAGTGTTCAAGAACTGTTTGCGACAGGGAATGAAACGCGAAATGTAGAAAAAAATAATACAAAAAAATAAAAAAGAAATGAACGGCTGTTGGAGTAATGGTGATTGAAAACTATAAGAATATTCATAGAGGTTTATTGAAAAGAATAAACTAGATTATTTATGTGAAGATAAAGTGGCTAAATGTGATAGATTTGTTCCTTTGAAAAATTTTTGAGTCCAAGCGCTTTCTGATTTAAAAAGAATTCATTGCTGCGAGGTTCAGGCAATGGAATTTGATCTGATCTAAACTTTTACTGACAGACGGAGTTTAATCGTAAGGATAATGGCCCCCTGTAACAAGATAATATGCTCTTTTATATAAAACGGTAGGATTAGCAAATCCATGTGTAAGGGCTGTGCTGGGCTTGCAATAGGATTTTTTTTTAAAAAAAAAAAAAAAACAGTACGTTTTCAAATCACAACAATCTAATCAAAAAATTGCTCCAGGAGGGGATCGAACCCACGACCGTCGCGTCTCATCGACTGTGCGTTTTGCATAGTTTTCAAATCTATAAGCACGAAGCGCTCACCTCTGCGCATCTGGAGCTTTTTTTTCCATGACCGTCGCCGTAACTCTGGTCTAAAAGATGCTGTGGAAAAATCAGTGGGAACTCCCACCAACTAGGCCACAAATCTCATTGGTAAATTTGATTTTTATTCAGAGTCCTTTCTCGCTCAATTTTTGTGAAACAAAATTAAACAGGGTCCATGCGAAGAGGTTCTCTATGCATCTTTTTCATTCACCCATCTAATAATACGACCACTATCTCAGTGTGATATAATTATATACAGTAATTATAGTTAGTCATATTTACAGTGACGAGAGGTATTTGTAGATACTGCTTCCCAACAGCCTTAGTATTACAGAGTGTTGTATTGAGTTGTATGTGTTCAAACATTTTTTTAAGGTGCTAAATGGGAAAAAGCATCACCAGATGGTTACAAAGAACTAACCTGTGTGAGGTAGCAACTTCAATAAGTAATAATGTTTATTTATATTTTCATCTTTAACTTTAATCTGTTATTAGTTCTTCCACAAGGACTCCTTGTGGTTTTTGGAAATCTAGTGAAAACAAAATTTTACTTTGATATTTTTGCAAATTTTTTAAAAAGTATTATAACCATGTTAATAAATTAGCTGAAATTTTCATCTAACCGGTGTCCTTCGGAACATTCTATTCATTGATATTACTGACAATACTAATATATAAGGTCAAAGCTTGCAGGTTAAAACTAGCAGGTGCAACCTGGTATTACACCATGCATAGCACGCGCAAGTTTTCGAATTGAAAAGAGATCATGTAAGAAATGAATATCTGCTTAATTTACAAGAATTAGAATGAAATATAGTGGGACGATCAGTTCATTGAATATTGTAATCACACAACAAACCAACTACGGATACAAGTCGACCACACGATCCATAAAACAAAAAACAAAAGCTGGTTGTATCAAAGGTAGCAATTGTCTGTTCGATGGCTTGATTTCCTCCATCACCAGAACCCATAATCCCATTGCTTCCATATGAAAGCACGAATCTGAGGCAGAAACAGGAGTTGAAGAGAAAAGAAGAAGAAAAAGAGAAAGAAGAAGAGTAAATTTTTGTAGAAAATTTTTTTCTCTTTGGTGTGCTCTTATTTATAGTCTCAGCTCTGTGCGATCTTGCTCAATATGATGATTCCCAAACCATTGACAAAGCTGGTGATGATACCCGCTGTTGCAATCACCCTGACTCTCGCAGAATGCACACACCGACAAACACTAGCTAGTCACGAAACAATCAACTTTTCTCTAGTCCAACCACTCTGTCTGAGTAATGTCGGTCCAATTTGTGCCGCTCCTCATAACCCTTCGTGCCGTTTGGTCGCGGGACCAGCTCGCACCAGCGACTCAACAAAACACGGACGACTATAATAAGCTCGCGGTTCGCCCGTTATCTCTGTTAGTTCTACACATTTTGTTTCTTTTCCTATTCCCCTTCACCAATACATACCATGACTACTACAAGAGCATTGGATTATGCACAGGACTTTGTTGACTTTGTCAATGCGTCACCAACACCATACCATGCTGTCAACACAGCCAAGGGTCTTCTTAAACAAGCAGGGTTTGAGGAGCTCGTGGAAAGAAACAACTGGGACTCCAGTCACTCATTGAAGAAAGGCGGGAAATACTATGTGACAAGAAACGGTTCTTCGTTGATTGCCTTCACCGTGGGTGACAAGTTTGAGAACGGGAACGGTATTGCCATTGTGGGTGCCCACACGGACTCCCCATGTCTCCGAATCAAACCGATCTCCAAGAAAACAGCCGAGGGGTTCATCCAGGTCGGGGTTGAGCAGTACGGTGGGTTGATTGCCCACTCGTGGTTCGACAGAGACTTGTCGATTGCAGGACGAGTCTATGTGAAGGAGGGTGACAAGTTCATTCCCAAGTTATTGAAGGTGGACAAACCATTGTTGAGAATCCCCACGTTGGCCATCCATTTGGACCGTGAGGTCAACACCAAGTTTGAGTTCAACCGTGAAACCAAGTTAGTCCCAATTGCGGGACAGGTTTCCGTGGACAAGAACGAATCACCAAAGACATGTGCCGACGACCCTGCATTGAAGATGACATCCGAAGAGTTTGAGTCTGTCCAAAGCGTTGTCACCCGCCACAGCGAATCATTGGTGGAGTTGATTGCCAGAGAGTTGGATGTGACACCACAACAAATCGAGGATTTCGAATTGGTCTTGTTTGACCACCAGAAATCAGTCATTGGAGGGTTGAATGACGAGTTTATCTTTTCTCCAAGATTGGACAACTTGACATCGTGTTTCACTGCCACTAGGGCCATTATTGAATCAGTGGACAAGTTAGGCAACAATAGTGGTATTTCCATGATCTCCCTTTTCGATCACGAGGAAATTGGTAGTCGTTCTGCCCAAGGTGCTGATTCGACGTTTTTACCAGATATCATCCAACGATTAACCAAAGTAGATTTTGATGGCAAAGGAGCCCCACACGACTACTTCCACCAGACAATGTCCAAATCCTTCTTGTTGTCGTCTGACATGGCTCACGGTGTGCATCCAAACTATGGCGAGAAATACGAGGCGCAGAACCGCCCACAGTTGAACAAGGGTCCTGTTATCAAGATCAATGCCAACCAGAGATACGCCACCAACTCACCTGGCATTGTGTTGCTCAAGAAGGTGGCCGATAAGGCACAAGTTCCATTGCAGTTGTTTGTTGTGAGAAACGACTCGCCATGTGGATCCACCATCGGGCCTATTTTAGCTGCCAAGTTGGGTATCAGAACCTTGGACTTGGGAAACCCGCAATTGTCGATGCATTCGATCAGAGAAACCGGAGGGACATTCGATGTTGTCAGGTTGACAGATTTATTCAGATCCTATTTCGAGAACTACACAGATGTCGATGAGAAAATCTTATGTGACCATCTTTAGGGACAGTGGTAGGAATACATTCTGGGACGAGTGGCCGATGACGTTTCCTGGAGGATTGTAGGAACACACTGTGTACAACCCGTTGTGGCATGATTTGTATGCACACCCAACACTGTCGGTGTTGTTCCATACCAATGCAGTGAAATGATTGTAGATATTCTCGCTGCCGTAAATATACGTTTCACCTTCGTCATACCATGCCTTGATGGCACCCAGGGGCAGGTACCCGAAAGCCAAGTTCTCCCCGTATTTGTAGCCAGAGTGTTCTAATATACCTGAGCAGTTGTAAGAAATAGCAAACCTAAAAGCAAACTCAAAGAGCTCCGTGCTCCATTTGAGTGGCTGTGATCCGTGGATTTCACGCAACAGGTTGTGTTCCTCTAGCATCTGTTCTGCAAAAGTGGTGTTCAAATAGTAGGGGCCAGTGTAATCGTGGATTTCTTTGTCGAGCCTTGAAGCGGGGTACACCAATACTTGGACATACTCAACGAGAACAAGACGAGATAACGCAACACCAGTCAAAATTGCAATAGCAGTTACGGATGTAAACATAATAATAATGGTTGGTTCGTACGTTTATTAATTTAAAAAATCAGCGGGAAAAGAACACTCTCTTATAACACATCAACGCTACCAATGCGATTATTATTATTTTTAATTTTTTTTGTTGCGCTTGTTGCGATTGGAAACAGGTTTGAAGCAGGCTTCCTACATTGAAATAAACTTTCATTACCGTTTCGTATTATTACTGTTTTGAATGACGTATTTATCTATGTGACTTATAAGAAATTTTCTGCAAAACTGTACTTGAACTTGGCCCAGCCTTTCAATGACTCCAGATACTTCTTCTCCTCTATCTCTTCTTCTGTTTCAAAATATCTATCTGTATCAAAGTCCATTTCCTCCCTTTTGAAAGGACACGTACGAACAGTAAAATGACTAGTATACTATGGGTATCATCTTGATTATTGAAGGACCCACAATATTAAAGTTCTCATTAATAGTATAAGTAATACTCACAATTGTTATAGCAGAAAGAAATTCGTCATACTAGATGTTAATACATTAATACATAGTAATACTAGATGTTAATACATTAATACATAGTAATACAAGAATTAATTAAAATGTCCAATTTGTAAAATTCTTTTTTTGATTTAAAGTTTTACCTGGATCTCAAAGTCTTCTTCCAACTCAGTATCACCAACAGTTTCATCCAAGTTCAATTCTTCATCGTCGAATATAAGTTTAATATGCGAAATATCAACTGTGTCTTCACTCAATCCTTTCAGTTTCAAATAAAATGTAACTAAGTTTTTCAATTTAGTTTCCAGAGACACTTTCACCTCAACACGCTTATTGTCCTTACCTTTAAGGGCAATTACAAATAGACCATCATTTTCATCCACTTCAATAGGTTTTTCCGCATTGCCTTCCGGTGAAATATCCTGCTTTATACTTGGAAAAACCTCCTCCTCGTCTTCACTAGTGGAAGAATTTTCATCAGGCACTTCAACAGGTTCTGGTGCTATCTCTACTGGATTGGAAGATTGAAACTCAGGGTAAATACTCATAAATGTTTGACTGTATTCTTTAGGAATCAAAAAGAATCTAATCATTGTCGGAGCTACTTTCTCAATGTCTTCAAGTAATGGGTTGAAGTCACCTGGTGGTGGTACTCGTAGCGTTCTTGGGGTGAAAAATGGCTGAATCAAAGTCTTACCTTCGACCCAGACCAAACTGACCAGCAGAGGATCATAACTAAATAAGTATACTGGAGAAAGTTTAGTTGCCAATGATTTCTTGAAATAGTCAACGGCAGCTTTTAAAATCTTTTCAAAAGTTTTTAATCCTTTCGTTCCAAAATCGACCTCTAAAATTTGGTTGTCTGGAGAAGGCAATTTGGATGTTATCCTGATGACATATTTTCTCTTTTTTTCATGCTCTTGATCAAAATTATATACTTCAGGCGATTGCTCCATCGCAGACGTTGACTTATTAGATCTGAGTTTCAAAAGTTCGTCCAACTCTTCATCGATTTCTTCATCTGAATCAATAATACCGGGTGTATCTTCTTTATCATACTGTGAGTTTATTCTTGTTGCAATTTCATTCTTGATCTTCTCATTATCCAACTGAGGTGGTGTGATTGATTTTACTATAATCTCCTCTTCCTCTTCCTCTTCCTCTTCCTCTTCCACTTTATCATTTGATCCGTTAACTTTCATGCTATTGATATCAATCAAGTCACCTGAAATATCTTCATTAGTGTTAGTTCTGGACATTTCTTGGACATCGAACAGATGCTTCTTTACCTCATCTGCTTTCGATATATCGTCCTTTTCCTCATCTTTAACTTTGGCATGTTTATGTTTATGCTTGTGTTTCTTTTTACGTTTGCTATCAAAAGATCCTGCCAAAGAAAAGAAGTCATCATCTAATAAGGAACGTTTTTTCTTTTTATTTTTGCCGGCGGATTGATCATCATGGGGATCTATGGAGGGTTTATCCTTGGAAGTTGTACAGGTATTAAAAATGTTAGCAGCTGTATTACTGGGTGACACATCTTTATTGGAAGAACCATTTTTGTCAATGGAATCATCCGTATTTGATGTGAAAGAAATATGATCCATTTAAACGAATAAAGGTTGAAGACAATGATACTGGAATGGTTAGTAATATTCATATCACGAAACCAGTTTTTTTTTTTTTTTTTCTTCTTGGTTCAATGCTCAATAACAAATACAAAAGAAAACAAAACAAAATTTCCTTACCTCAAAACACCATTTAAACAACAACATCATCATATTGTGGACATGTGGAAACCAACAAAGGAAACAAGCTTTAAATCAAAAATTTTAAGTTTTTATGGCAACAATTTGGAGACCTTCAATTTTCTTATGAAAAGTAGAGATAATTGGATAGACCGTGTTCTTACTGTTAGTGAACATATAATGAAAAAACAAGCGGACCAAGCAAAAAAGTTTCCCTTGATTAGTAATGACCAATTAAACCTACAGGATTTGACTTTAGAGCCAGAAACAGATGAATATATGAAAGAGATATTTAAGCAGGACATAGTTCTTAAAGTAGAAGGGAATAATACGAGTGCAGATGTGACGTTATCCAGTGGAAAACCAATTGAGTTAAAAAGTCACACCAATAGGAATGCCCTTGCAGTTGCAACTGGGGGTCAAATAACCTCAATGCAATGGTTGCCACGAGAAGGAGAATCTGAAGTGAGTTATCTTGCCGTGTCCCTATTTAATAGCCCAGATGGTGCATGTGCACTTGACCCTGAGTTGAGTATGTTTAACAAGTCCAAGAATCGAACAAAGTCGTCGGCAATTCAGATATGGAAATATGATTTTGCAAAAAATGAATTAGTTCTTGAAAATGTATTGGTTGTAAGTGCACTTGGAGTGGGGAATTTCCTTAAATGGGCACCAATTAACACCGAAGAAGGTGTTTTGGGAGTACTAATGGGTGTTTTTACTGATGGTTGTGTACATGCTTTTAAAATCACGGATTCACTTCCGAAATATAGCACAGTAAAACAATCGTCCTTAGAATATTCAATCAAAGATGGTAAACGAGAAACCAAGATTACTACGTTTGACTTTGTTGGTTCAGAGAAAATGCTTGTTGCAACATCAGATGGGTCTATTGCAGAATATATGCTCCCTTTCAATTATAATGGAACTGATTTGAACATACCAAACTTCAAGACGGTCGTGAGTTGGAGTGCTATTCAATACCTCTTATGTACTGACGACCATTCAGGAAACAAATTGTGTCTTGTTTATACAGCAGCACATCGATGCATGTCTTTTGTTTATAACAATTCCTTGCAAGATGTATATGCGATGATACCAAGAAGTCATATACAACCAAGTTATAATTTTCCGATGCAAAACTTAGTTATAGCAAATCATCCAGATCAAAGTCAATTATCATCACCAAGAATAAATCATTACACTGGATCATCGGTAGCAAGGACAGATTTCTACTTCACAACGTGCAAAGTATCAGAAGTACTTGGGCATCCATTTCTTTTAAGTGGAGGAGCCAATGGTGAGATTACCATCCACAACTATTTAAGAAAATTCTTAAGCAGTAAAACGACTGCTGCTAAAGCAATGCCTATTAGACTTTGGAAGTTTGATGCTAGATCAGAGGGTAAATTAGTATTAATATCAGATGTCTTTATCGAGTCACAAGAGTCCCCAATTCCTGCCGAGGCTACTAGATTAGAAGGTTGTGTTACTTCCTTGGCTTGGAATGAGAACGTAGTAGGTAGCTCAGCATTTGCTGCTGGAATTGCGGGTGGTGTGTTATTAATAGAAAGATTAGATCCAAAATATTTATAGAACCTAAATATGTTTACATGTATTATTATTGGTATTTGTCAGTATATAGAGATGATTTTTTTTTTGTCTTAATAATATTTTGGCATCTTTGGATCAACGTCATCTACCCACTTGCTTAGACCACCAATGATATCCTTAGCATTCGTGAAATCCATCTGTATAAGTTTATTAACAGCTAATTGTGAGTCATTTCCAAACCGGCAAACAACATAGACATCATCGTCTTGAGTAAACCCTGGTGGCAAGAAGTCGTTGAGATTTTCTGCTTTTCTTAACAGTGGATCCCACTCTATGTTTACTGAATTAGGTAAACGGGTAATTTCAAATTGTTCTTTTGGTCTCACATCAATTAATAAATGCTTTTTACCCAGGTTGACAATATTGGCATACTCTTTTGGTGAAACTCTGAATTTACTATCAATTGGATCAAAAGTTACTCTTCCACAGAATGTTGCGTAATTAATTGTACCATCCTCAATCAAAGATCTAGTAATAGTAGGTTTATCTCCACAGACAACACATGTTGGTTGTCTCTTTCTCATTTTGAAAACACGAATTTGTTGTTGAGGGAAGGCGGTATACGTGGAAAGGAAAGGTTGGAAAGATTCTTTAGTATAGAATCCAATTAAAACCTTGATGGCTTCCACTGCCATAGATACACCTAAAATACCAATAGCTGGACCAATAACACCACCATCAGAGCAAGATGTGACAGAAGTCGGTGAAGGTGGTTGTGGGTGGAAACATCTATAACATGGACCAATGGCTGCAAAATTCAATATAGTTAATTGTCCCTCTGCTTTTAAACCTGACCCACTGACTATAGTCTTTCCCAATATAACACAAGCGTCATTAATAAGGTATCTAACTGCAGGATGGTCAGTACAATCCAACACCAAATCATACTTCAGGATAATGTCAAATGCATTGTCATTGGATAATCTCACTGGATAGGTATCAACTTGAACATGTGGATTTAATTTATTTATATAATTCTTTGCAGATATACATTTAAATTCTCCCACCATATCAGTACTGTGAATAACTTGACGGTGTAGATTACTTGTATCCACCACATCATCATCGATAATACCAATGGTTCCTATACCTGCTGCTGATAAATACAATAAGGCAGGTGATCCTAACCCACCAGCACCGACAACTAAGATCTTGGAGTTTTTCAATTTTATTTGGGACAGTAATGAGCCAAATTGAGGGACTATCATTTGTCTTCCATAACGTTTATATTCATCAAGACAGAAATTGTCATCTATCTTAGTGAACTGGTCATTTGTCAAAATTTGGTTGTTATTCTCTTTGTGATTGCTGTTTTCTTTAAGTATTTTGTTTTCTAATTCCAACTGAGCTATCTTAGCTAAAAGCTCCTCAGTAGAAAGTTGTGTCATGATTTGCTTGTGATTTAAAGGAAAAAGAAATGTGTGATAGGAAAGATCAAAGTCCATATTTTTTTTTTTTTCACATCTTGTCTTCATCGCTCGGAATCACCAGATTAGGATTTTATCTCGTATAAAAATCTACTGAGACAGTACTACTTAAATTTACTGTTTAGTACAATAAATTAATGCCAACAATACTATTATTTATAAGAACTATTGCTTTCTTTTAAATATATTCTTTAACTATAAACCACTATGGATCTATTCGTACATCACTGTTAAGGTCGCCTTTTGTTTTCACTAATAAACTAGTATAATTTCTTAAACAATCTTTTGTTTAACAAAGAATGATTTCAAGTGACGTAATTGGTAAACACAGGTACCCACTAAGACAATAAATTGGACAATAGACCATTTAACAACTCTGGAGTTGGTGGATTCAGATTGGTCTCTAAATATGGCTTCTCTTTCTCTGATACTTTCTTGTTCCCAATGTATTTTATCCAATTGCTGGTACAATTTGTTGACTCTATGGGTCAAGTCATCAACCATTTTGGTTGATTTTGAATCGACATATTCGTTAGCAGAACCTTGGGCAACATCAAAGAAGATACGATGAATCTTATTGTTGCTGTTATCAGTGTAAATTGGGGTCAAACAGAATTTATGTTCACCAGAGTCCAAAGAGGTGAATGTGAAATCACCATCAGGGGCAGATTTTTGATCAGCAACTTTATGGTTGTTGTCAAAAGTTTCCTAGTACGGCAATGTTAGTAATGAATTATTCACAAATCAAAACTTTTAAACAAAAATCAACATAAAATAAAAGGGGGTCCAGAATCTTATTCCGTATCCCCAAAAATACATACTTCAACAGTAATTTGGACTTTCAAATTTGGATTCTTAAAATATTCATTGCCATTTTCTTGTTTTTCATACGCATCAATTTTACCCACTACCAAGGTGTCTTCTTGTAATTCTTCAAAGAAACATTTAGTTTCTCCAGTCTTAACGTAGAAATGCAAAGCACTAGTTAAGTGCAACAAAGCCAATAATGTACTAATGATTTGAGTTATAGATAACTTGGACATTTTCTTTCAATTGGTGGGTTGGTTTCTTCAAAGAAAAGAAAGGATAATACACAACTCAGAACAACATTTTTTTTTTTTGGTTTTCGTGTTGAAAATTTTTGATCTTCCACGTAAAACGGAAAAAAAAAACTACAAATTAACGCGTAGAAAAAAAAAAGCAAAATAAAGGGCACGGAGCCATTATGCAAAAGTACACGCCCCAGTTGTATTATGCATATTGGATATTCTTTACTTCTCTTCTATTATTATACCGAGTGTCTATTTACCTGTTTTACGTTTATTGATTATCTTTTTCTTGACGTGTTTCTTCATTTTGGTTTTTCTCTTTTCTTGTTTGGCCAATTTTGCGGCTTCCTTTCTTGCTTTTTTGTCATCTTTATCTTCATACTTCTTACCCTTTGGTTGGCCCTGTTCACGTTCAACCCATTCTTTCTTTGGCTTTGCTTCTGCATCTACATCATACTCATCACTATCACCATCACTATCACTATTATCATCATCGTCCTCTTCGTCACTCTCATATGTTTCAGAATTGTCTTCTGACTCACTGTTTGTTGGCTCAACTTCGTTGGATGCATCTTGACCAGAGGCCACAAGCTCTTTCATGGTATCTACTTTTCCTTCAGAAAATTTTTCAAAATCTCTTTCATCTAAATGGTTCAATGATCTGACCAAATGCAATGATCTGAATATTTCGTCTTGTACTTCTTGCTCGTCATCAGTCTTCAACGGCAACTGCTCTAGGTATTTTCCCAATTCTGCATCACTATTATCTGCAACGTTCAAGGTTTGGCAATCACTGGTGATATATTTGAAGATTAAACGTTCAGGATACACATTAATTTTTTTTCTTGTGAAAAAATCGTTTACATTCTTGATATCCATTCTCAAAAAGTCAAGTGCCATTGGATGGTCTGGTTCCACTGACTGTGACACATCAATGATGTATAGTTTGTCATTATGCACAATTGAATTGTATTCACTTAAATCTGCATGAACCAATCGACATTCCTGATACAATCTTCTCATGTAGAATAACATTTGATGATAATAAGCAACTATATCATCAACGTCTTTGAATGGATGGTCCTTCAATTTGGGGGACGGCTGACCATCACCTTTGGTCAAGTACTCCATTACCAAAACGTGTGACCTTAACTCAACTGGTTCCGGACACGGTATACCATTTTGATATATTCTCTTCAAGTTACGAAACTCTTTCTCAGCCCAAATCTTAACCATCTTTCTAGGGTTGCTTTGGTTTTTAGTATTTCTGAATCGGAACTCCCCATCAACGTATCTTTCACGATCCTTGAAAACCAAAATTGAAGTTTTGTAAATCTTTACAGCATATTCTTTTGTATTTTCTGGATCATCACTTGTACCATGATAAACATTTGCTTCTTTACCAGTACTAATACACCCATTGATACGAGAGATGATTCCTTTATTGATAATTTTTGCCAAAAAGCTAAGGGTACGTGGATCCAATACCTGTTCAACTGTGGCTCTATTAGCTCTATCTTTAGTGATTTTAGGCCCCTTCTTGATCGGATCAGTTTTAATCTTATCTGCATATTTAGTCACTATATCTTCTTTCTCAGTGATTGTCTTGGGAGTTGCTGCAACAACCTTGTTTGCTGTATTTGCTGGAGAGTAATCATCATCAGTATCTGATTCGGATGAGGAACTTAAATGAATATCTTCAACTTCTTTAGAAAGATTCATTGGCAGCATTTTTGTTGATATCTATTCGGAGGTAAGATGAGGTTGCCAAAAATTAGAAAATTTTTCGTCTTACTCTTTTGAAAGTCGCATCACCAGGAAAAAAGAAAAAAGAACTTGTCTGAAAAAAAATAACAATCAGAATACTACACACATTCTATCAACTAACATAACACTTTCTTCATTAAGTAGTACTCCGATGGCCCTTCCAGCTGTAATTAACCATTTATTACCAATTGTATGTATTAGTGCATGATGTGAAGCTAGTTATTTTTACATATCAGTTTTCTAACATATCTATAGAAATTTCTTGGTGTGATACCTTTATTTATCGGTGTCGAGATTATACTCGGTGTAACCATATTAAACAAAGCAAGTGGACTTTACGGGATATTATCTTTATTTACCGGTCATCCAATCAACTTTTGGCAATGGTTGTATAACCTGTTGTCTTTAATCGCATTACCAGTGTATGCATCAGCATTAATCAATTTAAAAGTCAAAGCAAGAAATTTACGTAAGATATCCCTAGCTACGATTGTTTACACTTTGGACACAATTCTTGGAAGTTTATTCACTTTGTATTTCATTTATTTTTGGTTCACTCTGGAAGATGGCAGTGTTAAATCAGATGGAGTTGATGCAACTTCCCAATCTGCATCACCAGCAAGAGAATTGACCATCACCATTAGCACAACCATTATTGTCACTGTTGTTAGATTCTACTTCACATTGGCAATGGTTTCTTTCACCAAGGCTTTATTGAAACAAAACTCAATGGAACTCAGATACAATTCTAATCTGAATGAAGAACCTCCTCAAGACCCAGAAGAAGAAGAACTCATGAATGCTGAAGGAATTTCTGGTGAATTCAGAAAAGCATTGTTTGATTTAGAGACTAGATCAAAGGAATTGCTTAATGATTTGTTCAATTAAATAGAGTTAATACACAAGTACTGTTTGCATGTTCCTATTATAATTTTAAATGTCGTGGCTGTCTTAAATGAACAATGTCGTCGTCTTTCCTGTGTATAGTTGCTTTCAAACTTTCTCCTTATTGCTCTCTCCACACCAAATGCACATTATCACTCTCTTTTTTTCTTTCTTTCTTTCTTTCTTTCTTTCTTTCTTTCTTTCTTTCTTCCTTCCTTTTGAATAGTCCTTCAATTACGAATTCATTGAGGGCCCGACAGTTGTTATTCCTACCTATTCAATAACTCGAAGATTATTCTTTAAATTAAGGATGGGTCAGGCTACGTCAAATATTGATCCACAAGAAAAGAGGGACATTGTACAAGAGTTCACTAAAGAGGAATTGCAAACCTTGTTCTACCATAGATGTTTGCTGTTATTGAAACCCATTGAAGTGGCATTTCTTAAACAAGACTTAAATGGAAAGACTTCAGTAACTGCTGATGATTTAGGTAAACTCTTCAAGTTCCCAGAGAATACCAATTCTTTTTCAGAAGGCACCCTAAACATTTTGTATCATGTGATGAAATTAATCGGTAAATTTCCCTTTATAAACAACAACAATTTAGCGATTGAAGAGACGTTACTGTTTGAGGAATTGGTAGTTTCATTGGTGTTTTTCAGTGGACGTTATAAGAAAATATTCAATAGTGATTATGATTTTTTAAAGTTATTGTTTATAAGTTTATCCGATAGACCACAAACCAAAGATTCCAAGACAATTGATGAAAAGAATGTCGACCCAGGAACTGAAAAATTTAAAACAAACTTGATAGTTGCATTAGAAGAAGAAGATAAACAAGAATTGAGAGCTAGAAAGATCAATTGGTCAAAACTAGATGTCATTAAGGATTTTGATCACACAGAAGTGCAGCAATTGCTGGTAAATGCAAAACGTTTACAAGATATGACAACGTTGTGTTTGATTCTCAATGCAATTGTTAGACATAATCATGATGCAATACAGAAACAACTAGTTGAGTACTCAGATAGATGGCGAGAGTTCGAGGTGTATTCCTTATATTTGCTTCGATACTTGGATGTCTACTTAGAATTAGATAAACTAGAGAACCAAAAGATCTCATATGATCTGTTCAGTAAGGGAATTAATGGATTGCTACCTTATTTTTTCCAGATTAACTTGAACAGGATGGTTTGTGATTCGTTGCTCTCCTCCAATTCGCCAATGGCGACAAAGCCAACTGAGGAACACAATGATTCCACAGAATCGACACCTCAGAAGAAACACACATTTCCTAAGTTTCAGGAGACCAAGGTTGTCTCAATTCCATTTTTGTCTTATGTGTCGAGTATGCTTCAAGGAATTGGGAATCCAACCATATTAAGTCCATCAAATCTTGTAAAATTGTATGCTGGTTCAGAAGCTGGGTTTTCTATCCGATCGTTGGAAACAAAAATTTTTAAATGGCAGGCTCCCACTTTGGTTGTTGTAAGTGGTAAACGACTTAAGTCTAAAACCATGCAAACGAATAGAAGGTACCAAAAATTCGATGAGATGTATCCAAGACATTTCTTGGCCCTGGAAAATCACTTGAGAGATTGGCAACATGAAAGTGATAGAATTACATATGCTGTCTTGGTTAACCAACCGTGGAAAAGTTCAAATAAGAATAATTTTGGAGACGAAAAGTCGATTATCTTGTCAATACTGCCAAGAGCAGATTATTTTAAAAGTGTCCACAGTAGTATATTACAAGGGCAACTGATTTATTTCAATAATTTAGGCATGGGATTAGGTTTTGGTAATAACCAACCTTTGAATAAGAATGACACCAAACGCTTCATACCAGGTGATATGTCTTTAACCATTGAAGCAAATTTGGAGTTTGCTGTGTTTCGACACCTCGTTAATCTGAGTTCCAGTAATGATAAATTCTTCCATAATTCTCAGCAATCCCATATTTCACATGAAGATTACGAAGATAGATTTACTATTTCTACTATAGAAGTGTGGGGATTATTGGTGAGTGGAAAAGAGTTGGAGGAACAAAAAAAGCAATGGGAATGGGAAGAAAAACAGGCTGAAGCTAGACAAAATGTAAATATCCGTAATTTAGGAGAAGAGAGAGCGTTCTTGGAAATGGCTGGATTAGTGGGCAATCATGGGGCTGCTGGTGGATCAATGTAGTGTATTATAGTGTATATTCCATTGTTGCGATATGGTGATCTATAGGAGAAAAGCGTGAAGCGAGAAGAAGAAAAAAATAATATATACAGAGGTAGATTAAATTTCGAGATGAGTATTTAAATTTTTTTTTTTTCACTGGTCTAATACTCTAGGAATCAAGTACTACAATACCTATACTCTAAAAAAATGGCTAAAGATAAGAAGAAAGGAAATAACGAGTCAAAGAAACCAATCACTAAGGATGAACGTTTTAAATCCGTCCATAATGATCCAAGATTTAGAATGCCAAATTTTAAAAACTTGAAAGTTAAAGTCGATGATAGATTTAGCAAAGATGAATTAAAAAAATTGAGTGTTGGAGCATTGGGAAAGAAAGTCAAGATTGATAGATACGGGAGAAAGATTGATGATAAATCAACTGATTTGGATAAGTTTTATGAACACGAAGAAGAAGAAGATTCTAGCGATGATGATGATGATGAAGAAGCAGATGACGAAAGTGGTGAAGATGAAGATGACGATTTGGAAAAATTAACTGCCAAAATTCAAAAAGAAGAACAAGAACAGGATGAAGAAGAAGAAGATGGTGATGAACCTGTTTTGGACAGAGCTAGAGGTGAAGGATTGATGAGCTCTTCTGAAGATGAAGACTCTTCCTCATCATCTGATTCTGATTCCGAAGTTGATTTTGAAGAAGAAGAAGATTCTGAAATTGAAATTGAAGAAGGCAAACCAGATGAAAGTGATCCAACAAGTTCATTTGCTGTAGTTAATATGGATTGGGATAACCTTAGAGCTGTTGATTTGATGGCCACTTTTATTTCATTTGTTCCTAAAGGTGGATCCATAAAGTCAGTAACAATCTACCCATCAGAATTCGGAAAAGAAAGAATGCAAAAGGAAGAAATCGAAGGTCCACCAAGAGATTTATTCAAAAGCAAGAAGAAAAAGGGGAAGACTGATGATTCTTCTGATTCTGAAGATATTGATTCTGATATTGATGTCAATGATACTGAAAATTTAGCAAAGATTGCACGTAAATTATATGAAGAAGATGATGGTAAAGAAGATTATGATAGCAAAGCATTACGTCGTTATCAATTACAAAGATTAAGATATTATTATGCTGTTGTTGTATGTGATTCTGTGCAAACAGCCAAACTGATTTATGATAACTGTGATGGTACTGAATATGAATCCACAGCAAATGTTTTTGATTTGAGATATATTCCAGAAGATATGGAATTTGATGAACTGGAGGCTAAAGATAGTTGTACTAAAATTCCTTCGTCATATAGACCAGATTCAACTTTTGTTACTGATGCATTGCAACATTCCAAGGTTAAATTGACATGGGATGAAACTCCAAAGGAAAGACTCACATTGTCCTCAAGACCATTATCCCAAAAGGAAATTGAAGAAAATGATTTTAAAGCTTACTTAGCAAGTGATAGTGACGAAAGCGACAAAGAAAACGGCGAATCATTGAAAGATAAATATCAAAGTTTATTGGGCCAATCATTCGCAAAATTTGGTAAAGAAGATAACGATGATGATGTTGACATGGAAATCACTTTTGATCCTGGTTTGAAAGATAAAGCTGACGATGAAGACCACGAAGAAAAAGAACAAAAAGAAGAAACCACCATTGAAGCTTACAGAAGAAAAGAAAAAGAACGTCGTCAAAAGAGATTAGCCAAGTTCAAGGAAACGAAACAATCTGAAAATGATGCAGTAGAAGAATCTACTAAATCATCTAAATCTAAGAAATCTTCCAAGAACAAGAAACACGGAGTTCCTGAAATGGATGAAAAATCAAAAGCTGAATTGGAATTGGTTATGATGGATAATCAAGATGCAAATGTCAAAGATCATTTCAACATGAAGGATGTTATCAAATCCGAGAAACAGAAAAAGAACAAGAAGGGTAAGAAGAATAAGAAAATTGACGAAGAAATGGTACAAGACAATTTTGTTGCAAATCTTGATGATCCTCGTTTCAAAGAAATTTTTGAAAGTCATGATTATGCTATTGATCCAACTAATAGTGAATTCAAAAAGACTGAAACAATGAAGAAAATATTGAAGGAACGTGCTGTTAGAAACAAGGGTAAAAAGAGCAAACCAAATGACAGCAACAAGACCAATAAACGAAAAGCAACTGAAACAGAGTCCAATGATAATGTCCGTTCACTTGCTGAAAAGCTCAAAAAGAAACAAAAGAGAAACTAGAGTTTTGTAAATAGTATTTGAAACACACAGATAAGTAGGAGATATTTAGCCAAAAGCTCACAACCAAATGTATAGATAGATACTGTTAACAACAACAAAAAAAAAAAAAAGATAGCATCTCATGGGAAGAGAACTCTGAAACATTTTTGATGCAAAATTAAGTTCAATGCTGCACGAATAATTTGTAGGATAGAATAACTTAACAATGACAGCATTATATGAATTACACCTTTTTTTTTTCAGAAAATAAAATGATCTTGTGTTCAGATCATGATTTGAATTGAATCTGTTTTACATTTTTCTCCAGGTATATTTATTTCTTTCAACTTCCTGAAAATAAGACAATAATTCCCTTACTTCTTTTGCAGAATAAAGTAATTTAATCGCCATTTCAAAAGTAAAATAGTGATTCAAGTTTAAGATTTGGATAAAACGATTATTTAACTAGTCTTTACAAGCCTCATTTGTTAGAGATATTTTTTGTTTTTGCCATTAAATCTATTCCGATATTCAACGACAACAGTATAAATAAACTATGAAAATTCCAACTCATTTAATTCCACACAGTTATGAGGAAGAACTGTCTAGAGAAGGTTCATCAAGTCAAGACGAAACTAATCATAATCAAAGACATCATAATCTTTACACATTTATCTCGCCGCGACCAGATATTCATGAAATGATTGAAAGAACACACATTGAAGAAATTGATGCATTTAACGTAGGTCGAAATACAGTCGAGTTAATTAAAAATGATCAGAATCAATTAGAAGTTTACGATAATGAAAATGAAATAAAAGACGAAGAAGATGAAGATTGTTCCAGTGAGGTTTTGGAAAACCCATCTGAAGCTGACTTGTTTTTAAACATTGTCAAGACTCCTTCTAATCAATCCAAGTTGGAATCGATTGAAATTATTAGTGATGGTGAACTACAACGAAATACTACTACGTCAACTAACAATGATTTCACTGTTTCTTTATCCCCAAGTACGGCAACTTTTTCTTTCCAGCCGACTATAGAAGAAAATCCTAATGAACATGAGGGTTCCAGTGTGATCAACCAAAAAAAATTAGCAACCAGTTTTTTTCCAACAGTTCCCAAACGGGAAATATATGGAATTATGTTACCTAATGAGCTGACATCATTAATCCCAAATCAAGAAGAAAGTAACCATAAAGAAGAAGAGGTGGAAAAGATGTCACCATCAACACCACCAAACCTTATTAATTTGAAATTCGCTACACCAAAGGATAGAATATTTGATGTTTCTACAAAGATGGATCATACTGTTTCCCCTGTTACTCCCATGAGTATTTCGTTAACTACTCCTACTAAAACCACTCATTTGTACCTGACAAATGGTCAAGAAATTCCAAAGTCTATATTGGCAAGAAACATTGTGGGACAGAGTACTCCTCATTATGAGAAACTTCCCTTGTTGGATCCAATAGAGTTTTCCACAGAAAAGCATTCACCAAATACTGACGAGGAATTGGTGTCATTTATTGTCTCGAAAAATAAACTGTTGTCTCACCACCAAAAATGGCTCGAGACCCTGTCTTCCTTGCCGCCACTGCTGCCGCTGGTGCAAACTTTCAATGGAGACGAGGCGGGGCTGAACCGAAAAAACTATAAGCATGTCTTTCAGTTGAAACGCATAACAAACATTGAGGACACCTTAGACGACGAAGACAACGAAGAAGAATGCAGAAACAACAGTAGTCAAAAAATATCACCATATTTTGATTCTCAGGAGAAATGCATTCAGTTTATGCACCCTGGTAAAAAAAAGCATTTGAAGGATCTATTTCATAAAAACATCACTACCAGCAACAACAACAACAAATCCACGTTAAACCATTCTACTGTTACGTTAACTCCTAACATCAGGACTGAATCTTCATTAATTTCATTAAATTCTCCAGTTTTATTGACCTTGGAATCTAACAAGCTTGATCAAAATAAACATACTTGTCGCTCACCGACTCATACTATTCATCATAAGAGTTCCGATTCACCATCCTCCATACCCCTCTTGTATAGCCCCAATCAAAGTATGGTTTCTAGGAAAATCTCATCTAGTTCAGGTAGAACAGCTAGTTCCAAAGACACAATGATTGAAGTTCTTGGTAAACCAGAAACAACAGATTCAAGTTATAATAGTAGCCGTGAGTTTATTCCGACTCGTGCACCACCACCTCCAAAAATCAACAATTATCACAATGCACATCATGATGCTGACATTGAAGAAAATGGAAGTAGTTCTCAATCATCAAAGATATCGAAACAAGAGAAGTTTCAGGAATTTTCAAAAAAGCTATTCAAGAAGAGTTCCCAATCTTCATTTGAAGCTAAAAGTCTTTATGAAAAATTGATTCGTAAAGAGAAGAAGAGGCACAGAGATAATCATCTAGGAGTTGACAAAAACATTCAAACGGATGATATTACAAATACTTTAACATTAGAGATGCATGATATAAAAAAGAAACGGGAAAAACAGTACAAAGAAGATGTGACGCTGTCATTAAAATCATTTCTAGATGCAAAGAGCCTGAATAATGTTGTAGATTCATTTAAAGACTATGTTGAACGTAGTCTCATATAACGTATAAATGTGTACAATTAAACAACTTGTCCAAATGGATTCCCAAATTGCAAAAAAAAAAAGAAATAAAAAAATAAAAAAAAAAAACCTATTAAAAAAGAGATGCTAAAGTGTTTAGATTCTAACCTATTTTTGACATAATTAATATTAAATATAAATCGATTCATTTTGTTTACAATGAATGAATGATCAAAAACATAGACTAGGTTGCCTGTTGATGCAACTAAGAAACCACGCAAATAGAAGTAATGATGCCCGAGGCATGTGTTTAATTATGTATAAAATAATAATCATAAAAAAAGAAACTATAAATGTACAGCCAACAACGTTGATAATATATATATATATAATTTGAAGATGTCTATTATTTAATCCAAACTGAAGAGTACAACAAAAAAAAAGTAATAAAAGAAATGTAATCCAATATCGTAATACAAAATTTAAGAATAAGGTAATATAATACACTTGTCAGAAACACTGTAGATAATCAAAAATTTTCTGTACTTGTTCCGATATCTGCAAAGAAATCATCTGGATTGTAGTTGCTTGTATCCCCACCACTTCTGGAATTATTGCCTGCTAGATTTGATACATTCAGAGTCTCAAATTGTAAACCACCGGGGAGTTGATATTTGTCGGCACCAAAGTTGCTTGGCTGGTTGGCATTTTCCAATATCTCAATCTGTTTTATTAAGTTCTCACGGGCAATCTCTTGTTGTTTCAATACGTAATTCAAATGATTGATATAATCAACCGATCGATTAAGAATAGTGGATTTGTTGGGTTTCGTTTCCTTGACCTTAATTGATCCGATAAGATCATTCAACTCTGTAGACTCGGAAGAAAGTTTTCGCTGTAAAGTCTGTACAGCACATAATTGTGGGTTCAATAATGAAGGTGGAACTATTACACCCAATTCTTTTATTCTTTCTTTGATCAAATCACGTCTTCTTCTTTCGACTGCATTGTGGAACTCTCTTCTTCTCTTCATCTTTTCCTCTTTACTCAACTGTTTGGTTGGAATATCACGAGATAATGCATTACCAGAAGTACTTGGAACAGATGAACTCAACGTTGCAGTTTGTGGTGGCGGGGATAAGGCGTTCCAATTCTCCACTTTAACTGGCGGATGTGGGATAGAAGTACTCAACTGTGCATCATTAACATCCTCAACCCTAAGGGCAACGGAAGAGGCTAATTGTGGTGGTGGCGAATTCAAATATGAGCCGGCATCAAAACCAGGTGACGCGATAGGTGGATTGAATTGAGGTGACAAGTACGATCCCGATTGGATATCAGGAATATTGCTGTTAAACGAAGGACCACTGATACTTTGTTTTCTTGTGTCTGGACTAAAGGCTAAATTGTTCTTGTTATCCTCGGCAATGGAGCCGAGAGCATTGAAATTGTTTCCTCTTGTTGAAGGTGAGAAAAATTGAGGATTGAGGAATGATGAATCGTCATTGTTTTGAGGAGATATAAGTTCATCAAGGTTTGCGGAGTTTGCACTGGGGTTCATGAAATGCTGGCCGGCTTGATGGGGAGATACCGGTTGTGGGGAAGAGTTACTTGGTTGTAATTGCAATTGTGGACCCAATATTGCTTGAGAAAACGCAACATCGTCCAAGAATGGCTCATTGGTAAAAGAACCTGGATTAGAACCACCTCCATACGCATTGGGGTCTGAAGCAGTATTGTATGATGTGAATCCCATTGGACTCAAATAATCTTGGCCACCGGCAAGTTGGGTATTTGAATTGTACCCTGAAGTTGTTGCAGCAATAGAATTGGTTGATGTATTCATATTCGTGTTCAGGTCTCCATTACCCGAGTATCCGCTGTAATTAAGATTCAAGGAAAACTCATTCTGATTGCTATTGTTGTTACTTGAATCAAAATTGAAATTCAACGATTGACCTTGTTGTTGTTGTTGTTGCTGCTGCTGATGTTGTTGTTGCAGTTGGGGTTGTTGCAGATAATTTTGCGAAGAACTACTATCATAGTTAAAATTATTGGAATAACTGAAATTAGGAGTACTTGTATCTGTGTTGTTGTTGGTGGTGGTTGAATTGGAGGTGAAGTCTGCTGGACTCTCATTCATATAGTCTCCCATTGTGCTTGCTGCGGGTTTATTTGTTTCTCTTGTCTATGTTCTTAATTATAAATGTATCAATATTTGTAGTTTAAATGTAGCGTCTATAAATGCTAACGCACAATTATTGATTAGAATACTGATTAACGTGTTGATAAGCTAAAAAAATATAAGAGAGTATGGGTGGGTGTGTTCTCCTGGATGTTTTTTTTTTCTTTTTTTTTTCTTCCCTCTTTCTCTGTTTTGTCTCTTCTTTTAGTTTTTTGTTCTCCCCTGTTTCGAAATGTAATGCTGGTGCTAACTGTGAACTGCTAGTAATAAACGAATAGGAAAACAGTCTAATAGATGGATAATTATCAATTAACTGGTATTAATCAAGTGAATGTAGTTTAAATATAGATTCAATGGGTTTTTCTAAGGTAGATTAGATATTATTTTGTAGTTTGGAAAGATTATATAATTTTCTCTATTTTTTTTTTATTTTCTTCTCTGGTTAATTTCTTTTGGTTTTTCCCGTTTTAAATTTTTAGAATTGTTTTATTAAATTAATGCGACATTACATTATACGACACCACGACATTGACCGAAATGTCGGAGACTCAACTCCACAGTAAGATGGATATTACAAGCGATGCTGCTAAGTATTGTATAGACTATTCACACACCCACAGTTTCAGAGAATGGTGTATAATCCTAGTAGAAATTATAGTTACAACTTAAATAGAAATGTATTCTTTTATTTATATACGGATACTATTCAGATTTATTTTGTACGTATCTAAGATCCGTGTTTCCCATAGTATGTTGTACACAACTTCAGATCAACGTTCTTTCAACAATTTGTTTCTCTTTTCTCTCTTTCTCATTCTTTCTACCTTCTTAGCATGCATCTTACTAGCCATTCTTTCATATCTTTCCTTTTCTTCCTTAATTTCTCTTCTTCGTTTCAAATCATCAAGTTTTTGTTTTCTAGCTGTTTCCTTTTCATCTTTCAACTCCTTCATTCTTGCTTTGTATTGTTCTTCTTCTAATTTCTTTAGTTCACGTTGTTTAAATGAATTCTTCTTGGTTTTGGATACAACACCTATGGTTCTAACTCTAAAGGCATCTTTCTTTATTTTCCAATTTTTACCATTTACTCTTGAACCTTCACCTTTGTCCTTTGGTGCTAACGGATCTATGTATTTCTTGGGTATTTCTTTAAATTCTATATTTGATGATGAACTCATTTTTAACGATGAATGATAATGTGGTACAGATGAAATCAAAGTATAGAAATTGATTACAACCAGAACTATTTTTTTTTTTTTTTGCTTTTTCTTTTTGGTAGAGAAACTGAGATGCGATTAGTTTTTTTTTTTTTTCTCTCTTCTACTTTTTATTTGCCAGTTTTGTGTCATAATGTTTGACATTTGCAATTTGCGATCATATGCTAATTGGAAATGTTCAGTCATATATTCATTCGTCATATACAGTTTCTCTTTTATCTATTATCAATGTTGCTCTTCTCTTCCATTTTCTAGAACGAGTATAGCGGCTGAACCCATCTCTTACTCTTCCATTCTCCCAATTGCTATCATAATAAACCCAACCGTCAGTTGTCTTTGATTTGTCAAACTCAGGTTCAATACTCCATTCATTATCTATCCATTGCCACAGGTACGCATACAAGTCATTTTCAAATATCGGAAATGGATAATTAGGTATATCATTGGTAATATTGGGTGCTAAATTATAAGTCTTTGCATAGCAAAAGTTTGGACGCTCACTTGGATACATCAATGATGACCAGCCTACTCCAAACCAACGTCTCTCATTCTCCAAAACTTCAAATAATACTGTCTGCTTTAACTGTGTGGGAGAAACCATTCGTTTCTTCAATATTTTAAAATCGGACAATATCGGTATACCACTCATACCTTCTGCATCGCTATTTGCAGCACTGACAACGCGCGAAACTGTTTGATACTCCTTTGGATCGTAATCTTTAGTGATTTTAATCTCCATCCCGGTAATATAAAGAATTGCAACTCGCACATACAATGACCTCCATAATAAACGTCTAATGGCAAATGCATATGGAGAATGGAAGGTAAACAAAAAGAGTCCAAGAAACCACAAGTATTTTTGAGGAGTAATAAATGTCTTGACCACAATGATATTGACTGGAATAAAAAGTAAGCCAACAATTGTCATTTTAATGAAATTCTCAGTTTTGAAAGGAACATGACGTGCTGGTCTTAGCAACATTTCGCTGCGTACTGTAATGTTGTGTAGTGTATATAAAACTTCATCAATAGTAGGCTTTTCGTCAAATTTGGAGTCATAAATCACTGAACTGATCGACCATACTAAACTGGCAAATGCAAGTGTCATTAGTATGGGTAATATCACATGACTGATCCAATTCCAGTACATGACAATACACGAGTAACCTGTCATGATTAAAAAGTTCTGGTAATGGTCATCATTCGTCCACGTTATTATTTCCAAGAAATTATCTATCAATAACAAATAGGGAAATATCTGGGATAGTGCTGTTGCCAATTTTGGTGATTCTGTGAGTAACTTGTAAGTTGGTGTATTTGATAAAAGTTTTGTATCTGACGGCTCCAAGGTAGCACGTATATGTGATTTGAATTCAGGCATATCAGATCTTCCAACAAATGTTTGGGTATTTGATTGTACTTAGATTGGTTATTGGTTAATGAATGAAAGTAGTATAGAAATGTCAACTATTGCAAAGACAAAGCGGAGCAAGAATCCACTCTCGTTTTTTTTTTCTATTTTTTGTTCTCACTGTATGTTGTTGTCTCGGCTCAGCCTATGTTGCTAATACTTTTTTTTCACGTGCAACCGATTTGGCGGGGAGGAAAGGGCGAAAAAAAAAAAAGCAAGGAAGGGATTGGGGTGAGTCAAAAATAGCCCCAAAAATGAAAGGAAATTTAAAGTCTCAAAATGGGTGCAAATTCTAAACATCTAATAGTGGGTTTGGGTGTTGAGTTTATAACTTACTATTCCCATGTTACAAAAAATTGTATCAATCGAACGGGGAGGTAGAAGATGAAGAAAAACTAAAAAGTGGCGAAGTAATTCCGGAAAGGCCCCCCCCCTTTTAAATTAACTTTGAATGCATTCCAACTAACTTCGTGTACCTCTCCTGTTTCGTCATATAATGCTCAAGTCTAGATTCTAAATAAACAAGAACTTCTTGGAAACATTTGCTAACCGCGAACAGTTACCTTTAGATCAATAGGGAACCGGTAAATAAGCGCTCTACACTTTAACAAGTAACAGGAACTTTTTTGTAATTGCAACATGTAACCCGTAAATTTTCATGCATGCTACTTGTTGCTTTTTTTTTTTCAAGGGGGCCAGATGAGAGTATCTTTTTAACCTAATCAGTTATCACGTTTAGTAATGCTTATTAATTACCAAGCTTACGGCTGGTTTTCTGTCAAGAATATTATTATTATTATTATTATTTTGGTTGTTTGCTTCTATAGCGGTTATGATTTTACCCAAACTTATCTATCCGTCAGGTATTTGTATGTATTTTTTTATTTATCATTTTTCTTGGTAGCAGAAACAAAGCGTTTCATTATGTCTACGTATTTTCTTAGCAGCAAAAGTTTAGATAGAGCTTTCAATGTTATTTTTCACTCAACTTGTATTGCTCAGCTCAGCCTACAATGCCACAGCAAAAAAGGGTGTGATAACTGCTGAAAACCCTCGTGTTGTGACTGTGCCGACCTTATTATCATCAGAATTCATGTCTTATTGGATATAAGAAGGACACCAGTAGTTCCTGATTTTTTGTTTTTGGTTTCTGAATTGACTTGTTATTCGTTGTTTCTCTCATCAATTATATCACAACAACACAAACGGTTATGAAATTGTCTAGTTTCTTTATTTATTATGTTTTTGCCACCACATCTGTTGCAATTAGTGTTACAAAAAGGGTTGATCTTGGATATGTTGCTTGTAGCACATTATTGACACAATTTTCCCCTGATGGTGAACTTCAACCATTCTGTGATTTGTATAATCAGCCGGCAGTGGGTTCCATGGCTTTCTGTTTATTGAAAAGTTTTGGTTTCAATGAAAATTCGTATTATGAACCTTTTTTGAATGCTTGTGGTTTGTCAGAAAGAGACTTAATGTCATCATATAAAAATGCAACTAAATACATGAGACGAGGTTCTTCTATTTCAGATACCGGTTTCCCAATTGCTACCCAACGTGACCAAGTATTGACCACTCTTGATCAGTTATACAGAAGTGCTTTGAATGAGAACTACAGTGTCTGGTATGGTACTGCTTTGATTGCCTACTGGGGAGTCGTTATGTTAATTGGTTCATTAAACTATTGGTCTCACTTTTTGTTCCCTTCTTTTGTTAAAGCTATGCATGGACCAATTACCAACTGGATCAGGCGTTTTTTTGTACTTTCTCCTACATTCGGTCATAGCCATGCTTCTTCTTCTAAAAGATATCTAAAAGTCATTCAGGCATTTATCCCATTGAGATTTGAAACTTTAATTATTCTAGGCTGGCTTGTTTTATGTGCCGTGTTCTGTGGTACATCTATATATGCTTCAGAAGATCAAATGGCGTCTTTGCTTGTTGGAAACAGATCTGGCCAATTAGTGGCATTTTCTATCCCATTATTGATATTATTTGGAGGAAGAAACAATTTCATGCAATGGTTGACTGGTTGGCCATTTGCAAGATTTCTTGTGTTCCATAGATGGATAGCAAGAATTGTGTTTACCATGTTGTTAGTCCATGTCGGTTCCAAAACCATCACAATTAAAAGATTTGGTTCCTTTCCTGGATTCTTATCTCAAAACTATATGATATGGGGTATTGTTGCAATGGTTGCATGTGGGTTATTAATTGGTCATTCATGGCAAATATTCAGAAATACAAACTACGAAGTGTTTTTAATTGTTCACCATGTTTTGGTAATTATATTCATTGCTGGTGGTTGGATTCATTCCCCAGGTAATAATCTGTATATAACTTATTGTGCTGCTGTTGCTGTTTGGGGGTTTGATAAGTTGATACGATTGGTAAGAGTAACCAGCTATGGGGTCAAGAAAGCAAATGTTGAATTAATTGCCAATGAGGTATTGAAGGTTACCATTCCAAGACCACAGTGGTGGCGTCCATTTCCAGGTTCATATGCTTATATTTATTTCCTTAAACCAGCTTTTTGTTGGCAATCCCATCCATTTACTTTGGTTGATTCAGTGCAAGAGAACAATACATTGACATTCTACATCAAAGTAAAAGGAGGAATGACCCATGGTATTTATAAACAGTTACTGTGCACCCCTAGTCAATGTGCTACATTTAATGTTTTGGTTGAAGGTCCATATGCAAGTCCACACTCGGGTAGAAAGTTTGACAATTTGATATTGCTTAGTTCCGGTACTGGTATACCTGGTTTATATTATGCTGCTCTTGATTTGATAAGAAGAAATGATTGTGCAACCAAAAAAATCAAACTTTATTGGACTATAAGAGATGTGAAATCTATCAACTGGTTTATGGATGAATTTCTTGAATTAAGAGGATCAATAGTTGAACCAATTATTTACATAACTGGTGCACCACCAAGTGACAACTGTCCTGTTTTGGAAAAATGGGAGCCATCAATCACTGATAGTATTGGATCATTTAAACAGGTGAAGGAAATATTGAACTTTGTTGAGTTTAGAACTGGTAGACCCAATGCTGAAACGATTGTTTCACAAGAAATAAACGAAGCCAACGGTTCAATAGCTTTTGTTACTTGTGGTACACCATATTTGGTGGATGATGCAAGAGCAGCTATTATCAAGTCCTTGAAAACATGTACTTCAAAAAGAATAGAATATTTTGAAGATTTCCAGGAATGGTAGAGTGTATTTATATATTATTTGCAGTTATTCAATATAAACATTCGTTCGTGTACAAGAGCTCAAAAAAGTCGCATCTACTATTCAACTGACAGAAAGTGAAAAATTTTTCTTCCCAACTTTTTGAAAATTTTCTTACACTTTTTTTTTTGTTCTTTCTTGTAAACCACAACAAAACAATAATCATTAATAATACAAAAAATGGTATGTTAATAATGATTCTAGATCAAATGAGTTGGAACAACATCCTCCTTGCATGTTACAAGCAATCTATTAAGTAATCTTTTTTTTTTACTTTATAGAATAAAGATGAAAATCAAGTTATGTGCATCAAGGAGTGATGAAGTTCTTTGTATTAGTACCTAGTTTGGGATTTTGTTCCTTTATTATGGGAAAGTACTTTTAGTGACATCGCTCCTTTTTTCTGATGATGCACAGGCTGAGTATCTTTATTGATACTGTAGAGTTTTTTCAAACAAAATGTGACAAGTTGGATATGTTCGTTGATATTAATTTTGAGAACCTCCAATTTTGGAAACTAACATTTTGACTCAATGACACAGCCTTCTTCTAGAAAAGTTGCTCCAGCTCCATTAGCCGCTAAATCTAAAGCTTCATCTGCTCAAAAGAACCCATTATTGGACTCCACCCCAAAGAACTTTGGTATTGGACAAGCTGTTCAACCAAAGAGAAACTTGTCTAGATTCGTCAAATGGCCAGCTTATGTTAGATTACAAAGACAAAAGAAAATCTTATCCATGAGATTGAAGGTCCCACCATCTATTGCTCAATTCTCTCAAACTTTGGACAAAAACACTGCTGCTCAAGCTTTCAAATTGTTCAACAAATACAGACCAGAAACTTCTGCTGAAAAGAAAGAAAGATTGACCAAAGAAGCTACTGCCATTGCTGAAGGTAAATCCGCCAAGGATGTTTCTCCAAAACCAGTTGTTGTCAAATACGGTTTGAACCATGTTGTTTCCTTGATTGAAAACAAGAAAGCTAAATTGGTTTTGATTGCCAACGATGTTGACCCAATTGAATTGGTTATTTTCTTGCCAGCTTTATGTAAAAAGATGGGTGTTCCATACGCCATTGTTAAAGGTAAGGCTAGATTGGGAACTTTGGTTCACCAAAAGACTTCTGCTGTTGCCGCTTTGACTGAAGTTAACTCTGCTGATGAAGCCGAATTATCTAAATTGGTTTCTACCATCAATGCTAACTTCATTGAAAAATACGAAGACAACAGAAGACACTGGGGTGGTGGTATCATGGGTTCTAAAGCCAATGACAAGATTGCTAAAAGAGCTAAGGCTGCCGCTGCTGCTGCCACTAGTTCTGCTTAAGTAGATTGCAACACTTTAGTTTAGAATCACTTTAGTTTTATTTACATTATAACTCTTCTCTTCACTGTATATTAGTTTAGCTTTAATAATTTATATTTGGGTTTATCCGTGATAACTATAAGAATGTAACTGCAAAAGATCGTATAATGTTGCGATTCTTTTTTTTGTTCTTGAAATGATTAGGGCTATAGCCCTCATTCTCGCTCAATGATGTGTGTAATGCATCAATATTTTTTTTGTTTTTCTCTCTTAGTTTCTTAACTATGTAGCTCTGCAATTTTGCGTAGTGCGAGCCCAACGGGGGTACCAGAACAAACAAAAAAAAATTATCAGAGATTTTTCTTTTTTTGGACAGAGGTTTCGTATACCACAGTATCGAATTATTGTATGTGACAACTGGATAATAATAGAGGAAGACTTTTTGATTTATGAATGTATAACAGGAGGAATAGAAATATGATATAAATGAAAAGAGAGAGATAGAAAGAGAGACGTATCCATTAGAGGAAGGAGAAGAATTAATGAAAAATTGAACCAACAACTCACCAACGTCAATCAACTAGCAAAGAAAAAGTCTTCCTAGATGAATTAACCCAATCAAGGATATGAAATACTAACATTAATAACTATTATCTAGTGAAAAATGGCTAAATCAAAGAACCACACCGCCCACAACCAAACCAAAAAGGCTCACAAAAACGGTATTAAAAAACCAAAGACCTACAAATACCCATCTTTGAAAGGTGTTGATGCTAAATTCAAGAGAAACCACAGATACGCTTTGCACGGTACTGCTAAAGCTTTGGCTAAAGCTAGAGCTGAAAAATCCGCTTAAATTTTTTTTGAATAGTGAGGTTCTAAGTTAGTTTTAATCTGTATCATATGTTCATAAGCAATGTTGTATTTAATTTGTTATTGACAATTTTAGAAATGTTGAAGATAATGAAAGTACAATTTATGTATGGGTTTTTATTGGGGTATTAATAAAAAACTTTTTTAAAAATTAATAGTTAAAGAGATTTTATGACATTGTCTTGTATAAGTCAATTGTAATTGACGAGATGGCTCTGTCTGTATATTCATGTGTTCTTTTTTCTTCATCTCTGTCTTTGCCTAACTTTTCCCTATAAGCAATGTGTTGCAAAAGTGCACCAAAAAATAAAAAAAAATATCAACTCTTACCTCAACTTGATTGATCTTCAATGCAAACAATAATTAATCACAAGATGACTGAAAATTCATCTAAACGTTACCGAGTTTATATTAAGAACCTCAGTTATGAGACAAGTGAAAGTGATTTGGAACAATTATTCAAGAAATATGAACCGTAAGTGATTACCCAAATGCCATGATAGATTGTTGTTCTGTTGCAAATTTTTATTTACTAACTTGATAAGGATCAACGTTTTAATCCCAAGCTATACAATCCATTTCAGTAGAAGTGGTAGACATAGACCATTGGGAATTGCCTATGTTGAATTCAAAAATCAAGAACTACTTGATGCCGCAATTCAGGAATTTGATGGTTATGTTTTGCAAAACAGAAAAATCACAGTCAAGAAGCATTTACCATATAACCCAGGAAATCGTCGTTTCTCGTTGAAATCAAGCAAAACTGAGCTGTCAAAGAATGGAGCAGGCTCCAAATCTATTGAATCTAATGATGGTGCCACCGTAGATGATGCTCCAAGTAATAGTGGTTTTCCAGTGGTTTTATCGGTAAAACAACCAATTGTATTACCGGCTAATGATAATTCATCAATCGGTTCTGATAAAAAGAAATCGAGTTCCAAATCTGAGATATCTACTGATACGATTCTTATTCCAAAGGCTCATGGAAAGGTTACTGATTCTACTTTAAGAGAATTTTTCAAAGATTATAGTCCTACCCAGATTTATATTTTTAGAGCAAGAAAACCAAAACTCAACCCAATTAATCTCACTGGATCTTATGTTAGCGTGTTGGCTACTGTTGATGCCTCTCAGACCAAATTGGAAGACATAATTACTAACTTGAAAGCTCAAAAACTTAATGGGAAATATGTTAACATGAAACCTGCTTATATGTCAAAAGTTGCTGAAGTAACAAAAGCTGCTACCAGATTGAATTCATTTGAACTTATTGAAGGAACCAGTAATAGTGGTGATAATAACAACAATGAAAACAATGCTAATGATAGAACCAATGAAGAAAGAATTACAGTGGAACATACTGAAGTCCCTGTAAATCAAGATTCAAGCAACCCAGAAGAAGGTGTCTCTGGTTGAAGATTGGTTTACTTGTTGTTGGGTTTATTGGTTGTTACTAGTATAATTTTTGCATGTTAACTTTGGTATTGCTCATTTCTCTAGTCATTTTTTTTTTTTTTGCAATCAAAGTGCTAGACTTCTTTTCTTTCCTTTTTTGGTCTCAATTAAACTACAATTTCCAATTCTTTATATTTTATATAATGTGTATTAAAAAATAAAACAACTCGAAAACCCTAAAAATATTTAATCATGCATTTCTTTTCTTTTTGTTCCCTATGTAATTTGTACAGTAAAGTTATATTGTAGAAGAATTCCTTAATTAAATAATTTATTCAGCGGTTTTTTGAGTACCACGTAACAAACCAGTTCTTCTAGCAGCAATTAAACCAGCCTTTTGACCGGAAACAGCACCTCTAGAAATAGTAGAAGCTTTACCAATATGTTGATGGTTACCACCACCATGTGGATGGTCGACTGGGTTCATAGCGACACCTCTAGTCTTTGGCCATGAGTTTCTCTTAACCTTGTATTTGTGGAAGGCTCTACCAGCTTTCAACAATGGTTTATCGATTCTACCACCACCGGCAACGACACCAATAACACCTCTAGCGTCAGAAGAGATGATTTTTTTGGCACCAGATGGCAATTTAACTCTAGTTTTGTTTTCATCTGGGTTGTGTCCGATAATGATAACATAGTTACCAGAAGTTCTACCTAAAGCACCTCTGTCACCAACTTTTTCTTCAACGTTAGAAACGATGGTACCTTCTGGACAAGCACCCAAAGGTAAAATGTTACCAACATTCAAAGAAGCTTTTTTACCAGCATAGATAAATTGACCAGTGTAGACACCTTCATTAGCAATGAAAGTTTCTTCTCTCAACTTGTATCTGTATGGGTCACGGAAAGCAACTTTAGCCAATGGAGCACCTCTACCTGGGTCATGGATGATTTGTTTAACAACACCACGGATGTAACCATGACGTTCAGCATAATCCAAGGTTCTTAACTTGGCAGCACCTTTTCTCAATCTGGTGTGGGATGTGAAAATAGAACCAGCACCTTTTCTTTGGTTACGAATAACTCTACCTAAACGAAAAAAAAAATTATTAGTTAGTATTCAAAATTACATGCTTTTAATAATCCTAATGAAATACAGTTTTTCATCATTCAATATATTGATCATGTAAGTCCAATGATCATTTTTCAATTACATATTCTTGAAATCTCATCTTATTCATCTCGACTCCACTTTAATATTCTTCGATAATAAAAAATTTTTATTACATTTTCAACTTTCAAACCAATCATTCTCAAATATTCAATTAGATCATTCTTGACAAATCTCTCTTGATTTTAATTAAATAACTATCTCTGTATATCATTCCTTATTGGTAGTTTCATCACATACCCATTGTTTAGTGATATTGGTTTTAGTACAAAGTATATGAAAAATATTTCTAACAAATTTTTTCAAAAAGTTTTTTTTTCTTTACCGTGATGGTGAAAGTGAAAGTGAGAGTAGGAGAGAGTGTGTGTGTGTGTGGGTGAGAGTGCGAGTGTGTCTGTGCGCACAGTATAGGGCGACGCTAATGCTTGGTGAGAGTTAGTCTCACTACAATGGGCACAAACGAAAAAATCCCTAACAAAAAATTAAAATTACTATGGTAGTGCGCAGCGTATAGTTAAAATATTGAATTATGTGCAGGAGAAAATTGAAAATGAAAATGGTGGTTATAGCCCTAATTTGCCAGTATTTGCACGTGATAGTATTAGAGGCAAATATGAAAAACAATATCGAAGTTGCAACTAACAACATGATACACATAGTTAAAGTATACAGCTGGTAATCAAATGAGGCAAGACGTATTCTACTAATTTAGGAGGACCACCGGTAGTTATTGGTTGTTTGGAATAACCAGTTAGGCGTTTAGAGATGGAGTAAAATGTAATGGTTAACCTCCAGTAGCTGGCTCTAGGTTATATTTTAATGGTTATATGATGTTTGTAAGTATTGAGATTGACAGTTTGTAATTTTGACCTAAAATGTTTCTTTGGTATTTCTTTAGTACAAATTTTATACAAAATTTGTATAAAAATAGGCCAAAAACTTAACAAAGTGAAACAGCTCAATACAAACATACAGATATAATTAGATTACAAAAGTGCTAAAATGAATGCACTTGTAATTTAACAAGCATCTGATTTCTGTAATAAAACATCATATTCGATGTTGTGAAGAATGCCAGACTCATAAATGATTTGTTTTGCAACCTTTTAATACACAGATAATTATAGAGAGTTACCTGATAACAGCAACGTCATATACTAATTAACCTACGTAGAACATCTAGGTACAGCTCAACCATGGTGTTATCTATACCATTTAACAGACATATCTATGACAATACCCATGTTGTCTTTATCACTACTAACATGGGTGCGTGTACAATTGTAGAGTTTTGTGTCTAGAATCCTGGTACTGTGGGAACAAAAAAAAAATCCAACCCGGGGTTTAAAGAAATCTCGATGAGCAAAAACATCGAATCAATAACAACTGAAATTAATCAAACTAAACTATATCATATAATGATACCCAGAAGATGTATTCACTATAACGATAGTCTACATTTGTTTCACAACATAAGGAAATTTTATCAATTTGCTCCACTATATAAAAGATCACATCTAGAAGAAAATGAAGTAGCATCAACACCTTCCAAGAACAAGCATAGTCAATTTAAAAATAAACTGAAATATGATCTGTCAAGCAGTAAGAAAAAATCAGTGATTACTACGGAAAATGTTGAAAAAGTTTCTAAATTCATTGAATTTCAAAAACAAATGGGTTCTACTGCACAAGAAGAACCAAAGAGATCCAAATCTTCATCAAATGATGAACAGAAATCCCCAGATGTTGTATTACAAAGATTGGACAATTTAATGGATGCAAAAAGTCCTAAACCTAGTCGTCGAAATAGGAAACATGGAATAAAAAGACCAGAACATGAATCTAATTTGACTAAATACCATACAACTAGTGAAAAAATATTAGAAAATGAAATTAAACAAAGTATACCACCAAATAAAAATGATATTCCAAAATTAGCACATAATTTAGATCGAGTATTATTTTCACCCGGTGTTCATTTTTTACAAGATCCAAGAACTAGAATTTATAATTTTTCACCATTTTTGAAAAAAGTTATAAGTTATAAAGATTTTAATTTTGATGCTATTGAAGGTTTTACACCAGCTTCAAAACATGCTGATTTATTAATGAATGCACAAAAATTTAAAAAACAATTCTATTCAAGTACTTCTGCCATGACTCCTATTTTGTCTAAATTTTATGCATTATTGAATGATTATAAACCTTTAAATGTTAATAGATTTGGTAATATCCCATTCAATGGTCTTAGTTATTATTTACCTGCAAGTTTGGTAATTCAACCACAAGGGGAATATTATGATAATGAAACCAAGAGTCAAAAACCAGTTTATTCTATCCTGTCAGATAAATCATGTGATTCAGAGATTATATTAAGTGCAATGGGTCATTGTTTAGAAGTATTGTTGACGAATCCCGAAGATGAATTTGTTAAATATCGTAAAGATTCCACAGGAGAGAATCCACAAGTTGCACCAAGTACATATAATTATGCATCATATGGTGATTTCTTGATGAGATCACAATTGGATTGTTATGATGAACGATTACCAGGAAATGGAACATTTGATTTGAAAACAAGAGCCACGACAAATATTAGATATAGTTCTAAAGATGCATCTAAAGTTAATAATGACTATCAAATTTGGAAATTAACTGGAGATTATGAATCATTTGAAAAAGAATTTAAAGATTTGATAAGAACTGGAGCTATGTTGAAATATTTATTTCAAGCTAGAATTGGACAAATGGATGGTATTTTTATTGCTTATCATAATATTAATTCTATATTTGGATTCCAATATTTACCTCTTGAAGAATTAGATAAATTGTATTACAAGGGAGCAGAAGAACCGACTATTATTCATACGAATGTTGATGAAATAGACGAAAGTCAGTTGATTGACAATTTACCTACTATGATTGGTGAAACACAATTTAAATTTTCTATGGAGATTTGGCAAACATTATTGAAGGATCATATATTGAAAGATTTGAATGCTGAGTTTGATAATAAACCAACACCATTTAGATTAATTGTGGAAGCTTCAAAGAGTTTCAAACGTCAAGTTGAATTAACCGTGTATGCTGTTCCAATAACAACAGAAGAGATTGAAACATTACAAGGGTTTTCTGATCGTTTTCCAAGTGATTTCAAACTGGAAATGCCACAGGAACAGAGACTCAAGAATCTTGCTAGACATGCCGAAGAATTGGAACAGTTTAATGAAAAACTTATCAATAACAAGAATGTATTGAGTTACAAAGTGACTGTACAATCCAGTACAATTGATGACAGATATTACGTGTACAGTTCATTACCAAGCAGTAAATTCAATGACTGGAGAATTAAATATAATGTTACCAAATTGGTCAAACCAAACAATGAACAATTACTCAAACTGCTTCAAATGGGGGTTAATTCACTATCACATGGGTTGGATGAAAAAGATGTTAAAGTTTCAACATTTGCCCGTTCATTAAACAAATCTCATTCAATGTATGAAAAAATTGGGTCTATTCGTAAGAAATCTTGGGAAGCTAAGGAGAAAACCCCTGTTGTATACCATCCAAAGTATAAGTTTTAAAAAAAAATATGTAAATAGATATTGACAGTATATAGAAAGGACCGATATTGAAATACACTCGGCTCGGTTGTAATATAGAATTACACAATAAAGTCTATTGAAATATGTCTGGTTACGTAGGACAATGAATCAACGTATGCAACCGAAAAAAATAAAATAAAAGACAATTGTTTGATTGATTTGTTAAGGCAGTGGCAACAAAAGAAAAAAAATCTTTGCAACACTTTAGCAGCAGCGAAGTTGGTGTCACAATAAAGAGAATAAGAATAAGAATATGAATATGAATAAGAATAGCTTTTTGATTTATGCACACTCTTAGATTTTTATTTTTTTTTTCAATGTTGAACAAAATCACACACTTTCACACACAAAAAAAATTTATCATAGGCCGGTGGGTTAGTAATTAGTCTCCCTCTCCACTCCCCCTCTTTTAATTTTCTACCACGGCCTGGTGGTGGGGGAGAATAATAAAATTCGTACGGAAGAGGAGAACCTTGGAGGAGGGAGGGAAGGGGGTTACAAGGGGGGGGGGGAGAGAGAGAGAGAGAGGAGTGTCAAGACTCTCCGCTTTCCCATATCAACAGTTCAATGCTAGATCTAATTATGACTCAAATTATTCTCAATGAGTCAACTTTATTACCCAGTTCCGTTGATCCTGTAGTCTTTGATAACGACGCATTCGACGGAGTTTTTTTTTTAGTTGAAGTCCCATGAGACCGAAGTTGATTATTTTTCTCTTCAAGGGACTAATTAGATCCGCTGAAGATTTTAGATTCTTAATAGTGACAATGGGGGAAGGGAGAGAAAGAGAAAGGGATGATAAAGATTACCTAATATTTGTAATGTAGTATTACAACATTAATCACACAAACTTCGACCGAGAGAGGAAAATGCTTACATAATCCTCAACCGAAGAGAAAAATTTTTCTCTTTTTTCTTTTCAACAGTAAGGAAAACGAACCACGTTGAGTTCTGTCGAATTCTCGTTGCTTCTCTCGCTCCGTCTGTCCTCTTGCGACCGGGCGATTTGTAATTTTTTTTTTTTTTTTTTGGCTAATGATTTCGCTGATAACGCATGCGCGCTCACACGGATTGGTTCTCTTCTGATTTTTTACATGTTTTCCTAATTAGGTAAAGAGATTCGGATTATTTTTTTCCTTTTTTTGTTTTTGAATTGGAACATGAGACACATCACACTTCCACACTGAAAAAAAATCTAAAACCAGAGTTAGAAAAGAAAAAGAAACGATGGTGGTGATGAAACAAATTAAAGTCGACGTCTTTGCTTTTTATTTATCATTTTCATAGCCAACGGTCACAATCGACTCAGAGAAAACAAAGGAAAATAAGTTTAATGTAAGTGTTATAAATAATAAAAAAAGTAGCCACGTCGTGGGCTGGGTTTCAAATGAGAATCGTCATTATTAAACTCAACACGGGCAGCATTAAACAAAAAAAAAATGGGAAGATCCTCTCTCTTCACATTACATTCTATCCCTTTCAGTCGCCACCTCGTATCTTCGGAACAACTCTGGTCGTGTCGATGTGTACAATCACCTATGGTTTTACAAGTTACGTCTTCCCCTCCTTCACCATTGGTGTAACCTGTAAAAAAAGAAACGAAGCAACAGCAGTAGCAGCGGCGTAACCTGTAAAAACCGTGCTTCCGTTGGTGCACCTGGTGACAGAGACAGCGGATGAGCAAAAAAAAGGAAAAAGAAACAAGGGAACAAAAAAAAAAAAAAAAAATTCACAATGACACCGTTCGTGCTGCTGCTGCTGCTGCTGCCATTGCTGCTACCGCCATTACAGATTAATTTTTCTAAATTGTCTCCCCTATATAATAAAAACCAAATAACCTAAAAATTTTTTTGATCACCATCATTTTAATTTCTATCTCTTTTAAATCATCATCATCAAGTTATCAACGATAGATTATATATATATTATATATTATTCAACCATCAAGAGTAGTTTGAATCTTTAATAGACTTAAACCACACAACAACAAAAACAACAGAGTATGAACAATAATCCCAAAGTGACATTTGAATTCTTTGACAGTCATAATAATTCGATGCAACAACCACAACGAAATAAGCAATTACCACCAATCTCAACCGACTACGAATATTCTTCTAGTCCAAATAGCCCCAACCCAATGGGCTTGAGATTTATAAACTCATCATCTTCATTAAATTCTTTATTTGATAATGCTCCTCCTTATATTAGATCAACTTCTACTGCAACAATCACTCCAGTATTATCAAGAAATGACTCAAATTTATTTAAAAATAACTATAGTTTAACCCAACAATTTCATCCAACTATTCAAGAATTAGATTTCACTAAAACTATCGATTCCAAATTATTAAAACATTCTCAAGAACAACAAAAGCAACAACAAAAATTAATCGTTGTCTTGGTTGGTTTACCAGCCAGTGGTAAATCTACTGTTTGTAAACAATTAGAAACTTTTATCAACACTACTACTCCATTTAGTTCAAACATTTATAACGCTGGTGATGTTAGAAGAAGAAAATCATGCAGCGAATTTAATGATGCTAAATTTTTTGATCCAAATAATGAACAAGGTAAAAAAGATCGTGAATTATATGCAACTATCACCGTTAATAATTTAATTAATGATTTAAATTCAAATTTATTTGATGTTGGATTTTTAGATGCAACTAATACAACTATTGAAAGAAGAAATAGAATGATTAATAAATTACATGAAAGTATTCCACAAGGTAGAATTATTATATTGGATGTTCAATGTAATGATGATAAATTATTAAATTATAACATTAGTTGCAAATCAAATAATAATGATTACAAAGATAAGGATTATAGTATGGCCATTCGTGATTTCAAAGCAAGATCCATGAATTATAAAAAAGCTTATCAACCAATTACTAGTGTTGAATTGGAAAATTATGGTGATAAAATTGATATGTATGTTAAATGTGTCAATGCTGGTGAAACCTTTGATTTTAGTAACGTTAAACAACGTTTTATTGATGACGAACATAAGGATCAATATCCTTGGTATGACATATTATCTAATTTTAAAGATAATTATTACGAATTAGAAGGTAAAAAGTATTTGGAACAGGTTAACAATTGGTACAATTTGGATTAGGTTTAGGGTTTTTTTTTTATTTTTATTTTATTTATATTATTATTTGGGTTTATTTTAGTTTTTTTTTAATGTTTGATTGTACATATATATATATAGAAGGTTTATAGATAGTGGTGTTTTTTTTTTTTATAATACATCACATAATGATAGATATAATACATCGGAAATTTAGTTTATGGTTTTAATTATCACTTTTATCGTACATTTTAATAATTACTACCTCTTAAACCAGGAATTACACGTGAAGATCCTCCAAGTCCAGGAACTGAAGAACCACCACCCATACGTCCACCAATCCTACTTGAGTTTGCTCCACCACCATTATTATTATTATTACTATTATTATTATTAGTTGTAGTTGTAGTATTGTTTGTGACTACATTCTTTGGATCTTCCATGACAGCATTAACATTATTATTAACAGTATAATACCAAGCACCGGTTTTATCATCAGTATAAACAGCATCTTTCCAAGCCATTGAATCATTTGGTCTTGCACGAGACCAAAATCTTGCTGTTTTATCAGAACCCGCAGTACATAATAAATGACCCATTGGATGATATTCTAAAGCATGAATAGCCTTTTCATGAGCATATGGGATTTTTTGAATTGCATCAATTGAATTTGCTGTGGTTGCTGAATTGGAAATAGCCAGACTTGTGCTTCTTTTAGGAATAGATTCATTTGAATCAGGAATATAAGAATCCAATAAGAAATTACTTATTGAACCATTATAAGCAGCAGTAGTAACCATTGAAGCATGGATTGGATGCCATGCAACACAAGATAAATCAGTTTCCGAATCTCTAATAACCAACATATCTTTCATTGTTCTAATATCAAATATTCTACAACTTCTATCTCTTGAAACAGAAGCCAATAATCTTGCGGTACCATTTGGTTGAAATCTAGTTTTATTAACAGTATGTTTAAATCCATGTAATGTAGAAATACAAGTGGATTGTCTTGGATCCCATAATTTAATTAAATTATCTTTTGATCCACTAACAATTAATCCTAAATCAGGATGCCAATCACAACTTTTAACTTCCCAATTATGGCCTTTTAATATTCTTTCTTCTTTACCATTATTAAAATTCCAAATTTTTAGAATCGAATCATCACCACAAGTTAAAAATTTCAGATCATTTGGAGAAAATGCAATATCTCTAATTCCATTAGCATGAGCATTTATATTATTAACATTATTAAAATTTGGTTGCCAATATTTAATAACACCATTTTGATCTCCACTTAATAACCATTCATCATGATTACTATATTTCATAGATAAAATAGCACTTTCATGAGCTTGCATAATAGTTTCAAAATTAAATGTCATACCATTCCATAATGTTAATTCACCAGAATGAGAAGCAACAACTAATCTTCTACCTTCAGGTGTCCATTTAACTGTATTTATAGTATGCTTAACTTTATTTGAAGATAAATGAACAAATTTAGATTGAATATCCATTATAGCTAAATTATTTTTATTATTTCTTCTATTTAAATTATTACTTGATCCATAAGCCATTGAAGGTAATAAATCAATTAAATATGATGATTCAGGTCGTATTTTACCAATTGATTGTTGATTAGAATTAATATTTAATCCTAATGATTTTTCAATAAACCATCGTCCCATATTATTCCCATGATCTGTTATTCTTCTAAATGCTTGTTTCTTGTCTTGACTTGCCAATTGTTGTTCAAGATTTTGTTGATAAGCTAAATATTTCTCTTGTTGTTTAGGATCTCGTGGTTTGTTTATACGTCCATTAGATGTATGATGATGACGGTTATTGTTGTTATTCCCATGATTATTATTTCTTCTATACATGATTGCCTTGTGCTATCTAAATAAATATTGCCAGTTATAAGCAATCAAACAAACAAACAAGTTTTAAAGAAAATTTTTCTGTTGTCACTTTAAAGTTGGTGATAGATACAGCACGTGAACAAAAGCACGTGGAAATGTACCAAAAAAATTAAAAATTTTTAAATGGTGTCTGATTGTCACACGTGCGTCAGAGAATGGCCTATCATAATATATAGTAATTTAATATTCCCGCTGTTTGTATTGGTTGCGTGTGTGTGTGAGAGGGGGGAGGGGGGATTTTCTACAGGATCCACAGTTTATTCTAATGACAATTACAACAATGTTTCTGATAGAGTCACATTTTTTGAAGCAATTTTTTTTTCTTAATTGACGCACGACCACCTCCTCCAAACATGTGGCTATATATGTATAATAATTAAAGATCAAAAAAAAAAAAAAAAACTAGTGAAAAATATCAACTCCTCATTTGAATATTCCTTGTTTAAGACAACCAATACTTTATCACTAACTATTCATTATTTTATTTAAATCATGGTTGAATTTTATTTTCATGATGGGAAAGATACTCCTGATAATTTTACTGAAGCTCATAATTCTGGAGAATCAGTTAGTTTTTCACAACTTGAAGAAATTGGAGTTATTTATAAATATATTACTAGTCAAGAAGAATTAGATGAATTAGCTAAAGAAAGAGAATATAAAAATAGAGATCAAGTTAAATTAAATTTAGAATCATTTGGAAATGATATTGAAGCTTATAATTCAAAAATGAAACAATTTTATAAAGAACATTATCATGAAGATGAAGAAATTAGATATATTATTGAAGGTGAAGGATATTTTGATGTTAGAGATAAACAAGATCGTTGGATAAGAGCAAAATTAAGTAAATTTGATTTATTAATTTTACCTGCTGGTATTTATCATAGATTTACGTTAACTAATGATTTAAAAAATGTTACTGCTGTTAGATTATTTAAAGATGAACCTAAATGGGAAGCCATCAATAGAGATTCCGGTAAAAATTCATTTGCTCGTCAACAATATGCTAAAAGTATTTCTGTATAAATCGTAAAGTATGTATTTATCTCTCTTATTTCCCTCCTATAGTTATATATAGTTATATATATATTAACCCTTGACGATTTTAATTTTATTATTAGTTATCCAACTTTCTAATTTCTTTCTACTTTCAATCAATTCTTTATCTAATTTTTCACGTTCTGTTTTTAATTGATTAATTTCACCAGCCAAGATTTTAATAACTTCATCAATTGATTTTTCAACTAATACTCCACCTATCATTTTAAAACATTTACGATTAGTTCTATTTTCTGGTGGAATTGAAGTTAATGATTGTTCAACTATAAGATGTTCTTGTAATTGTGAAGTAATTGTACCTAATTGTGATTCCAATTCTGTTATTATTTCTTGTGATCTGTTATATTCTTGTTGTAAGATTTGGGATTTCTTTTCATCTGATATAGTATCTGACATCGTGGTAGTAGTAATAGTAGTCGTTGTTGTAATTGTTGCTGCTGTTGCTGCTGTTTGTATGGATCTGAAAAGTCTTTTGATGTTTGTCTATAGATTTTTCCAGTAGAATTTTTTTTTTTTTTTTTTTTTCATTCCCACACGAAGATTTTTTCCTTGGTCAGTTTTGTTTGCTGAAATATCAACGAGTAATCATCTACAGACCATCATTATTTCATATTATTATTATTAATAATTTAAACAATACAATCTATTTATTTCGACCTATTTATTCTTCTTCATCTTCACCAGTGGTTGGAATTTTGTCCAAATTCTTCAATAATTCAGTCAATTTCTTAGCACCAAGTTCAAAGAATTCTTTTTGAGCAAGAATCATAACTTTCAATAAATCAATATTTTTAGAAGGTTTTAAAAGTTTCTTCATTTCTAAAACAGCAACTTCAGTAGCACTTACAAATTCATCTTCTTTACTAATCAAATCTTCATTTTCTGGATCAGATTTTTCATATTTATTTCTTAAAACATCAAATTCACCTCTTGCTGAATAAACCTTTTTACGTAATTCATTAACTTTAATAAAACTTTCATTTAAAGTTTTAACTAATTCAGAATTTAATCCAGCCATGATTTGTTTGTCTTGATCTAATCTAGCAACGGCAATTTCTTGATAAGCAGAAGAAACTTGCAACAAAGCAAAAGATAATGGGTTTTCAGAACTTTTCAATTCTTCACTATTTTTCAAACAAACATCAGCTAAATGTCCATATAAAGTCTTTGGCAATTGTGGAGAAGTTGGTTGAATTTTAACAGTATCATCGTCTTCTTCTTCTTCTTCTTCAACTTGTTGACCATCTTTAGTATCTTGACCTAATAAAACTTTTTCCAATTCTTGAGGAGATGAAACATTTTTTAATTGATTGAATTTTTGACCAATTAATCCACCAACATTAGCACCTTTAATTCTATTTATAGCATAATTACCTGGAGGATAATCATAACTGATTTTACCATAAGTATCATTAGTTGATTGAATCAAATCAGTATATAATTTCAATAATAAATCACAATTAGCTTCTAATTGTAAATAATCTTGAGGTAATTCACTAATTTCAATATCGGAGTTAACATTATTATTAGCCAATTGTTCTAAATGTTTGAGTTGTTCAGTAATCAATTGAGAAGTTTTCGAGGTGTATGGTTGAATAGATTTACTTAATTGGTCACCGGTTTTAGTGAATGATTCTTTGACTTGATCAACACTTGGTAAAGATTCTTGAATAGATTTGAAATCAAAAGAAGGAAATTTAAATGACATTATTTGCTTTGTTTGTAGTAGAAGATAACACTATCAAAAAGAACAGGTGAGTCTCTTTTGGAGGAAGAATAATTTTTTTTTTATTTTTTGTTTTTCTCTCCTTTGGGAATCGTGGTGGGAACACGCATGAGTATGTGTACGTTGGCCAAATTGACTGTGAGAAATGATAATAATAGTCTTTTCTTCCAATTTTATATTACGAGTTGTTTCATGGTGATAAAGAAAAGCCATGAAGGGAGAGTTTTGTAATATTGGCTTATGTAATCCAAACGTATTAATGCTGTAAAAAAATTGATAAGTTGTAATCACTTCAAATCATTCATACGAGGCAGAATTTCACGACATTGCCCTTTAGATGTCGTGCGATTCCATCGAGACTTTTTTTATTGTCATAATCATCATCATCATCATCATCATCAAGAGGAACATGAAAATTCTATGTAATAACTACATTGACTGAACAGCAATGACGGACACGAACACACCGTATTATAAAAAACAAGCATCATATCAAGATAAACGATACACACAAAACAAGGGGAATTTAATAGAACCAATCATACGACATCGAATTCAAGATTCAATATTTTATAAACAACATTTATACCTAACCAATGAATCAACCATATTACCAGTTATAATTGATCATGTTAAATATATAAGTGGGACCGATTCATCTAATAGACCAAGTAATTTCATATGTTGTTTATTTAGATTGTTAGAATTAGAACCAACTAAAGAAATAATCAATGTATATTTAACACAATTAAATTTTAATGAATTTAAATATCTTACAGCATTAACATTGATTTATATTAGATTAGTTTTTAAAAATGAAGATATTTATACAATATTTGATTCATATTTTAAAGATTTTAGAAAAATTAGAATGAAATTGAAAAATCCAATATTTGATCTGAATCAAATACCTAAAAATTATAAAATTTCTTATATTGATGAATGGGTAGATGATTTATTAACTAAAGATAGAGTTATTGATTTGATATTACCTAGACTTGTACCGCGATTAACTTTAGTTCAACGTGGATTAATTGGTCCGAGAAAGTATTATGTTGAAGAAGAGAAGGAAGAGAATAGTGTGGATGATGAAAGTGATTACATAAGTGATAGTGATTGATCCCCATAGGTATAGTGTAGATATATATAGACCAACAAGATTTGATATTATTGAAACACTTGTTTGACAAAAACGCGGGGGGGGGGGATGTAGACCCACACGTGAACAAAACAATTTGTGATACTTAATATATTAACAGACTAGCTTCACGTGAAGACTTGTTATAATTCGACTCATTGATAGACCAACTACAACGCGTTGCAACCAATTGAACCCTGAATTCTGATATCATTCTCTCTCCTTTTTTTCTTCTTGATTCTGTTTCATCTGTTTGAAATTTCAAGAGCAAACAACCAACCAACCAACAAAAAAAAAATAAATCGTTCACCACGAAAAAAAAAAACAATGACGTAAGGCTCAATCTTGTTCATATCCAAATCATTTACTTTACCTATCTATAATGGCGATAACTAACCTACTTGAGTCACAAGATGCTCATTCAGAAGCAAGTATGCATATGATATCAAAAACCAAAATCATATTTATAATCATATTATTTATAATTTCATTAGCACTGTTTGTATTTCAAACTGAATTTACTTCACAGGCTTATAAATTGAAATTTCTGGAACCTGTTGTATTATTAGTTGTTACTCATGGTTCATGGTGGTTATTATGGCCATTACAAATTATATTTGTATCATTATGGAGGACTTTTAATAAAATGAAAAATTCAAATAAAAAAACTACTGTTATCAGTTCTGGATCAGGAATACAATATCAACGATTCAACTCAACGTCGGGATTATTAGGCAATGATGATTCAGAACAACAACAACAACAACAACAACAACAACAACAACAGATACAAGTGCCATTAGAACATACTGATTATTATAATTATTTCAAGAAATGTATAGTTAAACAATTTCATAATGTTTATCATACTTCTATATTGATATATCAATCTAATGTTAAAGGAGATCGATCTACTACTCATTTGAATCTGATTATTGATGAAAGTCCACATATTTCGAGTTCAAGTTCTATTACAGATTGTATTAAAACATTCATTGCTACACCTTCTATTAGATATGTATTAATAAAAGCATTGATTATTACATTAGTCTTAACTGTTGCTGGATTTACATGGTATGGTGCCATGTCTATGACTTATGCTGCTGATGTAACTGCTATTTATAATTGTTCTGCATTTACTGCTTATGCGTTTGCTATTCCATTGTTGAATGAAAAATTTTCATGGTTAAAAGCTAGCTCTGTTATTATAGCCATTAGTGGAGTTTTTATTGTTGCATATTCTGGTGCTGATGATAATAATAACAACAAAACTGAGAAAGAAGATAATCCATATCCGTATAGATTTTGGGGGAATTTGATTATTTTAATTGGTGCTATTCTTTATGGATATTATGAAGTGTTGTATAAGAAATATCTTTGTATTCCAGAACATTTAACAAAGATTATAACCCCAAGACGTCAACTGACATTTGCTAATTTTGTTATGGGATTTTTTGGATTTTTCACATTTAGTATACTTTTAATTGGGATAGTATTAGTTGAAATATTTCATATTCATCATTTTAATTTATTTAATTATGGAGAGAATACTAGAATCATCTGGTTATATATATCCGGATCAATTGTTAGTAATTTATTATTCAGTGCATCATTTTTATCATTAATGGCATTGACAAGTCCAGTATTGTCATCGGTTAGTTCGTTGTTGACTATATTCTTGATTGGATTGGTTGAATGGTGGATATTTGGTAATAAATTGGGTTTCCAACAATTATTAGGTGATTTCTTGGTTATTATTGGATTTGTTATGTTGACTATTGCATCATGGAATGAAATCAGTGAAGGGCAAGAAGATGATGAAGTTGAAGCTGTAAGTACCTATTCATTTGCATTAAGTACAGAAGACAATCGTTAACAGGGACAATAAGTGAGAGAGAGAGGGAGGGAGAGGAAAAAATGTAATATAGAGAATAGTATATTTGTAGTTTGTAATTTAAACTCGACTAGAAGGGAATATAATATAAAACAATAAAAATATGAGACATCACCAGCGAGATTGTCACACAGGAGCTGAATAAATCACCTTACATGCACACGAGGATGAAACTCATCTGAGTTTAATTACACATACAGATATAGTGGGAACCCGTGGGTCATTAATATTATTGTTATCGACTTGCTGAACCTTAAACGTGTAACAGTATCTATATTTGGTAACTACCCACGAGACTGTAAATTCAATTGTCAAGAAAGATTAAGTTTGTAGTGATGTAACACAAAACACAGTCGTGCGAAAATTAAAAGAAATCGTGCATCTGTTAAATGCAGATAGATTTAATTTATACATGGAATGATTACTTAATCAAAATTAAAGTAGATACAGAAAAGAACAGAAGTGACAACGTGGGCCTCTCTCTCTCTCTTTGTTTCATTCAATGCCCCCTTTGTTTCATAAGACATTGCTTATTTCTTTTTGACTATATATATAAATTTTATTTTTATCTCTGCCTGGAGGTGGAGATGGTGGATAAGTGAACAGATGGGGAGTAAACATTATCATCATCACAGTAAATCGGTTTACTCACAGATGTTCTTAATTAGGTAAGCCGTCTCGTTCTCGTTCTTGATTAAATTGGAGTTTGTTTGATGAAGAGGCTGAATAGGATAACTGACTGATTATTCCAGCGATAAGTTTTTCTTTTTGTCTTGTGAGATGATTGTACATAGACATAAATTACACTACACACAAAACAATGAAAACACAATGGAAATGTATTTCATTATCAAGAAAAAAAAAAAGAAAAAGAAAAAAAAAAGATTACTGGTATGGCAATGGCAAGAAGAATTTCTTGGTACCAATTTTTTTTTTCCTTGAAGAAGAACAAGATGGCGATGATGATGATGATGATGATGATTCTGGTTAGCCCTCGTGTGCACTCAAGAAAATTTTCTTTTAAGAATGTAGCTTGTAGAAGAACAACTGTAAAGAACTCAACTAACTTCATTTGCCATTAATGTTAAATGAAAAAAAAAAAATCTAGGCATGTAATTGAAACCGAAACAAGAAATACATCGTCCAAACTTAGTTGTAGGAACAAACTATAGTAAGTTTAATGATTCGATATCAATGGTATATTGAGCTCAATTGATACGGCGTCAATTTACTGCTTGCCCTCGTGTTCTACTAATACAAAACTACCAACAACAACAAAAAAAATTAAGGGTTATGTAAGTATCAATTTACCATTAAACAAAGAAGGAAATTTAAAAGATTTGTCATAACGGGAGAGCACGTTGTCAGTCGTGTGTAGAAGGAACATAAACTCATTTACTATTGCGACAGAAATCTGGTATTCCTCTGTTTGTGAGTCAAGGGAGAAAAGGAAGCGAAAAGGAAAAAGAAACAGTTGAGGAACACGTGGGGATCTAATTTGGTTACGATGCGTTCCACAAAATAAACACCATACTAACGGTGAGACTTGGGTTGAATTAGTGAGAAAAAGTTTGAACCTTTTTTTGAAAAAAAAGAAAAATGACTCTCGCCTGTAGAATTGGGTGCAAAAAATGTAAGACATTAGATTTTGAATTAGCACTATTGGTTTATATAACCTAGTTCAACAATAGTTAGAGTCTTTTGACATACCAAGAACAATCTTACCCGTTGCAACCGATATTTACCAAGAAAAAAATAAATTATAACATTAGTAACTGATGTTGTAGAAGAAGAAATCATACTGATGGAACAACAAGGGACTTTCCACCGCCAGTTTGTTAGCATTTTTCGCCCTGTGAACCAAGAGAAGAAGGAAGGAAAAAAAGAAAAAATTTCTTGGAATTAATGAAACGTAGTAATTAGCCCTTAATGAATGTTAAGAAAATGTTATTCTTGTCAAAGAAACAATACAATTGACCCTGAAAAGAGATCCTTGTTTATGCTGGAATTTTCTTGGGTGATTTTTTTTTTTGCCAAACACAGTTGTCCCCCGACTGTACATTGAAACTTTCTTTTTCTGTTTTTCACCAGTGTATGGATGCTAGAACGGATATTGTGAAAAATGGGTTGATTTCATCACTAGAGTCAGACTTGCTTAATAATGTATGTAATATAATTATGAGCACCTACGTATATAGACGGTGAGAGAAGTTTACAATATATGAGCAACATATACAGTATCCAAACCATGTTGTCTTATATCTCAACAGAAATCTGAACAACATGGTAAGTCATTATTTGTAAGATACTCCACTAGAGAGGAGTAGTCCTTTATCAATCAATCGTAGTTGGTATCAGTAAAATTTTTCTTAGCTTTAAAGTACGTGGGGACCGATTGATCCCCCAGACCTCATGAGTATAATTCATTCTATACTCCACCCTCGTGGCATCAATAAAAAGTAATAAATTGGTAATAAAACAAAAAAAGAAATCTAAATTAATAGGACTTGTGTAATACGGCAATGAATTGAAATTTTGAACCCAGTGTCATGATTATTTAATTAATTTATTAAGCGCACATGGTCTCTCTCTCTCTCTCTCTCTCTTTTGATTCACGCTCACACGCCCTAGGTCGCAGAACAGTTGCACGGATTTCTACGCCCACGGGATTTTTCTTTCCCATTACTATGGTTAGTTGCAATCCGGACTACTGTCTTCACTATTAATTTTGTTTTTGCAGCCTTCTCATGGGTGCTAATGTCATTTCAGTAAAACCCAAATCAACTGGTATGTCCATCAATTACCCACCCATAATTTGCTTTGGGCCCAATACAGCCAATTTCGCAGAAAAGATTCAAACTTATTTGACAGAGCAAATATTTTATACTCAAACTTGGGTTTCTGTCTTTGTGTAATTTTGAGTTCGCCTTGCATGCTCTGAACAATTTCACAAACCATGCACCACAAAACCCGTCATGTCGCACAAAGTCGGGGGTATTCATTTAGTGCAAACTTTGGTAAATTATCTTCCTCCTTCACTGGGTTTTCTTTTTAATTTTTGTAAGTCCTACAACAATCACAGAACTCACTGTGTCTTGGAACCTATTCCACTGGGCATAATTCCCAGAAAATTATATAAATAATCCGTCAGATCTCCCATATTTTTCCAAATTTTTCCAATTCCATTCTTCTTCTTTACCTTTTTCTATCTTCCCTATATTCATCAGATACCTCTGCGTTTCTTTGCTACAACCACCACAACTACAACTACAATTACAACGCAAATCAACGCTATGACTGCTGAAATCGAAGCACACGAAGTGTCCCACAGCGGGGGTAAAACCGCTTTCAAAGATTACTTGGGTAAATTCGCCGATGTCGAAGACCCGTTGGAAAGAAGACGTTTGGCCTTGGAGGAAATCGACAAAGCCGGCTTTGGCTGGACCCAGATCAAGATGATTATGATTGCTGGTGTTGGTTTCATGACTGATTCCTATGATATTTTCGCCATTAACTTGTCCATCAACATGTTGCAGTATGTCTACTGGAATGGGACCATTCCGGACTCCACCACCACCTTGATTAAAGTCTCCACCTCCGTTGGTACCGTTATTGGACAAGTTGGTTTTGGTACCTTTGCCGACAAGGTTGGGCGTAAGAAGATCTATGGTTTGGAGTTGATTGTGATGATTTTTGCTACCGTTTTCCAGTGTACCCTTGGTGAGTCTCCTGCTGTCAGTTTTGTTGCCATTTTCTCCACCATGAGAATCTTGATGGGTATTGGTATTGGTGGTGACTACCCGTTGTCCTCAATCATTTCTGCTGAGTTTTCCACCACCAAGTGGAGAGGTGCCATCATGGCCGCTGTTTTCTCCAATCAAGGTTTGGGCCAAGTCTTTGCCGGTATTGTTGCCATGATCTGTGTTGCTGGCTACAAGGACGACTTGATCATTGCTGAGAAGGGTTCCGAATGTGTTGGCAGATGTCGTAGAGCTGCCGATCAAATGTGGAGAATCATTATTGGTTTCGGCTGTGTTCCTGGTGTGATTGCTTTGTACTACAGATTGACCATTGCTGAGTCCCCAAGATACTCCCTTGATGTCAACGAAATTGAAGGTCTTGAAAAGGTTGCTGATGCCGAAGCTGCTCTTGATGTGCATGCGCAAGAGATTGCCCCACCAAAGGCTTCATTCAAGGACTTTGTCCACCACTTTGGTCAATGGAGATACGGTAAGATATTGTTGGGTACTGCTGGTTCCTGGTTCATGTTGGATGTTGCCTACTACGGTTTGGGGTTGAACACCACCACCATCTTGCAAACCATTGGTTACGCTGGTCAAAGCAATGTCTATGAGAAATTGTACAACTCTGCTGCTGGTAACTTGATTTTGGTCTGTGCTGGTTCCTTGCCAGGTTACTGGTTCACCGTTGCCACTGTTGACACTGTTGGTAGAAAGCCGATCCAATTGGGTGGTTTCATCATCTTGACTGTTTTGTTGTGTATCATGGGTTTTGCCTACCACCAGGTTGGTGACAATGGTTTGTTGGCTTTGTTTGTCCTTGCCCAGTTCTTCCAAAACTTTGGTCCAAACAGTACTACTTTTATTGTTCCAGGTGAGTGTTTCCCAACCAGATACAGATCCACTGCTCATGGTCTCTCTGCTGCTTCTGGTAAAATTGGTGCTATCATTGCTCAGACATGTATTGGTACATTGGTCAATCATGGATGTGACAAGGAGCATAAAAATTGCTTCTTGCCTCATGTCCTTGAGATCTTTGCCCTATTCATGTTGTTGGGTATATTTACAACTTTGCTTATTCCAGAAACAAAGAGAAGAACTTTGGAAGAAATCTCTGAAACTTGTCATGGGGAAGTTGACACTACAAAACTTGGCGCTGATAGATTTCAAAAGGATGAACAGCCTTATGATTCTGAAGAAAAGATTTAGTTCTATATAGTTTGATTTTTTATTTAATATATGTTTATTTTTGCTTATCGATGTTTTTATTGTAGTTTTTTATTCATGTGATGTTAGCAAGCGTGCTGTATATCACGCTGTTACCACACGTGATTAACCAGTGCGTGCAACAAGTGGTATTTCACAATGAACCCATCTCTAACAGTAGCCAAGCAGTTCAAGTGAGTTGCTCTTGCTTACTGGACGGGGGCAGCTAAAGAAAATCCCTGCTCTCCTTATTACTACTTCTCTTCTATACTAATCTTAAGTCGTGCATATGCCACTACAATTAATTAAGGGTGGAATAATTACAAATATATTTGAAGAAGGGTGAAAGAGAGCAAAAGGTCGTGCGTGAATTCCAATTTGCTTTGCAACTTCTGTGACTCTCATACGAAACTACTCTTGTTGTATATGATGTATCTGGAATATATGCAAAAATGATGCAAGTGCCACATTTAAACCGATTATTTAGTATGTTCTGCGATAGTGGACGAGTGTATGATAATTGACGAACCTATATGTTTGATGCATAATAGTTTCAGTATGAGAATTGGATTTGGCATAAGCAAAATCTGGGTCGTGCGCGCTTGATAAAATTTCTGGCAAGAATACATAAGTACTATTCTGGAAGCAACTGCCACTAATTTTTCTTCGACAGCTAACCGCAAGTATGAACTGATTTCCCGTTTCCTTGTGTTAATATCCAACTAAGACTACAATGTGGTTTTGCTTCAACACAGACATACTTACTGTTCAATTATTTGAGAGCCGGTCCTTACCACTACTGTCTAATTTTTTCATTGATTCAGTAGCAACCATGTTTTATTGATAACTATGCCCATGCCTACGTACTGTATTTTAAGTCCCAGTCACAATTGAAATTATATTTTGCATGCATTCTAAGAATCCTCTGAAGATCTGAATTTCCCCCAAATGAGTCCATTTTCATGAGAGGGGAGGGGGGGGGGGGACTGTTGCTGTGACGAATTGTGTTTTCTTCATCCGAACAATTCGGCATATTATTCAAGATTTATTATTTTCCATCTTCCATTCATTGGAGTTGTTCTAATTGGTATAACTGTAAGTTTATTTCTTGATGGTTTGGTGCATGACAGGAACTCCCAGTTGGGGAACTTGCTTACACTATTTCGGTCTTGCATTTGTCCATATCCAGTGTGTGTCGTGTCCAGCATGTATCAAGAACAAGACTTCTCATTATGAGTGAGGCTTTGCCAAATTTTATGTTGCTTAGAAGGATGGCTTCTAGTTGGAATTGTTTGTGGTCCAACATATTTGACCGGTCAACGTTTATTTTAACTCCAGATACACGTGTAATTTACTGTACCAACATCCAATACTGTAAAATATGTTCTATTCTAAGGACAGGAGTCATGCTGTGGATATTGCTATTGTGCTAAACAACATAGAGATAACAACAGTTTGGATTTGAGGCATGTTAACGACAATATGGTGTACCCTACGTTCTGTTGATTATGAGGTGCACTGTCTTTAAATACAAACAATGAATTAGAATTGTTGCTCTGTGGTTTCAAGTGGATAATCAACTTTTCGACTAGTCTAATGATGCCATAGGGCCTGTCGTAAAAAGGTTTCTGGATGGGAGACAGTTGTCCGCAAGTGGGATTGGTTAGTACTAGATCCTCGCTTGACCTGGAAGTGATTCAAGCCAAATAAACCAAAGTCTAAAGTACCATGCAGCAGTGAATACTCCATTAGTAAACTCAATACTACTCTTAATAAAACACAACAAATGATCGTAAAAATAAATAACTTTCTGGTATCAACGTACATTATTTCAATTAGTTTCTTATATTCATTTAAACATAGATTCTATATAATTATAACAAATAAAACTATTCCTACTTTCCTCTTCTACGACTATTTGTATATATGGATAGATAGTTATATAAACCAAACTGATGCAAATCAAACAATTTCATAACCAATAACTTTGCAAACAATAATCAACAAAACTTCCCTATTTGCAGTATATTGCATAAATCAGTATCCGTTACTGTTAAATTCTCTTGTTCGAAATAAAACTAAATGGGGCATATTGACTTGGTGGTTTGTTGCATACACAAATACAAGTCCACTCCGGAATTGCTTGATTTTCGATGCATATGGTAGCACTGAACATGTAAAGTACAACAAAAAATACCTACACAAATACCCCAAAAAGACTCAACTATAAAAGGACAAAAAAACAACGGGTAATGAAAAACTTTTTACAACACTTTCTTTTCCTGTTTGTTTTTGTTTCATCAACAATTAGTATCAACCACTTATATATGATATCAGTTTTAGCAAGTAAGTATCAATTGATGTGTTGTATTCATGGCTGCAAATACTAACTTCAATATAAGGAACCACAACCCATTACCCATAACAAGTTTACAAAGAATCAAAGGTTATGTGTTCCCCATCAGTTGTTGTTTGTGTCACTTGGTTAACACAATTTAAAGAAAGTCACCAACTGATAGCTCCTTTAGTATGACCACAAACATAAGAAGAACCTTCCAAATAAGATAGCAACTTGGGAACACATGTTATCTTGAACCTTACACAGGGGATCAACATATACCAAAAAGGAGCGATGTTGATTAGTGAAGGTTCTTCAAAAGATAGTGACTGGTCATCACTATCTTTAAAAACTACTCGTCGGGATAGGCTAGTTGAATATCCCGATGAGTAGTAGTGGTGGTTTAATACAAACCACACTTGTAGAGGACCAGGTATATGGGGGCGACAATCGACCAGTCCCCTTCCCTCCTGGTTCATCCTCTGTCTATTCCCCCTTGGGCCAGTAGGGGGACGCAATATGGCAACTCAAGAAGAGGGCCATAGTCGGACTGGGTCGGCCCCACACACACACACACACATGTGGGCCCAGTTCGTCCCTCTCCTTTTAATTAGGAGAGGTGGTAAGTGGAGAGAGGGGATGAGCCAACCCATCATCATTTGGATCTTTTCACCACTTCGACATTTGACATGCCGTCATATAGGGTCACAGAAATGATATATGTGATCAAATGGGAATTAGCATTACTTATATTTAACACACAAACTCAGATGTTGCCAATGAAATTCAAATTACAGCTCAACATTACAGAAGATTTCCCGTTGCTACGTATTATTTAATGTAAGTACAACAACCATAAGCTTTCCTTCAATTGAATTCTATGTGAACTGCTGCACGTTGGTGACCATCGTCTCCAACTGAATTACAATGCTACGTTAAACACCAAAAGAGACACCAATGGCTATGAAATCAGTACAGAGTTTAACCACCATTCCTTGGTTAAACAATGCGTTTGTAAATCATATAAAAGAGTCACGTTTACATTTACTGTATTGTACTTTAGTCCATACTGTGGTGGGAGACTGACAACAATCTAAATCGATTCATAAAGCAAACAGGTTCTTATTGTGGAGAGTATGACTGTTTAATACTTGCAACCAACAGGTGAGGGCGATTCTGTGTTCACCAGTAGTCTTTTTCTTGTGAAGCTGAGGATCAGTACTACAAATGCAAATGTATCCACGCCAAATCTACGTAGTACACTTCACTTAGTCATTCCAGTCTCCAAGATTAGTAGGTACATGGTTGATTCCAGTACACTGCCACTTCACTGACACCAAAGTTTGCAATCAATACAACAAGGTGCTAGTACTTCCATTCCATTCAAACGCGCTTCCCTTATTCACGTCGTTGAGCAGCTACTACAACTCTTGGTTTCTGTTGAGTACCAAACGATAACGTCATTGTTATATCAGTTGTGCGGTTAATTTTTTTGCTTTTGTCTTTTTGCTGATCATAAATCTGTAATATCCCGGGGTACGAACTTTCAATTGATCGTTTATCTTTAACGTTCATGTTATCGTTTGAATGATTTTAACGAAGTACTTTTAACCTTGTATAAACTCTTGTAATTAATTCTCGAATTGTGGCATCAAGAACAATGTCACTAGTATCTATTACGTAAACACCCGGTATCTCGAAATATTTCAAACAAAGTTATTGTACATTTTTTTGTTGGTCTTGTAAGAAGATTAATTTTCACATGCAAATTAAAGATCTGAAACTTTTTTTTTAAGTCAGATTGTTTTTATTTTTTTGGGTCATAGGGTTTTGTGTCAGTTGTTTCTTGATTACGATTGTCAAAGAACAAGCAAAAGTTGACTCTGGCAGAGTTCACCTATAGACACACACCTTTATACAGTCTTGTTAGTGCATAACTTGATAACTACAATTATAAACACGTGCTTTGAATAATTACGGAAACGTTTTTTAATTTTTTTTTAAAGTAATTTTAATACACTATTAAGTTATAAACATGCTCTATCTAAAATTTCAATTTCTTTGGTTGTTCCCATGGGTTTTCTTGGTTAGTGAAGTGACCGTAGGAAGCAGTCTTGAAGTAGATTGGACGGGCCAAGTCCAATTCTTTGACAATAACACCTGGTCTTAAGTCAAAGTTGTTCTTGATAATTTCGACCAATTGATCGGAGGTATATTTGGAGGTACCGTAAGTGTCAACGTAGACTGAAAGTGGTTCAGCAACACCAATGGCATAAGAGAATTGAACTAAAGCTCTTCTGGCCAAACCAGCGTTGACCAAAGATTTAGCAACCCATCTAGCAGCATAAGCAGCAGATCTATCGACCTTGGAGAAATCTTTACCGGAGAAAGCACCACCACCGTGAGCACCCCAACCACCGTAAGTATCAACAATGATCTTTCTACCAGTCAAACCGGCATCACCTTGTGGACCACCAATGACGAATCTACCGGATGGTTGAATGTGGTAAATGGTTTTGTCATCCAATAAGTGTTCTGGAATAACTTGTTTGATGATGTGTTCAATGATTTCTTTTCTCAAGTTTTCAGTGGAGATTTCTTCAGCATGTTGAGTAGAGATAACAATGGTGTCAACTCTCTTTGGAACAACAGCACCACCGTCTTTTTCGTATTCAACAGTAACTTGGGTTTTGGTATCTGGTCTCAACCATGGCAAAGAACCAGATCTTCTAGCAGAAGCCAAAGCAGCATTCAATTTGTGAGCCAACAAAATGGTCAATGGCAATTTTTCATCAGTTTCATCAGTAGCGTAACCAAACATAATACCTTGATCACCAGCACCCAATTCTTCCAAAGCTTTTTCGTAGTGCAAACCTTGAGCAATATCTGGAGATTGTTGTTCAATGGCAACTAAAACGTTACAGGTCTTGTAATCGAAACCTTTTTCGGAGTCATCGTAACCAATGTGTTTAATGGTGTCTCTGATAATTTTTTGGTAGTCCAATTGAGCCTTGGTGGTGATTTCACCGAAAACCATAATCATACCAGTTTTGGCAGCAGTTTCACAGGCAACTTTGGATAATGGGTCGACAGCTAAACAAGCATCCAAGATAGCATCGGAAACTTGATCACAAATCTTATCTGGGTGACCTTCACCAACGGATTCGGAAGTAAAAAGGAATGTTTCTCTAGAAGTAGTCATTTTTGGTACTAGTTAACTGGAATGAAATTGATCAAAAAACAATTAGAAGCAAAAACAAAAAAAAAAGAGGAAAACTTTCAAAAGGAAGATCTTATGTCTAATCAAATTTTCTTTTTTCAGGAAATAGCTTTTTATATAAATAGTGAAAAAAAAAAAAATCTGTTGGTAACTAAAAGTGAAAAACTTTTTTTTTCTTTTCTTTTTTGTTTGAACGATGGGCCACAGTATTGATAATGTACTCATTTTTATTTTCATTGTATTGGTTTTGTGCATTCTGGAGTAAGCACAAAACAATTAAAGTAGTTTCTGACTCTGGGTTTCATTATTGGCGCAAGGGTGTGAAAAAATGGCACAAGATCACGTGACACATTCATTCACATGAATTTCTACCAAATGAAAGTATCGTACATTAACTATGACACAAAGGTTTCGGAGGACAAATTCTTGATAACAGAAAACGAAAATTATAAACATGTGGGCCATTCACATCATTCCCGTGTTTCTCAATTGAAGCCAACAAAAAAAATAAAAATGCTACCCTCTTTTGCTTATGAATATTGTTGAAACAATTGAATTAGATGAATGAGGGAGTGTGTAAGTTATAATTATTCTCTCATGATTCGTTTAGCCAGTACATAATTGGCAGAGGAGTAAAATTAAAATAATTTATGTAAAAAAAAAAAAAAAGAAATAAAGGTGCCGATATAGGGGAATTTTTTTTTCATTATGACAAAAAGAAATAAATAATAATAAAAAAGAAAGAAGCCTTAAAGTTATACGACGTATCGCTAAAGTCACGAGATTATCGTACACGTGCATATAAACACGTGGAACGAATTCCAGTAGTTAAAACAAACGCGACTGGGAAAGTTACAAAAAAAAAAAATAAAACACGCATCGGTTGGTGGTAGCATAACGAGGGATGGGACGCGAAAAAAAAAATGAAGAATCGTTGAAGGAGATTGTTTTTTTTTTTATACTATTTTTCTTTTAATTTGATACTTCTAGATTAAGGTCCCAATAGTCATTTATTAAAAGAATATGGATTTGTTAGATGGAATAGAGGACTACTCGTCAACTCAATTTCAAAACAAAATTGTAATAAAATCCACTCAACAACAAGAAGAAGATGGGACACAAGAAAACCAAACTGAATCGTTGTTAGGATTGGATCTCGATGCAATTTCAAAGGTTTTCAATGAGGAAGGTAACGAAGATGAAGATATTCCCAATTTCAGTATCTTGGATAAAATTAGTAAAAGATTAAATGGAGGTGGTGATGATGATGATGTCGAGGAAAATGGAGAAGAGAATCAAGCTAATGAGGAAACACAGAAAACTGCTGACGACGCGTCACATCAAACCAAGTTTCAATTACTTCCACAACTTGCAGTCGACGAGACAGAATATAGTAATGCCGACTCAACCACTCAAGTCATAAATCCGACTCAAAGAATCGCGTCTACACAAGTGATTGAAAAAACACAGGTAATTGCTAAACCAAGTGGAATTGATCAAACTCAAGTTATTGAAAAACCACAATTAGACAAAACCCAGGTAATACTGAAACCTACCACCATTGACAAGTTGTTTGTCTCGGATGATGAATTAGAAAACGGACCTATCCAACCATCATTATCCAAAGAAGAAAGAGAAGCCAGGATTGCTGATCTTGCTGAGAAAAAACGTCTTGAAAGATTACAGAAAGAACGTGAAGAATTAGAATTAGATATCACCAGGGGTACATTGACAGATGAAGAAGAGGAATTGAACCAAGAAGCCAATGATACTGTTGTTTCTTCACATCTTCCAAAAGAAGGTTTATCAACTAAAGAATTAGAAAAGGCACAAGAGTTCTTGAATATTCAAAAACGTCATGTTGATATTCGTCCCGAGTTTGAGAAAAAAGTTGTTTTCACTAAAGATAAGTTATTATCTGCATTTTCTGATGATGAAGATGAAGACGAAGCTGCATTACCTATCATTCCAGAAAGACAACCATCGTCTCCTACTGTCGAAGAAATCTTAAGATCAAGTCCATTTACATCCCCAGTGAAGGAACAACACGAGAATATAATGGATTTATTTCAAAAACCAGTTTCTAAGCCAAAGAATCCGTTGGAAATCTATACCGAAAAACTCAAGCAACAACTTTCGAGTTCACCAACATTGGGCAATGGCGGTGCCAAGGGATTGATCAATTTAGATTCAGATTCAGATATCGACATTGTGTCTTCTTCCCCTACAAAACATCGTTCCACCAATGTCAATACCCAACCTTCTAAATTTTCCAATCGTGCTAAAGAATTGGATAAAATCCCAGAACTAACCAAAGAACAAAGGTTAATGATCAAACAGAAGTTTTCAAAGAAAAAGTTTCAAAATTGTAAGAACAACATGTCTGCTAATCCACAACAACATCAAAAGGAAACCGATTTCTTCAAGAAATTGCGCAAGAAGAATATAGATCAGTTGAAGTCAAATAAATTAAATGATCCTGACCATGCTATACTAGAAGAATTAGAACAGGATGAACAAACCATGACTTCGCTTTTGGAAAGAGAAATGGAAAGAGCAAGAAACATTAGAAAGAAGGAGAAGTTACAAGAACGAGCTAAGTTGGCTTTGATGGGCAAGGCATTAGGTGTTGAAGAACAAGACGATGATGCTGATTATACCAATGATGTTCCAGAAAGTGATGTTGCCGAATCTGAAGTGCCAGAAAGTGATTATGATTCTGAAATGGATGACAACGACAATGAAGAAGAAGAAGATGGGGATGAAGCTCCTGGTAAGATTGAAGATAATTTTAGAAGCGATGATAGTTATATGTTTGGTGGTGGTGATTTAGATCATGATGCCGATAAAGATCAAAAAATTACCACTACCTTGGATGATGGAAAACATGTTCAACAGCAGAATCTAACGTCAGAATATGATGATAATTCTTTTGCTAATAAAAGTACAGAACTTTTCCAAAACTTAAAGCCAAGAACAAGTAATGAAGATTCATTTATTTCAACTCAGGATGAAGGCAGTTTACTACTGATCCAACCACCTCAATTTGATAATATTACCCAACTTGCAACGCAAACTCAAGTAGATGGTGAACCCACTCAAAAAGATGAAGAAGCAACTCAAAAGGATGAAATGGTCACGCAAAAGGATGAAGTAACCACGCAAAGGGATAGAGCAGTGACACAGAAGTCAACTTCTACTAAAGAAACACAAGTGATTTCCAGACCGAAGGAGGTCGAAGAAGAAGATGACGATGATTTGGTAACTCCAGCTCATGTTCAACGTGGACGTAAACAGGTGAGAAATAATATGCTTAAGGTCGAAGAAGAGGAAGACGAGGATAATAAGGAGCTGGAGCAATTAGATGAAGATGAAGATGAAGATGAAGATGAAAGTCCTGAAGCTATGCAACGTCGAATCAAGGAATACGAGTTAAAGATTAGAAAACGGGAATTGAAGATACGTAAAAGAAGGAAAGATATGGAAAGAAGAGGTCTTAAGAATATAATTGAAGGGGAAGCAGAAGAATCTGAAGATGAATGGAAAGGTTTAGGTGGTGTTGATGGAGAAGTCTCCGATGTTGCCAATTCTGAAGATGAAAGAATGATTGATAATAACTTCAATATTGATTTGAAGAATGAAGAAATTAGAAAGAAGTTTATGGAAGATTATCAAATTAAGGATCAAAAGGAATTGGAAAAATTATTAGACGATATTAAGAATCATCGTTTGATTAAACGTGCTGGTGTTGCCAATGGGTTAGATATCGAGATTAGTGATGAAGAAGATAGTTTATTGGAAGCTTATAGACGTCAAAAACTCATGGAACAACAACAAAGATTATTGAAGAATAAGAAATTGCTTGAAATTTATAAAAATGAAAAGTCCAAAGCTTTCTTTAACAGTATCAAAGAGAATATTGAGATAATCAAGATAGATGATAGTGATTCTGATGATGATGATATTCAAGTTGTTGGTGAATCCAAGAAAGAAAAGGAAAAATCTGATACTGAAGAAGATAATGATTCATTGGAAAAAGAAGCCCCAGTTAAAAAGACCATTAAAATTGATGAAAATTTTGTCAGAAAGAAATTATCATTTTTGTATTCAGCTAATGATGATTGTGAAGAATATGAAAGATTGCAAAGAATCTCAAAACTTCAGCATGGATTTGATGTTGAAGATGACGAAGATGTTGAAGATGTTAAGGCATTAAAATCTAAAAGTATTCTCAATTTGACTACTAAAAGCAGGTCAACTACTCCAGTTGGATCTATATCTGAAAATCAATCCAGAAAGAGAAGCCACGATGAAACTGGAGATACTGATGTTGATGACGATGATGATATTGCTGAACTCATTCCATCATTTAAGAAACCTTCTGTTGTGAGTTCGTTCAGATCATTCCAGGAACAACAAGGTATTACTATTAAAGATGGTAAACAACATTTCTCGGGTGTTACTATTAGTAAACAATATAAGGTTGTTTCAGGATCTAAAGCATCAATTACATATATGTCAAATAATAGCAAACGACAATTGAAAAGTTTGAAAGAAAAGAAGATTGAAAAAACAATTAATATTTCCAAAGGCAAGAAAAACAGTTTTTTCGATAATTCAAGTTTTGAATAGACTTTGGGTAGATATATATATATATATTATCTTGAGTTTTTTATGTACTTAACCAAGAAATTAATAAATAACTATTTAATCCAATAGACTCGAGGATAGTGCCTCTTTTAATGCAAATTGATCATACGAACCGATTATTGGATTTTTAAATAACGAACCATTGCCGTGTTTAACCAGTCTAGTATGATTTGGACCAAGTGTTAATTTTGAATAAGATCCATCATTTCGTAACGACTGTACTTGAGTCGGGATACGTTTCAATTGAGCTTCACTGGGTATTGAAATAGGATTACTTTTTATCATCTTTGATTTTTTCAACTGCTTTATTCTCGGAGGTGTTGCAAGTTTGGGATTTTCCATAGATGTAGGTCCCAGTTTTGACTGACAAAATTTCAAGAAACTATCATTGAACGACAATGAAGAATGTGCAGTTTCAGATGGAGTCGATGGTCTTTCAATATAGGAATGTAATATTGACGAAGCTGAATTCTTTGAATTGGATGGTAGGTATGGTAATGAAGTTACGCGTTGCAAATTTTTTGTTTGCATAACTGCAGATGCTTGAACGTTGAACGTAGCTGTTGAAATCTGGGAGCTACTCAATTGTTTTTCGATAGGATTATGGAATTTATATTTCAGCCGAGCCATTTCTGATTGAGTATCTTCAGCTGTTGGTGGTTTCATTAGATGTGGGAATGCTTGGTGTAAATCTTTGTTTAGATCCAAACGTGATTTTCGCAAAAATCCACTGAAATTATCATACTCAAATAAATCATCATTCTCACTACTACCATGATTTTGTTGTTTGTCTGGAGAGTAATAGGAATAATCAGATATCACTGATACCATATCATCATGGTCACTTAATCTAGATTGAGGTGTAGGTGATTTATGATAAATATCGTTGAAGAAAATACCATTGTCTTGATTGTTGTCTTCCTCGTCGTCATTATCGATGTCATATTCATCAATATGGACTTCATCTCCATAATTATGTTTGTTGGGTAGGTGACTGACACTAATAAAATGCTTTAATCTATTGAACCTTAGTATATCGACTTCACAATCAAACTCCTTGAGTATATCGTCATCTGAAAATGAAAGGTCTTTTGTCGTGGAAGTAGGTAAAGAATTGGATCTACCTCGGGGTATAATATGATCAAACTCTTTTGTGACAATACTATGCAAGTTATCCTTTGATAATAGTCCATTTTCCAATTCGTGGCCCTCATTAACTTGAACCGGATCTAAAAGGTGAGATGCTAAAGTTTCATATGAATTTGTTACACTATTTTGCATTCTTGAATGATCATATTCCTGTGTTGACAATTCAGCAGTAGTGCTTTGTTCAGTAGCTGATGATGAAGTTGATGATGTTCCAATTGTGGACTCATCATATGCTATTGGATTGATATTATAAATACTTGATAATCTATATCTTGATTTCTTTTTGGCAATCAGTTGACTTGTCGACGAAGCACACCTCATTGGTTTTAATCTCAAATTCGATACAGATATCATTTTCTTAAGATCTGGTGGGTTGATATGATCGCGTAATGGTGATAAGTCTTGCTCTAATTCTTCTTGTGGCAGTGGCTGTGACTGTGACTGTGGTTGAGAAGGTGATGGTGGGTCGAGATGTTCTATTTCGGGCTCGTGATGTCGTTTCAAATTGTTCGAATCATCCTGACTTGTATTCACTATTTCATCCCCTTTCTTGTTCTCGTCATGGTAATTATAATTGTCATTCTTACGCAAGTTTCCTAGTAGATGCATGTACTCTTGAGTTATATGTTCAAAAGCTTGTTGATTTGTTATACTATCATTATGCAAAATATTTGAATCAAAATAGAAAGCTCGTTCATGTAAACTCTTGAACTCATTTAAACTATTATTATTTTCTTCAATTAATGTAGTTATATCATCTATTGTTTGATCATATTCAATGGTAGCTTGATTTAGGAATGAAATTGTATTTATCAATTCATTGGATTGTGACACAGAAGTAGTCAACTTATTCGCCCGACTTTCGATCTCATTTACGTATGAGAATATATGATCTAGACGTGATGCCATGTATATGAAGTTTTGAATGCTTGAACTCTATGCAAATATAGGTTCGTTTAGTTTATTAAATAGTTGGTGATGAAGTAGGTAAGAAGGGAATGGCTAAAAAAAAAAAACTGTAAAATGATAGAATGATATAGTGTACAACTTCCAAGAAAAATGACTATGCAGTTGGTGTGTCAAAGTAAAGAATGAATGACTGGATTTAGAAAATGAACGTAAGAACTGATAGTTTGAACCTGAATGGCCTGGTTGAAGAAGAAGATGATGATGATGATGATGATGAAAAAATTGGGAAAATTTAATAGGTTTAAGTAATTAATATGTCTATCACAAACTAAATTAGATGAACAGAAAAATAAATTGAAAACAAAACTTGTGTGTCCCAATGTGGTTATTTGTTTTCCTATTTAGAATCTTGCGACATTACCCTAAGAAAATTTTTTTTCCAATTGTGAAGTTAAATTAACAATAAGGAAAAAAAGAAAGACAGTAGCCCAACGACATTATAACGACATTTATTTGTGTACATTTTTAGATTTCTCGCAGGGGTACATGGCAACGGTGATGAGCTTTTCTTCAGGATATTGACACTAACCAACACTATAAACTCTTCATTAATTTAAAGGTTGACTAATTTTGCTGGACTACAATCAGGGTTATGAGTAAGAGGAGACGAAAACAAGTGCGGCATGAAGAGAGTATAAACAGTATGCACTAGTCTATTGGGAAATACAATGTATCACAACAGGTTAGGAGAACAAAACACCAAAAAATTGAAAAAAAAAAAATTACATGTATTATAAACAACTAAAAAATGCAACCATAATCCTAGATAATATCTAATTTCTGGGTCAATTAATGTTTAGACTTTTTAGATTCACGCGACTCACCTTCATCTTCAGTGGAGGATCTCTTCTTTGATTTCTTTTCCTTCTTTTCTTTCTTTTCCTTCTTTACAAGTTTGTTTTCATACTGTTCTTCTTCTGGTGCAACATATTCTTTAGCCCTTTCTTGTCGCTTGATTTCACTAGCTTCTTCTTGTTTAGAACGTTTTTCTTTTAACTTCTTCATTTCTTTTTCTTTCTTGTTCATGAAATACTCACCACTTTCAATTTGTAAATCAATTCTTCTAGGTTGTTGAGCAGGTGGGAATGGAGTGTAAACCCTTCTTTTCAGTGGTCTTCTTCTTACTTGCCTTCTTTCTAGCAACAGTAGCGTTTCTTGAAACTTGGTAAAAATCTTGACCAATCTTCATTTGCTAAGTCTGGATTTTTACTCAATTCTTGTTTGATCATCAATTCTTTGATATAATAAATTGGATGAATGTTCTTCATACAGTCTTCAACAACCCTTCTAACTTCTTTCAATCCCTTGAATGGACCCATGGCACTGACGGTATTACCTTGAACCAAGATATAACATTTGGTCAATAATTCCAAAGCTTTCAAAGTATTACCATTTGGACCAACCAATCTTTGTCTTCTTTTGATAAATCTATCTTTATTAGCAACAAAGTTCCCGATTTTGATAACATCACAAGCAACATCATCTTGTAAAATCTTTACAGCTTGAGGAAATGGAACTGATCTAGCTAATAATTTAATCAAATCCCTAGCTTTAATAATCATAGCAGGATCAAAAGTTTTAGTAGTTGTTTTAACAGTCATTGAACCTTCAACTAAATTTAATTCACATTTAATGAAATGTTTTTCTAATGCTTTAGTAACATCACTCCAGATACCTCTTAAATATTGTTCACGATATTTTGGAAATAAAGTCATGAATGAAGATTCTTCTGCAAAATGTAGACCAGAAGTGTTGTGTTCTGGCTTGAATTCTTCAAGAGCCCATTTATCAATGTCAGGAGTATCCCAAGGTTTATCACGGTTGTGGGTAGATGGCATATTGTATGTAAGTTGTAGAAGGAGAGTGAGAGATGAGATGAATGGAAATTCTCAAAAAAAAAAAAAAAAATTGTAGATAAAAGCGAGAGGCAAGAAGAGATCGTGCAAGAAGGAAAAAAAAAACCTAGAGTTGCAAAAATGTACATCACTGAGAATATACCGTTGTGGTGATATGAACGTTAAAGATAAACGATCAATTGAAAGTTCGTACCCCGGGATATTACAGATTTATGATCAGCAAAAAGATAATAAAAAAAAAAATTAACCGCACAACTGATATAACAATGACGTTATCGTTTGGTACTCAACAGAAACCAAGAGTTGTAGTAGCTGCTCAACGACGTGAATAAGGGAAGCGCGTTTGAATGGAATGGAAGTACTAGCACCTTGTTGTATTGATTGCAAACTTTGGTGTCAGTGAAGTGGCAGTGTACTGGAATCAACCATGTACATACTAATCTTGGAGACTGGAATGACTAAGTGAAGTGTACTACGTAGATTTGGCGTGGATACATTTGCATTTGTAGTACTGATCCTCAGCTTCACAAGAAAAAGACTACTGGTGAACACAGAATCGCCCTCACCTGTTGGTTGCAAGTATTAAACAGTCATACTCTCCACAATAAGAACCTGTTTGCTTTATGAATCGATTTAGATTGTTGTCAGTCTCCCACCACAGTATGGACTAAAGTACAATACAGTAAATGTAAACGTGACTCTTTTATATGATTTATAAACGCATTGTTTAACCAAGGAATGGTGGTTAAACTCTGTACTGATTTCATAGCCATTGGTGTCTCTTTTGGTGTTTAACGTAGCATTGTAATTCAGTTGGAGACGATGGTCACCAACGTGCTGCACTTCGCATAGAATTCAATTGAAGGAAAGCTTATGGTTGTTGTACTTACATTAAATAATACGTAGCAACGGGAAATCTTCTGTAATGTTGAGCTGTAATTTGAATTTCATTGGCAACATCTGAGTTTGTGTGTTAAATATAAGTAATGCTAATTCCCATTTGACCACATGAATCATTTCTGTGACCCTATATGACGGCATGTCAAATGTCGAAGTGGTGAAAAGATCCAAATGATGATGGGTTGGCTCATCCCCTCTATCCGCTTATCACCTCTCCTAATTAAAAGGAGAGGGACGAACTGGGCCCACATGTGTGTGTGTGTGTGGGGCCGACCCAGCCCGACTATGGCCCTCTTCTTGAGTTGCCATATTGCGTCCCCCTACTGGCCCAAGGGGGAATAGACAGAGGATGAACCAGGAGGGAAGGGGACTGGTCGATTCCCCCATATACCTGGTCCTCTACAAGTGTGGTTTGTATTAAACCACCACTACTACTCATCGGGATATTCAACTAGCCTATCCCGACGAGTAGTTTTTAAAGATAGTGATGACCAGTCACTATCTTTTGAAGAACCTTCACTAATCAACATCGCTCCTTTTTGGTATATGTTGATCCCCTGTGTAAGGTTCAAGATAACATGTGTTCCCAAGTTGCTATCTTATTTGGAAGGTTCTTCTTCTGTTTGTCCACATGCTAAAGGAGCTATCAGTTGGTGACTTTCTTTAAATTGTGTTAACCAAGTGACACAAACAACAACTAGTGAGGGAACATATAACCTTTGACTCTTTGTAAACTTGTTATGGGTAATGGGTTGTGGTTCCTTATATTGAAGTTAGTATTTGCAGCCATGAATACAACACATCAATTGATACTTACTTGCTAAAACTGATATCATATATAAGTGGTTGATACTAATTGTTGATGAAACAAAAACAAACAGGAAAAAGAAAGTGTTGTAAAAAGTTTTTCATTACCCGTTGTTTTTTTGTCCTTTTATAGTTGAGTCTTTTTGGGGTATTTGTGTACGTATTTTTGTTGTACTTTATATGGTCGGTGCTACCATATGCATGGAAAATCAAGCAATTCCGGAGTGGACTGTCACGCAGCTGATTATGTTTGTTGCCAACGTGTAGCAGTTCAATAGATTGCAATTGCAATAAATGTAATACTTGCACTTCCTACATTGGTTACATATTCATCCAGTTGGTGATGTCTGCTATATTGATAGAATCTTCTCTTTCTCTGTATGTGACTGCACCGCTTATAGCAGTAAAGTATGAGTTTTGTTCACTTTCTTTATTCTCTTATTTAAGCCTATAGAAGTAAATAGAAAACTGTATAATTTATCTTTCACCTTCATTGAATAATGCGTAGTTACTGTGAAAATAACGGAATATTGAGCTGCAATTCCTGTTTCATTTGTGAGTTATTATTATTTAGTTTGTACTGCATTGATAGTATATCTGTGACAATCACGTGAAGTGTGGAGACTTTGTCGGTGTCGTACTGATGGGTATTAGGAGTCATTTGGTACTTTCTTAGACCCATGTGCGACATGTAAGCAACCTGCATATTCACTGAATTGAAAAAAAAAATTCAAAGCACACGAATTTTTCTTTATGCGATACAAAATTGAAACTCATCGCAAGAGAATAATCCCTACTGATAGTGAACACCAACAAAAGCAATATGGTAATAAAGAAGGATACAAGAGCTAAAAATTCTAATAGTAAGATTGGAAAGTCAAAAAAGAAGACCACAAGCAAAAATTTATCAAAATCACAAGCAAAATCAACAAGAAGCAAGATTGATAGGTTAAACAGGGATATATCAGAAATTAGCGAAGTTCAAAATCTATTGGCCACCAGTGTGACTGATAATAGCAAAGCTAAGAAATCAAAAGCTTTAGATTCAATAAAAGATGATTTGAAAAAGGATGAAGAGTTGAAACAGAAGAATAAATTAGCGGAAAAGGATTTGAGTAAACAGTTAGAATTATTGACTGAGATGGGACTATAATACGTGATGCTTGCTACAAGTGTAAAATAGAAAAGCTGGACTTGTATAGAATAATTCGGTATAATATATGATTGATATTTGGAGATCTGATACATAGTGGTGAATTTAAAAGTTTTATAACCACATGGATAATGTGTAGATCTGTTGTTTGAAGTGTTGTTTTGTTTTATTTACTGGTTAATTTGTGTGATTACGAGCTAACATAATCTACTTTGAAGTGTTGCATTGTTTTTTTTTCAAGGGGATTTATAACCAAATTCTCATGAAAAAAAAAGTTGTGTGTGTATTGTTGATAACGGATAAATTAGACGCTAGAGCAGAAGACGCGTTCAAGATCAGGTGTAATTAGCTTTCCTAATTTCGTAGTAATAGTCTATTAACGGTAACTTTGCACAGGCAGTCAATTCTAGACTCTAACTTTAAAAAACACGTCTCTCAAGACATTGTATCAGATGGATATTTAAAGTATCGACAGAGCAAAAGAAAATCATAGAGTTAAGGACAATCGTGACAGCACAGATCTTCCACATAATCAGAAAAATGCCTGCATGCATTCTCTCTCTCTCTCTGTGTGTGTGTAACATGTGTAGGTTATTACCAGCAAAGATGCTTAGATGGAGGAGTAACAATAGAAATAGAATAAAAGAAAGTCCAGGGTTTTGTTGTGATGTTAACAGTCCTTGGTAGGGGTTTAACATGTTAAATAATAACTAAAATAGCAACACATAGACGAAAACATTAAAGAAGTGGATGAATTTGATTTCGTTGCATAATTATAACATTGTCTAAGATTGTAGTGGTGTTACTGAATTCTATCAAATTTCAATCTAATTTGGAACGGCTTTCCTAAAAGGGTATATTTATTGAAAGGGGGAATGTGTGTACGTGCGCGTTTTGTGGAATGTTTATAGGTGAGATGTGAGATTGAACAAAAAATAACACGCGTTTTGTCCATAATCAATGAAATGAAATACGACAAAAGTATTTGTCTGTATAGTAATTGTTAGTGCGTGTACAAGTGCCCAATACACCTAGAGAGAAGAAAAAATACAAATCACAACAAAACAAAACAAAACAAAACAAAAAAAACTTCGGTGTCAGAAGTTTCTGTGGTTTAATAATTTTTTTTTTTTGCATTTGCTTTTGTACTGTTGATCGTCTACAACACATTATACACAAACTAAATTATTAATATTAATACTGAAACTCGCTCTAAAAAAAATTTTCTTTCCTTTATTAGTTACAACCATTCCATCAGTTTTTTTTTTAGATTTATTTATTTCAAGTTGTCGAGTTTTCTTCCTTTTTCCTGTTTAGTTATATTACAATCATTTGAATTACAGACAACCGTGGGTTTATACAAAGTAATTACAATCACAATTGATAGATTAAATCCAAAGATACAAAGTTTCTGTGAAAATTTATTGTCCCCTTTTTAATCGTTAATATCACAGACAACAACAACAGTAAACATCAAAACCACACGTTCATTAGCTAGCTAGCATATTTTTTTTACAGTTCATAATCACATATAATAGAAATCATGACACCTTCAAGACAAGCATCGATAACGTCGTCTATAATGTCTGCCAGTGCAGGCCGTAATCATCCTCAAAATATCGGACCTTGGAAATTAGGTAAAACTCTAGGAAGAGGTGCCACAGGAAGAGTTTTATTAGCTACACATCAAACCACTGGACAAAAAGCTGCTGTTAAAGTAGTCTCCAAATCTGAACTACATGAAGATGATGATAGAAATGGAGATGGATTACCTTACGGCATAGAACGAGAAATCATTATCATGAAATTATTAAACCATCCAAACGTTTTAAGATTATACGATGTCTGGGAAACCTCAAAGGCACTTTATCTCGTGTTAGAATATGTCGAAGGTGGTGAGTTATTTGACTTGTTGGTAGAACGTGGTCCATTGGGTGAAGCCGAAGCCATCAAATATTTCCGTCAAATCGTTTTGGGAGCTGCATACTGCCATGCTCTTGGTATATGTCATAGAGATTTAAAACCTGAAAACTTATTATTGGATGCCCAATTAAATGTTAAAATGGCCGATTTTGGTATGGCTGCTTTAGAAAGTAATGGAAAACTATTAGAAACTTCATGTGGTTCTCCTCATTATGCTGCACCTGAAATTGTAAGTGGATTAAAATACCATGGTGCTGCGTCAGATGTCTGGTCTTGTGGGGTTATCTTATTCGCTTTGTTAACTGGCAGATTACCATTTGATGACGAAAACATCAGAAATTTGTTATTAAAAGTTCAAGCAGGTAGTTTTGAAATGCCAACAGACGAAATCAGTAGAGAAGCCCAGAATTTGCTTGGAAGAATGTTAGAAGTTGATCCAGAAAAGAGAATAACCACTGAAAGAATTTTGAAACATCCATTATTGACCAAATACCCAATACCAAACGAAGATTTGATTAGTGAAAAATCGTTGCCACATCCACAAACCGCATACAAATCATTAGGTTCAGTCAAAAACATTGATAAACAAATTTTGGCCAATTTATCCATTTTGTGGAATGATAGACCCCAAGAAGAAATTGTTCATAACCTTTTAACAAATGGTTCCAACCCAGAAAAGACTTTTTATGCATTATTAATGAGATACAAACATAACCAAGATGAAAATGTCACTGGAGGACCAAAGAAATCAACCAGTTTCTCCAACAAAGTTCCACGTAGCTCATCCAAATACAGTCTTAATGGTACCCCTAGAAAAAAGAGAGCCAGTCAGATTAGTGCCTCTAGACCTACATCCTTCCTGTATAAACCGACTTCTGGAACTGGAACAGGAGCTGGTAATAGAAATTCTATCATCAGACAATCTGCTGCATCATCTGTGAACAACTCACCTTACAAATCACCAAGAAAGTCACCTCGCAAATCTCCTTACAAAAGATACTCTTATAGTCAGTCACCATCGAAATCCCCACATCGAAGAAGATCCCAAATCCAAAGACCACTTGATGGTGAGCCTTTGAAAGCCATACCGAGAAATATCTATAACGAAATTGTTGATGCACAAAGTAATTATTCTCTACCTCCATCAATTCCACCTTCATTGCCATCCAAAGATTCTCGTTATTTGAATGATCAATCGCAACAACCACAACAGCAACAGCAGACAATGAATCAATTGTCAGAAGTTCCTGAAAATCCTATTGTTGATGAAACTCCCGATTTGATGCAATCTGCGAAGATCTCCCCATCCAAGAGAGGATCTATTATTGCAAAGCCAGGTAATAAGAGAATGTCAAAGAGAAGATCTGTGCGTGCTTCCATGACAACTGGGTTGAAAAGAAATTCGATAACAATGAAATTATTATCTACATATGCAAAGTTATCTGGTGACGATGATTGGGAATATATGGATAAGCAAACCAAAAGAACTTCAGCTACTTTTGCTGCTTTGTGTGACAAAATTTTTAACCAAGAAGATTACGACGAAGATGATGAACAGTTGATTGACCCTGAAGAAATTCAAGCTAGAGAGTATGAAAGATTGATGGAAATTGAAAGAAAGAAACACGAAGCTGAGTTGAAGGCAAGAAGAGAGTTGGAAAAGAAGAAAAAGAGACAAAAGAGAAGATCCATTTTGAGTTCCAAGAAATTGAGTATTATCATCAAAAATGATGCCGATCCAAATAACAGCGAACAAGAATTGGTTGATGAGAAGATTACACAACCAAAACGTCAATCCAAGAATCTTACTGCGTTGAGAGCATTATCAGAAGGTACACCTCAGGGTCAAGAATTGACTATGGAAGAACTTGAATATTTGAAGAAAAGATCTGCTTCCCAACCAGCACCAAAGAGAAGACTGACTCCTATCTTAACCAGAAGACCAGTTTCAAGATTGGATCCGTTGTGGCAAGAACACGAAACCGAGGAATTAGACAAAGCTAAGGATGCTTTGGAACAAGAATGGAGAGACTCACAAAAGAGAAATTCTGTTGCTAGTCGTAAGAAAGCCAATAGAGAGTCAATGATTTCTGTTATGGATGATATAGTTGAAGAAGATAATCGTGGTGGTGATGGTAGAAGAGTGTCGAGAGATTCGTACTCTGCAAAGAAAGAAGATTACGAATTGCCTGAACCAACAGTTGACGATTCTAATTTGACTGATGATTATATGACTGAGATTAGAAAATCGAGATTATTGAACAGTCAGTTGAATATCAATGGTGCATTGAATGATAAGAAACTGAATGAACCACTGACTCTTATTAGTAATGTCAAGATTCCAAATGTTACTAGAAAGTCTAGAAATTTTACTAATTCCAATAAGAGATTATCTGTGTTGTCAATGTATTCTACCAAAGAGTCATACCGTGATTTGAATTCTTTCGTCAATTCTAAGGATGATAAAGATGCTGATGATGTTAATAAACCTGCATTGAGAACAAGTATTGCCGACAGATTGGAAAAAGCTGCATATGAAGGAGGGGAAGACACGGAAACCGATGGAGATGAGAAGTTGTCTGTTATTGATCTTGATGAACAATTGGCCAATAGAAGATTGTCTTATTATGATGCTTCTGATAACAACAAGAGAGCTTCACGTGCTTCAACTACTAAAAGATTCAACGTCGGTTCTAATTCCAGTGGCGCAAGACCAAAGTCCAAAGTTCCAGACTTGCCAAAGAATGATTATGATGATACATTTGTTAGTAACAGTGATGAAGTTCACAAGCGTAGATTCAAGTCAATGGTTTCTGATGAATCAAGTGAATCCGATGATGTTTTTGATAAGATCAAGTTGCCAGATGGAAAATCCACCAAGTCATCAATTGATGGCTTGGCAAATGGTACTTCTGTTAACGGTCACAGATATTCTTCAAATAGAAAATCTCAACCAGGTAAAGAAATGTTGATTCCTAATCTTGCTGGTGACCATTCACAACAATTACCTAAAGTCCGTGGTGAAGAAGACTATAATGATACAATTCCACCAACTCCACCAACTCATCATGATCCAAAGAGACCATTGGATGACAAGACCAACTATCCAACAACTGAAGCTGATCCAAAGAGAAAAGGTTCATTTTTCAGAAAGCTTTCTTGGGGTTCAAAGAAAACCGTTGAAACTGCTATTGAACCAAAAACACAATCACATGCTCCTCCGCGTCCTGCTCCACCAGTTCCAGCTCATGCTCATGCTCCTGCCAAGCCTGCTGCTAACAGAGGTAACTTTGGCAACACCCAATTGCCAAGTCCAACTATTTCAAAGGAAGAAAAACCAAAGAGTTCTTTTTTCAGATGGTTTTCTTCTTCTAATTCTTCATCATCTGGTTCTGATATCAAAAAGTTTAATACTATTTTGCCAAAACATGAAATGTCGACAGCTTTGTTTGCATTGTTGAAATCATGGTCAAATTTTGGATTGAAAGACTTGCGTAATGATCAAGTGGGTTATAACATCACAGGTGCTATTTCAAAGCACAATTCATTTAACTTGAAAAGCTGTAAGTTTAGAATCAAGATCAATCAAAGAGACTTTCTGCAAAAATCAGAAATTGTTTGTGTTAGAGTTAAAGGGTCAAAGGCAACTACCGACACTTTGTTTGCTGAAATTGAAAAAGTTTTACTTAATGAAGGAGTTTTAGATAAATAGATTTTGTAATATAGTGTAATGTGTTTGTTTTGTAAAATATTACTTTTTTTTTTTTTTTGGAACTTTTAATTGTCGTTGATCTGTGTGTACATATATATTATTATAATTGATACCCATTACTTAAATCCTATTCACTTGTCAATTTCCTCTTCTTTGCTTTCGTCGATTGTTTCCAATTTTCTACTGGTTTGACTAGTAATCTTTTGGGGAATATATGTTGGACCAATAGTATCAGTAAAATTTCCTACTCCCCATTGAGTAAACATTCCAATAAAAGCAGTAGCCAATACAATTTCAGGATCAACATTTTCCTGATCGACTAAAACTTCAAAATCCAATTTAAATTGTCTCATTAATTTAACTTTAGCTACTCTTATTCTATTTTCTTCTACACCACCATTTGGATTAATAACTTTCTCTAAAAATCTTGTTGTTGAAGACCAAGAATATTTACAACCATCATTCAAATAAAAAGATCTAAATCTTCCATTCATTCCCCAATCTTTAAATATTACTCGATGTTGTAAATTTGATTTATTATGAAAATTTATTGATCTATCAGTTAAACCAATTTTTAAAGTTGCAATTTCTTTACGTTCTGGAAAAGTTAACATTCTCCAAATTGGATTAAATGAACTTAATCTTTCAAAAGAATATTTTTGTTCTCCATAACCATTAAATACTCTAATTAATCGATTTTTATCTTTTCTATCTTGACGTATAAAATATGCAATTGGATATTCTGTTAATGGAGTTATTGAAGCATTTGAAAAATTAACTTCTAAAATATCAGAAAGTTTCAACAATTCTAATACAGCTGATCCAATTGTTAAAGAAGTGGTAAGACCTCTAACTGATGTTGATTGAAATATATTATTCATTTATTTCAACAAAATTACGTACACACACACAAACACACACGCACGATCACAAACTTTTTAATAATTATTGAGCAAGGATGATAATGATAATAACAACAACTTATTCAAAATGTGATTTAGTTTGGCAAAGGAGAAAATGATGCTTTTTTTTTGATTAGCTAAAGGAATTTTTGAAATAAAGCAAAAATAGTAATTGGATATCCGACAATTCTAAAACAGACAAAAAAAAGTGTGTACAATTATATATGTATATATATATTTTATAGAAAGTGTTGTGGTTGGTTTCTTTATATTGGGACAAGTTGATTGCAAAAAAAAAAAAAAAAGTGGAAGCCGTATTTTAGTATGCTCACTCAAATTGATTGATAGCGATGAAAAATCCATCGCCAGTTGAATTTTCCTTTTTAGTTTTTTATTGTTTTTGCATCTCTCTATTTAATTGAATAATATACATGAAACTATATTCTTATATATATATACTAATTATCACACTGATTCGTGTCTTAGTCGACTTGTCTAATAAATACCCCAGACATCTTCACAACCGTGACAGAATTTAGAACATGCAACGGAAGCAGATAATGGATAATCAGAAAGACCAATCTTTTCATCCACAAATTCATCAGCAAAATTATCTTTACCTCTTGCCATAGCACCAACAAATACACATATACTTTCATCTTCATTCAAAGTGCTGACATAATCTTGAACACGTTTAACTTCAGCATCAAAGGATAAAGTAACTTTACGACATTTTGTTGGTAAATGATCAGTAATTGGATTCTTGATAACTTTCAATAAAACTTCTTTAGAGTTTTCTGAACGGATACTTAATTTATGTAATAATTGAACCATCAAACCAGAAAATCTTTTAAAAGTTCTTGGGATTCTAACACTTGGATTAACTTCTATTAAAACACCTCTTGCAGTTTGAATATATACTTGTAGTTTACCAGCTTTATTAATTGGAGAGTCCAATAATGTTAATAAACATTGATGAGTAATATCTGGTCTAGCTTCAGCAATATCTCTACCCATTTTTCTCAATAAACCTTGATGATCATCACAATTCAACAAGGCAAATCTATCACCTCCTTGTCCACCAGTATTCATTTTATAAGTTTCCAAACATGCTTGAGATAAAACAACAATCAATCTTTGAGTGTTCTTATCACGAGAAGTGAGTGGAGTTGGTTGAACAGGAACAAGGGTTGCTGGTTGCACCGATGACTTTGATTTATTTGCTGGTGGACCTGTTTTAGTATTTTTGTTTCCGTTAGTTTGTTGTGGGGTTGAATTAGTGTCAGCCATTATGAAGTGATCTATGATATAAATTTTAATAAAAATATAAAAGGAGAAACCTGAAAGAGTATCTAGTCAATAGATATAAAAAGATGGTCTTATACTAGGTCTTCTGATAATTTAAAGTACATTGAGAGCAGAAAATTTTTTTTTTTTTTTTCAATCAAATCTTTTTTTTTCTGGCTTTGGCTTTGGCTTTGGCATTTCAATGAGCAGCAGCAGCAATGCGCCTGAGCGACGAAGAAAGATGGAACCATGTAATGCGTAACAGGGGAGAAGAGCCGTTCTAAGATATAAACCTGCTACATTCAGATTAGCTATAAACAACTAAGAGTTCAATAATATGTGAATATTCTTGTCAGATTTATAACAATATATCTTATGTCTTGCGTCGTTTATTGATGAGGTCAATTGGTAGTGCATAGTTGATGTAATTATGAAATTTCAACTCCAATCTTTCTCGTACAAAATTGAGTAGGGGAAAAAAAATAAAAATGGGTCCAAATATCAACAAGTGATCTCGAAAGTAGTCAACTATGAAAAGGTGATTATGTCTAGTTCAGATAATGATTTCGATGACGATGACGATGCGTTACTACAGGATGTTTTATATGGAAGAACTCAAGTTCCTGTGGTTGCAAATGTCCAACCAACTTCCAATCCTAATCCCATGATACAACCAACCACTCAACACACCCCAACATTACTAGATGACAAAGTCCAGGCTAGGTTATTTCAAGCAGATGGAGAAATTGCAACTTTACGTGCACAACTATTACAACTACAGAACCAAAAGCAAAAAGAAGTTGCTGACTTGAAGGACACGTTCAATACGTTTAAACAAAGTACAGAAGATCAAGTAGCCCTGTTGAAGAATACTGTTCAACGATTAGAAGATGAAAAGAGATTTTTAAGTAATGAATTGATAACCACCAATGATTTAAAACGAAGGAAAATAGTTCAAAACAAAGTGACACCACCAGTTGTTCTGAATTCTCCTCATAATGAGGATAGTATCATTGAAGAACCAGTCATTTCCGTTCAACCAAATAATGAAATCTCAATAGTATCATCAGAGCCCGAAATTACAGTCAAACCAATACAGAAAATCATCAAACTACAAAATGATTCATCTTTACTCATAGATCAATTATGGAATCATAGCATTATTGGAAGTAAGAGAACTTCATTTGAATATTTAAGTAAGATTTGTATTGACATGGATTTGACTTTAAGTTCTGGATTGAAAATAGTCAAAAGAACTTCTTTATCCTCAGGTATTGTCGAATTTTTAATGATCAACAAAAACAATAGATTGGATAAATTAGTAGAAAATTTCACATTATCATTGATTCAATTAATTGAGAAATTACTAAAACTGAAGAGTATCTTAAGTGTGCCCTTTTTGATTTCATTAATTCATTGTTCGATTAATTTCAGACCAGCCGCACTTACAAAGTCTTTAATTTCACAGTTATTGAAGAGAGTTTCCAAAATAGCTGAAGGCTGGGCATTTTTATTAGATTCTAACTTGGATGAAGATGATCTTGCAAATTACCATGAAGTGCCATATCAAGTAATGGTATTGGAAAAATTTATTTTCACTTGTTGTCTAGATTTAATTGAGAGACTAGTCACTGTGTCAACTATTTTTGAACCGGATTTCATAAAAGCTATTTGGCAAAAACAAATACTTTCCCAAACGTTGGTTAAATCATGTTTACCTGAAAATTCAGAGAGATTTAAAAACACAGTTCAAATAAATGCTGTTTTCAATATTGTGGAAATGCTTGGTGCTTCCATCACAGAAGACACTTTTGCATTTAATGAAACCAAATTAGATGAGAGTATCATTAGTTCGCTACTAAAAGTATTTTTGATCGATATCCCACTACGACAAGATTTTATGTTTTATGGGCTTAATAGAATACTTGGAAATAATTTGGATTTTCTCAAAATTAATTCCATGATTCCTGTTGATCGTGATCATTTGAACAACTATTTGGTGGTACTTCCACAACCAATTCCTTTCAATATGGCGATTCCATCAAAATTTGGTATTGACATGAACCATGAATATCATTTATTCACATTAAGAATCAAAGTTGCTCAGCTATTGTTAGGCCTTATTATAACCAAACAAACGTTTGACTTTTTATACAAGAAAGAACATTTCAAGTCGATGATACGTGTGATTGGATTTGAGCAAAACTATATTGCTAGAAACCCTAGGTCCAAACATGTTCATTTACGATTACAATTGATTGCCATTTTAGTTAGAATAATAGATTACCTAACACAGGATTTACGTGATGCTAGTGAATTGATTTATGGGGAACAAATGTATGAAATATTTGTTGTTTTTCTGAGAATTGCATTTGGTGCTGATTCATTATCAATTGAAGCACATAATTTATTAATTAAAATCAGATCCCAACCAAAATTTGTTGATTTCCCGGTGTTTAATAAATGGTGTGAAAATAGAGCATTAGAGTTGAACCATATCACACCACAAACCAGCAATGGTGAAACGATAGCTAATATTGAAAGTGATTTTGCTAATGGACTTGAATTTCCGTATGAATCGGATACAGTTGAATTGGCTAGAGATATATTGAATCGATTTGTGGATCATGATGAAGCAGATAACTTATACTTTAACATGAATCCCGAAGAAGATGGTTCTGACCAAGAGATGGAATTCTTATAGATAATAAACGGAATTATATTTCTACGAATATTTGTAATATCAATTTTTTTTTGAAAGTTTTATTTTACATTATGATACAGATTTTTTTTGTTTGTATTTTGATGTATACGTTAAATAAACTCTTCCATATATAAACCGACTATAATTAAACAATTTGATAATTGAAACAACTTCAACCAAAGAAAAAAAAACCATGAAACATGATAATGATAAGAAATATTATGATTAAAAAAAAATTAATGATTTAATGATTCAAAAAATATATTCTTCCTTGATGAGTATGGTTCTATTTATTTAATTTAATCAGAAGTGGATTGAGCTTTAGCAACACCAGTTTGGAAACCATTCTTAAATCTTCTAGAAACGTGTTTCAAGTATTGCATTCTACCGGTACCAGTAGTTCTTCTTCTCTTAGCTTTCAAAGCCCAGTTGTGAGATCTCATTTTAGCAGCTGGGTAACCACAAGAAGAACAAGTCTTCTTTTGAACGTGGAAAGAACGACGACCACATCTGTTACATAAGGTGTGAGATTTGTTGTGACGTTTACCTAAAGATGGAGTACCCTCTATAATAAAAAAAATTGATTTGTTAGTAATTTGTTTCTATTCTTGAAATACATTTAGTCCATAATGATACACTTCCACAAAATAAAATGATTCATTTGATGATATCTCTTCTGTGAATTGATTAATTAATTCACAATCCCATTCTCTAATAGTAACCATGATTCCTCATCTCCTTTCGTCTTTTATTAATAGTAGTTCGTTTTATATTTTGATTGACAATATTGTAGATTTCATGATAATCGTATTCATTCTAATTATCCATTCATTCTATATGTTTTGAATCCTCTGTAGAATATATCATTTGAACTAAATAATAACAGTAATGATATTCTCACATACTACCCATTGTTAATTATCTAATACTTGGTTGAATAAAGTAAGAAAGAAACAAAAATTTTCAGTCAAAAATGAAATTTTTTTTGTTGTTAGAGTGAGTGAGTGAGAGGGAAGGAAAAAAAAAGAAAAATTTTGTGAGAGTGCATCACCAACGGAGCCTACAGTGCGAGGGACAGACTGTTTGCGCACGCTGTGGCCCACTCACTATTCGCAGCGCCCTAACAAAAACCAAAAGAGTGAGAGAGCGAGGAAAAAAAAAATTTGTATGAGATGTGTAACCTGTAAAAAAATAATTTACAGGTAGTGCGCACCCAATAGAAAAAATATAAATATATCACGTGGAAAATATTTTCATTAGGGCTGTAACCCTAGCTGGGCAGAGTCGCATTTTTTTTTTGGTCGTTTGATGGAACAGCTTTTAAATTTCTTTCAAGACGTTACTGCCACAAAATATCACGACGTGTTGTGATTATACCAGTGGTATTAGTCAAGAGTACTACTAACACCTAGGTGGTTTTACCGTTTATTATTCAGTATAGTATATGTATATGATACATGATAATCATCCAACTTTAATGATACAATCATTAGATGTAGTTCAGTGATAGCATCGTGATGACCAATTTATCATGTGCGACGCGGTTGCGAAAAGATTATTTTTAAAACATAAACAACGCGAAAATTTTCCATTGGAGTCGTTTTTCTGCCCAGATTACACATAATGACACGCCTAAATGATAAGAGAATTTTTTTTTTTTTCATTCATTCATTCATTCATTCATTAGTGACCACCCATCATTGACTAATATACAAAAGTATAAACAAGATTTATCATTTCAGTTTCTTTTCACCAATAGATATTGTTTTTATAATTTTTCTTTAATTTGTTAAAAACAACAATGTCTAATTCCAATTATCAATTCCCACCATCATCACCTTTACTTGATGATTATTCTTATCAATCTTCTAAAGATCCATTTGGTTCAGGTGTGATTGTTAACAAGGCTAAACTTGGTGAATTAAGAGTTGGTCGTGAAGAATATCCTACTCCAAACCCTTCATCTTCTTTATATCGTTCATCTTCTCCAGCTAGAGAAACTATTGCTGAAACTGATGTTTTCAAATCAAAACCAATTTTAAAAGACGTGATTATTGAAAAGCCAAAAGCTAATATTAATTCTGATTTTAATGTTTTAAATCCAGATAAATCAGTTATTAGAATTCCTTTATTAGATACTCATTCACATTTTTCTATTGGTAGATCGTCACGTAGTTGTGAATTTGCTGTTAATGCATTAGATTCAAGAATTTCAAGAATTCATTTGAAAATAAGTTATAATTCACAACAAGTTATTTTAACTTGTCTTGGTTCAAATGGTGTTGGTGTTATTATTCCAAAACCTTGTTTTGTTTATGCTACAAATACTAATAATAATTTCATTGTTATGGAAAATACAACTGGTGAACCATTGAATATTCAACATCATCAAAATATAAGTAAATCTATTAAATTAGATTATAATCATACTGAATTTTTTGTTCAAAAAGGTGAAACTATAACTATGCCTAAATTTCAAAATATTTTATTACAAATTTCTAAAAATGTTGTTTTATTGAATCCTAATGATATAGATGAAGAATTAACCGATGATGAAGAACCAGTTTTAATTGAAACTAATGAAAAAGAACCTAAAATTGTTGAATCAGAAATTGAAAAAGTCGAACCTCAAGTGAAATCCACTATTCCTGTTGCTAAACCAATTGATACTCCAATTACTAAATTACCAAATCTGTCACTTCCAAATACTCCTTTAAAACCTAAAAAACCATATATTCATACAGATAAAGATGATGCTCAAAAGGGTGTTGATAAAGAAGAAGATAAACCAGATTATACACCAAGTAAAGAACCATCATCATCAAATCCGGAAGACTCAATGAAAATTGCAGAACCAACTACACCAAAACCAGCTCAATTAAAATCTCAACCAATTGAAACTCCAAAAACTTTTAAAATATTTCAAGATGAATTCACTATTCCTGTTCGTTCATCTTCAATCTCTCCAGTATCTCAAGAAAAACGTGATAATGTATTAACTGATAAAACAAATATTAAAAGAAGAGCAACATCTGAAGAGCCACAATCACAACAACAGCAACCACTTAAAAAGAAAAAGAAAATCATTAGAAAACAACAAACTCCAGAATTAGATAATTCAGTTATGGAATTACCTAATTTATCAGAAATTCAAAATATTTTAATTAATCATTTAGCATTTTCAAGATTAAGTTCAACACCAGCTTCATTTTTAAATACAATTAGTGTATTAACTTCAAAATTATCATTATCTCAAATTAGATCAATTTTACATAATTTAAAACCAATTGGTGTTATTTATCGTCAAGGGAAAGATGCTGCTGGTAAACCATTAGAAGAAGAATATTATTATATGCCTGAAAATGATGATGATAAAGAAAGAACTATTTTGGTTGCTAATGTTAAAGGTCATGGAGGTTTGAGATCTTGTAGAAAGACCCATAAACAATATTATTGGAAGAAACCAGCCCCAATTAAGAAATAATTTACAGAGTGAATTTTTTTTTTTTTTACCATCTCAAATGTTTACTGATATCTTTCTTTCTTTCTTTTTAGTACAGTGTATATTAGTTTTACGTAAATATTGTTACATTATATATGTGTTTTATTTTATTATTATTCGTATTTAGACATATCAATAGTACTTGGATAATAACTTGAAGATGAATTGATATCCTTTCGATTTACATAAGGATTTGATAATGGATATCCATATTCTTGTTTTTGTTCTTCTGATAGTTCATGGGGATGACTGATGGCTAAATTTCGTATTGCAAACGTGACACTACTACTATCATCTTTAATATCAATATCTTCTTCTTGATCATATTTCCATATTCGTAAACCAATGATAATAATTCCAACAATTACTTGGAATAACCATAATACAAACATTCCTAAACTGATATAAAATTCCAACCAGATTGATTGTTTGTAAACTTCAATTAACTTATTGATTTTATTCAAGACTGATTGTGGTTGTAAAAACTTGATCTCTTGTAAATCATCCAGTAAATCATCTCCTAATAATGGCAAATCAATATTTAAATTACGATTCATCCAAGTTAATCCTGATTCCACCTTTTCTAGTTTTCGACCAATAGTACAATAGACAATGGTATCAACTGCACCAGATAAAGGGGTTTTACCAAATATACTAGTTAATGTATCATTTAAATCATCCATAAAATTTACAATAGTTGAATTTATAGACAGGGAAGTTTCTTTAATATTTCCAAATAATTCATTATTCATATCTGTTTGTGTATCATTGATATAATCATTCATACTTCGAACATAATTTGTAACTGAATTTGAAGAATCACTTGAATTACCAATAAAAGATTCCATATGATTATTCAAATGTGATTGAACATGATTAACCAATGCAAATTGTAATGCAACTGAAATAATCCCCATTAATCCAAAAAAGAATACAATTCTAGCTGCTTTACTAAATAAATAACTAAACATCCATATCATTTTCTCATTCATATAATATCCCATTCGTTTCTCAATAATATAAAGGACATCATTATTATAAACATTAAAACGATTACGGAATTCAATATCTGTGGAAATTTGTTCTTCATATATAAATTGATCCATACGTTTCCATTCTCTCCATTGTATAAATGCAACATATATGATTGATAATGCCATGGCAATAATTAATCCAATAAATATAATCTTACTAACATTTTCAACAACTTCAACTAAATCACTTTGAACTTGTTGTAATTTATTCATATCTTTCAAACATTCTTGTTTATAATTAAGTGGACTTGGTGTTGAGTTTCTAAAATTATAATTATCCTTCATTACATTTAATTTCTGAACAACTTTATCAAATGGTGTGGCAACTAATGTTTGTGTACCATTATCTAATTTTGATAATCCATCAAAACTTACATTTCTTGCTTTATCGATTTTATCAAGTACATCACCAGGAATCATGATTTTATCTTTCAATTCTCCAAGACTTATATTTATTTGATTTTGATATTCTGATGCTTGTTGTGTCAGTTTGTTTCCTGTTAAAAAATTAGAAATTGCATTAAATCCTTTAACAAGATCATTTATAAATTGAGAAAGACCTTGTAAAGCTGATTCAATATCATTGGTTGCTGATACAACAGTAGCATTAACTGCTTGAATAACACCTTCACTTGCATCAAATGCAAATTCTGTTGTTCCTTTTAATGCAGCATTTAGTATACATATATAAGTACCCAAAAATAATTCAATGACAAATAAAACCATATTTTTTATTGCCCTTAGAAGTAATATAATTGATACCAACCCTGATACTTCTAATGTTTGTAGTTTGTCAACAATCATTTTATGAACTGTATTCAACACTGGTTGAACTTCATCATTATCACAAACTGATTTATCTAGCAATTCCAGAGATAAGTTTTTCAATAGTGAATTTTTTAGTACAATTAGTTTGATAAGTATTAATAGTAGTAATATGGAATATTTATTGAGATATGATTGGGATAAAATTTCTCTTAGATTAAGGTAGTTTCTAAACATAGTTATTTTGAGGGGGGTATGGTTATAAATTGACCAACAAGACAAGAAGAAATGAAAACTTTCAACCCATTGTTATTTGAAATACTTAAATGTCTGATTCCTTGATATTTATGTTATTTCAATTAAGGTAGTATTTAAAACCAATATGAAACACGGCTGCAACAGGTTTGAAAAAAAAAAAAATAAAAATAAAAAAATATCCTGGCAATCATAAACACAAACAAACATAAAACCCTCTTGTTGTCAAATCAGCGTTTTCAATAAAAAAAAATTATTTGACACTTTCAAAACTTCGTGACATTGTACCTTTTTGTAATGGAGATGGTCAATATAGTATTGGTTGGTCAGAGTTTATATTTACTACGTGATAAGTAACACAAGTCGTGTATATGTTTCCAATTGTTTTTTTTTTTGTTTGATTTTCATCAGTGCATTAAGGAGAGAGAGAGAGAACGCCATCAAAAACAACAAATAAAAAAAGGAAACAGAAAACTACTGACGCCGAATTGGACGTGTTTCAATATAACCATTTCAACGGTCAATCCACAGTAAACACATATTTTTATTATTATAATGTCTGACGTCGAAAATACACCTGATGCTGGTTCAGGGGAAGTTAAAGAAGAAAAGAAAATTGCTCATATTAATTTAAAAGTTTCTGATGGTTCAAATGAAATTTTCTTTAAAATTAAACGTAGTACTAAATTTGATAAATTAATGGAAGCTTTTTGTAAAAGACAAGGTATTAATCCAAGTCTTAAACGTTTTTTGATTGATGGACAAAGAGTTGATCCAAAACAAACACCAGATGATTTGGATTTAGAAGATGGTGATACTATTGAAGTTCATAATGCACAATTGGGTGGTTGTTAGAAAAAAAAAAGAATGGCTGATTATATGTCCCTCTACCTATGTATTATTATTGTTTGGTAGTATTAGCTGTCATTTTTTTTTAGTATTTTCAATAAAGTTATAGTTTTTTTACTTAAGAAATTGATAGATTAATTGTAGATTCTTTGTTGATTAGAAGGAGATGATATAAAAGTATACCAGAGTGGAGATTAAGTGTCATGGTAGCTATGTAAAGAAATGACAAGAGAATAATAATAAAAATAAACGTCATTAAACAGTTTCTAGAAATATCGAACTATTCTCATGGGGGGTCTTAGCATTAAAATAATATCACTCTTTAGACCATCACCAACCTGGATGATTCGGGGATTGGAAAGTAAATGACTAAAGACAATCTTATCTGGGGTAACCAAAAATTAGTCAGACGGTGATAAAATAACGGAACCAAAGAGTACTCATATTTGTATATCCAACGGGTATTAGCCCTTGTTGGTGGTTCATACGTGTGTTATGATAATAACAGATTAGAGTATTCACGTTAAATCCGGAATAATAATAATAAAAATAAAAAGTACAGATCGTACGAGTTGGTATTAGTGTTTGCAATTGATATTGATGTTGATGATCACGGCAGAAATTGGATCACTGTTCCTTATTTTCCCGTAAATTATCAAAAGCTTTTCTTATGCCCGATTTTTTTTTTTATCATTCATTGATAAACAGTAAATCTCCACCCATAGCGGACATACACATCCGAAGATGATGTAATGAATGTGAAAGAAAGACAGAAAAAATAGAAGTGCGAAATAATGAATGTGTGTGTGTGTACAAATGGCTCCATTTTTTTTTTTTTTTTTTTTTTTTTTTAATTTTTCTCTCTCACATTCATGGTTAATATTTTAGCTTAGTGAATGACTTGATGCACTAAATGAATAAAAAAAAAATCGAACGGTTTCGCCTTATAATTTGCGACGTAACAAATCCATGATTCCGGGGTAAAAAGAAAAATTTAGTCTCGCGTGCACACTACTAGTAAAAATTTGCAAGCAAAAAAAACAAAAAAAAAATTAATAATAATAATAATAAAGAACAAAGAAGTTCCTTTTTTCCAGAGGTAGGATTTTTAGACTCTTTATCAAAATCTCTTATCTCACCAACCCATTCCCGTTGGTTTAACTAAAGGATGACTAGAGGTTAGGTATAAAAGGAGAACAACTCCTCTTTGAATGTTTGGATTTTTTTTCAGAATTTTTTTTTTTACTCTTGTTTTTCAGCAATTATTTAATTAAATATTCAATTAACTTTCAAATATGTGTAAAACCGAAATTTGTGGCATTTGTCGTATGTTTTAATCGTCTATTTAACGCATCGTTAAATTATCAACAACAATACTAACAAAAAACTATGCTTTTTTTTATAGAACATAAATCATGGACTGGTTGTGGTAAACATGTCCACGAAGTCATGGACGTTTCAACCAAGGATAACTGGTGTACTTGTGAACCATTAGATAAAGACGAAGTTGTTTTTGTTGAAGGTCATGGCGTTTATCCGCCAAAAGCTGGTCAAGGTTTAAGAAGAGGTAGTACTGTTGGTTCTCCAACTTTTTAGGATTGAGACAAAAAAGAAAAATAAGCTACACGTGATGAGAATAATGCAAAGTTTGGGTTTATGAATAGAAAGTTTTTGCTTCGTTTTTGAATGTAGAACATTAGAAATGTTTTATATGATTAGTATTAGATATATATAAATTGTATATGGTTTTATTTATTGTTATTATATTATTTTAATTATTATTGAAAAAAATAACCGTCATCATTATCTTCATCATCATCGCTTGGTCACTTATCTCGCTGATTAGTTTTACTGCAAAATAGAAATAACCAGCAACAACAATAACAATAACAACAACAACAACAAAAAAAATAGACTCTATCACGATAACAACGTGTAAATACGATAATAGGGGATTTTTCAAATTACAGAAGTTGCTATTCACATGTGAGATAAATTGTAAAGAGTATCCTTTCAATTATTAAATACCATATGCTACATACAACTTGCTTTCATTAAATCAGTGGAGTGATTCTATTTTAAAACAAAAACGAGTGGAGAAAGTTTCTTGGGGTAAAAAAAAAAAAAAAAAACAAAAACGAAGCGCGATATGTATATGCGTGCATTTACCAAAAAAGTAGGAACAATTTTTTTATCGATTCATCTAGGGAACAAGGTTTGTGGAGGAGGAGGTGGAGGAGAAGAAGATTATTGGTGATTGTTTCCTGTTTTAAACTTTACTCCTTAAATTGAATTAATTTAATAAAAAAGCAAAAAGTTTAAGTAAAAAGGCATCAAACTGTACGTTTTCATATTTTAAATTGACTGGGTTAGGAATATTATTTACAATCGGTCGATTTATCTTTATTTGTACTGCTTCAAAGTCAGTGCGGGCTTTGTTTGATTGGGGTTCCTCATTTTTATCTTCTCCACACAAAGCAAAAAACGTGATTGATTGAACATGGAGTATAGCAAAACAAGATAATCTATGTGTAATACATCATTATACATCAACTAGCAAATGTTGACAGTACAATTGAGAGAAATAAACTCTTTAAATATTTAACAGTTTAGGAAATTTTTAAGGATAACATTCTCATTTATTTGTTATTTTTAATTGCAGGTAGGATGGAATGGGGGGGGGGGGGGCAAAATAGGTCCAATTTGTATTAATAGTCTGGACGGGTCACTCAAAACTAAAAATAATAATTAACTATGTTTTTTTTTTAAAAAAATATCTACGCGCGTCGAAACAGCAATACGTCTGTTGGGTCGACAAATTCACTTTCGTGCCACCTCTCTCTCTGTCTCTCTCCATGCCGTAGATAGTTGTTGACTGCTCCACCACGACCAAGAGATTCTTGCTAAATCCTATTCCTATTTCTAATCGTTGTCATTATTGTTGTTGTCATTTAGACTCTGCATTGTCCGATCCAAATTTTTCCTCTCTCTCTTTTTTTTTGCTTGACTTTCATTCTCTATAGTGGACATATAATTTTGTCCTTCATTTTTTTTTCTCTCTGTGTTTCTCTCTCCAGCGCTCTTTAATAACATCATCATCTTCATCATCATCATTCATCAATCAATCAATCAATAAATAAATCCAATCGATCATTCAAGACAATAAGAATTTCAAATTTTCTAATTGCTTTCTTTTTTTTTCTTTTAGTTTTTTTTTTTATTAATTTCTAAAATTATCTAACCTTTTCTTTCTTTTCTATAATATAATCAACTACCATTCTATCAACAAATAGTTCTTAGAAACAGCAAGATATCATTTGTTACAACAACAACTCCTTTCACAATAAATACTCAAGGCAAATTCAACCGATCATTTATTTCTAACAACAGCAACAACAGAAAAAATAAAATAGTAAAAACTTCCCTTAATTTTTTACCTCAGACAAAAAGGCAACGAATTTTTTTTTTTTTTTTGTGAGAAGCCAAACAAACAAAAAAAAATCATCATTATTATTTTCATTTCACCAATAGAGTAATTAATTTTTCTTTTTCATTTGAATTGTCGAGTTTTTTTTTTTTTATTTTAAAAAATTAAATATATTTTTGAATATCCAAATATTTATCCAAAGAAACTAGTCATGAATTATCCAGACTTTTTGAATAACAATATTACTCCTACCATGAAACATGATACAAATGGAGATCAATCCAGGCAAGACGAAAATTCTAAACAACAATTAAATTACCCCACCACAAACAACAATGCAACAACAACAATCAATCCTGATCAACAGCAACAACAGTTTCAGTTCAACAAGCTTCTATTTAACAAGTTATCTGCCTTGGACGATTCTTTACCCGTCGATATGTCAAGTTTCTACAACAACACACCGGTAAATAGAGATTCATTCCATTTGCCTGCTGAATTACAAGGTGGTGTATCGACCATATCATCAAGAAGACCAAGTTATGCAGCTGAATCCTTCACAAGAAGTAATTTCTACAATCAACCTAATGTGAATCCCCAATCACCTCAATTAGGACCTCAATCTTCTAATTTTTTCAATAATGGCAAAGATTTATCTTCCATAGCAATTATGAATAACTATGCCAATAATCACTATCAAAATAATTCAATTAATAATTATGATATTAATGATTCATTTGCAAATTTGAACTTACATACAAAGTTCAACGATTTTCAATCAAGAAGACCAAGTCAATTGGTTGACTTTCCTTTCAATCCATTTTATGCTGGTCATGTTCCACCACCACTTCCTTCTTTAGACCAACAACTGCAACAATCTCAACAGCAGCAGCCACCACCTCAACAGCAACAGCAACAACAACAACAGCAGCAACAACAACAACAACAACCAGCGCCACAATTAAACCTTGGGAATAATTCAACTGGATATGGCGCCTACAGGAATAAACAACAAATTAATGGTTCACCTCAATCTGGGCAACAGAATTTACAACAACAGCAACCAACACAGCAACAGAGTCAAGGTGCGACTATTAAATTGGAAAATGGATTGATGTTCAGAGATCAGTACATTATTGCGTCTCCAGATTTGAAAAACTTGTATATGAAAACCATCAAGTACTTTCAAGATCCAAAAATCACTGCTGATATATTATCAAAATTGAACAATTTGTTGATGAATCCAGTTATTGTAAAGTTAATTACCTTCATTAAAAATTTGAATAATCTTACTTTTAACCATAAAATCCTTTGTCTTGTCATCAATAAAAATGGGAAATTTGACTTGTTATCATATCCTCATAATTCCAATATATTTTTACAAAAAAATGATTTGGTCATTGTTGATGGAGATCGTGGTAAAGATTTAGTTATGATTGTCGAACCATTGGTTAATTTGAATTTTGCAATTTTATTTAATTTCTTGAAGAAGTTGGAACATTTGAAGAGTTTGACTATTATCGAGGGACAAGTGACCAAGACCCATGGTGGTACTCATCCAACAACCATGAATGCATCAACTATTATCAATTCCCATCTGAATGAAGATAACGAGTTTATCATCACTTTACCTACGAAGCAAGTTCTTCGTTTTGCCAACCCAAAGGAGGTTCATAAAATTAGTGGTAAATTTCTTGAAGAAAAGAAGGCATTTATTACATGTTACAATAAAATCAAAGAACTCAATCTTGAATCTGATTTATCACTTATTAATGTCGAATATCAATGTGATTTCAAGAAATTGATTTTCTATTACTTTGCAGGATTCAAACGTATTGATTTTAGAGGCTTGATTAAAGAATTGTTTAAGATTTACAAGACAAGAATTTGGTTGTGTGCAGTTTTACCATATGATAAAGCTGAACTTTACATCACCATGGGTGATGAGGATGTCGAACCTAAAGCAAGTAAAGTTGATGAAAATGCAGTTCCAAGCGAATATGAGTTGACCAATGATCAGATATTGAACTTTTCTATTAACGAATTTGATAATTTGGCAACACCAAATTATTTCCATCTGATTAATGTGCAGAATTTGATTAAGCACTTGTCGAATGAGATCAAGGGTAACTTTTATGGGTTCAATACCGGAAAGACAGATAATAATCTCCACCCTATTAAATCAGTTGATAGTTCAGATAGAAGCAGAATTTTACCAAGTTTTAATCCATTTGGCGACATTTAGATGATTTTTTTCCCACCTCCTTCCCAGCACTCCATAATAAACAACAACAAGAGCCAAATAAGTTAATGATAAAATAAAGAGATAGAAGATCTGTAAATTAATGTTGAATCGTACGAATTTAGTTATAGAGTTTTTATTTGCGTTTTTTTTTTGATTAGTCTCCAGGGGACTATAGACCAGTTGGGATACTTATAGAGATTGCTTTATTTATTTTGTATTTTTCTTTTATTATTTTATGTTTTTGATTTTTCAACCAAGATTTCCATCCCTTATATATATATTTGTATATATACCTGAATGATCTTATCTATTTCCTTGTCAAGAATTGATGATTATTCCCAAAAATATCAAATGGTGATTTTATCGTTGATTTGTTTTTGTTTATTTTAGCATCTATTCCAATAAAATATGAAGATAGAGTTTAGCCATGTGGCAGTTTTCTTTTTTTTTTAATAAAGTTGTTTTATTCCTTTTCTTTGATACAATTTAATGATTTATTCTAACGAAATTAACGGGACTATTATATATTTATATATATGTTAATATATCTAACCATGTGTACTTATTGTGATTTTTTTTTACAACCATTGATTGTTGCTGTGATTTGGTCTCCAAAAACGTTACTGCGCAATGGTGTTTATTGAGAACGAAAAAAATTAGCAACACAGGAAATTTACATTGAGCCCTCTTTTACCACCATAATCACCAATGTCAAAGAGACCAAGATCCGTTGAAGAACTATTGGAAGATGACGATTCCAAAACTGCAGTATTTATACCGGTGAACAAACGAATGGATATTAAAAACGCATCACCGTCATCATCAACATCTAATGTATCAAACAAATCGGCTTATCAAAGACTTATGATGACAAGAAAAGCAACCCAAGACAATTCAATTATTCAAGAGCAACCAACTGACAAGAAGAAACAAGCATTTAGAAAATTTCAATTTGAATGGAATGCGGAAGAAGAAGATACTGCTTCGGGTTTTACTCCATTGATCTCAGATGATGATGAAGATGATGAAGAAGAAGATGCTAATGATCAATTGTTGAAAAATCTGGATACTATTCATTGGAAAGATAAACAATTAAAAGATATGACAGATAGAGATTGGAGAATATTTAAAGAAGATTATAATATAACTACCAAAGGGAAAAATATTCCAAATCCACTACGATCATGGGATGAAAGTTCAATTAATTCAAAATTAATTTCAATAATTTATAAATTAGGATTTAATCAACCTACATCTATTCAAAGAGCAAGTATTCCATTATCATTGATTAAAAGAGATGTTGTTGGTGTTGCTGAAACAGGTAGTGGTAAAACATTATCCTTTTTAATTCCATTATTTAATTATATTTTATCTATTGATGAAAATTATATCAAATATGAAAAATCTCTAAATATGCCTATGGGATTGATTTTAGCACCAACTAGGGAATTAGCTATACAAATAACCAAAGAAGCGGAAAAGTTTTGTAAAAAATTAGGATATGTTGTACTTTCTATAATTGGTGGACATCAATATCTGAATACTATTGATGATATTGATAAATCAGGTGTTCATATAATAGTAGCTACTCCCGGGAGATTAGTTGATTCGATTGATAGAAAAATCATTGATTTAAGTAAATGCTATTATTTAATTATGGATGAAGCTGATAGAATGATTGATATGGGATTTGAAAAAGATTTAAATAAAATCATGAGTAAATTACCTAATAGTGATCAATTATCACAAACTATAGATGGCAGAATCTTTCATTTAGATAAAAGATCAACAATGATGTTTACCGCTACTATTTCTCCACCAATTGAAAAAATCACCAAAAATTATTTGATAGATCCTGGATATGTTTATATCGGTGGTGCTGGTGAAGCATTAGATAATATTGAACAACAATTTGAATATCTTCCAAGTGCAACTTCTGAAACTACTAAATTTAATAAATTAATGAAATATATTGGAAATCATATGAAAAATACCCGTAATCCATTGATCATTATATTTGCTAATTTCAAACATGTTTGTGACTCACTATCACAGGAATTATCCAGTAACCATTTAGATAACGTAGTGATACATGGGTCAAAGTCACAAGAAGCCAGAGAATTGGCAATTAATCAATTTAGAAATCATGAAAGTGAAATATTAATAGCTACTGATGTTGCTGCTAGAGGGATTGATATTCCTAATGTGACGCTAGTGATTAATTTCCAAATGGTTAACAAATTTGATGAATATATTCATAGAATTGGGAGAACTGGTAGAGCAGGAAATAAAGGTAAAAGTTTTACATTTATATCTGAACAAGATTCTGATGTCTTTATTCCACTCAAGAAATTTTTAAAGAAAGGTGGTAAAAGGGTACCCGATTGGTTATATAATTATCAAGCACAAACTCTCAAGGATTAAACCTCTTATATGTACTAATATCTAATAAAATGCACATTCGTATTGACTTGTCTTGCTAACTTTAACACCTAGTTTATCAGCAATAGTCCAAGTTAAACCAGTATCTCTTAAAAAACCTTTGCCAAATAATGCCAAATCAAACTCTCCATTATTTACCAAGTCATTAAGCAAATCAAGATCTCTATCTAATCCACCACTACATGCAATTAAACATCGATCACCTATATGTTTCTTAAGTTCACGTGCCAATGGTACTTGAGCAGGAAGGGATTTATCTTCATTGAGAAGATATCTTGATTTCCCATGATTGACAATCCCACCTGAAGTTACATCAATCATCAGTACACCATGATCTATTAATCGATCAGCTAATTTCACAGCTTCTTTCGGAGTCCAACATTCTTCATGATGATCATCATCTTGAGAATTATCACACATGGCAAGTTTTATAAAAATTGGAACTTTATCATCAATTCTTTGTTTAATTTCATCAATAATTTCCAATAATAATCTTATTCTATTATCAAATTCTCCACCATATTCATCATTTCTATGATTAGTTAATTTACTTAAAAATTGATGAATTAAACATCCATTACCAGCATGAATTTCAATTGAATCAAATTTACAAATTTTAATTGCTCTTTCAGCAGAATCACCAAAATCTTTAATAATTTGTTTAATTTCATTTATATTTAATTCTCTTGGAATATTATGATTTTCACTAAATGGAATATTTGAAGGTCCAACACAATAATCTTTAAAATTATTTTCAATAATTCCAAATCCTTTACCTTCACCTATTTTTCTACCACCATGATTTAATTGAATACAACAATAAATTGAATTTTTTTGTTCATGTATAAAATCAACAATTTTTTTCAAATTTTTAGCTTGATAATCATTCCATAAACCTAAATCATAATTTGATAATCCTGAATTTTTGGAAACTGATGTACTTTCAATAAAAATTATTCCTGGTCCTCTAATTGCAAATGATCCATAATGAATTAAATGAAATGAACTAATTTCATTTGTTGATGTTGATGCTGCATACATACACATTGGTGAAACACCTATTCTGTTGGGTAGTTCAATTGAATCATTGATTTTTAATGGTTGGAATAATACAGGTCGTGTGATATCTGACATAATTGTTTGATATGAAATTGATAATGTTGTAAAAAGGGGTAGACGTTAAGAAAGAAAGAAAGAAAGAAAAAAATACGGGGCAATTGAATTCAAGAATGGTTTTTTTTTTGGAGAAGTCGGAAAAATAAAAAATAATCCCGTCGATATCCTCATTCCCTTAGTTTGTAAATTTTCCGAGAATTGAAAAGAATTTACATCTTGAAAGTATATCAAATCATCTCGTGACATTATAAATCGTTAATTATATTATTATGGGGGCGGGGATAAATTCGCTTTATCGTATATACACAATATAAATAAATGACTAATCATTCATCATCTTCATCACTAGAATAGTTACCTAAAACACTTTCTAAATGAGGTTCATTTCTTTTAAACATCAACAGTTTTCTAAATTTGGCAACTTGTTTTAATGTAGATTTACGTATTATACCATTTCCTTGTTTAGATGACGTAGAATAATCATTCAATGTGGAATTCCGAGTACTAACATTACTATTCGAATGATCTCCATTATTTACTTCTTTTTGTTCTTTATTCAATTCAACAACTTCAATTTCAACTTCTTTAGTTACCGAAGAATCTATTTTACGTTTTTTATTGCTATTATTATTATCTTGATCTTGTAATAATTGTCGAACGGTATCCATTGCCAATTCTTCCATTCTTCGCTTTTCTTGCTGTTGAACTTCTGGGTTTTTATCTTCACTTGCCCATCGTACAAATAATACTTCTTTACTTCCTTCTTGTAAACATTGTTTTTGCATTGCTTCTTTAGCAAATTGAGCTCTATTTTCATTTTCCATAGTTATAAATGCACAATTCTTATTTTTTAAAACACGAATTTTAATGATATTACCAAATTCTTCAAAATTCTTCTTTAATAAATTTTCAATATTTGGTCTCATATGAAATCCTCCAACATATAGTGTACAATTTTTTTTATTAAATGAACCTACTCCATCCATATCATCTCTATAATTTGCAGTTTTATCTCTACCAAAACAATCTTGAGTTTGTTTAAAATCATCTGAATCATTAGGTAGACGATGGAAATAATTACATTTTGAACCTAAATAACAACATCCTTGACTGAAAAATAAACAAATTGGAGATCCTTTACTTGCTTTCGTATAACCTTCATCATTAGACAAATTAACTCTATATTTCAGTTTTGTCTTTGCTTGATTATTATCATTTTTGGACCAATTTGTCCACCATATATTGAATTGTTGAGATCCTACTTGTTGAGGTTTATTTGAATCGGATATATCATCGGGATTTACTTGTAGTCTAGCTGGTTTGGACATAGGATCAGATGAAGTTATAGAACTAATTGAAGTTTTATCAAGTGCCATGATAATATTATCTTTTAAGCCTTTTTCCTTAATTTTTTTTCCGTCGTCTCTGTGAGTGTGTGTGTGTGTGGAACAGGATGTCTCACTCTTGGTGTGATTTTTGCTTTTTTGTTTTTGTCTGTCGGTGAAAAAAAAAAAAAAAACAAAACAGAAAATCTTTCGTTGGGCTAGCGCTCTCCCTCGGTAGTAGAATGCACCTTGTTGTGAATGCCTGCCTTTATTTCTGTGGATATTTTGTCTCACTCTGTTCAGTCTAAATTGAATCGGGGGAATTCGAACCGGACTGATCTGAATGGAGGGGGGGGGGACAAAGAAACAGTAGTTTATGATAATGTAGAAGCAGAAGAAGAAGAAGAAGAAGAAGAGAAGAAAAAGACAAAATAGCAAGCAAACAATAAAAAAAAAACTAAATAGGAATTATTGCTATAGTTTTACTACTTTATTTATTAGACCGGAAATACACTAAAATAAGAAATACCTATACAAAATAAAAGAAAGAAACAAAAAAAAGACAAACCAACAGAAGCAGCTCCCAGCTATAAGCGAATAGGGATTAGTTTATTCTGATGATATAAAGGTGACGTAAAGAGCCATGCATGCCTTAGGATCAACTAAAAAAAAGGACCCAAATAAATTCGGAAATGCGGGTTTAACACGTGAAATAGCTGCAACACATTTCCGGCCGCAAAAATTACATTATGTGTGTGGCAGCCCAATAACTACAATAATCTCTCTATGCAAGAAAAAACAACATCAAGAATTAGAATTAGTAATAGTAAAGTACTTGAAAACAAATAAAGCTCTATATATAAAATGAGCCCATATAATAGGTAAAACAAAAAATAAAATAAAATGAAATGATTAATTTACTTGAATATCTAAATCAATGAAAAGATGAAAGAAAATCCAATCAATCCAGCAACGGCAACGGAGTTCTTCCAGTTACCTTGTGGATAGGCTCCAACAGCCGCACCAGTAGCAGATGTTGAGGAACTGTTGGAAGAGTTACCACCAGAAGCAGCAGCACTACCACCAGTAGTTCCATTAGTACTATTTGAACCAGTACCAGCACCAGCAGCAACAGCAGTAGATGAAGCGTCATCATCATCATCACCAGTAGACGAGGCATCTTCATCTTCATCAGTGGCAGAAGCTGAAGCATCTTCGTCGTCATCACCTGTAGCAGAAGCATCTTCGTCATCATCTCCAGTGGCAGAAGCATCTTCGTCGTCATCCTCACTGGCAGTGGCAGTGGCATCTTCGTCAGTTGCAGTAGCCGATTCATCGTCATCTTCTTCAGTTGCAGTAGCTGATTCATCTTCATCTTCGCCAGTTGCAGATTCTTCATCATCTTCATCAGTAGATGGGGTTTCAGTAGAATCGGCACTGTCGTCATCATCTGTGGCTGTGGCATCAGCATTAGCACCAATTGAACTTAATTGAGCATCAACATCATCAATATTAGATGCGAAACCTGCAGTAATTGTAGAATATTGCAGTTCACCAATTTCAGTTAATAATCTCCAATTACTTTCAGCAGCATCTGTAGCTGACAGAAATTCAACAACAATACCCAGAGTAAGTTGAAGAAAACCATTTTCTAAAGTGCTTGCAACACCAAGACCGGCAGTAAGAATGTCATTAAGTCCGTTGATAATATCAGCCATTGTTTTTAATATAGAGATTATTGATTGAGTTTATGTAATGGAGAAAATCAAAAAAAAAGAAGAGCAACAGCCACTTGAAAAGGTTGAATTCTTCAGAAGAGGAAATATATTGGGCTTTTATACTTCAAAAAAATAAAACAAAATCTTATAATGTCTTAGTAAAAAAACAACAGCAAAAGCAACATACACCCAAACAAACGTCTCGGGAAAAGTTGAAATATCTAAATCTAACGTGACAGAATGTAATATGAACTGCAAACATCCAGGGATAAAGTTTCAAACTAAAAAAAAAAAGAAAATGAAAAATAAACACACTGTCATTATTACTGTCATTATTAATGCAAAAATACAAAAAAGTTTGAAAACAGACACGCTTGGGCTGTGTTTCTTGTCGTGGTACATTGCCAGAAAATTATGAACACCCTCCCCCACTCAAAAAATGGTTATGAAAGGATTGGTTTGAGTGATAATATGTCCGATAATTCTACCCACTCCTTAATCATCATTGGCAATAAATAAAGAGAAAAAAAAAAGAATGCAAAAAAAAAATTATTCTTGGAACGCGCGTGGTTATTTGCTATTTATGAACAGTTGTGGTTCAAAAATTTGGGTTTTAGGTTTGTCATGATTTTCCATAAAGTTTTCCGTTCATTCTTTTGTAGTATGTAATGACAAATTCCCGATCCTTCCTAATGATTCCCATATGGTTATAGGTTAGATGCTAGTATAGTTCAAACAAGATAGAAGGCTATGGGTAGAATCGTGAACTTTATCAACGAAGTTTTCTTGTTTAATTCAATTCTTTTCAAGCTTGGTGAACAACATGCATGGATAGTTAAAATAGAGAGAAGAACCGAAATAAAAAAGAAAAAATTAAAACAAAGGAAACACCCACCTCCATTAGCCCACGTTTCTTGATTTACCAACAATAAACTTCTAGGGGGGAAAATATAGAAGCGATGTATCAGACAGAAATCTTGGGAACATTCCTTCAACACTTTTCTTTTTTTTATTTATTAATTTATTTGCTTTACCTGTTTTCAAACTATAGATTTCGAGCCGATCGTGATTTCTTTTCGTTGACCACACATCATGGAAATATAAACAATTCATAAAGTATGACGACGATTCTCCACAATTGTTCCCGATGGTTTTCTTATTCACAAGTACGAAATATTTCATGTCAATTAAATCTCCACTAATAAATCCGTCTATAGACTTCAAGAAAAATGAAAATTCCAAATTGATTTTAGTCTCCATCTTTCTTGAATATCCCCGAGTCTTGGAGGGATTCAAGAAAACATCTTACTACTTGATTACGAACTCATCACTACAAACACTAAATTTGTTAGGCAATATCATCAAGAACAACAACAATTTCAAGCTGCTTTTGTTGCTTCGTCTCTTTTGTATTTAATAAGAAACAACCGTTCTTTGAATTTTGAATGCAAAAAAAAAAACAACAACAAAAGAATACTCAAAAACCAAAAACGGTTGCATTAGATTCCGCGTTCTAAAAAAAAGAAATCATATAAATACATCACGTGACTTAACTAAATCTTGAATCTGTTTGATTTTTCGATCCACCAATGAAACTTGTCATAGTACAATTGAATTATGCATGAAATTCATTGAATATCGCTAACATTACACAATTTGGGAATTTCTACCCGCTAGAATTTTTTTTTTTAGATTCAGATTGGTTGGTGCGCAAGTGATAAAATCCCAATTAGGCAACTCGATCCCGTTATCATCTGGGCGAAAAAAAAAAAAAAATTAAAATTTGTGGGATTTGGTTTAAGATATTGTGGATATATAAAATCAGCATTAGAACCCCCTCCATTGAAATTTATTATTTCAAAAGTAGAGTGTTTTGTTTTACTCAATTAATTAAATCAAATTTATAATAATGTGTGGTCCAAATTCATCTACTACTACTCAATCTACATCTTCTTCTTCTTCATCAAGCAAATCTGGTAATTGTTGTGGTGCTTCTTGTAAATGTGGTTCTTCCTGTTCTTGTGCATCTTGTAATACCACCAAATTATAAGTCAGAATTCCAACAATACTATCTCATCCATTGAATTTATCAATACTGGTTATATGATCAAAGAAATTCACTACATATTCATCATCCATCCAAGTGATACACATAATAACTGATTATCATACGTAACAATTTTTTTTTTTTTTGTATATTCAATAACAATAATAAAAATAAAAAACCCATAATTTCAATACTCATACCAATTAAATTTACCCTTGATACACCTAAAACTCTTCTTCCTCTTCTACATACTCTTCATACATGATTTTTTCAACTTCAGCAGCAAACTGTATCAAATCGGGACTCAATCCTTCCATTTCCTTTGCATGTTGAATCAAAATTTCAATGGCTCTTAATTTATTGAAATAAAAATTTCTTTCCGATTCCATCTGTTGAGCATCAATAGCATATTCTTCAGCTAAAACCGATGTGGTAACTCCACCTGTAACTGGTGCAGTATTTGACATCGCTTCATTCATAACAGGTGCATGATTATTGGATCCATTAGTACTTCCATTTGCATTACCATTTCTAAATCCATTTGGGGAACGATGCCCATTACTGGTAGACATATTATGGTTATTACTATTATAGCCATTATTACTATGGTTGTTAATATTAGTATTATTATTATTATTATTATTATTATTACTGTTGTTGTTATTAGTATTAGAAGCAGGACTTATACCCGAACCTTGATTAATATTTGAGCGAGCTTTTGGTGTTGTTGAAATTCTTCCATTTACAACACCATTAGCACCTGACGATTTTCTAGATCCGACAGGAGTACTTGTTCTTCTGCCATCTCTGACTTTTGGGGCAACAACAGATGATGTAGCAATAGCACCAGGTCTTGCTGGTGACAGTTTTATAACCGTTGTTTTCATAGGAACATTATTTGTGGTAGCATATCTTTTGATCCATTGTAAAAGTTCCAAATTATCCTGAAGTTTGCAACGTATCAATTTCTCAACATCAATAGTCTTGGTTATATTATTTTTAACAAAAACATGTTGTAGGATCTTATAGTTATGACGATATTCATATTCAGTCTTTGCATTATATTTAACTTTGTTTAAAGGAACATCTCCGACTATGGTATCCATTAATTGACAAAATGCAGCACCAGATCCACATTGTTCAATCTTCGTGTAATTCAAATCCAAAGTACTATTTAACCAGTTAAGTAATTCTGCTCTTGACTCACCAACAACCATAATGAAATCAATTATCTTGAAGATATAGATTGAATCAACAAATAATCAATAAACGTAACAAACTATAAGAAGGGTTTGATATGATTGTGTTTGGTTTGTCAAAAACTTTTAAGAACAACAAACAAGCAAAAAAAAAAATATAAAATCTTTAGAGACAAAAAACTAAAAAAATTTAAATCCAAAAACAAACAACCTGTATATTAGACACGAACACACACCCAGACATCAACAGTTAGGTTCTGGCAACCGTGTTTTAGGATATGTAAAATTTGGTCTACGTAGAAGACAAGGTATAATGCAAGGAAGATGAAATAAAGGGAAATAGTAGTTATCAATTAAGGATATAAGAGCAAGACTAGACCCACTGTAATAATGATATTACACAAGGTGGGAGGGGGGGGGGTCTACCTTCAAATCGATTACAGCACTATCATGCCAATGTAAAACACGTGAGAGCAAATTGGCAACACGCATCAAGTTGATTGATTGCCAATCTCTTTCCAACTAAAAAAAAAATAAAATCACTAGAAGTAGCTTTTCCTATACTGTTTTTTTTGCAACACCGTATAAGTTGAAATGTAAATTATAAATGTTTTGACGGTTATGATCACGGGGGGTTTCTATGAAGCAAGACACGTTGATAAGGGGGGGATGATTTTGAATCAAATGACATGTCATATGATAAGGCTGTGCTTAAACCAGCAAACACAATGATATATGAAACTTGTTGTCTCTCTAATTCAAAGGTCACAACATTTTAATATTTCTATGGGCTGTATGTGTTAATAGCAAAATTTAACAGCACAAAATATTATTGAAAGCGTAGTCATTAAATTTCATAGCAAGCTTAGCACACATTAACAATGCGAAGATTTTTTTTCGTTTTTCGTTTTTTCACATTGTGCGTGTAAATGAGTACAGAAAGTTTTTTTTTTATTTGTTTCTAGGTGTTCCTCTTTTCTCTACAAATCAAATATCATCGATTATTTAAAGTCAAGTAATTGCTTAAATATTCTTAAACATTCAATTGCCCTTACTTTTCTGATATTATAAAGTACATATTCATCAAATAGTCTCCTTGCATTTTGTTTTGATTATATATTGATAATTCACTTGTTCCCCTTTACATCTTTTTCAAAATGTTACCTCATACATATACCAATCAATCTTCTGCAACAGGGTTTGCCAAACATCAAGATTCTGCTATTGCTTCTGATAACGAGGAAATTGCAGAGGTTGAAATCAATGCTGGTGAAGCTCCACCTCCACCATTGAGAAGATCTTCTTCATTATTCTCCTTATCTTCAAAAGAAGATTTACCTAAACCCGAGAAGAAAGAATATATCCAATTCATTGATGATGAAAGACATTTCAGTTTGATTAGAAATTTACATATGGCCGATTTCATCACCTTATTAAATGGGTTCAGTGGGTTTTATGCAATTATTTCTTGTTTAAGATATACATTAACTGGTCAAACTCATTACGTTCAAAGAGCTCATTTTTTTATATTATTAGGATTGTTTTTTGACTTTTTTGATGGTAGAGTTGCAAGATTAAGAAATAAATCTTCATTAATGGGTCAAGAATTAGATTCATTAGCTGACTTGGTTTCATTTGGTGTTTCTCCAGCTACTATTGCTTTTTCAATTGGTTTTCAAACTACTGTTGATGTATTATTATTAGCATTCTGGGTCTTGTGTGGTTTGACTAGATTAGCAAGATTCAACATTTCAGTTAATAATATTCCAAAAGATAAAACTGGTAAAGCTCATTATTTCGAAGGTTTACCAATTCCATCTAATTTGTTTTGGGTTGCTACTATGGCTTTATTTGTTTCTAAAGATTGGATTCATGAAAATTTGCCTTTCGGTACTATTTTGAAAGACACTGCTTTTGAATTCCATATCATCACCATTGGATTCTTCTTACAAGGTTGTGCTGAAATCTCCAAATCCTTGAAAATTCCAAAACCTTAAGTTCAAAGTGTTTAGTGTGTGTATATATATTATTCATGTATTTTGTTTTCCCTTTTCCAGGTGTTATCTTTTTTTTTTGTATTGTTTTATAGTTTGCTAATTTAATAACTGTGTATTTCTATATATACATGCAAAAATATTCCTAATATTTTCTATTTAACTTCTGGATCTTCCCATTTCGGTGTTGTCAACGAAAATACAATTCTATCTCTAAAATCAACCCCTCTATATCTCCCAGTCAACAATTGGTTGTAAAACTCTTTAGGGAAATTCTTGGGATCCAATAATCCAATATCATTAACTTTAAATGGATTTAATCTATGGTTATGTTGAGATTTACCCAACATTTGCATGGTACTCCAAAAAGCTCCATTTAAAGGCATTAAATTATTTAAAAACATTACCCAATACAAGATACCTTTTTTTCTATATTCGACATTATCATGGGTAATTCCCAATTTTTTACATTTATAAAAGAAAAAACCCAATTGATATAATAAATCAGGTTGTCCTTCAACTTGTTTAATAATTTCTTGAATTTTTATATCTGTAGGATGATTAGTTGTTTGTTTATACTGACGATCTATTTCATTGGCTCGATCCACTGCATTAGGAAGAACTTGGAGAAATTTTGGTAATTTTAAAGTACGATATGGAGCCAGGTGCAATATAGGGGATAATATTCTATTGTATCTGAACACAGATCTTGTAGCTATGAGTCGATTCATGGTTGGCTCTGTATTAAAGTATTGCCATCTCTCTGTTGGTGGATGGATAAAGTTAGTGTATGACGCAAAAAAATAATAAAAAAAAAAATATTAAAGGGCAGTAGTGCCTCCAGTTGAAACAAAATTTGCGGTGGTAAAGCAAAAAAAAAGAAAAATTTTCTTACATGAATTTTTCATTGACTCAAAAAAAAGAAGGGATTATTAACAAGACCAAAGTTGATCTTAGACCATTCATTATTACATAATGTTAAGAACACAATCTAGATATTTACTAAGATCTATTGCATCAAGCACTGTTCGTGCTTCATCTACTACTCGTGTTGCTTTGCCATCACTTTATAGACAATCTGTCAAATTTTATTCTACTAAAGACAATAATAATGCCACCGACAAGAAACAACAAGAAGAAGCTACAAAATCTATATTGAACGATGAAATGTTGGCTAGAGCAGGTTTTGAAGATGTTGATCCTAAAGAAAAATCCAGCAGTGCTGAAGGTGAAGATGCTGCAACTTCTGATAAAAGATCTGAACGTAAAAGAAAGAGAGCTCAAACTTCTAAAGATTTACAACGTGAAAAATATGCCAACTTCTTTTATTTGAGTACTTTTGCCCTTGGATTGGGTGGACTTGCATACATGAGTAGAGATTGGGATTCTGAAAAGGAACAAGAAGACATGGATGGTAAAAACATTGAAAATGGTTATACTCCAAAATTGATGTATGATAGAATGAGTAAAAGATTGGCTTCTTTATTTACATTCTTTTCAGAACCAGCCTTTGAAAACTTGTTGCCACCTCCACCTCCAGAACAATACCGTCGTCCATTAACTTTGGTTTTAACTTTAGATGATTTGTTGATTCATTCCAACTGGGATACTCAACATGGTTGGAGAACTGGTAAGAGACCAGGATTGGATTATTTCTTGGGTTATTTGTCTCAATATTATGAAATTGTTGTTTTTTCAAGTAACCTGCAAATTTACTCCGATAAGACCGTCAACAAATTGGATCCATACCATGCTTATATTTCCTATGCCTTGTTTAGAGAAGCTTGTCGTTACAAAGATGGTAAATTGATTAAAGATTTGTCCTTGTTGAACCGTGATTTGGGTAAAACTGTTATGATTGATGTTGATGAAGATTCTGCTTCATTACAACCAGAAAACTCTATTATTGTTAAGAAATGGGAAGGTCAACCGGATGATTACTTGGTTAGATTAATTCCATTTTTGGAATACTTGGCCACTCAACCAGTTAAAGATGTTAGACCAATTTTGAATTCTTTCCAAGATAAATCCAACATTGTTAGTGAATTTGAAGTTCGTGAAGCTAGATTAAGAGAACAATGGAAGAAAGATCACGGACGTGGTGGACAACCAAATGCTGGTAACTTCCTTGCTAAATTGATGGGTATGCCAACTTCTGAACCAAAGATGCCATTGGACATCATTAGAGAACATGGACAAATGCAATATGAACATTTCCAAAAATACTTGCAAGAAAATGCTCATAAATTCATGGAAGAAGAACAAAAAATGAAGGAAGAATTTGGTAAAGTTACTTTGAACAAATTGATCACCGAAGGTGCACCAAACCCTGAAGAAATTGCCAAAATTCAACAACAAAGAGCATTAGAAGAAGCTCAAAAACAAAAAGAAGGTCAAAATCAAGATCTGTTTTAATTAGTGAATCTAGCACGTGAGATTGATGATTATTCGAAAAAAAAAAAAAATCAAATAAAATTTGTAACAAGGCACTTGTATATATATATATATGTATATAATCATATAACCAACTAATCGTTAAAAGAAAGAAAAGAAGAATGTAAATTATCACGGTCGTATAGAAACTTAGCTTTTGCAACCTTTATGCAGTTTACTATTTTTTTTTTTTTTTTTGGTTGTAGACATCCTAATTGGGATAATTTAAAATCTGGCCCCAATAAAAAGTCACAATCGGATACGTTTGTGAGATATAAAGAAGGGGAAGGGGGGAGGGGAACGATAGAAGAGATATGTACATGTACAATACAATTACTGGCACAATGAAGGAATAAAAGAATAATGGAATCAACCCAACAGCACAATTCCACCTGACAGTACAAAATTTTATGTTTTGTTCCGCACACGCCAGGGCCGAAAATCGGAATATCTTTACACAATCAAGAAAATTAGGAGTAATAATTGTAGAAATGTACAACTAAGTAATGAGGCTGAATGGAAAGAAATAGCAAATACCAGAAGGCGAAATTTTTCTTTAAACTAAACAGATTAGATCTGAAAATATTAATAGGAATAACGGAAGTTCCATTAAATATTGGGGGGGGGGAGAGGTGGAGGAAATGGTCAGGACAGGTTTATTATAGGACTTTCAATGATTGGGCAATTCGGATGCCGTTGTAGAAAGATGGTCAGTGTATTATATGTTCCTTGTAGGTTGATAGGTAAAACTGTAGCGTTTCTTTTTTTCTTTTTCATATATATTATTTCAACTGAATTTGAGGAGAAGAAAGAAGAGGAAAAGGAGGACGTGGTTATGGTTACATTAGAGGAGAATTTCATGAATTGTTTTTGCTGATTTTCAGCCAATCATCAACGGGAATTTACTTGTGAAACTAAGCAAACAATATTGACTTTTGGTTTTGTGTACTGTAAGTTTTTTTTATCTAATTCATCAGTTGGTAAGAAAGCCGAGAAATTTCTTTTTCTCCTTTTTTTATTACTATTGACTAATAAGAAGGAAAGAAAGAAAAATCACATTTCATTAAAAAAAAAAGGAAAAATCTTCATCTTCATTCTTTTTTGAATTTTCATATTACTCTTTTATTTTTGGAATTAATTTGATTATCACCAACTGGTTTAACCAAAGTTATTTTTAATTTCATCTACTCATTTCTACAACCACCATCTTCCCCTATCTCACAGAGTAAAATCACACCCAATTTCAGTTTCTTCTCACAGCAGAAAAAAAAAAAGAACCAATTCCAACGCAGGCGAATCCGAAATTATTAATCATCAATATCACTTGTTTTTTTATTGAAAATGCCACCAAAAGGTCCAAATATCGTCCCTAGACAAGCACCATCTCCTATTGCTATTGCAGGATCACCACCTTCTTCATCATCTTCTGGATCAACCCCAAGAACAATGGCCAGTCCCAATATTTCTATGAGTGCTAAATCACCACTGGTGGTAGCAACTAACAACAATAATAGTAATAACAATCTTGTACCAAAACAAGTGACAACTATACAAACTTCTAAAGATTGGGTACTTCCACCAAGACCAAAACCAGGAAGAAAACCAAGTGTTGATACTCCTGCATCAAAGAGAAAAGCTCAGAATAGAGCAGCTCAAAGAGCTTTTAGAGAAAGAAGAGCTACTAGAGTACAAGAATTAGAACAAAGACTTTTGGAAGTTGAAAAAGAAAGAGATATTAAAGAAATGGCTTTAGTCGGAACTATTAATAAATTAAAGGTGGAGAATCAATTTTTGGTTAAAAATTTAGAACAATTGAAACAGGAGTTAAATCAATTAAAACAATCAACTATGAGAGCTCAAATTCAACAACAACAACAACAGCAAGCTCAACAAGTTTCTGGATCAAACAGACCATCACCCTGTCAACAACAACCAGGTATTAAAATGTCTTATTCATTTAGTTCGTCAAGACCAGGAAGTAATCATCCATCTCCTCATTCAGGTCCTCATAGTGCCATGTCACCAGCAAGCTCTTCATATTCAGTTCAACAAATATCTCCAGCACCATCTGCAGATCTGCCTCCAAATTTCTATACCAATGGAAGTGTCCAAAATACTAGTAGATTGCGTAACTCATCACTGACTCATTTGACACCAATTTCAAACAATCCAACTCCAGCCAAATCAGCAATGTCTTCAAATAGTCAAGATGATGGTGGTGATAACTTTGATTGTGGAGTTTGTCTTAAAGATAATTGTCTTTGTGAATCTGTGGGGTTGAAAGATATTGATACCAACAAGAAGAGTAGTGTTATTGGAAAAGATTTACAAAATCAATTGAATTCATTTAAACCAATGGCAGCTGTTTCATTATCAAGAAAGCGAACTGTTAAATCTATAGATGAAGAACAAGAAATTGATTTTACTAAACAATTTAGTACAAAGACAAAACCAATGCCAGATTTAAAGAGACTTAAAAAGGCGCCGATCCCATCTCCTGTACCAGTTAACAATAATAGCAACAACAACAACAACAATAATAATAATAATAATAATCAACTCACGTCTTCATTTAATGAAGATTCACCAGTTGATAATTGTGGTTTCTGTTCTGATGATACCCCATGTGTTTGTCGTGAAGCTGCCAAGGAAGCTGCAAAGTTAAACAATTATTTAAACAATCCACCACAATCAAACAATGATCAGGATGATATGATGCAAGATGTTCAAGAAGTAGTAGAACATGAAGACGATCATAAAACATTACCACCTATTCAAACCAATAATAAATCACATAATTTCCGTAAATCTTCATTACATGTAATGCATCCTGGTCCAACTATTGAAATTCGTGAATTTTCAAACATTTCTGCTGTTCCTAACGTATTGGCTGGTACAACGGATCCAAGTACTCCAACTGGAACCACCAATACTGACAGATCAAGTATAAGTTCAACAAGTAAAGAAAATTCAAATTCAAATTCAAATTCGAATGACGGAGGATGTACTGGTAATCCAGGTACTTGTAAACAATGTCAAATGGATCCAATGTCAACTTTATTTTGTACTACTGTTGCTAGTAGAACTTCGATAACTTCAGAAACCGTTACTCCAATGAGACAATTATCTAGAAATAATTCAAAATCTTCAATTCCTATAAATTCTTTAAATAATCCTCAAAGTCCTGTTCCACCTCCATTATTACCTACTACTACAAGTAATAATAATTTGAATACTTCATCATCTAGTACTCCTTCTACTCCTTCTAATTCAAATGGTTCTACTGGTATGTTTATACCTTGCGCTGATGCTTATAAAACTTTATCACGTCATAAAAAATTCAATAGTATGGATTTTAGTACTATGGTTGGTAAATTAACAACTAGAGGTATGCAAGTTGAAGTACAATCCGTGGCTAATGTCATTAGAGAACTAGATAGGAGATTATATAATTGATTTCCCAAGATATGTATAAATATATATAATCTTCTGATTTATATGTAGTATTCATTTTTATATTTGAATAATTTTAATGAGATATGTGTATTTGATAAAACAATAATAACTAAAACAATTAATTATGACTATATATATATATAGATAAAAAAATAAAAATAAAAAATTTAAACAATGAATGACATTATTGAAAGCACTTATACTTAATATGTCCAAGTACCTGGCATAGAATAAGTACTAGTTTCAGCAAATGAGAAAAAAGATGAATTAGGATCATCTTCTGGTTCTGCAGATGCTGATTTTGTAACAGGTTTGGTGGATTGGGAATTCAAATTACTACTTCCAGTTACAGTAGGATCACTACCAACAGTTCTGGATTCATGTTTAATAGCAGATGTTTCAGGAGCAACAAAACTCTTTGGAACCTCAGCAGATCTAACTCCAGATGAAGTAGCTTCTTCCGCGCTAGTATCGACACCAAAATTATTTGACTTGGTTTGTAATTTCTTTGGTGAAGTACTATCTAAAGCATAACCACCAGTATCGGATCTTACAGAATCATCTAATCCAGGAATGTTAGCTTGTTGGGAAGTGAAATTCAATGATGGACTAACTGGTTCTTTTTGGTCTGGATACTTTGGAGCCTTTGATAATTCATTATAACCATTAGATCCAGTAGATTTGATTCCTGAAGATGAAGAAACAGTTGGATTGGAACTTGCACCAACATCAGTTGAAGTTGTAGTTGGTTCACTATAGCCACCAGCAGATGAACTGGAATCTTTAGATTGACCACTGGTAGAAGGAGCAGGACCATTGAAACCTGGAATACCAGCAAAGTTGAAACCTGGAATAGTGGATCTTCCTGATGATGCAGTGGTTGTATCATTAGCACCACTGATACCACTAGAGGTAGTTTTAGCAGAATCATGATGTCCAGCTGAAGTAGATGGCTTAACAGACTTGTTGCTGGATCCGGTTCTAGAATCTCCAACTGATCGATCAGTAGAAGAAACACCTGATTGAGATGAAGAAGCTGGTGCAGATGGTGCAGCATCAGCAGTGATTTCTGGTCTATCAGAGTCGTGTGATTTTCTAATAGCAGCAGCGGCGGCAGCAGCAGCCAATCCACCAGAAACCGATCCAGCAAGTGCACCACTAACTAATCCAGTTGAAGGCTCCTTTTTGTTTTCACGAAGTGACATTGGTGAGCCATGACCGAAATGATGATGATTGTCACCGTGATTATGACTAGTGGTTGGCGATTTAGGAGTTTGAGATGGAGATTTAGTATGTTGCTGAGATGGAGATTTTGAACCTTGAATTGGTGATTTTGATTCATGACTAGCAACTCTCTTGTTACTATTGATCTTTTCAATGGCCAAATCTGGATACTGAGCAATTTCATTACCATTTTCATCTCTGACAATACCACTACTAGCATCAACTTGCAATTCTTTCACATTGGCAACAATTGCTGCGTGAGTTTTTTGTAATCTAGCAACAGCAGTTCTAGCAATCTTAGTGGCAAGAGTGTTATCTTTGATGCCTTTGACATTGACAAAAATTTCATCGTCCTCAGTGGCAGCCGGAGCAACTGGAGCAGCCAGAGCAACTGGAGCAGATGATGAAGTTGTACCAGATGAAGTGGTAATGTCAGGACTATCATTGGTATCCTGCTTTTTGATTGGTGGTTGGCCAGAATAGTCAGTAGAGTCTGGGTACTTATGCTTTTGAGCAGGACTAGAATCTGGAGATTCTTGAGATAATGATCTATCCTTTCTCTCAATACCTTTTTCGTGCTCGGCAGCAGCAACACCACTACCAACACCAGCACTCAATGCAGCAACTTCAATTGGAGTCAATCCAGAAGATCCCTGTGTATGTTTTTGTGCGGAACTAACATTCTTTCTGGCAGCTTCAGCTAATCTCTTTTTAGCAGCTTCTGTTTGTTGATAAGTATCTAATTTACCACCATCATCGGAAGCAGTGGAAGAAGTAAATGGATTACTTTCATGGGTTTGATGACTAGTAGATGGTGATGAAACATCTCTACTTTTCTGACCACCCAACTCACTTGAGCCACTTGTACCAGCACCAGAAGCACTATAATTATCATCCTTGTAGATTTCTTTAGTGTTTGCATTGATAACTAATTTCCCACTACTCAAATCAACACCTTTGTCATCTAATTTTTTGGATGCCTTTTTAGCAGTTCTTAATGCTTCATCTTTGTCTTCAATACCAATAACTTCAACAACCAAGTTTTCATCAGAGTTGTTACGAACATCATTTGAATGACCACGAGAATCAATAAATTCATCTTGGGTTGGTTTAGTTTGGTTTTGAGATCCTCTTGCACCAAGTGCAGCAGCACCCGCAGCAAGACCTCCGAGAGAGCCAATCACAGCAGCTTCTCTATGATTTGAACCAGCATGGCTACCGTAGGATCCAGCACCAGTTCTATGTGCATCTCTCTCTTGTTTAGCCTCAGTGCTTCCTTTAGCATACCCATGTTCGTACAAGTCTTGCTTCAATTTTTCATCAAGAACATCAGCTACTTGTGAATAACCAGCACCATAACTTGCTTGTTTTAAGTTTGGATCAGTAAAACCAAGTCCTTTATTTCCTTGAGAATAACCGGTATCATAGCTTGCTTCTTTCAAATTTGGTGCGATACCAGCAGCAACACCAGCATCATAGCTGGATTGCTTCAAGTTTGGATCAGTGGAGCCAAGTCCTTTATTTCCTTGGGAATAACCAGTATCGTAGCTTGCTTGTTTTAAGTTTGGAACAATACCAGCAGCAACACCAGTATCATAGCTGGATTGCTTCAAGTTTGGATCAATACCAGTAGTTTCTTGTTGTTTACCTAAATATGGGTGCTTACCTTGGGAATAGCCTTCATTATAAGCTTCTTGCTGGAAAGATGGTTCTAAGGAAGATCTAGCATCTTTTGCACTACTCAACCCCTTTTTGGCTTCAGCAGCAGCAACAGCAACACCAGCTCCAGCAGCGGCAGCAGCAACGGCAGTAGCAGCTGGCAAAGATTTTGAATCACGTTTCAGTTTTTCAACATAAGAATTGTCAATGTTAGGTTCTGGTAATTCAGATTCACCAATTGGTTTGGTGGCATTGTAAGAAGCTCCAGATATAGTTCTTTGGTGGTTTGGTAATTTAGCTTCAGAATATACTGTCGATGTAACTTCAAGTTTACCCTTTTTATACCCTTCTTGATACAAATCGGTTTCAGTTAAGCCTACTTCAGAAATATCAGTGGCAGCACCTGTGGTGGTGCTAGAAGTAGCTATACCAGCAGCAGATCCGGCAAGTGACTTCTTTACTTCTTCTGGCCTCGCGGTAGGATAATTATCTGGCAATTTTTGGACATCATTATCATCTTGTACAGAAGTAGCATTGGCATTCAATTTATTTGGGTCAGTTTTGTAAGATGGTAACTTTGCAATCGATGGATCAGCATCCTCGGCAACAGCAATCAAGGATTCAGGTTGGCCAGTAAAACCGTGTTGTTTGTTGTATTCTTCGGTCTCCTTTTCCCAAAGCTTTCTATCGTTGGAGTAAACAGTTTCCTTTTCATCAACAGTAGCTCCAGCTCCAAGCGTGGTTTCTCTTTCAAGCTCATTCTTGTTAGCCTTGTAAGCAGGGAACTTTTTAATATCTGGATCAACATCGGCAGCTTCTTGAATCAAAGATTCAGTTGGATTTCCAAAACCATGTTTCTTATTATAATCCTCGGTCTCTTTCTCCCAGAGTTTTCTATCATTAGATTTAACAGCTTCTCTTTCAGCAGGAGTAGCGTTTCTACCAAGGCTAGTTTCTCTATCCAATTCTCTTTGGTCAACCTTATGAGGTGGCAAACTGGCAATCTTTGGATCAGCATTTTCTGCATCTTCGAGTAAAGATTCATCAACATCTTGATCTTTAGATGATTTATTACCTCCTGCAATAGTCGAACCCACAGCACCTACAGCACCACCAAGTGCAGCTCCTGCGGCAGCTAAGTATCCCTTTGAACTTGAATTTGAAGTTGCATCAGTTTCAGATGGAACATTCTTTGATGAATGTGGGATTGTCTCAGAACTAGTATGGGCTGGTAATGTTGCAATTCTAGTATCACTGTCTTCTGCTTCTTGAAGCAAACTTTCTTTTGGTGGTTCGAAACCATGAGATTTATTGTATTCATCAGTTTCATGCTCCCAAAGTTTTCTATTGTTTGCATTAACAAGCTCCTTTTCTTCCAAAGTGGCATTAGGACCAAGAGTAGTTTCGGCTTTCAATTCCTTCTCATTGACTTTGTGGGCTGGCAATGATGCAATTGTTGAATCTTTTTTCTCAGCATCTTGAACTAATGAATCGTCAACATCTTGCTCTTTAGAATTCTTACTACCAAATGCATAACCAACTGCACCACCAATAGCAGCTCCAGCAGCTGCCAAATAACCTTTGGAAGATGACGAATCTTTGTTGGCATCTGGAGCAGCAGTAGTAGTACCTGCAGATTTGTTAGTGGTATGTGTTGGAGAAGCAATGCTTGCACTAGTTGAACCATACACTGGTTTGTTGGCTGTAGATGCATCCTTAGAAGCTGTTGGAACAGCACCAGAACTTCCATAAGCAGGTAATTTGTTGATTCTTGGATCAGCATCTTCTGCTTCTTGAAGTAAAGACTCTTTTGGATTAGCAAAACCGTGTTGAACATTATAATCTTCAGTCTCAAGTTCCCATTCATTCAATTCATTGTTTTCAACAACGTCACGTTGGGTAAAAGTGGCATTATCACCTAATGATTCTTCTTTCTTTAATTCATTTTTGTTAGTTTTATGAGCTGGAAGCTTATTAATTGCCGAGTCTGCATCTTCAGCTTCTTGAAGTAAAGATTCCTTAGGATTAGTGAAACCATGAGATTTATTATATTCTTCAGTTTCCCTATCCCAGATTTTCTCTTCATTGCTATAGACGACTTCCCTTTGAGGTAAAGTAGCCTGTTTACTCAAAGTAGTTTCATTGTCCAATTCCTTCAGGTTAGTTTTATGAGAAGGAAATTTGTTAATTGCAGGGTCAACATCTTCAGCTTCTTGAAGTAACGACTCCTTAGGGTTAGAAAAACCATGCTTCTTGTTATAATCATCGGTTTCTCTTTCCCATTCTCTAACTTCATTTTCAGCAACCAATTCACGTTCATCAAAATCAGCATTTGGAGCAAGAGTTTCTTCTTTCTTCAACAGTTTCTCATTGGTTCTATGAGCCGGTAATCTTCCAATAGCCAGGTCAGCGTCTTCAGCTTCTTGAAGCAAAGATTCTTTAGGATTGGTGAATCCATGAGATTTGTTGTAATCTTCAGTTTCTTTTTCCCAAATTCTCTCTTCATTATCGTAAACAACTTCCTTTTCAGGTAATGTTGCAGTTTTACTCAATGATGTTTCTTTCTTCAATTGATCCTTGTTGGTTTTATGAGATGGCAACTTGTTGATACTAGGATCGACATCTTCAGCTTCTTGAAGTAAACTTTCCTTTGGATTAGTAAAACCATGCTTCTTGTTATAATCATCAGTTTCTCTTTCCCATTGATTTCTCTCGTTTGAATTGACAAGTTCTTTTTCAAAAACAGAAGCATCTTTACCAAGAGTTTCTTCCTTGGCCAATTCGCCTTTGTTAACTCTATGGGATGGTAGTTTGGCGATCGCTGGATCAACTTTCTCAGCATCTTCAATTAAAGAATCCTCAACATCTTGTTCTTTTGACGATTTGCCACCAGCAAGAGTAGCACCAACTGCACCAACTGCCCCAGCAAGAGTAGCACCTGCAGCAGCCAAATAACCAGTGTTTGAAGAAGTATCAGTACCAGCACGAGAAGTAGCATTATGTTCAGAAAGTGCCTTATCTTTACCAGCTTGGTAAGCTTCTTTGGTAATATCATCTTCATAACTAGCATATCCACCAGTAGGCTTAAAGTTGGTCTCACCTTTGGATCTTCCTGAAGTATAAGCATCAGCCAATGTGTCTTTGTTTTTGTCACTAGAAGATATTCCTGAAGTGGCAGCAGCGGCACCACCTAAACCTAAAGCTCCAGCAGCAGCGACAGTGGCACCAATAGCCGCATCTTTGGTAGATTGGAAAAGACCACCTGTTTGGGAGGCACTTCCACCAGCACTTGGATCTAAAGTTTTAGTTCCTTCGTTGGCTGAAGTAGTATTAGCACCGAGCAAAGCATCGCGATGTTGGGTGGAATTCTTGTCAATACCTTGATAAAGGTCCTTACCTTGTTTGTAGCCAGCTGCGTAAGCTTCATCATTGACAACAGCAGCTTGTCCTTCAACAAAAGCAGAATCTTGAACAGATTGTTCTTTACCAACAGTGTAAGCAGAATCCGGGACAGTATTAGAGGCACCATATGAAGACACTGGTTCCAGTTCTTTGGTAGCAGAAGATCCTCTTTTCAAACCCAAGTAAGCAGCGGCAGCTCCCAATGCCCCGGTAGCCCCTGCGGCAACACCAGCACTAGTGCCAGTAGTATTAGTCTTGGAGCTGGTTTCTGGTGTAGAAACAACTATGTCATCTTCATCACCAACATCTTGAAGTTTTGGAGCTTGAATTGGTTCATTATGAACAGCGTAACTTGAAGCATTACTTGGTTTTTGTTTCAAATTGTCAATTTTTGCTTCAGTTTGTTTGAGTTCTCTATCAAGATCAGAAATTTTCTTGTCATCTTCTAAATTGGCTTGTGTATTACCAACCAGAGTAGCACCAACACCTGACTCAGAAGTGGTACCAGTGGCAGCATCAGGACCGGAACCTGCTGCGGCAATAATACCAGCAGCAAGGGCACTGGAGCCAGCAACGGCAGCAGCACCTGTGGCTGAAGTAGTCTTAGCACCAGAGGCTACATTCGAAGCATCACCACCCTTTGAAGACACACCAGAGTTGTCAGAATCTTTGTTCTGGTACTGGGATGTACCAGTGGTTGAATCCTTGGATTGATCATGAGATGATGGCACAGAACCACCAGTTGAGCTAGTAACATCTCTGTTTGATTTAGTTGAAGTACCTTGAGGATGATGATTTTGTTCAAGAATACCAGTAACACCATCTGGATTATAAGCAGACTTGTTTTCCTCATGGATTTCTCTTTGTTTAGCAGGATCAACTTTGGAAGATCCACCAACAATAGCAGTTCCTCTACCTCCAGTTTTTTCACCAGTAGAGTGTTCTTCCATGGCAGAAGATTGATACTCAACTCTACCTTGTTTATTACCTTCTTGGTAGGCTTCTTCTTTAATGCCTTGGAAATCAAAATCATCTTCAAGAGCAATACCGGAACCTTGATTATCATTGTGATAAGCGCTTGGTTCTGTCTTTAAATTTGAAAGATCATTGTACTCAGCTTTAGTTCTTTCATTGTATTTTGATTCATCAGAAGTGCTTCTTGTTGTAGCAGCAGCAACACCAGCACCAGCTCCAGCTCCGACAGCAGCAGCAGTAGTGGCAGTACTAACAGAAAGAAGTCCACCTTGAGTATCTTTAGGATCAAAGAATGTACCTTCACCTTCAATGGTCTTGGCACCTTCTGTGTAGTTTTGTTCGCCATCATCATCTACTCCTGGTTGATGTTCGTTATCTACTTTGCCACCTGTAATGACTGTTGGGTCTGTTGGTTGCTTGGAGTTAGCAAAATCACCAGTGATTGTATGATCAAGTGGTTCTCTGGAACGTCTTGGTGGAGAAGTTACAACACGGCCGACAGAAGATTCAGCCAAGATCTCTTTATCTGTACCAGAAGTAGGAGAAGTAACATTTCTACTGCTGGATGGAGTAGTTGTAGCATCAGCTTCAGCTTCAGCAGCACCTACGCCAGCACCAACCGCGGCTGCACCAACACCAGTAGCGAATTTTGCATCATGGGTCTGAGTTGGTGTATGGGGTGTTTTACCATGTTTAGCGTGGAAATGAAATAATTTATGACCTTCTTCATAAGCTTCTTTGAGAATTTCTTTATGGTGTTGAGCATCTGTAGTTGTAGTACCAGTTGTTGAAGATTTTGATTTTGAGTCACTGATAGTACTAGCACCGGATTTCTGTTTACGATGGAAAAATTTACGACCTTCATTGTAAGCTTCATCGACTATATCTTCATGGTCTTTTGAGGTAGTATGAGTGGATGGTTTTTGTGTTTTCTTTGGGGATGCTTGAGATGTGGAATCTCTTTTATCAGATTTGAATGCATTCTTCACTTTAGTGAAGAATTTTCCATCAGAAGAACTCATGATTGGGGTTTAATAATACAACAATTGAAAAATGTATGCAAGTATTCTATACGCGCACACACAGAAATGGGGAGGAGGGTAGGATAGGTTGGATAAAAAGTAGTTTTCAAGTATCAATTGATGTTGTAAATGAAACAATTAATATAAAAAAATAAAATGGCAACAAATTCACTATGGTACAAAAAAAAATAAAAAAAAAATTTGGAATGAAATTTCAGGGAGTTGGTGAAATTGTTGTTTTAAATTGCAAAGTTGATCGGCAGCCACCCTTCTGTACAAACAGTAAAAAAAAAAAAAAAGACGGGGGTGGGTGGTATGGTATGGAATTGGCAGAAAGAAAAAACAAAAATATGAAATTTTCAGCCAAAAGGGATGACAATGATATATGAATACACAATTATTTATAACCTGATTGAAACTTTTTTTCAGTGAAACGACGAATCAGATATAGTAATAAATCGTATAAACAGGTTGTGGGAAAGGAGGAGTTTAAGAATTGTTCGTCGTCCTTTACGTGTGTTGTTCGTATCAGTTGTGATAATCAAAAGATAAAGTTAAAAAAGGGGTTTAACTTGTATTGGTTGGATTGTAATTATAAATATTTATATATAAAAGAAAAGGTTAAACTTATACCAAGAACAAGTTATAGAAATAAACTTGAGATGAGACGATTGAAAGGGTATTTATACTATAGGTGAGTCTATAATCTCACGAAGCAAACGAGTTCAATTGTGGCTTAATTTATAACATGAATTGAGCACTTCTTTGTCATATTTCATAAATGAATGATCACTATGATTTATTCATCTGGAATTTTCACCCACATTCACTAGATTGCTATTTTTTGTTACTGTGTACAATTAATTTTGTGGTGCGTTTCTGTAACCACACGTAATGAATTTTTCTCTGACAACTACTCCCCTTTTCTATTGTAGTACTGGGTAGTGCACGATGGGTAAATTAAAGGGGGTTTTTTTTTTATTGTTCTATTGTTCTTATTACTGGACAGTCATTTGGGATTTGAATTTTTTGACAACCAAGTATATACAATTAAAGAATGGCAACCATAAGTTGTAATCAATTCACATTTCAATTGATAGCAATTGATAGCAATTGACCTGTTGCCGAACTTTCGATTGCAATAAGATCGTACATTCTCTACATGTAAGACGTCAAAACGAATTAACCGATATTCGAGTCACGGGTGTGAAACCTTTTAGGGGGTTTTGTCTCGTATTACATGGTTGATTTTTTATTTTTTTTTTTGGGTTATCTATAGTTACGAGTCACTTATATTTTGTAATAAACGGAATAGATGGGAAACCAATTGTTGATATGCACAATGAGAAAGAGCAAGTGAATTATATCATTAGTCCAATCTTGCAATATGTGTAATTTAATTTCCATTGCGTAGTCCTCCTACCCCATGGATAAGTTAATTTTCTTATAATGCAATCAATCCGAAATAGCAAGCAATCCTACTGTGTTGTAAATTATTGATGAAATTCGAATGCAGTTAACAAGAGACAAGAAACAGCATCAAATGCTAAATTCCAATTATGTCAAATTGATTGCCTTCAAAAAATGTGATACCAACACCCCCCCAGGTGCACACACACATACATACATGAGTCAATTGTAATTCCAATCTACTTTTATAATCCACGAATCAACCAAGTTTGTGGGTGTTTTATTCAACTTGATTTCGTTTGGAAAAACTGTATATTTAGCGCAATCCGAATTAAACATCTCGGATCTAGTTATCCGTTTAACATATACTTTATTTTCTAGAATCAAATGGAACAAATTACCGTTCTTTCCATGATATCCAATGTAGGCGGATGACGTTAGTTATCCATATCATCAGAAGATCACCAGTTGTAACTTAAAAATAGTCAATGCAAGATCTATTATGCTTGAAGTATATATATACACATATACACAATTTCTATTTATATTCAGGTTTTTTATTTCGTTTATTATAGATTAATCTCGTCACTAACCATTCTAAACTTTCTTTTAACCCCTGATTTTCCAATACAGAAACCGGTAATAATTTTGAATCCGTAGCTTCTAATTCACTTACTAATCTTATAAACACCCCTGTTTTAAGTGATACTAAATCCACAGCTTGTGGTAAATCTTGTTTATTAGCCAACATTAATATGGGTACATTTACTGTTCCATCAACATTATTATTAGCTCCTGTATTAGTAGAATCATTTTCATCATCTATTTGCATCCAAATATCATCATTTGCAATATCAATCAAAGTTTCATAACATTCTTGAAATCTATCAGTATCTGTTGAATCAATAATGAAAATTATTCCATGGCATTGTTTAAAATATCTTGACCACATACTTCTTAATGATTTTTGACCTCCTAAATCCCAAAATTTTAAATTTATATTTTTAAATTGATTTGACATTGGTGAATCTGAATCTTTTGATTGAAATTTAATAGTAATTGTATTTTGTCCTACTGTTGGTAATATTCTTTTTGATTTTAATATATCTGATGTTGATTTCCCATCCTGTTCTTTTGTACTTGATTTAGAATTCGAATTACCATTATTGGATGTTTCTGTTGATGAAGGATATAATAGTTTTAGATGTTCTAAAAATGTTGTTTTACCAGCATTATCTAACCCCAAGATTAGAATATTGTATTGTTCTCGTTTGGTATATTGGGTATACAATGATGATACAAGATGAAACATGTGATAGTAGTAATTAAGTGGTAATAGTAGTAATATGAATTATGAGAGTGTGATATCTAACAGTATTGGTGGTGTTTATGTACTAGGTGGGAGGATCTTATCTATATTTCGTAATTGTTCTATTATTTTCATATTCGAGGTTTTCTTCTTTTTTTTTTCTCTCTCTCTCTCTCTCTTCAACAATTTTTTTTTTGCCTTGTTGTCTGTTGTCTGTTTGTTTGAGGGTTTTCATTCAATTTTGGTTTTTCTATGTGCTTATGTAATCGATTACCTCATCACCAATTATCGTGTATAAATACCAAGAATCCACCATGAAAGAAAAAAAAAACTTTTCACTTTTCATTTTTGTTCTTCTTCTTTTTTATACAAACAACAACAAATAAACTAACAAACAAGTATGTTAATCAAAGACTATTCATTTGATTTTTTTGGATTTATTTATTTTTATGATGAATAACTAGATAGGGACAACTGAGTTTTAATAACATTGAAGACAGTTGTTTAATTAAGATAGTAGAAAAACATATCTGATCTTAATAAATTCAAAATCAAATCAACACTAGATTTCTACAAAAAAATTTGTTCAATTAACTAACAATTGAAATATAGGTATATTCTATAAAAAGGAGTTATTCAATATATACTACTAATAATATACATTATATTTATTTGATATATTTTTTTTTCTTTTTGTCTTCCGATTATTGATCTTTCTTTGTAAGATTTGGTTTACCAACATAAATATAGGAAACAACAAACATCAACCAAGCAATGATAACTAAAGTAGTACTTGCAATATATAACCAAGAATTGGTTATATCCCAAGACCTTTTGAACTCATCATTAGCTAAATGTCTAACAGTAACAACTCGTTTATCAGATAAATAAGATAATCCAACTCTTTTATAATCCAATTCAAATGTAAACATACCATGATGGTCAGGAATAGTAAAATTGGCATAATATGCATAAGTATCTAATTGAGTAGAATCAGATTCATTGGAACTAACTTCACCCAATGGTCTTAAATTCAATCTTTGATAAGGATCCAACATTTTAAAAGATAATTGCAATTGATCATCATCATTTTCAACTTTAAATGGAACCCATTTATCATCAACCAATTCAGAAACTCCAATAGTATAAATAGCTTGATCCTTAATTCTATACAATTGAGGATTTGGTTTAGTTGGTTCAATTTCTTTAACATGTTGTACAAATTGTAATTTTAATTTACCTTGTTTTTGGAAACACCATTTATATAAATCTGGAACATTCAATAATGAAGAAGAGCCCAACCAAACTAATCTAGCATTATTTAATGCTTGGAATCCAACTGATAAATAACCTTGTTCACCAAAAGTCCAAGTAGTTTCACCATCCATTGATGATTCACCAATTTTATTAGTATAACCAGTGGATGAAGATCCAACAATTGGGAAAACATATTCATTATTTGAAATTAAAGCAGCATTACCGTCATATTCTTTACCAATTAATAAATCTTCATTGGAAATTAATCTAGAATTGATGATATTTTCTTTAATTAATTCAACATTTCCATTTTTATTTGAATTAAAATGATCAAAATATTTATAATTTTTAGGTGATGGATAAATACCAACTTCATTTAAAAATCCTCTAATTCCATCAGGTAAAACACCAATTGATCCACCAACAACTAAAATATTACCATCTTCATTAAGAAATCTTAATAAATTATGTTGATTTAAAACTTCTTTAAGTTTAATTGCTTTTTTACTTGATGGGAAAAATACAATATGTTGAAATTTTGGAAAATCTTGATAAAATAATTCAATTTCTTCTCCTTGTTCATCTTCATTATTATTATAAGTTGAAATAGTAACTGTAAATTTATCATTTAAATAATTCATAAATTCATCAATTGGTTTACTCAAGGATGTAGAATCGTTCAAATGAATCAATTCAGAATCATATAAAACTAAAACATTTTCAGAATCCAAAAAAGATTTAGCATTAACAATTGTTAATAATAAACATGTTAGAAAGATGTAAAATTGTTTAAACATCTTGATTGGTAGTTGTTATTGTCCTTGTTGTTGATAATGAATGAATATGTTTTTTGTTATTCGGTGGCATGAAATTTTTCGTTCGTTTGTTCAAGTTTTTTTCTTTTCCTCTCTCTCTCTCTCTCTCTCTCTCTCTGTGTGTGTTTCTCCCTTTGCGTGTCTGGGTTTTGAGAATTGACGTGTAATTTTGTCATTAATACCCGTAAACTCGGCCGCAGCAACACAGTATGATGATAAACCATACCCAAGTTTATTCAAGTCAGCTCAGTCAACAAGAGGTCTGTAGAACATAAATCACACGATCATTTGAACCAACTCACACTGTGTCAAATCTATTCATCAATGTCCTAATATGTCATTCTAATCAAGTCCATTATCCTTCGCAGTAAAACCATCATCACGGAAAAAAAAAAAACCTCTGGTCTGAAAAACAGCAACTCATCATTAATCAATACCATCACAACAACAACGACTCATAATGGCAATCAAAGTAAAAGTAGAATTCTTAGGAGGGTTAGATATAATATCTGAGTCCAAAAGAGAACATAAATGTATATTACCATATGAAGAAGGAGAAGTAACTGTTAAAGAATTAATTGAATATATTACTAAAAATATAATTAAAGATCCTAAAGATATACCTGTTTTCATTGAAGATAATACTGTTAGACCGGGTATTTTAGTTTTAATTAATGATACTGATTGGGAATTAGAAGGTATGGAAGATTATGTTATTGAAAATGGTGATGTTTTTACATTTACAAGTACTTTACATGGTGGTTAGAAAAAAAATACTGACTAATTAAATATATACATTAAGATTATTATTAAATTTGAAATGATATGATAGGAAAGGAATAACTAAATAGGTAATAATCTACAACCTAATAAACCTTGACCATCCCAATCATCAGATGGTATTAAATTCAATGATACTTTTTCATTTTGATTTCTTTTAATTTCAACAGGTATAGTTTTACCAATTTTAACTCTAGTTACTAAATTTCTTAACCTATTATTATTTGAAGCATGTATATCATGATCAAATAATAAAATTTCATCATTTTCTTTTAATCCTGCTTTAAAAGCAGGACCTCCATTAACAACTTCAGCAACCCTAGCAAATGGAATAGTATACTCTATGGTTCTCCTACTCTGACTATCATTCATCTCTTCTTCTACATCTTGTCCAATTGGATTATCAATTTGTCGTTGAGCAAATTCTTGACTCATTTTATCATCAATTAATTCAAGTATTAATTTATAATCATTTTTTAATCTAATTATTCTTACACGAATTAATCGAATACTAACAACATCAATATCATTTCTAGGATATCCATCAGATGTAATTAATGAAGTATTCATATCACAATTATATTTATGATTTAATAAATCAAATAATATATTTAATTGTTTTTCAATATCTTGTTTAATTATTTCAAGTTCTTGAAATGTTAATCTTGAATTTATATTTTTATATTCTTTTAAATTCAATTGGATCTAAATTTAATGTTTGCATTAATCCTGTGAATGATGAATCATTAAGATCGTGTTCGTCTACTGTCATTGTTTCCTTAGTTTATTAATTGATTGATTGATTGATTGAGTAATGATGATGGCAAAATCAGTATAATTGTCAACCCCAGGGATGGTAAATTTTCTTTTGTTTTGTCTCGCAGATATTTCCGTGATCTTATCCACGTGACAAATTCTGTTAGAAACAACAAAAACTGCGGTGATCATAACATCGTGTACATTAAATATTAATAAAAACTAATAGCAAAACTAAATAAAGTAACATGACTATACATTTTCTATTCGTACATACCATCTATCATTATAGACCAAATTATTGTTAATATCATAATAGAAATCCCAAGCATCTTTTCTGAAAATAGGTAAATCCGGCAACATTTCAACTGTTTTGGGATCATTGTTATTTTTTTGTAAATATTTATGTCTTGCAGTACATTCTTTGATTATATTGAATTCATCTTGAATAATTTTAGAATTGCAAAAATTATTAGAAACTTCTTGTGGTCGAGGACAATGTTCCAAATTTATCCACATGGAAAAATCCTTTAGGAAAAAATGATTATGAAATGCAAACTGATTTAAAGCTTCATCACCATATTTATGTGATAATATACTGGATATATTATTGGGCAAATAAACTGAACCCCCTTCAAAAAATGCATGTTGAATAGGACCAAGTTCATTCAAATCTTGCCAATTCCAATTTTTACAATGAACTGGGAAAGACTCTTCAGTAGTTTCAAATGGAGGGTTGATATCATGATCATAGGACAAAGCACTGATATCAATGTATAACCCAGTACTAATATCAATAAACCTTGCATCAATATGGTTTTTACTATTCCCTTGTCGAATAAAAGTTGGACTAACTTCTAACCAATACCTCGAATTACCAAATCGAGGATTTTCCAATATCAAAGTCTTGTTAAGCTCTTGTGCTAAACGATTCAATTGTTGAATCGGCATTTGAATATCAATATCTGTATCCCATGGCATATTTAATCCGTTAAATTTCCATCCTAATAAACTTCCGTAATTAATCCAACTTTGGTATCCATAACTTTCCATTAATTGAAACCAAACTCTAATCATATGATGAAGTATAGACTGACGTTCTCTATCCCCAACAAATCTGTTGAAAAATGGATATGCTATATGATGAGAATGGCCTTGAACTATGTCGCTGTAGATCCAAGGATATTTGAAATATCTATCGGTTTTATCAACCATATTATTAGCATATTTTAAAAACTCAAGCTGTTTTAATTCCTTCAAAGATATACTTTGCTCATCTAATCGATCTTGTAATACATCAATTTCATGGTTAGGATCAAAGATAAAATCATTTCGATCAAGATTGACTCTATTTTGCAATCGTCCAATATTTTTTGTAACCAATTTATCATTAATTTTTAAGTTTGTCATTGATTCTACCAATTGATCAGTAGTAACCGGATGATTTTGTACATGATGTTGAATTCCAGATCTTTTCTTGCCAATTACAGGAATTTCAATAAAAGATTTATCAGTAGTCATGATTAATTTTTGTGGAATAGCAAACTGACAATATAAATGACACATTCCTCTTGATTTCTTTGTATTTAACGATTCCAACCAATGAGCCGATACACTTGAATAGTCCATTAATCGATTGTCACAAGTACTACTACCAATGGATCTTACTGATGATAATTTATGATCCGCAAAACTTAGATCGATCCAATCATCCCAATGGAAAAATATACCATCTTTATTATGCTGTGAATTTTGTAAATAATCTAGGATATTTAATAAATTTTTTTTTGGATTAAAATTTGGATTCATTTGATGTGATTGTAATGCTTGATATTCTAAAACAGTTTGATTTGGGGGAGTAAACAAACCGGAATAAATGGTTCTCAATAGACATAGTGTAAGGAACGATATTAATAGTATCCATCGCGTTCGACGGTTATTTAATTTGGGGAAGGTTGTCAATGGTTTATTCATCATAATCAGATTAGCCATTCTTGAGTTGTTAATCTGGTTGGAATTGGTAAGAAAGAAAAGGTTGCTAAAGGGATGTAAAATAAATAAATAAGAAAAAAAAAACTTTTTTCTAATATACAAGTTGGTTGTAAAAAAAAAAGGATGATGATATATGTACTCGGGTCGATAGTTAGACAGACCGTCAGTTAAGCTGCGACTAAAGCAAACGAAATCTAAAAGCTGTGCGTTGTTTAAAAAAAAAATAAAAAATGTAAATATATTTTTAGACAAACCTGATTCAGGGTTATGAAATGGTTTGGAGGCGATGCTGTTGCAAAATGAAAAAAAAAAATGATACACCCACACTAACCAATAAATGATGAGTTGTTGATAATCGACTTTGGTTAAAAGAATTAAATCAACAAAATAATTCAATTTAATGAAATAAAATGAAATAACAAAACTGTTAATCTTGCTGTTGAAAATATAAAATTACAACCAAAGGCAATAATTCAATGAGTCGTGTAGAAAAGTAACAGAAAATTATTACCACCGTAAGCTTTCTGACCTGATGTATAGAAATAGACGTGGTATGGTATTTCAGTTGTAGTGATGAGGAGAAATTATAATGTTGTTGTTTATAATTTTTCTCTCTATTGTTTATTTTGACAATAAATTTGAATCTATTCTTAAAAAATAAAATGTACAACAATTAGTATCATTAGCATGGCTGAGGGAGATTTTTACTTGTATTTATAAGATTATTTTTTTAAATACGATTTAGTATTCAAACACTATATACAGAATTAAAATTGGCTGTGTATGAGTGTGTGTACCTGAATCAAGTATTTTAGTTTCTCTTTGACATTCTCTTTGCTGATCGTAGTCTGAAAACCATATGCACATATTCCAGTTGGTATCTTTGCTTGTAACCAATAGAAGACCAACACCGATTATTAGCTTACTGTATGTTGTTGCCCTTGTTTTTAAATTTGCTATGGCGAATTCATGATAGTATGACCCTTAACTAATTAATTAATTAATTTCTCCCCACTCTTAATTGATAATTTGATAGGTAAATTATGAAACACACATACACCCCTGATTATGTTTTCTTACGAGAATTCGTTAATTTAGGAACCGATTATATAATCGATTTTTTATCAAAATTATCGGATCGACTGCTCAAATCAAGAACAAATCTATGGCAACAAGACAAGGCAAAGCAAAACGCAAAACTAAAAAAATAAAAGTAAAATAAAAAAAATATACAATTTTCTTTATATAAACTAAAACACAGATTGTCTTGTTTTAGAAACAATTTGGAATAATAGGGGAATCAACCACTATTGTTAACTCACGCATTCCTCCTCCTTCCCTAGGCTCTTAAAAATTCAACAATTAAAATTAATTTTTAATTCTTGTCATTTTGGGAATGATGTAATGATACCAAGACATAACTTGTTTGGAGTTATCGCTTGACATGACTTCAATTTTGTCGTCTTTAAATCAATGAGACTAGAACAACGTCAAAACTGGGATTTCAGTTACATGGGTTGTTGTCAATACTTCGGTATATGTCCGTTTAATACTTATAAAATTAGCACGACAATGACGCAAACGAGAGGCTGAAACATTCAAATGAAAAATGTGTGACAAAATCAAACAACACAATCATTGCGAAATCCACTGAAAATTCTTTTGTGCTGCAATTGATCAAATGTACACGACACGTTGTTGTTGTTGTACAATAATTAAGCGAAGAGAAAAAAGAAAAAAAAAAGAAATTCTGTTTCGTTAGAAATAAACACACAATATCTGTATGGTGAATTGGTTCTAGAATTGGGTAGTATCTATTTGTGATTGTATTGTTAGTAAGCATGAATTATCTTGAATCTGATTGATTGAATAAATCAACTAGATTTTTATTAATCGATGATATATTCAAAATATCCATCACAAGACAATTCACCAACCTTAGTTTAAAAACCTTGATTACATAAACAATTCAGCAATCAAAAATCTTCAATTTACACTTGACAACAACAACAACAACAATAAAATGTAAGAAAAATTTCTTTTTCTTTTTTTTTAATTATTTTCATATTTATGAATTTGGCACACGACGTTGCATGTGGGTCGTGTGCATGTGTAGGATTCCGCCCATTTCTTGAATAAAAAAAAATTTGTCATTCCACACGCACACACGCACGCACACACGCACACGGCCCCACCTCCAGCAGCCTTGTTTCATAAACAATAACAACGCGAAAAATGCAATAAAAATTATATACACGACTGACTGTATAAAAATAAAAAAAAAGTTTCATAGACGGCAAACTAAACAAAAAGGATCTTCGATGGGGGTGTATGATTTAGTTTTACGACGTAGGTTCAAAGGGGGAGTATCTAGAGATGTTTACCATCTGGAATTTTTTTTTTTTTTTTTTTTTTTTGCAACTTTATAAATTGAGGCGGTTGCTGGTTTATAATTTAAACAAATGTAACTTTTTTTTAGCAGTCAAACTGAGATTCATTAATATATGTATAGAATAGAAAAATCATTATAAATTAGGAATTCAAAATAACTAATAATAAAAACACATGTATGTATGTATATATATACATCTATCTAATTGATATATCAAAAAGGGAGGGTTGTAAGTAGCAGGGATATGTGTATGCATGCAAAATGGATATACAGTATAATAAATGTAATATAATGTAAGGGAGGGTTGGAATGGGGAGGGTCGTCAACATTGGTAGCATTATAAAGGGTTTAACTTAAAGGATCAAAAAAGCTTTGCAATTTAGTATTTCTGAAAACTCTCATTCCCATGGTACTACCATTATTAAAATCATAACTTAATCTCAGTTTAACAAATTTAGCATCTGATTTAATGATTCGTAATTTATAAATAATTGTAAACCAAGTAATAGAATACATCATCCCACAAATCAAATCCAATCTCCAATGATGATCCAAATAAATAGTAGCCCACCATTGAATACAAACAAATGAAAACGCCAATAATTTAATTATTGTCCATCTTGCATAATATCCAACAAATAAAAATGTCATAACTGCCATAGCTGAATGTAATGAAGGTAAAGCTCCAAATACAATTGGAGAAGCATGAAATCCTTTTGATGTAATATGAGTACCTAAAGCTACATCAACTCTGATTAAACCAGCTGCATAACCTGGTGTATCATAATCTGCATAAGCATCTTCACCATTTAAATGAATAAACCAAGGTGGAGCATTTGGAAATACTAAATGAGTTAAAACACCACAAATATTCATTAATCCAAGAGCTAATGAATAAGATTTAAGTGCTCCTGGAGCTTGAAATACATATAACCAAACAGCTGTAACTATAGGAACAGTAATATGACCTAAAACATATGAAACCCATGCCATATAATCTTCCCATTGTCTAATTGGATCTTTTAACCAATGAACAAAATTTAAAATAAACCAACTTGTAGATATTAATAAAGGAGGTAAGAAATACCAACAATTAATTGGTGAATAAATTCCTGTTTTTTGATGATTTTCAATGATTTTTTCATTTATTGATTGAGCCATAGCACCAATTTCAATAGGTGTTAAATTTGGAATTAATACAAATGGTTGATGGTGATGATCATTTTGAAAATCCAATGGTGGTGGATCAATAGCTTTTGATAATTCTTTTGGAAATGATTCTAATTCAACATCACTTGCGGAGTCCGAACTAGATAATCTGAAATCATCTTCATATGGATTGGTATTCTCATTATATTCTTGTTGTTCTCCTTGATTTTGCAAAGGAATATAAGTAGTATTATTTTGATGGGATTTAGTCTTACGTTGATAAACCAAACGGTATAAAGCAATACTTAAACCTAATAGACAAATAATAGTAGTGATTCCACCTTGTATAGTACTAAACATAAAAGTATCTACATGATAAGCCAAGGAAACATGAATTTTGGGACGTATTTTATGAGGAATCAATCCGGCATTTTTAAATATTAATAACCATATGAATACAGGACTAAAGTTTATACAAAAATTTAGAATCAATTGAAAGATATTTCTTTGATTTAATCCTGACCAAAATACTCTATAAAAGAACTGGTAGATTAGTACCAATGGCTTAAGTATTGAATTCATGATATTCCGTGAGGAGTGGAGAAAGGGAGCGGTAAAGTAGGAACAAGGGCAGGGCTATGTGCGGAAGTGGTGGTAGTAAAATAATAAAAGTTATCCGACTCAGGGGTCCTATTCCAAAGTTATATAAATAATAATGATAGAAGTAGTGGTAGTAGTATAAGAAGAAGAAGAAGAAGAAGAAGAAGTAGGAAAAAGGAAAAGGAAAAGAAAAAAAAAACCAAAAAAAGGGGAAGAAGAATAATGATGGGTTTTTAGTATATTCTTTATTTGTTTTTAATTCAATCATCCATCGACTACTGAATGAAAAGGCGAATCCCTTTTTGTTTCTTTTTAGTTGGTGTGTTTTTGTATGAACAAGGGTAAGTTTGTGTTATTATTGTAAATTTTAGGAGAAATTGGTCAAGTATAAGCCTAATCTAAAGCGGGACTTCCAGTATAATAGCTGTCGTGTGTAGCTCTGTGTTCACTCTGCTGACTGCATACAAGCCTTGTTCACTAATTTAACTATTGCTGCAGATTTTAAGATAGTATGATTTAAAAGATTTCAACAGGAATACAGTGTGTTCACTATTTGGATTTCTTTTTCTTTAGAATAGAAAAGACATGTTTGGTTTATGTTAAGTCTATTCTTAGGCATGGAGAAGAAAACATAAACCTACTTGGAAATACATCCCAACTCCCTGATCCTCCTCTTTCTCCTCCTGTCCCTTGGATGAATTGAGTGTTAAAATAGAAATCTCTTGTTGTTCTTGTTGTTGTGTGATTATATAATCAATCGGAAGGATAACTAAAAAAAAAGGAAAATTTTTCTTCTAACATTGACTTTGTAACCCTAACCACGGAATTAATGGGGGAGGCGGAGAGAGTGTGAACTGTACAGTTGAGGAAAAAAAAATTTCTTTTTTTATTTTTCCATTTTCGTTCCCAGGATGAGATGGCGGGAAGAAATTAGTACGATCTTACACGGCAGTTGTTTTTTTTGTTTCAGCTAGAGGGGGTTGGGTTGGGAGATAATGAAAAATAAAATATACACAGAATTCTCATTACGAAATGTACTAGATCTTGTAATTAGGTGGGCGGGTAACGGTTGAGATGATCTTTATTTTTCTTTTTTAGATTCGCCCAATGTATAAATTCTCAATTGTATTCAACATTACTCTTAGAAATCCACCGCCTATAGACAAACTCTTGCGCCGGGGAGCGTCAAAGTGAGGCGGTGCTATCCGTGTAAGTTATGTATATTTTATATATTTATCATGCACTCTGGCTCCCGCGTTTTACCCAAAATCATTCAATTGATCCATCATCACACAAGGAATCGAAATTGATAAGGGCACGACACGTCCACCATAAACGATTATGATAACTAGATCTAGATGATTAGATTATCAAGCAACAATTGATATTTTTTTTGTTTTCTTGTCTTGTATATCAATGGACCATCTTATCCCGATGTATAATTTATATAAACAGTACAGTAGATTGTAAAAATTTTTCCTTGTTTTTTATTTTTTTTTTTGACACTCCGGAATTATTTTACATTTAAACTTTAGAATTTAATCTGTACAGAAGAAAAAGGTAATATCGTGCATGTAGCAACAACTACATATAACAGCAAGACGAAGTATAAAAAAAAGTCAAACAAGTCATTGAATTGATGGAATCATCGGGACTACTCAATGATCCTTGGTTTCATTTAACTTTGAATAATGCTAAAAATGGCATTCTCTTTCTACACAACAGTTGTGTAGTATATATATGTAAACATCCTTTCATGTTACAACATGGAGAGAATAATTTCCGTTAGTAATTGTTTGCTAATGTTTGATTAGATATAATCTTTTTGCAAAACAAAATCAGAGGATTTAAACCTCTACTTGATCAACTATCCAGATACTACCATAGATTTCTAATCAGAAAATCCAATTCTAGATTCCTGGTGTTAAACAACAACAATAATCCTATGTTTATATACAAAGTCTTGGTTGATAATTTTAAACTCTGGATCCTTAGTTTATCTTATAAGCACTTGTAGATTACTAATGACGTAATCAAGAGTACCCAACCAACCAAAGATATTTTCAGAATCTTATGGAATGCCGATTAAAGTTAAAAACTAAAAATTGTTCATCGCCAAGAGTTGAGTTTATCAAACACTTGCAAACCACGTCCCCCCTTCTCACAAAAAAAACTATCGGGAGCATACACCCGTTAGATGATTATCATTTATTGCAAACTGATACTTTTGCAGCTATTGGATGACTAAATGACATAAATAGCATCAATCGGGTCTCGTAGGTATTTAAATAATTAGTCTGTCAACAACTGAATGAATTGTGAAACCTTTGCATTTTTTACAATCAAATTTTTAGTTGAATTATGATACAATTTTCTCAACAAAATAGTCATATACAGAGAAAACTTAAGTAAAATATCCAATAATCAATGAGTCGGAAATATCTGCAGTTTCTCTTATTGACTTGCAATCACACCATTGACTTTCAATTGATAAACTATTACAAATCAATGGTTTTTATTACTGTCCACGTGATTAATATCAAGGGAACAAGATCACGTGACTAACATATATCAATATTGGTCTTATTTGAAACGTAATTTCTTTAAATATTCAAATATTATTAATTGCATAATCTTGTAGAGCCCTGTATCTTGATCTATGGTATAGCAATGGTTGATAAATAAAAATTATTATTTTCTTTAAAGTGAGAATGATTTATAAATTTTGAAACGCCCCCTAATTGATGGTTATGATAGAATGGTAATATAAAACAAAAATTTGTAGGACAATTTCATATTGACATGACAATTCAGGGGGTGGGGGAGGGGATATGTAAATTTCAACTATAAAAGGAGGTGATTATTTTTCTAATTGGTTGATGTTTCACCATCCATTCCTATCTAGAATGAACAGTTTTGTATTATAAAACCCCCCCTTTTCTAACTATTTTCTCTTACTTCAACTCTTTAACCTTATCAACAATGTGTTCTTTTGATGACTTGCCAATTGAAGTTGTCGAAAAAATCTTTGGCCATTTCTCTCATGAACAATTATTCAGGTTGTCATACATTAACAATCTTGGACCTCACATTGCAAGAATAATTTGTACTAGCCTTATATTTGAAAATTGTACTACTAAACAACCAGGATTACATATTTCCAGGAAGGGATTTGTAGTGGTTCAATCATCTGGATTTAACAATGCTTTGGATTTAATTGAATCTATTTTTCTTAAGGAGATAAAATTTGATAATCCATTTCATGCTATTGAATTAATGAAACAGAGACCACAATATTTCAAGAATACGAAAATCCATCTTGATCTAACTAAAATCAGTTCATTAAATCCAAAATTATTTGAATTTATTGGTGAGTATGAGAAAACTCCCTTTCCTGTAGATTCATTGAGTATTTATCGTGCATCCGATATTGATAAATATCTTTCTGCTTATTTAACTATACATGTAACTACGTTTGAAGCTAACACCATTCATGCTGGCGATATTAGAAAAATTTCCAAATTTTGGTTTCCTAATTTACAATCACTTAAATTACTGAATGAATTAACTGCTGGTCAGATTACTCAACTTCCACGAAATTTAATCAACTTAAGTTGTGTATTAGTTCCAAAAGGTCCAAATGACATTAAAGCATTACCTAAAGATTTAATTGAATTGACTTTATTGTATAAACTCAAGCAACGTCATCATGTGTCAAGTTTGTCACATATAGCTAATCTTAGAGTTCTAAAACTTACCAGCTTTCACAAAAAATCATATGTCGAATGGCAATTGCCATTAAATTTAGAGATATTACATCTTGAATATTCAAATTTTTTTCATGGTAGGTTAGATAAAATGTGTCCTAAATTGAAAGAATTAAAAATTGGTATCAATCATAAAAACAAAGAAAGTAATAATAAATATGGTCCATTGATGGATCTTCCTAATAATTTAAAAATATTAGAAATTCCATCTACTTGTCTTGAATTCGAAGATGATATTCCATTTAGGAATTTGTTAAGAACTGTTCCAAATATAATTACCAAATTAACTTTACCTAAAAATTTGAAAAAATTGACTATTAAAGAACCCCCAAAAAGAGGTAAAATATCAATTATTGATTTTAATATTAATCAATTATTATGTCTTGAAGAATTGAATATTAACTCAGTTTCTAAATTGAAATTAATTGGTGCTATTCCAAGAGGTATCATAAGATTAAATTTAATCAAGATTAATAAATTTGATTGTAATGAATTAATACACCTTGAAAAACTTGAATCTGTTACTCTTGAAAATATTTCATGTTTAATGAATCAAGGGTTTTCTTATTTACTTCCAAAATCATTAAGAGAATTAAGTATTATTAATTGTGGTATTTGTCATGTGTTTATTAACTCACCAAGTATTAATTATTTAAACTTGAGAGGAAACATGTTTTATGTCATTAATAAAGACACTTTTAATATTCCTTCCAATGTTTATTATTTGAATTTATCAGATTGTCATATAAAAGATATTTCATATAAATTACCTGAAAATTTAGATTATTTGGATTTACAAAATAATCAAATTAGATTTCTTGTTGATATTCCTAAATATTTGGATACTTTACTACTTGACAATAATAAAATTGGTGAGTATGGATATCCACCTATAGTATTTCCTTCTGGTTTGAAAATTCTTGGGTTATCTCGTAATGTAATAACTACTGATACGATGAAAAATTTGGAATTTTCATATTGTTTGAGTTTGATTACGTTGATGATGTCATTTAATAAACTTGATAAAGTCTACACTGATACGATCCCTGTGTCAGTCAGAACTTTATATTTAAATAATAATAACATCTCGTCAATTATTGGTGATTTTAAATGCCATAAACTTGGAAAATTAGTTTTATCAGAGAATAAATTAAATAAATATTTCCATAATTTCAAAGGTGGATTGTTTGGTAATGATATTTGTCTTGTTGATGTTGATCAGAATGGATTAGTTGAATCAGACTTTAGACGGTTATCTATTGAATTATCTAAAAAACCAAACTTTGTAAAATTAAAAGTTGAACCAGATCTTATCTCTAATGGTATTGGTAGTTCAGATGGCAGACCTAGAAAGATTCGTAGATTAACATGATTAATCTTCATTAAAGTTTGATTTTAAAAGTAGTTATTTACTAAGCCTATACTGTTTAAAATATACATTTTACTTTTGTTGATAGTCTCTAATAATAAAACAAAATTGTTACACCTAAGCTAATGCAATAGCATAATCTTCTTCAACGACAAATTTCTCCCAATCATTAACAAATCCCATCAATCTCTTTCTTCTCTTGAACTTTCTTGAATCTTTATTAACCACACCAACACTTTGTAAATCAGAATTGGCCATATCTCTTTTCTTCCAAATATTAACAATGATTTTTCTGGTCTTACCTATATTACCCAAAGAATTACAATCTAATTTATCCAAAATGGACAATGCCAAATATCTCAATTCTTCACATTTCGGATCAATACATGATATTTGAGAACTTGCCATAAACACCGGCCAAATTAAACTAGACCATGGGAGATCGTTTTTAATTATGATATATTCCAAATGTTTAAATATTTCATGAACTAAATCATGAATGGTATCATCTTCAGGAGTTAAACACATTAGACATGATTGAAGATATAATTCAGTAGATAATCTTTTAACTTCACAAGCCAATAAGAAACAGACTTCTTCTGGCTCTGTTGATATATTGCCAATTGATGTTATTTTCATTTCATTAATTCGACGTAACATATCTTCACTCAATGTTAAATAATCCGTTTCTTTAACGGAATTTCTAAATCTTTCAAATGATAAATCAGTTATATCAGAAATAATAGGAATCAATCGTCTATCACATCCCATCCAACTAACTAAACTAACTTGATTTGTCATGACAGATTCATTTTGTTCTTCTAATTCAAGGAAAAACATGTTGACATCTTTACATGCTGTTCTACCCATGGATTCTTGATAATCAAGAAATTCAAGACAAAATTTCAATAATGAATATTCTAAACTTTCTTTTGGAATATGGAAATTTTTTGAAGTTAATAATTTTTTACACAATTTCAAATAAACTGTCCATTTTCTATCACAATCATTAGCAAATTCATATAATATTAATAATACCAAACAAACTAATAAATCAGTATCAAATGGTTTTTCTGTATCCACACCTCTGATAAGTCTCTCTATTTCTGGTTGGATTTTACCTAAGCCTAAATCTTGAAAATGTCTGGCTTTATTCAACCATCCTGCTCTTTCAGAAATATCATTCAATTTCGATAAATACATTGATCCTAATGAAAGTATAAGGAAGAAAATAGCATTGTTTTTCTGGGAATATTTCATTAACGAAGACAAGTCTAACCCTTTTTCAATAACTATTGATTTTGCTTGGTTATTTTCTATTTGTTGATAAGTTATTGAATTATTACCAACTGGACTTAAAATTGGAGAAATGAAATCAATATAATAACTCAAAGCATATCCTAACGCATTAACATCTTTAATACCGGATCCATAAATCACATCATGGGGAATTATTGATGATTGTAACGAATGACTCAAATGATATTCTGGTTCTTTATCATTCACATCATGAACAAAAAAATTAATAAACTTGAGATTATTTTTATTTTTAATTAATTGATAATGTGAATTCATTCCTTTTTTAACCAATAAATCAGTAGTTAATTTATTAGTATTACCAGAAGAATTAATACCTTCCCTACCAAATCTTTTTCCCTTAGCTTCAACATCTTCTCTAAATTGTAGTTGTAAAGTATAATTACAAGATAATCCTTTTTCAACACATCTTGAACAAGATGGTTTAGTTTCATCACATTTTAATTTCTTAGTTCGACATCCTAAACATGCTCTTCTTGATCTTGCAATAGATTGTTTCTTTCTTGGTTTAAGCTTTTGCTTTTGTTTTGCTATAAGGAATTTTTCATCAACTAAGAAATCACCAAAATCAGAATATGGCGAAGTTTGTGTTGTTGATGACGGATCTGATTTATCGAAAGAAATCATAGATACAGATCCATACCCTAAGACTCTATTAAAATCTTCATCAAATGAATTATAATATGTTGTCAGTTGTTGTTCTTGATGTTGTTTTTCATGAGTTGAAGATACTGGGGATAATCTGCTCGCTAAAGAAATAGGAGACGACTCACTAAGCAGATTAAAATGATAAAACTCAGATAATGGTGAGACTGGTATAGTTGGTTGTGGATTGTTAGAATACATAGCGATACTTATTTACACTGAAAACAAAAAAAAAAAAAATGGAAAACCAAACCAAAGAAGAAGAATAAATGGGAAATCCGCCTTGGTTTATATAGCAAAAACAATGAACTCTCTCTCTGTGTGTGTATAATGTGTGTTTAACTTTTCGGACAATTTCAGAAAATTGTTCCTTGTTCCGAAGAATATTATTTTAAACTGTGAGCAACCGTTTTGGGACTTTGTGTAATAAAATATAATCAAGAGAGGGGGAAGTAATGAATCCACCACACAGATATTGCCACATTGGGAAATCGACAAACCGTTGAAACATATGCATATCAATAAATAGAATGGTATAACAATATGTTGCAAAAGAACATATCAGTACAAGTTAGCCATATTCATAACCAGAGTTCAAGATCTTCCAAGTTTGAGCAAGATGAAATTTTCCCCATGGATTTCTTTTTTTCGAGTTTGTGGGGAATGTAGTCTTTTGAAAAAGCAATATAGTGTAACCACGTTGATATTATTTTCAAACTCCACAATTTGGTGCAATTTAAATGACTCAACATTAATTTAAAAACTGCATTCAGAATTAAAAATCCTGTGAATATTGGTTATTTTCTTGAACAAAAGCGGTTAGATAAACCCAATTAATTCTCAAGAACAATGGAAGTACATGTAAAATTTTTTTTTTTTTCACTTTTATAATATGTCGATAACAATGGAGTTCTTTGATGAAATCGGCGAATAACTTAAAAGTCCGTCATTCATTTGACTCTGGATAACTGTATGATCACGTAACACAGACCGAAAACGGTTATTCAATGCTACCAACAATAAAAAAAGAACCAATTATTATTAAAACGAATTATCTATTATTATTATTATTAGTATTATTAAAAATATTATTATATTACTATTTACACTTAAAAGTTGTTCATAAATTCTATTTATCACTTGGCTTTTCAAGATCTTTGTCCAAAGACTCCAGGGATTGCAGGGTTTCATTAGTTTCTTCTTGTACCTCAATATCTTCTTCGTCTTTCTTTTCAGTTTTTGGTCTCATTTCAACTTGAGCAGGTAATTTCTTGTTAGTAACAAAGAAACAAGCCAAAAATGAAATAACAGCAAATCCAATAGTTGTATAGTAAACATTTCTTATAGCATCCATAATTTGAGTTTTAACAAAATGAACAGTTTCGGGATTTAAAGTTTTCAAAATTTCAGTAGATGAAATTAATTCATTGATATTAAGTTTTTGTAAATCTTGTAATATTTCAGGATCAGTAAGTTTAGCCACATTCTTCTTGAAAATATTTCTCAATGATGCAGTATATACAGCATCAGCTAAAACAGTACCAAAAGCAGACAAAATAGATCTAGAAAAATTAATGAAAATAGTAGTCATAATCATACCCGATGGAGTTTTTGGTGCTTTAATTTGTGCTGATAAAATTGATGGTTGCATTGCTAACCCAGCAGAAACACCAATAATAATCAATAAACCAACTTGTTTGGAGAAGGATGAATCAACTTGAAGTAATGTTAATAATCCACAACCGATTGGTCCAAGAATACCTGAAGCAATATTATATGGTTTGACAAATCTAAGTTTCTGCACTAAAATACCCGAAGCCATGGAAGAAATAACCACAGCAATAACTGTTGGAAGTAAATGAAGACCAGCACCTAATGGAGAAGCATCTTTAATAACTTGGAAATAAATAGATCCATAGATTAATGACATGATGAAAGCAGAAAACATACCAGAAATACAAAGAGTAGAAGCAATAATTTGTGGAACTTTAACAACTTCAGTACCAATGATTTGATTCTTGGAGAATCCAAAGTTCCAAATACAGAATGCAATCAATAAAACAGGACCAATAACAAAACATGAAATAACAGCACTTGAATTCCATGGGAATTCTTCAGTACCAAAAGTTAATGCTAATAAAAACACCACACATCCTGAAATCAACAAAAATGTACCAAAATAATCAAATCTCAACAATTCGGCCTTGATATCCACTTTTGGAGTTGGAGGACGGAATGAATACAAGAAAACAGCTAAAGCCAATCCACCAACTGGTAAATTAATATAAAATGCCCATCTCCAAGTAACATGAGAAGTGAAAGCACCACCAATTAAAGGACCCAACACTGAAGCAATAGCAAAAGTTACTGAAAAAATACTCAATGCAAAAGGACGTTTGTTAATTGGAACAACTTCAGATGCAATGACGAAAACACCACTATTAATACCGGCACCACCAACACCGGCTAAAACTCTCCCACCGATTAAAACATTCATACTACTCGCTAATGCACACATTAATGAACCACCTTCAAACAATATAATGGCAACTACCATGGCCCATTTACGACCAATGATAATAGACAATTTACCAAAAGGTTGAATAAAAACAGCCATGGCTAATAAAAATCCACTAGAAAGCCATCCCACTTGAGCAAAAGAATTAAATTTAGTACCCACTGTAGTTAAAATAGTAGCAATAATGGTTTGATCTAATGCAAATATGAATAACACCAAAAATAATGAAACAAAACAAAGTATTAATTGTGTGCCATGCAAATAATGATCTTCTTTAGAAGTACCATCACCTGCATCTGCTTCTTTGAATTTCTTACTGCTGGCATTGGTTTGTTGTTTTTCTAAATCATGAAGTTGTTCCTGTGGGGATATAACGAGGGAAGCGATGTCATTATCATCGTTGATTGACGATTGTGGTTGGCTTGTAGTCGGAGTGTGCTGACTCATTGTTTGACAAGATGACTAGTTGATAATATAGCAAATGAAATTTGGATAGTCAACTAGTAAAATGAAAATTTTTTTGTCACAATTCAAATCTGAAATTAAGGTTCCATGGTTAGGTTTATATATTCCCGGGTTTAAATTCGCAAAAAAAAAAAAAAAAAAAAAAAAAAATTGTGTCTGTTCGCGCAGGAGAGGCTATCATCGGAATTGCATATTTCTCGTCCTTTTTTATGTAATCAGTACATTTGACTAATGTCGTCCAGTCTTTACCCGTTTGTATTCAACCACCTTCCCTTGTGCTCAATACTAATCCCTATCAACAATAAGTTCCCAACATTACTCCTCGATCCGTTTGGTTAATCTTGTTTGGACACGACTGTGTAGACGGAGATGAGCAATTTCTTTTATTTTTTTTTTTCAATTTTGTAGGGCTTGTTTGACACAATACGCGCATAGGTCTCGTTAATACATCCTAACTAGGTAATTCCCGTAAAAATTTATTTCCGTGTCCGACTTAATCCCGTACGGGACACGGAGTTAATTATTATTATTAGTAACATATGAAATTTGCATCAACAGCACCAGTTGATAAACAGGGTTATATTATTATAAGACGTGTGATATGACTGCCACTAGGGTAGGATATCTGATTTTGTTACAACTCCTTGAATATGTCTCCATGTGGTGTTGCTACAATATGGAAATAATGGGTGCTTTAGTAGAACAGAGCATTTGCAACTTTTAATTGTTCAACCATAGAAGTTATCGCACGAACATATTCATATTGAAATACACACTTGCTGCAAATATACTTTACCCCTGAATAAAGATATCTTCTAAAAAAAGTTATTGTCCTCCCAGGATACTTGGCAAGCCTCCTAGTACGTATTCTATTCAGTTGCAAAACTGCACGTGCTACCACGTAAAACTTGTCAACCATTTGAGCAATATAATAATACTAATGAGGACAATTCAAAAATTTATCTTCTTCAGTCACGTAGAAACGTATCCCAACTGTACCAATAAAATAACCTATCATTCTTAAATAATAAAACATTCTTTTCCCCTCTTTCAAATGTAGTAGTTGACTGCATGCTCCAAATCAATATGAATAAACTTCATCAATTGGGTATATTTGGTGCATATTACGTAGTTGACTATTATCACACAAGTCTAGTGGTTATTGCACCTCAGATAATTGTCTTTTTCTTTTTTGAATAACTTTTCTGTATTAGTGGTGATGAGTCATTTACTTATTACTAATTGACCTCCTTTTTCTAAATTACTGTTGTGGTTTTCTATAAGTCGTCACTATTTTGTAATTTGGTGCCCTTTTTGCATAATATTTAGTCTTGAATTTACTATTAGATAAGGTTAAAATTTAAGGTCAGTATCAGTTTACGACTGCTCTACATAAACAAATGAACATGTTTTACACAACTAGTACTCTAAATACAATTCATAATTGAGATGCAAAGATAAATCTTTCGATAATAATCTTGAAGATATGTGATAGGTACTTTGCTATATTGATTGATCTTCTGTGATACCAAAAAACTCACAAATATCCACATTTTGTCTAGGGGCAATAGATTTGGGTCAATTTTTTAGATTTGTCGTGTATAAACCGAAAAAACACAAGAATAAATCAATTGGGATCCTGGTTGACCTTGAAAATACCAGGTAACATAAATACTGGAAATATAAAATTAAAATGGTGCAAATGGAACGCATTTAGTGGGACAGTTTCATTGACGCCATATTTAACTGGCTTGATAGTCTAATTATTAATTTCTTTAGAAAATCTATAACTCCATATAGAAAAAGGGCATTTGATATACTACTTGCTGAAAATCATCGTTTCTTTATATTCTGGTATTAGATGATGATATCGACTGACCAATAAGCAGACAAAGAGTGTGTGAACTTGTAAGTGTGTAAGAACATCACTTCAGACCAAAAAATAGTAAAATACTGTCCTAGAAATTTACACGGAGATTTGTTTCTGTGAGGTATTCTATCTTTGATATTAATTCAACACTGAGTCAAAACTTCTAGGCGTATTGAAATATTGTTTAGAATAGAATAAGATTATGTCTTGACTACAGGATATAGTAAGATATACAGGTAGGGTAAGGTAAGTTTATAAAAGTACGGATGTATATTCTAAAAGAAAGGCATGTAAAGTGTAGTATAAAAATAATAGTATCATACTTGTAGATACAGTCGTTGCAGCTTTATTTCGCACTAGTGTAAGAATAATTTTCAGACCAATGTGTCAATATTATTCGCACTATCTGCAACGAAAAGTTCATATTAAGGCGCTCAATATTTGTGCAAAAAATGTTCATATTACGTGACCTCTATTTGTTCATCGTAAAAATGTATGATCTATGATATGAACAAAAAAAGGGCAGTTGGTTGAAAAGTATTATTTCCGCTGGTGTAAACATTTTGACTCCATTTACTATGAACAATTAATCTCCCTTACTATAAATTAAATTGTCGCACTAGTATTAATAATTTCTTTGAACTTGGTACGAACTGAAAATCGAAACGCTGTACAAAAAAAAGATTCTGGCATCACGTGCACTGCACACTCTACCCAAATTAGGAAGTCGCGCTCTACACCGCATCAAAGATAATACGAACTTGTATTATTAGACACTAGCACAACGAGCTACGTATCTATGTACCTATGTATCTATGCATATAACCTCAACCCAAAAGTGGTTGGACCAAAGCCTTGGCTTGTTCGGTCAAGACCAAGTTGGCATCCCAGTCGACGGAGAAGGCAGAAATGGTAGCGTTACACAAGTTTTGTCCGAGGATGAAATTTTCGGTTGGCAAAGTGCAGTCACCGTTGTAGCATGGTTGCATACCTTCTTCCAATCTGTCATCGGCCCATCCCACGGTTTGAGTCTTTTCGTCAAAGACCAACTCGGCGCCCTTGGCACCGCTGCCGGCAATTCTGGTGAAGACCCAGTTTGGATTGGTGCAGCTTTCGTTGTCGTAACCTACAGCTGGGAAATTAACGTTCAAACCAACACCCAACCCCATAGCTCTTGGGTTTTCACCCTGGGACTCGAAGATCTGGTTGACCAACTCGGTTGCCTTCTCGGCCACAATGGTGGACTCCAACAAGTTGTCGTTCAAATCTAAGCCGTCTTTGTAAAAAGTGTTGTTCCAACTCCACGCAGAAAATGCAATAGCCGGGTATCCTCTGTACACAGCTTCAATGGTGGCCCCCATGGTCCCTGATAGAGAGAAATATCCCCCATAATTCTGTGCATAGTTATTTCCTGCTACAACCATGTCAATGGTGATGTTGTCGGCATATGTTGGAAGAATGTAGTCAAAGGCAAAGGCAACACAGGATGCAGGAGTACCGTTGAAATAGAACACGTGATCATCGTCAACTTCATGGCCGTACATAGGAGCACCTGCAGCGGGGTAGCCGTACTCACCATCGGTTTCCAAGGTGGAGGACTCTGGGAGGTCGAATTGACCACCGTGACCAGACATATCGGTGACAGGAGCGACGATGTAGACATTGTGGCCAGCTTCTTTCAATTTGTAGTAGAAGGCACGGATGTTGGCGGTTGCCCAGCCGTCATCGTTGGACATCAAGATGTTCTTGGCTAATGAGGCAGTGGTAGAAGCCAATAAAAGCAAGGCACTGGCGGAGAATTTCATTCTTGGTTGGTGTGTGTGTGTGTGTAAGAGAGACTGGAATTTCGTTGTGAGACGAGATCAATGGATCTGCAGCAGTATTTATACGTCACAGCTGATCTTGTTGAACTCGTTGATTCCGCCCCATCTCAGCTGAGCTCATCTCATGCTGCAGTATCAGTTGAGTTGTTTGTCGTGTTTGTATGAACTATATCTTTCACTGATCTTATTTTGTATTTTTCACGTGACTCAGACAAACTTTTTTTATTGATCTGATAATGGATCAACGGAAAAAAAAATAAAAACAAAAGAAGATCGATACAGCCCGCAAATTTTTTTCTTGCTGTTACATCCATACTCCACGTTTTAATTCCTTCCTTGGATACACAAATTCGTCACTATAATGACAGGTTGGATATCATTTATAACCGATGAAATCGGGTTAAGAACATTATTAAAGGCAAGATGTGATGTCTATATTCTTATACTTCTTCGAATGCTCAGATTGGTTGGGTTTGGTGCAACTTCATTGATCCTAGTCTTATTCTTAAAATCCATAGGTATTGCTGAACAGTTTATTGGATTGTTCATGACCTTGACTTTTATTGGTGATTTAGTTTCATCATTCTTGTTATACATGATAACAGATCAAATTGGAAGAAAGAAAATTATGATACTATGTTGCCTTTTGATGGCTATTACTGGCGTGGTATTTGCATTATCTGAGAACTATTATTTTTTGGTAATAACAGCCATTTTGGGAGTTTTAACACCATCTGGAGGTGAAGTTGGACCATTTCGTACTATTGAACAAAGTTCTATCGCTTCATTAGTTCCCCACGAAGAGAGATCAGATATTTATGCCTGGGATACCTTTCTTGGCACGTTTTGTTCTGCTATTGGTTCCATCTTTGCAGGTACATTAATTGATTTCGTACAAGGGAATTTTGGATTTAGTGTTGCACAAAGTTATAAATGTGTATTTTGGGCATATAGTTTCCTTGCCGTAATCTGTGTGATTTTATGCTTGTTCATCACAAATGATATCGAAGTCAAACCAGAGGAGGATTCGATTGATGATGACGCCTCAGAAACTACACGTTTAATCACACAACCAGAGGAGGCAACAACAACAACCAAAAAGAAGAGGAAATTTACGTTATTACCACCTTTAACTCCTGATACATATTTGATTGTTCTCAAGTTAGGCTTGCTATTCGGACTTGATTCATTTGCTTCGTCATTAACTCCACTTTCATGGATTTCTTATTTCATTAAAAATAAATTCGATGTTCCATCATCTTATCTTGGTTCGGTATTTTTTACCACCGGATTTATTAGTGGTTTTTCTGCTCTTGGTAGCACACCATTGACCAAAAGATTTGGTGCCGTTGTTACCATGGTTTTCACTCATTTACCAGCCTCTATTTTACTTGCATTAGTCCCTGTTCCATCGTCATTTAAAGTAACATTGATGATTTTGATAATTAGATCATGTACTCAAACCATGGATGTCGCTCCAAAACATGTATTTTTAGCTACATTGGTTCCCGACAGTCAAAGAACAGCAGTTTTTGGATTTGTAAATGTTATCAAGACATTATCACAAGTAGTGGGACCTAGTATTGTTGGTGTGATTACCCAACATGGTGCTCAATGGATTACGTTTGTCATTGCCGGTTCCTTGAAAGCTACCTATGACATTGGTATTTTGATTACCTTCTTGACATATAATCGCCATCGTGTACATTAGAGTTTTTTCTTGTCTGTGTCCATTGGACTTCTTATTTATTCGCCTATTTATTTACGCTATCTGTTCTAGAATCTAGTATTTGCTTTACTGTAGACACGACAATGCTCTCTAATGATTCAAACTCCCATGGCAAAAGCTTCTTAGTTGCATTATTGCTTACTTTGGCTAATTTCTTGAAATCATTCTCTTCTGTTCCTGGATTCCCCTTTGGTAGATCCAATTCTGGGAAGTTTTTGTTAACAATGTCAAGTAACAATTGTGTAGTAAAATATCCATTTGTCATTAACAACCTCTTATTAACTAATTCATCCGTTTCAATGGCATACACTTGAACTTTAGCAATATCATTCACAGATATATATCCACCAGCATCGTTTTCAAATGTGGAATTATTTCCATGATTCAATTTGAGCACATCATCGATAAGTTCATTTGAACTATTAAATCTTTTAGGGTCAAAATCATAAGCCTTAGGACCAAAAACCCAAGATGGATTAACCACCACCAAACCAAATGGTGGTTTCTGCATCATGACAAATTCCCATGCAAATTTCTCTGCAAATGCTTTGGATGCATAATATGCGGTGATATTGTCTTTCTTTGCATCTTCATATTTCGTATTGTTCCAACTTCCTTCATTGAAAGATAACTCTGGATTTGTTTCATCTTTATTGGAATACATTGCTGCATCAGAAGATGTGAGAACAAGACGTTTTAACTCTGGACAATGGGTAAGTGCTGCATTTAGTACGTTTTCTGTTCCTTGGATTGCTGGTTTGAGAATAACATTTTCCGGATCTTCAGTATCGAATGTTAATGGTGACGCAGCATGGAATAAATATTTGATATCGTTATGTTTTGACAAAACTTCATCAAATGCATCTGGAGCAGATAACTCAGGAACAATCTCATAAGTGAAGTTGTCTGTTGGTAACATCATTGATTTCATTTGTTCACCTTTTGATGCCGATCTAACTGTTCCAACCACTTCATACCCTTTGGATAACAAAAGTTTAATAATATGTTGAGCAATAAACCCAGTAGCTCCTGTAACGAATGCCTTTGTCATGATGTGGTAGTGATGTTGTAGTAAGAAATATAGTACATATGTTCTACAGTAGCAATTTTTTCTTTTTCTTTCTGTTGATCATACCGGGTACGGATTCGGTTTCCTATTTCGGACTGCGCGATAGCAAAAGTTTATCACAAGAATCATACATGTTTATGTATTTTACTAAAAACAATTTAACTATTTAGATATACTCTGATAAGTTGAAAGAACCTGATTCCAAAGCCTTGTTAGCAATTTGTCTGATCTTCCTTTGTCCTGGAGTCAAACCGTCTTTGATTTCAAAAAGTGCCAATCCCATGGATCTTTTTGCGTCTTGGTCATTTTCCAAATGAGACACATCTGCACCCTGATACTCATCTTGTTTTGCCTTTTCAGATAATTGAGACCTATAATCTTCAGGTGAGATATTTTTCAAGAAAGCTTGCTTTGTATCTAATAAAGTATCAATATTTGTAATTGACAAAGGAGTAGCACCATAATACAACACCAGTGAATGACCATCACCGTTATGTTCTCTATCAACTTCATGTGGTATGTCGACATGCCAGAATACAAAACTACCTTTTTTAACATCTGGAATAGAAATAACTCCATTTGCTAAATGTGGATAAAATTCCAGTAAATACAATTGACCGGTACCAGGAGTGGTTCCTGGAAATTTAGGTGTAGTTAAGTCAAATTTCATAATCATCCAAATTGCCAGATTCTGGATCTTTCCAAAAGAACGGACGTAACATTATGTATGAGATAGCTAATTTAAGACTTGGTAATACCCTTAAAGTACCTTCACCAGAGCGATTGTCGGAAAGTGCTAACCATCCTTGAAGAGTTCTGAAAGAACTACAGATGGTAGATCTTGCTTCAGTGAGATCGGGATACAAGTTTTCATGAGAAGTTACTCTAGCATCAAGTTTGAATGGATCAAATTCCTCCCAATTACCACTGAAAATATCTTGGTAGACCTTTGAGTATTGAACATCTTCCCATCTTTCAATTGAAGACGAATCTAAATGCAATGGTAAAGTAGCCGATTTTCCTGGTTCTCTAATACGAATCCTATCACCATACACAATTTGACTATCAAGATCAATAAGTGCCTCGCCATCTTCAACATGGAATTCGTTTGCCATCATCGAAAATAATTTCTTGATATTAGGGTGCATCCGTGCTTGGGTCTGTGGACGAGTCCAGAAAACGTTATACCATGAAGTTGGATTTGGATAAGTATAACCTGCAGTTTGTGGATGCTCTTTGCAAAAACCTTGTAACTCGTTAAACCAAAGATCAATTTGATGTCTGTCCACAACATTATCAACCATTAAACATCCACGTTGTCTAAATAAATCGGCCACATCAGCTGGGAGTTTTTGGTCTTTGATGGAATTAAAATCACATTTTGGGATATGTGAGGGTCCTGTTTTCTCGATATCAGTAAACTCCTTTTCAATAGCAACAAGTAGTCTTTTCCAACTTTCAGTTACCAGTTTGACATTCTCTGGTTTAATCAATCGTTGTTTTACTTCGACAAATCTTTGGTCCAAGTCAGGTGGAGTGGAAACAGAAGTTTGTAATACGGATGGAGACATTATGGTTATTATTTGATGATATAAAAATTACCCAGAGCCATGAATCATGGAATACATGGTCCCCATTTATACTCGCACGATTAATTAACTGCAAAAGAGAAAGTATAAAAATCGCACTGCTTCAATATTGCTTCCCCACATACTCGGACGGGTTTCCTAATTAGGTATTCCATCCTCCATGGTTTAATTTCTCCGACAAACACCAACTACAAAATAGTAAAACATTCTAATAAATCAATCTCTTGAACATTACTCAACACTACCTAACATTCCTGCTATCCTTATTGATCAAATCTGACATTCATGGGCAAACATGATTTATTGTCACGTGAGTCCAATTCAAACCCCGAGCCCGCAAATCGGCTATATTATCTTTTACCAAAAATTAAAAAAAAAAAAACAAAACATGAGTGCAACCATACAGATAAACCACTTAAATTTGCTCATTCTTTTTCTTTTACCAATTCATCCCCGCCAATAATGTTAGGACGTATTCGAAGTACGAGGAGAGCTCTTAATGTGTATCAAACATTGAGACAAAGGTGCTGTTACGCCACAGCTGCATCAGAAGATCCAGTTGATCACCACAAAAGATTAGGGCTCCATGAGTGGCCCACATCATCAAACCCCACGGCATATGAAATATTTGGTTTATCGTCGAAAGACATGGGAATGTCACCATTGGAACTTAACAAGATACTTAAAAAGAGATACGTTTCATTAGTGAAGATATATCATCCTGATACATCTCTTGTGCTAAAACACAAAGGAAAGGAAATCGATACTGATTTGAAAAGAAAAAGGTTTGATATGATTCAAGAATCGTATCAAATACTTAAAAATCCAAGACGGAGAATAGCATATAATAGATTTCAAACAACTACATGGGAACAACAAGGAATGTATCGTGGACATGATAAAGGACCTTGGAGTAAAGAAAATTTCGAAGCACATAGACGTGCAAACGCTCATAGACGAAGATATGATTTTAAACATGACGAAGAGTTTTGGCATGCAGCTACTTGGCAAGATTATTATCAGATGAAGTATAAACGCGCACCTCCTACTCAAGAAGAACTTGATAAGAATAAGTATAAGATTCTTGCCGGAGTTTTATTATTTGGGGCTGTTGGATTTGGATTGCAGATGATTAATGCTGTTGATAATGCAAACAAGTACTTATTGGAAACACAACAGTTGAACTTGAAATCAATGAAAGCATTAAACGACTCATACGATAACTACGGTCAAGGTCATTCAGAAGCGGATAAGGTTAGAAGATTTTTAGCAAATAGAAGAAGTACAATGAAACTGAAACAAGATCATGACGATGAAGAAAAATTACCGGAACCTAATGATGATGAGTTGTTAAGAAGATACGCAGTTAAAAGACTTGAATCTTGGGATCGTGTTGATGACTGATGGTGTTGTTTTATAGGATTTATTTATTCATTCATTTATAATTGATATATATATCATAAAGTAATCAGATAACGAAGGATCTGGGATTCATTAGGTTCTTGTCCTTTGTTTGCAACAAATATGCTAAGTATAGGTGATGAAACAGTTTGTCCGAATAATATTTCGATGGGTAAGTCATAGGTGAGTGTACAAACAATACGATGTTCATGTATATTTCAGAGATTGAATTTTATATAGACAAAAACGCCAACTTTATTCAAAAATAAATCGGCGATCACAAATTGCGCTAAAGTTTATTATCAGTAAAGTTTCCATTTAGACATGTAATTGAACTTTCAATTAGAGTATTAGTTTTCTTCAACACTCCAAACAATAATTCTGACATTGCATTTATATATTCTTCTCATTGCATTGGAACATGGGGACTCACACGGCTACAACAACATACCAAATGCAAAGTAAAAGAAACTTGGACCAACTGATACTAGCAATCATGGTGTCAACTATTCTTGCAAACAATGTTACACATCAGTTTGTTATTAGTGATAACAATGGATCAACATACTTTAGGTAGCACCCAAATAACCAAGGTCATATATCTAAGAGATCAGAATGTAGGTATGGAGATGAAGATATATCTGGTGATGGTGGTTTAGAAGCTAACTTATGCAGATCTGAATTGGGTGTAGACCCAGGAGTTTTAAACAGTGATGACGATTATGATACAATTGATATTGATATTTCATGCCATCAGGATATATGGAGTCATTCTGGTGTTTATGCTCAAATATATGATAAAAATCATCTTGGTACTATATTGTCAGCAACAATTGCACCTTATACAAATGACAAAAAGGGTACTTTGAATAAAATGCCCATGTGCTCAAATGGATTAAAACATCAATGTGGAAGAGTTTAAATATCAAGCTACAAAAATTATTTGATGTTAAACCAATTAGTTTGATTTTTATCCTACTTTGTTACAAATATAAATATGAGAAGAGAAAGTTATTCAAATAGGAAACTGTGATTTTTTATGTAATCATTAAGATGTACATACTACTATAAGATGAGAATCATTTAGTTAAATTGAATTCAACTGTGTATTTCCTTACTTACAAGTGAACTCACTATAGAACGAAAATAAATTATTTAGAGTTGATTTAAATGGAAAATAATGTGATATTTTGACATTTACCACAATAAAGTTACTAAAGTAACATCTTAAAGTTAATCAATATATTATGTACATTCTTAATTCATACCAACTCTAAAAACATTGTTCATTCAAATGCGATATTTTTATTTCATACTAAGGGATTTGAATTATTCATATTTAGCAAATTAAAATGTTCATATTAATAGAAAAAAATATATTCATATTACGTGACAATATTTGTTTCATTTAGTATGTCAATGATAACATAGAGGAGGAACATTTGGGTCATTAGTATGAAATAAAAGGCTGTATAATACAGCAATTATATAATAACCATAACTTGAAAATCAAGGCACGCAATTGCATCTTGTTGTGTGATTACCAGTTTCCTAATCGATATACCCATTGTATCATTAAATAAAATTACACGGGCAAATATTACATACATATAGGAAGTAACAATATTTTTTAATCTGATACGCTAGGGGTAACTTTGCCATAAATATAAAGGACATCTTTCCATCTCAAATTATTTTTGTGGATCCACTTTAAAGGAATAACTGGATTTAACAATAATTGAAACTTATTAAGATTTGCAAAATGGAAGAAAATAAAGATGAATACAATCTTCAAAACGAGTAGAAACAATACCTTAAAACACGAAGAAATATTATATTTAAGATGATAGTGTTAATACTTTTTGGTGTTTTCTTGACATTTGGTCTTGTATTTTTCTTTGTTAAATTAGCAATTGGTATCTATGAAATTAAAAAGGAAGAAAATTTAATGAAATTGGATCAATCTTTTACCAGTAACTGATACTAATACACAAGTTTATACAAATGATGTTTTTAAATATACAACAAGTTTTAAGTATATTACTTAAAAGCTACTTCTCCTATTTATTAGTCTAGGCCGTATTGTTCCTAATAAACTAGCATCGTCAGAGCTCGTATGAAACTGATAACGATTTCTCTATCAATCCGTTCAACTGTCTAAACCACGTGATAACTCTGTTGAATGTGTTGATGTTGATAATTCAGAATTCAATTTTTGTTAGTTGCCACTTTTTCCAAAAATTTTTTTTTTTCTTTGGCTACTTTGGGTCCATAAAAAAATGACACGACAACAATTTAATGACTGAGCAACCAAAAATTAAGGCGAATTCATATTCAGATTCCAAATAAGAAACGTGTTTCCTGTTAGAAACCATCAAAATTTTAAAACAATGCAAAAGAAGAACCATGTGTGTGGGTGTTGGACGTGCCATGGTCGTGTGTGACACAATCTGGGGGAAGATGGGGACCCACGAGTGCGTTGAATTTTTCTTTATTATTATTAACTATTTTAGACTTTCTCTCAAGAGTTTTAACCAGAAGAAGTAGAGATGGTCAAAAATAGGAAACGTGGTGGGATCAAAAAATTGCAAACGTAATCATTTCACACGTATTGGCAACAATGAAATCACAACAACAACTAGTGTTGGTTCTGCTTTTTCTTAATTTGAAAATTTTAGTTCCCATTCAATTATAAATATCAATGATTATGTTCCAAGTCAACCTAATTGATTATTTTTTATACCTTTATTCTTTTTTGGTTTCAGTTCTGATTATTCTACAACTAGTTTTCAACAACACTATACCTTGCCAAAAAAAAAATGTCAGAATATATTTTGGACATGTTCCCCGTTGATATATCAAAAGTTTACGTATTCACGTCAGTTTCACTTTTTTGTGGTGCTGTGTACTTTTCAGCCAAATTGAACAAAACCTTCCATTCAATATTGGTCTTTTGTTGGGCCTGCTTTGTTAAACCGTTTTTACACAAAAAATCTGGCGGTGGTAGTAAAAATCAACAACACAACTTGGAGTTATTCTACAAAAATCAAGCTCATATTTATGATACCACAAGGGAGGTGTTATTGAAAGGTAGAAAAGAATGTCTTAGATTAGCTATTTCTCATTTACCTAAAAAGAAAGACATTGTCTGGATTGACATTGGTGGTGGTACTGGGTCAAACATTGAGTTCATGGATAATATCTGTAAGATTTCTGAAAACTTCAAAGCTGTTTACTTGGTTGATCTTTCTCCTTCTTTATGTGAAGTTGCTAGAAAAAGATTTGAAGCTAAAGAATGGACCAACGTTCATGTTTTGGTTGCAGATGCTTGTCATTTCAACATTGACTATGAATCTGCTGATTTGATTACCTTCTCTTATTCATTATCCATGATTCCAACTTTCAATGCTGCAATTGATAATGCTGTTTCACTTTTGGATAAGGAAGGGTTAATTGCTACTGTTGATTTTGGTATTCAAAGCACTGATACTTCCATGGGAAGAATCAACACTGTTGGTGGTTTAGGTAACAGACACATTCCTTGGATTTTGAGAAATTTTTGGAGAATATGGTTTGAAGCTGACAGGGTATTCTTGGATTCGTCTAGAAGAAACTACTTGGAATATAAATTTGGTACAATTAAGTCATTGAATTGTTACAACAAAGTATTGGGCAAAATTCCATATTACATCTGGATTGGTTGTGATAAAACTAAATCACATTCCATTTTGGAGAGATTAAACTGTTTGGCTACTGAATCACCTTATCTTGCCCCTTCCACTACTCCGATTTCTGAGCAAATTGGTGATATTCCAATTTCCAAAGGTCATGAGGCTGCATTAACCAATTTGCAGAAAAACTTGCCTTTCCCATCCATCTACTATCAACAAGAACACTGGAGAGTTTACTATGATGAATTGAACCCATTAAATGAACAATTCAACAATCAATATATTTATGCATTCACTTGGGAAGACCCACGTGAGGATCATGAGCTTTTGAATTTCAGTAGTGATGATACTGTTTTGGCTATTACTTCTGCAGGTGATAATATTTTAAGTTATGCCAGTTTACCAGATCCACCAAAAAGAATCCATGCTGTCGATCTTAACCCATGTCAGAATCATTTATTGGAGTTGAAATTGGCAAGTTTCAGATGTCTTTCACAAGAACAAATCTGGTCCATGTTTGGTGAAGGTAAGATTGATAATTTCAGAGAACTTTTAATTGATGTTTTGGCCCCACATATGTCATCCAATGCATTCCAATACTGGATGGATAAAGGACCGAGTGCATTTTCTGGTAAAGGGTTATATGACACAGGATTTTCAAGATGGGCTTTGAGAATTGCTAAATATGTTTTCAAAATTTCTAGAGTTGGTAAATATGTTGATGAACTTTGTTCTGCTCCAAACATGACGGAACAATTAAGAATTTGGAATGAATATTTGAAACCAACTTTGTTTAACCCAATCGTTGGTTCATTGTTAGTTGGTAATCCAATGTTTTTGTGGAAAGCTTTAGGTGTCCCGGCAAATCAAGCCGCATTAATGGGTCCATCGGTTATCAAATATGTCATTGACACTTTAGATCCAATATTAAAAAGATCTTTAATCTCCACTGACAATTATTTCTATTACTTGTGTATGAAGGGAAGATACTCCAAGAACAATTGTCCAGATTATTTGACTACAAAAGGGTACAATAGATTATCCGCTTCTGATAGTACAGCTGCTTCATCACCGATCAACAACATCAGAATGCATACTGATACCTTGAATGAGGTATTTGGTAGATTAAATGGGAAATCGATCACCATTGCAATTCTTATGGATCACATGGATTGGTTTGATCCACATGGTAAAGATGCAATTAATGAGATTTCAGCACTTAAGAAATGCCTTGCTCCAAATGGTAGAGTTATGTTAAGATCAGCTGCTCCTAATCCGTGGTATATGAAAACTTTTGAATCATTGGGATTTAAAGTAGAGAATAGTGTTGTTAGAAAACATGGTGAGAGTATTGATAGAGTCAATATGTATGCCAGTACCATAGTTTTGAGATATGTTGGTTCACAGGAAGATAATGAACCAATTATTGATGGCAGAAGAAGAATGAGCAGTTTAAGGATTTAGGGGATATAGATAACATTAGTAGAGTTGAGTTTAGTTCTAGTTTTTATTCTATTTTTTTTGTATGTATAAGATTATGTTATTAGATGGTTATTATCTGAAAGAAGAAAAATTCTTCAAGAGTATTCACCAAATTTAGTAAAAATTTACAAACAATATTTGTCAAGTTGACTGTCATTCTTGGGGTATTTAAACGGAAGAGACTTCATTACGCATATGTAAAATAGAGAATCTAGCCCATTTGCAAAGAGCGGTACGATCAGTCAATGTAGTCATGTGATGTCACAACAGTAAACTCCTGCATAGTAATATTAAACTTGGAATACTATTAAGTGAACCATAAAGACATATTGTTAGATCCGTTTATAATTGTCCTACTTTTCACGCCGTACAAGGTCGAGGATTCGCTAATCGCATAAGTTGAGTGCGCTTGTTCACCTGCCGTCTCGATGAAGTCCAAATTCAATTGTTGGTAATTATATCTTCACTACAACTCCTATACCACCCTTATACTGTTATTCACATATATTGTCACCAACTGTGATTATAACAACAAGTAACTTTATAAAAATTTGGTGGAATTGCACTTGGTAGCGGAGGTAGGATAAAAACCAATAATTTCTCCGATATAATTATTCCGAGATTCTGGATTTTTTCTTTTTTTAGTGAGGGGTAGAAGTGCATTTGGATTGTGTCAAACAAAATAGCCCCCTAACCGCATACAAGATTATTATAACCTACTCACACGACAGACAGCTCAACTGATACTGCAGCATGAGATGAGCTCAGCTGAGATGGGGCGGAATCAACGAGTTCAACAAGATCAGCTGTGACGTATAAATACTGCTGCAGATCCATTGATCTCGTCTCACAACGAAATTTCCAGTCTCTCTTACACACACACACACACCAACCAAGAATGAAATTCTCCGCCAGTGCCTTGCTTTTATTGGCTTCTACCACTGCCTCATTAGCCAAGAACATCTTGATGTCCAACGATGACGGCTGGGCAACCGCCAACATCCGTGCCTTCTACTACAAATTGAAAGAAGCTGGCCACAATGTCTACATCGTCGCTCCTGTCACCGATATGTCTGGTCACGGTGGTCAATTCGACCTCCCAGAGTCCTCCACCTTGGAAACCGATGGTGAGTACGGCTACCCCGCTGCAGGTGCTCCTATGTACGGCCATGAAGTTGACGATGATCACGTGTTCTATTTCAACGGTACTCCTGCATCCTGTGTTGCCTTTGCCTTGACTACATTCTTCCAACATATGCCGACAACATCACCATTGACATGGTTGTAGCAGGAAATAACTATGCACAGAATTATGGGGGATATTTCTCTCTATCAGGGACCATGGGGGCCACCATTGAAGCTGTGTACAGAGGATACCCGGCTATTGCATTTTCTGCGTGGAGTTGGAACAACACTTTTTACAAAGACGGCTTAGATTTGAACGACAACTTGTTGGAGTCCACCATTGTGGCCGAGAAGGCAACCGAGTTGGTCAACCAGATCTTCGAGTCCCAGGGTGAAAACCCAAGAGCTATGGGGTTGGGTGTTGGTTTGAACGTTAATTTCCCAGCTGTAGGTTACGACAACGAAAGCTGCACCAATCCAAACTGGGTCTTCACCAGAATTGCCGGCAGCGGTGCCAAGGGCGCCGAGTTGGTCTTTGACGAAAAGACTCAAACCGTGGGATGGGCCGATGACAGATTGGAAGAAGGTATGCAACCATGCTACAACGGTGACTGCACTTTGCCAACAGAAAATTTCATCCTCGGACAAAACTTGTGTAACGCTACCATTTCTGCCTTCTCCGTCGACTGGGATGCCAACTTGGTCTTGACCGAACAAGCCAAGGCTTTGGTCCAACCACTTTTGGGTTGAGGTTATATGCATAGATACATAGGTACATAGATACGTAGCTCGTTGTGCTAGTGTCTAATAATACAAGTTCGTATTATCTTTGATGCGGTGTAGAGCGCGACTTCCTAATTTGGGTAGAGTGTGCAGTGCACGTGATGCCAGAATCTTTTTTTTGTACAGCGTTTCTATTTTCAGTTCGTACCAAGTTCAAAGAAATTATTAATACTAGTGCGACAATTTAATTTATAGTAAGGGAGATTAATTGTTCATAGTAAATGGAGTCAAAATGTTCACACCAGCGGAAATAATACTTTTCAACCAACTGCCCTTTTTTTGTTCATATCATAGATCATACATTTTTACGATGAACAAATAGAGGTCACGTAATATGAACATTTTTTGCACAAATATTGAGCGCCTTAATATGAACTTTTCGTTGCAGATAGTGCGAATAATATTGACACATTGGTCTGAAAATTATTCTTACACTAGTGCGAAATAAAGCTGCTACGACTGTATCTACAAGTATGATACTATTATTTTTATACTACACTTTACATGCCTTTCTTTTAGAATATACATCCGTACTTTTATAAACTTACCTTACCCTACCTGTATATCTTACTATATCCTGTAGTCAAGACATAATCTTATTCTATTCTAAACAATATTTCAATACGCCTAGAAATTTTAACTCAGTGTTGAATTAATATCAAAGATAGAATACCTCACAGAAACAAATTTCCGTATAAATTTCTACGACAGTATTTTACTATTTTTTGGTCTGAAGTGATGTTTACTAATAAAATGTCATTCAAAGGGTCGAGAGAAGCGGAGACAACTGAAAAGGTTATTGTTACTGAACAATGATTGCTGATTTCTAAATTGAAACAATTTGAGCAACAATTTGCAATTTTTTAGTAATTTATTTCCTCTTGTCTTTCAGTAATAGGGGAAAGGAGGAATCACACTAAATAAATAATTTTTTTTCTTCTCTTTGTTCATCACACAAAACAGGAATTGTCGGGGAGAGAGAAATTGGTTCTCATTACGGGAGTTCAGTATCTGGTTATTTAAAAGCCATCCAGCAATCTTATAAGCTCATGCAAAAAAAAAAGAAAAAAGAAAATCTATGGAACCTTCAACTTATTCTTCTTTTGTTCTTTCACCAATCCTTTATCCAAACTTGAACACAGGGCTTTACAACAATCACATGGCGTAGCATCTTTTGGAATTCCTACCCAAGAAAAAAAAACATATACTTCCCGTCTAATTTTCTTTATTGTACTACAACGAAATAATACGGCGCAGTAACGGTGGCAGAGGACAGAGCAGAGGACAACCAGAGTGAGAGAGACAGCAAAAAAAAAAAAAAGAAACCAGCAACCATGGGATTGAAATTACATAGAAAAAAGAAAACTAATGACGATACTGCCAGCAGTACTTCTTCACAATCATTTGCCAATTCATCTCCTAAATCAAACCATAGAAGATCATTAAATCTATTTCAACATCATAAACGAATGAGTAGTAGTGGCACTTTTGCTGAAGATAAGTCCTTCAGAGGCATGATCAATTCGATAAACCGATCCCATTCACAATCAAGACCACAGACGAACAATGTCAATACCAGCCAAATTGAATCTGGAAACCAAACCCCAAGAACATTGCCGTCATCACCTACAATCTCGAGATCCAATTCAATGACCAAAACAAGTGGGAATGCATTGCAGTTGCCTCAAAAGGATGTTGATATGCCGGGCACATCATTAATAATATCAAATGACGAGCTTGAGAGAGTAGTGAAGCAACCAGAAGGGGCAAGTGGAGTTGACATAAGCATAAGTCCAAATAATGGATCACAATTATTGTTGAATGTCCCTGATAAACAACAGACAAATACAAGCCAAACATCTTCACAGCACCCACCAACTCATCAACCTCCAACTAAAACTTCTACACTAGATTCGCTGTCAGATCTACAAGAGCATCAACATCACCATCACCATCAATCACAACAACCAGCTAAATCAGAATCAGGAGGATTTTTGTCAATGTTTTTAAACACTGGTCCAGCCAAATCAGCAACACCACAAGAGGGTAATATTGACCCTAATGATAAGAAAAAAGAACACACCTCATTTGCAGCACGATTAGATAATTTGTTGAAAGGAGTTAAACACGAGGAGTCGAAGGCGTCATTGACAGGAGAAGGAGGGGGTGCAGAAGAACAGACAGATAGAGAAATAGGACGAACTTCAACTGACATGAAGTCAGTGCATTCATTAACGCAAGATGTACAATTCGAGCCTGTTAGAGAGTCGCCGTTGAAAACTTTAGGAAATGGTGATTTGAAATTGGATGATTTTGATGCCAATGTTCCTGGAGGGTTACCAGATACCGAGTTTGTTGGTTCTCGAAGACCCTCATTTCGTTCTGCAGACAGCACTACAAAGAGAGCAATCAGTCCTGATAGAGAAAACAACTCTGTACCAGTGGGCAATCAAGTTCAAGCTATATCTAATGGAAATGACCTAAAAAGATTGAAAAGAAGAAGTGGTATGTCCAATGGTGATCGACAATCATCAGTGGGGAGAAGCTCATTTGTTGACAATCAAACGATTTTAAGTTCTGATGATCACAGAAGTACCATTGGTGCGATTAGATCACGAACGTCTGAAGTGCAAGATGATTTGGATATATTAAGTGATTCTGAATTGGAGAATTTAGATAATATTGTCGATTATTCCAAAAAAATTAAGCATGCATCAAGGAAAAGAGATAAAGAGTTTCATCAAGTATTTAAAAAGTTGCCAAGTGGTGAAAAATTAATTGACGAATTCAGTTGTGCATTTTCAAAAGACATCTTGGTTCAAGGTAAGATGTATTTAAGTGACCATTATATATGTTTCAATTCAAACATTTTGGGTTGGGTCACAAACTTAATTATTCCATTACAAGAAGTCATACAGATTGAAAAGAAATCTACCGCAGTGCTATTCCCTAACGGTATGGTTATCAGAACATTGCATCAGAAATATGTGTTTGCAACATTTTTAAGTCGTGATACTACATTTGACTTGATTACCAATGTGTGGCACAGAGTTATGTTGGAGAACAGTGATATTGACCCCAAGAAGTTGCAAGCAACGCTTGAAAGAAAAAGAAGAAGGGCAAATTCTAACCTTTCACAAGTCAGTCGAGATGAAAGTTATGTTGATGATTCCGATGATGATCTTGGTGGTTCAGATGAAGATAATGATGACTCAATGGCCGATGATGAATCTGGCGATGATACTTCGTTAGATAATGATGATGGAGATAACTCAGAAGAAAAAGGAACCGACGAAAGTGATGTAAATGGCGCCAGTGTGGCTGCTACTTCGGGTTCCAGTAAGGATGGAAATACTTTTAAAGGATTGCCAGTAGTTGGTCCATTAACCCACGCACCAACATCGACTGGTTACACTAAAGATTCAAGTGAAACATTTATTGTTGAAGATACAATCAAAGCTCCACCAGGAGTTGTGTTTTTAATTTTGTTTGGCCTGGATACAGCCAAGTATATTGGGATTTTAAAAGAACAAAAGAATTTTGATATAAGTGAATCATCTATCAAAGGGTTGTCGAAGGATAACAAAGAACGTAACTATACTTATATCAAACCATTAGGAGGAGCTATTGGACCAAAACAAACCAAGTGTGTGATTGAAGATAAAGTTATTGAATATAGTCCTGATAAATATTATGAGGTTGAACAAACTACTCAAACACCAGATGTTCCTAGTGGGAATTCGTTTAAAGTTAAAACCAAAATTTTCTTAAGTTGGGCTGCCAACAATGAAACCAAGATTTATATCGTAACATCCATTGAATGGAGTGGGAAATCATGGATTAAAGGTGCCATTGAGAAGGGTACTATTGATGGTCAAAAGGACTCTATGGGCTCATTAATTAGCATTACCAACAGAATTATTGCTACCAGCGGTGATAAAAAACCAAGTAAAAAAGGTAGTAAAAGAAGTAGAAAGGGAACAGTTAGGAAAGACGTTGAAGAAGAACCAACTAAAGCAGTTGTTAGCGAACCTGTTAAACCAAAGAGTATTGGTGATCAGTTTGGTGATTTGATTAACTCCATTGGTGATTTGGTGCCAATTCCATTCTTGAGTAATACACTAGTAGGAACAATTGTGTTGATCTTTGGTATGATTATTTCATTTTCGTTGTTCAATAAGATTACTCATAGACATACTCCCAAAACAATTGAAATAATTCCATCTAATTTGTACTCGTCAAAGATACAGATAGATGGAGAGAAATATTTGGTATTACCTACAATAGAAACCAATTTCAATAACGAAAGAATGAGAAGACAAGAAGAAGTTGGCATTTGGAATTGGATCAATGAACGAAGTAATGGTAAATTGAACTTGTCACTCAATTGTGACAGTTTTGAAAAATTAAGCAATGAAGAATTGAAGAGTAAGTACAATGAACAAGAGTTGAAAGAAATTGTCAGATTAACGAAATTGAAATTGGATAAACTTTCTGAGAAATTAAATGATATCAATCTATAGAAATTTTTTTTATTTTTTAGTTATTTCAATATAGAAGTTGTGTATGTTTCTAGAGTTAAAGAATTGTTGTGTTGTAAACTGATTCATTGTGAACACCAATGATGTGTACAAGTTAGATATCAATTTTGTTTTTTGACTCGTTATTGAATGGTGCTCTGGTTTGGTCATTCATGAACTGAATCTCAAGTATGTATGATTGAAATTTTGCATATGTATATTGTTTGTACATATATCTCAGTGCAACCAAGAATTTGTGTTCAAACGTAGATCCATTTCGGTGAAACACAACTATATTTATACTTGTAAAATCTGATCACATTAATATGAATCCGGTGGAACTGAAAAGATACCTCAATATTCCCCTTTAATCCGTATACTTTAAATTAAAGTTATATAATCAATAAGGGGAATGTCCATTAAATATTAAAATTTTACGAGACATAATTAATCATGATGTCATTTGTGCTTAGGGGGAAAAAAAGAATTGTGGAGTTGATAGTGTGGGCAAGTCAGAATATTTTTTTTTTTTCAATTCATGTGAAACAAATCAATGATGATCATTTTAGGTGATGTTACGAAACTGTCATAAAATATTTACTCTACTGTGATGGCTGAAAAAGGTATCTAACACGAATGACCTTCACACCTCTTGGTTTGTACTGTAATTCATGGATATTTTGTTGTTGTTTATACGTTTGTTCTTCCATTAAATGTAGTACAATACTGCATAATCTTACATAGTCAAACGTTATCCAACTTAGGTAGTAACGGTGATAATCCAATGCATGATCAATTCCTGTAACATTTAGAAATGTGCAAAAGAAGTCAAAAAAAAAACAGCAATAATATTCGAGCAATCAAATCAAACAAAGGTCATAATCACATATAGTTTGAGTCCCGCACGACTTTCAGTACGTAATCACAAAATGTAAATAAAATATTCGTAAAAAATAAGTGAAAAACGAATGAGAGAAAAATATATAAAAAAAAAAATCAATTACGTCATTGATGAATCTTCATGGGTTAATTAAAAGGGGAAAAAAATCTCAAATATAAAAGCCACCATTAAGAACATCATCAAATAATTGATATTCCACTTTTTGTAGAGTTGCTTCTTGTTCAACAATTTCATTTGAATGACAACTACCGTATTACCAAAATTAAATTTTTTTATTGATATTTTCACTAAATATGTTCCTTTGATATTCACGTTGAAAAGTTTAAACCGTAAATTAGTCTTTGAAAGAACATCTTATCAATTTATTATCAATTACTGGTTGTATTGCTACATATTGCAGCATATCCAGAATATGCTTTATGATCAATCAATTGTGTTGTATATTTGCAGTGTCATAAAATTATGGATGTTTTATGGAAGTTCCAATAATTTACGTTTAGCTAATGATATAATATTTGTCAGACATGTTGATTTTGAAGCTATTAAGAGAATTGAAGATGAATTTATTAACCCTTTAATTAATACCATATATCCTAAGTTTAAAGAAATGGAATATCAGATTTATTTATGTGGCAAGACATATTCAAAACCAATTGATGATTGTTCAATAATATTAAATTTCCCAAATGTTTCTAAATTGTTTATTTTGAATAATGTCAATTCCCTTCCTACGACGACTTCCACATCAAGAAGAAGTCGTCTGAGTGGATCAAATCTGAGACCAAACGTTGTTCCCAATATAGGGACCTCTACTTCACCTAATCCAAGTCTTCCAAATCAACGATCAAGACAATCTTCAAGAACTTTTGATGGTTATCAACAAGGATCTGATAGATATTATCCTCCATACCCATTTGCTCCGCCTCCATATACAAATATTGATACCTCAGGTAATAGATCTGCAAATCCAATGAGAAGATCTTCCGTATCATACCAACAACAACCTACGACGTCAACAAGAATAAGATCAAGATCTGATAATTCCGATGCTGGTCATCGACAAAGTGTAAGAGAAACTTTGAATTTGGATCTGAGAAATAGAGATTATTATTTTTCTCCCGTTTTTGTTGATGATAGGTAATTGGAAATTAAATATGTAATAATAAATATATACAATTGCAATTAGTATAATGTTCACACTGATAGGTTATTCTTGGTATGTTTGGCACATGAAAAATTATTTTCCATACAGTGTTAGATTAGTAGATATGATCTCAATTGAAGAATACAAGTATTCAAGGTAAAATAATACATTATGTTAAATCTCAGGGGGAAGAATATGTTTTATGATTGACCATTTCCTTGTGTAATCTTACCAAAAAATCACAAAAATGATTGCATAATATAATTACATATATTTCAATCACTTTTTTTGTTGTCTCATCTAAATATTGGAAGAATAAACAACTGTAATCTTAAACTCTAAATGCTGATTTCTAATCCAAAGTTTAATAAGAGGTTGAACAATAGGAATATTAGAAGTTTAAGTTATTTTTTTTAACAAAAGAATTGCTACCTCAGTCGTGTCGATACTACATAATTGTCGCAAACATAATATTTGTCACACAAAAATACAACATGAAAAGTATTTGCAGTTGCTTACCACATTGAAACTATAACATTCTATTGATTATCCTTAAATTATGATATACACCATAACTATAAATCAGTAATTAAAAAGAGAGTAGTTTTTATATAAATTTTTATTTATCTTAAATTACAAAAGTGTTCCTAATTATTATATCACAATGTCTATCCCTATATAAAAAATCACTTAACATCAAATACCAGTTCTAACATTTATCCCAAATCCTAAAATAATAATAATAATAATAAAAATAAATCTTAATATCCACAATTTCAATTAGAATCACCACTAGAATTGCCACTAGAAGTTTAACTATTGATTGGTATTGGAAGAGTGCTACCTCTGCATTCAAAATATCCAGAACGACCACGATTAATATACTCACTACTCATGTATTCAGGTTTGCGGCAATTTTCAATATTAGTTGAAGTACCAGTACCAACGTTATTTGAAGCCAGAAATAATCTAACACCAGCAGTAGTAGGCAGAGTTCCTAAATTAGCAGGCTCTGAATTTTTGTTTTGTTTCTTAGTCAAGTTAAATAATTTCTTGAATATCTTACAAAGTTTGTAGAAAATAATTTCAAGATCTAATTTCCAAACATTTTCAGATGGGGGATTAGATGCGGTAATTAAATTTTGTTGTGGAACTGTTTTTAAAAATTGAAGGAGATCGATTGCTCCATTGATATTATCAGCTTCTTTAGCTCTAGTATCCCCAACAAGACAAGATTCAGAATTTTCAGGTACCAAAACCCAATCATCATCTATATGTGAATCAAGTAAGTTATTTATGAGTAGCGAGGTATTTCCATCTTGATCTATCAGTCTTTGTGAAGCATCACTACCCTGAATGTTGACAAACAGAGAAGATTGTGTGATCTGCAAAGAAGAAGAAGAACCAACCGTTGAGTTACCACCAACTGTTGAAATGTCAGCATTGTATCCTGAATCACTTGAAGTAAGAGAGGTATTAGCTGAAGACATTGATTATTGTAGTTTGATTTTGAATGGGAGTATTTCTAAAATATAAAATATATAATTTTTTGGGGAAAAAAAGGGAGATTTTTATGAGAATTTATACTCAACAGATTTATATGAAGTAAGAATCTTGAGTCTATCCTAAATACCAATATTTGTACTTATTTACTAAATTGATTTACCAACAAAAATCGAGGAAGTGGGGATTATAGAAAGATGACTCTCATCAGTATCCTTTGTCAAAAATGACTCCAGTTTTCAAATGTACATATTTTTTGAGAAGAGGGGTCCCAGCCACACATAATTGGTACAGGGAACAACAGAAAAACAGATAAGCTAAACAATAGCTTACACAGAAATTAAAATATCTCATATAAATAATATGGAACTCTTTACCCGTCACAAACGTGATATCATTTTCATTGCATCGAGAAAATTTATTAACACTCTGATTAGTATCTGATGAATGACCTCTACATCTTAACAAATGAACAATTGTCCTGTGATAATTCTTCATTGTATCTACTATAATAGTTGTATTTGATATTTTGATTTCTATAATTTTATGCATGATTGCAAGATTTTCATTAGATCGCTCAGTAAGTCACATTTTTCATTTCTATTCTCCCGAGAAGTCGCTCAAAACATCATTTTAATCTAACCGTTTTTTACCTTAATTCGCCGAAAGTCAGATTAGACAATTGTTTTAACTGTAGGAGAAATTGAGAGAAAAAAAAAAAAAATAAATCATCGGGGAACATACATTTTCTATACGAGAAGAGCCCCATCGTCCTAGTGATCTTTAAATAATCAAAGTATTTTTATAGGGGTTGTTGTTGCTGATTTGTATTAATAAGTTCATTAGTTTTTTCTACGTACCATAGAATTAATTTGTCATATAATTCTATCCCTTGAATTATTGTACTTATCGATTGTGGGGATATCACGTGCCTTGAGTGGGGCGTTGGGTCGTGTACGTGTAATGATTTTGGAAAACTATATAATTATGTAATCATCCAGTATCAAAAGATATTTTGCGAAACTAATCATATCTTATGTATATTTCGAGTATTAGTAAATAGAAATCAAAGAATATAAGCAATCGACTTCCAATTGGGCCAAACGAATTCACGATTGCTGCTACAAGTGTTGCAAAAAATCACCATTAAAACGTTTGTACTATAAAACTTACCTAGTCGTGTACAGATGGTCAATTTACTGATAAGAGATTTTTTGTTTCTGTCATACATTACACAAGAAATCTTATCGCAAAAGAATGTGTGCGACAGATGGCAAACACTTTGTATGTTAAGAAGTCTACACTGTTTATGATCCACTTTTCTATATGTATTAAAATGCAAATGACTAATTACTCTAAACCTTTTATTAGGGGTCGACCAATGTTCAAATTATATATACTATTATGTAAACCCTTCATTTTTTACTTTTTCTGGGATACCTCTTTTTCCTGGACTGGGATACCTTCAATCATACTATAACATATGCTATCTCACCTTGAGCCGGAACAAGATGTTAAACTAACTCTATTATAATATGTAATGGGGAATTCAAATTATTTTTTAGCTGGTTTTGGTGGTAATGGCTTCTTTTTTAAGTAACTCCATTTACTGTTCTTCTCCTCAACGACCTCATAAAGTGCAAATCTAACTGTCTTTTTGGTTTTAGTTTTAGCCTTGTTTTTGTCTTTAGATGAAGACGATTTGGTGTATATCATAGTTGGTGAAATATCATACATTTTTGGTTGGTTTATGAAGAAAAGGAAAATAGGTGATAATTCAAAAAAAGAGACAAGATTGATTTTTGAAAATTTTGAATTTATAACTCTCGGAGAGAAATAACATTTTGCACTCTTGATAAATATGTAAGTCAATTTTTACCGCCCGATTTTATGTGACTAAGTCCCCGCTGAAAAATTTTTCTATGGCTTTTTTTTTTGGGAGTTGGTTTTTTTTTATAGAAATCAAAAATGTAAATTGTTGGCATATTATTATACACAGCGGTTTGTATAGCCACGCCCTGTGTGTCTTTTGTATAGTATACATACTTGTCTTAAAAATCATTTATAATTTGTTCTACATTGATGATAGTAATAATAATTATGAGAATTAAAGTCGAACCCTGGCTAACTATAACTCATAAGAGACAATCAAAGACAACACCGAACATTGAATCATATAGTCACCGAGGAACGTTGAACAAGATTGGTTTACCATGGTATAAACAGTGTTGAACTTATAAAGGTGGCACTGGTAAGTTGTGGGTAATTTAGGTTACCATGAATCGCTCGATTTTGTGTTTGGTACTAATGCTCCACTCTTAGGTAAAATTTCTTTTTCAGTGGTGGTGAATGCCCTGCGCAAGCTGCAAAATCTGTAAGAACATCACACAAAGGCAATTGGTGTATGCACAAGTTGGGTTTGGATTGTAGTGTACCAATTTCAAAAATTCTTTTTGGTTAGTTTTTTGGTTTTTTTGGGGATACTTATACATAGTAAATTCAATGCAAATGAAGTTGTGTATAACATTGGTTAAGTCAATGATCTGGATATTCCACTTGAGAGATCATTATACTTCTACCCAACACACTACATCTCATAATCATCATTGGAAAATTTGGTTTTTAATTTCTTTTTTTTTTCTTTTATATGCATACAAAATCTTAGTTTTGTACAACCTTTTATGTACTTTCAAAATCCATCCTATTTCTACCGATTCAGCTTTAACGAAGATCTACGAACTGTAGATGAAAACACAATTGCTAATATAATAAACTTTAATTTAAGACACAGTAATAAAGAAGTTCAAGTAATTGGTTACTGGCTATTTAATGTGTTACGCGATGTCAGTAACATGAAATGCCCAACCTTCCTGTCAAACAATTCTTATTATTAGAATGAACAATAAAAAAAAATATGTCAGTAGTAATCTAGACCCCATTTTAATTGAGGGGAAATTGTATAGCGCCTTCGAGAGGGTTTCCACGAATGCATGAGTAAATAGATAAAAGACCCGGGAAGATCCATATAGTATATGGATTTACTTTCATACATTTTGAACTCCACAATGGTACTAGCGTAATTTTACTATCAGTGCGCCAAATTTTATTATACATGATTATATTTTAGAAAGATATTAAATTAGTAAAATACATTTGTCGAGCTATACCAGAATCTACATTAGACTTGGTTTGTACAAAAAAACTCATCCATAGAATAAAAAGTAAAGAAAAATTTTAAGAAATTCCCCGAGTCTGGAAATTCTTTGCAATTTTCAATCAAAGAGAATTGCGATTCCCATAAAAATCAAGAAAATCAAAAAAAAAAAAGTTCATCGGAGTTGGTATTCCAGGGTCTAGTTGATTTGGTACTTTTTTATATTTACAATTATAGTTCTTATCGCTGTTGATTTTACACTTTTCTTCTTTTATCATTCATTTCAACATCATCTAATTCTTAATACAAACTACGATTATACTTATAATGATGGACTCTTTCATTAATTTTGTATTACATGTACTAGCCGTTTTCACATATGTTTTCCCATTAATAACTACTATCAAATCCATAACTTGTGTATTTGTTCTTAATGATACCTGTTATAGATTCATTGTTAACTACTGGATGTACTACTTTTTATTTAAATTAATCCAAGATCGATGTTTCAATGATGATATAAAGTTTCAAATTATTATAGAATTCATTAATATTTGGTTATTTTATGGAAGTGGTAATAATTTAAAACTGCTTAATCATTTGATTGTTTCTAGGTTTATTTTGGTGAAGTATATCAAAGACAAGGAAGAATTTTTTAATAAAATAATTAATTGTTTATTTGTTGATTTTATTGATCTTCAATCTCAACTTGTCAATCGTGGTGAAATTTATTGCCAACCTTTTAATACTGATCTATATTCTGGTATTGATAAATGCATCAGTGTTCCCATCAAGATAATTGCATTAATCTTCCCTAAAGGAATGGTAATTTATAATATAGAAATTCCCACATCAAACCAAGCTACAAATGAAGAGTATTATTCTAGATCGAGATCTAGATCTAGATCTGAATCACGAAAAACAAGATCACCTTCCAATAAAGATAGAGCACCATCACCTGATAGAAATCCTTCCAGATCAAGAAGTTCATCCAGATCAAGAAGTTCATCCGCAAGACCATCAAGATCTGGATCATCCAAACATAAAGAACCTAAAATTGTTTCATCACCACAACTAGCTCAAGGTTTTAGATCAACGTTACAACCTACATTCAATTCATTGCATCATCCAAAACCAAGACAGCTGGTATTCTCAAGGGCAGGATCTTTTAACGAATCACCATCTCCATCTTCATCTCCATATATTTCACCAAATTTAATCGACATTCAAAATCCCAATCTCCTTTAAGATATAATTCATCACCTTCAGCATCAAGCTCCCGTTGTACTACAAATGGAACAAATACTCCAGAAAGATCTGAGCCAATGTTTATACCAGTGTATTATGATTTAACACCTGAAGAATATAAAAAATTAAAGGCACATAGAAAATCAAAAAACCTGCGTTATTGAATTATTGTTTCTATTAGTTTATGAACTAGTTATATATTGGTATAGGTATTCTTGTTTTGGTAGCATCAAGAGAAATATATAACTGATCGTTCCCGCGAACGTGGCTTGCTCGTGAAGTATACGATCTCTCGTACCTGATAAGCTTTTGTAAACGAGAGTTCTTTAACAAACGGTAAGCACGAATCATATAAATATACTTTAAACTTGATACTTTGGCATAGAATCGATTTTAAACATTAACAAGTCAAACTTAAATATGCATTAATCAAAAAGCAACAGTATGTATTTCCTATTGATTTTGTTAGGAGATACCTGTAGACAACTTTTTCTTTTACGTTGTTAAATCATCTGTATCCGAATTACCTTCAGGTCTAATATCAGCATGTGTTGGAAGCAGGGGAAGTGAGTTTATTTCATCATCTGAAGAATAATTGTAGTTAGAATCATATTTAGTAGTGAATACGTTACTTAATTTCTTGAAAATTGAATTTTGTTTTGGTTTAAAGACATCATTAAGTACTCCATTATTTTGGGATCCTGACGGTGGTGGGACTGAATTAAGTAATAGATCTTGAAACTTGGACCAAAAATTGGAACCTGACAAATTATTAAATGTACTTGTTCGTGGTTTAGTTTCCTTGTCATGTTTTGAAGTCTTACCATTATAATCACTAGGTGAATAAACAAAATATTTATCAATTTTTTGTGCAACATTAACAAAAGATTTAGAAGTGAAACTCTTTCTCTTTGGTGGTCCATATCGATACTGAGTTTGATATCTATAGTTATATTGACATCCACATTCACAATCACGTTCGCTATCACTTGAAAATAATAATTCTCTTGAAGAACTAGAACCTGAATATAATGATGTGGGATTAGATCCTACTGCGATATCTCTATCTGAAGCATTGTTATCTGACTGTCTACTTTCCCTCCTTGTTCTTGTAGTTTGTTGATTATTTGGAGAATGTGAATTGCTAGATCCAATTCTTGTGGTTAGATCACGTTCCTCATAATAACCATGATCACGAATAGAGTGACTATCATTGTAATCACTGTTGAGATCGTTTTGGTTTCGATTTGGATTATCATTCGAATTGATATTAGAATCATTGTTATCTGTAGCAGTTTGAAGATTTTCATAATCATTATAATCCAAATTATTCTCATTATCATGTCTCCTAACATCTTCATTTCGATTTGAATTACCACCAAGTTCAAATGATTGGCTAGAAACGTTTCTGCTGAAACCACCATTCACCGCAGAAGAATCATTGATATTTTTATTCCTATTTCTGCTGGAATACCCACTGTTGGTTTCTTGATTTCTGGCTTCATTTTCAAAATCTGCCTGTACTGGATTTGAATTCTCATCAACTTCAATCCGACTGGTTCGCCAATTGTTACACTCATCAGAATTGGGGGTCCATGATTGTTCTGAATGTGGTGAGTAGATTTTTAGTATTGATATGATTATGAACAGTAATACTAACAGTGGTAAAAACAGTAACAGCGATATAAATACATGAAGTAATACCAGTAGTACTAATACAGAGAAAACTTGAGACATATCTTAAACCACACAATTATCAATGAAGACAGTTATAGTAGTAGTAATAAATAATTAGATTTAAAAATTTATATGAATTGTTTGTTCCTTGTTTCTGTTCCTTTTTTTGTATGGTTCAGTTTTTTTGTGGGGTCCTATCTTTATAATTGAGGAAATTATGTACTAAATCACAGATAAGAAAGAGAAGGTGAATTCAACTATGAAACAAAGAAACGCGATCGAGTGATTTAGTCAAAACAGTCATAATGAATTATAAGAAGTATTCTACTGATCACATGATCTATATAATCATCGCTATGGTTTCTGATACTAGTTTAGTAGTTAAGATTACACTTTTTGTAATTGTGGCTAGTGTAAAAATAAAATAATAATTATAATAATATTAAAGGGTCGTGTTTAAAAGTTCGGACTTTGTGCGGACTTCTTCAAAATGCTATCAAAAAAATATCCAATGAGAAGTAAAAATCAAAGTCAAACTATTTTAAAATGATGAAAAGTGATGGATATTGTTCATGTGACACATTATTTGTTGGGTCAATTACCTGTTAATATTTTAAAAAATACAATCCAGATGAAGTTTAGGATTTAAAAGAAGGTCTTTTACACATAACTTTTACTTAGTTTTTTAAAATAATCTTTAAAATCCCAACAAACTTCTTAGTTCAAAATAAACCCAACAATATTCAACCTGCTCCAACTAAGGAGGGGATTTATTATTGAACCCATTTGCTTCAAATAAATCACATGAAAAAACTCCAATTTGTTTAAAAAAACCAAAAAAAGTACTGCAGAGATTAAAATAACACCCCCTCCATTTCATTTAACATTCATTACATACATATTGCATGAATAATGACGATTCTTTGGCTAGTTAGGATAGCATGGCTCGTATTATTGATTCGGAATAGAGCTCCGACTTTCCATACAAATGAGAACCCATTTAGCTAGGTCTAGAATTTATTATTCATGTTTGTCGTAGATGGGATGACATCATAATTCGAACAAATTGGGTATTATTTTTAATTAAGCGCGCTTAACAAATACTTGGAGATGTATACGTTATATGTAATAATGGTAGTATATATTTTTATATGTCCTGGTGAGTTATAAATGATGGCTAAAGTGATTAAAATGTTAGATACGAGTAATACGGCTGTCAATATAAACATTATTTGCGCTTATATTCACATTTATTGGAGCGTCTTTGAGTCCGATGAAGAATCTGTCTAATTTATGTTAATATTTTCTTAGAGTTGACTAGACATTCATGGGCAGTGATATATTCCGGACATTACCCTCTATTTTCCCTAATAAAGTAGCATCTGGTTCTTTCTATTTCACTCTTATGGTCAGTTCTGCTATTAGACATCTCTCCTGCCTACTTTCATTTTATTCAATTCACTACTCACACTCATGCCTCCTAATCATAACCACGTGGTATAATCACCAACATAAAAGTGTTACTCAATACATTACGTTTCTATGCTTCCTGTTTCATTTTTGTTTGCAGTGTTCTATGAAAGCACATTCCTTCTGATCACCTGACTACTTGACCATTCTACACTACTTTTAAAACATTGATTTTTTGAGTTCCTATTTTGCATGTCAAGTGCCACCTCTAGGAACCAGATAATGACAGTCCAATGAAAATCTATCCATTTTGGATTCAATGACGTAAAGTATAAACAAACTAAACAAGTAAAAGGAATAAATTCGTACGGCAATTTGTCAATTAAATTATTGACATCTGGAAGTGGACATGGAAAAAGAAAAGAAGAGGTGATTTCATACATGTATTTAGAAAGAATATGAAACAAATTTGATGTGATATTTATCCAAGTTGATTAATTAACTGAAAACAAAATGAAATTCAACGGTTAAACTGTATGATTTGATTTGAAGTAATGAAGATGTCAATGATGTCATGAATTCTATGTGAATTGCTTTTAAATTTTTTTTTTTTTTTTAGTTGAAACATTCTTTTCAGGTACATTTTAAGGTACAGGTGGAATGATGGAAAATAGTTATTAATTAAAAAAGAATATGTTCAGGAACAATAAAACAATAGAAATTTAGATAAATTAAAGTAGTGTCAAATATTAAAACAATTTTATATTTCATGAAACTAATTTGTTACTTTGACAATTGAAAATTCATGTACGGAACAATACAAAACTTTCATTGAATGAAATACGTTATTGAAACAACCAATTTGTTGAACATTATTTTACTCGGAATAATTCAATATGTAAGAGTAGTATGCCGTATGATTTCCATTTTTTTTTGCTTCTTCTTCATTAGTATCGTGTAGGAACCAACAGTAAAACAACATTTCGAGCCGTGGACAAGTTATGTTGTTGAACATATTGCCAAAAGGGGGGAGAATATTAATCAACCCAAAAAAAGAGCAGATACATAGATGTATGATTATTCAATTGACAACAAAGATTCTTGTCTTATAATAATCATCAATGATAAATGAATTATGTAATAAGAAGAAGAAAAAACCATGATGCTAAGACATGGTATTATTCTTGGGAGTGTATTAAAATATGGTTTATAATTTCTTGAAGAAAAATAAAATAACGGTTATTATTCTTCAGAATTATTATGTAATCAATGAGATTTTTGTCATTTATTATTGGCAGAAGATGAACAAAACAAAACAAAATAAAATAAACCCTATGTAGATCCTTGATGCATATTTAGCTTACATATTTCAGTCATATCGGTAGATGATTTTCGTAAGTTATTCATTGGTTTTATAAACTCTTTTTCTTTTCCATATTATGGCTGTGAGATACTGTGACCTACACCAAGCGTTCCACTACGACGTTGTAAGCACAACCAAAGGAGAATTTAACAACCTTGTTTTTTTTTTTCCTGGTTTTCTTGTGCATTTGTTTTCACATTACTCGATTGGATGAAATCACTATCATCAGCATCATCGTTGTCCAATCATTGACTTATTATTAGATGTATAACAAGCTTTTGTAGCGATCAATTTGTGTTTTTTTATGAAACTTGCTACAAAACAAAAAAAAAAGGGTAGGTAGGAAGAATAAGAACAATTTAGGAGATATTGGATCCTGGGTACACGACTAACTAAGTTACAATAATTGAATCTAGATTTCTTCTATTATTCAAGGGGTACAAATACAAAAGCTACAAGCAGTTGTAACTTATTGCGTGGTTTATTCCAACAGGAAAATTCAAAAATTGACCCGGTATGCACTACCGCCCTCTCCTTCCCCCATCTCTTGGTTTGATGAATTACGTCATCTGTACTTAACCAACGGAGTAGCAGGAACGGCAAACACACACACACACATCTAAAGAAGACCGGACAAGTGTAGTCGGGGGAATCAACAGCTAGTATCAAGTAATAGAAGAGGGGCCTGAGGATGGCAAGAAAAAAAGTTTAGTGTTGACCGTTGGTAATGTCAAATTTGAATGATTCCTTTTTAGTTCGTAATTGATAATGATTTACATGACACTTTGTAAAAGTAAAAAGAGTAATAATTAACTAACTACCCTCTGTTTTCAATTACCAATAAGTGGAGGTAATTCTAAGATTAATCTGAAGTTTAAAAGATTAAAATTGCCGTATCATCAACAATAAAAACCGGGGCAAAAGATAAAAAAGGAAAGAGAGGACGGAAGATGGAAGGTGGAAAATAAAAATCCACTTTTCTATTTTGGTTGTTGTTGTTGAGGTTGTTGTTGTTCATTGTTCGGAGTATTAAACATTGCTGCTGCAGTGAGTGTAAGTTAGCACACATTTTTTTACCACGGTGAGTAGTAGTCTATAGTAGTAATAGTAGTAGTGGTACAATATCGTACTTGCATATCAAACACAAACTTGATCTCATACGTTAATAATAATAAAAAAAACATGGCAATAAAATTTATAGGCGCAAGGTAAACATCTTTGCATTTCTTTTTCACTTAAATAAGACAGAGAGAGAGAGGATGTTATCATCATCGCAATGGAACCAAAAACTGTCTTCGGTTTTATTTTCAAAAAAATGAATATATAAATATCCTTCATTCTTCCTTGGTGGATTCTTTTTTTGTATTTTTTCAAGAGTTGTTTGTTATATTTATATTTCTAATTATCATTACACCGACTACAAATGTTTCAACTACTAGAGTTTATACTAAATATTTTTACATTTTTCATTCCTTTAATATTGACTATCAAGATATTAGATCAATCAATAACATTCAAATATTCATGTTATCAATTTGTAATTAATTATTGGCTATATTATATTGTGCTACAATATCTACAATATAACATATTCATGGATAATTTACTATTCCTTTATGTTAGTAAATTTATCAAGTTTTGGTTATTCTATGGTAAATCCAATAATTTGAAACTAAGTAACCATTTCTTATTACTTAGATTTCTTAATTTGAATCTGGTTCAATTATTTGAAGTTAATTATCTTAATCCTTTAATTAATAAAATTAATCCAGGTTTTAAAGAAATCAATTATCAAATCTATTTATCTGGTAAAATATATCTATTGCCTATTAATTATAATCAACCACTGTTTAGATTTTTGAATAATTTTATTGCCATGTTTCAATTACCAACGAATCCCCTGATTTCATCTAAATCTAAATCAAAATCAAGACAAACTTCATCATCAACAACAACGAGTACTACTTCAAAACTTGTTAAAAAATTGAGAAAACCAAAAAGAGTTAATTCAGGTGATTCTTCTCATTCAGAAACAAGGTCAAGATCAGCTTCAAGATCTAGATCAAGAAGTTCTTCAACTAGTACAAATATTCAACAACCTAATATATCATCAAATCAAACTTCACCTACTTTAAGTCCAATTGATTATCAAATAATATCTGATCAATTACCTTCTGCACAACCAAATCTATTATCAATTCCAAAATATAAAAGAACAATATCTCCTCCTCCATATGAAGAAATTATTCAAAACTCACAATTAATTAATAATTATAATAATAATTCACCAGAGATTAGTTTATCCGATAATAATAATTCAAGACATAGTTCAAGAAGTGTTTCAAGAAAAAGTTCATTTTCTAGTTCAAGATCAAGACCAGTTTCTATTAATGGTAGTTCATCTGGTAATAATTCTAGTAACAGTAATAACAATAATAATGTAATAAATCTTGAAAGTATTGATTCTACAATAATGACGAATAATAATAGTTCAACAAGTATTGGAAGTGGTAATAGTAATAGTTTCACAGATATTAGAATTGGAAGTGAATCTATGAATAGAATTCAAGAACAATTAAATAATACAAGAAGTAATATCAACAATGATTTACCACCTTTACCTACACCAAGAATGATGAATAGATAGCTAATATATGGATACCCCCTAATCTATAAAATGCATATAGAATTTTATTGTTTTTTTTTTTTTCAACAATTTTCATGTATAGTTAATAATATGTATGATTATGAAATCTTCGTAAAATCTGAATTAATGATCCTCGAACTTCCTCCCATTTAAACCAAACCCCCCTAATTTTACATATTCTCCCCCTTAACGATGGAAATATCGCATGTGAACAAATATCCTATCCGAATCATCCTTACGAATTTACAAATTGATTCAGTTTGTCATTATGGTTCGATGATCGCTAACTATTGCTAATGTTTATGATTGTCAGAATGATCTGGAATAGCAAGCATTATCAATCGGTCGGTGTGTATATTTTATCCCGGATTAATTGAAAGCGAGGCGATAAATAAATAATATGGAGAAATATGGGAAACCGTTTATAAAATAAGGAGGAGAAAATATATTATCCATTATGCATCAATCAAGAGATGAAACATTATTATCGTTGTTTGATGATGGTTGATGTTAATGATGTCATAATCACTTCCTAGTTTGAATTTGTTTGAGGGATTTTTAATCTATTGGTGAGCAACTAAAAGAACAATAATCGCGGTTATACCCTCAAGGAAGAAATTGTTGAGATCATACCCCAGAATTGTTCCATACCCTAAGAAATTTGAATGTAGAGCAATTGAGTTGTAAATATTTGAATCAACTATAGTACCTAATATCACCATTACTTGAAGTGTTCCTTTTTTTTTTTTTGATACAAATTGGTTGAAAACCAAAACCAAAAAATTAAATTTAATTCAAATCATGTTACTCAACAAAAAGTTTGAATATATGCTACCAATTTTACCTCTTAGCTCAACAATATTATTAATAAACCAAATCATCTATCTGTGTGTTAGTTTGCACATCTCGTGACTATATGCTTGTAATAATATGAAGAATGGCTGGATAGTTGTTGATTCAAACAAATGTCTCACTGTTGGTCATTAGTCATGTTTGTGACGTCATCATAGTTGAAATCAATACATAAATCTCGTTCCTTAATTTAAATTAAATCGGTACGTTTCTGCCTCAGGAGTTAAAAAAAAAAAAGAAATTTCTACGAATAATAACAATAATCATGTTTGTTGTTTTTCCAGTGAAATGATCATGTTCTTGTTGTGATGCTAACTGACGGTAATCTACAAGTGACATGTACTCTTGGATTTGTTGAGTAGGAAGTATGACGATCACTGATGATGAAGCCAATAAGCATTGTACAAATTCTATAGAGTTGATAGGGGTATATGTAATTTACGTGTTCATTCTAATGTGAATAAACACAAAACATCGTACATACATAATGTGGTTATAACCTTCCCTCGTCAATTCCCGAAGAATGATGTTTACTATTTTTTTTTTTAAAATTGTTCAACATTGAAGTGAAACATACCACAGAAAGAAAGATCGATGATATTTTTTTTTGTTTTGTATTTACTTTAAAATTAAACTAAGAAAAGAAGAAATAAATCGGTGTTATGACTATACAAGGCTGTGTGGGTGTAATCATGGTAGATGATTAAGGGTTCATTTCATATTTGGTCATGGTGTGTCAAAGTGTGTTTTATGACTTTAATTTTATTTTTAGTTCCCACTAGAAGTTAAACTAAACAAAAATAAACAATACTCTGGCTATGTGGTTTACGTAATGCAATGATCCTAATTAGATTACCACACTCATTTTAATTATTTTTTTTTTTTTTGAATTTTGTTTAAATACACTGACCTATCCACTTCGTCTAACTTTATATAAATAAACAAATTGAATGTATTTCTCCAATTAAATTTCCTATCATTCGGCACATACTTCCACATCGACACCTACAGACAGATATTCATTTGGTGTATAAACAAATATTTATAACCAGCAAAACGAAACGAAACAAAGCGAAACGAAACGAAACAAACAAACAAAAAAAAAAATCCATTACATTTTGTTTTATTACACACAGCGTACACAAGACTGGAGCCAATCACCTGAATAACTTGAACAACAACAACAACAACAAGAGCCAGAATTTGTTTCATAATTTTTCTTTTCGTTTGAACCATACCACCCCTTATTATTTATTTATTTTTTTGATTATATTTATATTTGTACTGGTAATGATGATGATGATGATGTCTACTAATAAATCATCTACTACTACTACTACTACTACTACTACTACTACTACTCCTCCTCCTTCTAGTTCTTCTGCTTCATCTCATGTGTTAACACCTACAAATACTCCAGCTAGTAATAATAATAACAACAACATAGCCACTTCTAATTTAAGCACGTCATCTTCTTCAGAACTAGATTTAGCACCATTACCACAACCCCTTTCAATTACTCAAGAGCAAGAACAACATTCAGAACAAAAAGCATCCATCACGCCTCATTCTTCAAATTTACCCCAGATTATTTCTTCTCCATCATCATCAACTTCACCAACTAATAATATGTCAAAGGAAGATCAAGAACGAATTTTATTCAAAGAAAAATCATTAAATGAAATAAAGCAACAATGTTCAAGGTTAATCCATGAATTAGAAGGTAATAATAATCCAGAATTAATAATCAAACAACATATTAAGCAATTGAATAAATATAATGATTTAAAAGATTTAGCATTACAATTGATTTCATTAATTGCAAATCAAAGAAAAGTCAAAATTAATGATATTTTAAATGAAATGAATTTAAAATTAGATGATAATGAGGATAATGATACTACTACTACTACTACTACAGGAGCCAGCAGTAGTAATGTTAATGTTAATGAGAAATGATTAATGATCAGTATGAATGTTAGAAAAAAAAAAAGATAGATATGTTGATAATAAAAAACAAAAAAAGAAATATGTCAATTTAGTAATTATTCGATTCAGATATAAATAATATAAATATACCTTGGGTATAGTTTAGAGAAGCAATACCATTGCATTTGTTAATGATACTATTGATTCAAAGAGATAGATAGAGAGAGAGAGAAAACTACAATCTTAAATTATTGCACACCCAGTTACTGTGCATGATAATAATGATTAAATAATGTAAATATGTATAGTATTGAATATAAATTAGAGTGAGGTTACCGCCTAAGTGAAGCAAACATATATAGTCTGCCATAAAGATCAATAAAGATTTTTCTCAAGATTACGAGATCCACAGATATCGTAAATCAGTGATTGATTCCTTACATAAACAATAGCTTGGGGGAAAAATAATTTAGATAAACAGGGAGGTGATTGCATAATATTGCTAGTGCGATTATCAAAGATAAGAACATCCATACAATCTTCTTTTTGTTTTTACTGATATCAAGGTTTAGACTGCTCGGCTATTAATAGTTTTCAAAAGGTTCACAGGTTTGAATACCACCAATCGGGTGTGTGTGTTCTTGAATGTGCCGACAGGGCATTTAAAACACCATACCAGATAAGGTTATATAATGGGTAACATCGTGAAAGATATCTCGAACAGATTATTCCTCAGTATTGATAAGGTTCTTCTGTCCTTCATCCAACTATCGAATATCCTCATAGATAACCCTCCGTAGGTTTAACATAGCCAGCTAATTATAATCAACTCGACTGTGGTTGTCTTCATATATGGGAAAATACAACAATCCGGTAACTGCACGCAAACACCGTAGATAAGAAAATGTGTAACTGTGTGCGTGCAGAAAGTAACAAAATTGGCAACAACAAAGTAAAGTCATGCACACTTTAAAAAAAAAGGAAGAAAAAATATTCGAAACAAAAACTGCTTGCACGTGATACCATTAGATTCAATTTGTCTAAAATTAAAGTAAATGACAGTTTAATCACAGCAAATTAAAACTAATTCAAAACATATCAATCATCATCAGACAGTGCTGGTGGATTTGTCATCTTGATTTTAGATTAGGTTCATTCCAGAATCAATCACGTGGTTTAACCAAAAAAAGAAAAAAAAAAATACAAACAAGAAAACGTACACAACATTTCATTTCAATTGACTTCACTTCCATCTGGTACCAAATACACGACCCCCTCCTTTGGCTGTCTCTCTCTCCTCATTTTATTCTTTTGCAAACCAAAAGACTGAAAACTAAAAACTAAAAAAAAAAAAAAAATTTTTTTTTTTCTGATTGTCTCCTTCCTTCCTTAATAAGTTTTTCATTTTTTTACAACCACAAACTTCAACAATTATCACCAACTTTATTAACCAACATTGATTCCAGAAAAGACGTATTCCTTTAGAATCACTCTACATTTTCACTAGACTGATATTTCACTCTTTAGACTTTAGTTATTACTATCACTATTCCTTGTTTTTTTTTTTGTTTGTTTGTACTCATAAATTTTGTCTAAGATCGAATCACAATCAAGACATTTTTAAATTACAGAAGTAAAGACAGTATCATTTGATTATCAAACTGCTTTTCTAAAAACCATTCAATCTAGAGATTTATCATTTATATTATAACTTCACAATATGCATTTCATACATTTCATTTCATATATCATATCTATACTTATAGTATCAATAGTTGCTTCACCACGACTAGAAAAAATCACTACTAAATATTTATCACCTGACCAACAGCAACAGCAGCAACAACAACAACAACAACAAACCAAACGAAATAACAACTATCATTACAATCAATATAATAATTATCACCATAATGAATATTTAAACAATAACGATAATAACAAACAACATCAACCAACTCCTACAAATCAACCATATTCATCATCCCTACTGCCCTTGCAGGATAGATCTTTGGATGATTGGGAGTTGAATAATTTGATACTATTAAGTGATACAAATGGTTCACTACATGGAGTTAATAGAGAAAATGGTAATGTAGTCTGGACTTTACCAATTGATGAACCACTAGTCAAAATTCAAACAAATATCAATGGACAATCATCAGGCGCAACTTCATCTTCAACTTCACTGACAAATTCAGAATCATCATCTTCGTCATCCGCTGCTCAAGACAATATAATATGGTTTGTGGAACCATATCAAGATGGTACTTTATACTATTTCACTCCGAAGTATGGTTTGAATAGATTACCTACCAGTATAAAAGATCTTGTCATGGAATCTCCTTTTACTTTAAGTGGAGATGATAAAATTTATACAGGAACAAGAAAAACTTCATTATACAGTATAAATATTTATACGGGAGAAATCAAGTCTTCTTTTGGCAACACTGAAGAATGCCCTATTCCTAAATCCACTTTGCCACCAGATGAAAAAAGATCGCACAATGAGGATGATAATATAATGATTGGTAAAACTACTTACCAATTAACCATCCATTCTAAAAGTAACAGTAATATCATGTGGAATGTTACATATTCCCAATGGGTCCCAAATAATATCGATAATGATTTAATTCTTCAAAACCAACAATCTATGGATAAGGTTTACTTCACTCCTTTCCATGATAGGTCCTTATTAGCTATTAATAAAGACATTGGCACACCTATTTGGATTAGCAAATTGCCAGCATTACCAGTTAACATATTTGATGTTTTCCGTCATAATGAAAATAGCAATGAATATTTACTTCTTCCTCATCCGTTGAAAGTCTTGAATGACTTACAAATGAATGATATAAACAATCAAGACATGGTATTTGTCAACAAAACAATTGATTCTAACCAATGGATTGCCATGAGTTTCAACAATTATCCAACATTGATTAAAAGTGCACCAATTTCGAAATACCAGGAGTATTTGAACAAGTATTATGCTGGCATAAACAATAAAGAAGCACTTGATTATATTTCAAATTTCCAAGTTGTCAACAACTCAGAAGAAAATATAGAAGATTTTGTTTCAGGTATACATCGAGTGTTTGAATTGTCGTCGATGAATTCATATCAACCCCTTGAAAGATTCCGCACTCCGGAAGAAGACATAAAGAGAATTGGAGATGGTAGTGAGAATAAACACACACCAGAAACAACAACAGATAAAGTTCCTAATATTATGGATGGATTTAAGTTCCCATCAAGACCATCTACTTTAAGATCTGAAGTTTTATTATTAGAACCTGCAAGAGAGGATTTAATTGAACATGAACAAACGATGTACGAACCTATCAATCACGCGGATATCAATTCTCCATCTGTTAATTCGATTTCTATTGTAAGAAGAATCTTTGAAGACTTGGCTGTTTTATTAGTATTATTTGTTTTATTATTGTCATTTGGAAAATCTAATAAATTTGTCAAGAAGTTTATTGGTGGATTACCGCTTGAAAAACAATTAGCTGATGACGAAGAGCAACAAAAGGAACCGGAAGAGAAAGATGAAGATTTAAAACCAGCTGAAACTATCATTATTGAAAAGCCACAAGAAGTTGTTGAAGCTAATAAAGTTGAAGAAATTATAGAAAAAACCGAAGAAGTTACATCAACTTCTGATGATCAAGTTGAAGTGAATGAGAAGGAAGCACCAGTTATAAATGAACCTGAGATTGTCAAGAAAAACAAGAAAGTGACAATTGTTGAACCGGAGGAAACTACTGAATCCAAGGATTCCAATGATGATGTAACTGAAGAACCAACTGGAAAGAGGAAAAAGAGAAGAGGTGGTCGTGGTGGTAAACGTGCTGCTGCCTACAGGAGAAATAAATTAAAGGCAGAAGAAGATGACCAACAACAGCAAGATGATGATGTTGAGGAGGAAATTATACCTACAAAGAGTCTTTTACCACCAGCTACCATTCCCGCTGCCAAATCAAAAAAGAAACTTCAAATTCAAAATAATCTTGTTATTTCTGACAAGATTTTAGGATACGGGTCTCATGGTACTGTTGTTTTTGAAGGTACATTTGAAAATAGGCCAGTTGCTGTTAAGCGTATGTTGTTGGATTTTTATGATGTTGCCAATCATGAGGTTAGATTATTACAAGAATCCGATGATCATCCTAATGTTGTTCGTTATTTCTGTTCTCAAAGTTCTGAATCGGAAAAGTTTTTGTACATTGCATTGGAATTGTGTTTATGTACTTTGGAAGATATCATTGAGAAGCCACAGAAATTACCCGACTTGTGTATTCCTAAAAGGAATGACATATTGTATCAATTGGCAAGTGGGTTGAACTATTTACATTCGTTAAAGATTGTTCACCGTGATATTAAGCCACAAAATATATTAGTTGCTACTATCAAGAAGAATAAGAATGACAAAACTATTGTTGAAGATGGATGTGAGAACAATATTAGATTATTGATTTCTGATTTTGGGTTGTGTAAGAAATTGGAAAATGATCAATCTTCATTTAGAGCAACTACACAAAATGCTGCTCTGGGAACTTCTGGCTGGAGAGCCCCAGAATTGTTGTTGAATCACGATTTAATGGAAGTTATCTCACCAGATTCAATTTCTTCCGTCCATTCAAATGGTCATGTTCAACCTTCATCTACTTCTTCCATGACATTATCCAGTAATGGAACATCTAGCGGTAAGAGATTAACTAAAGCCATTGATATTTTCTCATTGGGCTGTGTATTTTACTATATCTTAACTGGAGGGTATCATCCATATGGTGATAGATATCTTAGAGAAGGGAATATCATCAAGGGAGAATATGACATCTCCTTGTTAATGGATAAATGTCCTAATGATAGATATGAAGCCACGGATTTGATTACCAAATTAATTGCTTATGATCCAAGTGTTCGACCAAACACTGGTAAAATTTTGAAACATCCATTATTTTGGGATTTTGGTAAACGTTTGGAATTTTTATTGAAGGTAAGTGATAGATTTGAAGTTGAAAGAAGAGATCCACCAAGTGAATTATTGTTGAAATTAGAAGAACATGCATTGAATGTTCATAATGGAAATTGGCATAAACAATTGAATGATGCCGAGTTTATGGAGAATTTGGGTAAATATAGAAAATACAGTCCGGAAAAATTGATGGATTTATTAAGAGCCATCAGAAACAAATATCATCATTATAATGACATGCCTGAATCTTTACAATCAAAGATGAACCCATTACCTTTTGGGTTTTATAAATATTTTAATGATAAATTTCCTAAATTATTAATGGAGATTTATTATGTTATTGACGAGAATCTTAAAGATGAACATGTTTTTAAAGAATATTATTAGTTAGTTGTTTATACTGAATGGTTGTTTTCATGTTATTTTAGTTCTATCTGTTTAATTTATTTAATGAAGGAGGGTATAAAGAAAACGAAAAAGGGAAAAGAGATATTAGAGATTATTTAAATTATTAATATACATTTTTTATCATTATTTTGTATTCTTTATAAACTTATTTCAACTTCTTAGTATTCTTCTTTGGTTTGGTAACTTTAGATGATGATGAAGAAGACGATGTTGATTTACTCTTTAACTTGGTCTTTTTGGATTTGTTCTTTTTATCTTGTCTTGAAATGCCACCTTTAGCATCACTTTCACTTGATAAATCAGGCAGATTTTCAATCAGTTCATCATCAAATTTAGTATGAACACCAGTGAAATTCTTCTTACTGATAGCAGGACCAGTAGCATTACCCAAACCATTACTTTTAACACCAATAACTTTATTTAAATAATTCTTTTTCTTTTCTTCTTCTTGTTTCTGTTTCTCTTGTTCTAATTTAATTTGTTGAGATTCATCTAAATCTATATTTTTCAATCTTTTCATTGATTCTTTTATACGTGATAATTCTTTCATTATTGGATGATTATCGGTTTCAACTCCAATTGATTTCAAATAGGCAAATAATGTAGATATAAGAACATATGCATAATTATTTAATATCGTAAGTTGATCTTTAATTGATGAATTTGTTGATGAGTCTGAAGAAGTTTCTAATGATGTTAGAAGATCAGATAATGATTTATTTTGAAGTGGTGTTAATGATGTTGAATAATTTGTAATAGAATTGGATAATGATTGGATGAATAGTTTTACGTTAGCTATATTTTCGTTCAGCATTTTGATAATGGTTGATTGATTAATGGATGGTTAATTGCTGTTGATGATGGAAATAGATATTTTTTTTTCTTCTTCTTTTTTAGTTGCGATGACCAAACAGAGTTTGTGAAAAAAAAAAAAAATAAAAAAAAATCCCTTGAAAGTTATATTCATCATTATCATTGAATTGAATTGAATTAAACAAACCAATAAAGTCATGGCAGTTGTTAAGAAGAACAGAGATATTTTAACAGGAGGTAAGAAATATATTCAACAGAAAGCAAAGAAACATTTAGTTGAAGAAGTTACATTTGATAAAGAATCAAGAAAAGAATATCTTACAGGATTTCATAAACGTAAATTACAAAGACAAAAAAAAGCTCAAGAATATCATAAAGAACAAGATAGATTATTTAAAATTGAAGAACGTAAAAGAATTAGAGAAGAAAGAAAAAGAGATGCTGAATTAGAATTACAAAAATTTAATGAAACCATTAAAAATGTTAAAAATTTTAAAGGATTTAGTAAAGATGGTGATAATGAAAATGATGACGAAGATGAAGATGGAATTGTTGGAGAATTAGTAAGTGAAGATGATGATGACGATTGGACTGAAAAAGTTAAAATTAGTATTAAAGAAGATGGTGAATGGACAGGATTTAGTGAAAATCCAAAGGACAATTCAGACTCAGACGACGATTCGGATTCAGATTCAGATTCAGAAGAAGAAGAGAAACCAGTCAAAGGAATATTACATCATACAGAAGTTTATAAACAAGAACCATCACTTAGTTCAATATCATCAAGTAATGGAAATGGAGCAATAATAGATGATGAAACAACAGTTACGATTGAATCCTTAGATAATCCAAATATTATTGATTTAGAAGAATTAGCTAAACAGAATAATGTTAATCTTGCAAAATCTGAACAAATTTTAGAAAAATCAATTCAAAGAGCTAAAAATTATGCTGTTTTATGTGGTGTTGCTAAACCTAAATCAGCAGTTAACAAAAGTAAAAAGAAGTTTAGATATTTGTCTAAATCTGAACGTAAAGATAATCTTCGAAAAGAGAAATCAAAGGCTAAACAAAGAGGTAAGAAATAGTTATATATGTGATTTAGTACAGATCATTGCTGTTTAATATAGATAATTGTTGAAAGTATTTCATAAAAAGTGTATGGTGTATACCTTTTTTTAGGGCTACTTAAATTTTTATACTTTTCTTTTTTTTTTTGCAATTATTTGACGAGTCGTGTACTTTGGACCCAACCATTCTGCTGCTCTTAAAATTGAGTATTTAAACACGATGAGAAAAATTTTTCACAATTTTAATTTTTTTTTAACAATTCTTTCTTCTTTCTTTTTATAATCAACAACTAACCAAACAACAAGTATGTCTATCTTCATATAATCATGATAGTATATTTCTATCCACCAATGGTGTTTCCTTGGTATATATTTTTGAATGATGACAAAATTGTCGCCCCAGTCTGAATACCTTTTCAGGGTGATGACTGAACGACAATCTATAGCCAAACACTGAAAATTCTGATCTTCAATAATATAGGAATGACCAATGATAGAAAGATGATTGTGCAAATCAATATCATTGAAAAATTTCAATTACTAACTTTTATTTGTAATAGATTCATAGTTTATTCAATCATCTTGAATTAATATAAATCAATATTCTTGTGGATCCTCCCCCTTTTTTTACCATTTTTTGTAGTTTATTATGCGATTCATTCATTCTTTCTTTTTGATTCTTGACAATTGAAGATACTTTATAAGACTTTGCTGATGATGTTTAATATTTCTATGCTAATCATGAATATCAATTTATTTTAATAGTTGATAATGATTAAATCTATTCTATATTACTGAGGCAAATGAAGTTCAACAATTGTTATTATAATCAATAGATCATATTCATAACCGTTGTATAATAATTAAATCTATTCTTGATACTCTTGTTGGTACGGTTATTCGGATTTTATTTTCCTTGCTAGAATCTGGATGTACAAAGCCGACTGAGAGTGTCCACGTGACCACAACTAAAAGCGCAACGCCCCTATTTTTTATTTTTTCTCCATTGCCTCCCCACGACGACCACTGCCGGCAGTCTCAGCTTCAAATCCAACTGACCCATAATCTTCTTTCCTTCTTTTTTTTTTTTACATTCCTGACAATTTTGACCCGATCACAATTCAATTCATTTACTACAACATTAACAAACGACTCTCAAAATGGAAGTACCTTTCCAAGTGAAATCACTTTTCCCTTATGAATCAACTTATGAAGATGATTTAACGTTTGGTAGTGGAGTTGTAATCACCGTTACCTCAATTGAAAATGACGAATGGTATAGTGGTGAATATAACGGGAAGTCAGGAATGTTTCCCAAGAATTTTGTTGAAATTATTCAAACTCCAATTGTTCCAACCCTGAATCGTCCAACTAAACATCAACCAAAAGAAGAGGTTAAACAAGAACCAATTGTTGAAAAAGAATCTGAACCACAACCACCAGCGCCAGCGCCAGCACCAACACCACAAGTTGAAACTCCAGCAATTGCCAAACCGGTTAGTGTTGAACCAAGTCATTCAATTCCTAAACCAGCAAATCAAGGATCAATTCCAATGCCAAAAGGTTTTGGTGCCTCAAAACCAGTCGATCCATATAGTATTAAGAAACAATTTGTTGCTGCTAGTACTTCATCTTATGTACCAAAAGTTAAACCAAGAGATGATTCTAATTTAGTAGCTCATCCAGTTCATGAAACTAAACATGCTGACGTTAGAAGTAGTTTTGAAGAACCTGAAAGGGAACATAAAGATGATATTGAAGAAGCACAACCAAAGATGACTCTTAAAGAAAGAATTGCCATGATTCAAAAACAACAACAAGAGGAAGCTGAACGTGAAGCAGCAGCATTAAAGAAAAAAGAAGAAAGAAAGAAAAGACAAGCAGCTGAAAGAGAAAAATTACAACAATTGAAACATACTCAAGCTCAATCTCCTCAAATGGGTGTTTCTACCCAAGGAACTGGTGCATCTATTGAAAATGAAACTCCGGTTTCGCCAATTGAAGGACATCATCATCACCACCATCATCATCATGAACACGGTGCAGGCGCAGAAGGAGATGATGATTTAGATGCTGGGGAGCAAGCTGAAGTTGAAGATGAACAAGACGAAGAGCAAGATCAAGATAGATATAACGAAGAGAAAGGTCGCGATAAAGGTCAATACGGCGAAGAAGAAGAAGAAGAGGAGGAGGAGGAGGAAGAAGATGAAGATGAAAAGAGAAGACGATTAGTTGAAAGAATGGCAAAAATTGCTGGTGGTCGTAATATGTTTGGCTTACCATTTGGTGCTCCAGCAGTTCCACCAGTAACTAAAAAGGAACCAGCTCCAGTAGTTCATCATACAGAAGAAGACTCAGAGGAACCACAAGCTAAAGATATTAAAAGTGAAGAAGAGCCTGTTGTTCAAGAACCAATTAGATTAGAAAAGCGTATTGTTACTGATGTTGAAACCACAGGTTACGATGCTGATTTATCTGAAGCTTCCAAAGCCGAGGAAAGAAAAGAAGAAGAAGATGATGAACAAGACCTTGAACATCAACAAGATCCACATCCTTATCGTCATGCCACCCATGCTCCACCGCCTCCACCACCAACAACCAGAGAAGCTGACGAAGTAGAAGAAGAAGAAGAAGCAGCTCACGAACCAGAACTGCCAGTTCGTCATAATATTCACCGTGATAAAGAAGCACCACCACCACCTCCTCCAGTAACTGAAAGACCACCACCTCCACCTCCACCAGTTGACGACCATCCACCTGCACCATCTGGACCACCACCAATTCCAGAAGCTAATTCAGTATTTGCTCCAGAATCTACCCCACCTATCCCAGGTTCGGCTCCACCTCTTCCAGGTTCATTTACAGTCCCATCTATTCCATCTACTCTTCCACCATCTATTCCATCAGCTTCAGCACCACCACCTCCAATCCCAGGCACCGTTCCACCTCCATTCCAAAGTAGACATGTGGAAGAAGATGACGAGGAGGAGGATGATAATGATGATGCTGACTTTGAATTTGTAGATAAAGCACCACCAGTACCAACTAGTTTACCAAGAGCTCAAACTTTAGGGGCATTCACTGGTGAGGAATTGAATGATGATGAACATGCACCTTCATTGCCAAAGAGATCTGCCACTATTCTTTCTCATCATTCAAGTCGTTCTCCTCGTACATCCATTGATTCTGGACACAAGAGAAAATCACTTGATTTGTCTATAAGTAGATCTAGATCATTAAAAGATAATGCTTCTATTAAAAGTCATGGAGAAATTACTTCAGAAATTGAAAGAATTGTACCTGATTTGATTTATAAATTAGAGAATCAAAAGATTAGCAATAAAGGTAATAAGAAAGTTCAAGTTGTTTTAGAACTTGATTATCAAAATGGTACTTTGGTGAATCATGACGTTAGAGTTAAATCTCATCACTGACTATTACCCTTCAAGTAGGGTGATATTTACTCTATTTGAAGTTGTATTATCTTATTGATGATGATAAGTTGTCTTTTATGTGGTATATCTTTTATTTTTTTATATATAGCTTAGTTTGTTATTAACTCTATCTTAATAAATACTAATTTGTTAAACCCAATGCCAATGAATAACACCACGAAAAAGATACCGGAAATTCAAGATTCACATGAATTTGTTAGTATCTTACCTTGTACAGAATTCATGCATGTTAGCGTGTTGCCTTGGACATTCACCAGTATGATATAATCTTTTACATTTATAAATTATACACAGTAGTTATACACAGTATAGGACTCACCATGCCATCAATAATACATCAGCAATCATATATTTTAGATTCAACAATCCCGAATATATGTGACTTAAATCATTTGAATTGTTTCATTTGAAATATAACTGAATGATAATTATTAGTAAATTATTTGGAGAACTAAAGAAAAACATCAAGCTGTGATTATTCATTCATTACATTCAAAATCTTGCAATCTCGCCGTGGCTTTATAGTAATGTTTATACCAATCCGGTGATTACTGAATTCAACTATGTGAGAAATTGATAATCTACCTATAATTGTTGTTGTATACTGCAAAATTGCTTGATTTTCTCACGCACATGGTAGCATTAAACATATAAAGCATAACAAAAAAATATCTACACAAATGACATAACAAAAAGAACCTACACATATAACATAACTAAAAACACCTACACAAATACCCCCAAAAAACTCAACTATAAAAGGAAAACAAATTAACTTTACAAAAAATCTTTTTTATATCACTTTCTTTTTCTTTTTTCCTGTTTCATCAACAATTAATATCAATCACTTTGTATATGATATCATTTATATCAAGTAAGTATCAATTGATGTGTTTTATTCATGGCTGCAAATACTAACTTTAATATAAGGAACTACATCCAGAACAAGTTCACAAAGAATCATTGGTTATATGTTTTCCATTTGTGATTTGCTTATGTTCCCCACAAGTTGTTGCTTGTGTTACTTGGTTAAGTCATTGTAAAGAAAGTCAACAACTGATTGCTCCTTTAGTATGTCGACAAACATAAGAAGAACCTTCCAAATAAGATACCAAATTGGGAACACATGTTATCTTGAACCTTACAAGAGGGATCAACATAAACAATAAGGGGCGATGTTGGTTAGAGAGGGTTCTTCAAAAGATAGTGACAGGTCATCACTATCTATAAAAGCTACTCATCGGGATAGGTTAGTTGAATATCCTGATAAGTAGTAGTGGTGGTTTATTACAAATCACACTTGTAGAGGACCAGACAATCGGGGGAATTGACCAGTCCCCTTCCCTCCTGGTTCATCCTCTATCTATTCCCCCTTGGGTCAGTAGGGGGACGCGATATGGCAACTCAAGAAGAGGGCCATCGTCGAGCTGGGTCGGCCCCACACATACACACACATGTGGGCCCAGTTCGTCCCTTTCCTTTTAATTAGGAGAGGTGGTAAGTGGAGGGGAGGAGCCAACCCGTCATCGTTTGGTTCTTTCCACCACTTCCACGTTAGACATGTCGTCAGATAGGGTCAAAGTCATCTCCAGATAAGTGACATGTTTAAAAAAACTGTATATAAGTGTAGAATTTTAGCAGAAGTTGTTGCAAGATTTAGTTAAATTAGATTAAAAATCATTCAATAATCCCAAATTTATTCCTAGAGTAATATAGTCCATTTTGTTCAGATGTATTATGATGTGATAGCTAAAGCTGTTTGATTGTAATATGGGATTAAGTAATCACACATTATTGGTACAAACGATGTATAAATTACTTTACAGACCTTGATATACTTCTTATTCACAACAGTCGAGGTAGGCATACATTCACATGACTTTTCTAGTCTGTAGTGGTGCAAAGAAAAGTGTGGTATTGATTTGTATCCATTCTAACGAATCTGATTTAAAACGCGTGGGATATGAATAATTGGGACTGAAAAAAAAAAGCTATCCAAAAATATCCCACGATTGATTCCTAATATCAACAATAATCATTACTTAACAATGAGTCGAGTACCGAACAGTCAACCCGTAACTATTACTTCCACAATAGATGCCAAGTCTTTGTCTACATTACAAGCAACTAAATTATTCAATTATCATCAAGGAGCATCAATAACCTCACTAGATTTCGATGATAATGGACAATTTTTAGTATCATCAGGAATTGATAAATCAATACAATTATATGATTGTAATAAAGGTACACATATAAAAAATATTCAATCACAAAAATATGGAGTTCATTCAGCTATATTTACTCATGAAGAATTAAATTGTTTATATTTATCAACACCTGAAAATCCACTGACGGAAGAAAACCTCGATGATAATTCAATTAGATATTTATCATTGAATAGTAATCAATATATTCGATATTTTAAAGGACATAAATTACAAGTTAATAATATTGAAATTAATCCAACTGACAATAATACATTTTTAAGTTCAAGTTTCGATGGAACTGTCAAATTATGGGATTTTAAAAACACCTCACCAGTAGGAAATATTGAAATTGGAAGTAATTCAATTATTGGATATGATCCACAAGGTATTGTAATTGGAGTAGGGGCAGTACAAAATAAAAAAGGGATATTGAAATTATATAATTTAAAAAATTTTGATAAGATTCCATTTTTAATTAAAGAAATTGATATTTTACCTGAACAAATTTGGAATAAATTGGAATTTTCAAATAATGGGAAATTAATATTAATTTCAACTGATTCTCCGGAACATTACATATTAGATTCATTTTCTGGTGATATATTAGCAATTGTCAGGTTGGCAATTAGTTCAAATCCTGATATTCCTATGAATTGGATGAAATTTAAATATCCATATACAGGTTGTTGTACGTTTTCGCCATGTGGTAAATATCTCTTTGTTGGTACTCCCAAAAATACCATCAATATTTATGATGTTTCAAATTTACAACCAACTGGGAATGGAAGACCCGTTATATTATCAAGAACAACTAATGTTTTACACACAACGAATTGTGGGTTACCAAAGATTGTAGCTTTTAATCCAAAGTTGTTTGAATTGGCCAGTGCTGATACAACCGTTACTTTATGGCTGCCAAGTTAGACCTCGCATAGATCACCAATCTTCATTCCAGTATACGGGAAGCAAAAAAAAAAAAAAAAAAAAAAGAATTCCCTCATCGATTTAGATAGACAAATGATTTAGATAGCCAAACAATTTGTATAGATAGAGAGATACGACAACAAATGAATACTTCTATTAAAAGTCTACTAAGTAAGACACCGAAGACTACCAAGATACGATGTATACAACCAGCAGACATAACTCATGAGAGCATACCCATACCTAAACTGTCATTTGAAGGACCGGTATCTTATCGCAAGGCGGAAGAGTTCCATAAACATCCAACATTACAACCATTTCAAATATCAGGATATATACCGAAAGACAAATCAGAAATTAAAGGAGTTGATAGTATGGTTCATAGATGGGCAACTAATAAGTTTTCAATTAATAAATATCCACCAATTTTGAAAAATCAATTTATGATTATACAATATTTCCCAAAAGATCATATAATTTCACAATTTAGAAAATCAAATATTTCATTTATTTTAAATTTATTTCGTATACCTGAATTTAATAATTTCAAATTAGCAAAATCAATAAATGAATATAAAGGAAAATATTCATTTTTACAATCTATAAAAGAAAAACATCTGCCTATTTCGACAGCTTGCGGAAGAACTAATACAAAGAAGAAATTTAGACATTTATTTATTAAAGCATTGGAAAGTAATAAAGAACTTCAAAATGGATATAAACTAAGTGGGACTTATTTGTTTCAAATATTGAAAATCCCCATTAATGAACAAGATGAAAAAATTATAATTGAAGATTATATTAAAATGATTAAGAAAATAACAAGTAATAAAAGTAATATTGATTTATTGAAAAGAAACCAAAAAGATGATCAAGTTAAAAGAAATGGTATTGATGGTATATTTGGGAAATTGAAATTGAATTGGGATGTAAAGAAGTATAAAGCCAATAAAATCAAATTCCCATTTATTGACAAATCACTTGTTAAAGGGTATATATCCAATACTAATGATTCACAACAACTGCAGCAGCAACAACAACAACAACAACAACAACGAAGATCTAATAGAGTAAACAAAAGAAATCTTGAAAAGAGAAATGATAAATCTACATATTCAGTTAATAGATAAATAGAACGTAATATATTTATAAATGTATATACAATTAATGAATGCTAGACGACAAATAATCGTTAGTAATATTCACTTCTTATGTGAAATGGTCTTAAAGCCCCTCAAAACTATGCTAACAATAATGAATTCCCGATCCCAAATCAACATAATTATCTGAAAGTGATGATAACAACGAGTGACTCTAGTTGTTAAGTAATTTATGTAGTGACACCAATGACAAAAAAAAAAAGGATAGTGTTAGTAACAGTAAATCCTTGAATTTTGCGAGATTGGGTTAGTCTGCGTTGGTAATAAAATTAGAAAGAAAAATGGGTTTTATTGAATTTTGTTGAGTTATTTGGAATTGGTCACGTTTACACGACTATTCCAGTAAAAGTATTTGAAGAGGATAATACGAATAGAGATGGTGCAAAGGTAGAGAATAATCCCGACGGACACGGCCAATAATAGGAATGCCTTGCGACAGCGATAATGGAGGAAATAGACTAGCTGATGGAACATAAGATCGGATGAACAAAGGAGTCACAAAGATGATGGACTGGATATATCCGGGATTGTATAGCACTATATAAAGCATATAGATTCCCATGTGTTGAGGATCAAGTATAGAGGGAGGAAGAGGCAGGCATCGATCCATATACACAGATGGGTTATAATACACGACCTACTATTATTGTATAACCGATAGCGCCATAACTTCTTCAGTATTTAAATGGGAAATGAGTAGAGTTTCTTGTATAGGTTGTGTTTAGGGGGTGCCGAAATCAAGTGTGTTATACAGTACTAAGATTGTTAGAGATTAGTCTTAACTAGAGTAGCCGAGAGATAGAGAGTTAAACTTAGGTTAAGTCATTGTTAGACACAGAATCCCGAATCCATTACATTGGAATAAAGAGAACCACCTAATAGACAACCTTTTGTTGTTACAATTAGAGTTTGGTAAAACAAAAGCCGTCAAGTAAAAGTGTTGAGTGCAGGGTATTTCTTGACAATAGGTCAACTGAAAACGTAGATAAAAACTCAATGCTGTAAAATTCAGAATTTGATAACTCATAAAAAGTGGGATTAAAATCATCCTTTATATATTCAACATGGTCTTGCACCATAGACCACTAGCTAACTTAACACACAGACACATGTACAGAAAGATATCCTTTGTTGTGAGTTTCCCATCTCTTTGTCTAGCTTCCTTAGTAATAACTATTCCCCACACATTCAAGTGTTCGTTGTTGAGCCGCAGCTATCACAATTGACCTTCTGTAGATTAAGAGACGAAATGAGAGACACACATCTTTAGTGACTATCACGTGAGTTAAACCCTCCTCTGATGTGGTTTATTTCAATTTAAGCTAATAATAATTAACTAACCATCTACGAATTTAATTTATAAAGTTGATGACATAATATTTGCAACATTTCAATTAATCTCACTTGCTAGTCATTCATTTTCAATTGTACACGACTACGCACTGGAATTTTATTGTGTATAAATATCACCACAATTTTCCTCATTTTTGCTTCACAATTTTTCTCGTTTCTGTTTCTCTCCACTTTTTTTTTTCTTTTATCAAAGTCAAAGTCAAAGTCATGTTATCATTCAAGTCCAGAGTAATTGCCATAAATGATTCAAAGTAAGTATATATAGTTATTTTTTTTATTTATTTATCCTATATTTATATGATTTTTTTTTATATGAAGAAGTATCCTTATTTTTTTTGTCCCAGAATGAGTTATTCAAATTTATTGTTTAGCGAATTTGTTACTATTATTAACTGTAGGTTATAAATCCATCATTTTTTTTTCCTTTGAAATGTTATGCTATATTATGATTTGTCCCTATTCCAAATTTTCTATTTTCCTCAAATGATTCCTCAACCACACGTATATATATTGATAAGATTTAATGAGAAAATGCAAAGTGAAAGAGAATTTATTTCTTTGTTTAGAGTATTTATCCTCCTTTCCTTGTTGTCCCTATTTGCTAATTTCCCCCTTCCTTGCACAGAGTGTCCGTGATATACTTTCCACTACGACATTTCAGTTTTCTTTCTAAATTTGTTTTATTATTATTATTATGTATCCGTGATTCTTTCCTCAACTACCGATAAAAGAGAATACAGTAAAGTGAAAATGTGTTACGAACATGAAATTTGCTCTTCCAATTAATGATTAATGTGCTTAATTCCCTATAATGTTTTATGATTTTTGTCCGTGTTTTTTTATATTATTAATCTCCACCTTCCCTTGATTAATTATTTGAAAGTTTTGAATATGCGATTATGAATTATTTCCTTTTCCCATCCTATTTGCCTTTCCTTTATTGATCCTGTTCTGTTGGAGCACCAAATAAAGCTAATTAATTTTATGGATTTTTTTCTTTTCTTTCTGATCCCAGTCCATCCATCCTAGAATTTTTATGCCACCAATGATCTAATCCAATTCCTATACTAGTGTATTTGTTTTTATATTTCAATTCCTTACTACAGACAAGAGGCCTAGATGTTTTAGTGGGTAAGTATTGTGATCCCTATTTTTTTTTTTCTATTTTATTCTTTATTAACTTTTTTTTAGTTAGAGTAAGTTTTCTTTCATTTTTTATTTTATTTTATTTTAACGTTTTTTTAGGATAACCAGTTTGTTTGTTTCATTTGAACTAAATGGATGCAGGAATGATTTGAAGAAGATGATTATATTTTACAAAGAAGAAAAAGATACTGTGTTTATAAAAGAATGAGTGTATTGTTGATTAATTACTTTGAATCATTTAACTCTGGTCTTGGGTGATTTTATTTTTAACGTGACTTTGACTATTAATGGACTTATATAGGTTTTATTAGAATATTACATTTTGATTATAACTTTTTTTGTTGTATATTTCTTGTGATTGTAGATTTTGATAATCGAGTGGGTCATTCGAGGTCGTGTCGTTATGGCGTGTTTTTTTTTTTTTTTTACAAAATGGTTCCAAACCAGGACAATATTGATCACCAAACTTTTTGTGTGACTGTAAATTAATATTAAACGAACAATGGGTGGAAGAAGGGGGCCGAAATTATTTTTTGACTAGGGCGAGACCAGGGCACACACACACACACACTCACTCACAACCTTAAGACGGAAATATCATTTTAGTTCGATTTGATCACGAGATTCTTGTACAGTACCGTTTGATACTCAAGATATTAACTCTATTTAGATTAACATGATGGTTTTTCTATTCTCTTCTACTGTTGACTTGAAATTATAAATACTTTCCTCTCTGGCTGTGTTTGTTCTTTTCCTATGTATGGAATTTCAACTTGAAATTTTCACATTCTATTTTATCACCCACTACACAAAAAAAAAATTCGTTCTACGTGTTGCCCGTGTGATATAACTTATTTTTTCTTGTTTGACTGTCTCGCCTCCCCTGTACCACCTCCACCTCCGCGTCGTCTCTCTCTGCCTCCCTCCCTTACCCCCTAAAAAAATTTTTTTACAGCCCAAATCAAGTAATAATTTTTTTTTTTTATTGTTTTTTTTTTTTGTTGCTGTCAACAAATATCGAATTCACAGACAACCAATTGATTGTTTCACACTAGTTCAATAGTCATTAGCTTTCGTGTTTCCTATTAATTGATACTAAAGTCGGCTGATACAGATACATACTTACCTATTCTACGTGCTATAACCGACTATGACATTACCAATTCAGGATTTAGAACCTGATTTTTATATTGCTGTTGATTATCCAATTGATCAAGGTAAACCAACCAATCAAGCAACCAAGAATTTGGAGAAATTGATCGATTTATTATACGATAAAGGTTTCGCCGCTCAAATTAGACAAGGTGATTTGACTCAATTATTGGTCTTTGTTAAATTATCTTCTTATAAATTCTCTGAAGAAGCTGAAAAGGATTTAATTAAGAATTATGAATTTGGTGTTACTGCAAAAGATGACTTGTTTGCTTCAAAATTAAGAATTATTTACAATTATTTAACTAACCCTGTTTCTTGCGATGGTTGTGGTTTAACTCCTCAATCTGGTGAATGGCAATTCATCAATAGCATTGTTCCAATCACTGATGCTTTTCTTGAAACTACTTTTGTTGAAGATTTGAAAACTAATGTTTTATCTCAACCTCCTTTATCTACCAATGAAATAAAACATACTTACGGTACTCAAATTGCTCTTTATTTTGAATTTATTAAACATTACTCCTTTTGGTTGGTTTTATTATCCATTTTGGGTTTGTTTTCTTATGTTAGACAAAATCAAAGATTCCTGATGGCTTACTCGATAACTAATTTGATCTGGGGTGCCGTATTCTTGAGTTCATGGCATAGAAGAGAACAACATTTGGTTAATTCTTGGGGTGTCCAAAATTGTCATTTAATTGAAGACCACAACACCGAATTGGCTAGAGTTAATGAAAAATACGAAGAAAAATCAACTTATTTCCATTCAAACAATTCAGATGGTATTAGATTTTTCAAGCAATTAGCTTTTATTCCAATTGCTTTAGGTTTCACTGCTGTTTTGGTTAGTTATCAATTGGCTTGTTTCTGTATTGAAATCTTCTTGACTGATATCTACAATGGTCCAGGTAAATCTTTGTTAACTTTATTACCAACTGTCTTAATCTCCGTTTTTGTTCCAATTTTAACAATTGTTTACAATGCTGTTACTAATATTGTCATTAAGTGGGAAAATCATGATAATGCCTACAGCAAAAACAATTCCATTTTAGTTAAAACATTTGTATTGAATTTCTTAACTGGTTATGTTCCGTTGATTATTACTTCTTTTATCTATTTACCATTTGCTCACTTAGTTCAACCACATTTAGGTGATATCAAAACCTCAATTGCTTCCTATGTTGGTGAAAACAGATTTTATTCCAAATATTTGTTACAATTGAAAAACCAACAAGAATTCCAAATTAACCAAGGTAGATTAAACAACCAATTTTTCTACTTTATTTTCACAAATCAAGTCATTCAAATGATCTTGAAATATGCCCTCCCATTGATTTTAAGAGCTGTCTTTAACTTTATTGATAAAGTTCAAAAGAAACCAACTTTGGACACTAAGAACGATAACCCTGATGAAGCTGTTTGGTTACATAATGTTAGATTATCCTTGAAATTGCCAGAATATAATGTTGATGATGATTTCAGAGGATTGGTTATGCAATTTGGTTACTTGGCTCTTTTCGGTCCAGTTTGGCCATTAGCTTCTATTGTTTGTATTGTATTCAACGTTATTTTCTTTAAATTGGACACATTTAAGTTGTTGAATGGTAAGTATTTCAAACCACCTGTTCCAAAGAGAGTTGATTCTATTCATCCATGGAACTGGGCACTTTTCTTGTTGGCTTGGATTGGTTCTATTATCTCACCAGTTGTTACTTCATTCTACCGTCATGGTACTGCTCCACCAAAGACTTTGGGTCAATTTGCCTTTGACAAAGCTAGTATCCATGTTTCTTCCACTGTTGCTTTGGTTTTATTGATGTTTGCCTGTGAACATGGATTCTTGGTTTTGTCATATGCTTTGTACAAGTTATCTTCTTTATTCAAAAGTCAAATCGAATGGGAAAATGATTTTGTTGATAATGATATTAAATTAAGACACGATTATTATTCTGGTAAAGTCAAACCAACTTTCAAAGTTCATCCTGATGAAAGATGGGATAAATTTACTGTTGCTTCTACTTTAGATTTCTCCACTCCGAAATCAAGTGTTCCTACCACTGATGAAAAATCTACTCCTGTTGAAACTATTGGTGAAACTAACAAGGGATACCTGACTTCTGCTGAGAAATCTTCAACCACTGTTACTTCTCGTTCTGATAAATCAAAGATTATCGAAGAAAAAGAAGCCTTGTTGAAAGAAAAGGAAAATGAATTGAACGAATTGGAAAAATCTAGAAAAGAATTGGAAAATTTCAAAGACCCTACTGATAATGTGATTACTTCTAAATCAAGTGCGGATGGTAAACCTGTTTTTAGTACTATTGATAACAATACTCATATTTCAGATATTGAAAAGAAGACTGTTGATGCTGCTGAATCTGCTGTTGCAGCCACTACTGCTGCTACTGCCGCAGCTGTCACTGCCGCAGGTGCTACTAATTCTTCTTCTTCTTCCACCACTGCTGCTCCTCCTACTGTTGACCCTCCAACAGTTCCAGCTGCCAAATCAGTTGATACACCAACCACTCTTGATCCAGCTAAAGTTAGTACTCCTACTGAAGTTGCTTCAGTTAATAGTAAGTCATCTTCTTCTGTTAAGGCTCCTGCTAGTGTTGCTTCCTCTAATGCCACTGGTAACTCACCAGCAAGAGGATCTTCACTCAAAGACGGTGTTCATAAAACTAAAAAGAAGGTTTCAGATGTTGTTCATTCAGTTGAAGATAATGCCGATTATAAGAAGTTTGTCAGTGAAGCAGAAAAGGAAGCCAAGAAATCCAAATCAGGACTTAAGAAATTATTCAAGAAGTAATAATAGTTTTTATTTTTGTTATCATAAAAAAAGTATATATATATAAAAAAAAATGTATTGTACTTTTATAATTATTATAGTTTTATTTTTCATATATTTTTCATACAGTTTATATTGTTGTTGCTGTTGGGGTTTGTTGTTTTGGAGGTCTTGCTCCAAATATAGTAGTACCTACTCTAACATTAGTACTTCCTTGTTTAATTGCTTGTTCAAAATCATTACTCATACCCATATTCAACTGTAAATCCAAGTTGTATTTTTCATCTAAAACTTTCTTAATTTCAACCAATTTTTTGAAATCTTTATTTTCACCATCAGAAGAAACAGATTCATTAAATGAACCAATGGTCATTAATCCCAAAATTTTTAATTTCTTACATTCATCACTAATCAAATATTCAATAGTTTCTTGAATATCTTCAATTTTCAAAAATCCAGATTTTTGTTCTTCTTCAGAAGTATTAATTTGTAAATAAACATTAATAACATCACCATCAATCTTATCCCTTGAATTATTTAATTGTTTACATTTTTTAAAAGAATCAATGGTTTCAACAGAATATAAGTTTTTAACATGTTTACTTAAATCTTTACATTTACCAGATTGTAAACCACCAATAAAATGCCAATTTATATCCTGAGGTAATTCTTGAGATTTTGAAATCAATTCTTGGACATAATTCTCACCAAAATGACGAACTCCAATGGAATATAAAGCCATTATATCAGATGATGGTTTAAGTTTTGAAACGGCAATTAATTGAACATTTGAATTGAGTGATTTGATTTGAGATAACACAGTGTTATAATTGCTGATTAATTCTTCTTTACGAGATTCTGTCGGTTCTGGATAAGTAGTAGTTGAAGTAGACATAGTTCTTGTTATTAGGGGTCTAATGATATGCGATCTTATTGTTGTGGATACCAATCTATGGATCATCTGGTCTTTCTAAGTGTTGGTGTTGATGATCATTCATGGATGAAATTTTTCAATAATCGTTTGGGTTTTTGGCGTGGATTGGGGTAGACAACTAACAAATTCCTGCACATAATCCACCTCACATCATCGCAGGATTTTTTTTTTTCTTCTTTGAAATTCGTTGTGAATTTTTTTTTTTTTTCATCATCACCATCATTGACTTTTAAGATCAACTTTCTTTTTAGGGGAATCAACCAACAATTAATAGTATCAAGATGACTGATTTTGTTTACCAAGGAGAAGACTTTGACGAAAAAGTTAGAAAACAAGTTGAATTTTATTTCAGTGATAGTAATTTACAAAGTGATAAATTTTTATGGAAAATTTATGAAGCAAATGATGGATGGGTTGAATTGAAAACCATTTTAACATTTGGTAGAATGAAACAATATAGACCAGAAGAAAAAGTCATTGAATCATTAAAAAAATCTGAAAAGTTAATTTTATCATCAAATAATGAAATGATTAGAAGAAAAGATCCAATTAAAGATTTTAATGAAATTAAAAATACTAAAAAAAGAAATACTTTACATATTGAAGGATTCCCAAAAAATTTATCTCAAGAAGATGTTGAAAATTGGGTTAATGAAAAATTAATTGATTCATTACCTAAAGAAAAAGAAATTTGTTCCATACGTAGAATTAGAAGTAAAGTTAAGAAGGAATTTTTTGGTGTTGTTGATGTTGAATTTAAAACTCAAGAAGATTGTGAATTTATATTAAATAATGTTGAATTATCTTATCCAAAAGGTGTTATTACCAAAGAAGAAGCCGAATCTATGGAAAAGAAGGATTTCTTAAAAAAAATGACTTTATTGACTTTCCAAGAAATGAGAGAAAGTGGTAAGAGATTTGGTGTCAATGATGTTACTAAAAGAAGAAACAGTTTTAATGATAAAGGTGGGAACAAGAAATTCAAAAAAGGACATCATAATAAGAACAACAAGAATGATGAAAAGAAAGAATCTGATGAAAAACTTGAAAAAGTAGATGAAAAAGAAAATCAATCCACTGAAGTTTCCCAAGAAACCGAAGCTACAAAGGAAGCCGAACCAGCTAAGGAAGCCGAACCAGTCAAGGAAGCTGAACCAACTAAGGAAGCTGAACCAGCTAAGGAAGAATAAATGGTCTTATCACATCTTGCTAGTAAATAAGATTGATTTTCTGTTTTAATGATTATATTAATACATCCTTTTTGTATGTAAACTTTTACTAAAGTTGTAAATAAATAAATAAATAAATAAATACAAACATGTTAACGGTTATAACATGATATTTGGTCACGTGATACAAGCACGCTTTTATTTTATTGTGTATACGCGTGTTTATTTGCAAATGCGACGCGTTGAACGAAAATAAATTTTTCGACTTTTTTTATATTTTTAATTTTCATCATTTTCAACAAACTCATCGTAAATTCAAACAATCCATATACTTGGTAAAGAAACAGGAAAGAGAAAAAAAAAATGCCGATTAGTGAAGAGTTTAAAACAGAAGTGGGTAGTGCTTTTGGTCCTAGCATTAAATTATCAGATGAAGAATATGAGAAAATTCAATGGTTATCAGATACGTATGAAAAATCAATTGAAGATTTATTCTTGGAATGGGAATCATTTAACGTTACTGAAGTTCAACAAGATTTAGATTTGAATTTGGATAGTTTGAATCAATTGCAAAGTTATTTACAAACAAAATTATCCAAGAATCAAACACCAAGTTTTAAGAAAATTAAAGATGGAATTACATTAGGTGGATCAAATAAAAAATTAAAGAGAAATAATAATGAGCTTAGTAGTGGTGGACATATTCCAAGTACTCCGTATTTGAAAAGGAAAAAACTTGATGATGAATTAGGAAGTAATGGATTGAATACTACACCTGATTTTAAAACTCCTATGGCTTATGGAGTTACTAGTTCTCCTGGTGCTACTGATTTTGAAACTGCAAATAATACATTTGCTGGGAATAATAACGCATCTAATTCATTATTGGAAACATTAAATCCTGAAATTGATGAAATTGAAAATGATGAATTACCAGAAGATAGACCATTTAAATTGGCAACCAATTTTGATTCAACTAAATTTAAATTTCGTACGATGCAAATGAAATTATTAGAAAGTGCAGATGTTTTAGATGATCAAATTGATAGAATGATCAATTTATATCAAGAACAAAATAAAACTGCCGATTTGCAATTTGGAAATCCTTGTTTAAGTACTCAATCTGATATTTTATGTTGTGGTAGAATTGTCCCAGATAATCCAATGTATGATAAAGAAATTCTAAATAACACCAGTTTATTTTTAGAAACATCAAGAATGTCTGGTATTGGACAAAGAGTTCCTTTGAATATTGATAACTTAAAATCATATTCCTTTTTCCCAGGTCAAATTGTTGTTTTCAAAGGGAAGAATCCAAGTGGGAAGTCGTTCATTGTTGAAGAAAATATGTCATTACCTCAATTGGGTGCTCCAGTTACAAGTAGTGATGAGTTAAGAGAATTTGAAGAATTACAGAAATCAACACAAGGGTTGAAATTACTAATTGCTTCAGGTCCATTTTCAAATCTGAATAAATTGAATTTTGATAAATTAGAACTTCTTATTAATCAAATCAATACCAAAATATTGCCAAATGTTGTTATTCTCAATGGTCCATTTTTGGATTTAACCAATAAAGTTATTGAATCTGGTGATATTGAAATTGAAAAATCTCAAGAACAACCTAAAAATCTTGATGATGTTTTTAAATTACTTGTCACTCCAGTATTAAAGAAAATAGATCCAAAGATTCAAGTTATCTTATATCCAAATTTGAAAGATACTTGCGTTAAACATTGTTCATATCCTCAAGATGCATTTGATAGAAAGAAACTTGGATTACCTAAAAATTTCAGAGTTTTCCCTAATCCAAGTAGTTTTCAAATTAATGAAATATTAATTGGTAATTCCAATTTAGATATTTTTAAAGATTTACGTGATGTTTTCAAAGAAGACACCGAAGTATTATCTAACAGCAATAGATTTGAAAGAATTATTAATCATATGTTTGAACAAAGACGTTATTATCCTGCATTTCCAGGTTCAATAGCTCATCAACCTAAAACATCCAATACTGAATTATTTAATGGTGCGGAAGGGGAGCATTTAGATGGTTTGACAGTTGGTGGATCTTCATTGGAAACTCCATATTTAGGATTAACTGAATTAGGTGATTCATTACCTGATATTTTAATACTACCTTCAGAATTGAAATATTTTGCTAAAGTTGTCCAAGGTGTTGTGGTTATTAATCCAGGTTTATTCATTAAACCAAGTAAAGATCCAAATAGAGAAGATGGTAATTATGCTGTTGTTCATATTAAACCTCCTAATTTAGAAGATGATGAAAATAATGTTGACTCGATCGATGATACAAATACTTTATATTATCATAATGTTTATAAAAGATCTCGTATAGATATTTACTCGAGTTAATAAACAAAGGTTGTAATAGTTATAGATAACAATCAAGTATCGTTCACATGGTAGTACTCCCGCGAGACGAGTAGAAATCGTTGCCGAAACACGAACCATCAAAATGCCATAAAAAAAAAAAACTGGACCTATTTTACTCTAGTCAGCCTTTCCATACTTTTATCATATAACCTCGACGTCCGCTACCAATGATGATGATATTTCCTAGATGTATAAGCAACAGGATATCATTTTATAAATATCTAACTATCCACCGACTACGTCATACATTTTCTTTGCGAGATTATCAAGAAGAAGCAATAACCAAAATCCTTGACGCGTCTAAACGTGGTATTAAACGACAAGCCATTGTTATGGCCACGGGAGGTGGTAAAACTGTTGTTTTCAGTCATTTAATCCCTTTACTTCAAGGGTCCCAACAAAGGGGTAATAAAACATTAGTATTGGCACATACGCAAGAGCTCATTACTCAATCAAGAGATAAAATTTCAAGAATAAATCCTGATTTAAAAGTAGGTGTTGAAATGGGTAGGATGAAATCAAATGAAGATGATGATGTAATTATTGCTTCTGTTAATTCTATATGTCGAAGAAATCGAATTGAAAAATTTAATCCTGATGATTTTAAAACTATTATTATCGATGAATGTCATCATGCTGTTGCTAGTAGTTATAGAAAAATTTTAGATTATTTTAAAGCTGGTGATAAATCAACTGATGTTAATGTTATTGGATTAACAGCTACTTTACATAGAATGGATGAAATTAAATTAGGATTGGTATTTGATGAAATTGTCTATGAAAGAACTTTACAAGATATGATTAATAATGGAGAATTGTGTGATTTTAAAGTAAGTGATGCCCTGATTAAGACATTAGATTTAACTGAAGTTAAGAAATCAAAAGGTGATTACGATAGTGCCAGTTTATATTCAGCATTAACTGATGTAGATATAAATGATAAGATCTTATTAAGTTATATGAAAATGAAAGAAGAAGGGACATATAAAAGTACATTGATATTCTGTGTAACAATTGAACATTGTCATGAATTATGTGGATTATTTCAGTCTCAAGGAATTGATGCTCAATATGTATCGGCAAATACTACACGAATAGCAAGAGAAGAAATTGTTGAAGATTTTAAAAATGGGAAAATTCCAATATTATGTAATGTTGGGGTGTTTACTGAAGGTACAGATATTCCAAATATTGATTCTATAATACTTGCAAGACCTACATTATCACAGACTTTGAAAGTACAAATGATAGGTAGAGGATTAAGACATTATCCTGGAAAGACACATTGTCATGTGGTTGATTTAGTTGGATTGACTTCAGCTGGGCTTCATTTAAAGCCGACATTAACCGGAATGGAAGCAACAGACGGATCAAAGAAATTCAAAGAAGGAGAGAACGATGAAGAAACTGAACTTGAATATTTAGAATCCTTACAGAGTATTCAAGATCGTCGAAAGCATGTTATTAAAAGAGTTTTAGATTATCATAAACAAGGAGTATTACGCTTTTCAACAGTAAATGGATTAAAAATTTTCAAAGAATATTTACTGGATATTGAAGTTATTAAAGACATTTTCTTAAGAGGTCCATATTCTTGGGTATTACTTAAAAATGGGAAAAGTTCCTGGGGTTTCAATGAAGATAAGAATGAGTATCTTTGGGGTGTGAGTATCAATAGTAATGAATATTTCTTAACTAAAATGATTCCCAATGCTGCTCAACCAAAATTTATACTTTCACGTCATAGTAACACCGTCACCGATAAGGAAGGGAGTAGTAGTGAAATCGAAAGCGTAATCATTACAGAAGGTGTACACAAACTTCTTGATACATTCAAGGAAAATTATCCTAAACAACATCAATTAGCTAAAAAATCCAATAGTTTTGCAAGAAGAGCAACTAAGAGACAAGTTGAATACATAATGGCTACCTTAAATGAAAAGATAATAAGAGAATGTGCCGTGAATAATCGAAATAAGGATAGGTTTAGTGAAATTCTTAAGCGATTAATTGAGAAACAACCTTATGTACTTATTTCAAATTTGGTATTTGCATTAAAATATTCAAAATCCGCATTTTATGCTCTTGTTAAATCTAAACAGTTGATCACTGCGGCTGCAAAAGAGTATGATGGAGAGAAAAGTTTTCTGAATTATAAAACAAGGGGTTCATATAGCTCAAAAAAGACACTGTCTTCTACAGCTGCTCGCTGAAAGATTGTTTGTATATAGTAAAATAGAACTGTTTCAAATGTAAAATAGAATGTTGATGGTGTCGGTAAGTGAAATTACTTCGCACTAAAACCTAGGACGACTCTGAAACTAATTTAACTCAAATGAATTAATTTCTAGAGTATAACGCAGCAGTGAATACGCCACTAATGAACTTAATACTTCTCTTATTAAAATACAGTGAGTGATCTAAAGATAACCAGGTTTCTGGGAGAGACTTAGTTTAAGTCTATTTTTCTTTCAATTAGTTCCTTATATTCACTTAAACATCGATACTATATAATTATAACAAATAAAACATTTACTACTTTTCTCTCATTTATATTTAATCCAATGACCATTCGTCCAAGTGGATCGATAATACTTTAAACCAAACTAATGAAAATCAAACGATTTCATAACAAATAACATTTCAATCAATAATAAACAAAACTTTCCAATTTGCAGTATATTGCATAAATCAATATCCATTACTGCACAATTCACTTGTTCGAAAACAAACTAAATCCGGCATATTGACGCGATAGTTTGTTACTTCGCGACAGATGGGTCTATTTTTTTTATACGGATATTCTTGCGAATTTTTGCACATTTTATTTTTGCAACTTTCCAAGGGGTAATTACCAATCACTGTTATAATTATGAAACCATCATCACCAAAACAACCTTGGATCCCCTATTTCAATTGGAAACCCTACAGGAGTTTACCCATCCACTGTTCGCTAGTACATTAACAAACCTCCTTTAAGTATTCTGATGATCAAATGGATCAGCAATATCGGAAATATAAAAATTGATTAGTAATTATAAACATCCTTGAACACACCAGCATATAATTTTATGTAATCCAAAATACAAAGCTATTTCTCTTTATGATTGATTAGTAATTATTGCTGTTCGGTTATAAGTACTTCTTCAACGTACTCCACGTGACTGGTGACACATGATATCGGAAATAGTAAAAATTCGCCCAACCGAACAACACCAAGTAAAAAAATAAACAATAAAAAAAAAAAGAAAACAATTCCACCAAGTTTAGTAATAACTTGAAGTGAACATAACCAATAAAATGAAGAACCTATTGAGTTATATACTACCGATATTAGTTCTTCTTGGTGTGGTGTTATCAAATGAACAAGCAACACCAGAAAATATTCAACAACCATTACATCAACATGAAGAGAAACCAAGCCGTCATTCAAACAATTGGGCAGTTTTAGTGTCTACATCTAGATTTTGGTTTAATTATCGTCATATGGCAAATGCTTTAAGTTTATATCGTACTGTTAAAAGATTAGGTATACCAGATTCACAAATTATTTTGATGTTGTCTGATGATATTGCATGTAATCCAAGAAATGCATTTCCAGGAACAGTTTTCAATAATATGGATGAAGCTATTGATTTATATGGGGAATCTATTGAAGTTGATTATAGAGGATATGAAGTTACCGTTGATAATTTCATGAGATTATTAACAGATAGATGGGATTCGGATCAACCTAGATCAAAAAGATTATTAACTGATGAAAATTCAAATATTTTTATTTATTTAACAGGTCATGGAGGTAATGAATTTTTAAAATTTCAGGATGCTGAAGAAATTGGAGCTTATGATTTAAAAGATGCATTTAATGTAATGCATCAACAGAAGAGATATAATGAAATTTTCTTCATGATTGATACTTGTCAAGCAAATACAATGTATGAAAGAATTGAAGCTCCTAATGTTTTGGCTGTTGGTTCAAGTGAATTAGATGAGAGTTCTTATTCTCATCATAGTGATATGGATATTGGAGTTGCTGTCATTGACAGATTCACTTATTATACTTTAGATTATTTGGAAAAAATTGACAGAGATTCAAAAGAAACAATGGATAAATTGTTTGCTGAATATACTTTTGAAAATGTCCATTCTCATCCAGGTATTAGAACTGATTTGTTCAAGAGAAATATTAATGAAGTCTTGTTGACTGATTTCTTTGGTAATGTTCAAAATGTTGTTGTTGATGATGTTGATACAGAATTGTTAAAACAAGTTGAACAAGATGAAGAAGCTAAAAGCAAAGGTATAAATAAAACTCAACAAACTATTATTAAACAAAAGGGTCCAATTAAGTTCAGTTTTGAATGTGATGAAAATTCAAACACTTTAATTAATCTTAGTTCCAAGCAAGCCAAATTGTTTGGTATGATCTCGGTGGGATTCTTTATCGCCTTGTGGTTTGTTGCATCCAAATTTTAAGATATATATGGTCATTTGTAGATGTTAGTAATAAGTTTATTTGTTCTTTTCTTTTCACCTACCAGTCAGGTTATTTAGATATGTAATAAGAATATCAAAATAACTTTTCAACTTGATAATTCCCTCCAAAAAAAGTCGTGTGCACTGTGCAAATTCCTCTTTTGTATGCAAACACACACACACGCGCGCGTTTGCCCAAAATTGGTTTTTGGTATTTTGGGCTGAAACATCAACAAAACAATTTTGCTTTTTTCTTCTTTAGCATCATTGCAACCACCCACTATCACCACCAACCTCAACCACAACCACAAGCAGGAACAACTAGGATCACACAGCAATGCTGAACTCAAAACATCATCTTAATAATATTTCCCCGATTGAAGTATTCGATATCATGTCATCATCAAATGTTCCCGATGAAAGCAAACTAGCACATATTCAAAATTTAAAAACTCATATCAAGAAAGATACCATTGATCTAAGAAATGTTGATATATATTTACAAATTATATGCAAAGGTTTAGAACAATCAAATCCAAATATATCATCAATCAGTTTTAACTCGTTATTTTATCTAATTAAACGAATCAATGTTCAAGATAGTAGTGGTGCCATTTTGGAACGACAAAGTTTTTTAATTTTACCAATTTTAATTAATAAACTCGGCGGCACATCTTCTTCTTCAAGTGGCGGTAGCATTAGTCTGGCTAAAAAATCGTTAGAAGATTATTGGTTATCTAGCGCTGAATCAGTTGAGGAAGCCATTCTGGAGATTTCTTTTACTACAACAAATGTTAAAATAACCATCGAATCAATAAATTGGATGACTCAAGTATTCAAAAATATATCTTCAAAATTTAATATTTCCAAATTTATTCCAAAAATATTAAAATCACTAAAGCAAAATTCACATAATCAAGACCTTTTTAATGCCATCCAGGAATTATTTTCGGCTTATCTGAACAGACACCCTTCAGCTAATGATGAATTACAAAGAGCAATAGAACTGTATCTGTTCCCTTCTATTGTTATTGAAAGACTACTTAATAAGCCTATTAACAAGGAACCAATACTGAGAAGTCTGGAAACAGATGTTACTATGGATACTGAAGTTACAAACTACCCCCATAGTACATTGGAAACAACATTGACAATTCCAAAAGATAACAGTTATGAAGCAGAATTAACTGAATTTCTAAGCAAGGTGAATTACAAAATGGATAGTTCAATTAAAGCAATTCATATACAAGATTCCCATAGTTTATTCTCGACGTTCGATATTTTCGCTCCATCATTTGAAGGGAAAGAAACAGAATCAAATTGGAAAATCAGAGAGAAGAACATTATACAAATGAGATCAATCATTCGTGGGAATGCTCCTCAGGATTTCCAATCTGAATTAATTCAATGTTTACAAAATTCAAATATTGGTATTTGTAAAGCAACAAGTTCATTACGTACAACATTGAGTTCCAATGGGTGTCAATTTCTAAAAGAATGTGCCATTATCTTGAAGTATTCATTTGAGGCCGTTGCTGAGAATATTTTTCCAACTTTAATTAAACTTTGTGCATCTACTAAGAATATTGCATCCACAAATGCAAACATGGCTGTCTGTTCATTATATGCAAATTTACCATATACCCAAAGAATGGTGCAACGAATTGTTACTGCATCAGAGGAAAGAAATCATCAACCACGATCATATTCACTAATCTGGTTACATATCATTTTTTTAAGAATTAGAATTGACCATCGTTATATTGGTAACCATGAGTTGTTCTTTTTTGAAGCAGCAAATAAAGTGTTTATGAAGTTGTTAAAAGATGCTAATCCTAATGTTCGTCAAGTTGCAAAAGAATGTTATTGGTGTTTTACAAGAGTGTATCCTAGTGAAGCAGAGAAGTTGTTGAAAAAGTTGGAGCCTAATATAGTTCGAGCTTTAGAGAGATCACAAAGAGAAAGTGGTGGGTCAGGGATTGGACCAATTAAATCATTCACCAGTCGTCCATCACGTCCATCTATAAAAGAAGCTATAATGGAGAAGAATAAAGAATTAAGACAAAGAAGACCACCTTCTAGAAATTCAGCCGAGACAAGTGCTATTTCAAGAAATCCGTTACCTTTGCCAAAACCACCAAGAAGTAAAACACCTACTTCACGCTTGGAGAAATCATTGGTTAGACCAGCTGAGAAACCACAACCACCAGCTTTAAGGGCTGCTAGTTGGACTCAACCAACTCAATCTAGTCTCCTTGCTGCTGCTACTACTTCTACTACTTCTTCTTCTACTGCTGCTGCTGCTAGCACAGCATCTGCGGCTGTTTTGCGGCCAAAACAACGTGAACGTAGTAAAACTGAAGTGTTGAAGAAATCACCAATAATTGATGCAAAGCCGACCAGAGTAAATGGACATAGGCCGTCTAAATCTAATAGCGATATTGAGATGCCAGTATTTGATAAAGGTAATGACCCAATGATTAATTTCTTGGGTTCTGATAATACATCATTGATTTCGGAAGGTGTTAATTTGTTAAAATATGCAATTATTGGTGGAGAAATCATTTCAAATGAAGTTAATGGATTACTAAAGAATATTTCTGAACGACATGTGATGTTATTAAAACCATTATTTAATGCTAATGATGAAGTTTTTAAGAAGTCGGGTAAGCTTTTAAATCCTGATGATTTCTTGAGAGTTTGTACTTTGATCTTTCCTGATTTAGATGTTAAAACTTTTGATTTGATTATTGCCACTATTGAATTGGACTCATTTTATAAAGCAAGTTGTAATTTATTAACTTGTATTTCTGATCTTCCAAATATTCCTGGCAGTCATGCTTTGGTTATGCAAATACTTAATAATAAATTGGAAATTACCAAGGTTATTTTACAAGGATTACTGATTTCATTAAGTAAATTACCAATTGCTGATCTTTCCTTTGAAAAGGTTTTCCAAGAATTAACGAGATTAATTATTCTGTTGAAAGGCACTGATAATTTCCAGTTGTTGAGTCAATTATTCCGTCAACTTTATACTATTGATAGTGGTAAATTTGGTTTGTTATTAGAAGATGTTGAAATTAAACAACGTGAAGAAATTGCCACTATTGTGGGAATTGATAATTCAAGAGGTAAGAGTTCAACAGTTTCATTTAATAAGAACATTGATGATATGACTGAAGTTAAAAGACCAACTGGCGGATTTAATAGTCCGTCCAAGAAACCAATCACCAATGATTTTACTATGATTTTGGCTAAAAGAAGTGAATTATTACATGGATCAAGTGATTCCATGGTTCGACCAAAATTACTGGATATAAATGATAGTTTTGCTAGACCAAATCTGAAACCTTTAAGAGGTTTATCACCCCTTCGTCCGGGAACTGATCAATCGGATATGTTGATTGATGAATTTTCTAATGTATCTATTACTGAAGATGGTAGTAAATCAAGTCCAATGAAAAATAAAGACAAGAACTCGTCGCCATCTGTGAATAATGATAATTTGAAACATATCATGGAAAAGATAGATCCGTTTAAGTCAATGTCTAATAAAATGAGAAAAATATCTATATTTGAAGATAATAAAACTAAAGAAAGAAATTGGTCATCTTTACAATATTCCAGGATTCAAAGAAGTGGAGCCCATGGCAGTACTACTGGACCTGCAACAACAACAACAGCAACTACGACTACTCATCATCATCGTCAACATGTGCTTAATCAATTTCAGTTGAATAAAGAAGATTTTGAACGGAATTGTAAAAACTTGTCTGATGTTCCTAATCAATCTAATGTTTTAAAAGTCACGGCAATTTTAGATAATTTAAATGCTAGTGATTATGAATTTAGAGAATATTTTATGAATAAAGGTAAAGTTAAATTAGAATCATCAATATGGGTATTTTTTGAAAAGATTGATATTTCAAATCAACAACTGTTGTTATTAAATGGGTTATATTTATTGAAACAATTGATTAGATTTAATGATTCATTAAATAGCTTTAAATTGTTTCAATTACTTCAAAGAACATGTAAAGATGAAGAATTGGATAGTGAGATGTTTTTCATTTGGAATGAATTGTTATTTAGTATTAATCATGAAAATATTGTACTTGAAATGGAGGAGATTTTATTGAAATATTTGGAATCAAATGAAAAAAATTTAATAATTTCAAGTTTATGTTTAAATTATTTATCTAAATTATTAATTGAAGATAAAAATTTAAATCTGGTTAAACTTTATCGATTAGATAAAATATTAGGAGGATTATTTAACGAAGAAGAAGTTATGTTTAGAAAATCATCAGTTGTTTGTTTTAGTAATTTATTTAAGAATGATAATTTATCAAATCAGACTAAAGAAACTTTGAATAAATTAAAATCCAAATATCCAATTTCACAACAACGATTGATTGAATTTTATATCAAGAGATGAATAGTTAATCTGTATAAGCTAAATACAAAGAAGTATAAGATCAAATAGTATTAAATAATAATATAATCTCTATTAATAATAGAACTAAATAAGAACGTGAAGAAGTAAAATACATAAATACATATATATATAAGTATATATAAAGTCGACGAAAAAGAGAAGTAAAAATTAAAAATATCATACAAACCAAACAACATCGTCATCATCATAATCATCATTCTTGTTAATGATTTCATTTAATATCATCTTTATTAATCACTTTAGTAACTTTTGAATTAACCACATCATTTAAAGAACCAGAATAATTTTTAGTATTATTATTTTGATCATTTGTTGGTTTTCTAATCATTCCACTAGTGTTATTATTATTATTATTATTATTGGACACTTTAGAACTTATTGGAGATTGTTGTTGTTGGTTTGATCTTTTCTTTGGATTTTTTAAAGATGGTTTATTAATTCCTTGTGATTGTTGATACATTTGTCCTTGTTGTCCTTGCTGTTGCTGTTGTTGTTGTTGTTGTTGAGGTACAGCCATATTATAAGCAGGCATCATTTCTGAATGATCATTATGAATCATATACGATTGATTTATAGGAATAGGAAATCCATTAGTATCATACATTGGAGCAGTAGTTGTAGCAGTTTGAACATTTGGATTATTTGTCCAATATTCACTATCTGGATGTACTACATTATAAGATATTGGAATTTCAGTAGTTGCTTGATATATTTGACCAGATTGTTGATCATAAAATTGTTGTGGTGGTTGATTTGAAGGAGGAGGAGGGGGAGGAACACCTTGAGATTGTGATTGTTGTTGAGGAATTGCTTTTAAATAAGTCGGTGTTGCTAATTGTCTTGCAGTGAATTGATTTTGATATTTTGCCGATATTGGAGGTACTAAAGGTTGAGGAGTAATACCATAATTTTGATAATTTGATGGAAAGAAAGCTTCTTCGTTATTTTGTAATGAAAAAAATTTAGCGGCTGATTTTGGTTGTAGTGGACCTGAAGAAATTGGAGGTAATGGAGTTCTTAAAGGTTGAGCTTGTTCAATTAAATATTCATCATTAAATGCAACTTGATTAGTTGTTGTAGTTGCTGTTGTTGGAGCAGCTTGTATTATATTTGGAGGCATAAACAATGTAGGATCTAAAAATGAATCATAATTATCCTCAATTATATTTGCATAAGCTCCTGGTTGATAATTTGGATCTAATATAATATAATCTTCTGAATTTTGACCATTTACTTGATTAATATAATCTAATGGGAAATCATCTTCATAATCAGAACTAGTTTTATACTGGGCTGGTGTAGCTTCATTAAGAAATCCATATTCTTCTCGACCCCTTGCTGTGGTGGTATATTCAGGTGAAGATTTTTCACTACCATTACTATGCTTATCATCACCTTGATTTAAACTTGAACCATTTATTGTTGTAACTGTAGTTGTTGTCCCACTAGCTCCTGTTGTTGTACTGGTGGTGGTTGTAGTAGTAGTAGCAGAAGAACCAAGACCAACAGCAGCATCATTTACTTTCTTTGAAGTTTCCATATGTTTAGATAATTGAGCATATAAACTTGAAGATTCATCGTATTCAAAACTTAAAGCTGGTTCTCTATGACTAATAGTGGTTGGATTTTGACCCAATTTTTCCTTTTTCAAATCTCTCTCTAAAGCATCAGCCATTAATTTATCATGAGGCACATTGAACCAAAAGAACACTTTTTGTTTCTTTTGAGTTCTTAAACATGAATTTTTGAATAAGAATTCTAAAAATTCAGATCTTGGAGGTTCTAAAATAGCATCAGTACCACATTTCAAATTTCTTAAATCTGAAAATATACCTTCTTCAAACTTCTTTCGATCGATAATCTTTCTACCAAAATGTTCAAATTTATAAACAATACAACGAACAATATCAGTACCAGTAATAAAATATAAATTATTCCAATAAACACAACTAACAAATCCTTCATCATGATTTAAATAGTATCTTCGAATTACTTGGTTTTCTTGCCAATTAGCTGGAGCAGTAGCTAAAAAGAATTTCAAATCTTCAATTAATCTTAAAGATTCTTTAACTTGGTGAGTAGGAGTAAGTGAAGCTGAATCACTTGTATATGATCTAGTAGTGGTAACAGACATTCTAAGTCACGTGTGAGGTTATAATGTGTCTAGTGTACTTTGTAAGTGAGAACTTTCTATGTGAAACAAATGAATGTTGTGATATATGAAAATATGTCAAACGAATGGAAATGGGAGGGGCGATAATGGATGGAAAGGTTTTGTGATAATTCTATCTCTGAGATTCTGGTCCCCTTAATGATGTTACTCTTCTTGATGTTGTATTTGAAATTAATTGATGTTGTATCAAAATGATTGTTTGAAAGTATGGGCAGTTTTAGAATTGAGAAGAAAAAAAAAAAAATTTACTGAAAACTTCGAAACAAAACCAAACAAAGTGATTTTAAAACAGTTTTATAATCACAGATTTTGAAACACGACTAAAATAGCGCTGTGTCTTTTTCTTTCTTCAGTTAAGTAATGTAAAATAGGGAATGTTTATCCTTTTGCAATTCGTGTAAAATTCTCTTTAATTCAAATGCTAAATCTAAAATTGAAATAAATACTCAACTCACGTTTTCTATTTTTTTTTCTCTCTCTCTCTCTTTTATGGCTTGTTTTACTCAAGTTAACCGCGGGAATGTATAGAATTTCAATCAAACAAGAATGATGTGACAATGGATAATAGTGATGAAAGGATTAGTTAAGATACAAAGAGAATGATCTTAAATATCAATAGGCAGTTGTTCCTCTTGTTGTTGTTGTTGAAGTAAGTTAAAATAAAAAAAAAAATACAAAAAAAAATTTCCCTACTTTTCGTTTTGTTTTTGTTTTTCTTTTCTCTTTGGGGGGTGGCATAAAATTGTTTTAAAAATTTTGGGATGAAACAAATCCACTTCAATTTATACCCAAAAAAATTGTTGACTATGTGTTTCAGAATTTGAAACATGAAACACAAACCCACATCAATACACCAACACATTGACACATCAATAAATGAATATATTACAATTATATTCCCATTCATACAATTTGGCAATGCAACAATTAATTAGCTAACCAGATACACATATAATTATATCTCAATGTCTTCTTTATATCACAACCAATCCTTTATCCAATTCATTCATTTCTTCTCTATATAACTTACACGATACAATTCAAGCTCAACAATTTTAATATTTTTGTGTAATTGTTCAAATTTTGATTCTTTTCATGCATATACCCTTTTGTTGATGTTCTTGTTGCTCTTGTCATTTTTGTTTTCGTTGTGGTCGTGGTTCTTGTTGATCTTCTCCTTGTGAATCTAGAATTATCCATCAGCAAGTCTAAAACGTCATATTTAAGGATCACCAACAATCAATAAAATTCATTAGAAGTCGTTAAAAGATTATATATTCATTTGTTATCTTTTTTTTTCTTTGTTAAATTATATACCTGTATACCATTTTTTTTTTATTTGTAAAATATGATTTTACTGGTTTTACCTATTTATATAAAAGTGGGTTATTTTTTAATTTTTTAATTTTTTTTTTATTTTACCTATAATTCATCTTCCTCCTTAACTTCTAATTTAAAATCAAAAATCAGACTAACTAAAAATCATTTATCCCAAAAAAAAAAAAAAAAAAACCAAAAATTAAAAAAAAAATTCTAATCGTAATCACACCAATCTTTTCTAAATGATGTAACCCATTCAATAGGAACCCCTGAATGAGCATGTTGTTCAAATGGTCCTTTACCAGTAGTTCCTGCAACTGCTGATTTACTCAATTCAGATAAAGGACTTGATACAGGTCTAGACCCATCATGCAAACTACCGCCTCTACTGTTCATGTGTCCCGTCGTAAAATCTAAACTATGATGTTGATTTGCTTGCTGTGATTGCTGAAGCTGTTGTTGTTGTGACGGATAGTTATGATGATTATGATGTTGGTGTTGATGTTGTTGTGGAGAGTAATGGTGTGGTGAATAATGAAAGTCTCTCTTTTCATGAAATGACCTTCTAAATGCATTGACTGCTGCTGGTGTCGATCCACTAGAAGATGTAAGTGAACTTCTTCTAAATGGTGGAACATATTTACCATTGTTACTATTAGCAGAACTTGACAATTGTTGTGTTGGTGGCGCATAACCATTCAATTCACCTCCAAACACTGCTCTTCTAGTAGCGGCAGCACTATTGGCAATTATATTGGAGTTTCTTCTTAAAGCAGTACCTCCTAATCCTGAATTTCCGTTAGCTGCAGGAGAAAGATTATCTGATTTATTGAATCTCTTATGCAATGGATCGCCTTCAACAACATGTGCACTATGATGTAATGCGTTGTTATTTGTTGTTGTAGTGGTGGTGGCTGTTGTTGGCATCGTATCTTCAAAATCTCCTTCTAAATGGAAAACTTCATCGTAATCTAAACTCAAATTGTCCAATTCTTCAGTTACTGGTTCAACAATTGGTGATTTGGAATAGTTTGGTGATCTTAAATATGGTGGGATATACTTCCCTTGTGAATTCAGCAAGCCTGCCCCTGATCCTGATCCACCATAGGAATTACCATTGGTAGCAGTATTATTTGTTGCCGGGTATGGTAATGGATGATATGTTGATGGCAAACTAGTATGAACATTTCCATTGACAACATTTTTTCTCAACTTAGATGTAGAATACAGTCTGGATTTTCTTCTACCATTCATATGATTATGTGAGTCATTTGCTTGATGATGATAGTGAAACTGTTGTGGTTGTTGTGATTGTTGTGATTGTTTTTGAGGTTTCTTGTAGTTTTTCTTCCAAGTTCTCTTTCTAAATCTCTGTGGTGGTGATTGTTTCTTATTCAAATTATCAAACTGTTTAGTAAATCTTTGTTCCCCGTATTTATCCATATAATGGTTAAATACCGATCTCGGAGTGAAATAATCCTCTCTATTGAACTTGTTATTCCCGTTATACAACCGATTAGTATTTTGTGAATTTTGATTATATGATGCAACATTCAACGGTTTTCTAGTATTGCGGTGGAATTTAAATCCAGTAATTGGAATTGGTTTCAAATCGGTATTTGTGGATAATAATGCATCTGCTCGATGATTATGTGGGATTTCAGTAGTAGCATCAGTAGATGTCCCTTTTGGTGGGGTATTTTTTGTATGTGATTCAGTTGTACCTGCAGCCGAAGTCGTGGTTGCAACCGGTGGTGCTGCTTTACCAACAGATGGAGTCACATCAATCTTATTATTGACATAAATAGCTGGTGATGGTCCATCGATTTTAACAGCAGGAGTGTCAATCCTGTCTGGTGACGGTGACAATGATTCTTTGAATGATCCGTAACCTTCCAATTCTTCCTCATCTTCTTCTTCTTCCTCTCCTTCTTCTGCTTCATATTCACCTTCCTCTTCTTCTTCCTCGTAATCTTCATTGTCCCAATACTCTTCGTCAATGGTAAAGTATCTCAACAGTTGTAATTCTTCGGAAATACTATTCAAATCTCTATTATCGGGATCAATAGTTAATGAAAATCTTAAAACTGAAAATAAATCACCACTCATGGTGGAAAAAATATCAAATAATGCTTCACGGTTATTAACAAACTGAATAAATCTTTTATCAGAATAATTGGCAACTTGGAAAGGATTCTTATGGAACACCAAGGTTAATAAGATAATCCCAATGGACCAAATGTCAACTTTTGAAGCATCATATTCTTCCAAATTGTTATCAAATAGTTCTGGAGCCATATATCTTTCGGATCCAATGTCAAATTCATTAGGATTGGTGACAATTTTGTTTGTAGTAGATAACCCCCAATCTGAAATCTTAATAGACCAATCCTGATCAATTAAAATATTCTCTGGCTTCAAGTCTCGATGATATATTCCTCGACTATGACAATATTTCAAACCATCCAATAATTGTTCAAAAACCAGTTTAATATCTTGAGTGGTGACAGGACCAGAATTTGAATGGATAGCTTCGTATAAATCGCCTCGTGGATAAAATTCCAAAATCAAAAATGTATCAAAATGATCCCATAATTTCGAAATATGGGGATGATCTCCTAAAATTTGATGCATTTTAATTTCTTTATGGGCTTCATTCAATAAAGCAGTGAAAACGGATTCTGTTGCTGATAGTTTAGCAGGGGTTGAAGTAGATGATCTCTTGTCAGTTTCCTTTTTAAAGTCCACTGGATAAATAAATTTAACAGCAACTAATCGATTATCCTTCTTGACATCCTTAGCAACTGAAACCAACCCATAAGAACCTTGACTAATATCTGCTACTTTAAGGTATCGGTCTCTTAATAAAAGACCCTTGTCATAATGAGTGTATTCTTCCATTTGTAGTGGTAGAAACGTATAAAAATGTATTTGGTGTTTTGGTCGTTAAAAAATTTAAAATAATAAAAGGTCGTTAATGTTAAAAAAAAAATTAATAATAAAAACTATGCAATAAAATGTAAATGTGTCAAATTGGAATATAAAAAAAAAATGAATAAAAGTTGTGGCTTTATATGTTTTTGTTAAATGTTATCTTGTTTAAATCATAAAATTAAAAAAGTAGGAAAAAACTAAATTGTAAATGATTAAATTCAAAAGAAAAAAATAAAATCGAAATGATACTAGATGGATACTAGGATATGATGTTGTGAATATACCTTTGGATATAAACTAAAACTTATTGAATATAAAAAAAATTGTGCTGTTTGATGAGCAGGGCCAAAAAAAAAAAAACGGCAAAAAAAAAATGTTGGAGTAAGACAAAAAAAATGATTCAAAAATTAGAATGAGACGGAATTACTAAAATCACTTGATTGATATTGGAACAAGATTGTAAATTGATCTATTCTCCAACAGATGACTATGATAATAATAAACTTATCTCTTACTAAAGATCAATTGCTGAACTTGTCTTGATGCTCCTTGAGGATGTAAAATGAAAGGAAGGTAAGAATGATCTGTTTTGGTTGTGTCTCTAAAAAAAAAAAAGGATAGTTGGAAAAGGATATAACTTTCTGTAAATGAGTAATTCAAATTAATGATTTTACAAAATATCACTTTTTTCTGTTGTTAGATATTAACCCGTTGATGTTACAGATGGTATGTAATTGAGTGTAAGATGGAAAGAGGATTGGTTGATTTGATGATGATAAATAAATAGATAAATAAAAAAAAAAGTTGTAATTCTTTAGGTTGTAATAATTTTTTTTTAGGGCTGGGGGAAAGACAACAGGTTGGGTATGTTAATTTGGGAACAGCAAAGTTTATTACTGTACAGCAGAAAAACAGAAATTCATAAAAGAAAAAAAACCAAAAATCAGTCATTTTTTTGGGCAGGACACACCCACACATACAGACAGACGCTCGCTTATGTATGTAGTGTACTCTGGCAAATAGTGCGATAAAAGAAATCAGATAAACAATAAGCAAAAAAATAGGAGAATCAGTCACATGTACACGATCTTACATACACACAGATTAGTATGAGACATTTACTGCATTGGTTATTCCTTTTTTTTTTTCCGAAAATGTCACCACACAATTTTCTTTTCTTTTTCTTTTTGTCTTATTTGCCACAGTGTGGTCAATTGTACACGACATCACGTGATATGGTTCACGCACGACTCGTGATTTTTATTTCTAATTTTCTTTTTTTCTGAGTCTCTCTCATTAAACACTAAGCAGTACAAGTATTATACATCAACAAAATCGTTACAGTTTTTGCTTTTTGCCATTATATTTTAGAATTACCTATCTTATTCATTACAACAAATATTCTATAATGGATGAACATATTCCTACATTCTTAGCAGTGACAGGTGTTGAAGATGAATCAATTGCCAAGCAATTTTTAGATGTGGCAGGTGGCGATCTAGAAACTGCCGTCATGTTATATATGGAATCTGGTCAACATGGAGGTGCATCATCATCTAATAACAACCAAAGTAATACTAACAGTGGGAATGCATCTGGATATGATGATGACGAAGAAATGGCTAAAAGATTACAGGAAGAAGCTTATCGTGATAATGATGATGTAAGAGAAGCAGATGCAAATGTTCATAGACATGAAACTTTGGTTGATCTTGGTGGTGGAATGCCAATGCATAGTATGAATCGTCCAATGGATTTTCTCGGGAATAGAAGACAAGGTATTTTTAATCAAGGTATGGATTTCGATAGCCGAATGAATGCAGGATTTGGTGATAGCATTTATGATGATGATGATGATGATGACGAAGATGATGATGAGGACGATGATGAAATTCAAGTTTTGGATTCTGATGAAGATGAAGATGGTGTTAATGTTCGTCCAATTAGTCGTCGTAGACAACATATTCGTAATCGTAATCAAGAATTATCATCAACTCAAAGAAGATTAGCTAATTTATTTCGACCACCATTTGATATTATTCAAAATATGAATCTTGATGATGCTAAAAGAGTAGGTAGAGAGTCTAAAAAATGGATCCTAATAAATATTCAGGATTCACTGGAATTTCAATGTCAAGTTATGAATAGAGATTTTTTTTCAAATGAAAGAATTAAACAAATAATTAAAGATAATTTTATTTTCTTACAATATCAAGTTGATTCAATGAGTGGACAACAATATGTTAATTTTTATCATGCTGATGAATATCCTCATTTAGCTATATTAGATCCATTAACTGGTGAAAGAGTACATAAATGGAAAGATGGTCAAGTACCAATAGTTAATGAATGGATTAATCAAGTCTATAATTTCTTGGACACCTTTTCATTAAATCCACAATCAAATAATCCATTAGTTCATCATGAAGCTAAAATTGATCCAAGTACATTAAGTGAAGAACAACAAATTGAATTAGCCATGAAGCAATCCATTATAGACAATGGTACAACTAATAATATTAATAAATCAGGTACAACTATTGATGATGCTATTGTAATTGATGGAAGTGATGATGAAGAACCAGAAATTGTTTCTTCTCCATCTGAAGAAATTTCAAAAGATCCATTTGATTCAATTTTACCAATAAATCATCCAGAACCTACTGAACAACCAATGACAAGAATTCAAATTAGATTTCCTAATGGTAAAAGATTAGTACGTAAATTAAAATTGGATGATAAAGTTATAATCATTTATGAATGGTTGAAATTTGTATTACAAGATAACTACCAAGACTATGGTTTACAATCACCTGATGAAAGATTCAATTTATCCAATAGTTCTGACAAATCTTTGAAATTTATTGAATCTTTAGATAAAACTATCGAGGAAGCTAATTTGAAAAATGCCAGCATTCTTTTGGAACAAGAATAAGTTTATATCTTCAAAAAGATAAGTATAAAAAGTTGTTAATTCTTTATAGAGAATATTAATGCAATAATTAATTATTTAAAGTATACACATATATACTATCTAATAATAATAACCATAATTATACAATGCAGGAAATGATTCTAATGGTGGTAATTTCTGTAGTTTACTTGATTCAGGTGCATTATTAAACAATATTTGTTTGTATTCCTTTCGTTTGAGTTTTTCTTCTGGGGTTAAATCTTGACTTTCTTCTAAATCTTCATCTTCAGATGAATCACCAGATCTATTTTCTTCATTATTTACCTCTCCTTCTGCATCTGAATACAACTCTGAATCATCCGATGTATCCTCAGCAATTTTACGTCTCTTGGATGAAAGTGTACCATCACTATTAAGGGTCTGTCTTAAAAGCAACAAATCTTCATCGGCTTCAAAATCATTCAAACTCGTACAAATTTCATTTGATTCTTCATAGTCATAAGATCTTTTTATCCTCTGAGCGATATTACTAACCTCCCAATCTTTCTGCTTGATTCTCTGTCTAATATCCGATAATTCAATCTTACTCTTTGGTTTAAATCTAGTATCCAACTCAATATAATTGGAATCTTGATTGCTATTAAGAACAGTATCAAGATCTTTGTTATTAATAGTATCGATCTTATCATCGGTATTTGCATCAACTGCAAATGGGTTAGTTAAAGATCTGTAATAAGCTCTATTGGAAGTTTCAGCATTTTTATATTCATTCAATCGATAATAGTCTTTGTATAGTTGGTTTAACTCATTCTGTGTGTCATTAATCAATTTTTGTTTCCGTTGATTTACCGAGTTGTAATATTGTTTCCACAAAATTATTCTATTTCCATACAGATTATCTTTAATCAATTTGGTTTGATAATCTTTCTCTTTACTTATAGCATTCAATCCATCTCTGTGTCTCTTAAAGTAATCATTAAATAGATAAGGAAATGGTAATTTTGACAAGTTATTGTTGATATTTTTATGATTCATTAGATACTCATTATCGTATTTAAAAGTATTATCAAAATCAAATGGACTTTGTAAATTCTTAAAAATCTCTTTTAATTCTTCTTGATATTCATCAATTGATTTTAAAAGATCAGGCTTATTTTTAAGTTTTCCATTATTTACCATGATTAAATCTTCTGTATTTGTCATGATATTATTAATCGTTTCAACTTCAAAATTATATATTTTTAGCCAACTTTTATCATTTGCCGTAGCTAATTTGATCAGATTGTTTAATTTCTCCAAAATAACATTGATTCTAGATAATCTGTTATCAAGATATTCTTTACCCACGGTTTTAAATTCAGTTGATAATTGTTCTTCAAGCTCATTTAATTCATCAACTGACATTTGTGAAATTTCTTTAAGAAGTTCTCCTTGAACTTTATTCATTGGTGGATCATCCGATTCAGCTTCATCAGGATGGCTCTTAGATGATGACATGACAATAATTATATCTAGTTATTACCTGTTGTGTAAATGACCTTGGAATGGGTTTCTTGGGCTAAAATTTTCTGATACCAGTTCACAAAATAAAAATCAATTCCAAAAATGCAAAATGACTTGATAATATATATATATCTTAATGCTTTTAGTAACAGTTATAAGAATGATGATTTATCTATAAGATAGTTGTGGTTTCAATACCTGTTATTCCTTGATATTGATTGTTTGCAAATGTAATGTGCTTGCCCTTTTTCGTGACTTCAATTAAAAGAAAAAACCTGTTGTCTATAATAAAATTGGTTGTAAAAAAGAAAAAAAAACTGAGAAAAAGAACCTTGCCCGCTTAAAATTCTGCCAAAGACAAATAAACCCAAAAATTCCTCAATAGTGAAGAAACTGCGAATGCAGTGGTTTTTTTTTTTTTTTCTTTTGGTTTTACGAAATAATAATCAAAGTCGTGTGTATAAGGTCACTGTCCACGTGACATGTTTCACCATCTTTCTCTTACTCTCCCTCCACCCTCGACATTAAGTAAAAACATGACTGACACGTCTTTAAATCTACATTTGTAATTGTTAATACATCATTCTGTATATATATATAAAAAGCAAACAAACAAAGAGAGAGAACTATAGAAACATGGGTAATAAACTGATCGTTACTCATCTATCTTCAGCCCATTCGTTTTCTTTTCTAATGGCGGCTTCTTCTTCGGGACTAAAATCATTAACAATGTTAAAAGTTCTTCTTAATTCTTCTGGGGATTTACTTTTAATCATTTCAGCAACCATTTTACAACCACTTTCTAATAATGGTTTAATATTCAAATAATTAGCAGCTAAGATAATTTCATACAACATTTCTTGATCAACTTTCAAGAAATTTCTATCCCATTCTTCAACTGGAATGGATTTTTTGGCATCTTCATCTTCATCATCTTGGAAAATGGTATTTTTATGATGTTCACACCATTCTAAAACTTTGCTCAAAACATTGGCTCTAACATTTGGAGTTGGGATTTCAAAATCTTCTTCTAAACCATCTGGATGTAAATCATTAATCATATTCTTAATCAAGATTGATTTTTCAGCAATCTTTGGTTCAACTGGGAACTTTTCATTATCTGAAGAAACAATTATAACTTTAGCTGATGACATTTTTTATATATATTAATGAGTTGATTGATTTGATTAACTGTCGTGAATTTCAACAACTTTGTAAAAAAAAAGAAAAAGAGAAATTACCAAAATGTTGAAGTGGTTTTCTATTTTCTGTTCTTTTTTTTTAAAACCCATGCTCACTTGCAACGCCCTCTCTCCTTAATTTTTTTTGTATGTTCGTGCATATTTGTTACATTCTTTTGTTTGGCCCTACAGTCAAAAGTGTAATTATTTGTTGCCAAGTCTGAATATTAATAATATAATCATATGAGAGTAGTACCTACCTTCTACTAAATCGACCTATATATGAATTATAATAATATATCCAAGGATGACTGCAATAATTATTATTATCATGGATGATTCAAGCAAAAAATCTACTCTTTATATATACTTTGGAATGGTTGTTAATATCAACTAAGGTTATTTGTTGTATCAGACCGGTATATCTCATCAGTTTTAACAACAAACTAACTTGATCAGTAATGCTAAAAGACATTTTCCAAATTGGGTGAATCCAGCAAGCTATTTCTGTTAATTTTGGTAATTTCTCATGATATTCAATCCCACAAACATTTATTTTGATCTCTGGTCTAGGAAATTTTCTAAATATCGAATCCTCACAAAGTTGAAAATATAATTGAATTGCATTCTTTCTGTCATTCTTCCCGTGGCTCACTCTAATTCTAAGTAGATATCCGTTTCGGAAATAATTAAAGTTGGGGACCAACAGTTTACGCATAATCACTATGTGGTCATAAACAAATTCATTCATGAGTTCATGATATTGCTCTATATTATCAATAGGTCTTACTATTCTCTTTTCTCTTTTATCTTGACACTCCCAAACTATCCAAGTGTTGTAAGACGTTTCAACAGTGTTCAGAACAAACTGATGGGTGATAAGTTGATTAAAAAATGAATGAGGGTTCTTGATTGCTGAATTACATATTGGGTTTCCTGAATAGTTTCCATAAACGATGGGTATAGGGAAATCATATTCTTCAAGATGATTTGCATAGACAACGGAATTCAACTTTCTACTTTTATCCATTGATGTGGATGATAATACCTCTGCTTGATCTGATTCAGAACTTCTAATATGTGTCGAATATGGTGCTGTTGTGACTGGAGGAGGAACAGCAGGTTCTGACTTCACTCTAAAGAAAAAGCTTCTTGATCTTTGTAATTGACTAGATGGTTCTTTTATAGGAGGTGCGGATTGTACTTCATTAGACTTTGATGTTCGATTTATAAATGGGTAATACCAACTTTTTCTCTTTTTGATTTTCAACGGAGCACCTGTTGCTTGTTTAGGTTTAGTTGTTGAATCAATACCTTCTAGTTTGTCATCGTCTTCATTTTGTCTTTGGTTTTCCAATTGATCTGGGGTAATTGTGACATCACAATCATTTGGTGATTCAATTTCATTTGAATTCTCTTCTAATGAAGTGCCCACGGTATTAGTGGTATGCATTTGTTAATGGTATTAGTTGGAAAAGTAATAGTGTTGTCAAAAAAAAAACACACATTTCAAAATAAAAAAAATTGAAGTTGGTTGCAAAGATGTACAAAGCGAGAATATGCGATCCAGGGAGATATGGAGTACTACACGGTCATGATACATGACGAGCATTATATGTTGTTATTCCTTTTTGACACTATCTTATGGGTTGCCTATTCAAAATTCGAGTATATACCTGCACTAAAATCATCTAACTCCTCTAATTCATTCATGTTGTTAATGTATATATTACCTCCTGATTCCTGTTGGGGTTGATTACTCGACAAGTCTTCACCAGCATTTAAACTATTGAGGATCTCTTCAAGATCAGTGTCATATCTTGGCAGTGTTGCCTCATTCTTAATATTATCATTATCAATCATAATGTTGGTTTGCACAGAAAGTTGAGCTAAGAAACTTGCCAACTTGAATGCTTTATTTGGAAGTTCTGTGACTCTTGACTCTTGTAAGTTCCCAGTTGTCGACATCAAACTATTTCCCAAGTTTCCTCCACTTAAACTGAATGATAAATTAGTTGTCAAAGTATTTAAATTAGTCAAAATCAATGAATTTAACAAATCAAAAAAGTATAAATCATTATTCAACATTATGGAGTTAGTTTCATTAATCAATTTAATCAAATTAGAATCAGCAGAGTCCAATTGGTTAACCAAATCAGGGTTTGTGTTCAACAAGGTTTCTAACAAATCTGAATAGTTAATTGGGAACAAATTGGCTAAAATATATTCCTTGTTGTTTGTGTTGATTTCATTTATAATGTCAAGTAAACTTTGTTCAAAACTTTCAACAGACAACTCAGATTTTGGAGTAATCTTTTCAAATTTGGCAATAACCAATGCTTCAATGATCGAATTTAAGTTCATCCAACCTTTGTTCAATAGCCACCAACTCAATGAAAGGTAACTTTGTTCGATGATGTAATTTTCGTGTGGATCAATTTCGTGGTTAATAGATTTGACCCCGGCCATTTGTATGGCACTTTCCAAGTATGATCTTCTGGCCAAAATGTTCAATTGCAACCTTGTTATTAACAATAAACCTGACATTGTGTACATTAAAGTCAATATTCTCGTGATGGACTTGATTTTCAACAAGTTCCACAACTCAATCTTACTCTTGTTCATATAAATGGATAATTTCAGTTCTGGATCATTATTATTATCCAAAAGATTCAAGTTATCTGTCGTCAATTCGTTATTTTCATTAGTAGTGCTGCTCTTGGACCCGCCGCTCTTTTTCAATCGTAACGCTTGTGTAATTAATTCAACCGGCAAAGCATCAATTATTGGTGTAGCTAATACGGGTAATAATGCTAAAATGGTATAATAACAATCCTGTTGGGTTTGGATAAACCGTTGCTTAATCTGTTGTTTAAATAATAACTCTTGTCTTAAAGATTGTTGATAATTTCTAAACTTTTTGATAACAAACTCATTGATTAACAAGTATACAGATACGGAAACAGCACTAGTGATCAAGATCCTTCTCTTGTTTCTATTGAAAAACCCACTTAATGATGAGAATATAGCCATTGTTTATTATTACTGATTGAGATGGGTCTATACTTGATAAGTCGCTAATTTAACTATTCTATTTCTCTCTTTTTTTTTTTGCCTGTGAATCTATCATACTCCATTTTTTTCCGTCCCACGGTTCAACCTTACTTTTTTTTTCGTCGGTTGCTCAGTGTCATTAGTGGGGAAATTTGACTTCCGGAAATGGAACTACACTGACTGCGATGTGTGTATATGTTACTTCTGGATGCAACTAATTCACTTTCCTTCCTCGACAATTTATAAATTTTCCATTTGAAATGGGAATCGTTAAAGCAGGTAAGTTGAGAACAGACTAATAATAGCTACCAACGTGGGAGGATTTTGAAAATTGGGCAACGGAAAAAGTACAAAATAATTTTCGGAAAGATTTCGTAACCATTCTTGATCAAAATTAATACAAATGTACAATTGTTCACATTGACTTAAACAAGTCGGAACACGATGGTCCATTAAAAATGTCCATAGTGAATTAACCCTTTTGCAATAATCTGCAGATTCTTCCTATTTGAAATAGAAAATGGCTCGTTCTGTTATTATGAGAGGTATACAAACCGCATTTACTTTTGAATGATGTTACATCCTAAGAGTAAATGGACTAGTCAGACATTATAAGCGCTTAGAACATCAAATTCTACCCGGGGGTAGTGGAAGAGTTTTTTATTTGTTTTTGTTAATGTTGTTGCTCCTTTGACATTTTGCGTCAATTATACATTAATTAATGAGACGGGATTATTGATAGGAAAACGTGTGCGACTAATTAATTAATCACCTCCTATATGTTCTTTTTGTGGTCGAATTCTCCCGATAATTTATGTAGGATATGCCAATACAAGTTTGATTACCTTCAACCACCCAAGGGACAAGACATTTCCTCAACTTTGACAAAACATGTACCCGAGACAGTCAAGCTAACGGTCGCATGACAAGTAGATAACAAGCCAATTTTCCCCCCTGAAGAGAAGATGTAAAAAACAAAAAAGAAATGCTTGACTGCCACCACTCCTGGAGTGAGTTAGCATGGTCCTAGTGGATGAGCCCCCCCCCCCCCACGTTGTACTGCTGACACCCCCCTTTGTGACTTTTTCTTAAGTGGAATTTCATAATTACTTGCGTTCCTAGGGAGGGAAATTGGAAGCCTATTGTATTGTGTAGACTGTCAGATAACAGGAGGGCAGTGTGCACGCGCACGACCCACGGCGGTTATGGTGCTGCTTCAATTTTTTTTTTTCAGTTCTGCTAACCGGATGGCTCGATTGGAACAATAGACAATGGTCAAGTGTGAAATAAGCAACGCATCTCCGAAGGAAGCCAGTGGTGGTTTCCTACTCATCACTATGACAATTGGTTAAGTATAACTTTTACAACAATCTGTAGAGATAATATTCTGATTAATTCAATTAAAGAAATATATAATTACTTTTATGTATCATGGAATTGCATACACATGCCACACTACAGACAACTACTATATCTCACAAAAATTTATCTTAAATCAATCTATACAAAACGTATTAACCACATCTTGTCAAATGTTCCTTTAAATGTGCCGTTCTTTTGAATCTCTTTCCACATCGATTGCAAGGGTGTGGACGAATATCCAAGTGAACCTGATCGTGGTGTTTTTTAGCATCAGACTTGGTTTTAAACATCCTATTACACGTAATTTCTTTACATGGGATATCGTACGTTCCAATATGAACAGCTTTTATATGGTTCAACAAGTTTTGATGCTGGTGAGACTTGTATTGACACTGAGGGCATTTGTGTTTAAACACTTGTTTATGAACATCCTTGTGTCGTTGTAGACTCTGTGCTGTTGTGAATGACTTTGGGCACTCATCACAAGCATATGACTGTATTTTGTAATGGACTCTTTTTAAATGATTCAGTAAATGTTCATCCCTCTTGAAGCGGGCACCACATTGATTACATTTTTTCTTTCTTATGTTCTTGTGTATTTCATTATGGTGATTTAGTAATTGACAAGGGAATGCACATTTGAATTTACATTCCAAACATATAAGAGGACGATAATTTTGGTGAACTAATAGATGATGGAAACGTCTTTGGTTTTTAACTTTAAATTTCTTAGCACAAAATGGATAGCAGCATTCAAACAAATCTTCTGTTCGATGTACGTTTTTCATGTGAATATTACGATCAGACAGTCTTTTGAATTTAGCATTACAGCTTTTATATTTGCACTCGTAGTTTCTGTCTGCAGTATGACCATCAACATGATACCTAAAAGATTTAGAAGAAGAAAATTCTCTGGAACAATTCTTGTATGTACAAATGTAAGGATTTGGTATTACTGACAATTTCTTGAATACTTGTCCCGTGCGGTAATATACGCTACCCTTGTACTCATCAACTCTTTGTTTTTTCAGTTGTCTTGTATCGTCATTCGAGTGACCCATTGGACGTTTTCTTTTAGTAACCACAAGATCACTATCCTCCGAGTTACCAATAGTAGTTTCAGTAATCGCTTCTTCAAGAACATCCAAGTAACCTTCGGTAAGTTTGTCTTCTTTGATTTTAAACTCTAAATTCTTTTTGAATGACTTTGGACGATCAGTTAGGTGATGGAATATTAGTTCCTTTAATTGAAAAGCACTTTTATCCAAATTGTTCCTGGAGCAATAACAAGAATCACCTTTTAATTTGCCTTCTACTCCAAACCTAATAACTCTATTTTGATAATTATTTTGTATTGTTTCCTCAAAGGTTTCTTCTTGTTTTAATAGGGGACTTATATCCACTCTAATTTGCAATCTTTCATGATTACCCAATCCATCATAAAAAACTTTAAATTCTTTAACTCTTTTATGTAAGAATATAGGAATTAGAATTTGGTCAATTCTTCGACAATTGAATACTGTATGGCATGTAAATGAGATAATCCGTTGGTCAAGATTTCTGAAACAGTCGATTATTTTCAATTTGTGTCGATATCGCATTATGGGTTTTGTAGCTGTCATCTCATGACTACGCTGTTTATTCAAAACAGCACTATCCAAACAAGGATCCACTACTAAATTTAGATCACCAGCTAAAAGAACATGTATATCGGGGTTAACATCCACATAATCAGTAATAGCTTGAAGTACAGTTTTGTAAAATGTCGACTTTCTAGAATTTGATACTGGACCATAAACACAAACTAAAAGTATTTTTGTAGAGTTGATACCTAACACAACTGTTGACACTCTATCTGAGTAATCATTCTTGAAATGATTCAAGACGTTGAAATCAACCACTTTAAAATTGCTTGATTTTCTTCTTAAAAAAATTGTCGCTAATGAATCTTCATTGGTAGCGTACGAATTAAACTCAGTCAACGCAGATAAGTTGCTTTCTTTTGTGGTCTCAGTTAAGAAGCAAATGTCTTGTCCATGGGTGAGCTCCGTCAATATGGGTTTCTTGATTGTTTTGTGTATATTTTTGGAAATAATTTTTAACTCTTGACCTACAGAATGGTAAGCATCCCCTTCGATGATAATTCCCATACTCTGCAGATTAATTGACGATAAAATAGTAGAATTGATGAGTTTCAAAAAACAAATTAACAAAACAAATCACAAGAGAATGAAATAGTATAATGATATCGGTATTATTATTATCAAATGGAAAAATCAGTTTACTTATATATATAGACATATTAATTTCATATGGATATTGAATTTGTATGTGCTACTGATGGTAGTCACACTGAATATTTGGCCCATGGGTCTAATTTCTGACAAATTAGTTTAATTAGATAATTTACATGTATCACGGGCTAAAATAAGTTTTACAGTTTTACTGTTTTTGTAAGTGCCCCTAATTATATCCTTCTAATTAATATATGAGATATACGGTTTGTTCACTTGGTTTCATGCCCCTTTTATTTAATTAAATAAATCCCTCAAAGAAAATGTACTAAAACAATTGTAATATCATCAGTATCAAATCCAGACAATTGTTGTCGGTAAAAAAATTTAATATAGTGTATCATTATCTAACTTTACTTGTAATTCAATATCTATGTATAATATTTCCAATGTCCTTACTCTGAAGTCCCATTATAGTTTCTATTCTTATACAGTGAATATTACGCTTCCAATAACCACTAGTTGTATCTCTATATTTTACAATTTAGGGGTTATAAAAAATACATATATCTAACTACTAGTCGTTCTGTAATTTTAGTCTCAAAAGGTACCCTAATTAGACAGTGTACAGCAATGGTAACTGCAAATTGTGAAACACGTGGAAGCCGGACAATTTCATTTCACGCAGCTGGCCATGTGTTTGTTTCCAACGTACACCAGTTCAATAGATTGAAATTGCAATGAATATAATACTTGTGCTTCCTTCATTAGTTATATATTCATCCAATATGTAACGAATGTTATATTGATAGAATCTTCTCTTTCTCTGTTTGCTACTACACAGCTGTATGATATGAGTTTTGTTTACCTTATTTAAGCCTATAGAAGTAAATAGAAAACTATATAATTTATCTTTCACTTCTATCAAATAATGTGTAGCAACCGTGAAACTAAAGGAATGTTGAGCTATGGTTCCTGTTTCGTTTGTACTTTATTACTATTTAGTATGTGCTGCAGTCGTTGTATATCTGTGATAATCATGTGATTTGTGGAGACTCTGTCGGTGTCGTACTGATGGGTATTAGGAGTCATTTGGTACTTCCTTAGACCCATGTGCGACAAATGCTCATTTCCACACTTCTTCAAATATATTTGTAATTATTCCACTATAATTAATTGAATTGACGTATCTACGACTTAAGATTAGTATAGAAGAGAAGTAGTAATATGGAAAACAGAGATTCTAGTTACCCCATCCAATCAGCAAGAGTGACACACTTGAACTGCTTGACTACTGTAAGACATGAGTTCATTGTGAGATACCACCTGTTGCACGCACTGGTTAATCACGTGCCGTGTCAGCGTGCTATACAGCACGCCTGCTAATATCACATGAATAAAAACTACAATAAAAACATCGATAAACTAACAAAAATAAACATATATTAAAAAATCAAACTATATAGAACTAACTAAAATCATACATCAAATTTGCACCAACTGGCAACTCATAATAAATCCCACTTCTTTCAATGACGTCTACTAATTTGTTGAAATGATTATTGGATTTGATACTTTGGAGGCTGCCTAACATTATTAGGCGATCCTTCGTGGAACTAATAGCATTCATCACCATATTATATTTATCTTCTTTACTCTTGTAATTATACTGATTGAATTCAAAGAAGCATATAATCATGATATCTTTGATTTGAGGTCTGTATGGGAAAATGTCAACCTTGGAATTCAACGATGGGTACATGTAACCCCCAACACTGGATATACCTATTTTTTCTTTACTCATATTGACTGAAATCAAACTATCAATAATTGTTCTGATAAGGGATATTTTTACCTGGTCTGGAAGCTCCTCCCCCATTCTAATATTAGTTGTTTCTAGAAATATAATTTGTTTCTGGAGCATATCAGCCAACCAATAATTATCAAACCCCTTTTTGGTATATGCATCAATGTTTGTTAGTGGTATATCAATACATGACCAATCAGTATCAGAACTTGGAGAAAATTTTATTATATTAGACGTTAAGTTGAAAAATTCCACTATTTTTGACAGCATAATAGTTTGCGCTATTGGTGTGGAAGATTCCACAAATTCATTAACCTTGTCAAATAACACACATTTGGTTTTGAAAACATCCAAGAACTTTGGGATCTGTTGGTGATAATTACCGACAAGTATTAAATTCTTGCATCGGACGAAAACAGCCAGGCCAACTAAAAACGGAATTATCGAAGCATCTAAAACAATAATCATATCGTAATCACATTTGGTTGTTAATAACGAAAAAATAGTTCTCCCTTGAATAGTATGATTTGATAGATCTTCATCAAATTTATTAACCCATTGATTAATAGAATCGTTTGTTACCCCGCAGACTAGAACATCTTCTTCGTTTGCAAAGCGCGTCTTCATCGAGTCTTTAACTTCATTGTAGGATATCAGTGTATCAATTGAAACAGTTAGCATAATTCTGTTGAGATTTATTGGAAGTTCGTTGAGATTATTGTCAAGAATCTTTTTGCTGGCTGTAAAAATTTCTTTCCAAATGAACTTTAAAAAATGAATTTGAACTATACTCTTCACATTAACTTTCGACAATTTAATTATATCATTAATTATGATGAAGTTTTTTCCAACAACAGGCTGTGTGAAAACTCCAAGTTCTCTTCCACTTTTATTCAATATAATAACTTTATTGCTAACCTTAACTTTGTCTCCTATAATAATTTTGGACTGATTGTTGGTTAAAGTTACGACATCTGCATTCTGAATTGTAGTATGTTCTTCTTCGCATTCCACTTCAAATTCATTAGTCATGGTTTGGAAAAAAACTGAATTGGTAGCAACCCTATCAAGTTTGTGACATATGTCATTTTCAAAGCATACGGAACATTTTTTTCTGTCGTATATGATTTTGGGGATAACCTTATTCTTCTTGGTATATGAAGTCACATTCCTAATATGTATCAAATAAGACACCTTTTGATAGTCGATGTCAATTTTTATTCTGCAGTTCGATTTTGAGCACCAAACCTCCACATAATCTTCAAGAGAAAATCTCTCTTTGAACATCATCCAATATAAAACCGGATAAATGTAAAAACTATCTCTTAAATTTCCAGTTTTTATTTCAACAATGATAATTTTTCCGTCTTGGTTTTCTACAAGTAAATCAGCAACTCCCCGAATATTGTAGATATTTAGCATTGATTCTACTTCACTTAAAACTTTTGAGTATTGTTTTATTCTATCATATAAAAATTTAACATGATACTTAACTGTGTCAATATAATCATCAGAAACATTATCCTCAATAATTTCATCTATTTCAATCTTTACACCATCTTGTTGATTTGATTTTATGATTATTGAATCAAGACATTTGTGAGTAGCATTTCCAATTATTAAAGATGTTGTTAAACCAATTTCACCAATAGTATATTGCAATTTAATCTTTGCATAACGATGACAAAAATGGAGTTTTCATATTAGTGACTGATAATGGAACATGAGGGTTTATTAATAATAAATTGCTATTTTCATTATATTCATTTGTTGGGTGGAATAATTCCAATAAAGTTAGATTGTCTTTTTTCTTGCATTCAGGGTGTAAGGTACAACCCACTAACTTTAATTTGTTCATTTTGATTGTTATCTTCTTTCACCATGATAGTTTTATGAGAACCAAAAGTAACAACAGATATAATTTCAACATTCTTTACTACTTTTTGGTCCCAAAATGAACCAAAACTTTCATTCAATGTTTCATTTGTACGTTTAGACATAGTATGATTAGGATTCACTAGTTTAAATTTATCCCTTTACCTTCTTTTTTTTTAAAAAAAAGGGGGATTAACTGTTACTCTTTCATATATATATAACTACATTTTGTAATGGTTATGATGCCCTGTAATACATTCCAATTTACTTTATATCTTTGTTTAATACACGTTCTGTACACAGGGTTAAGGTTTTTGTTAATTCAATTTATTACAGATCTTATCAGAGGACACCTTAAAACTGTAATGTTAATTGCACAGGAGCCCTGGAACTCATGTAATTAATTAATTTACTAATAACGCATAAAAAATGAAACAATTCTTTTGCCCACGTTTATATAAATATATACAGTGGGTGTCAGAAAAAAATCAAATTTCTCGCCAAAATACTTTGTTCATTTTTATAAATTGCTCTAAATTAAACAGAATATACCAATCAATAAATAAAATATTTAATGTGATTATATCACTGTAATGGTCTGAATTTCTAGTTTTTAGTAAAGTTAAGACATCTTCATTAATCTGTATTTTTAGGTGTTGAATTGAAGCAATTAATTTAGTTTGGGATTTTTATTTTGACAGAAGTGCACGAACTTCAAAACACCCGTGCTACGCCGCTAAACGTTCTTTATAACTTCTGAAAGCTTTATTTCTTTCAGAATTGGTAAAACTTATATTGGTAATAGTTTTACTACATTTAAAGAAAGCGTTGCATTTTTATCTAGCACTTTGTAAAAATGCTGGTTTTTACTCTCATTTTGGTGCAAAAATTTTCGCACAAATTTTGCAACATCTCAAATTTGATCCTATCCTTTTTGGCAATAAGTACACCAAACAACAATTTATACTTACAAATTTTATCCAATAAATGTTATTTTACTTTGTAATATGCTGTCTCTCCAGGATATTAACGTTTTATAACTTTATTGGCTCTACAGATCAAGTTTTCATAATATAAATCTGGAAGACTACAAAATTACAACTTTACCACCCCACTACTGTCCCATTATTACAGATATTGACTCCGTTGGACTTTCAGATAAAAGAAATATCCGATATTAACATTGTATCAAAAATTCAATCATCGCACTTCATTTCTTGCAAAGTTATGGACTTCTTTCGACCTTCAAAAAACCTGGTCATATTTATTTTTCTCGTCAACTTTAAGTAAATCAAGAGATAACTCAACCGATAATAATGATTAAAAATATTTAATGACATCATCTTAATCACAGGGATCGATACTATATTTCTTTCGATTTACATAGTTCTACATTAAGTAATTGAAGTGTGAGGCCAAATTGAAAAAGAAGCATGTTTATTTACTGTCGCACACTTCCCCAATATTGAGAGGAATACTGAGCAATCGAAGTAAGTGCGCTATTGGTGTGTGTTGCACGTATCCATCCAATATGGGAAACGTGTCACAAATGAACACCATCGATTTAATTTAGTGGAAATAGTAACCCATAAGTCATACCAGAAGAATCACACCACCATAGAACCAATTCAGCTCACTTACGTATACATTTAAGGATGATTGTGTTACAGGATTTTGTATAGAATTATATATTCTTCAGGCTTATTATAGGGACTATACAAACAAGAAGAGATGATCAAGAGGGTTCCTTGCAGGTAGGCCTATACCTTAAAGGAAACTCCAACTGACTCTAACCATTAGGACTGTGTACAATGCATTAAGCACTTACAATTATACCTTGAATAGAACGTATATTTTAATATTATTTAATTAATCTGCTATGCTTATGTCTCAAATTAGTTAACTGTATGAAAATCTGGCGAGGGTTTCGATCCAGCTGCAAAATTTTGAAATCAAACCTATAGTCGTGTGATGATTGCGTTTTTTACCTAACCAGGATACGTGATTTCAAGTAAAGAATAGACAAGTACAATCACACTAACGTAAAACAGAGAATAGTTCGACAAGAAAAATAACATGTTTACAATAGTGTTTCTACTCATTCTTCGTATATTAAATATAGATATCAAACACTTTTATACTAAGTTGCAGGGAAAACGTTGGCTTTACCTTCACCTATGACATTACCATAAGGATCATATTCACAAACAACATATAAACCCCAACCTGTAGAAGAACAATCTTTATAGGCACAACCAACTTTGGTCAGATCTTTCCAAATAACTTGAGTAAAATGATTATAAATAAAACTACTATCTGAATACAGAATTGGTTCATCAACCCAAGCAGCAACAGTGGCTGGACCGTTTTTATACCCGGCAGCTAAATTTTCACCATATGGACCATGAGTATGGGTTAAAATTCCTGAACAATCATAATTATCGGCGTTATTCTTGGCATAGTTGTAGGTATCTACATCCCAAGATAATTTACCCACTTGATGGATGGCTCTGTATTTGTTATGAGCATCCAAGATTTCACTCGCAAATGACTCATCAACTCCATCACATTGAGAAATCGCAGCATAGATATCACCATTGGATGAAGAAGTACCCGTAGATGTTGATGCTGCTGCACTGGATGAAGAAGATGGTGGAGCTTGTGAAGAACTGGTTGTTGGTTGAACTTTAACTACTGAAGAAGCTTGAACAGAAGCAGCTGCAGCAATAGCTTCAGTATTGATAGTATAAGCTTTAGCAGCTGGAACTTCCAGAGTTGCAGCAGCATTTTCTATTGATGAAGAAGATGATGATGTAGATCCTGATTCTGACGAACCACCTCCAAACAAACCTTTCAATAAAGAGGCCAATGAAGAACCGGTTGATGATGTGGATTGAGCAGTGGTACTTGCTTATCAGCAGCAGCAGCAGCTGCTGCTGCTTCTTGGGAAGATGAGGATGACGAAGAAGAATCCAAAAGACTGTTCAAAAGATTACCCCAGAACCCAGCAGTTGCAGTAGTAGTTGGAATCGCTTGAGTTTCCACAACTGGAGATACAGCCACTGGTTGAACAGTTGTGGTTACAGCAGCTGGTTGTGTGTTTGCAACTGGTTGGGTATTTACAGCGGGAGTTGTTCCATCTGGTATAGTTGATGTTACTGTCTGCCAAACTGTAACTATAGCTGGAGCTGAATACACCTGGGAAAGAAGGAATAGGAACAAAAAGCGCTGTTTCATGGTATACTGAAGGAGTGAACAATTTTGGGGATCGGATTTTCTTTTCTAAAGACTTTGAACTACTAGTAACTTGATTCTTTTCAAAAAAAAAATGAAGATCTTTGAAATGATGGAGAGAAGGATCTACTTTATATAGAAAATAGAAAAAATAAAGGATAGAACCGAAGAAGATAAAAAAAAATAAACTTAACTAAATATTATAAACTTTCCTTCGAAAGGCAATATTCTAAAGAGTCTCGATTCATTCGGTCTTGAAAAATTTCATTCTTGCTTTGTGGTTAATTAGTGCTTTATTCAATGTGAGAAAATAAATGTAGCTGCAAAACATATTTTTCCCAATTAGGAAATGGGAAAAGTGCACATACATTTTTTTTTCCTTGACCCGAATTAGGAAATACTTGCAACTCTGTATTCTAGTAATGGTAACTTCTACTATATGAACAAGAGTTGGATGATAGCTACTTTCTGCTTGGTCTAAGAAGTGTTGAGAAAAAAAAAATTACAACATGTTCATTTCAATCCCCACCATTTTCTTTTCCATATCGCATCATACGTTTTACGTTATCCATTTTCTTTCTTTTCAGGTTCCAACTCAGAATGCTTGTTTGAAGTTTCTTCTTTATTAAACATGTCAAAGTGGGCAACGCAGTATGACGACAAAAGGATCTACATTAGACTCGTACTTATATTGTTTCATCTCTTTATTCGAACAAAAGTAATCAAAGAAAAGGTTCCAGAATCTAAACGTAGTTACAAATTAGTTTCATTAATGAATTTCAGATGAAACTGAGAAAGGGGACATGTTCAACAGAATAGCCAATGGGCCGAAGAAAAAAAAGAAAATAAATTAAAATCTTTATGTCGTAAACATATAGAGAAGAAGGGAAGGAAAAAAAAAGCAATAAACATAATCACAAATATTCTCTTCTTTTATTACTAAGATGAGATAACAAAATGCTAACTAGTATATATGGACTAAATCAAAACTTTCCTGTGAATATCTCCTTTAAGGTAGCCGCGATAACTTCTGCTACCCCACCACCAGTACATCTAACTATGACTTCTAATTCTTTACCAATTTGATCAGTGCCTCTGACTTTAACCAAGACCCCGTAATTGGACTTTTGTGTGTGCAAAATACCGGCCCCTGTAACGAAAATAGGAGTGTCAGGGGAGTCAGGCGAAGACTGGACAATAGCAAAACCAACTCTAGCTAACAACCGGGAAATATTGGATGCGTTGTGTCTATGTGTCAAAACAGCATGTTGTGTAGACTCGCCCTCTTGTAAACCTAACATTTGACTAATTTGTTGCCATCTCTTTTCAAACTCGTCTACGGTTGCTAATGCAGTCGGGGTTATAGTCTTTAACAACAACACAGGGAACTTCAAATTCAATTGGTTGAACGAACCACCACACATAAAAGTCATGGACAAAATAGGACTTTCATTGTTTTCAATGATATTTCTCACCTTGATTTCAATATCCATCTGAGATTTATCCAAAATTACAGGGTCTGGAATATTCTTTATATGCAAGGTGTAGTTTGGGTCCTGAATGTTGGCTAATGATTCTAGATTAAGCACTGTAAAACCGGTTATCTTCTTACCGATGGTTTTGTGGGCGTTGTTAATTATAGTGAATTTCAAAGTTAACTCATTCGTGTTCTTAATTATTCTGTACGTAATTTTAATCAACTGATCTTCATAGAAGATACCTGCATCAAAATGTAGCATTCTATGGAAACCCGCATACCAATTCGGACTCAAAATCGGACTTGACGTAGCTGCGTTTCCTTCCCCAAATGGATTACTTTGAATAGTGGTATCACCGTGGTCTGCTTCGTCGTTATCATCGTCATTGTCATGGATCAAACTTGTATCAGGTTTACTCTTAATATTCTTTGCCATCACAACAGATCTAGACCTGTTGACACCCACAATTCTATTGACACTTCCAAGACGATTCATCAAAGGATTTTCAATTTTATTTTCAAATGCAGGAAATGGCTTAATTACATTCTTTGCAAGCGCAAAATCTGATTGTAAAGTTACCAATTTCAAGTATTCGTAAGCTCTAGTTTGAATCTCCAAATCAATTGATTGTGTTTCAATTTCAAATAAATCAACAATATTTGGTACAAATAACGCATCCGGAAACTTGACAAGAAATTTTAAGAAAGTAGTCAATAGCATTGCTCTTGTCAACAATGACACTTTGAAATATGAATCAAATAACAATTGGAATTGTATATGCACATTCATGTCTTCAATATCATTAACTTGTTCACAATACTCTCCCAAAACAAATGAGGCGACTTTAACTAAACTCTCTGACAATTGCAGTGGAGGAACTGGTGGTGGGTGTGCCCCTTGGGTAGTTCCTTGTTGAGGATTGAATGGTCTTTTCAACAAATTAATTAACATCTTACATGTCTTTTTCTGTAAATCTTCATTGTTGACCACAATTTGTACAATTCTTTCCCAGACTTCATTCGTCATGAACCCAATGCCATTAGAATTACTTCCGCCGCCAATCGACAATAACTTAAGCATGGTAGTGACATACCATGTGGAATCGGTAGCAAACTTTTCAGCCATCACGGCAATTTTAATAGCTAATTCAGACTTTAATTGGAAATCAGCAAAGGGGAAATATTCTAACAACAGACTGATAATCACATGATAGTTTTCAAATGTACAGATAGTGTAAAGTAAGTCCAATGCTTTACGACGAACTGAAATATCCTTGTCGCGCAATAACTTCATTACCACTTCCAAAATTTCTTCAAACTTATCCTTTGATGCAAGATAGTTACTATTTGACCTTGCGGTAAGTTTAATCAATGCATCCAATGATAAATATCTGGTGTTGGTTTCTGTTGATCTCAACAACATGATCAATGCATTCATGGCTCCGTGAATTGCTTCCGGAGAAGCTTCTAAAAACACTGCCAATGAAACAGCTTGAAATAAAATTGAACTTTGTGAGTTTCTGTTAGGTAATCCTTTAATTGGCTGTGATGCATTTTGAATAGATTTAGCAACAACTTGACGTAATTCATTAATAGTGTTTTCATCTAATTGGTAAAGTGTCAATACTTGTGAACCTTTTTTGTCAACTAATAAAAACAATTGTTCAATGAATTGTAACAATTTTACAATCAACCATGGAGCAGGTGAATCATAATAATAGTCAACAGGAGGACAGATCCCGTCTATAACAATCAGGCTTAATCTTCTAGATACCCCTGGGACAATTGATTTGACAAACTGTGGGTTTAAAGTTAAAACATATTGCAATAACGGAATACATGATATGACATTGGCGAAATCCTTCTCGTCGATGAGTTTCAATAATCTTGGTACCCAATTACTATTAGTTATAATGACCTCGGGGTATAATCTCAATAATGACTTCAAAGCTAAACTACCCTTTCTTTTAACCATAGGTTTTGAAATCGGAGATGTGACTGATGCATAAACCATATCTATCAACTCTAACCATTCTGGTGAATTTGGATCAGATTCTTTGATAACAACAGATTCGGAGTCACCGGCATTGAAACAGGACGCGATGAATTCGATTGCCAAACAATTATACTCTTCATTTTCACTTTGTAAATCACGTACAAGGTCAGGTTGGACTTTCTCTAATACATAATTCAAATGATCCTTACATGAAATTCTTTTCGTCTTGGAAGTTGTACTTTCATTACTAAGTAAGATTGATACTGCCAAATAACCCAATTTCTTTTCTGAATAAACATTTGATCTGAATAATTCAAAGGCTTCCTTCAAACCAAAATCAACGATATCATGATTCCCGATGAGATAAATGTAAACTAATTTACAAACATATTTCTTTTTCTGGTACCCATTCAAATTTGATTTAAATTTTGTTCTAATGTTGTTGATTTCCAAATAGATTTTTTTATCTTCTTCGTCTTGATCTTTTGAGTTACGAAGATCAACAATGAATTGAGTCAACCCTTTCATCAGGCTCTTTGGTTGGCTTTTCTGCATTTTTATTTTCAGAATTCGAAAGTTGATTTGATTTTGCGGTTGTTCTTGTAGTTCTAAGACTACCCAGGCTAATTGACAATGTTTTTGTCTAACGGTCGGAATGAAAAAAAAAAAAAAAAAAAAAATAAAAGAAAAAATTTTAGTAGAAAAATGATACACAATAATGGAGGAGTTGAGAGAAAGTAATGAATAAATAAATCCTGCTTGCACCAAAATGTTAAGAAAAGTGGACAAAAGTTTTTGGTGTACCTCCAATGATGAACATTATCGTCACTGAGTGGATACAGCGGGAGTATCATAGGACAAGAAACAGGTATACCTTGGATTGTTAAAATACCCACAAGGTTTCGAATAGCATTATCATTGTGTCAATACTTGCCAGGTGTCGAAACTCCTCTTTCCGATCATTCCAGGTATCTGCAAAAACCATCCTGCAATAGATGTTCTCTACATTAGTGGCTACTGGCTTAGCTCCTCTTTCAACCAAAACTACCACAATGTAAACAAATGAAAATGCCAATGCTTTAATATTACGTAACTCCTGTAGTAAGATTGATCTCTCTCTTATAGAATTTAATACCGATTACACCGTAGAATGCCACAAAATCGAAAATAAATACTAGATATTTTACTGCCCATTTTTTTGGTAGTCGCAAAAGCAATGATGCTTTACCAAACTCGATCTAGGCTTTATCTCCCTCTTCCTCTCCCCCTTTTTTTGGTGAGTTGGTTCTTAAATCCCCGGCTTTAAATCCTCAATTATCTATTCATTGCTCTTTGGGTTTAGGTCTTTAGCTGAAACTCGTACTTCATCCACCCCCCACAGTACTCATGACTCCTTGGAAATCGATCTGGTTATCTACCTTTCTTGCTTGCATTGTACTGGTCAAGTATATTTCAACAGGAATTGCAGCCGTCAGTTGTTCTTGTTTTATAATTTCATATCTCAGTAGCAATCCACTCGGAAATGGTTCAGGTCCTACATGCGCTGCTTCAGTAGTTGTCAATATCCTAAATAATATTCTTGATCAACAAGTCAATAGGAATGTCACAAACTTCGGAATGAATACACTATCAAATGAAGATAATCTGATTATTATTGATGTTAGAGAATAGTCGGCTCCTGGTAAACCAATTTGATTTGATTAGCCATTATCTAGTTCACCATTTATATATACAACTGTGATAATTTTTACCTGTTTGTGTAGGTATTTACACGTGACTTTGTTTGTTCACGTGATTTTGTTTGTTCACGTGATTTTAAAGTCGTGTCTATAGCGACAAATTCTCACTCTTGATTTCATTGGTCGAATTCTCATTTCCACTCAATTTTTTACCTTTTTTCAGTTCGGTAACGAGTTGTGAGTGAGAGTGAGAGAAAAAAAAATTGAAAGGTGAAAAAGGAAGGACTGTCCAATTTACAATACACTTGGTTTTCTAATATCAATTACAGAACTACAATGTCCTCCGTTGCCAAACAAGCTGCCAAGAAGGTCGATTTCGGTAAACTTATCAATGGTTTGGGTTTAACCGGATCCACTGCTGCATCATTGACTGCTTTCAAAAAGAGACACGATGAAGCTAAAAAACAATACATAGATTTATCCAGTGAATCAACTGAAATTGATTTTGCTCATTACAGATCAGTTTTGAAGAATTCTAAAGTTGTTGATGAAATTGAAAAAGCTGTTAATGGTTTCAAACCAGTTACTATTGATATTTCTAAGGATTTGAAAAACATTGAAATTTTCGAACAAAAAGCTGTTGAAAATGCCAAATTAACTGAAAAATCCGTCCTTGAAGAAATCCAAGTCTTGCAAAAAACTTTGAAGGAAATTGAAAGTGCTAGACCATTCGATCAATTGACTGTTACCGATGTTGCTGCTGCTTCTGACTTGGATGCTAAAGTTACCTACATGGTTAAGAACGCCAAATGGGATGTTCCAGGTTACAAGGAAAAATTCGGTGACTTGTCTGCTATGTAAGATAATTAAGTTTTATTATCATTTATTATTACAGTTATACTATTCATTATATATTCATAAAATACATAAAGTTGTTATTTTCTTTCAAGTCTGTTTGATGATATCAATCTCTTTGGACCTGTTGAGATGTATTGCCATGTCAAATAGTTTGATAAACGATACAGGAAGTTTAGTAAATATCTGCAAGTCATCTTGTGGTTTGTATGAATAAGTACCAACGACTCCACAATTGAATTCTAAATCGTAAGACGTGACAATACCAGAACATTTATATTTTGCACAGATTTTATTTAACAAATATCCCAAACTGTTATAATAATACTCATGAGGTATGTTTGGGTTGTAAGTCACAAATCCCAATTTCTTATAATTATACTTGTCAAGAACTTCTAAATCATAGTAGAATGCAGATATATTGTGTACGACAATAAATTGGATCTCGACGTCTAGGAACTTCAGAACGTATTTTGACAGGGTATCGCAATTGAATAAATCTTCAAGGATTTTTATTGTTTCTGGAAATGTCTTAGTGGTGATTACATGATCAAAACACTTTCTAATTATATCATTATCCATACATGAAATCACCAACGTAGTTGACTTGTGCTTTACCAATTGGGGTAGAACTTGTTTCAAGAATGATGACTTATCCGGATATAAAAGTAGGCATGATTTCTTGGATGTAAGTATTATAGATTCGTCGAACAAAGATAATGTGATATCTGGAAGTTGTATATGATCTAGTAGATTGGATTGTTTCATTAGTGGTTTTGATGATGGGTGTAACTAGAGTTTAACGCGATTGAAAAACCCTTGTGATTTAATAACAAAAAATAAAAAAAAAAATATTTACAGCCATTAATATTAAAGAGATAAAAATTTCATTCATATATTAAAGAGGGAGGACATAATTTCATAGAGATAGGAATTCATCAAGACATAAGATAGAGATAACATGCAAAAGAATATGGAATGTGGGAATATAGGGGAAAAAAAAGGAAAATGGGGGGAAACTGATAAGCTAGTTTGATAACTTTTAACATTCAATCAATTCAACCACATCCAAAGTAACAGGATGACATTGGAAAGCAATTGGTTCATCATATAAATTATAAAAATTACCAGAAGCACATTGGTAGAATTTAGTGGAATCACCTAAAGCTAATTGACCTTCTTTGGTAACTGACCAACCAGCGGCAAAAATAGCACCATGTTGAGGAGTTGGACCATCAAATTGGAATTGATGGCCTGAAACAATACATCCGATTCTATTATCAGAATCTCTTAAAATTCCATTATTTAAAGTCATTCTTAAAGTAGCATTGGTATAACAGGCAACATAATACACTGGAGATACAAATTGATCATCATCATAATCATAATCACGGGATGGTTCTTCATGTTTCCAATCATCTTTGTAACGATGTTTATGTTCTTCATTATAGTCCTTATGACCGTGTTTGTTTTCGTGGTCATCTTTGTTTTTGTGGTGTTTATCATCACCATCATCATAATAATCATGATGTTTGTCATGATCGTGGTCTTTATCGTGGTCATGTTCTCTATCGTAATCACGTCCTTTTCCAAAATCAAGATCTTGGTTATATCCTTGATCTTTTTCGTATCCATGATCTTTTCCAATATCTTCGTAAACTTCTTCAACAGTTTCGACACCTTGTCCTTCAGCTTCATCATCTGCCAATTTTTCAACCTGTTCTCCTGTTTCTTGGTTATTTCTCTTTCTTCTTTTAGTAGTTGGATCCATAAGAACATCATCGACATCACTCTTACGATGTTTATAATAATCATCTTTATCATCGTCATACTGCTTGTCTTTGTGATGCTTATCATCATGATGCTTGTCATAATCATCATAATCTTTATCTTGATGATGTTTATCGTTATCATCATCATGACTTTTATCGTAATCGGTATAATGTTTATCATCATCTTTCCAATCATAATGGTGATCATCATCCCAATCTTTATGTTTTTCTTCATTTTTCCAATCATAACCAGAAGCAACTTTTTGAACTTGACCATCATGAATTTGTACAATAATATCTCTAGTTTTAGTTGGTTTTGGAGCAGCAGTAACTACTGAAGTTACAAAACTTGTAGTTATAGTTCTTTCAATTTTGGAAACAACTGGTTCTTCATAGTCTCCTTCATCGTTAATAACATAAGGATTTACAACAATTCCAAAAGTAAATGGTAAAGATTCAAAACTTCCTTGTAATTTTTGACAATCTGGTTTTAAAATTGTCCAATCTTCTCCATTTGCTGGAACATAATAAGCATCAATTGGGAATATATTGTTAAATATAGATAATATGAATATTAACTGTAACATAATGATAATAATTACTGGATCTTTTGATAATTGTAATTGTTAAAAAGAATAGTAAAATATGAAAAAAAGAAGAAAAGAAAAGAAAAATAGTATCAGAATTTATTTTTTGCTTATTTGTGGGTTATTTATACAAATTTATAGGTGCAAAAAAGGAACTAAAAAAAATATGCTTATATAGAGATTTCAGTTGCAAAAAAAAAAAATAAACTGCCTAATAAATGAACATAACTAAAAGTTACCACTAGTTAGTTGGTCTTCACTTCGTTAGTTAAATGTTGACTGTCGACCTGTAAGTTAATACAGAGCTGTGGTTGTGTACTAGATAACCTAATGGTGGTAATTAACCACCACATATGGTAAGCAATATAAGATGTATCCAATATTCGATTAGATCTTGATTGATTTTATATTTATGATACGCTATAATAACTTATATTGACTCCCAACACGACTATTTATCACTGAATCCTCTCCATACTTAAATGGCGTTCATCACAACAAAGTACAAAATAAAAATGTCGCATAACGTATTGACTAATGTCACTGATTTAATTGGCGATCTAAACCGACATAAAGAAAAATCAATCCAACAGAAGACAAAAAAAAAAAAAAAAAGGAGAATGGCCAAAAGCTTAATAATCAACCACACACTTTCAACTGCCAACCCATCAAACCAATATTTATTCAATATAATGTTTAGAAGAACTTTACTAACCACTAGAATCGTATGTATATGTTAATTATTGATTAACTTAATAAATGTTTATTTAACTAACACATGAATTATTAGTCACCATTATTCAGACAACAATATAGATTCATATCTACTGAATTAAAGGATGCTTTAGATAAAGCTGTTCAATCATCACCAGTTGTATTATTCATGAAAGGTACTCCAGAATTCCCACAATGTGGTTTTTCAAGAGCTACTATTCAAACTTTAGGACAACAAGGTGTTGATCCAGAAAAATTTGCTGCTTATAATGTATTGGAAGATCCTGAATTAAGAGATGGAATTAAAGAATATAGTTCATGGCCAACTATTCCACAATTATATGTTCAAGGTGAATTTGTTGGTGGTTGTGATATCATTACTAGTATGGCTCAAAATGGTGAATTAACTGAATTATTAGAAAGTGCTAATGCTTTAGTCCCTGAAGAAAATGATACTGTTGAAAGTGCTGATATTAAACCAAATAGAGAATAAACTAGTTTTAAGAAACAGATACTTTCTTTGAGTGGGAAAAAAAAAATGCAAATGCTTTGTATTTATTAATTACTATTGTACATAATTTATTTAATAAAAATGAAATTAAGATCAAATATGAAAAAAAAAAAAATAAAAGAATATTCAAATAAAAATGAGCAAGTAAATAATAAATAAAACCCCCGGAACTGAAATCAAAATAATTAAAAATAAACATGAACTAAACAAACATTAATAATAATAATAATAATAATAACCCACCAAATAAACAGGAATTGAAAAATTTTTATTTAAACAGTACTGTTTTTCCTTCTAGCTAACAAGTTTGAGTTGTTCAAGTTAAGAGTAAACTTAAAATCACCATTCATACCTGAAATGATTGAAGATGAACGAGTTTGACATTGACCTATACCATCATTATCCAGATTAACAGAATTGGTCGTAGAATAACCTTCTTCTTCTTCTTCAACTTCTTCACGGAACAGTTCAACATAACGTGGGGAAAAATGGGAAATATTTAAACTACCAACATGATCTCCTAATTCAGAGACTTCATCATCAAATTCATCGTCATTTAATTGACTAATTCGTTCTTCAACATCGTCGTCATCTTCCTCTTCGTCAGCCCCATCATCGGATTCATCAAACTTTGGTTTCTCAATGTTAAATACATCTTTAAAGTTAACCTCTTTAGGAAATGGAGTTCTGACGTAGCCCCTCTCTGGAACAAACTCGGAATGTACTGACAGTGTTTCGTCTTCATCTTCTTCAGCAATGTCTTCAATGAAGTAACTTGCAGGTTCTTCATGGTTGCCATTAGTCATAGCAGGATTATTGAAAACCTTCTTGATTGCAAGAGCTCTTGGAGAAACAGCAGGTTGGTTCACCTTTGGAACAGCCAAACCATTGCTGCTATCATCATCACTGGTAGTGGTGGTGTCCTCGCAATTGTGAGGAAAATAATTCCTCGTGAGCTCGTGTGCACTTGAATGGTTAACAATCCAAGGGTGTTGCCAAATTTCTTCGATAGTTATTCTTTGATCAGGATCAATATTCAACATCTTGGAAATTAAATCTTTAGCATCTTGACTAATTTCATCCCACCATGGTTGCAAAAAAGTAAATCTACCCTTTGTCACATTCTCAGTCAAGACTTCAATGTTCTCATCATAAAATGGTGGGAACCCACACAAGATTGTGTACAACACACAACCCATAGACCAAATATCAACAGCCTTTGAGTACGAATTGCTATTGTTGGTATAGATGTTGTTGTTATGATGGCAGACAAAAACTTCTGGAGCAGTATAACCAGTAGTACCACAAGGGGTTTGGGCAATAGTATTAGTTGCCAATTGCTTAGCTAATCCGAAATCAGCCAATTTTATAACACCAATAGTACCACCACCAATACCTGCCTTGAATTCACCTTCATCGACCTTTTTAACATCATCAGACTTACGCAAGCTTTGAATAAACTCTTCGTTTGATCTCTGAAAGAATGGGATTTTCTTAAACAATAAATTTTCTGGTTTGATATCACGGTGGACAATATTTAAATTATGCAAGCTTTCAACGGCATTCAACAATTGTTTGAATATGTGGCATGATAAATCTTCTGACAAATAAGTGTATTCCAAGATCTTGTCGAAAATCTCACCGCCATTACAATACTCCAAGATTAAAAATGAGTTGTTGGCACAATCAATATGATCCAACAATTGGATTACATTGCCATGGCATTTTATTCTGTTCATGATATTGATTTCATGTTTAATATTTCTTAATTGTTTCGAGGACAAGTTGGTCTTGTTAATGATCTTGATGGCAACTATAGAATTTGTCAATAAATTGATGGCCTTGTAAACGATGGAGAATGCTCCTTCACCCAAAACGCTTAATAATTTGAAGTTTGAAGGTAATTCAGGGTACAAATTATTTAAAGACGAGTCTATGGTGAAAGACGATGTCAGTTTCTCGTCCAAGGAGAATAATGATTCTTCATAGTCAGAAGATGTAGTTGTAGTAGTGTAAAGTGAGTAATTTGTAGCCGAGCTATCTGTTGAGGATCTAGTCATGGTTAATTGCAGTCATATCCTTGTTTCATTGAGATAACAAGAAGTAGTTAATGATTTAATAATATTCTGATTAATAAAAGTAAAACAAAAAGAAAAAGAAGAATTCTTCAAATACAAAAATATAAAAGAAAAGAAAAAAAAAAATGAAACCTAATTAACTCTTGTTTGATGTCAAAGGTTATTTACTGTTGATTATATATTATTTCAACAAAGAATTCACCTTTAAAGCTGTGTCCTGCACAAAAAGAAAATTTTTCTTTTTTGGTTGTGGGCTAAAAAAGAATTAAATTGTTTATGGGTTGAGGGGAAGATGCTTGTGTGCAGGGGTGCATATTATTACACCTGCACACTACCATACAAATTTGTTTTTTTATTTGTTTAGAATTGTGACCGATTTAACACCCTTTGCAGAATTTGTGTTTATTTTTTGATTTTTGTGGTTGTTTGCCTTTTTCTAACTAAAATATAAATGGAAAATGACGTAATCGGGTTTATTTTAGTGAGATACTTTACACGTGACTTGTGTGGTATACCTAACCAACTTTTTCCATTGTATTTACTAATGGCAAACTGTATGTTTACATATTACTATAAATATTCATCTTTTAATCTGATGGATAAACAACTTAATTAAACAAAAAAAAAGTAAAAGTTGTCATGCTAAATTCATTTGGGGTCAATCAGATTTCATTTCAAGTTGTATTTTCTTTATTATCCGTGTTCACGCAATTGAGGTTGAACAATAATAACCGAATAGTGATTAATAGGGGGAGATAACAAACATTTCAAATGTTTTGTGTAAATAGTTGATTTGCATACAAAAAAATAAAATCCAATGGTGTCTCTCTCTATTGTTTTACATGTATGAAAGAGTAAGGTGGATTAATATGGTTGAGAGATAGAATTTCTTTCAAGTTTAAGGATAGGCTGTGATTTTTTTTTTTTTGTTTAGTATTTTTGACTTTTCATGTTCATTTGACTTTGTTTGCTTGCTGTGTGCAATGATTGCTGTTGTGTTCAATATCTCTTATCAATCTACGAAGAGATGAGAGAGTATACGAATCTTCAAGTGATGCTCTGAACTATTAAAAGAAAAAGAGAACAGCAAAGCAGGTTGCATATTTAATGACTACGGCGTTTAGGGTTGATGTTGTTTATATAGATATCTAATGAGTACAATACAATGAACTACGGGTATCTATTTTTGAATAGGTATTGTTTATACCATCATCGCAACTCTCCGCATAGTTTTCTAATTTTTGTTTATTTACTAAACACAATGTAAAGCCCACTGATTTGAGTAGGTACTACGACCAGAGGTCGGGGAGTGAATTATTACTTTGTGTTTGCATGTATTCCTTACAATCTCTTGATCTAATATGGTTTTCGTCTCCCTTGCTCCTATACCACTAAACGTTCTTTCGCATCTTCTTTCTTCTTTATGCCACTAGTTGTCTTGGCGACTAAAAATTAATAATTATAGATGGTGGAATTCAGCATGGTTGAATAAAATCAACTTAAAATTCCGGCTATTATTCTCTTAGACAAGCTCCTATATAATTACTTTGTAATGTAAACTGTGCTAAAAAAAAAAAAGAAGAAACTCGCCTGTACAATCGAATATCTTTCTACTCCGCCTTTTCGTTTACTATAATTTGTTCCACGACTTTGCTTCATCTCTTATTTCATCTACAGAGCTTTATTTATTCTTCACTTGACAACTGAACATCGTTCGTCTTTTATATACATTTATTTCCGTGAAAAATATGGAAAGTACTCAAAGAATCATAAACTACCCAACATCTTCATACCGTTCTTGAATTAACTTTAAACTACACTATCTTCTTAACCGTAAAAAAAAATGTAAAAATAAAAAATAAAATATACAAGCTATTACTAAAATAACAGGAAAAGGAACGAAAATCCGGACCCCCAATATCCCTAAACTTTGTCGAACCACTTTTACTTTATTCAAGACTGTGGAAGAGGAAATGAAATGCAGCAAAAAAAAAAAATTTGAAAATCGTTCCATGTTATAGTCTTTCATGTTATTCCGCATGTCCCACAAAAGGTTTTAGCTCTTTGGTTTTTAAATTACTTGCGGTATAGAAACACCCAATTTACCCCAATATAAATCACAAAATAAAAAGTCGAATGAAACATTCGCTGACTTGATTTAGTTGTGCACTGAACTAATTTATTAATTGTGGGGCTGATACAGACGTACCACCAACAAAAAAAAAAAAACACGATCAAGCATTCAAAAGTACGTCTGGGGATCACTGTCACCCTTTGAGTCTAGGCATTAATTAACTACTCACATAGTATACCTGGTTAACCCCTTGTTCTTACCAAAAAAAACATTGCTCTACTACTAGAGACGTTTGTTATCCATGTTGTTGCTGTTATTGTATTTCATTAAAGTTTTTTTGTCTTACAAAAGAATGTGAAAGCTTAGATAAGCTAGGACGCCAATTATCCGTATTCGGGGACTGTTGGGGTTTTATCTGGTTAAAAGTATCGCTGATCAATATCAGATTGTTCAAGAAATATGAAACCAGTACTGTAATGGTTAGTTCAATTTAAAATGTTAATCTTTTTGATATAGCAAAACCAAGATGGGAGGGGGGGGTAATAATTAACAAACTGATAATGAAATTTAAACAAGTATTGCCCCGCTGTTGATCGACTCTCATCTTCATTCTTTTACTAAACTCAACAGTATTGTAAGTATTTTTTATTTTTCTTACCCTAGATTATAATCATTCGTAATCTTCTTCTTGCCCCCAACGCAACCTCGACGTTTCTCATCGCTACCCAGATTTTATTCCTAATTTTACGGAGCTCCCACGTGGTTCAAGTGAGGGGAGAAGACTACTAGTACTACAAGTCTTTCCTCTGATTTTTTGTTGATAACTAGTGGCGATTTCGTTCCTCTTGGTGTCACGTGCATTTCACGAACAAAAAAATGGTTTACAAAACCGGTAATTTCTACGCCGCAGCATCGAATTGGAACGAAAAAAAAAAAAATATCAACCAAACATCTGAAAAAAAAAAAGAAATCTCATTGATATACCTTGATTAAATACAGTAGTCTGATTAACAAGGGGAACATTATGTCTGAAGAGGAGATTAACAGAAAGAAAAGAAAAAAGGTCTACTCTGCTCCATCTGTCAATGTTGATTATTCGTTGATTGAGCAAGTTAACCTGATCACTGCCAATAAGACTCCAGATATTAAATTATTATCACCATTTATTGAATCAGGCAGTTTAGTCAAGTTGTTGTCTATTTGGTCCTATTATTCATCTACCAACGATTTAAGTCATTTAATTGATATTTCAAGTAAAATTTCCCAAATAACTAGACAAATTAATGAACTCCGTGATGAGTTGTTACAATTCAAACAAATCATTATAGATACTTACAAAGATATATTAAACAAGCATGAAAAAATTATATATCGTGCATTAAATAACATGAAACCTGCATAAACTAATACAAATGTTAGAATATTAAACAATATAATCAGTTTTGATTATGTGATTGTTCAAGAATTTTTGAATTCCTTTGATCTAACATTGAATGTGTTACCAAAGTTATTAGAACCAAAGAAATTTGAATTAGAAAATAAAGAAATCAATGATGAATTATCAATCAGAAGTAATTTTTTAAGATTTTGGTTTAATTTATGTTCAAGCGTGAATTATATAACCCGTCAAGATTTACTTATTGGGAACTTTAAGATTGTGAAGAATATTTGGAAGTTTTTGAATCATGATTCCTTAGAGTCAATTAAAAACACCCTTAGGTTCATTGACTTGAAGATATTACAAGAAGTTAATTTCAAGAGATCATTAAAATGTAAGATATTGAACGAAGGATTCATGTATAAAGTATCTGGATTGTTTACTAAATTTGGTGATGACAACAAAGAGTTTGTTGAGCTTATGAACAAATTAGCTACCGATTCAAAGAATGGTTTGGTGTTCCCAAATGATAAATTATGGCAAAAAGAATCTGATTTAGGAGTATCTATCGATATCAATAACAAGCATTTCAAAGTGGCCAACAAATTATTGTACACATTGGTAACCAGTTTAAAACCACATGAATCAAATGCTCAATTACAATTTATTGTTAGAATATTAGGAAATTGTCAAGAATTAATTCCTCCTTATATGAACTGGTTAGTCCTGCATGGTGGTGGCTATCATGATCCTGCATTAACTTCATGGTGGATTGCTTACACTTTGTTGTATTCCAATATCTTGCAGTTATCATTGCCTAACTTTACTACCAACACCGAATATCTTAAGTTTGATGCTAAATTGATCTTTGAGAATTTGGTATTTGCCCCCCTTTCTAAGAATGCATTAACCAATGGGTTGGTCACAGCCAAGAAGCCATTAATCACTCAATTGACATTACAAATCATCTTGTACATCTTGAAGAAATTGGAATCAATTTTAGAAATAGTGAGAATTGATGTTCGACAAGAATTAATCGATCTTGTATTTACTCAATTACCAGATTTGACAAGCATTTCACAATCATTCCTTGATCATGAATCATCAAAACTAATTAAATTAACTGCATTAACAATTGTTTCCAAATATGAAAAATTACTTCCATCATTAAATACAAACTCCATCCAGAAGATAGTATCCAGTGGTATTTCATCTATTTTGAGCACCGCTAATATTACAGGCTACCAGTTAACATTATTGGATTTATATATGCTGATCCAGAAAAATCAAGATTTCAAGTGGTGGAACAAGTTGAACAACTCTAGTAATTCCTTCTTTACATCATTGATTAAATTATGCTCCCAATCAAACATCAATCAAGCATTCACTTTGAAAATATATCTGTTATTGAACAAATTGTGTATGGATAAGATGGTGTTTAATGATAGTTTATTGGTCACTCCGATCATGGCATTGATCTATTCCTTGGATTTGGAAGTTGATGATAGAATTTGGAATATGTTGGATGAAACCATTTCAAGAATTGTCAGAACCCCGTACAAATATCTTGATTTGTCTCACAAACTGTACCATGACACTAGTATCTTTGTTGTTGCTTTAATCGAACAATTTAAGTTCACCTTAGGTAAAAGTGAATCAGATGTTGGAAATATCAAATGGTTGTTTAAATTTATTCACTACTTGGTTCTCATTGGTGAACCTAAATCTGCTTTATTAGAATTGGTTAAGCAATTGGATATTGATACATCTGATCTTGAAAACTTGTTGAAATTTGATACTACCTCTACAATTGAATCCAAAGATTCTTCCATCATGGATGTGGTATTGAATTATTCGACCAATGATCTTATCAATAAAACCAATGTTTTGGAAAAGAAGGTTATTTCATCAAATTTGGATTTCTTAGCTGGATTATTACTTGTCAACAATGTTATCCAACTGAGCAATCAATCAAACAAATTACTTGAAGTTGTCTTCTCTAAGTTTTGGTCTTTCCTAATGAATTCATCTAATGATGTTGTTCGTTATTTTACATCTGAAAAAACATGGGGTCCATTATTCAAAGCAGATTCCGAGAATGCTGAAACAGTATTGAGTTTCTATAACCAGATTTTGTTAAGTTTACCATCGGTCCAAAAGGAAACTGAAAGTCTTGCTAAATTTTTGATGGATAAGTATCAAAAGAATGACACCACCTTTGATCAATTTATCTGGATTCTTGATGATTTGCAGTTGTCAGAATTGATGACAGTGAATATTGATAGTGACAAGCTTTTCATGGATGTGGTCAAAACTGGTATTACAAGAAAATCATTTGCATTGAATTATGAGCAATTCCAAAGAGTGTATAAATCTGAACTTCCAGAAAGAAATGAAATATTACAACAAGCAATTGATTTAAATTTGATTTCTGCATTTACCGAAGAACAATTGGATTCCCTTGTTGCGAATCTTACGTCAAATGAAAAGGATTATTTCTTGATTGGCAATCTTGCTAAAAAATTACCGACTGTTGTAATGAAATTATTAAACCTGGGTGATATTAGAGATGATTATTTGAATTGTCTAATTGGTTATTCATTAGCAAAGCAAGATTTGTCTATCCCTGAAGATTTCCTCAGCAAGATATCTGATATTATTACTTCAAGAATTGAAAGTGGTAATTTGGGACAAATATCCTGGAATCAAGCATTGGCTATTTTATCCTTGACTGGCAGTATTTCTGTTGAAATATCAAATAAAGTTTTGGATTCAATTGATTTGAAACAATCTTTCATTCCAGAATTTATTGATTTTATTTCAAAATGTTCTGCTAATCCTGAATTGACATCCTGGTTACATAAGGCTATTCTTTACATTACTAGAAAATTTGCTGAGTCATCAAGTTTGTCATCTGATTTTAACAACTTTTTAATTGCCATTGGTGATTATATTTTGAAAAATAACATCTGGCAGTTGGTGCCATCAAATGTTTTAAATGCTCAACTTGAAGTAATTCTTAATTCTAAATGGTCTAAAGAACAAGAATATTTGAAATATATTGTGAAATTAATAACAATTGCGCCAAAACAAAAAATTGAATTTGAAAAATTATTCCAAATATCATTAAACTTGAACAATTTGAAGAATTTCCCAACAGATGAAAATATCCAGATGAGATACTATTCCAGTGTGATTTTGTATTTGCTTTTCAACTTTGATCATCTGAAGTTATCCAATTTGAAGAATTTGGAATTGTTATTAGATAATTATTTGGGAACTAATCGTGCTGAAGATTTGTTTATTAAATCAATATTGATTAAGATTGAATCAAAAGTATCTATCAGTTGGTTGACTAAAGTTATCAATTGGGAATTCCTGGAAGAATTAATAGGAAATGATATTGATTTGGTTGGTCAAGAAAGATTGATCAAGAATAGTAATGGTAACCTTACTATTTGTTTGAACAAAGGATTTGTTAAAAATTCATTAACTGAAACGCCATTGGAATTACCTGTCTTCAATAAGGGAACGAGAATGTTTGATCAATTGGAAAATTTCTATCAAGTTAGTTCATTGATCCCTGTTAATTCCTTAAGCTATGACTTTGAATTTTTGTTGATGATTGTTTTGAATAACGAAGAATTGTTGAGATATAGTAAAGATGAAGAAGGTGTACCAAGTTATACTTTCAACATCAAAAATTTGATTGAAACTGGTATTTTACAATTTATCATCATCACTTTATCTTCATCTGATACTAAAATCCAATCAGTTTCAAAAGTTATACTTAACAAGATTTTAGAATCTGTTGATCTGGATGTGTCATTTAAAGACAAGAATGTGTACAAGGTGTATTTGGCAAGTACTTTATTCACATTATCAAAAAACCAAGTCATGCCACATTTGGTCTGGTATATGTGGTCTCAGTTAGTTCCAATTTTATCTAATCCAGGTCATTTCTTGTATGAAAAAACTTTCAGATACGTATTGTCTACTCCTTATTTGAAACATTATGAAATCCCATTATACAACTTAATCACTGCTCCAAAAGATAATGACAATGAATGGTATTATAGAGAATTAAATTGGTTAATTGAAAACATAACAAGTGGAATTATAACTCAAGATGATATGTCAGTTCTTAAAAATGCATCTATTCTTGAAAATTTCTTGAATTTAATGAATTCCAAATATGCCAACATTAAATTAAAAACCTCGATTTTGAAATTACTTTACAAGATTACTAAAATTGATCAAGGTTCAGATTTATTGATTACTAGATTTGGTGCATTGTGTAATTTAGAATTGCTTATTGATCAATTGAATGGAGTTTCTGCAATTGATAAACAAATGGAAGTTAATATTGATGAAATTGTGGTTAATTTTGCCCTTGGTGTAAGATCAAGTAAAAGAGTTAGAAATTGGACAAATGATGAATTGGATAATAACTTGAAAAGAATCCATAGAAGTATTCAAGTAGATTAGTTAAATATATGTATTTAGTTTATAATGATTTTAAATGTCTATATTTACTGGAAATTTTCACTATGTGACTCAAACTGATGGATCAGTTATCCAAATTTCTTTGACTTACTTCATTGGACTGTTCAAGTATCGATATCATACTTTCTGTGGGATTGTAATGTATTGTCTCGAAAATATCCGAAACCTTGGTTGAAGGATACATTATTTTTAGAAACAATAAGAGCCAACACTTCTCGATGTTTCCTCTCTTCCTATGTCTTTTTCTTTTATAAAAATGTTCAACATTTTTGTCAGAAACGGAATGTGTTTCAACCTTGCATAATATGTACAAGGCCGCCTATGTAATACTAAATTAGTTAAAAAAAACAGAATACCCCTGTGTTTTATGACAATGAATTGATAGAATCATTGTCTTTTCGTCAAGATGACTAATTGGAAATATTATCATATCATGAGCTGATGGTTAAGATATAAATAGTAGCCTGAAAAACACCCTTTCTTGCAATTTTAAATGTTTTCTTCTTTTTTTTCTTTCCAGGAATTTTTATCTACACACGACTTTGTTGCTTTTATTGAAATTTTATGATGAGAATCCTCATGTTATTAATTTTGGCATTTTCGTTCTTGCAACATTCTGTGTTGGCAGTCTTGAAAAATTGTAATTATGATCCATTATCTGATCATTGTAATGATATTTATACATGGAAATCCAATGATACCTGTAAGGAAGTTGCTTCTAGATTCAATATATCAGTTGATGATATTGACAGTTACAACAGTTATATTGATTACTCATTTTACTGTACTGATCTTACTGAAGGTGATCAAATTTGTTTAGACTGGCCAGATTATCTGTCTTGTGGAGATTATGACCAATGTTACTTTGACAATCCAGAGTATTTCTGTGAAACTTATGAAGTTGATGATGAGAATATGACATGTCGAGACATTTGTAACTTGTTTGATCTTTCCTTAGCTGAACTTAAAGAGTTCAATAAATATTCTTCACAATTTTCAGGATGTAATCCTGATTACATATATGAAGGTGATATCTTCTGTGTTACGAAACCAAATTTTACAGATTGGGAAAACTGTTATGCATTAGCAAAACAAGATCATGACACATATTATGCTTCTATGTATTTTACAGAAGTCCAAACAATCACTGCATTAGATCCTTATTACGGAAAGACTGAGACATATGAATTTTACTATGATCCATCTCAATCTGAATATACCACAAGAACTTATAATATTACTTCTGCTATTGTGACTTCCTTATCAAGTGCATACAAAACATTCTTAAGTGAATATTCAGAATTAGGAGAAGATAGAAACTCATTGGCAGCTATTCAGACTTCATTGTTTGGTACTAATCATGGCAATTTTTCTGGATTATTCTCAACAAATGGGCAAACATCAAAATATGGTACTGTTGAACCTACCCACTCAGGTACTGATTCTGGCTCTGCATCTAATTCTAATTCTAACTCTAACTCTAACTCTACAGCAGAATCATCTGTTTTGAAAGGTGACGCTGATACATTAAAAATGTTTGGTGTTACTTTTGTTATCGCCTGGTTATCTTGTCTTTTATAGTTTGTGTATTATATATTAAACCGCTTGCCCTAAATATACCCCAAATATTATTAGATTTATGAAATTCACTCCATTTCAATTATCCTACTCATCTATTGGTGTTAAAATATAGTGGTGGACCCTATTCCTGGAATGTTTCAGGTGTTAGGAATGTTGGATGCTAAAAGCTGCCTTAAACAAAATTATGAATCAAGAAATCAATAGTCACGTGACTTAAACTTGTTATACGCGTGACTAGAGAGTTTTGTATTTTTTTCTCTCTTTACTGTTCGTTTTAGTTCAAAAGAAAAACAATCAACCTTGGGGTATAAAAAGTCAAACCATTTGTTTTCCTTCTTCAACTGCAATCATCATTCAACAACATGGGTGTATGTATTGGTTTATTGTTAATATTTGTGTTGCCAACAGAGAACTAACATGCTATTAGCTTGGGAGAATAACTCATTATGCTATTGATTTAGTTTTAATATCTGTCATCCTAGCTGGAATTCACAGAAACACGGGGTTGAAATTTGATACTAGTAATTTTTCTCTGATTGATATAAGAAGATGGTTTGGAAATTACTTATCTTTTGGTGAAACTTGTTATGATAAGATTGTTAAGTTATTAAGAGTTTCTGGATACTTCAAACAAAGTTCAGTTTTGGGTCGTTTGAAAGATGCCGTCAATGAAGATTTAGATAGAAACTTAGATGACCAAGGATTACGCTAGGTTTGTTTATTGGTATAATTTGTAACACGTGTTTGTTATCTTGGATATAGGTTTGGTTAATAGTTATTATTTATACATAATGTTTTCCTTGTTTGAATAAGATGAGGTATTTTGTGGCGAAAATTGTAAAAAAATAGAACGAAAAAAAAAAAATCTTCTTCCAGGTAAAATTTACGTTGATCTTATCACCATCAGCAGCAACAAAATTGTCTACGGTACGTTTTAACCACCAATTGATCATTAAGTCATTTGATTTCATGAACTCAAAACAATTTGACAATGAATGCATATCAATCAGGATGATCAAATATTGAATAAACTACTCTACATAAAACATAATTCAATTAGAGTATGAATCTAGAGATGCATGAGATCAAATTATAACAAAATTGCTTTGATTTCAAGAAACAAGGTTCAGACATTTTTCTTTTTCTATCGATCAACTAACACGTACATTAAGACTATGAGACTATATGATAAGTTTAAGACTGCAATTATTGAAGAACAACAAGAAGATGTTGAACAAACAACTACGTATATCAACACATTCACTCCAAAGAAATTAGCCCAATTGGGATTGGGTATAATTAACTTACAAATTGCCAATATTCGTACAGGTTTAGGTGGGAAAACGATATTGGAATTGCAATTGGATCCAGGGTTTTCAGCCACAGATGAGATCAATACATCAACTTTAAGAACTGGGGATATAGTAAGGTTGTCGAGAATGTCATCAAGCAAACCAGATAAAAAACTGAAGAAAGACGGTGAAGAATCAACATCTGACGGAATAGATGCAGTTGTATTGAAAGTCACAACACAAGCCATTTCAATCTCGGTGGATGAAGCAAATGATGATTCTAAAGTATTACAGTATTATAATAACACCAACGATCAAAATTCAAGAATGTGGTTGGTCAAATTAGCTAATTCAATAACTTATAAGAGAATGTTGATGTCCATGGATAAAGTCAATGCACTTGAGGATAAAAATGATATTCATAGAATATTGTTGGGCGAATCAAAATATATTCCAAAACCAACAAGTAATCTCAAATTGGAATTTATCAATGATCGATTGAATGACTCACAAAAGGAAGCAATTGATTTTGCAATTAACAAGTCAAACATAACAATCATTCATGGCCCTCCTGGTACTGGAAAAACATACACTTTAATAGAATTGATCCAACAATTGACAAATAACCTTGGAGAGAAAGTTTTGGTATGCGGACCATCCAATATTTCTGTTGACACAATATTAGAACGTCTACATGATAAGTATAAGAAACCAGAGAAGCTAATAAGAATGGGACATCCGGCAAGATTATTACCAGGAAATTTGGCACATTCGTTGGAAATTTTATCAAAGAGTTATGGTCATGATGTTATAAAGGATATTGAAAAGGACATTCAAAGTACTTTATCTCAAATCAAGAAATGCAAGAGATATGCCGAGAGAAAGGCATTGTATCAAGAATTGAAATTGTTGAGGAAAGAGCTTAAACAAAGAGAAAAGAAAATTGTAGCAGAGTTATTGCAACAAAGTCAAGTTGTGATTTCTACATTACATGGGGCAGGGTCATTTGATTTGAAAGGCGTGTCATTCGATACCATTATAATTGATGAAGTTTCTCAATCGTTAGAACCTCAATGTTGGATTCCTTTATTGTTGACTAGCAATTTTAAAAGATTGGTCATTGCTGGTGATAATATGCAATTACCACCGACTATTAAATGTAAGAAAAATGAGTCCTTTTTGGGAACCACTTTATTTGACAGGCTAGTCAAACAATGTGATGGAGATAGCTTTAGAAAGTTGTTGAATGTTCAATATAGAATGAATCAAAGTATTATGGAGTTTCCAAGTATGCAATTATATGATAATAAATTACTTTGTGATTCATCTGTTAAGGATATTAGTTTGTTGGATTTACCAGGAGTAGAAGACAATGAAACAACATCAGCAAAGTGTATTTGGTATGACACGCAAGGTGGTGAATTTCCTGAACAAATAAATGAATCGATTGAAGGGGGTGATTCCAAATATAATGAGATGGAAATATTGGTAGTTCAAGGACATTTACAGAAACTTTTGGATTCTGGTGTCAGACCACAAGATATTGGAATAATTTCTCCTTATGCTGCACAAGTGCAATTATTGAAAAAGAAAGTAGTTCCAGAAGTTGAAGTGCATACGGTTGATGGGTTCCAAGGAAGGGAGAAAGAGGTCATCATATTGTCATTAGTTCGATCAAATGATGATCGAGAAATTGGGTTTTTAAGTGAACAAAGGAGATTGAATGTTGCAATTACTAGACCAAAGAGACATTTGTGTATTGTTGGTGATCTAGAACTTTTGAATCAAGGTGGTCAAGGTAGTAATTCTTTCTTGAGAAAGTGGTGTAAATATGTTGAAGATGGTGAAGGAGAAGAACCGTATGAGATTGAATATCCAAACTTAACTGACTACTTAGAGAACTAATAGATCCCTGTTCTGATCTTACCCTTTCAGTGTGTCGTCATGACGAATGCAAAAAAACCACTATAGGAGTATGTAATTAATTTCTCAGTATAGAAATATAATAAAACACGCGTATCGTGAGGAACAGTAAGAAGAAGTGAAAAAGCAAAAATAAAAAACAGAACAAGGTGGTTGATTGCATAAATTGAATACTTTTGATTCTCATATATATGTGTGAGTTTTAATTTTCCCTAATATAGAATAAAATAAACACACAACAGTTCTCACGTGTCTTTGTGCCCGAGAATGCGTGTGTGAACCAGTAATAAAAACACGACGAATGTTTTTTTTCTTATGCAACAAAGAAATAAAAAAAATAAAGTGAGAAAGTTAACGCGTTTCTGCTACAAATACACAAAATCGCCAAACCCAATTTTACTCAAAACTAAATTTCGCAATTAACGATCCACATAGTACTTTGAAACCAAGCAAGGGGCACACTTACATCACACTAAATCCTAATCCTAAATTGGACCTTCTTCACAAATCCCAATGACGATGAGGAATATCAACTTTTTTTTTCTATTATTGTAGATCAAAGGATCAGTGATGACCAGAGAATCAATGATTAACCCACTCAAGGGTAGCGGGTCACTGACGAATAAATGTTCATGGGTTGTACAATTATTATATTAAGGAAGAAAAAAAAAAAATATACTAATAATAATAATAACAGAAAATTATCCTAAAAGTTTAAGTTTTTGGTTTTCTTAATTTCCTAATTGGTTGAAATGGACATTCTAGTGAAAATCTGCTAGTCAAAGGTAAACAAATATATGACGAAGAAAAATAACAATTGAGTGGTACTAAACTCGTCAATTGGTGATACATATTTCAAATCAATAAAAAGACAATTCATTGACGTATTTTGAGTGACTTTTGTTAATTTTTTTTTTAATTGTTTTCTGCTTTATTTGCCCTTTTGAACACCATACATATCAGTCGCCTCAATATGAGAGTATCATCTTTCTTGGTTGCTGCATTGCCAGTTTTTACAACTTTGGTAGAATCCAAGGCCCTTTATCTTTACGAAACAGTTTATGTCACTGTTGCTTTCAAAGATGGTCAGGAATATACTGTATACGATGATTTCAATAAAGAAAGTGTCCCCACAGCAATTGAAACTGAGGCTAATTTCGAAACACCGATCGTTGTTCCAGAAACTCAAGAAGAGCAACATGAGCCTTTGGAGCCAACTATTCCAAATCAAGATCCGGATCCTATTCCAGAACTTGTTCCAGAACCTGTCGAAGAACCGATTTCTGTTCCAGAATACATTGAAGAGCCAGAACCTCAGTATGAACCAGAACATGAAGCTGTTCCAGTTGAAGAGCCAGTTCCTGCACCTATTCAAGTTGAGGAGTCTGTTCCAGCTCCTGCTCCAAAACCACAAAAGGAAGAAGAAGCCATTGTTATCGCAAAACAGGTCGTAATAACTACTAGTATTCCTGCAGAAACCAAAGCTCCAGTACCTGAGCCTCAACCTGAGCCTCAACAACAACATGATGAACCACAACCAGAGTCACAACATGATGAACCAGAACCGGAACATAATGAACCAGAACCACAAAAGACAAAGGAAGTACCACACGAGGTTGGTTCTTCTTTGCCAGCTATTGCTGAAGAATGTTTAACCGCTCATAACTCCAAACGTTCTAGACACGGAGTAGGGCCTTTGAAATGGAGCTCAAAGTTGGAATCTTTTACAAATTCCGTGGCATCATCATATGACTGCTCTGGAAGTTTACAACATACTCGTGGTCCATATGGAGAGAATTTGGCACTTGGGTACAAATCTACTACAGATGCTGTTAATGCATGGTATGATGAAGGGTCTCAAGGGGAATTTAATCATTTCACACAAGTTGTTTGGAAAAGTACTACAGAATTGGCATGTTCTGCCAAAGACTGCAGAGCTAATGGTTTTGGATTATATGTCATTTGTGTCTATTCAAGTCCCGGAAATGTGGCCGGTCAATGGAAAGAAAACGTTCTTCCATTAAATGGATGAAAAATATGAAATACCAATCAATTAATTTTTCAATAATATTAGCAAATCATTGAGTGATGAAAAGAAAAGTTTGTTTCGTTTGTGTGAATAATGTTGAATCTAGACTTGACTTGTTTATGTATATGTACCTCGTTGTACCTTATTGTTTTGTAATTGGCAAGTTTAAGATTATCGTCTCTTCTTTTTCTTTAATATATGTAATACTTAGAATGACAGGTACAAATGGGAGGCCAGTGTTTGTGTATATTGTCAAATTTTCAGGTACCGAAAATTTTTCTACTAAAAGAAAAACGGTATGGACATGAGAACGAGTGAAGAAGAAACAAAGAATTATAAGATAAGTCACGATGCGTTGTAAAATATTTCAGAGTAGAATGTTTCACAAACGAGGATTCATTAACCCCAATAAATGGCAACTCAACATCGAACAATCATGTTACTCGAGGAGGTTTAAAACTAGGAGCAAGATCGTCAGCATCGTTCTAGATCTCAACTGGATTTCTTTTTTTCCATGACATTTCATCGATTTCAAAAACACGACGAAGAGGTACTTCTTTTTGGATCGGAGAGGGTTTATTCTCTTTTATGACAATTCTAGAACTTCTATCAAGAGGATAACATCATCATTTCTTTTTGTTTGAATTTAATGATCAACAGGATGCGTGATTTTCAGGTACGATGTTTATTTTGAATTTGCTACATTATTCATTTGATTGCATCATCATAATGGAAATATACACAAATGATACACTTTAAATTCTAAAGTCTAGAATTATTATTGAATAGGGGGTGGGAGATAGAGAAGGTGGGAAACAAAATAGGTTTCATTAGACGAATATGACGTGGGTTTCTTTGATCCGATAAAGTTATAGACTTCTTCAAGATGAGGCAAAGTGTTGCGATAATTCCATTTCTACTTTTTATTATAGTAAAGGATCGAGGTGTATACTCATCATACGTTATGTCCGCTTACAAATTACACCTCCCCGAAAGTTCCTATTGGTGGGAATACGATGAGCATACTATTGGCCAAATGAACTTGAAAAATAAACAAGGCAGCACTAAGAAACTAAATCGTATGCATGGTGGACTGATTTAGCCCCACTGGGGCGAAAGAGTGCTGGTTCTAGCCAGGTCAAGAAAAGAGAGAAAAAGAAATTAAAGGGAGAACAATAAAAAAAAATCCCACCTATCTGAAATCAGTAGGATGCTTACTCTAATTACTCTAATTGTTCATATTTCCCCCCCCCCCATCTCTTCCATTCTTTAACTCTTTGTTATGGTTACGTCACAAGTATGGATAAAGTAAAATGTAGGCTTGAACAACTAAGCTTTTAGTATTTCCAGTGTGTTTGATCTTTAACTTCTCTCTCGCTCTCGCCCCACCCCCTTCATTGAATCTTAACTTTTATTTTAATTTTGCTCTCAGGTACAAGGTACTGAAACAGCGGTGATAAACACTCAACCATTCATCTTTTCCTTTCAATTTTCAATGTCCCCTTTTTTATTTCTTTTGACTTGTCGTCACCCCCTTTTAATGATGCCTCTGCCACTCATTGGTTGAGATGTAAACCCAAGATCAATCTTTGTCTGATTAATTTGATTTTGTTTCCCCTTAAATGATGGGCGGGAAAAGAAATTTTCATCCGAAATTCCACTGCGTGCATTTCCTATTTCTCTCTTTTAGTTCCCTGTACATAATTTGCTTGTTTTGAAAAGAAATTGGCCTATTTATTTCATTTCGAAATTTCACAACCTTGCATGAACAAACACAAAGCTAAAACAATATTGTTCAAAAGACGAGTCAGTAGTACTAGTGAAAGCGCCCCTTTGGGTTAACAATAAAATTCTTTTCTCTAAATAGTGAGAGAACAAAAAAAAAAAAATAAAACTAGCGATCGACGGATTATAAATACCTTAAACATTTTCTTTCTTTCAACACAATTTTTATTCTCAATTCTCTTTTTATATCATCCAATCAAACTAACAAAGACTTAGCACTACTATTTACTTTAATAGTTTTATTGTTCCACACCAACTAACTTGTCGTTCCTTACTTTTTTAAATTAAACAAATCAACTTTAGTCGTTCCTTATTATTCAATCGTTGCTTGTTTAAACTCCCAATCCTTTCTTTTTTACAATGAAATTCACTCAAATCGCTACTACTGCTGCTCTCGCTAGTTTGGCCAACGCTGCCGTCGTTTACGTCACCAAGACTAACCAATTCACCGAATACGCTACCGTTAACGGTGCTGTTGAAACTGTTCAAGCCAAGGCTGCAAACACTCAAGCTGCTGCTCCAACTACTGAAGCTGTTCAAGTTCCAACTACTACTGCCGAAGCTGAATCAGCTCAACAATCCACTTGGGTCTTCTCCACCAACATTATGGGTCAAGATATTGTCTTCACTAGTGTTGTCTCTGGTGATGCTGCTAACGCTGTTAGAACCTTGTACGAACAACACGTCATTATCAAGAGTGGTAACTCTGAATCAACCAGAACTGTTGTTGTTCAAGCTAACCCAACTACCTTGATTTCTTCTACTGTTCAACAAGGTGAATCCACTTCTATTTCTGCTGAAGCCACTGCTGAAACCACCAAGGCTGCTGAAACTACTCAAGTTGCCGAAACCACCGCTGCTGCTGAAACTACCAAAGCTGCTGAAACCACCACTGCTGCTGCTGAAACCACTACTGCTGCTGAAACTACCAAGGCTGCTGAAACTTCTCCAGTTGCTAAGGCCGCTGAAACTTCCTCCTCATCTTCTTCCTCTGACTTCAGTGGTGTTGAAGATGAAGACTTCTCCCAAAAACATTTTGGATGCTCATAATGCTAAGCGTGCTAGACACGGTGTTCCAAACTTGTCCTGGGACAATGCTGCTTACCAATACGCTCAAGCTTACGCTGACAAATATGACTGTTCTGGTAACTTGAAACACTCTGGTGGTAAATACGGTGAAAACTTGGGTGTTGGTTTCAGCACTGGTCAATCTGTTGTTAATGCTTGGTACAATGAAGCTGGTGAAGATGGTACTGATTACGACTATGGTTCCGCTACTGATTACAACCATTTTACTGCTTTGATCTGGAAATCCACTACTAAAGTCGGATGTGCTTACAAAGACTGTAGTGCTCAAAACTGGGGTAAATACATTGTTTGTTCTTACGATCCAGCTGGTAACGTTATTGGTACTGACTCAAAGACCGGTAAATCTTACATGGCTGAAAACGTCTTGCCACCAGTTTAAATTATCTAGTCATTGATCAATATTTTGAAAACTTTATGATTATGTGCTCCTTATTTTAAGTGAGTGTTATTCTATGTTTTCTTTTTTACTATTGTCACCTTGATATGATATCCTCCAATATATTCTTTGGTTCCTTTTAGGGTTTTTTTTTTTATTATTACTATTATTATTATTTCACTTTGGGTGTGCTTATGTTTTATTACATCTATTTTTAACTGGTTATTTTATGATTTTCTTTTAGGGCTATTTTCTTATCTTTTTAGGCTTTTATTTTTTTCTGTATATTTTTCCATCTCTATTTTATACATATTTTTTATCTACAGGATTTTTTATAGCTCTTTTATTTCAATATCATGGCTATTTTTTATCTTGTATTTCGGTGAATTTTACTTTATTTTTATTGATTCTCAATGGGATTTCCTCTTAATTCAACGTGTCGTGTTGTTGCCGGGATGGATTTCCAAGAAACTTGGCGAATACAATTTTGTGAAAGATCTAAAATCTGCAAACCGTTTGGTAAATCTAATTTCTCAATACTTGTGATTCCATTTTTCTGCAAGTTTAGCGATACCAAATTATGAAATTTCAGAAAGTTTAGTTTGGGTACAGATTTAGGAATTGCTCGTATAAGTTCAATAAATTCTAGTTGTTCTGGAAACTTGGATAGCAAATTGTTGCTCAAACATAGATTCGATCTGTTAAAGTATAATGTGGTGATTGAAGATGGGATTATAAAATTGGATAAATCTTGAAACCCATTTTCACTCAAATCTAATTTTTTCAACGTTGAAGGTAACCTCAATCCATAAACATTGAAGTTTTCTAGTTTATTATAACTTAAATCAAGGAATTCTAAACTGTTTCCAAAATCCACATTTATAATTTCATTGATTTCATTATCCTTGAGAATTAGTTGTACTAAAGTGCTTGGAAACTTAATATCCTTTAAAAACATTAAACCTGTACCTGTCATTGAAAGCTTCTTCAATTTTTTTAGAGTCAATATGTTTGTAAAATCATAATTATCAATTTCATTATAATCCAAGATGAGTTCTTCCACATTTGGTGGAAGCTGGCCCAAATCATCTAAGTCATCGATTGCATTTATGGCTAGATTTAACTTCTTCAAATTAACACATTCACTGAAAAAATCCTCTCTAAAACTTGAAAAAGTATTATCACTTAGATCTAGCACGATCAAGCTTGATGATAAATAAATATTATCTAGCGAAGTTAAACAATTTGATGACAAAGTGAGAAATTGTACTTGCAGTGGGACTTGTGATTGATTAATATTTTCAATTTGATTATGGTTCATCATTAACCTTTTTGTGGAATCAGGAAATTTAAGATCTGTGGGAAGTTCTATTAAACGATTCATTGAAATATCCAAAAGTTGCAAATTGGAACATTTACTGAAATCCACCCCTTCCAAGGATCTTATCATATTTGTTGATAAATGTAAACGTTTCAAACTTTGTGGCAATACAAATCCTTGTAAATCAGCTGTATTATTTCCAGAGAATTCCAAAATCTTCAAATCATCAGGCACACATTTAAAGAACCCATTCATGGCAAGATTATCAATATCATTATTCCACAAGTATAATTCTTTTAAATTCCTCAATAAATACGGGTTCATTGGTTGGTACCATTTACTATTCTTTTTGGTTTGAATAAGGATCTTTTCAGATTTGTGAATCATGTCTTCCATCATGTACTTGATTTTGTTGTGCAATGCAAGAAGCTCATTTGTAGGGTTGGCATCATAGATGATTTGGAAATTAATTGTCTTGATCACATTTGAAGTAAACAGGTCAAAAGATAATTGTTCTAAAACTTTAATAAAGTTTTCAATCTCTTCAATGGAATCCATATATCTCAACAATAATGTTATTTCATTAGGAGAAATACGTAGATTTGAATGGAAATGTCCATCTATCAAGATCTTGAGAATCTGATAACCTGTGGCAAACGACGTAATAACCAATGCATTAGCCAACTCATTTGATGAATAGAATTGTCGTATTGTATCATAACCAACACCTTTGGCAGTTCTTATTATTAGCGTTCTTGAGAATAGTTGCTTATAAATCACAGAATAAATCGAGGGGAAATCCTTACTATAGTTGAGTTCATGGATTTGAGTAAACTGTCGATACAAATCATCTGTAGGTATAAATGAAAATATTAAGTTCAACAATTCATTTGGTAAATCCGACAACTTCATTATGATAATAACTGTTCTTGTATTGCTGGGAGGTGGATCTGATATTGCATGGATTTCTTTTGTGTGAATGTGTGTATGAGTGTTTTTTTGGGGGGGTAATCGCGCGCTTATTCGCTTGTGTTAACTGTTGATGAAAAATGGCAGCCTGTTGATTATGTAAGCTTACAGTTAATCAAGCGAAAAAAAAAAAACGTAAAAATTTTCTGACTCTTTTTTTTTTTTTTCTTTCCCTTTTAACCATACAAACTTATCAATTATACTCAGACACAACTGTACTTCCCATCATCATTGTCACATCCTAAATGAGTGAATCTAGGAGCTTGAATGATGAGTCACAGGTTGCAGATGCCTTGGTTGCTGCAGATATTAGACCTACAGAATTACAAGCATCTAATTCAACCTCAAGTTCATCATCAGTTTCAACAAATACCCCGAATTCGGGGAAGCAAAATTTAAATCCCCGTCAGAAAAGAGCTTCTTTAGCATGTATTCGATGTCGTACACGTCACATTAGATGTCCTGGTGGAGATCCGTGTAAAAAGTGTCAATTGGCAAAATCAAAGTGTGAATATGTGGAGGCAGACAAGAAGATTGTTGTATCGATGAAGTACCTTTCAAAATTACATGACGAAATTGCCAGATTGAAAAAAGACAATGCTACGTTAAGAAATAATCTAAAAGAGCAAGAACTAAAAAGAGAACAAGAATCACTGTCTTCTTCAAAAATGCAATTTACAGACTCATCAGGCTCACAACAACCACTGGCGACAGCAGGAACAGAGTCCCCTTCATCTTCCACAACATTTCCAACAACAGCACCACAACCACATATGTCCACTTTAAATACATCGCTGTCCGGTACTGGATTGTCGTCATCTGGAGCAACAGAAGTTATAAGTCCGTCATTAGATAAATATGGAAGACTAATTCAGTCTCGTACAGGAGAGAAGGTTTACGTGGGTTCATCATCTATGACTTTGTTTGGCTTAGAGATTCAGAATATGGTACCTTCATTTGTTTCCAGCTCATTGCTTACGAGTTCCAGTACATCTACTACACCTGCGCCATCTCCTGGTAGTGACCATCAACCACAGCTACTACTGGCAAGTGTCTCATCAAATCAAGAACATCAAAGACACCCAGGGAAACGTGAAACAAAGATTCTTGAAAAGGAGGGGAACGCATATAAGATTACATTATCCAAGACGAAAACAAGACCTGGTTTATCCATAAACTTTGAATTGCCATCATATTCATATGCCATGTTATTGGTCGATACATTTATTAATTATAATGATGGGTGCTTTTATTTTTTCAATGAAGGATTGGTGAAACGATTCTTAATGAACTTATACTCCGGTAAATCTGCTGAGAATAAACGAATATTGAACCGAAACTCACCACAACCAAACAACCCTGATCAAGATGAGAACACCATTAAGAAAGATACAGATGATGAAACCATTCTAGAAACAATATGGTTCTGTAAAGTATTACTTATTTTTGCAATTGGTGAGATGTACTTGGGAACGGAATCTAGCACCCATGCAAAGAGACAAAAATTAGAAAACATGAAAAGAGCAGGTAAAGAACGACCTGAAAAACATGCATTACCCGGATCTGCTTTCTTCTACCAAGCATCAGAGTTATTTACTGGATTGTTTGCTTCTGGTGCTGTTGACAACATCACTAAAGATGGAGGTATTGAGGTTATGCTTTTGTATGCTTTCTACTTACAAGTAGCAGATTGTACTATAGCATCATACTTTTACTTCGGTTTAGCATTGAGAGCAGCATTGATTTTGGGATGGCATGTTGATGCTGATAAGGAAAACTTGAATCGTTTTGAGTTGGAGCATAGAAGAAGAATCTGGTGGACTGTGTATATGTATGAGAGAATGCTTTCGTCCAAAGCAGGATTACCATTGAGTTTTGCAGATGATTCTGTATCAACTGAGTTGCCAGTTGATTTTAAGATTGATTTGACTGATTTCCCAAGAGACCAAAGTGACGTTAGAGGATACTACATTTTTCCACCTGCAGATTATATAAACAATTGCGTCACTATAACCCAAATCAATGCAGTTATTTTATCATCTTTGTATACCAAACAACCATCGTTTAATATTTTACCTGTTGTTACTGATTTGGTGCAACGATTGATGTCCTGGAAGGCGTCGTTGCCAAAATACCTTGAGGTTGATTACACTGCTGAAAGCCCCAAGATATCTAGATTGGTGACAAATTTAATGACTGAATATTTCCAAGGGATTAACCTTGCTGTTCGTCCCTTGTTGTTTCATTTTGCAACACAAAAGTTACGTGAAATCAGAATCAAAAACAGCACTAGCAAATACATTGATCTTACCAAGTATTCCAAGAATGTCTTGACATTACTTAATGCCTCATTCCAAGCTTCAATTAATACAATCAAAAGTATATGGTCATTGGTGCCTGATAACATGGTGGCATTGTTTGGTTGGATGGATAGAGAATATTTGTTCACATCTGCATCCACCTTAATCTTGTTTAATGCATCATTTGGTGTACATGAAGCGACAAAAGACCACTTAGATCATGCGTTGATTTTATTCACCAAAATGAAGAGATTGGGTAATTATCCTGCAGCATTAAGAAGAGCACAATTGTTGAAACTTATTAATGTACTTGATTTTAATGGTGTCATGGCTGAATTGTTGGAAAAACATGATGATGAAAACAAATCTCCTTCTCCGGGGAATCCATCGTCAAACAAGGTAGAGGCTTTCTTGAATCCACCTTCAATGAATCCAACTGATTTGGATGTTTTTCAATTTTCTCACCCATCTACTAGTAATATAGCAAGAGAAAATACTACTGGTGATGTTTATGCAAATCAAGATTTAACAGGTATAGAAGGCTTAACTTATTTGGATGCAGAACAACAATTATGGAACGATATCACTAACGAGGCGGGCTGGTTGAACGTTCATTCTGCTGAGAAAGATGCTATTGTAATTGATAAAGAACCATTGGATGAAGGATTTATGTTCAACATTACTACACCAGATTTGAACTCTGGAATGAATTCTGGTTATTCTCATTTGATCAATCATGAATTTCAAGACTTCATGGATCAAACTTAAATAGTGAATAAAGGGTTTTTTTTATATACGAGATTTTTCGTTAGTGCCATTATAGACTTTTATTCTCTGAAAAGGTTACTAACTATATCTCACTTTTAAAACGCTGCAAGCCTGTCTGGTTTGAATTGAGTGATAATTCGCTAATGGTCATGATAAATAATAATGGTTATAGGGGTATTAGATGAAGGTCATGATTTAAATATTCTCAAAAAAAAAACAATAAAGAAGGAGTATGGGGTTAAGCGAGGCTTTTCTAATAGTTGCTATTCTTCATTTAATTTTTCTTTTTCTTTTTCTTTCTGAGCCACCTTTATTGTGTGATTTTTTTTTTTTTTATAAACAACATTCAGTCTCCTTGATTATTCAACATAAATGATATGTGAAGATTTTCTATATAAACCACCAAGGTTGTCTGGGTTCATGTTGATTTGGATTTCGTCTTTTTCTTGATTTTTCAACATCAACTTATTCCCCGTTATTCATAACAAAATAAAAATAAATGTCTTACGCAACCAAAATCCACGCTAGAACTGTTTACGATTCCAGAGGTAATCCAACTGTTGAAGTTGAATTGACTACTGATAATGGTATGTTCAGATCAATTGTTCCATCCGGTGCTTCCACTGGTATTCATGAAGCTTTAGAATTAAGAGATGGTGATAAATCTAAATGGTTAGGTAAAGGTGTTTTGAAAGCTGTATCAAATGTTAATGATATTATTGCCCCAGCTTTAATTGATGCTAAAATTGATGTCAATGATCAAAGCAAAATTGATGAATTTATGATTAAATTAGATGGTACTCCAAATAAATCAAAATTGGGTGCTAATGCAATATTAGGTGTTTCTTTAGCTGCTGCAAATGCTGCTGCTGCAAATCAAGGTATTCCATTATACCAGCATATTGCTAATCTTTCTAAATCCAAAAAGGATAAATATGTTTTACCAGTTCCATTCCAAAATGTTTTGAATGGTGGTGCACATGCTGGTGGTGATTTGGCCTTCCAAGAATTTATGATTGTACCAACTGGAGCTGAATCATTTTCTGAAGCCATGAGAATTGATTCTGAAGTTTATCACACTTTAAAATCTTTAGCTAAAAAGAAATATGGTCAATCTGCTGGTAATGTTGGTGATGAAGGTGGTGTTGCACCTGATCTTAGAACACCAGAAGAAGCTTTAGATTTAATTGTTGAATCTATTGAGCAAGCTGGTCATACTGGAAAAGTTAAAATTGCCATGGATCCAGCATCTTCAGAGTTTTTCAAAGATGGTAAATATGATTTAGATTTTAAAAATCCAAATCCTGATCCAGCTAAACGTTTATCTGGTAAAGAATTAGCTGAATTGTATGAAAGGTTGATTAATAAATATCCAATTGTTTTACTTGAAGATCCATTTGCTGAAGATGATTGGGATGCTTGGGTTCATTTCTTTAAAATTGTTGGTGATAAAGTTCAAATTGTTGCTGATGATTTAACTGTTACCAATCCAATTAGAATTAAAAAAGCTATTGAAAAGAAATGTGCTAATGCATTGTTGGTCAAAGTTAATCAAATTGGTACTTTATCTGAGTCTATTGTGGCTGCTAATGATGCGTTTGGAGCTGGTTGGGGTGTTATGGTTTCACATAGATCTGGTGAAACTGAAGATACTTTTATTGCCGATTTAGTTGTCGGTTTAAGAGCTGGTCAAATTAAAACTGGTGCACCAGCAAGATCTGAAAGATTGGCTAAATTGAATCAAATCTTGAGAATTGAAGAATCTTTGGGTGATGACGCCATTTATGCTGGTAAGAACTTTGCAGTTGCTCACCAATTATAGGTTTAACTGGAATGATTAAGGCTGATAGAAAATACTGGATATTTTTCTAAAATAAAAAAATGAAAAAAAAAAAAAAAGAGTCGTCTTAGAAGTTAGTTTTATATATTACTATGTGTTGACTTTATGAATATTGGTTTTTCATCGTCACTTTATTGATTAGGATTCATTTCTTTCTTTCACTTAGTACCAAATTCATTTTGTGTAAATCGTTTCGTTTTTATAGTTTTATGACTTTTTTTTATTTTATTCTCTGTGGAAGTGGCTATATATATATATAATACAATGTAATAATTATGGCTAATGCTTATCTAGGTAATTACAATACGCAAGTAAATCAAATATTCTAGAACAAGAAGTCTTGAACCAATGAAGAAGTTGGCTCGCTTGAATTTGCTTGTTGTAATATTTGCTGAGGAGAAAGTGTAGACATTTGAAATGAGTTCATGCCATTGTTGTTATAATTAGAGTTGAATTCATTTGGTCCAGACGAGTTTGGCATTGAGTCATTGGATGGATTAAATCCATCAGTTAAAAGTATATCATCAAACGACTGTGGTGGAGGTTGCAGCTGTGTTGGTGGTATTGATTGAGGTGGTGCCTGCTGTTGCTGCTGAGGTTGATGTTGTTGCTGTTGCTGTTGTTGAGGAGGTGGTGGAGGGGCCTGTGATTGTGTTTGTGATTGCGTTTGTGGTGGAGGTACTTGTTGTTGTTGTGATTGAGGTACCAGTTGTTGGGGCATCATTTGAGGAATAGTTTGAGGTGACTGTTGCTGTGATTGTTGTTGTTGTTGAAGTACTTGTTGTGGAGGTGGTGGTACTTGTTGTGATTGTTGTTGAGGTGCATGCATGGATTGTTGTTGTTGTTGATGTTGTTGATGTTGTTGTTGTTGTAGCTGCAGTTGTTGTTGGAAAGCTTGCTGTTTTCTACTTTCTTCAAATTTCATTTTAAAATATTGAACTCCTTCTGGATACAACTCTTGAAGCTTGGAATATAATTGATTCAACTCAGGCATATCTTGAGGAGCTGATAGAATGATAGGAAAAATTGCTTTTGAGCTTTGCTGCAGTGGCTGTGGAGAATGATACTTTTCATAAATATAATTTAAAGTGGCTAAATTACATTGGAGTCTTCTTATGTAATGATTATATGTATTGGTAAGCATAGCTCTGTTTTCTGGAGAAATCTGTTGCATAAATTGTGGATTATTAAGCATAGTGTTGTGAATATTACAGCACTTTTTAATTAAATGAGTATTAATCAAAAGTATACATGTAACTCTATCTCTATCTAAAGATAGCGGTGCTCTGTCTGCAAAGTCCATCTTCGTATCTTATTTGTCTTGAAAGGAAGGAGGGGGAGTATGATTCAGTGACAAGATATTTGGGGAAAGTGATTTTTCAACTGTCTTGTTTTCTCTTCTTTTTTTTTAACGTTCTTGTGTTTTGGTTTGTTTTTTTTTTGTTGTTGTTGTTGTTGTTGTATTGGAGAAATCTTCGAAAATATTTTTCTTTTTTTTTTTTGGTGCGCAATATTTTTATTGACAAACTTATATACAGGATTCTCTTAACTTAGCTAATGTTAAAATCTATATTCACTTGCAATTGCATCGACTCTACTACCAACAGCTCTTCTCATTCCAAGGAATGTCATATCAAATGTAGCTCTACCTTGAGTCAATGATCTTAATTTGGATAAATAACCAATCATTTCTCTTAATGGTGTTTCAGCAACAATTACTTTCTTATTTGCAATTTCATTCATGGCATTATTGGATTTCTTGATGGTATAATCTGGTGGAAGGTACATTCTCTCAGACTCTTCTTTAGCCCATGCAGCGTTTTCCAAGTTTTGAATTGATTGATCTTCGATTTCAAGAATCACTGCTTGACATCTTTGGGTCAAATCATGAGAAACTTCACCCAAATCATTTGAATCAACATAAACTCGAGTTTTCATAATCGGTTCAAGAATTCCAAAATCTTGCTCATCATCTTTGAGTGATTGCACTGCTTGTCTTGCAGCATTCATCAAATTGGAAACTTGCTCTGGATTTTGATCAACAGGAGCATTCCAACTATTAACTGTAATTAATGTTGAATGTAACGGGAATCCCAATACTGGACCACCCATCAGAAGTGCTGTGGAGCAACCATTAACTAAAGAATCTTGTAATTCTTCAATACTATTCTCACATTTCCATCTTCTTTCATCCAATGTGCTTTTAACATGTTCAGAAGCAGCTGATTCTGGTAATAATACAACGTTGTTGTCTTCGTCTATGACTTTGGCACCTTCTTGGCCAATAAAGTCCCTGGCATTATCTATGTGTGATATTGTCAAAGAAAGTTCAATATTTTCATTCTTGATTTCAGCAACTTTATCGCTTTTTCCAACAAACGATTCTTTGTAAGAAACAACCACATCTTTCAAATTGACCTTGGCTTTCATATCATTAACTAATCTATCACGAGCAATTTCCAAATGCAATTCACCCATACCACTCAAAATCAATTGTCCCATTTCTTCATCAAAGTGTACTTTTAATGATGGGTCTTCTCTAATAAGTTTTTCAACACATTTCTTCATATACTGTTCATCTCCAGCTGTTTTGGGTTCAATCGCAGAATTAAACAATGGTGGAGGAATATCAATAGGTAACAAGGTATAACTTGATTCACGTGGGCTAAAATTCAGTTTTTTGAACGATGCATGAGACACTAAAGTATCGCCTGTTTGGAATTCGGTTTCATAACCTGGAATAACACAAATATTACCCAATTCAACATCTTTAATTTCTTCTGGGCTATCACCATTCATTATCAAAAGACTTTTTACCAACATTTTCTTACCTGTTCTAGTGTTAACGACTTGTGAGGACTTATTAAGTCTTCCACTGTATACTCTGACGAATGTCATTGGACGACGATCTAAAGTCATGACTTTGAATGCCAATGCAAGTGTCAAATCCTTATTGTTGTCAACAATCAACTTTCCTGCGGAATCACGAGAAGTTTTAATTTCTTTGCCCTTGCTCGTAATTACAGGGGTATCGATTTCAAGTGGAGATGGTAAATATTTCACAACGCCGTCCATTATTGGATGTACACCAATATTCTTGAATGATGATCCACAAAATACTGGAGTCAAGTAATGTTCAATAGTTGCTTTTCTGATTACTTCGTCCAACAAAGCTGGTGGGACTAACATATGATCTTCTTCGTTCTCCAAAAATGAATCTATAATTCTTTCGTCAAACTCGCCAAGTGTTTCCACCATAGATTCCCTCGATTTCTGTAACATTTCAAGTAATTCTGGCCTGGTTTCATCTATGTCACTAACACTGATATTCTTTCCTTCTTCAACTTCTTCATCCCAGATCAATAATTTCTTTTGTATAACATCAACAACCCCTTTGAAAATCATGTCACCATCTTTAGATGTTTCAAAGTATGGTAAATTACAAAGAACAACACGAGTCTCTAATTTTTGAACTGCTTCTTTTACGGCTCTACTGAACCCAGCTCCTGGACGATCCATCTTGTTTATATAAATCAACTTAGGGATATTCAAGTTAGTTGCTTGTCTCCAAACTTTTTCGGTTTGAGCTTCGACTCCAGCAACTGCATCTAAAATTGTAACTGCGCCATCCAATACTCGTAAAGATCTAATGACTTCAAACGTGAAATCGGCATGTCCTGGTGTATCAATAAGATTTATTCTGTGATTTCCCCAAGAAAGTGTTATTGCCGCCAGTTGAATAGTTATACCTCTATCTCTTTCGGATGGTAGATAGTCTGTCACTGTATCCCCATCGTCAACATTACCTATTCTTCTTATTTTACCAGTATTGTAAATCATACGTTCAGTCGTGGTGGTTTTACCAGCATCGATATGTGCTATGATTCCAATGTTTCTTGTTTTCTGAGGTGTGAGAACATTAACTGGCTGAGAATATAATCTCTTTGAAAGTCGAAATAGTTTCGACAACTGCCAACGAGAAGCCATTCGTAGATATTGGTTATTGTTGTCGTTGTAGTTGTGCTGTAGATTGAACTCGGTTTGGTATTTTCAATTTTTTTTTTTTCAGTTCATCTTGACTTCCATAAATTTAGATACTTGGTTGTGTTTTTAAATACAACTATAAATAAAATGATTCAATTGTCGTTTTAAGTAGATCATATTACTAATGGTAATAAGTTCGGTGGTTCTATTATATCACAAGTTTCATAAATTCATCGGGATGAAATTTATTTGGTATCAATTTTAAATGATCTCTAAACCCGGATGTAAACCTGCACACAACAGATCTGGAGGGTTGGCCGAGTTGGTCTAAGGCGGCAGACTTAAGTTGTTTAACAATTTGAGTTATCTGCTGGTGTGTTCACCGCGCGAGTTCGAATCTCGCATCCTTCACCATTTTTTTTATTTTTTAAAAAGAACCTGATTGAAAGTCCTGCTTTCTTTCTGTAAGATTAGACATATTAGAGATGACCTTGAAAATCTTTCAACGGAATTGTATAATTGAACTTGAAAGTGGATAATTCGGTTTCAGTAGTTGATATATCCGATATGAGCTATTTTTTTGTTGATGTTGTTTTTCCGAGTGAGTGAGTACTCGGATATTGAGCCCATGGAAATCATAACGGAATAAGGTTTTATCTCAATTAAGGTCCATAATGTTACGTCATAACCATTCATTGATGATCTGATGAATATAAATAGAGGACTAAATACCCAATCCAAGAGTGATTTATTTTTTGTTTTTATCATCAATTATTCAATTAATTACCTTTCCGGAAAAACAAATCACAAATACTAATCTAAATATGAGTTCTGCTACTGTTGCTTCTTCTTCTGCTTCCAAACATGAAAGTTTCCATCATCATATGGATGAATTTAATGAAGGTTTACATGAGTTTAATGAAAAATTTATGAAGTTTTCTAAAGATATAAATCAAAGTTTACATAAAGGTGCTGATAAAACATCCCATAAAGTTTCTTACTGTACCAAGAAAATGTTCAAACATAAAAAATAGATAGATGGATAATCTTATTTATAATTAGATATGTTTTATTTACGTGCAATGATTAATTTAATATAGTTTTTTAATGTCTTTATAAAATAAAAATAAACAACTCAATGTAGGATTATTAAGGCTCATATGTCCCCTTGTAGCACTACGTGTTTGGGGACTGAAGAACAAAAAATTTTGAACGGGTGTATTCAAATCTTTAATTCGTAAATTATCGAAGAGGCATTATCCACACAACAACGCACATAACATGTATAACGATTGCTTATTACCCAATCCAATAGCAGCTGTGTCTTAACAGAATCGTTCACTTCATATGGCTATTGAAATAAGAAAAAATAAAAAAAATAACAAGCAGACAGCCGTGAGGGGATGAATGCTTGGGGAGAAAAGGAAAAAAATAAACGACCAGGGTGAGGGTCGAACTCACGATCTTGAGATTAACAGTCTCACGCCTTAGCCAACTTGGCCACCCAGTCGTCGTGTTTCCAACTGAGCTATTAAGCTCTTTGGTGAAATCCGTGGTCCCGTTGCTTCCACCACTGTGTCCTTACAATAGCTTCCATCGTAGTGCTTGATTGATAACTATTGTTGTATGAAAAGGTCCCACAGCAGGAAACACCTGTTTTACTCTTCCGGGCTTATATCACTAGCAGTATAGTGATTTTAGATTGCTCTTCACGGAATCAAGGCAAGTATATTTGTCTACTACATAGAATTATAGCACATCCGTCAGATGCATGTTTCCAGGTGCAAAATACCTACATTTTAGTAATTATTAATATACATTGATATTTATAAATTCTATCGTATATAGATGATTGTATTGTGGTTAATTGCAATGTTTTCGTGGTTTGTTATTTTGGTGTAGAATATTTTTAACCAAAATTTGCATCAAAATATCTCTAAAGTTTATGGAATGATTAAAGTACTATAAACATATTATTCTTTAAACACGAAATATATCCATGTAATGTGCAAAGCTATAAATTCATAAAACTCTTTAACCTACATTTATGTTTGAGATATATTAGCCTGATAATTTCTGCCTAGTATTGGTAAAACACATTTTAATAGTAATGCATTACTCCGTAATGTAAAATTTTGTGTCAATTGTGGTTAACTTTTTCTCTCAGTTATTATTTTTTATTGCAGGTTTGATGAGAACTACATGTTTTCTCAATTAGGAAATATGAACCATTCCTTATTTTTGAAGTCTGTACACGATACTAAATGAAATCGTAGAAAAATTTCTATACTTCAACGTAATCATACAGCAAGATCCCACTGGTGACAATGATTTTCAAACGATATCTCTTTAAGGGGAAACCTAAGATCATTGAAAAGACAGATTTTCACCATGAATATTCCATACGACCTGATACTTTTGCATTTAAAGTACCATCTTCTCCAAAAGCATTAAATCCAATACAAGCCATCTATCGATATGCTACAAACTTTCCATTCGAGGGATCCCCCGATACAGTTTACAATTCGTATCCTATGACAAATTCACAGAAATTATCCAAATTTAATCATAGACCCAAACGTGTGAAGATGACAACAGGGGATTTCATTGAGGATTCATTGTATCATCCTAAATATGGGTATTTCTCACAACAAGTCGAGATTTATCAATCTGAAAAACCATTTGACTATAATAATATTGAAGATATTGACGAGTTTATGGAAAATTGGAGTAAATCATATGAAAGATACGAGCAGGATGCAGTTCCACCACCACAACCAACAGCGTCATTACCTGCCCCTAATACATCATCTAAATTTGCTGCCATGGCACATCTGATCCAACAACAAGATAGACAAGTAATGGAACTGGGATATAGGAAATCATTGCAATTATGGCATACACCCACCGAGTTATTCCATCCGTATTATGGTGAAGCTTTAGCAAGATATATCTTGGTCAACTATAAACTAAACATATATCCCTATGATGACTTGATTATCTATGAAATGGGTGGTGGTAACGGTACACTTATGTGTGATATCTTAAACTACATCCGTAAAAATCATCCAGAGATTTATGAAAGAACTCAATATAAAATTATTGAAATTTCAAGTCAGTTGGCAAACAAACAAATGAAACAAGCATTGGATAATAAACTTACATCACAAGGATTGGATTCTTCAAAATTGGAAATTTTCAACAAATCTATTTTTGAATGGAAACAGGTAGTCAACGATCCGTGCTTCTTTATTGCATTGGAAGTTTTTGATAATTTCTCGCATGACTTAATCAGATATGATAATACTACAGGTCAGCCTTATGAAGGGAAAGTATTGATTGATCAACATGGTGATTTCTATGAGTTTTTCTCTCCAGATTTGAGTCATTATTCAGATGCATACTTACGGTTAAGAGAAAACGGGAAACACTCCGTCTTGAAACAAGCGTCGACATTCAGTGGGAAATTATCTGCATTCAAGAGTCTAGTCAGTGATGATGTTCATCCATTATTGCATTCATCTGCAATGTTAAAATTGAAAAATATGGTTTTACCTTACGATAGTAATCTCACACCCGGTGAATTCATTCCTACTAGATTGTTGCAATTTTTCCAGATATTAAAATACAAATTCCCTAACCATCTGTTAATATCATCGGATTTTCATTACTTACCAAAGAAGATTTCTGGTTGTTATAACGGACCCGTCGTTCAAACTGTACTTAAAAATGATATGGTAGATGTATCTACGTATATGGTTCTCCAGGGATACTTTGATATAATGTTTGCAACAGATTTTGGTATTGCCAGTGAGATGTACAAACAAGTAACGGCCAGAGTTCCGAGAGTCGAGTCACATAGAGAATTCCTTGAACAGTGGGCAGATATTGATATTACTACCACCAAGACTGGAGAGAACCCTATGTTGGACTTTTACAAAAATGTTAGTTTTATGGTGAGTTGATCACATTTTGTACACAGAAGTTTTTCTTATTTAATTGTAATCCTGTAAATATATATTTATAAATTTGTCTAGAAAATATCACCCAAGGTTCCTAGCAATCCATTAAGTGTAAAGTTGTCGGTGTTCAATCCTGGTCCCAATGGGGTGCCTTGAAGAGCATCATACAATCCTGTAAAGTAATCACTAGTAGCACTTGAGATATTTGGGTATAAGAAGTTCATCATTCGTGCAGTATGTTGGCATCCTTTGACTGGATCCAAACCAGCGAATCTTCTTTCCAACCATGTCAACGCAGCTGGTGCACCAACTAAAGTTTCAGAAATGTGACCATTCAACAAGTCTTCAGCAAATTCAAAAGATTCAATACCCCAATCACACCATCTTTCATAGGTTTTCTTGACATTGACAATTGGAACCACTGCATCCAATGTGCCATGATAAACAAATAACGGTATTTTAGGAATGTACTCCTTGGAGACACTCATAAGATTGTTTTCCTGGATTGTTCTGTTAACTATTGGGTCGTCGAGCAAACCGTAACCATTAGGGAATAGTCTATTTTTACCTGCTAGAAATTGGCTAAAGGCAAAGCGAATGATACCAGGAATCATACAATGATTTAACCCATCAGCCAATTTATCTCTTCCACCTTCTTTGACTTCAGAGTACAATATTTCACGGAAATCATTATATTCATTACCCAATCCATTCAAAGCAATAGGTACTAAGCCAGCCAATAACTTTCCATCTGTAGCTTCAGCAGTAGCTGTAATATTGGTTACAAATCCACCAAGGGCAGCACCAATCAAATTATCTTCCAATTCAGGTGCATAATGTGGTTGCAAAGCAGCAGCCCAACCTGATGCCAAAGAACCACCAGAATAACCCCACATAGCAACCTGTGCATCTTCATCAACACCAGTAAAATTTCCAGATTGTAAAATGGCTCTGATTGAGTCCAAAGTACCATGTCCCGATTGTCTACCCACAGTGAAAGTTGATTTAGGACCTTCATAATCTGGAGATACCAAAAAGTAACCATTGTTTAACAATGGGACCATAAATGACATATCAATCTGTGTCGCAACAGTGGAAATAGAAGCACCCCATTGCATCCCATAGGAAGGTGAACAGTTAATATTGGCCGAATCTTCAAAAGTTTGATAGGATACCACTTTGGAAGGATCAGAATTGAATGGTTCTATGATAGTAGCAACAATAGCAGTGGCATTTCCAAAGGAATCAGTAGAGCGTACTAACAATTGCCAACTATTTTTGACATCTATTGGGAAAAATAAACCACTAAGCTTGTTGGGGGTCTTTCGGATCTTCAAAATCTCACCTGGTTCAGCATCTTCAAAACCATCTTGTGGAATGTAGAAATCATCATCCGATGGTTTTGTCAATGTGATGACAGCAGCATTAACATATGTTAAAAGAAAGAAGCAAACAATTGACAATTGCATTCTTGAACTATGAGGCGGGAGTTAAAGACAATCGTAATATTACGGGAGCTTCATTAAAGCAGAATTTTCTTTTGCAGGATATTAACTTCCATTTTAAATATTTGAACATCATCATCTACAATCCATGCAAAATAAGACCGAAATAGTTTTCCAATCGGGGTAACCTAAACTTTATTTCAATTCAACTAGTTTAACCGACAACAATTTCCTACAAGAGTTATATATGAAGTCTAGGCGGGGCATTAAAAAAAAAAACCGAATCTCCTAACAATCGCGAGGCACATCAAGAAATGACTTTTCCAAGGGGGAGGAGGGTATTGGTTACCGATATTATATGTACGTTTTACACAAATGCGGAGTTTTTCTTGTTTCGTTTTCAAATTGCAAAACTCGATGACGATTTCTATTTTAGGAAGTGCTGCAAAAGATGCAGAAGACAAAAAGTTCGGTTAAACTAGACATATCTACCAGTGGCATGTGATTTTCTTTTTTTTTTTTTGAAAGATGTTTGGTGCTCGGTATTCGATAGATTTTGCATATATCTGAGATATAGTGGCATACTAGCTTTAGATTCAACAGTATTCCTAGAAGACTCGATGATGCATAACTGAGCCATAGACTCCTTGGCGCCGATGCTTTCTCTTATTTCTAAAACGAGGGTCCAATCTATTTGGAAGTTGATTTAATGAGCCAGATTCTAGAAACAAATAAAATTTTAAGAGAATTATTTGTTCAAGTCTTCCGGTGAAAAATTTACCAATAAAGGAATAATAGAAAACAGTAATGGGTATCGTAATAAAATATATTTAACAATTCCCGAATTATTTTCTTTAACATAGATTACATCTGATTTTCAAAAAACAACAGATCTGGAGGGTTGGCCGAGTTGGTCTAAGGCGGCAGACTTAAGTTGTTCAACAATTGAAGTTATCTGCTGGTGTGTTCACCGCGCGAGTTCGAATCTCGCATCCTTCATCATTTTTTTGCACACTCAATAAACGGGATGCTATTTTTTTGTACTTTATTTCTTTTAATTTTCTACTGCTAAAAGTAAAATAAATTTATTGGAATGAATTGAGATATACTCTATAGATATATTTTCCATATATTTTTATAAGTATGGTTTAAGAATACCAAAAGCATAATCAAAAGTTTCTATTACTAAGCTATGTGATTCTATACCTTTTCTTTACTCTTGGCAAACATGTTAGCAAATACACTAGTAAATGGAACAGTTACGCCTGTATAATCTGCCAAATCAGAGTCAGTATGGCCATCCTTCTCCATCAAGTGATCCCTAGCCTTGATATAGCCTCGTAGAATTAATAATGTAGTAGCACACACAATGAATGAAACTCCAGTAAAAACAGAACAATATACATATCTTGTTGGATCGACACCAACAGCCTCCCCTTTGGTCAATGCAACCCCAATTACCGGTGAAAATAATCCCGAAATTGCCATCACTATGAATATCTTCGAGACAACAACATTCATTTTTTGAATACCAAAAGATCGAGCAATAGCAGGAGCAATCATACCATACACAGATCCCATCAATGATCCACTAATCAAAGCAAAAATAATAATTGATGCTAAATTCCTTGTTGGTATCCACATTGCCAAACAGAAAATACCAACAACATAGTAAACAACTACTGAAACAGTTACACCTCCGTATTTATCAGCAATGTATCCCACTGCTGGACGGCCAACTGCAGAGCCCACTTGGACCATAGCTGAAACGTATGACCCTTCCTCTCCTGAATAGCCCAAACTTGTAGTAAAATTTGCTAAAGTGTATAATACAATAACATAGCCAAACATACAGGTTATCATAAAAAAACTGAGTAACCAAAATGGTGCAGTCATAAATATCTTAGGATCAATGATTTTGAATTCGATACTATGCTGCTTGGCTTTGCTTTTAATCAACGCAATAGATATCCAAACCATGCCAAATTCCATTATACTTTGTACTCTAAGCGCCCAATGAACACCTTTTGTATCTACCACCTTTTGCATGGCCAAATTGTAAACAAGACCACCGAATCCAGAACCAGCAGTTGCAATCCCGCCAGCTAGTACTCTTTTCTTTTTGAAATATTGAGGCAACACAGTAATTGTAGGTATAAAAAGAAAGGCTAGTCCAAAACTCTGCATCAACCCTTGTGTCAAATATAGTTGCCATAATTTTGTAGACCAACTTGCCAACATTAATGCAGTAAATTGCAAACAATTTCCTATTATTAAAACTCCTCTGAACCCAATCTTACCAAGTAAAACATTGATAACTGGTGAGAATACAGTACCAACTCCAAAGGCAATACCACCAATATAGGCATAATCGATTTTTGTAGCCCCTGCAAAAGTATTTTCGGACAAGTATGCAGAAAAGTAAATAGCAAACCCACTATTACCTCCCCAAGTATTAAAGTTAAGAAGCAAACATGCAAAACAAATTACCCATGCATATCCACCATCTATGTTAGGATCCTGTGAAATCTCTGTGTCCTTCTGTTGTTGTGAAGCTTCTAAGTCTTGTTCCTTTTGTATGGAAGAAACTTCGATTTCATCTAAAGTACGAGATGAGTTATTAGAACCCTCAGTACTTGCAATCATAGTTGTTTTGTTTATTGATTTGATTTATCAGACATTATTACAATATTAAAAGATGAAGACAAATTCTGTCATTTATATATGTTTGGCGAAACAATGGAGGAGCGGGCTTTAGTTGAAATATTTCTGTTAAGGCTGAAAGCAAAAAAAAAAAAATAAAAAAAAATAAAAAACTCGATTTCTCGGAATCACGAACCGAGATTCCGTACTCACAATAAACAAACTACTTCAAAAATAAATCCGTGATACCGAAAACGGAATTAAACCAAAATGGATATTACGACTCGGAAAGGTGTTCCCGTCTTTTATAACTTTCCAGTTTATACTTATCGACATGTTACAATCATGTGGATAAACTCTAAATCCTTTGAAGACGTATTTAGCTCTTAATTTAATTACAGAAAAAAATAGCATCCCTTTTATTGCGTGTGCAAAAAAATGGTGAAGGATGCGAGATTCGAACTCGCGCGGTGAACACACCAGCAGATAACTTCAATTGTTGAACAACTTAAGTCTGCCGCCTTAGACCAACTCGGCCAACCCTCCAACTCATGTTAACGTGAAAATACATTATGATAAACTACAATTATGTTTATGGATGATTTGCTTTCTACTATTTACAATTATTAGATTCATTTGGATTATAAACTAGTTACCTGAGCAGGGAGTGTAATTATATTACCGGCAAATTACAAAAACAGGAAGCTCTATCAGGAAAATGAGTGTGAATGATAGCAAAATATCTTATGATTCTGTGAATTGGGAAAAAATATAAATAACACTCTAATATCCCAAGGTGTATATACGTTTTATAATTTAAAAATATGTAAACGTTTACTCGTTCATGGTAATTAAGGCCAATCAGTTACTGTTGTCTCCTCGATTACTGATGTAGCTAATATCCACCGTTTTACTATTTATTACTTGTACTTTTTTCTTCCATCTACGCTAAAGACTTTTCCAGAAATATAATGATTATTTTTTTTATTAGTTTTATTTTGAGGTGAATGCCGTCAATAAAGCTCAATTCAAGGCAGTTTCGGGGCTTAAGTTTTCAATTGGTCATGTTCTAGTATTTGTCATTAGATAGTATTCGCTAATACAGGAAAATTGAATTTGGAATGTTCTAAGCAACTAAATTAGATGGCATCTGACAATGTATTTCTTCTATGGTTTATGCAAGTCTTGATTTCAATTATATTAGCTTTTAATCTATTGCTGGTTGTATCTTTTTCTTAGAGTTACAAATTCTATCATTATGAATTTTATGTTGATTTTGATGCAAATTTTGGTTAAAAATATTCTACACCAAAATAACAAACCACGAAAACATTGCAATTAACCACAATACAATCATCTATATACGATAGAATTTATAAATATCAATGTATATTAATAATTACTAAAATGTAGGTATTTTGCACCTGGAAACATGCATCTGACGGATGTGCTATAATTCTATGTAGTAGACAAATATACTTGCCTTGATTCCGTGAAGAGCAATCTAAAATCACTATACTGCTAGTGATATAAGCCCGGAAGAGTAAAACAGGTGTTTCCTGCTGTGGGACCTTTTCATACAACAATAGTTATCAATCAAGCACTACGATGGAAGCTATTGTAAGGACACAGTGGTGGAAGCAACGGGACCACGGATTTCACCAAAGAGCTTAATAGCTCAGTTGGAAACACGACGACTGGGTGGCCAAGTTGGCTAAGGCGTGAGACTGTTAATCTCAAGATCGTGAGTTCGACCCTCACCCTGGTCGTTTATTTTTTTCCTTTTCTCCCCAAGCATTCATCCTATCACGGCTGTCTGCTTGTTATTTTTTTTATTTTTTCTTATTTCAATAGCCATATGAAGTGAACGATTCTGTTAAGACACAGCTGCTATTGGATTGGGTAATAAGCAATCGTTATACATGTTATGTGCGTTGTTGTGTGTAGAGAAGTTGATGAAAAAGCACGAAAAAAAAAAACAACCAAAACAAAAAATCAAAACAAAACAAATCTGTAAAAATCTCAAACCATAAACAATTGAAAAGAAACAACATACACCATCATGGCTACTATTCCAACTCCACCGGTAATAAATAGGTTGGTGTTATTATATGACAAACCAAAGTATTACCATACTATAATGCTACTCAAGGAGTTGCGAGAACTAGAAAATAATTACATCACAGTCATCGAGATTGACACCATAGATAAATTTCTCAAGGAGACAACAATATCATCAGTAAAATTTGACCATTTACACATGTGTGTTGAGTTTAATCCTGAATTTGAAGGGAACTTGCAGAAATTTATAAATTTCATGAAAAACAACCGCAAAATGATTGATGATGTCGGTGATATTGCGTATCATATACATTTTGAACCAGGTAAAAAATGGAAAGAGTATACCCAGGGTCAAGTTGCCAAATACACCAATTTCTTGGATGTTCTTCGTGATGTTGGTGCAGATAAAGTTGTTCATTGCTCGGTAGTTAATAAATATGACATGGATACTGTTTATATAACTGAAAAGGAAGATTTGGCTAAATTGGGAAGTGAAATCCAGCTGGATATCCAGTATTGGAAAAACCTCAAAACATTAGATTATGGTGAAAGTAGTATAAGATTCTTACCAGGGGTCAAATTACCAGATACTCTTGAGGTGTTAAATATTGGTGGAGGCTATGCTTTGGAAACATTAACTGGGTTCAAAATGCCTCCTAAATTAAAGTCATTATTAGCCGGTCAGGGAGCAATGCCAAGTATTGATGAAATTGTATTTCCATCAACATTACAAAGATTAGAAATACCAGAGAATAAAATTTACTTTCTAGAGAATGTCAAATTCCCTCCATCATTAAGAGATCTTGACATCTCACAGAATAGAATAGAAAGTTTAAGAGACGTTCGTTTCCCCCATGGATTAAAATCACTCAATATGGGTCTTAATCCAATAGAAAATATAAGGGGAATCAAATTTCCGGATACTTTGCAATTCTTGGATGCGTCTAACTTACCAAATGAGTCAATGACAGGAGTTAAATTCCCAGAGCTGTTGGAAGTATTAAATTTGCAATCATCTATGACCAACACAAGAGGGTTAAAATTACCTCAACATGTGAAGATTCTTATATTAAGTGGTAATGGGGTAAATAGTATCAACCCATTGAAACTACCCAGCACTATCGAAGTTCTTTATTTGAACCAGAACCACATTAAAACTTTAAATAAAGTTAATTTCCCACCAAAGTTGAGAGAGCTATATTTGGGAGACAATCTTATTACAACTTTGAAAAATGTATTATTCCCGCCAACAGTTGAGGTCTTAGATTTAGAGAACGACCCATGGTCATTTGAAAATGACAAACAAATCACAACCTTGAAAGATGTTGTCTTGCCACCTAATTTAAAGATTTTCAAGCTTGGATATCATGGTCTTAAGACAATTGAAGCTTTTGAATTTCCTGCAAGTTTAAGATATCTTAGTTTAGCATACAACGAACTTCGTGTAATCAGAAACATAAAATTTGGAAACCATTTGAAGACATTAGATTTAAGTGGCAACCCAGACTTGTTGAGTTTAGATAATGTCATCATTCCAGAATCTGTTACTGAATTGAGAGTATCAGCACCGCTTATTCCTAATTTACCTGGTTACATTGTCGAAAGAGCAAATGAAGGAAGATTAATAATCAAAAAGTCAGCACCTCAACCTGAATAGTCTTGTTAATTGATTTACATTTACAAGTGAAACTAATATACATATTTTACTATTCTCCGAAGAGAAGGAGAATGAACCAAAAAAAGAAAAAGGATAATAACGAATAATAAATGTAAAAATAAAAATGAACTCTATTAGTTATCATCTTCATCTTCGTCAGATGAATCTTTATCATCAGCTTCTCTTCTTTCCAACAAACGTTCCAATTCAGCATCATCAGTAGCAGTGACAGCTTTTGGAGCCATGTTAATTTTACAGTTACCACCGTTAGATTCAATAGATTCAGTGATTTTGGCGATAGCGTCTTCTAAGATTTGAATACCTTGTTTTTTATCCAAAGCTTGAACAGAAAGGAAATATAATGGAGCAGCAACCAATTTAGCTTTGACTTGCATTTGTGGAGTAGAAACGGATTCAGCAGCTCTTAAAGCTTCCTTAATAGCATCTATACCGGCATAGGTGAAACAAGAAACTTCGACATCAGCTCTTATATTGATGGCTTGTGGAGTTAATCTTCTGGAAATGTATAATTTTAATTCGTCTAATATATCATCTGAAGGAGCTTTAATATCATCAAAGATGGAAGGTTCAGTGATGGATAACTTGAATGCGTCATAAGCATGACCATATTGTCTACTTAATGGCCAACCAATAGTTTCATATAAGTTTTCCAATGAAACGTTGAATTTTTCGGCACAGTGTCTCAAGATTGAATGAACAGCCTTTGATTTATTGTATCTTTCGTCACACTTGACGATATCTTCAGCAGAAACTCTTCTCTTGGACAAATCGATATAACCCTTTTCTTTATCAACTCTCAATACAACGGCAACTTCGTTCTTACCAACACGAATCAATTTTTGGATAGAACGAATACGTCTTCTAGATAATTCAGACAACAAGACCATACCTTCAATGTTGTCATATTCTAACAACTTGACGTAGGCACCCATTTCTGCAATTTCTTGAACGTTGACCATGACAACTTCGTCAACTTCTGGGTACTTGTTTTCATAGAATCTGCAATTTGTTGAACTCATTTTTTTTTGTTCTCTGTGTATATCTCTATTAATAACTGAGTGGTTTGGTAGTTATAGTGTTGGCTTTATGAATCACTTGTAGCGAAGTGAAAAATGAGTTTAGAAAAATTTTCTATTGTGATTTGAAAATTTTCTAACTATTAGCATTCGCACGACCCCACTCTTCTTTTCACAGTATTTTTTTCTTCTCTTCTTTTTTTTTTTTTGCAGATGTCCATATGGAACCTTTGTCATATACATGTCCAAATTCATTATAGAAAACAATCTCAGAAAAGTTATACCATATTATATAAATCTAGAGACACATGTTAAAGGTAGATGGGAAGGTAAAACGTTGATAGAAGTTTTCAAATCTGATTTTGGTATAAGTGAACAGGATGTACTAGAGGATATTAAGAATGAAAAATTGTATGTCATTAGTAATATCAACAAACCTAATGAAAAGGCTTGCTTAAAAGGTTTTGATTTGTTAATCAGTAGACCACTACATGCCAAGGATTTGGTTTGCCATTCAAAACATAGACACGAACCACCAATTCCATACCTTGGTAGAATAAAGAGTGTTTATGAGGATGATGAGTTGTTAGTTGTGGATAAACCATCTGGAGTTCCAACTCATCCTACTGGGAACTATTATTTCAATTCTGTTTCTGAAATGGTCAAAGACCAGTTTGGTTTAGAGGCAATTTGGACTTGTCATAGATTGGATAAAGTAACTTCTGGAGTACTTATATTTGGGAAAACTAAATCAGCTGGACTGAAATTTCTGAGATTGATTAAAGATCATAAGGATCAAACAGAAAAAACTTATTTGGCACGCGTGGTGGGTGAATTTCCTAATGGTAAGCTTCAGTATAATTGTCCAATATTTGCTGTTAATTTGAATGGCTATTTAGTTCCTGGAAATTCCGAAGAGCTTCCCCTTGATTCAACAACGATATTCCAGAAAGTATCCTATAATGCATCATTGAATCAGAGCCTTGTAAAATGCATACCAATAACAGGAAAATTTCATCAAATTCGAATACACCTTAGAAATTTGGGCTTTCCTATTGTCAACGACTCATTTTATAGAGGAGATAACGAATTGACAAACCGAAGGTGTTCAATCGAAGAAGAACTATACAAGAAGTTATTTCAGAAATATCCTGAATTTAAAACTTTTGGGACTACAAGAAGAGAAGGATTTATAAATATTGACTTACTCGATGAAAAACTACAATACGGTTTAGACGAACTTAAGAGAGATCATTTGCAGTCATTGAATGAACAAAAACTATCGTATTGCGAAGAATGTCACCGCCTGTTGTTTGATGATGATTATAGACTGAATCCAAATATCTGGTTACATGCGTTGAGTTTTAGCTATGGTGAATACCGTTTTGTAACAGAATATCCTGAATGGGCAAATATATAGAGAGATGCATACTCGTTCATCACATCTGTGCAGCTAGTGTGAAAACGAGAGTTGGTTTTTGGGGTCAATGGTGAAGAGGCTATCATGCTCCTTTAGGGACATCAATTAGCCTCTAATTTAGGAGTGGTCCCGGGTTCGAATCCCGGTTGACCCCAGGATCAACAAAAGAAAACTTTTTTTTTGAAAGATTTTACAATTGAATAGTAATTTGAATACTAGATTGTGGTTGAATGTATTATACAGTAGAACATTAACTCTCTTTACATGCTTCTTATTGCTCATATATTGGTCGTATACACTTGGTAGCTCCCAACACAAGGAACCAAAAATAAAATAAGGAGACTTCAAGGGGTGGGGGGGTGACGAACAACGAATGTTAATTTGTGATTGTAATTCGGTAAATATGGATGCCATTCAATTACATGGTGAAATATAATAAATCGAATGTTATTCAATGCCTCAATAATAACCATCCGGAATTTTATATACCGATAGGTGGTTATTACCATGCATATTAGTTTTTGTGTTGATACTTCGGGACACGGAAAAATGTCCTACACTCCTTTGTTTCTTAATTGAGATATTCTTATTCCAAAAATGTGAGTAGCAATTATAATTAAGGGGGCATTTCTCCTCATATGTTCTGGATACAAAGGAGTTTAGAGATAATTTCGGAGAAATTACAAACATCTGCATACGTTTGACTAACTTTGCCGTTTGTACAAAGAAAGATGAAAGTGGAGAGGTGTAGAATGATGTGGTTCTATTGAAATTGATCGGTAGGTCTACTTTCCATATGATCTATGACTATCGTATCAATCAAACACTTTTTCAGATACTATCAAATCTAACATCACACTGCAACAACAAACATCAAAAGAAAAAGAAACAAATCAGTAAAACCAGAAAAGAAAAACCCATTTCTAGAATGGTGCAATTAAAAAAAAACAACGACGAAAAATTAAACTATAAACTTATTGAAAGCAATAGTTGATTCTTTATTTTTCTATTGTCGCCTTAAACACGCGACGATCTTTCTCTACCCCCTGGCCTCCTCCACTCCCCAGTCATCCTCCTTCCCCCACAAGAACTCAACTACGAACAAGAAGAGAACAGCAGGGAATCAAAATAACGCATCCTTCTTTTACTTACCTAATTTTTTTTTTTTTTTTTTTCAATTACTAAACATAAACTTGAAATTTCCCGTTACTATTAATAGCTTCTATAGTTTGTTAATTTTCCATTCATTACGTTTCAATTCAAACAACAATCAACCCATTGATTATTTTTCTTCTTCCTTAGTTTCAGGTTATTGCTTGCAGTTAATATTATTATTATTTTTTTTTTTAGTCTTGTTTACTTTATCCTTCCAATTAGTTCTTGACCCCTCCCGCTCATTTTATCCCCATTGACGATTAACCTGAACGTTCTGCTCTTCGTGATTAGTGGAATCCGTGCTTTGGTGTTGTGCTGATACTTGCTTCTCCCCCTTTTAAACTTTACATCAATGAATTACTAAGCTCTACATTATAATTATTTTTGGTTTTGTATAAATATGGGAAGAAAACCGTCGTCCATAATTCCAGAAGAAGAAGTAGACGAAGACGAAGAAGACAGTAAATTGTTGTTTCTATTAAATTTTCTAAAGTCATTACCTATTAAGAAAATTTGGATTGTCATGATTGTATTTGCTAATTTGTTTGTGTTTATTAGTTTTCAATTATTTTATGCCAAGTTTGCCCATGGATTTCCTGGAGTTATACCTTTAAAAGCTAGATCCCCCGAGGGTTTACATACAGTTGATCTCAGCAAGTTGATCGACAGTCAAGAGAACAAAAAGATATTTAGCCAGATGAAGTTTTCCGATCAAGCATTCTATGATACAACTGACAATGTTGTGGGAACCACCGAGTTTACTGAGTTTAATCAATATCAAAGACAACCCTATGTTGCTAATGGATACATTGGAAGTAGAATCCCAAATATAGGACAAGGATTTGCCTATGATCAACTTTCCAATTCACTGGAAGCAAATGAAGATGATTTGTCTAACGGTTGGCCCTTATTTAACAAGAGATATGCAGGTGCATTCATCGCTGGGTTTTATGACATACAAAAGAATACTACTGGTACAAATTTCCCTGAGTTATTAGAGAATGGTTATGAAAGTGTCATTGCTGCTGTACCACAATGGACAAGTTTATCATTAAGTGTTGAAATAGATGGACAAGTATATATATTAGATCCAGCTTTGGATCTGCAAGATATGGGAGGTATCTCAAACTATGTCCAAAACTTGTCCCTTAGTGATGGAATAGTTTCAACTCAATTTACTTGGTTGAACAAGCTTAATGTGAAATATGAGGTGTTGGCTCATAGAACAAATATAAACTTGGGATTAGTTGATTTGCAGATTTCAAATATCGGGAATGAAAATTTAGAGTTAACCGTAACTGATCTGCTTGATTTCAACACATCTCAGAGATGTCAATTAAATGATGTCTCCACTGATGATCAAGGGATTTCCATCACCTTCCTGCCTCATGATTTGGATTATATCCATGGCGCAATATATTCAAAATTGGTATTAGATGGAGAAATAACAAGAGAAGTTCAAACTTATGAGAAAGTTACTCAGTCATCTAAAATTACAATTGGGTGCAATTCAAATATCAAAATTTCAAAATTTGTTGGTGTTGCATCATCTGATTTGCAACCGGATCAATTGAAAACATCTGATGACGTTTTACAATTAGCCAAGAGTGTTGCACAAGAATGTCATAATGCTGAACAAATTATTGATTCACATAAGCAAGCTTGGTCAGAGGTGATTAACAATGGTCCGTTGGTAACATTTCCAAGCGATCCGTTACTCAATTTAGGTGCCAGAGCATCTGTATTCCATTTATTGGCAAATACTAGACCTGATGCGCAAGGCGTTACTGGTGCTTTAGGTGTTGGTGGTTTGAGTTCTGATAGTTATGCTGGTATGGTATTCTGGGATGCCGATTTATGGATGTTGAATGGTATTTTACCATTCGCTCCTAGTCATGCAAAGAGTTTGATTAACTATAGATTACATACCCGTCAACAAGCAATTGAAAATGTTCCCGAGGGATACCAAGGTGCAGTTTATCCATGGACAAGTGGAAGATTTGGTAACTGTACTGCAACTGGACCTTGCTTGGATTACGAATATCATATAAACATGGCAGTTGCAATGGCTGCTTGGCAATTATATATTAGTGGTGCTGCTGATGATTTGTATTTGGAAACTATTGCTTATCCAATAATCTACGATGCTGCAAATTTCTTTTCTGACTATGTTGTTAATTTCAATGATTCACTCAATAAATACACTACATCCAATTTAACTGATCCAGATGAATATGCTAACCATGTTGATAACGGTGCTTATACAAATGCGGGTATTGCATTAGTTATGAGATGGGCTCAAGTAATTGGTGGTCATTTAGGTAAAGTTGTTCCTCAACTATTTCAAGATATCGAACAGAATATCTTTCTTCCAACAGCCAACAATTCACAGAATATCACTCTTGAATATTCCGGCATGAATTCCTCAGTAGGGATCAAACAAGCTGATGTTATAATGATGACGTATCCACTTGAAAATGAATTGATTGATGATGAGCAAGCATACATAAATATGGAATTTTACTCCATGAAACAAGTCAGTTATGGACCAGCAATGACATTTCCAATTTTTTCTGTAGTGGCAGCAAATTTAGCACCAACAGGATGTGCATCTCAATCTTATTTACAAAAGGCGATACAACCATTTTTGAGAGGACCATTTGCCCAATTCTCCGAGCAAAATAATGATAATTATTTAACAAATGGTGGTACTCATCCTGCGTTCCCATTCTTGACCGCTCATGGAGGGTTTTTACAAGCAACTTTACAAGGATTGACTGGTTTAAGATATGATTATGATATTGATGAGAATGGTAAATTAGTTAGAATATTACGATTAGATCCTATTGGTTTACCATGTCTTGAAGAAGGAGTTAGTTTTAATGGAATTCAATATGACAATCATACAATTTCCATGTCTATAAACCAAACTCATTTTACAATTACAAACAAATGTAAAACCAATCCAAATGCAAATGATCACATTACTATTTTATTAGCGGAGAGAAACCCTGATAATGGACAATATGTAATCAATGATGGTGAAACTAAATCATTTGCATTATTCAAACCAGACATTAGTTTTCCAGATTCAATATCTGAATGTGGCCAAGCACTGTTTTATAATGTTACTGAAGGTGCATTTGGTGATGCTTCAATTCTGATCAATGATGGTGACAATACAACAAGATGGCAAGTCAAATATAATGATACTGTTGGAAAAGTTATTGTTGATTTTAAATCTTTTAAAAATATATCAGGAGTTACTTTCAATTGGGCTGATAAACCACCAATTAATGTGAAATTATCCAAATATTCAGGTGATCAATTCACTTCAATAGTTGATTTCTTTGCTAAAGTTGATTTTGGAAATGAATTATATAATAGTTACAAATATGCAAATCCAGAAGATCATATATTTAATCAAAGTGAAGTTTTTGAAGAAATTCATTCAGAATCAGTAACTATTTCAGCACCATTTGATAACAAAGAATACACTCAAGTGTTGGTTCCAACAAGACACAATACAACTTCAATAGATTTAAATTTATCCACACGATTCTTGTTGATCGAGGTGGATAATATTCACAATACAGTTCCTATAGATGATGATTATGGTGGTGCAAAACTTGCAGAAGTTGTATTTTACTAATGCAAGAAGCTAATCGATAAAAATAAGTTGATGACAATATAGATGTGTCCCCCGATAATAGTTTGAATTAGAATATACAATTGTTTGCATTTCTAAGAGTTTCTCTATAATGAACATTTATTTTTTTTTTCATTTAACATTCAACTCTTTTCAAAGACTATAAAACGTTACGACTAATAATATAAGAAATATAATGGATTATACAATAACAAAGCTGAAAAAAAAATTAAGAACAATAGTAAATAATAATAATAAAAATAAAAAGAACAATTATATCATATCCTATAAACAAAATGAAAATGGGATTCTCTTTCTACTCTCTAATACATGGCTTCAGCCATTGTAATAAGACGTTTAAGACCAGTATGCCAGTTACCAATTTCGTCACTATGACTGGTGGCAATTTCAACATTAGCAGCTGAAGCAGTAGCAAAATCCTTTGCTTCTAAAGAAGAACTAACTTGTTTCAACAATTCAAGAACTGGCTTAGAAATTTCTTCATTGTTCAAATGATCAAACAATATATTAAGTCTATGTTCCATATCAGTTCCATGTCTAGCGTATTTTTCAGGAATGTTTGGCTTAATTGCTTCAACAACTTTAGTCAATGAATTAAATATTGGCAATGCATCAGCTGGAATATGAGATCTATCTCCTTGTGGATGCTTTGGTTTTGCTGGAACTTCTGGTTCTTTGGCTGGTGGTTGTTCAATTTTTGCTGGAACACCTGCTGGTGGAGGTGGAGGAGGAGGGAAACCAGCTGTACCACTACCAGCTTGAGGTGGAGGAACACCACTGAATGCTGGTTGAAGAGGAACAGTATTAGCAGCACCAAATGGTTGTGGAGGTGGTGCAACAGAACCAAACTTTTGTGGAGGAGGAGCAATACCAGCATGTGGAACAGCTGTTGCTGGAGGTGGTGCATATGGGTTCTTTGGAGGAACAGCACTAGGTGTTTGTGGACCACTATTGGTTAACTGTGGACCTGGAGGAGATGCATATGAGACTTTTGGAGGAGGTTGTTCATTACCACTTGGTGCATATGGATTCTTTGGAACTCTTGGAGATGAATTAATAGCGGGACTACTACTACCAGTTGCTGGAGATTGTAATGCTTCACCTGAAGTAGGTGGTGGAGCGTATCTACTTGAGACAACTGGTTTTGGAGATGGTGACACAGTGCGGACAATATTCTTTGATGGAACACGACTACTAGCAGAACCTTTTGGTGGAGGAGCAACGTTTGAAGTAGAGATGGCTCTCTTTGGAGCACTACCAATAGAATTAGTAGATCCGACACTTTGTAACTGACTTGGTGCAGTTGACAACGGAACAGGGGATACTGAAGCAGATTGAGAAGCAGCAGCAGCAGCAGCGGCAGCACGTTTTGGAGCAGTTGCCTTTGGCTTGAAAGTATCCGGTAAATCATTCCAACCATCAGTTTCTTGCTTATGACTAGCCTTTGGTGGAGGTGGAGGTGGGATAACTGAAGCATTAGCAACTGGTACAGTACCAATCAAATTAGCTTGAGGTGGAACTGGCGATTGAGCACTGAATCCGTTATTACTTGGTGCATATGGGTTGCTTCTAGCATATGGGTTTGATTTTGGAGCAGCATAAGATGGTGCACCGTATCCTGCAACAGGCGGTTGATAACCAAATGGTTGCTGTGGCTGTGGCTGTTGTTGTTGTTGTGGAATAGCTGGAGTGTATCCTGAAGTTGGGACAGAAGCCACTGGAGCAGCACTATAACTCTTTCTTGGTTCAGCAGTTACTGGTGGAACTCTTGTATGAGTTCTAACAGCAGCACCTGAAACTGAGGACTTGTTAGTAGCAGATCTAACATTAGTAGCTGGTTTAACATCTTTAGAAGCAGCCTTCAAAATTCTTTCCTTTTCGGTTCCGGCAAATTCGCTTGGTAACAATTGCAAGAACTTACTAGCTAATTCAAAATCACCAGTGCCAGCAACCAAATTGACAAACTCCAAGATTGGCTTGGAAAGATGTTCAACCATTGGACCAGTAACTTCGCCTGTAGATTTAGTAATGTATCTATAGGTGGCAAGTTTTTCAACGAAATTAGTCAATGCTTGGAGACGAGCATCAGATGGAGAAGTGACATCTTCAGTTTTCAAGTTCAACAATTCAGTTTCATAATCTGGCAATTCTTTTAACCAGACATTAGCAATCTTATCTAAAGCACCACCAGCCAAATAACAAATGACGGCATCGTTTCTCTTACCACCTTTAGATTGCAAGATACGGTCACCCAATTCGGATAACTTACTGTTATACTCTCCTTCATCGGAAGTGAAGGAAGCAATACCGACAGCAATTTCTCTCCAGTTGTCAACATTAGCATGAGCAACAAGATCGGTAACATTCTTGGATGATGCATTGTAAAGAACACGAGAAAGATTGTTTTCTTTATTTTTCTTAAAATAAGCACTTTTTACTTGCTCTTTGATATCATCTGAAGCATCTAAGGCCAACACCAAAGCTTCCAAAAGCTTCTTTTGTTCCAAACAAGAAGAAACGGCTTCTTCAATTTTGTTACCCAAAATCAAATTGATCAACTTCTTGTTTTCCTCACTTTCGTTGTTGTTGAAAATCTTAAAGTTTCCTTCTGGAACGTATACACTTTCTTTCTTGATGGAATCCCCATTACCCAATTTGTCAAAGAAATCATCTTCACCATTGACTTTTTTGTCTTCCTGTTCATCATCATCTTCTTCCTTAGGTTTTTCTTCTTTCTTTGCAACTTCTTTGAAGAAGGCATCTTTACCTGATTCAGACAATTTTTTCAACACTTCCCAATCGGACTTATTGTTTTCATTAACAGTTTCTCCTGCCAATTTTTCTTCAATAATTGTAGTGAAATCATCGTTCTTCAAGTCTTTGAATAATTTCTCGGTTTTATCTTGACCTTTAGCAACGAATTTTTCAATCTTAACAACAGACTTACCAGAAGCATCTGGGGCCACAATAACTAATTTGGAACCAAACCCGAATGAAACACTACCTGGGTTCTTGAGCCATTGTGGAGCTTGTTGGATTGAAAACACTGGTTGTTGAGTATCAGCAGTAGATAATTCACTCCAGAATTCATTGTCGTCACCAGAGCTGGCTTTAGTAGCAGCTGGAGGAGATGTGTCTTGAAGACTTTGAATAACAATCTTACCATCAAAGGAGGCGGTAGCAAAAATATCAGGAGCTGCTGGGGCAAATTTTGTCTTGAATGCCCAGTTGGCAGTAGTAGCATATTCTCCTAATTTTACACCTTCAATTGGGTTCCACAAGTAGGTGGCATTGTCTTTTCCACTTGAAAGCAACAAGTTTGGATCTTGTTGACACCAATCTAAAGACAAGACACCCTTTTCATGGCCTTCTAATATTTTTTCTGGAGCATTAGAGTTTCTCAAATCCCAACTCAAAATTAGTGGACAGGTGTCATTATCACTTGCAGTAATCAATTTTGTGGATTGAGTTGGATGCCATGCAACATAAGAAAAGTTAGCTCTACCAGATGGACCACTGTAAGATAAATGTAAAAGTTCTTTCTTTGCTTTCAAGTCCCAAATTGAAGTGTAGCCGCCATTTCCAGTACTGGCAAGAATGTGGCTGACTGAATTATTCCATGACACACAAGTAATTTCATCCATTGGGGTCATTGCTTGACCTGGTGCAAATGGCTCACTAAAAGTTTTGGTATCCCAGATAAGAATTTGTCCTTTGGAACCACCAGTTACCAAAACATGGTTTTGAATTGGGTTGAATTGTAAAGATTTGATAGCACCATTAAGTTTATCTGATTTGTGGACGGATGCTTGAGCAAGATCTTTAGTTCTAATTAAAACATCAGCATCCCAGAATTCTATAGTTCCATTTTCAAAAGCACCTGCAATTAAACCTTGTGGTCTTTCGTCGAATGGCTTAGACCATGCCAATGCGTAGAATCTATTGTCTACTGGGGCAGTAAATATTGGTTCCAGTTTGTTACTTGATGAAAATATGTCCCATATTTCTAATTTGGCTGAAGAACTGAAGTTGATATCAACAGCACCAGCTACGGTACCAGAAGCCAACAATGGTAAGTTATCCAGACTCCATGTAAAAGTTGAAGTACCTGCTATTTCACTGATCTTGACCATTTTCTAGTTTTCCAAAATGTACTGAAAATAAAAACAAAAACAATTATTGAATTGAACTAAAATAAATCAAAAAAGAAATAAACAAGATAATGATAAATTGTTGTAGATAATGATAGTAAGTATCAACTTTTATTCAATTAATTAATAATATAAAAAAAAGGGTAGATTTTTATTTAATTCAAACTAGAAGAATGTTGGTCTGAAATATGTTCCTTGCTTTTTTTTAACGATTTTTTTTTTCTCTCCCAATAGATTTGACATTTTTCCATTTTGACCAACACATCAACAACAACAACACCACCACCAGAACCACCAAGCATGGACGACAACAGCAGAAAAAAAAAAAAAATAGAGAGATCAGGTCGTGTGCAAGACGACGGTTTTCTTTTTTTCTGTTCACAAAGATGATCCAAATAGAAACACGCGTGAGGATACATAAAAAAATTACGTGTGAAGTTAAAGGGGGAAGCGAGGGGGGACGGAAGTAATGCCAGTCGACCCATTTTCGTACCAAGATTTTCACGCCAATAATCACATGCGTGTAAACATGACGAAAAAAAGAATAGAAAATAATACATTACTAGGATTAATTATACGACGGCTTGATCCCAAAGTGAGATTATTGATTTTAAACTTACATCACCATCAAGTGAATTTTTCAGTTGATTTATTTAATTGTTATTTTTTTTTTATTTTTTTTGAATTCCATAGATTTTGAGAATAAATTCAACGATTGCACATTAATTTGGAGATTGTGATATTCTGTTGGAATTAGGCTAGTATTTTATGTATCTTTCATTAACACATAATCTATTTATCATGCTGCCTTTATATGCCACGGCTTTGAAGAACAGTACCAGACGAAAACAAGTAATTAATTATATTCTCAATCATGTGGCAAAACCTTCCCTAAAAGCTTTCATATATGCCTACCTATATTTGGTTTTACCTAAAGCTATCGGAAGAATCGTCAGTGCTGTTCGAAAGAACAAATACGATAAGATATTCCCAAGAATTAAGAAAACCATGTTGAACGCTTTGCATCCGCGTAAATTTCCTATGTTTTCGGCTGCTTTGGTTGCAGGAATAAATATATTGGAACCTCTTATTTATGGGCTTTTGAAAAAGAATAAGATAGCCAGGACTCCCACATCAAAATTGTTCATATCAACCCTCGTATCTGCCTTGATTTCTGCTGCAATCACCTTTCCAGTATATCAACAACATGTCCTTGGATATGGTAGATACAACTCTTTGGATTTGACTTTGTTGGTTGCAACAAGAGCTATGGATACTGCACTCTCATCATATTTATCTAAAGTTGTACCGCAAGGTGTTGCAAACTTTGGTGATCCTCTTTTGTTTATTGCAAGTTGTACTTGTATAATGTTTTGCTGGTTCTTCTACCCCGAAAAGCTTCCACCAAGTTATCACAAATGGATAACGTCTGCTGCCAATATGGATATAGAATTTTGGGAAGTATTGAGATTGGTAAGACAAAAGAAATTAATCTACGGCCAACATGGTCCTTATGAAGATTTTTTGGGTCCTTATTTTGAAAAACACGGTAGAGATCCTAGAAGAGGAAACACCATTGTCACACAGCCAATTGAATGTGAAGCGGTTCATGCATTCACGACAAAGAGTTGTGAACTCCATGCATTATGGAGGTTTTGGAGAGGGTTCAAATTTGCCCTTGGAGTATATGCACCTTTGAACTTGCTAATGTTGATTTTCCCACTGAAGACTAACAAGACTGTTCGTTTAATTCGTGTATTAAAGTCTTCAATTAGATCATCTTGTTTCTTAGGGACTTATATCGGATTGTACTGGTATGCAGTTTGTTTGGCCAGAACTCGGTTATTTCCTAAATTATTCCCAAATATCCCAAGAGCTAGATTCGATGATACCATATGTGCTGCCAGTGGAGCTGTCATGTGTGGATTCTCGTCGTTTATTGAAACCCCTCAACGTAGAAAAGAGTTGGCATTATTTGTTGCTCCTAGGGGTCTTGGTACCTTAGTACCTCTGGAGCCAACAAAGAGAAATTTGATAATTGAAAGTTTCGTATTTTCAGTTAGTTTGGCAGTTTTACTTGCATACTCAAAAAATAATTCCATGAGTGTGAGAGGTATATTTGGTAAGGGGTTAAAACAGGTTTTTAATATTTAATTACTATCATCTGGTAAAATGATGTGTATATCGTTCTTCCTCAGATTAGCTTAATTTGCATCCATTTTTATCCATAATTCTCGGTAATACACGCCATCAATGAACTACGAGATTTTTTTTAATTCTCTTGTTGACGGATTCGCATTCTCCTCTACAACTTTAGAGTAAAAAAAAAAGTGCATTCTTTATTTTGAGTTTATTGGATTTTTTTTTTTTTGAGTTTCTTATTCTTTTTGTTTATAATTATATTTGATAGTTATCGTGACATGACATGCTGGACTACGAGTCAGAAGAAGATATAGATTGTGTTGAATTTGATTTTTCAATTCCCCTAGATCACAGAACTACAAATTTGACAGAGCGTCACGATGAGATTGCTCATTTATTGGGATTGACATCCGACGATAATGATGAAGATACTGATGAGGAAGACAGTCTACCACTACTACTATTTAAAACAATTGCAGCATTATGTGATCCATTCACGCAACCAGAAGAGTCAAATGAATGTATACTAAGTGTTGATTGTATATCTGATTTGATAATTGCTATTCTGTATAAATCGTATGTCCAGAAGCACGAATCTGCCAAAGACATGCTTATTGAATCCATTAGATTCGACATATCTACTATTTTATTTGGAATACTACGTGAGATTCATAAATTGTTAAATGCGAATGATGAACTTCATTTAAGATATATAAACAATGACGAAGCACACTATATGGAAAATCTACCGAAATGGACCCCTATACCGATAATTGCCCAAAACGAGTACACACTTAGATTAGTTTATTCAATTGCGTGTGTGATAATTCTAGCCATGTATAAATTATTTATTCCCAAGACAGGTGATTATAATTTGACAAGTAATCCTTATTTACATTACTTCTTGAAACTTTGGAAGTGCCACACCAATATTATACTACTAGGGTTAGAAATAGATAGAAGGCTAGAATTTCTTAATCATGAGAAAGGAACACACGAAGAAACTCCAATGATTGTTGAAGATACATTGAAAGGGTCCAGTTCTATACGGTATGTTCTTGCATGGATATTAAATCAGAACCCATCTTCAACAGGTATAGAACATGAAGATGAGGACCAAGATACCCTAAAAGACAGTAGTAACGGTGATAAACTTCAAAACCCGAATGATTATGGAATTGATTTAAGGAACGAGACTGTATTTAATTTTGTTCAACCACTAGCGAGAAAGAACACAAATGGAGGAGCTATACTGCTTGATATGAGGTTAGTTTCAATTGCATTATTGATTTTGTATTCAGGAACATCATTTACTGCTGGTGTCTATCAAATTGATGATAATCCATCGGTGAATGAAGACCAGGCGGGCAGGAGATTAAACCAATCAAAACCGATCTCTGAGATTGGCGATATTTTGATAGATTTGGAATATGCGGATAGATTTGATGAAGATATAAAGTACATGTTGGAGTATGATTATGATGAGGATGATGATGATGATGATGATGACGAGGAAAATGAAAATGGAAATGAAGATGAATATGATAACGGAGAAGCCAGTACAAAGTCAATATCAAATCCGAAAGGCAAATTAGATAAAAATGATCTTCCATCTGAGGTTGGTGAAGCACTCACAGCTTCTGGAATTGAATTCGATGAGTTTGGTAGAGATTGGAGAGACATTCCAAGAGGAGAGAATAGGGAGTTTAATAATTTATTCACAACAAGGTGTAAACAGTTTGACAAGCTAACAGATAAGAGTGATTCTGACGATTTCTTTGTCACATGGGATGAGCTATACGAAACATTTGAATTTTTAGTTACGAACTCAATTGAAGGAAATTCTCAAGCTGAATCTAGAATTGGCCAAGTAGTGATCAATACCATAGCTAAAGCAATTAAGGATAATTTGGCAGAAACTGAATCTGCGATAACCCCATCCAAGATTTACAAGTACTGGACGTCACTGGCTAGTGTTGAATCAATAAAAATTACTCAAGATGAAAACAACAAAATGATTGTGCCTATTTTTAATGTCACTAAATTTGAATTGTTTCTTCATAATAATTCGCAAGTTGCTAGAGCTGCAATGGATGAGATGCTCATGTGTGAAGGATATAGAAGATTACTCATATGGTTTGTTACTCACAATCTCAATATTTCCATCTTGTTGATTGATTACGTCTATCAACTATTGGCTGGTCTTAGAGGCACCAAAGAGATAGCTGCACCATATGCATTCTCTAGAAAAGGGGACAAGCTACTTTTGAGTGATATTGAACAGCTGATGTTATTACATGAGTTCCTAACAAACAGCAATGTTTACCTTTCAGCAACTAATGGGATTGAAATAGAAGGCGGGTATCAGGTTGTCTTGGCCGAGTCAATTGCTAAGAAGCTCATGTCATTGCTATGTATCATGATCAATCATCTTATCAAACTTGGAATTATTGATTTGTCAGAGAAAAAAGACGAAGAGGATGATATTCATGACTATCGAAATGAATTACAAGTATTGCTTATCAATTGGATTGGAAAAGTCCCAGAAGCTAGACAATTGTTCTTCAAGATTAAGAATACTGGCCAAGATGAACTTAAGAAAACAAAGGACGAGAATACCGGTGTAACAAAGGAATCTGAGTTGGAATTATTTCATCTGTTTGAATCAAAATCTGTCCTCGAAATCACCGATGAGGTTGACAAGAATGCACAGTATAAGAAGGTTATTGAATCATTTGCTGGTCGTATTGAACAACATTTAGAAGTTGTTTTAAACTCGAATAAAGTGGCAATGAATTTAAATGAAATTAATGATGATTTTCGATTTTTCTTGAATCATTTTAATACCCTATGCAAGATTGAATATTTAGCCGAACTCTTGTTTGAAAAGTTTGAACCAGTTATATCTTCAGGATCGATTACAGAGTTGGGAAATGAACAAGGACCGGAAGAATTCTTTGACGCCGAGTTCAATACTGATTTCTTAAATGGTGAAGGTCATTTTCAAGAGAAAGAGGAAGAAACCAAAAAGACCAACCAACAGAAACAACAATCACAGGCAAATACAAAGAAAAAGTCAAAGAAGAAAAAGAAATCTAAAAAGAAGTAGGAGTATATGTATTAATAATATGTATTAATAGAATTTCATGTCAGTAGAAGTGTGTTTGAGTTGATCAAACTTGATAGTTGTGACTTGTTTCCTCACACTATAGATCTTTTTCTAGCGACTATGACTCTTCTCTGTTGTTCCACGGATACGCGGTACCGGACTGACTCCGTTTCTCGTTTTGACTCGATGTCGGCGTTTTAACAAAGGGGGGAGTTGCCTACTTAATCTTCTCTTTTTTTTTTCTTTGCCATTTTTCAGTATAATCGATACAACTATGTACAGCAACAAAGTAGCATCTCAATCTTTGAAATCAATTATCATGTCTGCTAAAAGATTCAACTCTACTATCACTCCAGTATGTGTTGTTCAGAATTAAGTATTACACAAAATGGAGAACAATTCAATTGAATTGAGATCCAATTGTGGTATACCCTACGATCAAGATTCCATATACTAACAAGCAATTATTTTACAGGTTAGAACCAGTCAAGCTCCACCACCAGCTGCTTCATACTCCCAAGCTATTAAGGTTAACGGTATGTAATGATTTACAATTGAGAGTATACTCAATGGAGATTTATTTTACTAACATCTAATATATCAGGATTCATTTACGTTTCTGGTCAAATTCCATACACTCCTGAAAACAAACCATTACCACAACCAGCTTCAATTGCTGATCAAGCTGAACAAGTTATTCAAAATGTTGCCAACATCTTGGAAGCTTCCAACTCTTCATTGAAACATATTGTTAAAGCCAACATTTTCTTGACTGATATGCAAGCTCAATTCGGTGAATTCAACAAAGTTTACGCTAAATACTTTAATGACCACAAACCAGCTAGATCTTGTGTTGCCGTTAAAGAATTGCCATTAGGTGTTGATTTGGAAATGGAAGTTGTTGCTGTTGAAAAGGACGACACCAAATTGTAAGTAAGTGTGTATTTAGATAGTCAATTATCAATTTAACAGAAGACTAAGTAGATATACTTTAAAAAATAGTATCTATGGATGTAGACATTTCAATCTGTCAGAATTATCAATTTACCGTCGGTTGTAGATGTTGCAACATATTTCTTGGTCAGATAAAGAGTGTGGAGATTTTTCCACTTTTCAAAATTCACGCACGTTAGGGCTGTAACCCTAATGGTTTGGATTTGGAAATTTATATGCACACTAAGAAGGTAGAAAAAATAAAATCTATTCGCACTTTTGTCCTCCTAACAGTATGTGAAAATTTGTGTTAGTCGCACCAAATTCTAACAAAAGTTTCTCGCTTTATTGAAAATTTGAATTTTTTAATTTTTTGCTCTCTTTGATTGATTGATATTACCATACAACACAGTAACGATGGCTCAACGTATCACTTATAGAAGAAGAAATCCATGTATGTTTAAACATCAATAGATAGAATAATGATAATTATACATTCTTGGAGAGGAGTAGAGTATCACCATTTGATTTAGAACAGGGAATAATAATAAAAAAAAAAGGAGATGGAAAGATACGGAAACAGTGTTAAAAAGAAGTGATTGAAGAATGAAGATTATAATACCAAGATGGATATAATAGAAAGCGTTATAAAAGAGATGTCCGAATTCAAATAGTGAATATGTTCCACTTCAAACCATGGAATTAAAAAGGACACCAATGCAAATGAATTACACATGTTTATCATCTCAATATCACCAGAGATGAAAAATTTTCTATTCTCATTTCAACATTCACAGCAAGTAAATACTCCAATTTTTCTATTTCAATGGTGACATTTGAACTCGTCAGGAATATTATAATCTAATTACATATTTTATTATAACATAATTACTAACATTTTCTTTTTTTTATAGACAACACCAGATCTAACAAAGTTAAGGTTGTTAAGACCCCAGGTGGTAAATTAGTTGCTCAACACGTCAAAAAAGCTGCCTCCAGAGTTAAATGTGGTGACTGTGGTTCCGCTTTGGCTGGTATCTCTACTTTGAGACCAAGACAATACGCTCAAGTTTCTAAAACTCACAAGACCGTCCAAAGAGCTTACGGTGGTTCTAGATGTGCTAACTGTGTTAAAGAAAGAATTGTCAGAGCTTTCTTGATTGAAGAACAAAAGATTGTCAAGAGAGTCTTGAAGGAACAACAAGAAAAAGAAAAGAAAGCTGCCTCTAAAACTGGTAAAAAATAAATGTATTTAACAGACATGATTTAAATGTATAATATTAATAATTATATCAGGTTTAAAATGTTAATGGTTCGTGTAGATTCTTCTTTGATGGTAATATATACATCATTGTTCTTTATGTATTGACTTAATTCTTCAACTATTGTTCATTTCCCAAATCTCTTTTGAAAGTTTTGCTCTTGTCACAAGTGTTGCAAAAACCAAAAAAAAAGGTAAACTAATTCATACACCCAAACTTTTGACAACACAACTAACATCAATGACACAACTAATCTCCAACTATGAAAGTTCATTGAGGAACTTCATTAGTATGTTCTTTTGCTTAATTTCTTGAATTGTAGCCATCAGAGAAATAAACTGCTAACTTTGATTTCCAGAATCATCTAAACAGATTCATGATATTCTCGTGACAACCAATTCATTTGAAAATAGCCAATCATTGCAAATACAAACCATAGTTGACGTTGTTTTACCATTAACAGAGTCAATGTACAGAATTATTACAAACTCTTTGCCGTTAGTTCAACTACAATCTGAATTACTAGAATCTTTGGAAGTTGGTGCGGCTGAATTGTGGAACGTTTGTAGTTCCATTTCTACAAACCATGCTAATACAACATACAACATAAAGCTATTTTGTATATTGTTGCTTAGTATCTATGAATTGCTTAATCCTAGTATTGGTCGATGTTTGACAAATATTTCATGTATTATTACACTTTATTCAAATTCAATCACAAAGGATATCAATGATGTAATGAAGAAATGCAACACTTATTTGGAACCGATGATTTCGAAGTTAGTGATACTTGATAAGGACTCACCATTTGATCAACGGAATCAAAAGCTTCTTAATGAATACAAAGAAAAACTGATTATGTTGAATTTGAACTATGCTGTAATTACCAATGATTTTGTTTTAGCAAAAAGTTATGCAGAAAGAATTCTGATTTCTTCAATAAAATTGGTTGAACCTTCTTTTGTTTTTGAATGCTGCAGGGTTCTTTATAACTCTAGTTTAACCAAATATCAAGAAGAAAAGCACGATGAAGCACGGTTTTTGGTTTTGATTGCCATAAAATATTTGGAAGGGATATCAGTTGAGTCAACAAGGTACAGACAACGATATTTACACTGTTATATTCTACTAGTAAAAATCTATAAAGGAATTGATACAACTGATACAAAAAACCAAGCTAAAGAAACACTTCTTGTTTTGCAGAAAAGTTTTCCAAATTCACTTGATATTTACCATATTTATCTTGATATATGTGATTCTGAGAATATTGACGGGTTGGAAGATATGCTTATGCAAATGGTTACTTCCGTGAATTTAGAGGAAGAGTTTGATAAAACCATAAACTTGTTAAAACTGTGCGTTAACAAGAGTTTCAAAGGTGTCAACAAATGCTTAGATTATTTATTGACTCATTTTAGTAAAGAACAGAAATTTACTGAAACCATAGTGGTTACCAAATTTGTCACCAATATATTGTTATGTAAAAACACCGAATCAATGGAGATAATATCGGAATTGAGCCAGTTTATACAAGTAATCGAGAGAACGCTACAGAGCCAGTTATCAATATCTGCCAAATCAAGCATCATAGCAATTGTGTGGTCTCAAGGAATGAAAGAATACAAGCTTTGTAATTACAAAGAGAGTATTAAATGGTTTGAATTGGCTCTATCACGATTGTTTTACATTGAATATTCAGAGAACCAAGATAGAGGGAAAATTATACGGGCTATACAAAATAACCATTTTGAACTTGGAAATTATAATGAGGTTATTTCTATGGTTGAACTAATGGATAGAGAAGATAAACTGGCAATTTTAACTCAGTTTAATATATTCAGATCCTATTTGATGTTGGGAAATACCAACAAAGCAATGGAATGCATATGTAAATTAACCGAGCATGATGCTCCACTTGCTATTCTAACAATTGCAGCTTGTATTCTTGAAAGTAAAGATAAGCTAGCACCAAGTTTTATCAAAACTATTTTTCTCAAGTTGGTTGAATATATGTGTGGCTTTGAGTTTACTGAAGAATATATTAACAAGATTCAATCACATGATATTGTATTCCCAGCATGTTGCCGTTGTGCCGTGGTTATGTATAGCAATGAATTGGAAAATAGTGATTCTATTGATATTGATTTATTGTCTTCACTTCGAGAGTTACTTCAAAAAAGTTGTGAAATAGCGACTAAATTAATTGATGCTAAAGCTAAAATCTTTACAATTAACGATTTGGAATGGTTTGCAAGTAAATCATACAATATTGGACTAAGCTGTTACGGGAAGGAGAATTTAGAGCCATCTTCAAATGTTGCAAGTGATTTTTGCAAGATTAGTATATCATTTATTGATCTAATAACCCCAGAGATTGAACCTTCAAGATACCAACAATTACTATTATGGAAGACCAGAGCAAATCTTTTGAATATAATGTTTACATGTTCTAGTTATGATTTAAATGCAAATGAATGGAACGAAATCCGAACAAAATGTTTGGAATTGAAAGAAATAATTCTAAAGCAAAATCATGTGACAGAAATAGAATGGAAGGAATGTCTTCAACAAGTTATGATATATCATTTCCAGGCAGAACTATCAGTGGGATCAATTCAAAGTTTATCGACAATAGTTGACGACTGTACAGTATTCAAGAATAAGATTACAATAGAAATATTTAGTATTTTTGTTAATTTACTTATGGATACAGAGCGTACAATTGCCAATCACACGAAAAAGCAAATACTCAAACAGATTATCGATAAATCATTTAGTTATCCACAACCTGCCTTACAAAGTAAACTGATAATAACTTGGGTGAGACATTTATTTGAATTATGTGAACAAAACTATGGTGATAATGAAAAATCATTACTAACAAATTTATATAAATTGATAAAAGCAAACCAATCAGAGATAATTATTCCAACATTTGAAATTGAATGGCTTGCAACCACATGTTGGAATTTTGGAATAGTTTCACTAATGTATGTAAAAGAACATGAACTACAAGACAAAGAAGGGGGATAGCCTGTATGATACTAACATAGTTTTGATTTTTTGTTTTCTTATAGAGATAGCCGGAATCAAAGTACAGGAGTGGAGTGGTGCAGTTTCGGAGTTATACTTTCAAGATTTGTCCATGAACGACTACAACAACAAGTATGTATCACGAGATGCTTCTTATTCACTATCTTCTACAAGTAATACTAACTAAGAGGTCTTCTGTTGTAGTTACAATTGATATGGGTGGAACTATGTCTGGAGCAGAATATTTCGAAAGAGTTGCTTGATAAAGAAGTAAGCAAACATGAGTAATTTGCCAATCCTTTTTTTTTTTAATATCTTCCTAATATTAGAGTTTTTTTTTGTCTATTTTTCAAGGGGTGCGGTTTTCGAGTTCCACACTTGTCTTATCAAAAACTGCCCTCTAATAAGAAAAACCAAGAATTAACAAACCCCAAATTTAAGTATGCAACCAAAGATAAACTTCAAGGATAATAGATGAATTAGAGATTGTTTCAGAAGTTAGAATATCTAAACTTATAATGCCTACTATATTATGAATCACAAATTATTTACACCGTACGGGTCGAGGAAGTTGTTCCATGAGTGAATTCCTGGTTTCAACAGACCTTGCGGTTTTTTTCCCTTGCTAAATTTTGCAACAAGAAAATTCACTACAGGATTCTGAAATTTCCTTATCTATTTTTTTTTTTATTTTTATTTTTATTTTTATTTTAGAAGCATTGTTTATGTACATACTTTGATGCTAGTCAAAACCATACGATGACCAGCATATATTCAAGTGAATTAAAATGCCTCATGGATTTATATAAATATCAACTGTTTTCCCTCTCCTTGTTTCCTTGTTAGATCCTAAAATTGAAAACACTCACTTTACTCGAAATTCTTTTTTTTTTTTTAAATGACATCAATTATCAATCATAACAACAACAACAACAACTCACATATAATAATGGAACCTGCTGCTAATAATAAACTAATTTCAAACTATGTTAAAGATGTTTATGTTCCACCACAAAAACTAGCTACGAAGAAAGAAGTACCTCCATATCATCCATGTTTAATTGTTCAAGATCATCAAACAGATGTAACTAAATTAAAACCATGTGGATGTGCTGATAGTTATTGCGTTAAAGATGCTTCAACTTGGATTCCTAAAGCCAAATAGGAACCACTATTTAAATTCTACTTGGTATATGGTTTTATATTTCTTTTCAATAGTATATAGTTATAGATGTTCTTTTAATATGTGTGGAATGACTATCTCTTAATTGGATTGAATTCAAATTCTGAACTATTTGATGAATCAACTTGTTTAATAATATTATCATTGTTGTTGTTGTTAGTATATGTTTCTGAAGTACTAACTGAATTATTAATTCTATGATTATCAATACTATTCGAGTTATTATCAAATTGACTAAATCTTGTTGGTTGCAAATAAGGATTATTATATTTTTGTGAAATTGGTATATTTAAACTCGAATTTTTACTATCACAATCACGTGAATTCGGAGAAATACGTCCTTGATGATGATGATGATGATGATGATGATGATGATGATGATCTCGATGATCGATTAATAATAAATCATTTGATTTAGATTTTAATGGTAACGTTTTAATATCCCAATCTTTTGGATCAAATGAAGAAATAGATGAATTATCACCTTTTTCAAAATAATCAATTTTATTTTCCAATAATTTTGATGTTGATTTTGTTGATATTGGATCTTTACCAAACATTATACCAGGATGAAAAAACAAATAAATTAAACAAGTTAATAAAACCATTAAAGCATCCATTATGAATATAAATTCTTCATGAGTTATTAAATAACCTCTCCAACCTTCAGATAATTCAACAACTCTATAAATACACCGAATATAAATGAATAAAACTGAAATTATAATTATTAATGGCATATAATTGAAAAATTTCCTTGATCTAATATGAGAATAATTTGAATTATAAAAAGGTTCCAAAAATTCATTTCTTAAAAAAACCCCTTTTTTAGTATTTAATAATAAATTAAAATAATTATTAATTGAAATTTTTTTCAAACTTGTTGAATTTTTAAATGAACGAATTGTAAAATCAATCAATAAAATTAAAAATAAACTCATTGATAATACTTGAAATGCAATACCACCAACCATTATATAAGTACCAATTTTTGAATTTTTAAACATTTTTAAAAATATAGCAGCTATTGCTCCACCAATTGCTTGAATTAATAAACTTAAAACATCACAAATTATGAAAATATAACAAAACCAACGAGGTTTTAAAATTGAATAATTTTCACCATAAATAATAATCAATTGTGCTAATAAATAATAAATTCCCGCCATTATAAAAGCAGGAGCAATTGTTAAAGTTATAATTTGACATAAATATAAATTTTGATTTGACCATGAATAATGAGCTAATGTTCTTGATAAATAACCAATCATTTCTAATAGAGTACCAAAACTTAAACAAATTGAAAAATAATGATTTTTTTTAATAAATCCAAATATAATATAAATAATGGCAAAAGTTCCAAATAATATAGTAAATAATGAATTAAAAGGTACTGATAAATTAATAGCATATAGATTATAAGACCATTCAAGATTTTTCAAATTTAAAGTAGCATTAAACATTTCTTGAGTTATTTGAGGGAAATTTTCAGTATTTGTAGCAGTAGCAAGATATTCTTGATCATTTATTAAAGTGATTGAAGCAGCTAAACCTCTTGCTTTTTTAGATAAGAAATATAATGATATTGTATTTGTTTGAGTTAATATTTCATTTCTAATTTCAAGTAATGTTACTGCTAATCCTAATGTTGCAGTTGGATCAATTGTACTTATACTTGTTGAAGTAGGTAATGATTTAGGTGTCCATGTAGGTAGATATTGATTTAATAATGTTGTAGCATCCATAATTTAACAATAAATAATCCAATGATTGATAATTCAAAAAAATTCCCGTATAAATAAATAATAATATCTGGGGTAATAGAAAATATAAATCGTACCAAATAGAAAGTTTTAAGGGTCGAAGAGGGAATGACGCCGAAGGGGGAATATTTAAATATAATCACAGAAAGTAAGAACTAAGAAGAAAGGGGATATTCAAGTTAAGATCAAAAATTTTTTTTAGTAAAGTATAGCCAAGTAATTTCCAATCTAATTGATTATTAATAAAAGGTAATGACGGGTTAATGATGAGTTATTTCTCCTCTCTCTCTCTGTCTGTCTGTCTCCCCCGTCTGATCAATAATACTTAAACAGTGTGGCTTGATGTTAATAACCTTTTTTTTAAATAATAATTGTATTTAGCTCACTTTCTTTTCTACCCCAGCCGCCCACTCGGATTGTAAGGAAACTCGATGAAATTGAATTAAAGTAATAACAAAACTGTTGATAATAATAATAATTACAATAATAAACTACGAAAAAACCCAAATTTTTCTTTTTTTTTGTATGGGTCGGGATAAATGGGCAAGTACAAATACTCAATCAATCCTTGTTTAATGAATTCAATAAGCCTTATTGTATTATTAACCATGGTTACTATTTCGAAACTTAGCCTCGTATGAAAAAAAAAAATTAAGACAAACTATATACTATGACTGCACAATCATTCAACATAGTTTTGTTAAACAGGGCTTATATATTTCTTTGGTTTGCTTTATATTTCCATAAATTGCAAAAACATAAAACAACAAATAAAAATTGGTGATAATTGGAAACACAATTTCTTTCATGAAGCTGCGAAATCTTATCTCCTTGATATTATGTTTCCTATTTAGGAAATTGACACATTTTGGTTTAATTAATTGATGAACTTATGAATGCAATGATAGGCTTTAGAGCATCCAATATAGTTCCTTTATGAGTGATTTAATTTGAAGGATGTGTCGGTATTTATGCTATAAGACTTTGACTACTTTAATCATCGATGACGAATTACAATGTACCAAGAAATAAATGCTATATAAATTTATATATTAAAGAATTTTTTTTTTCTTAATTAATTTACAAATAAAATGTTACTCACTAAATGATAATTAAAACAGAATGAAATTAAAACAATAAGAACCAGAAACATTAGAATTAGGAATTAAATGAGACCATCATCTTCAAACATGACATGAAAAGGTGAACTAATGGCGGGGGGGGGGGAGTTGGAATCAAAGTACATAAATATGATAGACAGGACAACATCAAATAATAAATGAAGAATTAAAAATATAAAAACAAAACACATTGAATTATAATCAAAGAAACAAATAGGGACTATATTAATATTGCAAATTCATGAACGAGTTATTATTTTTTTTTGTATTAACTTATTTTTGTTCATTTGGAACTAATTCATTTGCAACTTGTTCTCTTTTCCAAAATCTTAACAATAAATCCCCATAATTTTGTAAATCTTCAACGGAAATCATCAACTTAAAATCTAAAAGCAATAAAAATTGCAATTCTAAATAATTCAATTCTTCCAATGGTAATCCTCCAACTTTGGCATACCTAAGATTTTTATAGAAGATATCCAGGAAAAATTTAGATGATACTGTGATTCCACTAATTATTAATCTATGAATATTATACGAATCCATGACAAACAATTGCTCTGATTCATTTGAATTAGATGGATCATTAGTATCTGAATTACTATTCTTTTTCTTTTGATTCAAATTATTGGCTTTCTTGGCAATTCTATCAAAATAAACTAATAAAGATAAAAAAACTTCATTAGTAACCGGACAATATTTCAAAACACGAGCTAAATATGCTTGTAATGAAATACCAGGTACATTAGTCCCATGAAATGCCAAAACATTGGCTAAATATTTATTCTTCATTTCATCGTCTTCGTCGTCTTCATCATCATCATCTTCGTCGTCAACATCTTCATCCTCCTCTATATCATTGTTATTATTATCATGATTACTTCCCATTCCACTATTTTCTTCGTTTCTATCAATTTCAATATCATCATCATCATTATCATTATCTGGTTGATTTTGTAATTTGTTTCTTTTCTGTAATTTCTTTAGTCTTTTTTCTTCTTTAAGTTTTTGTCGAATGGCAATAGTATTTTCAAAATGATTTGGATGTAATTTATCATTGGCTTCAATTATTTTAGTCAACAAACAAGATAACATGACTATTAAATCATTTACGGGATATTCCACAATATTTAAATGTTGATCATGATTAGGAGATCCATCTTGACTATCTTTAAGTGTTAAATTCTCCAAAAATTCGCTATATGTCATGTAATGATCAGGTTCAGGTGGTACATAAGGTGGCGGTGGAGGCAATGATTGGGATTGTGGTACAGAAGATTGTTGTGGGAAAGAATGTGCAATGTTTTGTTTTTTACCTACAGGTAAAGATGAAGTAGAATGAAAAGGTCTAACATGAGGTCTTTCTATTGGTTGTCCTGATAATTGTTGTTGTTGTGAAAATGAAGATGATGAGGAGGATGACATTTGTGCGTGGGGTGATTGGTTTTCTACCGGGGTGTTTGAGCCGCTTGTATGAACCTGTTGTTCACTAACCACTGGTTGATGTTGTTGAAATTTAGAATTATACAGTTGAGTAGATTGAAGTGGTGGAGGTTTAAAAGTTGGTAATGATGAGTTTGGAAGAGAATTTGGAATTCGTTGTTGAAATTGTTGTTGTTGTTGCTGCGGAAAAGATATTGGTGGATGTTGATTAGGTGTAACAAATGATGAAGGTTGAGTTAATGATGATGAAGTAGATGATGAACTTGTAAATCTATTTGCTGTATCATTGTCCACATTTGTAGTAGGGATAGGATTCGGTATAACTACCGGAGGTCTAAAATTTGAATTTGAATTAGATATTGAATTTGAGTTTGACATGGGCTGAGGGGTGGGTTGAGAAATGAAATTGTTTACACTTGGTAGTGAAGCGGTGTAAGAATGATGAGATGTATACGAAGAACTAACTGCAGTTGGTGTATTATGGGATGAAGGAATATAATGTATTGAATCTGTTACAATTGACCCATGTGGGTGATTTTGTTGTTGTTGTTGTTGTTGTTGATGATGAAAACTTCCGCTATTAAACGAATTGGTAAAATCCTGAGTATTATTGTAATTATTAGTGGGTATGAATTTATTAGATATATGTTGATGATCAGATTGACTTGAAGATGAAGGGTTGTTGAATATATTTTGTGGTGGTGGAGGTTGCTGATTAATTAGATTCTCACTTGATCCCACGGGAGTTATATTCCCACTGGAGGTTGAGGAGGTTGACAACAAATTTTTTGTGAGATTTGACACCTGAGGCTTCTGAAAATTGTTTGTTGACATGAGTGGGTGTTGTTTTAGCTGTGACGATGATGGTGGTGATGCTAGTGGTGGTTGTGGAAAGTAATTGTTGTTATTAGTTGAATCTAGTAAAGTTGTTTTTGTTGTTCTTGTTGATGATGAAACAGATTGGTTGTAATTATTAACTGTTGTCCTCGTTGTTGTTGTAAGAATAGTCATCTCTTTTTTTTTCCCTGAGTGGGTGTGTGCGAGTGTGCGAGTTTATTATTATGGTTGTCAGTTTTTTTCGTTGTCGTTGGTTGTCCGTTGTTCGCCCCGTTTATTTTTTGTTTGTTTAATTGTGTCTGTGTCGCTTGGCGGGTGCGTGGGTCGACGGGTGGTGGCTTCGGTCAGCTGCAGGCGAATTGGCTGAAGCAAAATTGTTTTCTATTTCTAGACGTGTAGTATAATGAACACTCCCTACTTCAAAGGTATCAATGGTGAGTTGAAGGGTGGCACGAAGGACTGGGGGGTTGGTGGATAATTATGACTCAATATTGTGGATCACGGAACAGTATTGTTACTCTCTTGTTTTTGTGATTATGATACAATACAAAATTCAATTGGTTGAATAACAAAAAGAAGAAGAAGAACAAGAAGAGGGAAATTGATGAAATTGATGAAATTAATGAAATGATTTTTCTTTAATTTTCAATCAAATTTGTCAATGGAAGTATCGACGTTTATATAATATATAATGGGATGACCCATAACTATGATCATTTATCATTTGCATTATTAAAAGTATGAGATTTGAAAAAAAAACCGCAACTTCGGCTCTATGTAATATTACAAAAATAGATATGACCCCTTTTTGTTTCATCCTATTCAATTACCATAGCCTTCCTACTAGATCAATAACCAGTGTCTATGTAATTCCTTGCAATGCAAACCATGTCGAATTGATTTGCTTACATTATATTTTTTATGTTTTTTTTCAGCCATTACATCATTCGTCATATTACATCAAATTTAGTGCGTCTGATTGTTCCGTCACGATCACGATCCTCCTCAACCCGGGGGACATTTAATTCCATAGGAAATAGGATGGAAATCACGATAATTGATTTACATATCATTGAAATAAGATGAAGAATTCCTGATAATGTCCACGAAGGGTGGGTTTCTTTCTTTTTTTTTTTTTTAACAAAGATCTACGTAAAAATAAACCATTCAATGAACTACGGAAAATTGTTTATTCATTACGGAAATACTGCAAAATCTTTGATACCAAAAAATTCGATCACATCTTAATTAAACTGAAAAGAAATTTATCTAGAGATATTGATGTGTTTATAATTAATAAAATTACTAACTAACTTAAAGTATTTTTTTCATAACCAGATAATTCGCTTAGGATTTAATCACTATCATTGAGGTGTCGAAGAAAGAAACAGTTATTGACATTATCATGCCCATATTGTTGATTAAGTTATTAAAAGCGACTTGGAAGTGAAGGATTTTCAATTCCCCACTTGTTTTCAACCATCCATGATACAAAACATCAACCAAGAGCAATTATAGTAAGTAACAAGCTTAGCCGCTCGCTCATGTTTATATATATATATGTATGATTCAAGAAACGAATACTTGAAAGATGATTTGAAATAGAATGCGCCAGTTACCGATCTGTAGCGTGTACTTTATACCAAAAAAATACTCAAATCACTATTATCATCATCATCAAGCCAAGGGAAAAAAACTCACGACATTAGGAATTTTCAAACCCCATAACTCAAACCAAATTATCCTTTTTTTTTTTTTGAAAAGAATTCTTTAATATCATCATAGTGATATATCCATATCTATATATATATATATAATGTCAACAGCATCTAAAATAACACTTGGATTATCATGTTCATTTGCCCTTGGTGCATTTATATTTATTAATTATTCTCAACAAGCTGAAAGAGAAGCATTACGACAAGGACCAATTAAAGATGCTATTCGTCAACAAGCTAAATTACAATTAAATAAAGAAAAAACTCAAAAACAATTAGCTAATGAATTAGAACATAAAGAACAAATGGAATTAAGAGAAAAATTAATTAAATCACAACCTTTAATGGATGAAATTATTCGTGGTGAAGAAGGTAAAATTATACCTCCTAAAGAATACGAAACATAAATCAACAAAAACTAATAAAGTGTTCATGTAAATAGTTAAATCAAATACAAAAGAGAAAGAAAGAGAGAAAGAGAGAGCATTAATATATATATATATGTATATAAAATGTATGTGTTCTTGGAGACACCAGAAAGTTTTGTGATAATTAAATATCTATATCTCTGATGTACTATGATGCACAGGGTCTTACCCCTTTGTTTAATTTACAAATACTCCATCTTCCAATAAATATCAACAAAAAAGAATCAAATGAAAAGACATTGAAATAGAATACTTGTGGAATAATAAAGTCAAGCTTTTATTGACTTACCAAAACGGTTCGTCAGAAGTAAAAGATGTCTGATCTGTAGATTTGATCAAGGCCAAAACTCTTCCTTTCTTCTAATCAATATAAATATCTTTATTGATTCTTTATTGATCCAATTGAAGTATTCGATGGCTAAAGAAAGAAAGAAAAAAAAAAGAGGTATGTGAAGGTTGAAAAAATTTTTTTTTTCTCTTTCTCTCTTTTTCTTCCTTCATGATGATGATGATCAAGATGAAGAAGACGATGGGGGGATTAAACTCTCATTTTTGTGCGTCGCGCGTGGCATGCCGCGGTAGTATATCACGACCGAAGTCTGTACCTTTCCTATATAGTTAAAATGTCTATTTAATACCAAGTATGATTATCAGTTATTAATATTATATGTATTATTTATATATTAGAAGCAAAAATAAAGTATCTTATTACTATCATTCAAGTTTTTTATGTTTTTTGTTTTTTGTTTTTCTTTTTTAAGTTTTCTCATGTTTCAGGAATTTATATTCTTTTTTTTTATTATTTTTGCAATTTTCAATAACTATCATTTACTCTTCTATTTGATCTTTCAACAAATTTAGTATATTGATTCATTTTTTTTTAAGCTTCCATAGTACCAATTACACTTTCTTCAACATATGTTTCTTTTTTATTTTCATTCATCACTGAAAAATTTGTCTTCACTGGTAATTCAGATTTCACATTATTTAGATAATTTGTTGAATTTGGCGATTTTAAATTTGATGAATTTTCATATTTATTCCCATTATTTTGTTCAGATTCTAATATAGGTGATGTAACTTCATGTTTTTCATATATTGGAGGTTCATGAGAAATAGAACGTAAACGTCCACGATTTAATCTATTTTGTCCATCATAATCTTCTGTATCATCATCATCATCATCTTCTTCTTCTTCATCATCCTCATATTTTCCTCCATTATTGTTACTATTATTACTATGGTATCCATTTTTAAACAGTATCGACAGGTTTTCTTCATGATTCATCAGTATATGATCATCGGTATTTATTATAGAAGGAGTTGAATTGTTTGAATTTGGCGGTGAATAAGGTGATCCTCCATTTGAGTTAATATCAGACAGTGAAGATTTTATTTTTGAATGTTGTTGATTTATATGTCTTTGAACAGCTTGTTGATGTTGACTTTGTATCATTCCATTTCCATTATTACCATTATTATTTTCATTCATTCCAACTAAAATACTAGCAGCTTCTAATAATTGAACTTGTTGATGTTTTGAAATTAATAATTTTTTAGTTACATTCCATTCAGGTGTATGTTCCCATAAATGTTTAGCTAATGAAGATATATGTTTATAACCTTTACCACATGCTTCACATCTTAATTCTTCTTTTAATCTACCTGTTTCTCCTTCACTTATTCTCCGAACAACAAATTCTCTTGATAATGTGGGTACTGATGCTGATAATGGTGGGGATGAAATAAATTGTCCTGAGCTTGGCGCAGAACTCTGGCTATGTGAATGAGAATGTATATGATTTTGATGCTGATTTTGATTTTGATGTTGATGTTGGTGTTGATGTTGGTGATGATTTGTATTATTGTGATTATTGTTGTGTCGCGAGTTATTTGAATTATAACTATGATGATGATGATGTAATTGATAATTTGACATTATAGGTGACTGTTGCTCATGATGATGATGATGTTGATTGTGAGTATGAGTATGATTATGATGAGGTTTAGAAGTTGTTGTTGGTATAGTGTAAGGAGTTACATTTGAATTTCTTCTTCCATAATTAAACTGTGTCGATGCTGTCATGGTTATAGTTTTTATTTTCTTTTCCTGCCGATTATTCCCTGTTATTTATATGTGTATGATTCTTTTTCTTGTTCTTCTCCAGATACTTCTTGTTATAGATCGCTATACTTCTGTAATATGTGTCTTATTATAGTAATTTTGAAAATATTGATTGTAGATGATGAAGGATGATGAATCTTTTAGTTTTCATTATTTTCAGTGAGTAAAATGAGTGAGAGAAAAAAAATTTTTTTTTTTTTTTTTTTTTGAGCTAAAAAATTTTTTTTTTTATTTTATTTTGGCGCGCAAGATGGCTAAAATTTAAAACAATAGATTTTTTTTTTTTTATTTGTTCTTTTCTCCTCAATCGGGCATTAAGTCGTGGTGGTACCAGAGGTGGTGGTACCGGTCGTGGTAGTCATTCGGATAACCGGGCGCGTGAATAACAACAAACCACCTCAATAATTCTGGTTTAATTACGCACTTCCTTGGAACCCAACAATGATTCACATGAATCATCATCATCATTAATACCATCACCATCACCACTCGTCTTCAACAGAGATCAAACAATAAACTACTACATCAACAGTAAATCCACAATAGAATAATTCTCCATTTATTTGAAAGAAAAAAAAAATTACAAAACTATAAATATCAAAAGAAAATTAATAAAAGAAACTCACTCAGTTTAAGAATATTTGCACCTCATAATAATGTTAATATCAAATCAACTTATTTTCTTGGAGATAATTCCAAAATTTCCTTTTTAATAAGGTTGGACAATTCTGGTGAAACTTTAGCAAAATAAGCAATAACTTTGTCTTGAATTGGAGCATCAGCAGCAGATGCATGAACAGCAACATTGTGTGCCAAATGTTCTTGTTGATTTGGATATCTCTTTAAAACTTTCCACAATTCTTGGGATTGTTTGAAATCAGCTGGAGTGGCTTTCCAGTGGAATGGAGTAGCAGCACCATGCCAAACTTCTTGATCTTCTTGAAGGGAAAATTGTTTAAATTCAATTGGCTTGTCAGATGCCAAATAGTTTGGATGGCTACCCAAGTTACCATTAACATTCATGGCACCATCTCTCATATGTGGGTTGAAAACAGCTCCAGTAACCGGACAATTGACTGGAATTTGAGTATAGTTAGTACCCAATCTGTGTCTGTGAGTATCAGAATATGAAAATAATCTGGATTGCAAGACTGGATCAGCAGATGGTTCCATGTATGGAACAGTATGAGCTGGTGAGAAAGCAGCTTGTTCAACTTCAGCAAAATAATTCTTTGGATTTTCATTCAAAGTAAATTTACCAAATCTTCTCAATGGATATTTGCCATGTGGCCAAACTTTGGTTAAATCAAAAACCGAAAAATCAGCTTCTTTAGCTTGAGCTTCAGTCATGGTTTGAATATAACAAGTCCAAGATGGGTAATTACCAGCAGCAATGTTTTTAAACAAATCTTCTTGAGCATAATCAGGATTGGAACCAGCCAAAGAACCAGCTTCTTCATTGGTTAAAGTCTTGTTGCCTTGATCAGTAATGAAATGAACTTGAACATAATGCCATTCACCCTTCTTGTTGGACCATTTATAAGTGTGACCAGAATAACCATTCATTTCTCTATAAGAAGCTGGAGTACCTCTATCAGAAAATAAAATCATAACTTGATGATTGGATTCTTCATTACTGGTCAAATAATCCCAAAACATATTAGCATCTTTCAAATGAGTTTCTGGATTTCTCTTTTGAGTATGAATAAAATGTGGGAATTTAGATGGATCTCTAATAAAGAAAACTGGGGTATTGTTATAAACTAAATCCAAATTACCTTCCTCGGTATAAAATTTAGTAGCAAAACCTCTTGGATCTCTAGCAGTATCAGCAGAACCTGCTTCACCACCAACAGTAGAGAATCTAGTGAAAATTCTAGTTTTTTTACCAACAGTGTCTAAAAATTTAGCAGCACAAATGTCAGTGATATCATCAGTAACTTCAAAAACACCATAAGCACCAGAACCTTTAGCATGAACAACTCTTTCTGGGATTCTTTCTCTATCGAAATGAGCCAAGGAATCAATCAAGTTGAAATCTTGTAATAACAATGGACCATGTTGACCTACTCTTTGAGTGGCGAATGGTTCTGGGATTGGTTGACCATTTGAATTGGTAAAAGTTGGAGCCATTATGATATGAGATTGTTGTTAGACAATTATATAAAAATTAAATATAAAAATATGACAACTAAAAAGAAAAAAAATTAAAGAATAAGAGGAGAAACTTTTTAGTAATCAATTGATTTTTATTTGGTAGAATTCACGGGGGTATTTATACTTTGAAATTTTAAAAGTGGGTTGCCATTTTTTTTTTCCTTTTACAAACAACAAAAGAAGTTTAGGCGGGGGTTGTCTACTGTAATGGAAAAATAACAAGGATAAATTTCTACTTTTCACTTTGTGGGTGTGGATGTGTGTGCGTGCGCGCGTGAGGATCATTTTTCATGTGGTTTTTTACAATCATTCCAAGTATCATCACGGAGGTCTGGTCTTGACAATTGTGGAGTAGTATCTTACAAGCCTTATTGTAATTACAGAGATCCAGTTCGACAATTGATTAATAAGCATTATGTTAATATTAATTAACACCTTATTGGTTGTATTATATTATAAGGTTGCTTGTCTAGACAAAAATTTGTATTAGTTATAACTATGCCGTCATTGGTTAATTTCAATTGCTGTGATATTATTATTTTTTTTCTGGGGAACAATTCCAGCTTGTCTTGCGGTATTAGCAACCAAAAGAAGTAATTTATTTTTTTTTTCTGTTCTTTGTTTGTTCCTCGGTTTATCTCTAATTTTTTTATTAGCATACTAAATTTCAAGTCGCACGCGCACACACACCCGTTATTCCATTTATCAGTTGTAAATTAAACAAAGCCCGTTAAAGTTATTCATCTGTTCATCAAAATCAAGTCTCGGCGTGATCTTCAATGAATAATTATTGTTAATCACCTCATCCAAATGGTATTGTCATTTGTGATACATTCTTAACTTAATTTATATATATTCAGCAATTATAAGTATAAGCCCATCCAGCAAACTACCATTAATAACAGCAATCTATCGTACAATAACTCATCTACTTACCCGCCAACAAGTTTTGCCATGTAATATCGTTTCTTCATCAATTGTACATCCACCCCCCCCCCCTCCTGACGGCATAATCTAAATCTCATAGTGTACAAAATATTCTCTCATCTAGTTATTATTAATCAAATTACGGTCTAGACACATTTGATTCGTTGTGTGCATATACACGACCATGATTATAAACTGTCAGTTAAAATAAGAAAGTTTCTTTCTTCTCCTCTTCTTCATCTTCATCTTCATCGTCTTCTTCTTCTCCCCTTTTTACCATTTGTGTAATTTTTAATACCGAAATCTGCGAATTATACGAGATCATGTGAACACCACTCGTGAGTTATAATAACGTGATCCATTTCAACGTGACATACATCTATATATCTATATCTATATCTATATCTATATATTACTATGAATTACTTATTTAAACTTTGTCTCCATTCAACAAATTCATTAGTTAATAAATCACCATTTCTTAATTTTGAATTAATTTCATCATTTGTTTCATCAAGTGTAAAAGATTTTCTAACAGGATCATATTTTAAACGATAACTTTTATTTTCATTATTTTTATCAATTGAATCATTTAACCATTCAACAACAGCACCATACCATTTTAAAGCATTTGTACAATTGATTTTCTTACCGATTTTTGAAGATTCGCCAGTTTTTGGATTTGGATCAGTTAAAGGATTATTTTTAATTAATATTGGGATTTCTTCAGTATTATAAATTTCAACATTTTTTAAGAATAAATTATCATCTCTAAATCCATAAATTATTTTACCAACTCCCATTAAAAAACATTGACACCAAGTTTTAAATAATTTTTTTTCAAAATTTATTAATTGAATATTATTTTCAATAATTCTACTTGTTTTCAATTCAACATAATGATTTAAATTTTTAGTTGATTCTTTATTACCATTACCATTACCATCATCAGGTAAATAATCCCAACAACAATCAATTTCTCCAGCTAATGTTAATTTAACTTGTCCAATTCCTGTTCTAATAACAGAAAGATATTGTTCATAATTATTAACTACTTTCTTATTACGTGATTCAATAGTTGATCTACTAACTTCACTCCAAGGTTTTGAAATAGTTGAAATAGTTTCAAATTTATAACCTGAATATTGACATTTTTTAATATATTCATATTTTTCAGGTGTATTTGTTTGTTTTAATCTTTGTTCTTGTTCAATTTTACGATTCATTTCTAATTCATTATCAAAATCAATAAAAATTTGTCCATCAAATACAACAATATAAAGATCTAATGGATCAGTTAAATTATAAGGTATATTCATTATTCTAGTCATAATTCCTCTAAATGTAATTATATCACTTGTGATTTTTTTATTTTGTTTAATTTCATAATTTTGTATAGCTTTTAATAAATATTTAAAACTTTTAGTGTTTGCTTCTTCTGGAATTTGTTTAAATTTAGAATATCCTGATTGTAAATCAATTCCATAATCTATATATGAATCAGGTAAATAATAATATGACATTGCTTCCCTTTCTGCATTTTCATAATGATAATTCCCTTCTATATCTCGTGAATATGTAAATAATTCACGTGGTTGTTTTAATGCGGTAGTTTTGGCTCTTGAATTTAATGGAAGCGATTTACTCATCTTTATTATATTATCCTTAATATATCAATAGTAATATACTGATACTAATACATCATCATCATCACTCTCATTTTTTTTTTGGTTTGAATTTTTTTTTTTCAGGTATCATCAAACAAGTCGTGTGTGTTTCAATATTTCTTTCTCACTTGTTAAAGAGACAAACTCCAATTGAGTGAGAGAAAGAGAGAAAAAGGAAGAAAGAAAAGAAAAAAAAAATTTCATTCCAATATCAGAAATTAAATACATACATTCATACATCCGCTCCTGGATAAATAGATAGATCATTTCATAATCATGGCTACAAAAGGTGCATTAGTTAAATTAGTAGTTGAAGCAGGTAAAGCCGCACCAGCACCACCAGTTGGTCCAGCATTAGGTTCAAAAGGTGTTAAAGCTATTGATTTCTGTAAAGAATTTAATGCTCGTTCATCAATTTATAATGGACCAATACCAATTCCTGTTGTTATTCAAGTTAAACCTGATCGTACATTTACTTTTGAAATGAAATCTCCTCCTACTTCTTGGTTATTATTAAAAGCTGCTGGTATTGAAAAAGGTGGTGGTGTTGGTTTAAAAGAACCTGTTGGTCAAGTTTCTTTAAAACATGTTTGGGAAATTGCTAATATTAAAAAAACTGATGATAGACATAAAAATGTCGATATGAAAGCTATTGTTGGTTCCATCATTAGTACGGCCAAACAAGTCGGTATTACTGTTGTTCCATAGATTAAATATTCTCCTAAATAAAAAGTGTTCATGTATATAGAAAAGAAGATATGAAAAAGAAGAAAAATATTGCATACGTTATTTTTATAACAATGATAATATCATAATATTTATTCAGTAATAATAATAAAAAAAAATATGCAAAATACTATAAAGAAAATAAAAAAAAGTTGATATCTTGAATTCATACCCTGAGTTCGGATATCAGTTTTGTTTTGTTTTGCTTTTTTTTGTTGGAAACGGTGTCTATTAATACAGAATATTAAGATTATTTCTTTTTATTCTTTTCAAAAGCGGCAATATGTGCTTTTGATTGATCAACTTGTGTATGTTCATGATCTTCACATTTAACAACTTCATATACATTTGATCCAGTGTAAGTTTCTTCAACAGTACACATTGAAACTGAACTTAACCAAGGATCATTGAAAACTTCATCAATTGTAATACGACATGCAGGTGCCAATTCAACCATACGTCCAATGACATTTCGACAATCTTCTGGTAATGCCAATAATAACCTATTAGCACCAGTCTCACTTGATGTATGATCTTTACCATTAGGTGTAGAAGCAGCTGGTGATGATTTACTATCTTGTTTTGGTGTTTCTTTTGCTGCCTTTGGAGTAGCAGTAATTTCTTCTTCTAAAGCTTCACTAATGTCTTGTAAATTACTAAGGCCATTTCCACTTCCACTTCCACTTCCATTACTATTTGATTTTTCCACAATATCATTAGGGGTCTTCTTCAACATTTCAGAAATTGGAATAAATTCACCTCTACTAGCAAATAATTTAAAACTTGAATCAGATAATTTTGGAACTTTCCATGGAAATTTCTTCAACATCATACAACAATAAATAATAGCAGCCGACCAAACATCAACTGGTCTTGGATCATATTTATTAAACACACAAACTTCGGGAGCCAAATAAGGATCTGAACCAACAACACCTTGTGCTTCAATTAATGTCTTGGTAAATGGATATGAAAAAACTACTGCTGATCCAAAATCAATAATTTTAACAATACCTCTTTTATCAATAACACAATTATCTAATTTTAAATCACGATGGGCTAAACCCATAGAATGTAAATAATGAACACCAGCTAATATTTGTTTAAAACAACAATTTATTTCCTCACGAGACATCTTATTAGACATAACAATAGCAAATAAATCATAATCACAATATTCCATAACTTGATAAATACGTTCATTTTCATAACAAATTTCAACAGTTTCAATAATATTTGGATGTTTTAAAGTAGATCCAATACAATATTCACCGGTAATCTTTTTGGCATAATCACGTTTAGATTCATTTTGATATTTGGCACGGAATTCTTTAACAGCAAATGTTGTGTTATCAGAAAGTCTAGTAAGTAATTTAACTGAACCACCTGCACCAGCACCCAAATCTTCACCAGCTTTACTGTATCTTTTTGAGAATGGCAATTGTTGAGATCCATTAACAATCCCCAGAACAGATTGGCGTCTTTCTTGATAGTTGATTTTATTTTGTAAAGTAGAATTACGACTTACTGATGATGAGGTTTGTATAGAACTATTATTAGTGATACTTCCTGGAGATTGAGAATAAGAAGCATTTGAAGTAGTAGCACTAAATGAAGAAGGAGAATTGAACCCATTATTTGAATTCTTATTACCTGGAATATTCATGGCATTAATATGAGAACTTGAACTAGCAGATCTTAATGATGAAGATAAATTCAGGACTTGAACTGGTTGTGATTGAGCAGTAGGAGTCGATTTTTTGAAAAATCTCTTTAAATTAGCCATAGAATTGTGTCTTGTTGGTGCACTACTATTGGCGCTAAATGATAAGTTTGATTCTGCCGAAGATAATGAGTTTGGAGAAGAGCCAGGTAAAGTTGGATCCCTATCTTGATAAGAATTATTATAAAATGAACCCAAATCAGTGACAGAATCCCTTTTAACTGCCGGTTTATTTTTAGATGAAAACAAATATGATAATCCAGTTTGAGAGCCTGATCTTTGTGAACTGCTCAATTGAGCAGCTTGTGCTTGAGCATGGGCTTGAGCAACTCTTTGTTTGGAAACAACAAATCTAGAATCAATACTTGAAGCATTGACTTGGGGTGATTGGAAATGAATAGAATTGATAGGTTGACCATTTGGTAAATTTGGAATATGTGAAGTTGAATAATTACCAGCACTATCATTAGTATTTAAAGAAGAAAATGAACCTTCACGTTGTAAAGGAAGTTGAGAACCATTTGAAGAAGTAGAATTACCATTGGAATTACCATTATGACTGGTTGAATTACCTCTTCCACCAGGAGCAGAATAAGGAATTGAAGTAGATAAACTTTCACCACCCATGAAAAATGAAGAATGACTAACTGAATTATTTCTAATATTTCTTGGACTGGCTATAGTTGATCTAGCAGGGTTTTGAAAAGCATGATTGCTTGAAAAAGAGTTTGAAGATTGTCTTGTAAATGGAGAAGTTGGGGTGAAAGATGAAGATGTGTTGGTGCTTGGGAAAGGTTTTGTATTTGGAGAAGGAGAAGGAGAAGGATCAAAACCATGTATTATATGAGGTCCATTATTAGTAGAGCCAGATGTGTCTATTGCTGGAGGTTTTGGTTTTGATGAAGCTATGTTGATACCTGCTGATGAGTTATCGTTACCGTTGTTGTTGTTGTTTTCAGAAAGTGGTGAATTTATAGTGGAGTTAACACCAGAAACAGTAGACGATTTAACATGTTGAGAATTCAAAGAAACTTCTGATGGATTTTTCGATAGGACCGGAGTAGTTAGTGTTGAAGAAGATTCATGTAATAATTTAGTTAATGAAGAAATGGGTTGTTGTTGTTGTTGCTGTTGCTGTTGATTAGTATCAGTAGTCATGGTTTATAGGCAGTGTGTAGTAATATAATAATGATAATAGCTTGTTGGTTATCAGATTGGCGGTAAATTGGTTGTAAATATATCGTTGAGTTTTTTTCTTTCGTTGCTGAGTTTTTTTTTGTCTACCTTCTCTGTGGACAAAAAAGGGTCGTTGGAATAGAAAGATGGGAACGAAAAAAAAGAAGAAAATGTTAAAAAGTTAATTGCCCCAATTTAATGCACAATGATCTAAAAAGCGATGAATGTGATCTATGGACAGGAGGAGGAGGAGGAGGAGGATGAATATTGATGAACAAGTATCAATGAATCAACCAATATGGATTTAAAGAGTAAGAAGAGTAAAAAACCACTAATATTAAATTAAATTTAATTTAATTTTTAGTGTTGTGTTTGCTTTGATAATCGGTTGTAAAAAAAATTTTTTTCATTAGCGTTGATTTTGATTTTGATTCTGATTATGATTTCAATGTTAATGTTAATGTTAATTTTATTAAAGTGAGTAATCATCATTGTTTTTCGCTGATGAGTTTTTCTAATTTCTAATTTGTTTGTGATAAGCTCTCTCACCAAAAACAACACGAGATTAACTAGTCGTGTACTTGTGTTATCTTTTTTTTTCTCGTTTTCCACGGTGATAATGTACTGTGAATAACCGCGACAACTTATCCGACGTAATAATTAACCAATCAAATTACTGGTAAATTAGTAATTATCTTTACTACACTTCTATCACTACTATCATGATGATGATACTTCAAGTTGACGAGCAGTTCAACAAATGAACTAATAAAACAAAAAATGGGGGGCAACCACATTCAACTATCCTCTATTGTTGCTTATATTCCCCCTTTGTTTCATATCCGCTTTTAGACTACCCGCTAACATACAATTCTCATCCATTTGGTCTTATATATATATATATATATATATATATATATAACCATTAGGCAATATGTACCATATCATGCGTTATACTATAATAGTCTCCACTTTTTTTCTTCTACTTTGTAGTAGTAGAATGCCATCTTTATTTATTGTCTTAATCACTCGTACAACAATACCCGGGATAACTCGAATCTACTCCCATCTGGTAGTGCGCAGTCCAGATCCAGATCTCACTCAGCGGAGGATGACAAAGAAGAGGGGAACGGAACATTCTCTCCAAAATTGCCTACAGAAACAAATCAATATTTGCCGCAACTATAACCAAGTAACCTTACGGCACTAGAGATATTTCTTATTTTAAGCCCAAGAAGTTGTTAATATATTACCTATACTTTTTTAGATTTCCTTTTGGTTTTATTTGATTTTTGCTTAATTGCAGTACTTTTACCACTACCACTATTACCAACACTCTTTAATGCTTCATCATCGGGAAATAATGGCATTTCATTAGGATCACCATTATTACCATTACCAATACCAATACCAATTTGGTTTCTTAATGTATTTAATTTATATTCCAATTCTTCAGGAGTTTCTGGTTTAATATTAATATCTTTCTTTCTATCCAATTCTTTCTTCTTTTCTTGTTTTGATTTACTTGAATTTTCATGTCTTTTACGTTCAATAGCTGATTTCATTTCAATTTTTTTAATCAATTCTTCTGTTTGTTTAAATATTTTCACTTGTAATTCTTCATCAGTATATTCTTTTCTTGCTTTTGTCATAATTTTACATTCTTGAATAATATTTCCTCCTTCAATTTTCATAAATATAGGTGCAAATAATGCAAAATAAAATGATTGTGCTCCTTGTGTAACACTTTTAAGAAATAACCACCAAATTGGAAACATAATTAAATATAAAAATAACCCCCATATACTACCCATTGATATAAATCTTCTTGTTGATGGCGTTCTAACAAGTCCTGGGTTAACCATATTAATACGAACATTACATGGTGTTTGATCTTTTCTTTCATATGCCATTAATTGTCGTTGATATTCTTTAGCAAATAATCCCAATAATAATTTAGAACTTCCATATATTTTCCATGGTTGATTTTTAGGATATTCTTTATTTTCCCATAATAAATCTTCCAATTCAACATCACCTAAATTTTGTGATGAACAAGTAGCAATTAACACTCTAACATCCCTATCTGGTGGTTGTACTCTTAATGAAGGACCCAATAAAGTTAATAAATGGAAATGGGCCAAATAATTAATACCCATTTGTTTTTCAATTCCATCAATTGTAAATTGTTTTAATCCACCTTTTGGAATACATTCGGCTGCACAACAAATAACTCCATCTAATCTTCTAGGTGGGGTATTATCTAACCATTTAGTAGCAAATTTTCTAATTGAATATAATGAATTTAAATCACATTCTTCAGCATAAATTAATCCATTATTTGTTTTATCTCTTAAATCTTCAATATATTCAGCTATCCATTGATCATTTGTTCTTCTAGTTAATAATATTAATTGTGCTCCTCTTTTACCTAATTCATAAACAATTTCTGCACCAATACCACTAGTACCTCCGGTTATCATAAATACTTTCCCATGCATATCACGATCCCAAGTATTTGTAGCTCCATGAGAATAATATTTTAATCCTCCAAGAGTTAATAATATTGGTCCTACTATAGGTCCATATTCTTTAATTTGTTTCCAATATGGAATAACCTCAGGTCCATCAAATACAACACTAGTTAAGAAATTAACTGGCATGATTTATCTCTATTTAACTAAAAGTTGGTTAAAGGGTTGGCTGAAATAAAAAAAAAAAAGCATACTGGAAAATTTTTCTGTGTTGTCTATAGAAAAGAAAAACCAAAACAAAAGTGGCAACCCTTGATTAGACGGACCCAACTGCTTGTACATTAACACGATCATTGGTACCATCTAGGGCGCACCACCACGACCATCACCACCATTACCACCACGACGAATATTCCTATCTTTTTTACTGCGACTTCAATCCATCGTGGAATTTTGTTTTTTTTTCTTGCATGAATTTTCTTTTTTTTTTCATTATCTCATCTCATCTATTCATCTTTTTAACAATACATCATCAACCAACCAACTAACTAACTTACCAATCATGGATGAAGTAGTATTTTATATTGGAGAAGGGGATCCAAATGATAAACATAGTCAAGAATCCTATGGATATATTACATCAATTCATACATCAAAACAATATTCAACATTTCGTCAAGCAAATTCATTTAAAAATGGTACTGTTTTAACTGGTATTGGATCAGGTGAAAGAATATTTTGTTGTGTTCCTAATAAAGCATTAATTAATGTTTATTCATTTGGTAAAGAAAGTATTGATCAACGTATACCTGTACCTGAAGCATTAACTTGTTTGAATTTAATTAATCATCCTATATCATCAATTAATAATAATAATGATGATGAATTGTATAATAAAAGTAATTATAGAGTTCCTTGGTTATTAGTAGGTGGATCAAAAAGTGGGAAATTATATATATGGGAATTAAATTCAGGTAATTTATTATGTGTTAAAGAAGCTCATTATCAAGGAATAACCGTTATTAAAAGTTCTAAATGTGGAACATTTTTAATTACTGGTGGTGAAGATGCAAGATGTATAATTTGGAATTTACATGAATTAATTTCAATTTATAATGATAAATCTGATAAGAATGATAGTAATAATAATAATATTGTTAAACCATATTGGCAAATTACTGATAATACATTACCATTAACTGATTTAATTTTAAATGATGTTGAAATTTTAAATGATTTAAAATTATATACTACTTCAAAAGATAACACTGTTAGAATTTATGATATTATGACTAAATCTTTATTAACTACATTTATTTTACCTGATTCTGTTGAATGTATAACTAAAGATCCTTCAAATAGAGCATTGTATGTTGGTTTATCAAATGGTTTGATTAGAACAATACCATTATATCAAATAAATCCTCATACTTCGGTTTTAGAAAGTATTGGAGGTATGAATAAAATTATAACTTTAGATCAAGATCCAAATTTGAAAAACACTTTTGTTCCTCATCAACAACAACAACAACAAAATGAAGGTAAACAAATATTAGTTACTAAATTGGAAATTTCATTAGATGGTACTAATATAATATCTGGAGATTCTCAAGGTAGAGTATTTGTTTCAGATATTGTTACTAAACAAGTTGTTAAATCATTTAATGCTTGTAATTCTTCAATTTCTTTCATTGCAGTAGATACAGTACCAAATGGATTTGATTTATCAATTAATGATACCACAACAACAACAACTAAAAATAATAATAATAAAGATAAAAAACATAGAATGATTCCTAATTTTAAAAGAGTATTAGCTAGTACAAATCCAGAAGATCATCAATTAATGTTAGATATTCCAGGTAAAATTCAAACATCTAATAATAAAAAGAATGATGATGATTTTGAAAATTGGTTAAATAATAAACAAATGGAAGAATTAGAATTTAAAAATCTTTCAAATATAAATTCAACAGTTAAAAAAGTTGAAAATGGATCATCTTCTAATAATAATGATAATAATAAAGAACTTGAAGATAAATTACAAAAAGTATCTCAAGCTTATACTGAATTAAGATCTAAACATGAAGAATTAATTAAAGAACATGCTAAATTATTAGATAAATTATAAATAATTGAATAAATAACCAACTCACTTATATATATATTAATAATACAAACTAGAAACTAAAAACACGACGTAGTACATACACACACACACACACTCCTTAGTGAGCTTTATTCATTTTATTTATTTATTTGAAATATTAAACCCCATTAAACTTATAGTATTATTTGAATCAATTGTATTTGATAAATCATGATGATTAATTTTCTTTTCTCTTGATCGACTTCTACCTCTTTTATCTTGTTCTTTAATCATATTAGATAATTGATGACGAGTGATTAATCTAGGATGATCATGATCTTGAAACTTATTCCCCTGTGTTATTCCTGAAGTCGATGTTGTTATTGTTGATGATGATGATGATGTATTGGTAATAGATCTTTCATTTGATCTTGATCTATAAGGAAAAGGAGATACTGATCTTGAAGGCAGTCTTGATCTTGTTTGACTAAGATTAGACAATGATGATGTTAGTGGTCTATATTGTTGTTGTTGTTTTTGATTATTATTATTATTATGTCTAGTTGGTGAAATATTCATGTAATTTAAATTAAATTTAACAGATTGATGGATTTTTTAAATGAAAATTGATATTTACACTTTATTGATAATTTTTTTCCTCTTTTCTTCTGTGTACACGTTCTTATTCTCATTTCAACTTTTAAAGAAGAAGAAGAAGAATTTTTTTTTTTTTGCTGTCTCACTCGTTACAAGTCATCGCTTTTATTTTGACAATTATTAGATTTACCTCATCTCTCTGATCATCATCATCATCATCGTCAACCAATTATAAATAACGACAATGTCAGAACCAACATCAACAACAAAAACAACAGCAATAACAGAAACACCGACAACGGCTAAACTTTCTAAGAAAGAAAGAAAAGCACTTCAATTCCGTAAATCAAAAGATGAAAGAGATGCAGAAAAAGAAGAAAAATTACAAAAGAAAAGAAAACTTGAAGAAGAACAAGAACAATCATCATCATCATCATCATCAGCAACTAATACAACAGATGAATCATCAGATCAACCTAAAAAGAAGAGAAAAACAAGAAGAGGTAAAAAAGGTAAAGGAGTTAATGGAGGTAAAGGACCAAGATTTATTTTATTTGTAGGTAATTTACCTTATGATATTAAACAAGTTGAATTAATTTCCCATTTTAAAAATAGTAATCCTGATAGAATTAGAATTAGACAAGATAAAGGTATTGCATTTTTAGAATTTGATAATGAAAATCAAGAAATTCAAAGTAAAATGGAATTAGCTTTACGAATGCATCATAGTGAATTAAGAGGTAGAAAAATTAATGTTGAATTAACTGTTGGTGGTGGTGGTAATTCAGAAAATAGATTAGCTAAATTAAAAGAAAAGAATGAAAAAGTTTATGAAGAAAGAAAGAAAAGAGTTCAAGATAGTAAATCCAAATCAAAGTCATCTACAACTTCAAAGTCTACTCCTCCACCTAATGTTCATCCTTCAAGAGCTGCTCTCTTCAAATAGACATATATATATATATATATTGATCTCCACAATTCATTATACAAAAACAAAGTCAAGCAAAATGTAAAGATTGAACAATATAAAACAAAAATAAACTACAAACTAAATAATAATGATAATAATAATAATAATAATAATAGTTCAAACTAAATGAATAAAAAAAGGGTCTTATAAAAAAAAATACATCAAGAATGGAAAAATGGTTATATATGTGTATGAGTGTATATGGAGGATTTAATGTTTTTGCAATTAAATGGGAAATGCAAATGGTAAACTACTGTACAGAATATAATAAACAAACAGGAAATTGAATGGAAATTGATATGTGTATATATCTTTATGAATAACAGATTCTTCTTCTTTTTGTTTCATCATTATCATCATCATGTATATACCTCTATTATCAATCAAAAAATAACAATTAATAATCTCAAATTATTAAATATTGGTGATTAATGTCGTGTGATCTCCTTTTTTTTGATTTATCATTTCCTCACAATATGGTACATTTCTTAGCTTTTCTAACTTTTCTCTTTTTAGTTACAGCACTTCCACTGTTACCAGTAGTAGCACCATAGTTTTTTTCTGATGAAGTATTATTTTTATTATAAGCATTATTATTAACTCCCATACCAGGTACACTATCGGTGATATATTCATTTTTATTTGTATTTGGAGGATCTAATACTGCTCTTATAGCATAATCAAAGATTTCTTTAACGCCAACTTGAGTAGCAGCGGAACATTCCATATATCTTATTGCGCCAATTTCTTTAGCCAATTTATTACCTTGATCATATGAGATTGGTTTTAAATTACGAGCAGTCAATTCATCCAATACATGTAAATCATCTCTTAAATCGATTTTGGTACCAATTAATAAAATTAAGATATCTTTTGGACAATGATGTAAGATTTCAGGTATCCATTTTGATTTAACATTATGAAAAGAATCAGGACTTATCACTGAAAAACAACATAAAAATATTTCTGTTTGAGGATAAGATAACGGTCTTAATCGATCGTATTCTGATTGACCAGCGGTATCCCATAAACCTAATTTGATAGGTTCACCATCAATCATGACGGAAGCAGAATAATTGTCGAAAACAGTTGGAATATAATCATTTGGGAAAGTATTGGTGGTATAAGAGATTAATAAACAAGTTTTACCAACTCCACCATCTCCAACAACAACTGATTTAATACTTCTCATTGTCTATGTGTGTTTATATATATATATATGTGTGTGTGTGTGAATAATAATTGATGATGATGATTATGATGATGGTGATGATCAACAGATTGGTTGTCTATCGGTTGGTTGTCTGTAACTTTGGTTGTAAGAATTTTTCTTGTTTTCTTTTTTTTTTTCAGAGAACAACAAATTCCTCTTTCTTTCTTTCTTTCTTTCTTTCTTTCTGTGTGTCCTCTTTATTTTTTTTTTTTTTTTTGCTTCTCACTGTCTTTTCTCTCTTTGACCCTTTATGTTAGTAAATTAATTTTTTATTGTTGTCTAATTAAACTATAGGGGTTATGTGCAGGATAATACTAATTTACAATGCTTATGTAGTTCCAAGCATCTTTCCATGTATATTTTTCTTACTAAGGTTACACATAGTGATCAAAAGAAGAGCGATCAGGTTGTAATTATCTATCACTACCACTACTACTACTAACACCAATACTACTTGTGGCTGCCTACATCATCGTCACAGTTTTGTTTGTTTACTCGAGTGGCTTCTTCTCTCGGTTACACTAGGGAGAAAAAATTTTTTCTGCCTTTTCCACTCATTACATTGAAAATTGACACATAAAGGGTTTTTTTGTTTGCCTGCCCTGTTCTTGTTCTTGTTCTTGTTCCACAAACGGCACAATACATCCACCCTCCACCCAGGGGTACTCTGTGTACAAAAAGATAATAACCCAATAAAAACTATGATAATGTTTATACATCGACTAGAGAAATAAATAAATGTTGACTCTTAAAGTGGTACAATTGATATTACATCAATTATATTATTCTATTACTAATTTAATGTGCAATTTCGTAAAAAAATTGCACCAAAAAAAAAAATTAGTTAAATTTCAATATGCACACAATTTATATCCTATCAAGGAAATACCAAAACTTAACTTTAATATTATGACCAATGTAACCTTTTACATCAATGGCCACACATATCAAAATTACAATCATTCATTAGACCCTTCTGATTTAAGATTTGGTATTGAGAAATATACTATCGTTGTTCATACTCAAAGGTGACAAAAGCTTCTTAATTACATATACCAGATCAAATTCCAATACTACCATCTTTTCTAGAGGGATAGAACGATGCAGGTGGCAAATAATGAACAAAAACCAACCGCAATCAAATTATATTAACGTAACGAGGAAGTAATCCAGTAGGAATAATTATTCTTTTTTGTTTTCATTATTGATTTCATATTAGAATGTTACACTAAATATGTCGATCAAGTATAATACACCACTCTATGACATAACTATCCAAACAGAAAAAGAAATCAATTTCATTATATACATATATATATCAAGGGTCATGCACATGATCACCCATTTCAAGAATTATATAACCAGTCTAGACTCAATAATGTCCATGGATAGTTCGGTTCTAAAAACCTTTTTTTTTGTTTTTGTAAATCAAAGACTTTCGTTAATAAAATTATATCATGATTCAATCCAAAATAATTGCAAAAAAAAAAAAAATATCCAGAAAAGTCCCCCAACGATTATGTAATGCTTACAAGAGATATAAGTCACTATTTCATTTATACTTGCTCTTATATTGCTTCTTCTTGTTGTTTTTTTACCCGTCTTTACATTCGTCAATGTACTTTATGGATCAATTAATTAAAACGTTACTATAATCATAATCAAAAATTATTTAGTTCTCCTCGCTTATTGCTGCAAATTTTTTTTTTATTTTTTATTTTGGCTTACATTTGTTAATTATATCACGTGACACTACCCCGGAGTTATTGACCGAGAAAAATACCAAAATGGAAAGAGGAACCTAAAAAATAAAAACAACGATTCTCGATTGGATCTTTCTTTTTATTTTTTATTTTTTTACAACAATTAGGCAGCCAATATAAGATCTTTAATAAAGAGACAAATTCAGGATTGATTTCTGATATTTTTTAGAATAAGATGTTTAGACTGTTGATCAAAAAACGTGGTTTTCATACATGTAACTCATTATCATCGGATTTCTCCCATGTTGTAATTGGTGGAGGGATTGTTGGTACGGCAATTGCTGGGGAATTACAACAACAAGATGGTAATGAAGTGTTATTAATTGATAAGAATGAACAATTGGGTATGGAAACAACATCTAGAAATTCAGAAGTTATACATGCTGGTATTTATTATCCTCCTGGTTCTTTAAAATCAAAGCTTTGTATACTTGGTAAAAATAAAATTTATGATGCTTGGTTAAATGGGAAATTTCAAGTACCTTTGAAAAAATGTGGGAAATGGATAGTTGCTCAAGATGAAAAAGAAGCTGAATATCTTGAAAAATTAAAAAAAATTAGTGATGAAGTAGATGTACCTGTTAATTTTATAACTACTAAACAAGCTAATGAAAAATATCCATTAATTAGAGCTGAATCTGCTATTCTTGAAAGTCCAACCACGGGGATAATATCAGCTCATGATTATACACTTTTCCATCAATCTATATTTGAAAATAATGATGGTACTCTTGGATTAAATACAGAACTAACAAATCTTGAATATAATAAAGGTACTTCAAATTATACATTGACATTACAATCTGAATCCGGTGAAATGCAAGTAACTTCAGATAATGTTATTAATTCAGCAGGTTTATATGCTCCTGAAGTTTCTAATTTATTATTACCTAAAGAACGTCATTATCAAGGATATTTTGCTAAAGGCAATTATTTCAGTTATCTGCCAGAAACATCAATTGGAAAAGTTACTGATGTATTGATTTATCCATGTCCTAATCCAAATGCTGCTTCATTAGGTACCCATTTAACTTTTGATTTAGGTGGCCAATTAAGATTTGGTCCAGATTTAGAATGGTTAGATATTAAAAAGGCAAATGAAATTGATTATACACCAAATCCAAAGAATTTATCTAAAGCTTATGAAGCTATAAAAACATATTTCCCTGATATCACTCTTAATTCTTTACATCCTTCATATTCTGGAGTCAGACCAAAAATATTGTCAAGAGAAGACAACATTTCAAAATTTGCTGATTTTGTAATTAAAGAAGAAGATGGATTTCCAGGATTTGTTAATCTTTTGGGCATTGAAAGTCCAGGATTAACAGCTTCTTGGGCTATAGCAGAATATGTCAGAGATATTTACCATAAATAGATTTTGCATTTGATAGACTTTTAATAAGTATACATTACATAAATGATGACCCTGGGATAAGCAAAAAAAAAAAAAAGTAATTCACGAGAGGATACGGAATAGATGGAATATGATGATGCAGTAAGGTTATGATTTTCCATTTTAGTAAGATCATCTTTATGTTACGTCATGACCGTTTTTTTAATGATAAGAAGAGTATAAATTGTTGATAAATTATTCACCAATCCATTGATGATATTTTATTCTTTTGTTTGTCTCATTATTATTTCAAATAATTATATTCTTTTACTACAATTAAATTTTTAAAGTCAAAAATAATGGGGTTTCCTATGATTGATGCTTCATCTTCAGAACATGAAACTTTCCAATTAAGGGAAGGGTTACATGAATTAGATGATAAACTTGTGAAACATTCTAAACATCTAAATAATAATTTACATAAAGGTGCCGATAAAACAACACATAAAGTTACAAACTGTACCAAAAAAATCTTCAATCATGAAAAATAATTCCACAATTTATTATCCTTTATATAAATTACCATATATATATATATAAATACATAGATATTAACACAACTATACGTGTGTTCTTTTATTATTTAAACTTCCATCATCATCTTCATTTTCTCTTTTATTACTTGATGATTTTTTAGGTAAATTTTCAGGATCAGTAGGACGAGGACTTTCAGTGAAATAATCATGTAATAGAGCTTGAGTAGAATCACATCTTCTACTAGGATCCAATTGAGTCATTAAAATTAATAAATCAAGAGCTTTTTCAGTAGCTGCACTAAATCTAGTTCTTAATTCTTGTTTTGAAGGAGGAGGATAAACATGTAAAGAATTATACATTGGTAAACTTGAAACATTTGGCCAAATTTGTTCAGTTGGAGTACCATAAGCTCTAAATGTAACATCTAATTGATCAACATCATCTTTACCTGCTAAATAAGGAATTCTTAACATTAATTCAGCAAATATAATTCCAATTGACCAAATATCAATTGCTCCTGTATAATGTCTTGCTCCAAATAATAATTCTGGTGCTCTATACCATCTTGTAACTACATTTGATGATAAATCTTCATTTGGATTACCTAATGCTCTAGCTAAACCAAAATCAGCAATTTTTAATTGTCCATCTGGTGATAATAATAAATTATTTGGTTTTAAATCTCGATGTAATATAAAATTTCTATGACAATGATGAATACCTCTTAATGTCATTAATAACCATGATTTTATATCTGAAGATTTGAAAACTATTGATTTATCTTTAATTAAAACTTCAAGATCACAAGGTAGAAATTCCAATACTAAATTTAAATTATTTTTAGTTGAAAAAACATCAATTAATTCAATAACATTAGGATGTTTTAATTCTTGTAAATATTTAACTTCTCTTAATGCTGACATATCTAATCCATCTTTAAATAATCCTGTTTTAATTTCTTTAATAGCTATTTTACGTTTAGTTGAAACTTGTTTCCCTAAATAAACAACAGCATATGTACCTTCTCCTACTTTTCTTTCTTTTGTATAATTTAGTACTTGTGGTGCACTACTCGATGATGCTGATGCTGACGACACTGACTTACTCTCGGGTCTTCGTGATTCAACCGCTGCTGTGGACATGGTTGTTGGGAGTGATATAACTATGAGATGCTGATGATGATTAGATTGATACCGTGTGGAAAATTAGTTTCTTGATGTGTGTGTGTGTGTGTGTGTGTGTGTGAGCACTTGCGTGTACTTTGGCTACAGAAGGTCGTGTGATGCACTATATTTTATTTGATGAATGGAAGTCAACATATTAATCCCGGGAGATATTACTTTTTTTTTAAATCAAAATCGACACCGGATCACCTTCAGTCATTAGAACAAGTTATGAAATATGATCCACAATTTAGGATTATACAATATGTGGTAATGTGTGTCTAATATTATTGTGTACAACTCACGTGCTATTTGTTTGACAATACCCGAGACTACTTTACCACTTAATACTAGATTAAACACCATAATTTGCGTTCCGTAATAGAATAGTCAATGATATTATTTATGCAATGTTTCCGCTTAGCCTATTCCCCCCTGTTTTCTTTTCTCTTATTGTTGTTTCGGTGAATTGCCCTTGAAATTATTGTTGATCCGGTGATGGTGATGGTGAATCAATTCTAGTCAATCGAAAAAGCATAAGCCGCGCCGAGATCTCTTGGTATGAATCCGGGCCGAACACTCGAAATATTAGATCGCAAAAAAGGAACCATCACCACCACCACCAGAAAAAACAAGCGAATAACGTCTTCTGATATAAACCCCAGCAATTATCCACTTTTTCTTCTAAAAAAAAGAGAATAATTTATTGATAAGCTATTCTTCTTTAACTAGACATTCAACTTATTATAACATATGATAATAATATGACATTTGAAGAATTTAAACAAACAAAAACATATTCTTGGATATCCAAAACAATATCATTTCTAATAAGTCAATGGTTTTTCCTATTTCTTGGGGCATTTATAGCAATAGCTCATTCATATCCACAATTTGCTAAACAAGGAGGTATGATAAGAGCAGAATATAGTATTGGATATGGAGCAGTAGCTGTAATTTTTTTAATTAGTGGATTATCAATGTCTTCAAAACAATTAGTTGTTAATGCAGCTAATTGGAGAGCTCATTTTACAGTATTATCAATGTCATTTTTAATAACAAGTTCAATTATATTTGGTATTTGTCTGGGTATTAAACATGCTCATAATAAACAAATTGATGATTGGTTACTTGTTGGTATGATTGTTACTCATGCTTGTCCAACTACTGTTAGTTCAAATGTTGTTATGACGAAATTAGCTGATGGTAATGATATTTTAACATTATGTGAAGTTTTCATTGGTAATATACTTGGAGCATTTATAACCCCTGCTTTATTACAAATGTATATGAAAGGAACATGGGAATTTGGTAATCCAAGTCATCAACCAAATGGTGATTCAACTATTCAACAATTATATGCTGAAACAATGAAACAATTGGGATTATCTGTTTTTATACCATTATTTGTTGGTCAAGTTGTACAAAATATTTTCCCAATTCAAACTAAATGGTGTTTAACTACTTTTAAATTAAATAAAGTTGGTTCATTTATGTTATTATTAATTATGTTTCAATCTTTTTCAACTGCTTTTGCTCAAAATGCTTTTACGAGTGTTAGTCATGCTTCAATTATTTTTTTAGTATTTTTCAATATTGGAATTTATTTATTTTTCACAATTATAACTTATATGTATTCAAGACCAATTTGGATTAAAAAATGGCTTTTCAATGAACCAAATGAATCTTCTTCAAATTTTTATAAAATTTGTTATTTTATATTTCGTCCATTTTATTATAATCGAAAAGATACTGTTGCTATTATGTTATGTGGACCTGCTAAAACTGCAGCTTTGGGTGTTTCTTTAGTTTCTTCACAATATGGTTCTCATAATCCAAAATTAGGTATTATTTTAGTTCCTTTAGTTTTATATCAAGCTGAACAAGTTATAACTGCTAATGTCTTGGTGAAATTTATGAAGAAATGGATTCATGCTGAAGATAATCAAAAACAAGATGAAGAAAAATCAATTGCTTCAAGTGAATCAGTTGATAATGAAGTTATTCATGTTGAAGGGGAAGATACTCTGAATTTATCATCAGTTCGAGATCGTAAATCACATACAAATCAATAGACTAATTATTAAATATATTTCTTTAACTTTATTTATTATATATATATATATATTATAGATATGCAATATTATTAATTTACATGATAATTATAAGGAACTTAAATGCCTTACAACAACAACTCAGTGGGATTGATTTTCCTAATTAGTGACTGTGCCTTGAACACATTCCCATTGTGCAAAAACATACCAACTGTTACCACTATCACCAATTACTAAACCTCTATACATACCAGTTTCATGACATTTCATATTTAATGAATAAGTTCCATAAGGTTTAGTCATATCTTCTTTACTTAATTTCAAATATTTTCCTGATGGTGATTCAATAACTAATTTAAAATCTTGATTCATTAAACCTGATCCTGAATTAACCCCAGTAGATGGATATTGTTCAATTTCAAAATTATATAAATTATTAGCAATGATTTTACTTGTTTGAGGTTTAACAATATATAAATCATTTCTTTGACTTTGAACAGTTGGAAATTTTTGTACAAATTTAGTTTGTTTTGAAATACCTTGATGCATTAATGGAATAACAATTGCCAATTCATGAATATTATCAAAATGTTTTTGTAATCCTTTGGCTCCAGCAAATATTTGTAATACACCCACTGATTCATTTTCTGGTAATACTGCTTTAATTTTCGCTACTCTTTTATGATTAACCCATTTAATTTGACATAAACTTAATTCATTAGATGTTATCTTTGATGTTTTAACTAATGTAAATAATTCAACATCATGTGGTATACTAAGTTCTAATTCAAACAACTCCAAATCATGTAATCTAGTCAATGCATTATTGAAATTTTTAAAACTTAAATCACTCTTGTAAAATCCAGAATATGTACGTGGTAAATAAAAGGCAATATTTGGATCAATAGGTGGCATAACATGTTGTAAATCAATAATACATGGAATATGAGTTGATACCACACTTAGTGGTTCAGCTAAGAAATAAAATTCATTGGTTTTATCCTGTCTCAAATTACATATGGATGGGTTTTTGAAATTATAAATATCCATTATACGGAAATTATTATCAACCAATACTGAAAGCCAACAATGATTAACAACATATTGTTCATTATGATAAAATTCATTAGGTTTTTTCCAGAATCCTAATACAACTTCACATGGAATTCTTAATGCATCCAAGATTTTCTTGAAAATATAATTAAGTTGATAAATAGTTACTTTGCCGGCTTTTTGAACTTCAGCCAATTTAGGTTTAACTTGCAGAATTTTAGAAGGTTCTTCAATGATTTCAAATTTACATAAATGAGTTAAAATACCTCTAATTTGATCAACAACTCTTAAATGAAATTTAGTAGATATATCAGAAATAAATTCATTTAAATCATGACTAAGATCATAACTCAGAACAAATGTATCGATTCTACTGTATTGAACATTTCTTAAATCAAGTACATCATCTGAACCAACAGTTTCATTAGTGTTGATTTCAGAAATATAATCCAATGGTTTAATAATCAATCCACCATCTTGTCTTACTACTCGTTTAGTTCTGTTTTGTTTATCATGTGAAGTTAAGGAATTCATTCTATTGATATCTTGTTTGAAAGTAGCCCAATCAATTTCATTCAGTTTTTGGATTTTCCTTTCAATTGGATTAAGTTCTTCTGTATTTTTACGTAATAATTTCTGGAAAATATTTGGTTTTGATTTCTTATCTTGGAAAACAGCTTCCATTACTTCTGATTTTTTATCAAGTTCATCATTTTTGAAATCATCATCTTTTCTAGAATTAACACTCGGTTTAAGTTGAATACTTTCTTGGAATCCTTTTTCAAATTTATGTCTATAGAAAGAACCAGCACTGGTTGCACTCAATTCTGATAAATTTAAAACATCACTTTGTAATGATTTAATTGAATTTTTCAACTCCTCTTGTCTTAATGATAATTTAAGGTATGCATCTTCATCCATTTTACTTTGTGAAGCAGTTGAAATTCTAAAATCATCAGCATCAAATGGTACTTTACTCTCACCATTTATATTTCCAGATCTATTGAATTCATCATAATGATAAGCTGGTTTGGTATGTTTTGGTGGTGGAGGTGGTGGTGGAGATTCATCACGTGGAGATGGAGAACGATGATTCCTACGTACATCATTATCATTATCATCATCATCATATTCATCAGTAGCAAATCTTGACAATTTTTTACTTAAATCATCTTTGGATGAAAATTTTTTGGATGCGTCAGTACCATAAGAATCAATTGAATAATTATCCTTTTGAATAGGACTTTTCATTTCCGCTATTTTATTAGCAGCTTTTTCAACTTGTCTTAATCTTTCCAATTCCATTTCCAATTGTGCTTTCTTTCTGGCAATTTCTTCATATTCTTGAAGTATGTCATGTTCTTTTGAAACAGATGCCCTCTTTTGTGATTTGGTTGGTGTGTTGCTATATTCATCAGGTAAATATGCATTATCAATAGTTGTATTAAAGGCTTGTTTTGAAGTATGAGAAACATCAATATAAGATGGGGATTTCATGCTCATTGGTGAGTTATAATCCAGTTGTTGATAATGTTGTTGTTGCTGTTGTTTACCAATGACATCAGGACTACTTTGCACATGTTGAAATGATAGTCTTTTATTATCCATTGAAACTTTTGGTTTTACATGATAACTTTGTTGTTGTTGCATTGCTTTAAAATATTCAATTTCTTTTTCCTTTTGTCTTAATAATTCTTCTTGTTGTTGATAAGTTAATTTATTCTTTGGATGATTCATTGAGGACAGCATGTATTTTGAAGAACGAACATTATTTTTAGTTGGCGTATATGGTTTACCATATCTACCACCATCTTCATAACCTTGTTGCAGTTGTTCAAAACTTTGATCAATTGCATCATAATCAATAGAATCATTGGCAAAATTATTTTTCATTCTTGGATAACTGCCGCCTAAAGGAGTATTTCCACCAGCACTTCTTCTACCATTATAATCATTATCATATTGTTTAGTAGGAGTACTTCTAGTATCTTGTAATGATAAAGATGACATTGAATGATTTAATTTATCTTCAAGAATGGCCACATAATCTTTTGGAAATATTCCTTCAGCATTATTTCTTCGTAATTTACCACTCCACCAACTTTCATCAACTATGGAATAAACTTCAACTATTTCATTTTCCATGAATCCTAAATCTCCATCTTCTTCACCTGCCCATGAAACAACAGTTTTCACTTTAAATGGTAATGGAGGAATGGCTATTGTTGTCATTAAGAAATCAAACTACGGATGAATAAATGAATGAATAAGTGAATGCAAGAGGATTGATCTAGGAATAGATGTGCTTTTTATTTTTCAAAAACAAGAACAAAAACAATAAAACGAACGAACGAAGGAAAGGAAACGAATAACTAATAGTCTGTTAATTATAAAAATGAATACGGCTGGGTTTGATTTAAATGAACGTGATGAGAAAACAACTTATTTATTTTATTGATTTGTAAATATGACTTGATTCTTCTTTTTTTAACGAGTTTTCTGTTAATCTCTCGAAATGGATTGATAATCTGGTATAATGATCTTGATTGGATTCACTATCAATGGGGGATGTGATTAACTAACAGAAGCAGTGGTTTGAATTGACGATGAATGAGAAAGAAATGAAAGAAGAGAAAAGAAAGATGGTGAAAATAAGGACCTTTCACTGCAATTTAGCCTAATTATACAAGTTACCAAAGACCAAGTTTCAAGTTGAAAATCAAAGTGTTAATTTTTTTTGTCTCTCTCTTCCTAATTGGGACAAATCATAAACACCAGTAATAAAGAAGGGAAGAAAAAAATCAAATCACTAATGAACCTAAATATCTGCGAGATGTATTAATCTTTTTGCAGATGAAATTTCATCTTCAAGAAGAATGTTTAAAAATAGCCTCACAGTTCCATAATATCCAGTATCATAGACATTCACACAGTCGATGAGATCGTTCGTAACATCAATGGTAAACTATTTAATTGCTATCAAATGAGAGAAGAAGGAAAAGAAAAACTAAAAATAATAGTAGATCGCATCAACAGGAAAGTTCGACAGCATACACAAAAGCAACACAAAAGCAACACAAAAACCAATGATCATGACATCATGCCCTCCAGTATTGGGCCAAACTATGAAGTCTATCAATAACCACAGGTAAAAATGCATTAACACTATCGTTGATAAGATCCTGGAAATGTAATATGGCTTCTTCTTCAGTCATTTGCAAACAAAATTTCTCTTGTACCTTTTCAATTACTCGCAGTGGATCAAATTGTATATCAGGTATATTTGCATCCAACATTAATTGGAACAAATTCAAAATCAAATTGCTATTTTTGCGTAAAGTTGTATATGTTATAAAACAATAACTTTTGAAAATATTATAATTCTCATGATTTAAACCACCCATACCATCAATTACTTGAATTGGTAATTTCATCAATGGCGGGAACGGTTTTGGATCTCTTCCAAGAATATACCCAAAATCAGCATGCCAGAATTTCCCGTTTGGTGATAACAACAAGTTGTCTAAATGTCTATCACCAACACCTAAAATATAAGTAATTACACAATATCCAGCACAAGATTTAACATAATTCTCCATAAGTATTGGGGAGACACCCAAATCAGATGTAATTGCAGGCTTAGGTTGTGGAGGAAGTGTTGCCGTACTACTGCTGTGACTGCTTAGTATACTTTTGGAAACGGGCTCAACTGATTGTTGCTCCTGACTATGTAATCGAAGGTAGTTGAGTATTCCATTATTTGCAATAGTAGGAGGAAGTGATGACGATCTATCTGTAATTGACGAAGGATATGTTTTAGACAAAATTGAATCCAAAGTTTCGTTAGGTACAAATTGAATCAAACCAGCAATAGGACTAGTCGCTAGAATCTTGTATGGAGTTAACTTCAAATCAAGATTCTCGTTTTTAAGTAACTGGTCCATTAAATTAATGATTTGAATAACTAACTGATCTTGTCTTAAATCATCACCAATCTTAAACATCAACGGGTATTTGCCGTATTTGGATTTCTTACCAAATATTTGCGATGTAGCATGTGTAGGTTTCTTCTTTTCAATTGTTTTCAAAGTAATCTTCAAAGGTGCCAATGATGATTTAAACACAGATGATTCTTCTGGATAACATCCACATACTATAACAGATGGATTTAATGGTAATGGAAAAGGTTCTGGAAATTTGAGTAATCCGTTTCCTGAACTAGCTAAATACTCTCGAAGATATTCAACTTTCTTTGCCGTAGCTTCATTTTTCTTGAAGGAGGCTCTTAACAATTCAACCAAACCGGTTAATTTTTTGATGAACCAGATTTGATGTTTCAAATGCTTATAATATGGTAATTTGTTTTCATGGCAATGTGCTTTAAGCATTTCAATGTATCGATTAAGTATCACGGAATAAATTTTAATTGCACCATCAGGATGAGGGTTATTCAATTGATCTTCATTCTCAACTTTGACATACCAGTAAAAGAAATTACCCAATTTATCATTCTCAACAGCAGTTTCAATTAAGAAATTAGCCAATGGTGATGTCAATGGCAGCTCATCACCATTTGTTGAGTTTTTCTTATCTAGATTAATAGGACTTCTTTCATAAATCAATGCTTCATACTTCAATGCTTGAACCAATTGAAGCAAATATAACAACAATTCCTCACTACTTGCAAGTCTTAATCTCTCCACTGCAAGTTTCCTTAAATAGCACACATTATTGAATATCTTCATAAATCTCTTTTCATCATCTTTTAATTTCGGATCTTTTGAGGAGGTATCTACCAGAGGCTCATCCTGAAATATCGGCTTCCCTAAAGTGTACGGATTGAAGTAATCACCCAACAAGTCTAGAGCATCACCTATTTGTAATTTATCAACACTCCAATAATAGGGAATTATTTCCTTGAAAGTGTGATCCAATTCATAATCGTTCTCCCAATTTATTGATTTCAAAAATTTTGGCAAGAACGATTTTACTGACTTGTTACTTGGATCATTAACAGAATTATTTCTACTAAAATAGTACCGAAATTTCCAAATAAGATTCTTTTCATTGTCTGACAATTCAGCATTTGAAGGTTTCACTAAAATATGCAACAATTCATCTCTCAATTCAGGTGTTGGCTTTAACTCTTTATCTAATATAGAGTTATTATTGATGTTTCTTTCTAATTTTCGATACTTCAACTCAATTGGATCAAATATATTGGCATTGGGGTTGGCATGATTATTAGCCGTAATTTGAAAATCAGGATCATATACTTTCATTATTTTAGGATCAGTAGAAGTTGACATGGGTATTTCAATTGAATTTATAATAATATTAGAATTCAAAGAGCCGTCTGTAGCAGGTGTAGGATCTGTAATCGGTGTAACTGTGGGGATTTTATATGTAACATCGGAATATACCACAGGAAATTCAAATTGAGGTAATTCAATATATAAATAATAATCATGGTCACTCTCAATTTTAGGATTTACTTGACGAAGTTTTGGTAGTACCATTTTATCCAACCAATTTAATCTCAGATATTTACCATTTTCATAGTCAATTAAACTTTTCTCCAAATCAGTCAATCCTGTTAAATCTCCGTACTGTATATCCTGACAATGACTAGTGGCATCTAGTTCAGTATACATGGGGATTTTTTGCGATCCGTTCCGTAGTGTTGATGATTCATGATTAAATAATGATAAATAAGCTACTCCAAACACACTAGGTTTAGTATCAATATATTCACAAATAGTAAATTTCATATATGAATCAATTGATACTTGATTATAATCAATATTCAATTTTAAAAATTGATTCCAAATTCTCAGTTTATTATTGAATGATTTATATGAAGTTCTAACAGGAGTACTTATTGGATTATTATTCTTACCATCATATACCCTAATTTCAACAAATAAATCAGAATTCTTATAAATTTGTGATAATTTTTTGAAAACTGAAGGATCTTCAAATTTCGTAGATAATGGAACTAGTTGAACTGATTCTTTTGTACATTCAAGATAACATATTTTAACGGTAATTGGGGATGATAAATCTTTTGATAATCCAAATGTCGTTGATATCTTTGATCTTGGAACCAAATTGCTCTGTGGGTTTGATATCGTAGCCATGACTAAATCCCCAACTTGGCTGATAAGACGTGTATGATTATGACTTAGCAACACAAGTGTGCGATTTCTCTCTGTATTCCTCTAATTCATTTTTTTTTTTTTGGAGTTGTCTACCAATTTAGTCAGGGTCGTGCGAAATGTACCAATATGGTTTGACTTTATTATTTTTTTTACAACCATTTTGCTAATTAATAAATTAATATCTATATATTTATGAATTACTCTTAACATAAAACACACCAAAGCAATCTTGTTTTAAAGTTATATACTAATTTGATTGTATTTCATCTATTTTGACCAAACCAGAAATAGTCAGTGGTGCCTTTATCATCTCTATTAGGTGTATATCTCGGAGTTTGTTTCTTTGTATTATTATTATTATTATTATTGTCATAATTATCATCACTATCACTATCATCTTCAGAAGAAGATGAACCTCCACTACTGTCAAAATTATAAAACATTGAACGAGTGGAGGAATTATTACGTTTATCATTGGAATTCGATTGAAACAACTTGAATGAATTCGTTCTTGGACGATTGGTAATCGGCGCCCTTTCACTAACAGCTTTCTTCATTGATGAACTAAAAGATAAAGAAAACATTCTTCCATCATCATCATGATCATCATCATCGTTATCTTCATCATCACCATTACTGATTTTGGAGCCCTTGTTGACTCTACTTTCACTGTAGGATTTTTGCATTGGATCTTGGGCAATTTTACTAAGTTGACTGAATGAATTCTGTGCTAACAGTGATTGCAGTTTTCTTTGAGTTTGTGCAACAAATAACGGACTATTTGTTCTTCTTTTATTTAATGAACGTGCTCGATTTAATGGCTCAATTGGTGAATTTCTTCCCACCATGGAATCAAATAATCCAATCGGTTCAGCTGAATGTGGTTCATTATCTTCACTTATACTACCAAGTTGTTCATCTTGTTCACTTATAGATCCGTCTACAGACATGTCTGACTCTGGTGATTTGACACGTCCAACAATATGTGACGGGAAATATGAATCATCAGCATTATGCGAAACCATAACATTCATCAATGGATTTGAACTGGACCTACTTCTATTTTGTAATGATGCAATATATTTAGGTAAATCGGCAGTTGAATTATCCTTGGATGAATTCTGGGAACTAATGAAATTTTTAAAATCAACCATTGATCCTGTTTTAGAACCCATGTTTGAGTTTCCATAATTTGCAAGATTAACTTGTGAATTCATACGAGAATTGATTTTCAGAATGGGTATTTCAGAAGTATTGGAATATTTTAATTTCATAGGTTGAATATCTTCATTACTCATAAGTTTAGATAAATCAATAACAGAATTTATTCTTGTTGGAGCCGAGTTAGGAGATACGTCAGGACTAATTGGTCTTGAAGGATGGTTTGTAATGCTGAAATTCTTTCTAAATGATTCATCATTCATTAGTTTCTCTTTGAACTCAGATTTAATTTTAAAATGTTTTGCATTGGGAATCCAATCCTTTGCAGCGGCACATATATAATTACCCTTGGCAGGAACAGGTACTCTCCCTCCTGGGTTTGATGCGGAAGTTTCCTTAATCTTAAATGAAGGTCTTGGTTTGCAATCATTGGACTCCTTTGGCTTTGATAAGGCTGCTGCATCATCTTTCTTAATAAAATTGGTTTGATAATACACTATATCCGTTTCTAAATTCAAAGTAGTATCCACGTCTTCTTCATGGATTAAATGTAATGCGTCTTGAATTAATTTCCAAGTATAATTAAATGGATCATTCGGATCTTCTGGGTCTTTAATATCATCTTTTAATACTCGCTGAGCAAAATTAAAAACTGCTTCTGGGATTTTCTTCAAATAATGGATGATTAATAAAATATGTGATAAATTGATTTATAGCATATCCATGTGATACGATAATAATAATATCTTGGTTTCTGATATATGAAGGCTTATTATAAGTTGCCAATAGTTTCTGGAAATAATCTTTACATCTTGCTTGATAATCTTTGTAACTTAAATCGGGACCATTATACGGACCCAAAGTGATTGTTGGTCTAAAATTAGAACAAGCATTTTTATTTTTTAAAGATTTCAAATTAGGTGTATACATATTATACGCATCATCAGAATCAACAAAAGGTGGTTTATTTTTCATTTTATCATGAATCCATTCACTCAATGCAAAATCACCCAATAATTGAAATCTTACTTTATAATTTGGGAATTTCTCCAAAAATGAAGCTTTCAATTCAGTTATTAGAATATCTGCTGTTTGACAACATCTTAAATATGGGCTGAAATGAATAAATACGTTTTTTCTTTGAGTTGAATCTTTATCTTGAAATGCTTTAGTTAAATTACATAAATCATCCACAGCTGTTTGTAATTGTGGAATTGCCGAAGTGGCTAAAGAAGGATCATAATCTTTATACTCTTCCAATATTGGTTTTGCTTGAGGGTCTTTGAGTAACGCGTGATCTATTCTTTCACCATGACGTAGGAAATATAATTCAGTCATTCTAATATTATGGGATAGATGTATATTCTGATTAGTCAACAATAGATATTTTTCTTTTTCTTTTTTTTTTTTCTTCTGAAAGTAGGTTTGAATTATATGTGCATAATAGGATGATCTGGTGATATGCGTATGAGATATGGAATAAATATGAGATCCTCTAGCCAACTGCTGCCCGTAGTAGAGGTCAAGATTGTAGTTGTAGTTGTAGATGATGGTGATGGTAATGGTGAGTATGAGAAATGATCCTGTGACGAAATCAAAAGAGAGAGAGTGTGTGTGAGAGAGAGACAACGGAAAAAAAATAGAAAATATTTACAGGTTGTCTCTTTACTTACAATTTAGTGTGATGGTTACGTAATATGGGAAACAACAATAAAGAAAACGATTAACGCGCAAGCTCTACAAAACCAAATTGTTTTTTTTTTTTTTTTTTTCATATTTCATATTTCATGATGTAATGATACTACAACTAAGTATCACAAAATGCTTTCAATATCCATTGTTTAATCAAAGGACGAAGCTTGACACCATGGGGGAAAGGGTTGACATGAAACCAAAGAGTCTATTCACCCACAGTATTTACCCGCCTGTTTCATTGTCAGTCCATGAATCATTGTTGGGTGAAAAATAAAATATACATATAAAATAAAAAAAAAACTCTATCCACATAACCCGCCTTGACTAATAATTAATATGTTAAACGAAATATTCATACTTGAAATTGTCTATTAATTACAAAACAAAACAATTATCCGTATACATTATATTCAAAAATTGTACACTATGTAGTCAAATTTAATTCTTCAAGTTGTTCACCAATTTTGACCATTCTATCCTTCTTTCTTTTGGCATTACGAGTCTTTTCATCATTTGAATGTTTCTGATCCATGTATTCATGTAAGAATTCAGAATTATCATCATCTAGTAAACTTTCATCGATCTCATTTTGTGTACCATAATGGAATTCATTTTCTGGTTCTTTCAAAACATCTCTAATGCTTTCATTACTAACCAATTGATTATGGAGTCCAAAACTAAAACACCATCTTAATTGTTTCAATCTAAAATAAAGGAACCAACTATTGATTTTTAATGATCTATATTTGGATAATTTGATATAGATCGGATCAGTTGTGGTTTCGAGCAATTCAAGCCCGTCCGGAGTTCTCTTGTAAATTTGTTCTCTATCTTTTGGATTAGTATAGGCATGAATGGTATTAGAAATGTTTCTAAATACAGAACTGATATCCTTTTTGTCCTTTTTAGCAACTTTCTTGGATGATAAATTAAGCAATCTGGTTAAAATGGCTAGAAGTGATTCTTGTTCATAATATGGGGAATTGACATTATAATCTTCATCATAGTTTTCGTCATTAACCTCATCATCATTTTGACGATAATCATACAATTCATAAATAACACCAATGGTTCTTCCTGCAGCCTTGGCAATATCTCTATCTTCATCATTATCCAAGAGTGGAACCAATTTAAACATCAAATCTTCAACAATTTCATTCAAAAATGCACCTTGTGGAAGTAATGTTAATAAACAACCAACGCCATGGATAGCGGCAACTGCAACCGAGGCTTCGGCATTGACTTTACTATTAGCCTCATTAATCAACTTTTTATCTAAATTTTTGTCGGTTATAAATGTAGAATGTTCACGATCTCCTGATTCAACCTCTTTTTTCAAAGTAGTGGCACTAGCAGTATAACCTTCTCCAATTTCCATCAACATGGCAACACGATCCTCAATACCAAAACTAGAAGCGCCACTATGCAAAACCAAAGTTAAAGTAACATAACCAGAAATAACTTGAGCTTTATTTTCATTAGTAACAATACTATTGGCTGGTTCGGTGATAAGCTTTTCAATATGGTTAAGTAATTCTGTTGACACTAAAACACCAAATTCTTCAATATCACTACAAATCAATGCAACCAAAGCACGATATAAGTACAAGAATTCCAATTCACTTCTATAGTTACCAGTAGTGAAAACATTGATTAATTTTGAAACTTTGTCCTCATCAACATAATCTGGGGTACTAGTATGTTCTTCATTATAAACAACCAATGATTTTGAAACAATAATTTTATACAATTGAGCTAATAATAATTCACGGGATTGCAGGGAAACATCATTTCTCGAGAATTCCAACGATGAAATAATATCATTAATACTTGAACTTTCTTGAATTCTGGCTCTATTCAAACTTAAAGCCTCGTGTTGACGTCTATCACCAGCACTAATACGATCTTCTTTAGACAATTCAACTTCTTGTTGATGTAAATTTGATAATTTTTCACGTAATAATTCTTCAATTCGAATATAATCTTGTTCTTCAGCATCACTTTCATAATCTGAATCGTCAGATCTCAAAGGAGTTCTTGACACTGATTGAGCTCTGCTCGAGGAATTGGATGGAGTACCATCTCTATCAAACCTCCTTCCTTTAAATAAAGCTTTATGTGACATTATTTGGTTGATTAATCTAAAAAGAAAAAGAATGAAAGCAATTTGAAATAAAAAAAAAAAAAGAACAAAAAAAATTTTTCCCTTTGTTTCTTTCTCTGGCTTTATAACTTTGTAATAATTGCTGCAGAAACAAGTGTGATTATTCGTTGCGTGTGTGTATGACTAAAAAAGAATAATTCGGTGGAGGAAAAGAAGAGAAAAAAAAAGAAATGGCTGACCCTTGTGTGCTGCGTGGCGGGAGAGTTCCCTTGTTCCGCCGGGTGCGTCCAACCTTCTTCTTAAGAGGTGTATGTAAGAAATCTGGAGATTTATTATCTGTATATTATCTAACAATCTAGAAAACTACTTCATTAGGTAGCACATAGACTTTTTCACCATTATTACGTATTGTCTCATTATCAACATCTCTTGGTAACAGTTTTCTCATATCAAATGCATCTATATCATCATCAATTTTATTTCTATCCTCTGGCATTTCTCGACCATAGTACCCAACCACTCTTCTATAAACACTATACCCCAATTTTTCATACAAGATTCTACCCAAAGTATTAGTAACTTTAACAAATAAATCAATGAATAAAGTATCTTTAACTTGAGTCAAATTTTCCAATTCTAAACATAATTTCGAAGCCAAACCGATTCTACGATATTTATCACTTACAGTAACGGCAGTTATATGAGTGTGCCATTCTTTTTTGGATAATTTACCTTCTGTTTTAGCCATCATATATCCACTTGATTCGTTATTGGGGGTTTCAACTGATTTATAAAACAACTGTGGCCAATCAGTCAAGTATTGGGAATAGAATGAAATGTTGAAATTCTCTGTTAATGGATCTAAATTGACTGGGTTTAGTTCAAATAAATCTTCTAATTGAAACGGTTTAATTGACGTCATACGAATTATTATTGGTTGTCTTTAATAATTTTGGTTGTAAAAATATTCTTTACTCAATAGTATACCAATAAAAAAATTGTTCATGATCATTAGATTGTCTTTTCTTCTCTTTTCTTTTTTCTCTCTCTCTCTCTCTCTCTTTCGTTTGACAAGCCAGGTCGTTCCCGCACTAAATATAATTCACTGACAAGCCCGCGACGGGATCGGACCGGCAAGTGAGCAGTCAATTTTTATTCCTCTTCTTTGTTGCTGTAGTGCCAAAATGGCAACCAAAATCAAAGCAAAAAAAAAAAAATTTTTTTCTTCGTTCTCCATTCATTTGACACTTTCAACTTCTTTTTAACTTTCAATTTCAAACTAATCAAATACACTATGTACGGCGGTCCACAACCAACTGAAGAACAAAAGAAATTACAAGAACAATACGCTTACGATACTTTGAAATTTGCTGGTATCGTTGCTGGTGCTTTATGGGTCACTCCAATTGTTCTTAACTTTATTAGAAAACAATTGTAAAATTTCCATGCAACAAGTTATAGAATAAAACCAATAAAAGAAGAACATGAAGACATTATAATCCATTTCATTTATATTCATCCATTCATTTATCACCTGTATATATTATTAATAGTGTCATTCTTTTGTCAAAATTTAAATTTCAACATGGATATGTCTTAATTTTTTTTATGTTTTTATTACCTTCACATTAAATTCTTTTCCTTACTCGATGATTGTTTAAATTATTTTGTTATTATTTACTTACAATATACGTGTTTTGATAATTCCTAATCACTATCTATATCAACCAACAGATCTCTTAATTGACCAATTTTAGTAGCCAAGTTTAAAAATTCCATTCTTTCGGATATTCTTGAAGCAGCTAATAATGCTTTATCGGTTTTGATAAGTCTTGCAATACTGAATGCTTTACCGAGCTTACTTTCTTTACAAGCTTCCCCAAATAATTTCAATAATGATTTATCAAATAATATACTGTATTGATTTAATCTTTCCATGACTTCATCTTCTTCAACATCAACATTTAATTCATCATTCAATGAATCAGTAATTAATTTACCCATGGTTAAAGAACGTAAAAAGTTCTCTTCGGCTTCATCTTCTTCGTGTTTTAATTTGATAGGCAATTCAATATCTAATTCAATAGGTAAAGGTAATGGGAATCCGGGATATTGATTATTATTCTTTAAAATTAAACAGTTTAATTTATCATTCACCAAACCTAATGGCCAACATTTCCAGTTTTTCTTATTATCATTAGATCCATATTCAGTTAATGCTAATTGACAATTCAAAATAGGTATCCATTTGGCATTTTGTGAATCTCTCCATGATTGTAACACCAATAAAGTATCATCTTCTCCGCCAACAATACATGGATCATTAAATTCATTGAAGAAAATACCTTTAATTAATGGGGCCGCTTCTTTTATTGGCATTTGTGAATTGTGTTGGATATATTTATAATCTTGATTAATATCAATTATCAGGTATGAATAAACATTATAAGAAACTTGATTAATCATAAATAAATTGTTTGTGGCCGATGCAATTAATGTGATAATTGGTAATACTTTCATAACATTTATACAAACTCCAAATTGATTGAAAAATCTTAAATATCCTAAACTTGTTCCTATGATAATTGTATTATTTGCTGATTTCATATCAGTGATACAAATACTAGTAAGGTATTCACCAGGTAACAAAGGCAATTTCCTTTCCCATTGATCATTTGTTGCTTCATTGTGTGATCTATAATAGAGTAATCCTGATTCACTTGAACCTAGTAAGATCCCTCTTTGATTCATGGACGCTAAATCAAAATTATGATAATCAGTGAAATGATATTCACTATGTAGTGCCCTATCAAAAAAGGAAACTGTTATACTGTTATTGTTGGTTGAACTGGTATTTCTACCATCTTTATTTTGCACAATCCAAGCGTACCCAATATTATTCATTGTCAAATATCTTCTATCAATAGAAGCACCCTTGTTTTCAAATGGAGTTGATCCTGGTGAATATGGTTTGATTTTACTTACAACTGCAACAGATGGTGAACTAGATTTGAATCTTTTATGTCCATTACTTCTGTATACATTACCATTTCTTGATGCTGGTTCAATATCTTCTTCTTCATCAATTACTAAATCATCTTCTTCATGGAGTTTCAAATTGTTACGACGTTTTTTACGAATGTCAATATCATCATTTTCCAAATCATCAATATCTTGTTCATCATCTGATTTACGCAACAACTCATCGGTTTCATTACCGGCATCTATTGGTTCCTCTGCTTCATCATCTTCGGCATCACTAACAAACAAACTTGTCAATACATCTTTAGACTTCAGAACAACATTATCCAATTGTAATGTTTCCCCATTAGTACTTCCAACAAATAATGTACCATCTTTCCAATCTAAATTCAATGGATATGCATCTTCATCAAAATCAAAATCATCTTCATGGATAAGTTTACCTGAATCAAAATCAAATACTTTAAACACATTCAATGATAAAATAGCCAATTTTCCCAATGGCAGTAATTTGAAATCAATTATTTTCCCACTATCATTCTTAAAATTTTTAATTGGATTATTCCAATCTTGTCTATCATAAACTTGAATACTATTGTCCACTGTAGGTACAAGTAAATATTGTCCATTTTGAGACCATTCAGTAGAAGTGCTTAACAACTCATCATGGTGCTCTTCATTGAAATCAACTTTATCCATAGAAACATGAATTTTACTCGGAAGTATATTCTTCAAAGTATGTAATAAATTAGGTTGTTCATTAACCACCGAATAAATTTGTACATCACCATTAGACAAACTAACACTAGCCAATTCACCAGCATAATTATATGAAATATTAAGTAATTGATCGGGTAATGTTATATTAGTAATTTTATTATCATCTTCATCGTTAGTTTGTAAATCAATAATAGTCAATTTATTTTCATCTCCACCACATAAAACACGATTTCCTTGATTAATGAAAACAGTATCACGTAAAGGTAATTCAGATCTATGCAATACTCCCTTTGAAGTATTAGTAGTCAAATCAACAAGTTCCAATTTACCATCAGTAGTCGTTAATACAAGATTTTTATCACCATTAGAAGTGACTGAAGTTAAATTATCCAAAATATCGATAGAAATTGGTTCTGATTCAGAATCTTCAGTATTGAAAACTTTAATTAACCCTTCACTATTGGCAATAATTAAACGATTTATGGTATTATTGAAATGAACATATGAGTTCCCATCTGGAAAAGCAGAGAATTTCTTTGATCCCATTGTCTGTTGGTTGTTGTAGAATATTGATGTTGTTGTGCTAGGTGATGTTGATTGTCTATTTTTTTTTCTATGTCAAATGCTTACAGAATGAAAACTGAAAAGAAAAAAAAATACACACGTCTTGATTAAAAAAAATTACTACGCGTTTTTGTGAGACAATTCAAAAATCATTTGTAATTACATAATCAATACTACAAAGTCGTACATAGGGTCAATATCAATTCTAAGTTTTATCAGAAATATGTTTCCACCAATTATTCAACACATTGGGGCCGGAATGTGAATCTTCTTCGCTTTTAACCCAGTCTCTTTTCCACACACCAGTATTCTCATTCAAAGAATAAGTGAGCCATTGACTATGACCCGTTGGACTATGATCTTTCAATCTAATCAATTCATTAATATCACTCAACAAGGAGATATAACTACAAGGAGAAAGGCCAATATATGTTCGGTTGATATTACCGGGTAATTGAAGATTCACAATAGGATACAATTTCTCATGTATTTTCTTAGACCCTGTTTTGAATTGACATTCACCAACTGCAATAATTTGAATTCCTTCATCAAGTAATAAATCTCTAGCTTTAATGTGTAATCCGTCATCAACAACTTCTCTGAAATTAACATCTACTCTTTTGGTGCTATAATTTGCATCCAATATTCCATTTCTTATAGTTGCATGTTTAAGAAGCACTCTTTCGATCTTAAGAATCAGTTCTGGGTTTGCAGGTAGTGACAGATATTCCAAATCAACAATTTGTAAAGCCAGTAATAATCCAGTTATTAAAATAGGTAAAATTAAAGTTAATCTTTTGGAAGGTACGAAAATAATCTCAAGAGATAAAATCATAATAATAGATATAACAAAAAGCATAAAATTCTGATTTGTTTCTTTAATTGAAAATGACCATGCCTTGGGTGTCAATTCTTTAATTATGTCTCTGTCTTTCTTATGTCTTTTCCCAAATGTTATATGGCTATGACGTAACTTATAATTCAAATCAGCAGATAAAAGTGCAACTGCTAATGTTGGTTTGAAAAGTGACATTTTTAGTTGATCTTATTTATGTAATAATCTAGTACTTACTCGTAGGAATGGAAATGATATTTGAAACGTAGCTTTTATTAAGAATGTTTTCGTCATGTTTGTTCTTTTTTTTTATGTAGTTTTTTTTGAAAGGTATTATCGGAACGGCTCTACTCGCAACAACTTCAAGAAGTAAAAAATTACTAATGAATCTTCCGCAACAAATTTCCACCAAAAGATTACAATCGAATTCGTTTTTGGCAATGACACGGCTAAGGAAGAAAATAACTCTGGAGAAAAGGTAATATAATATGTAGATCTCTCTCTTTGTTTCCATTCCATCATTCACATATTTGGTGTAAGACCGTAGGATCCGAAATAAAGTCGACTCTTAGTGCTATTGATATCCGAGATATGGATTTCCTATCAGTGAATATACACCAAACTTTGTAGTAATATAATTTCGAACTTCCGAATTGGCAATAGATGTATAGATTACTGATATGTAAAGAAAGACTACGGAAATAGCAGGGTTCAATCAAGAATTAAATCAAGCTTCATTTTTCTTTCCTTTTTTTTTTTTTTTTTTTTTTTTGCTTTTTCCTGATTGTTTTTCCGGGGTATCAATAGTTGCGAAACATGAGATAACGGAAATTGTTTGTTTCTCTACCTGACTCAGATTTGTCTATACGTCATATCTCCCCCTCACAAAAAGTTGATATAAATATGAAGTTAAATTCACCTTAAAAATAATTCTGATTTTCCATTTATTATTCATTAATTATTTACAATAATTACAATACATTACACTAAACTACTACAAACAAACACACCTTAAATTTCAATGAGTTCTACTAAAGTTGCTACTTCCACTGAACAAAAACACGAAGGTTTATTCGCTAAATATAAGAAAGCCCTGGATCGTGTTGATGAAAAGTTGGTTAAACTTCCTGATTACATCCATCATGGTTGGGATAAGTTTACAGATGGTACTAAAAAAGCTTTCAAACATTAACTGATGATAGGTATTCCTGCTTTGATTTGATTTTTACATATAGATACATATTCTTAATATTTTAATAATGAATTTTTAATGTCTTTTTGATATACCAAACTGTAGATGATGAGAATAATAAATATTGTGATTGATTTTATCGTCAAATTTATGAAATAAGTTGAAAAAAAATATGATCAGGTTAAAGAGTTAGAAACATCATTCAACTTGTGAGTCGAATACAAGCGAATTATATCAGAATAGTAAGCTATTATTCCCCAAAGTATTATGGACTCTTGAAAGTGAAGGTAGCAAAAATAATTCAATACTAGACTTTTGCACATCAATCCCAATTTTGATATCCTTCAAAAATTATTTTGATGTTGATGAATAGTGGCCACATTTGAAAGTTGGTCATTCAGAAACCCACTGAGTATGTGCAATATTTTCCCTATTCATTCTACATGGTGTGTAATATTTCTCCTTTCAAGCATACCAACTATAGTAAAAACTTCATTAAAAATTTCTTGCATACTCCTTTGTTTTACTCATTTCTGTTGATTTAATTAAATCCTCTGGTTTGATTGCCTATTCTATTTCTGGATATGTACAACAAATATATGAAGTGTTGTTCACCCGGATTCCGAGCTAAAGATTCAGAAGCAGATAAATAATTTCAGAAAAAGAATACAATAATTTACGAGCAAATTTCAAAAATCGGAGATTAGAAGAAATCTACACTCCGCCTGTAGGTTTGTTAGTCTCAGAAATTACATGCTTTCGAATAATTTAACCTCATTGAACTTTATAACGTTTTCTTACACGACTGCAAAAAATAATATGTCACCTTCTAAAATAAAACTAAAGGTAATATTCTTTTTTTTTTTAAACCGTAACTGCACAATCAATGATCTTTAAGAGAATGGGCTTGGAACAATTTGGTAATGATACTATAACCAGAAGCATCTGCATAATAAAACCCGTTGCATCTTTATTGTTTTCACTGAGCAAACAAAAAAATAGAGCCCCATAACAACACAAAGCTGCTAAGCATCCAACATTGAAATTTTAAACCCCAAATACGGTTTCTACACGACCCTCGTTGTTGAGCATTAGATCATACAATTGAAGAATACCCTGGTCACAGTTTAAATCAGAACAGGGTGAAATTAACAGCATAATAAAATTATGCATTTACATCTAACCCCATATAATAAAAACTAACGATTTGAAAAGTCCTAAGTATATATTTTTTTTCTTAAAATTGTAATTATTGAATATAGCAAATCCTAGTATTTCCAATGCTTCAATCCGTAGAAAGATCGTCAATCCTGTTCGTAACTTTACGTTTTACGATAGCAACAATTGAAGAAAACAATCTTTAGTAGTTAAGTGATTCAGTTTCAAACTTAGTTACAAGTACAATAGAAGCATGTGAATCCTTTTTATTATAGAATAAAACTAAAAGTATTATAAGGTATGCATGGACTAAGCTTTAAATATCCCTTGTTCTTTATTTCCTTTTTCTTCGATTGCTATGAAATTTAACCGCGTGGATTTAAAAGGCCGACCTCTAGTAGTTTACTGTGTTACTATATTTCTATTGTTGTTATTCTTATTGGTACAACGTCATTGAAAACAAATAACAATTGTGAGTTAGATTCGAGAGGATTGTTCCAGCAGGATCTTTTGATACTATCAGTAATCAAATTGAGACAGTAAAAAATAATTAGCCTTTCTAGCTAGCACAGATCTTTAAATTGTTTAGCTTTGAATATTGAAAAATGAGAGGGACCTACTATTACACTAGCCACATAACATAGATGTGTATTCTATTTAAGGGAAGTGTATCTAGAATTACTATTATGGTTATTTTTAGTGGTTGAATATGAATAGTATAAAAGACTAAAAAAACAAAAACAAAAAAAAAAAGAGAAAAATCTACTGCAAGACACAATGCATAAAACTAATTCTAACATTAGTCAAAAGATTTTATTTTTTGGGAGACTCTAATACTGGGCCCTATACATATCCTTTAATGTGACCCTCGCCCATTGTATTGTATAGTTATAACAAATTCTAAGAAAATAAAACATAATTGCGTTGATTGCCTTAAATAGAAAGAAATTCATTGGACGTATGGAACGACAAAATGCAACTACTGTACCAAAAGAGTATTTCTCGTAATTGATTTGAGTGTGAATTAGGAAAACTCGATATACCAGATGTATAATAGATTCCGAATCCAATAAAATGTGAATATTATGAATAAAGCAAATAATGTTATATACAGAAAGACCCTTTGAATGTTTATTCCAAGGCCAATGTTCTTTATGAGGACAATGGTATACAATATTCTGGCCCAAAATTACCATGTCTACTACTTCTATTAAAAAATCAATCAATTACTTTTCTGAATTTCTAACTAGCTCCATATATGAAATTACTGTAGAACAAGGTGAAATACAAAGTCTAAGATATTCAAGTAAAATTGATCACTGCAATGTTGTTAAAAGATTTGGTTCACAATAGGATGATTTCTTACTTTTCCAACTGAAAAAAAGGACACAATGAGCTGGAAGATACAGGCGTCATAGCTGTAAAAATAAACTTGAAATTTACTATTCAAAACAATAAAGAATATCGATGATATGCAAAATCGATCTCTTTAGCTTTTGCAGTATTAAAAAGGGCTCGTGACATTTACTGCAAATTAGTTTCAAATAAATTAGTGTTCAACTGGAGGGGAGGTTTTTTAACAAAACTATAAGAGCATAATCCTGGATACTCTTATCCCTGTAATTAATTTACTTCAATAAGAAATATTGTTCCCATTGTAGTCATACAATGAGATTCCAAGTTTAATAGTCAATGCATTCTGGAATTCTTGAGTCACTAACCTTTTGAAGTAGTTTACGATAGTAAAGATTGAAAACAATCACAGTCTACCTAAGATTAGAGAAACTGTAAAACTAAAAAACAAAAAAGAAAAGAATTGCTTCATCAACTTTTGGATCCTTATGGTTCTCCATATTTTTTCCATTATGTACTCATGTTGAGTTTTAGTTGTTTGATACAGCACTAACATAACCAGCTTACCATGCATCAGCGATTACCTAAGCTTTTTGTTAACAACCAGTTAGACTTTTTGAGTTAAATTTAAGTACATAGTAATATGAATTAATGGAAGTGCTCGGAATGGTGTGGAATAGATTTATTTATTGAAGAGGTTGATTTTCTCTTATCCTATTTCGTTGGTAGTACTTTTAAATTGCCCGCTTATGTTATTTCCGGTAATCTCACAAATCTGTACTTTGCATATGATTTACCCATGTTGATCTGAAATATACACTTACTTTTTTTGTTTTATTAACTGTAGGTTCTTCTTATATTCGCCTTCTGAAATAGAAAGTATTGCATGTGCTTTTAGTAGTTGCTAAAATTAACAATAATCCAATAGTTATTGAGCTAAAACTTTCCAAAAAATGATTCCAGAATTATCGTAGGTTGCTGACTAAAAGCACTATCTTGGTGTAGTGACTCTATTTTAATTCTTTAGTGAAATACGTAACTGCATTTGATAATACAGTAAAGTCCAATAATGGTGCATATGGACTAAATTGCAAAAAAACAATAAACAACTGCAAAAAATAAAAAAAATACAATACGAAAAAGCAATATTGGATAAAATACATGAGTGAAATCGAATCTGAAAATGAATATTAAACGGCACATTAACATGACCATTATTTCATTGAATTGGTTTATTTGCTTACGGAGATTGGTATTACGTTTGGTTCTTTCATTGCTTCTTGATAAATTTATCATAAAAAATTTTGTCATATATAAACTTAGCCAATTCCTTTCATGGTTCGTTATCTGTATTACTTTTCAATCCATAAAACAAACAACTTTCAGATGCTAGGAATCCGAAACTTATTCATTGGTATCTGCTTAATTCTTCAATTTGCGTTTTCACTTGATATAACTTCTGACCGTGTTGATCGTGGTACAATTGATATTGGCTTGGGTGATACTACAATCCATTCTGGTGCTTCTTGGTCAATCATCAATAATGCCATAACAGCTCTTGCTGGTTCACTTACTGTCGAATCTGATGCTGGATTTTACATTACCCTGACGTCCCCATTAATTGGTCTTGATGTTACCTTACTTGCTGCTTTTGGTTCAATTGTCAATGATGGTATCGTTGCTTTCAATTCTGTCGCATCGTTATTTAGTTCAGACTATGATTTAAGGGGCACTTCATTTACAAATAATGGTGAAATGTATCTTGGTGCTTCGGGTCTTCTTCTCAGTAGTATGTCTATTAATTCAGTGGAATGGCATAATAATGGTTTGTTGGTATTTTACCAAAATCAAAGATTTGGTGGAAGTTTATCCTTAGGTCCTCTCCTTGGGGGGGCTATCACCAATGATGGAACTATTTGCTTAAGCAATCAGGTGTACCAGCAAAGTACAGTTATTTATGGTAGTGGATGCTTTGTCACTGAGGAAGATTCCACAATTTACATTCCTAATTCATTGTTATCAGTTGACCAAAATCAAAATTTTTATCTCAAAGACAGTAAATCATCAATTATTGTTGAGGCTCTTTCAGCTCCTCAAACTTTCAATGTTTATGGTTTTGGAAATGGTAACAAAATTGGATTAACAATACCACTTCTTGGTAATCTTCTTCCATACTACCCTGCCTACAGTTATGATGAATCTACTGGTATTTTGACTTTAAGAAACCTTTTATTGACACAAAAATTTAACATTGGTAAAGGCTACGATTCAGATCTCTTTAAGATCGTTACAGATTCAGGTGCTGGATTACCTTCAACATTGCTTGGTAGTCTTCAATATAACGGCCCAGTTCCAGATCAATCTTTGCCCTCCTCATGTCAAGTTGAGTGTAAGCAACTTCCAGACGCTCCTGGTACTGAGCCAACGGAATTTACTACTACAGTCACTACTACTGCTTCCGATGGATCTGAATTAACAGAAACTGGCATTGTTGAAGTTACTACAGATTCTCAAGGGTCTTGGTACACGACCACATCAATTTTCCCAACCGCGTCCACCAGTAACTCTGAAGTCGTGTCCTCAACCGATGAATCCAGTACCTCCAGTGAAGCTACCTCATCTACTGAATCTGATGTCCAAACTGAGTTCACTTCCACTTGGACCACCACCAACGATGACGGTTCTGTTGAAACTGATTCTGGTATTGTCAGCCAATCTGGCACATCATTCACCACCTTGACTACTTTCCCACCTGAATCTACTGAATCTACTGAATCTGATGTCCAAACTGAGTTCACCTCCACTTGGACCACCACCAACGATGACGGTTCTGTTGAAACTGATTCTGGTATTGTCAGCCAATCTGGCACATCATTCACCACCTTGACTACTTTCCCACCTGAATCTACTGAATCTACTGAATCTGATGTCCAAACTGAGTTCACCTCCACCTGGACCACCACCAACGATGACGGTTCTGTTGAAACTGATTCTGGTATTGTCAGCCAATCTGGCACATCATTCACCACCTTGACTACTTTCCCACCTGAATCTACTGAATCTGATGTCCAAACTGAGTTCACCTCTACTTGGACCACCACCAACGATGACGGTTCTGTTGAAACTGATTCTGGTATTGTCAGCCAATCTGGCACATCATTCACCACCTTGACTACTTTCCCACCTGAATCTACTGAATCTACTGAATCTGATGTCCAAACTGAGTTCACCTCCACTTGGACCACCACCAACGATGACGGTTCTGTTGAAACTGATTCTGGTATTGTCAGCCAATCCGGTACATCATTCACCACCTTGACTACTTTCCCACCTGAATCTACTGAATCTACTGAATCTGATGTCCAAACTGAGTTCACCTCCACTTGGACCACCACCAACGATGACGGTTCTGTTGAAACTGATTCTGGTATTGTCAGCCAATCTGGCACATCATTCACCACCTTGACTACTTTCCCACCTGAATCTACTGAATCTACTGAATCTGATGTCCAAACTGAGTTCACCTCCACCTGGACCACCACCAACGATGACGGTTCTGTTGAAACTGATTCTGGTATTGTCAGTCAATCCGGCTCATCATTGACTACCTTGACTACTTTCCCACCAGAAGAAGAAAGCTCATTATTGTCTGGTTCAAATACTGTCGTCTCTACTTCAGGATCTGTTAGTGACGTTGCAACAGTTGAGCCGACTGCCAGTGGTTCCGGTTCTGGAAATGGCTCTGGTTCTGACAATGGTTCTGGTGAATCCGGAAATGGATCTGGTAATGGATCTGGTAATGGTGAATCTGGTTCTGGAAATGGCTCTGAATCTGGCTCTGGAAATGGCTCTGAATCTGGATCTGGAAACGGCTTTGAATCTGGCTCTGGAAATGGTTCTGGAAATGGGTCTGGTCAATCTGGCGCTGGTCAATCTGGTTCTGACAATGGTTCTGGTGAATCCGGAAATGGATATGGTAATGGATCTGGTAATGGATCTGGTAATGGTGAATCTGGCTCTGAATCTGGCTCTGGAAACGGCTCTGAATCTGGCTCTGGAAATGGTTCTGGAAATGGGTCTGGTCAATCTGGCGGCTGGTCAATCTGGTTCTGACAATGGTTCTGGTGAATCCGGAAATGGATATGGTAATGGGATCTGGTAATGGATCTGGTAACGGTGAATCTGGCTCTGAATCTGGCTCTCGAAACGGCTCTGAATCTGGCTCTGGAAATGGTTCTGGAAATGGGTCTGGTCAATCTGGCGCTGGTCAATCTGGTTCTGACAATGGTTCTGGTGAATCCGGAAATGGTTCTGGAAATGGTGAATCTGGCTCTGGAAGTGGCTCTGAATCTGGGTCTGGCAATGGCTCTGAATCTGGCTCTGGCAATGGCTCTGAATCTGGTTCTGGAAATGGTTCTGGCTCTGGAAGTGGCTCTGAATCCGGTTCTGATAGTGGATCTGGTGAATCCGGAAATGGATCTGGTAATGGATCTGGTAATGGTGAATCTGGCTCTGGAAATGGCTCTGAATCTGGATCTGGAAACGGCTCTGAATCTGGCTCTGGAAATGGTTCTGGAAATGGGTCTGGTCAATCTGGCGCTGGTCAATCTGGTTCTGACAATGGTTCTGGTGAATCCGGAAATGGATCTGGTAATGGATCTGGAAACGGCTCTGAATCTGGCTCTGGAAATGGCTCTGAATCTGGCTCTGGAAACGGCTCTGAATCTGGCTCTGGAAATGGTTCTGGAAATGGGTCTGGTCAATCTGGCGCTGAATCTGGTTCTGGTCAATCTGGCGCTGGTCAATCTGGTTCTGACAATGGTTCTGGTGAATCCGGAAATGTATCCGGTTCTGGCAATGGTTCTGATAATAGTTCTGGTTCTGTTGACGGTCATTCCTCTGGTACTGCATCTACTACAGTGCCATCTTTTCCACAATCTACTGTTTCCACAGTTACGGTTTCAGGGACATCTTCCACGAATACACCAGCTGTCTCTACTGTTGCAAACTCAGCAGAAATGGTTACAATTTCATTTATAAGTTGCGCTATTTCTTTCTTGATTTTAACTATCTAAGAGAATCGCGTTTGCTTTTGATTGCAAAATTGGATACCCTTGTCTTTTATCTTGAATATTTTCTTATTCAAAGTAATTATAAGTAGCTCACTTATAATGCTATTTTATTTTATTATTTCTTGTGGTTTTTCAGTCTAGTGGTTGTTCTTTTCCAGTCTTCAACGACTAAACCTGGTTTTTTGATTTTATTTTCGTTATTAAATTTATTATACTTTTAGTGATTTCTTGATTTCGGTAACTAGATTTTTATATAGACTTTGTTTATAGAATCTAATATCTTTTTTATTATTTGAGTTTTTTTATTGAAGAATGATGTAAATGACACGTGCAACTCTTTGATCTGTCTTATCACTTATCATTTTATTTTTGGATAACCAGAATATGTGCCAAAACTGTGAACGGCACAAAATTGATATTTCGGTAATAATAAGCTATTAAAAGGGTATGGAGGCTGAATTTTAAGTCACAATATTTCAGCATTTCCGATAATTTGTTTTAATATATAAAAGTCAGGATATAATTCCTTCTTCAATTATATTCCATTGGGGATGCAGTATTTTTAACAGATAAATACAAGAACAATTTTCATAGTGAACAATGACAAACAACCAACAAATATTACATAACAAAAAGGATATTGTGATTTTAAGCTTATTTAATGGCTTTATCAAACTTGGTATTACTCATGGAAGCAATGAAGGTAAATCAATAAAGAAGAAGAAAGTTGAATAAATATGGTCTTTTTTTATTAATATATTATGATTGCCCATACATTCTACATATATTTATCTCTATATTACAATTTCAAATAAATATTTAAAAAATTATGACTTGCATCAATTGTAAAGGTTCTAAGTCCGAGTTGTTTTTAAATTAAAGAACTGCAAACATTAGTGGTAATGGTACTCTAGGACAATAGTGATACACTAGAGATTGACCATATCCTATAAAAAATTTTCTCTTTAAGGAAATGACCCAAAGTACTACTCTAGAAAGGACAAGACATAACAAAAACAGTGGAAGAGATTACTGTTCACGATAATTGTAGTCTTCCCTTTGCTAAGTATCATTTGCTTAATTATTATCTAAAAGTGACAAACTATGGCTAGAGATTCAAATTCAAAACTTGAAGTAATAGAATCATTGCTTCCTACAACTCAGATAAGCAAATCATTTGCACAAGATGAAACTATAACAGATGGACTGATAAATAATCTAAAACATCTAAAGTATATAACGTTTACTTTACCAGTACTTTCAAGATATAAATACACTTCGTATCGTCATAATGGATTATTTAGTGATGAAATGGTAAGATGTTATAAACTTATGGAGAGTACAGCAATTGATTTGGTTTATAAAATTGCAATCATAACAAGACACACTTGGAAGTATGGTAGCAATACTCAACATTTTGCTAAGCAATTTATATTTATGTTTAATTCATTATTTATTGATTTACCATTGACAGGATCAGAATCAATAGAACCAAGAACAAAAACATTTCTTTTGGAAACATTTGATGATTTATATTTCCAAAGACAAATACAACTTATAGTTCATGATGTGTTCTTAGGATTAGATAATATTTATCTAAAGTATTATATTGTTGACTTTTTAGAAGTGAAGTATGGTTACAAAATACCAGTAAATTTTTTTGTAATTGGTGTTTGCAGTTTAGGATTACAATTGTATCGCGATAAAATTCAAGGAATGACCATAGTTCAACCAACCATAGAAGTTGAAAATGGACTCAAAACATCGATGTTCAAATGGTTTAAAATCAATTTTTGAATTTGGAAGTTCTCAAGACAAAGAGGCTATGTTTTCTATAAATTCAACTTCTTCCTAGTTAGAAATTACCTCAATTGTTTTTGTTTGTGCTGTAGTTGTTTAGGGGGAAAAAAAGACTTGAAACTGGTGAAAAATCAATGAACGAAAAGAACAAACTTGGTTTATCTATAGTTAGTTTAAGCTATTTCAGGGGTGTATAATGATATTATTACTTTCAATATGATAAAAAGTAATTCGACTGGAAACTAGGGAGATTGAAAGAACAATAAGAGCAATTCGAATCAAAACAAAAAAAAAAAAAATCCCTCAATAGTTGCAAATAAAAAAATTTGCGACAAAGCCTCGTTCAAATATCGCTCACATAAAACAAAGATGAAGAGTAGGAATGTGTTTTGGATAACTGGAAGTATAGCTGAGTTTATATGAAGAAATTGGCAAGGCGCAGTGTAAGTAGATCATTAATTTGTTGGCCTTACGGTTCTGTAAGTAAGATGGAAGTTCAATCTATGGTATATATTGTGAATAAGACGAATAATAATACTTGCCAGGAGTTCTTTGAGGGAATTTCTGAACTACGCTGAAATATACGTAATTTCTTTTGTGTTTCAATTTAATCAACCAAATATGACACACTCTTGCAACTTCAGCCTTGAATTTGGAATTTGTTACTGAATTACTTTAATCGAGATGCTTTTTCGGAGTACAGGAACATCAATACATTTACAATATGGAATGAGGGGTTAATGGGCCACCAGTCAGCAGGCAGATCCTTATACATAGTAAGCATCATCCTTGTATCATTAAACTAAAATATATCTACAAACAGAATAATGGGAAAAAAAATTTCTTCCACCTAATAAATGAATGCAAAATAATTCCCTCATAGTTAACCAAGAATGTCAATCTAACAAAACCATTTACGTGTATATTGTTCAATTTTTGTGTTCACTAGCTATGAGCGATTTTTTTGGGGGGAAAGTTTTCGTTTTTCACAGCCAAACTTCATAAAACCATAATATACCTTCAAAAGTTATCAAAAATATAACTATTTAAAGTCCAGTCAAATTCCGTCCAGCTTGTTATGATTTTTCTGGTCTCTAAATATATCAGTATCTTTTTCTCTTCGTCTAGTACATGCAGCAAATTTCTTCACCGTCAAGAAAATCCTTTGACAATGTTAATGAAAGCAACCATAAATCAATAGATGGACAGGTAGATAATCAATACTATATTGATATAAATGAAGAACAAGAACATCAAAACGAAAATAACTTATTTTCAATTTATAATGATGCTGATGAAGGAGATGAAGTAGATGAAGCTTCTGTTGATGATGAATCATCCATTGGTAAAGATGAATATGAGGAATCACACAATAAACAATCCTGGAAAACAATTTTACTTCTTTCATTTCTGTCATTAGGTTCAATTTATGGTGATTTGGGTACTTCTCCATTATATGTTTTGAATTCGATTAATTATTCACAGTATCCCCCAAACAAAGATGATATTTATGGTGCAGTTTCAATCATTTTTTATGTGTTTACTTTCATTGTTATTTTCAAATACGTATTAATTGTATTGTTTGTTGGTGTCAACTGTAACCATGGTGGCCAAGTGGCAATCTTTACAAAAATTGCTAGACATTTAGGAATTGGTCCAAAGGGAGTTACTTTACCTGGTGCTGCAGAAAAATCGGATTTACAATTGTTAACTAGACAAGATACTACTACTTCTTCAATCAAGTCAATGCAAACTAGAGTTGAACAAATTAAGCAACATCCTAGATTACTTTCTTTTGTACAGTATTTCATATTAGGGGGCTGCTTTCTTGGTAGTTCTTTAGTTAGGTCAGATGGGTTGTTAACTCCTACAACATCTGTATTGAGTGCAATTGGAGGTATTCAAGTTGCTATTCCTTCATTTAAATACGTCTTGGAAATTTCTGAAGTTATCTTGATAGTATTATTTGTAGCCCAACAATTTGGTGCTAGTAAAATATCATTCACATTTGCTCCAATAATTTTTCTTTGGATGATTGGATTACTACTTTGTGGTATTTATAACATTGCTAAACACCATCCAGGTATATTTGCTGCCTTGTCACCTTATTATGCTATTAAGTTGTTGAAGAGTGGTTCAATTGATGTATTTGCTGGTGTAATGTTATCCATTACCGGTACTGAAGCTCTATTTAGTGATGTTTCATTGGTTGGTAGATTACCCATTCAATTGACAATGTGTTGCTTCATATATCCTTCATTAATGTTATGTTACCTTGGTCAAGCTGCATATTTGGTCAAACATCCTGACGCATATACTAATCCATTTTTCCTTTCTTTGCCTGGTGGTAATGGGATTTATTGGACAATGTTTGTTTTAGCAACATTAGCTACCATTATTGCTTCGCAAGCATTGATCCTACTGGTTTTTTCAATTTCTTCCCAATTGATCAATTTGGATTGTTTTCCTAAATTAAGAATAATTTACTTATCTTCTCATCAAAAGGGTGAAGTTTATATCCCAGTCATGAATTGGCTATTAATGATTGGTGTCGTCTGTACTACTGCCGGTTTCAAAACTAGTGATAATGTGACAGCCGCTTATGGATTGGGTATTTCAATGGATTTTCTAGTAACTTCCCTGTTAATTATCATCTGTATGTTTTATGTTTACAATACCAATATCATTTGGCCATTGTTATTCTTGTTGATATTTGTACCATTGGAAATATGTATGGTTGTGGCAAATATGAAAAAAGTCCCACATGGTGCATGGTTCCCTATTATGATGGCAGGAATATTCTTCACTTTCTTGTGTACTTGGAGGTGGGCAAGGAATAAAAAACTCGATCAAGAATTTGCACAAAGAATCAAAATTGGTGATTTGTTCCCATATTTTAGTGCGAGATCAATAACAGTTAATCTTAATCCATTACATGTTAACTCCGGTGAAAGTGATGTCATTGGATCATCTATATATACTAAAGATGATGTTATCACGAAATTTGGTACATTACCATTAGCTAGGCACCAAGGATTAGGATTCTTATATGTGGATTCAATATTGACAAATTCACCAAACACATTACCACACTTGTATAAGAAATTGGTAACTTCATTTGTTTCCCTTCCTTCAGAATTTGTATTTGTTGGTATAAGAGTATTATCTATTCCATATGTTGATTCAGATGAAAGAGTTTTATTGGCACCTATGAAAATATCTGGTCATTATAAATGTGTTTTAAGATTTGGCTTTATGGAACACGTTGAAATTGATAATGAATTGGGACTTTCCATAATGAGTCGACTCCCAAGTTTAAGCATGAAGACTCCCGAACAGTTGAGTAACTATCCTGTTATTCATTTTTTGGAGAATGACTTAATTAGATGTCATGAGTATCGTTCAAATAAGAGGGGCTATTGGAAAAGTTTTAGATACTTCATTCGAAAAGTTGTCATCAATTATATCTATAGTCCAATTTATTCTTTAACTCAAGAATACGGTCAATTCATTAACACCGAAACAGAGAAAGAAGAACGTGAAAACAAGATATATCTAGGTGGGATTGCAAGGATATAAAAGAATTTCTAAAATTCGTTCTGGTGATTTCGTATATTTTATATATTTTAGTTTTTTATAAATATATTTTGTACTATTTTTTGTGTGTCGATAACTTTGGCTTTCTTTTTATTTTGTTAGATTCTGTTCTTTGAAAAGTGGACCCCTTTTATTATTATTATTCTGATTATTCTATATCAAAAATTACATGAACATATCTTCTACTATGCCCATTCTGGTTTAGTGTTGTAATCACTATTTCTTCCTCTATTGTTGTTTCCACCTCTCCAGTTTCCATTTCCTCTACCACGATAATTACCACCTCTACCTCTCCAATTACCTCTACCACCTCTTCCTCTTCCACCTCTGCCACCTCTTCCGCCTCTTTGCAAAGAAGCTTCACCAAAAGTGTCCATATTCAAATTTCTTTCTTCAGACCATCTCATATTGGTTCTTTCTTCGGTAGATGATGAAATATTATCGAAAAATGATGAACTCTTGTTGTATCCAGTATGTTCTAATTCACGTTCTTGTTCCAATTCTTTGGAAAATTTGGCATTTGCTTGTTCAAAATCAAATTCTTCAGGTGGAATATCCAATTTAGATTCTCTTCTTGGTTTTTGAGTTGCGGCAGGTTGAGGAACAGATCCTGGTTGAGCATCAGCAGGTTTGTTTTCTGAAACAGTCTTGGTTAAAGGTTCTTCATCAATAGTTCTAGTTGGAGCTGGATTTTGTACTTGTGGTGCTTCTGGAATACCTGTTTCAACAGGCGCTTGTGCAACTTGACCTGGTGAAGCTGCTGGGACATTGGTAGTTTGTGAAACACTGCTTTGAACTGGAGATTGTGCACTAGTAGCAGTGGTGGTAGTTACTGGTGCTTGAGTTTGAGGAGCACCATTAGCCGTAGTGGTAGATGGAGGGCCACTATAATATTGACCAGTAGTTGGTGTTGGTTGTTGTTGTTGTTGTTGAGGTGGGCGATAAATGTTTGGTTTGACTTCATCAATAGGTGTATCCAAAACAGATAAATCTTTAACATCAGATCCTCTGAAAACAACATAATCATAAACATCAACACCTGGAGAAACTTCCAAATGTGGTTGTCCCATGGCGGCCATACGACCTTCGGTACCAAATAATCTCACTGATTTCAAAGCAACAGTGGCATCATCAGCATTGATGTTTTCTAAAAGACCAACATAACGAAGTCCCTTATTAGAAATAAGAGAAATTGTCTTCCCGATGTATTGAGACATTAGGCAGTTGGTTTTGAATGTGTTTGATCCTAACGGTGAAACTTTTTCAAAAAACAAAAAGGTCCAAAATCGTAATCAAGATTCTTACTCGCCTTTCATTTTTTTTTTTTGTTTGGCGGTGGCGGCGGTGGTGGTGGCAGTTGATGTGTGGGTGGGTTGTACAAGATTTTGTTGATTGAGCGATTCGCATAGAAAAAAAAAAAAAAATTTTGAAACAATTGATTTTGGATAATGTGCACGACGTGTTTAATTTTTGTAAGTTTATTGGAATTGACTAACAGGAACAGATTAGTCGTTAGTATAGATGTTGTGACAAATGTAGAGGAATATTGGTTGTTTCTATGTGTTTATATGATTCATATTGCAATTCTCTGCATTTTACAATGTTTACGTTAACATACAGAAATTGTTTTATGTAAATATTATTGCAAAAAATGAATGAAAAAAAAACAAGTATAGGTCAAAATAATCCAAACAATGTAAGATCACCGAAAATTTACAACTTGATACACCCTTATGACCAACATACATTACACCTCTTCCGTATGATTCTATTCTTCTTTTTTTTTGCAGCTATATCTTGGTTAGTAATTTTTTTAACTCAAGATACACACACACTTTCAATTGTTAGTGTCATCAACAAATCGGATACCAAAGTGCGAGAGAGTGATGTGAGAACGAAAAAAAAATTCAAAATAGTTAAATCGCATCAACGTTGGGATTTAGCCACTTGATACTACCTTTTCATAGCAATAGAGATAATGAGTGATCCATTAGCTGATTATACAAACTTATCACAGGATGAAACTGATCCTTCGAAGAAAGATGATAACGTTGATGATTTACCAGATTTTGAAGATGTAGTGGGTGATAATGATATCGAACGACCAACCCAACAAGAAGAAGAAGAACAACAACAACAACAAGAAACAGAGAAAGACGAAGTTCCAGCACAGGAAGAACGATCAAATGAAGAAGAACCGCAAAATTCGGAACCTATAGAAGATGTTCTTAGTACCATGAAAGTTGCCAAACTTGCGGATGGTCAAGTTGGTGATGGTTATGTCAAGAAACATACTGGACTTAAAAGAAGACATAATAGCTCACTTGATGATGATGACGATGAAGAAGAAGACAATGGACACAATTCGAATAATATTTTTAATGATGATGATAATGACGGAGGCTCAAGAAGTAGACCAGGTAAATCATATCATCCAGATGATGAAGTTGATTATGAAAGTTTAGACCCACAACAAAGAAGACGACTCGAGTTGGAAGAAAGAATGACTCAAGCTATTAAGCCAGCATCTAAGAGAAGAAGAAAAGCAGATGAGGATGATATTGAAAGAATGCAAGATGATAAAATTGATGCATTGAAAGAACAAATGATTAAAGCAGCTACTTTAGATGTTGATAAGAATTCTCAAGGTCAAATTGCAACTGAAAAATTGAAGCTTTTAAGTAAAGTAACAGATGTTTTAGCAAGAGCTGATTTGGCTATTTCTATATTGGATAATAATTTATTGGAAGCTGTAAGATTGTGGCTTGAACCATTACCGGATGCATCTATGCCAGCTTATCAAATTCAAAAAGAATTAATCAATGCTTTAGAAACATTACCTATAAAAACAGACCACTTGGCCGCTTCAGGAATCGGGAAAGTTTTGGTTTTTTATCAACGTTCTAAAAGAACTGAAGCTCTGTTGAAGAAAGTAGTTGATAGATTAATTGGTGATTGGACTAGACCAATTTTGAATAAATCTGATTCTTATAAGGATAGAAGCGTCCAATTCCATGAATACAACAAATCCAAATTTACCAACAAATTATCAAGAGGTAGTAAAAGAAAGGAAGCTAAAACATTATATGAACAAAATGCTGAAAGAAGAAAAAGAGCTGCTATTCCAAGTACTAGAACAACTGCCTATAAGATTGCTCCTCTGGTTGACAAGAGTTTATTAATGAGACAACAAGCAAGACATGCTGGTAATGATGAAAGATTCAAGAAGATTAACCAAAAACTTACTTCAATGTCTGTTAAAAGAAAAACTACCAAAAAAGGTGGTCCATCTATTGAAGGTAGAGATTTGGCTATGTAGTTACATTATAGTTCGTAAATAAATATATTTGTAAAATTTGACTTTATACAGATGATACAGCTGGTGAACAAGCTGTGTTTGCCAAAAAAAAAAACAACATCCCATACTCTACAGTGAGTCTTTCAAAATAAAAAAATAAAAATTGAAAGTCAAAATAATATAAAATAAATCATGTACCTTTTTAAAAAATGTGCAATTGTATTAAACTATATTTATACATTCCTTTATTTCGAAATATAATCCAACAATGAGTGAAAATAAATCATCACTATTTTCATAAATATTTCTCTTTCATTAATATTATTGAAACCCAAGCTTTATATATTGAAAATAATCAAAAAATACCAAAGACAAAGATAATCTAAGATCTTGGCTTTTCTTTCTTTTCTTTCCATAAAGCCAACAAGGAGACACCAGAGACTTTAACAACCTTGAATCTAACCCCTGGAATATCACCCTTAGCCTTACCTCTTCTACCGAAACCAGCCAATAAGACTTCGTCATTTTCATCAACAAAATTCAAACAACCATCATTTGGAACGAAAGCAGTAACTTTCTTACCGTTTTTAATTAATTGAACTCTGACACACTTTCTAATAGCGGAGTTTGGTTGTTTAGATTCAATACCAATTTTTTCCAAAACGATACCTTTGGCGTGAGATGAACCACCAAATGGAGAAGATTTGAAAGCGGTACCTAATAATCTAGCTTTATAAGCTTGATCAGCCCATCTGTTGTTTCTTCTGTGAACTCTTAATTTTCTAGCAGAGTTAAGACCTCTTGGTTTACCTTTACCCATGATTGATGTTGTTGATGATAAATTCTTAAAAAAAAAAGGAGATTCAAAAAAAAAGAAGTGAAAAAAATTTTGTATACACCAAAGAGAAAAAACACTTTGGTTGGGAAAGGAAAGGAATGATTGTGAGAGAGTGAGAGGTCAGCAACCAGGCAGAGATTGTGAGTGAGTCTCCAGACTCAGAATCTATGCGCGACGCAGAGGTGATTGAGCGAGCGAGCGAGCGCGGGTGTAGAGTTTCGCCCTGTATACCACGATAACTAGCGCGACATCGTACTATCTGGCGACGTCCCAATGAATGAACTTTTTCATTCTATTTTTTTTTCGCTTTTCAGACGACAAATAAAAAGTAGTGCGAATCACAATAAATTGTTGTAAGTAATTGGGAATCACGTGCAAACAGTTTGTTTAGGGTTGGAGCCCTAAGTAAGAATTTTCTCACCGGTTTTATTCTTGTTTTTTTTTGTGTGGCTTCACATGCAAAGTCTAATACTAGTAAACGAAATATGTCATTTCTAGATGCACTTATAACTTTGGTAGTCGAATAAAAGAAAAGACTCTTATAAATATAAATATATATATATTGAACTAGATCTATCTAATTATTTTAAAGATTTTAAAGATTTCTTTTTAATCAAAGATAATAAAAACAAAAATAAAAGATCTATTTGATCTTTAAACATAAATAACAAACCTTGTACGAAAACACCTTTCAACAATTGAGGTGCAATACCTTTGTATAAACCATGGAATTTTTCAGTATGCCATAAGTGAGCCAATGCATCTGTGAAATGGTCGAATTTGATATCATCTTCATGGTTATCTTCTTCCAGAGAAGATTTTTTATCTTTTTTATCCTTTGATGAAGATGTTGATTTCTTTTGCATCATAGCTTTTGATACAATTAATGGTTGAGTGACAACAGTTGCTAAAGATTTAGCTAAAACTCCCAATGAAAAAGCTTCAAGTGGATTTAAATATTGTTTGTTTCCATAAAATATTTGTTTTAAACGTTCATAAGAACCATATGTGATTGATGGATTAATACATAAAACCAAAGAAACTCTTAACCCTCTCCATAATCCGGTAACACCATCTTGATCCAAAATTTCTTTAATCAATTGGAATACATTCTTGTGATTTTTATCAGTTTGTTGTTGAGTTGTAATAACACCAATTGGCATGGTGAAACATTGTGAGATTGCAGCAGCAACAGCACCAAGAAACAATTCCATTAATGTACTTGGTTTATGATTCGGTATGTTTTTATATAAATTGGCATAGACTCTCTTAACTATGGTATACCAGTAAAAATAAGAGAAATTCTGAGCAGCAGTACCAACAACAGTGGAGAATAATCCATGATACCAACCCAAAATACCCTTCTTTCTATATATTTGTCTTAAAACATCAATAGTATTCTTATATTTTAACCCATTATCTTTATCTAAACTTTGTTTATAAACAGAATCTTCTATATCTGATTCTGAAGCAGGAGGTGTTGGGATTTTATTTGAGTCATTTGATTTGGATGCTTTTTTCTGTTTGACTTGAGTTTGAATCAATACTTTACTTAAATCCAATGGATAAACTAATGTGTTAGCAATGGCAGAAGCTAATGCTCCAGATGCAGCTTTTTCTATTGGTGAAAGTGACATCGTTTATTGAATGGAATGTAGTGAATAGTGATTAATATTTTTTTTAAGCAATTCTATTGAAATTAGGAATGACAGGGTCAAACACGACAATATTAAATATAAATAAATAAATAAAAAAAAATTAAGGTGGGGAAGCTTGTGCAAAAAATCAAAAAAAAAATCGAACAGTTGATACCGAGGAACGTGAAATATTTGATCCAACAAGAATATGCTTTTTTTTTGATCTTAGTAGATGAGCCAAAGAAAAAAACAAGAATAGTAAGATGGGAAGAAGATGAATAAGAAGAATGAAATAAACAAAAATTCAAATCAAATTCAGAATAGGGAAATGTAGATTGTTTTTATATTTTTCGTTGTGGGATTGTGGGTTAACCCGTCGGTATCAATCCATCAAATGATAAACAAAAAAAAAGTTGGGGCAATCGCAATCGCAATCGCAAATTAATAACAAGAGAAGAGAAGAGAACAGGAACAGGAACAAAATAATAATACACTGGGGGAAGATCAAAAAGAGAGAGAGAAAATAATATTGGGGTACCTGTCTCTAACGGATAATTTACAAACTCTTCAAAGAGGAGGGTTTTGATGGTTCCCTTTTGATATACCAGGTAGTTAACCAGTTTTCTGATCTTACCCATCATGTGTTTGTTTATGATTTCTTGATGTGTAAATTTAACCCAGACGTTACCCACCACCTGTTTTTCCGTTTTACGATAACAAGCAGTTGTGATTTTTTTTCAATTGTGGTTGTCGTCCCGAGGATCTTTTTTTATTATTTTTTTTTTTTGTTGCTACCCGGTATGGCCTAAATTCTTGCCCCTCTATATCCGCTAGCAATAAACCTCCACACTTCAACTACGTAATCTGATTAATAATAAATTCTTGTAAATATGTCTAGTTATTTCCATTCTATAATTTCTCGATCTATACCGCTAGTAACAAGTTTTTCTACCCCATCACCATCAATAAAACTAATGAAATCTTTAATCTTACCTTGATGTCCTTCATTAAGTTCAATAACTACTTTATCATCAATAATATCAAGCCCTCTAATAACACCATCATCTCCCATAACCCATACTCCACTGGCTCTATCATTTTCGTCCCTACATAATCTCCATGCAATGATTGGTTGTGAATATTTATCTTGTGGCGACAAGGTATTTAAATTCTTAATAATTTGATTCCTTTTGATAGCGGTATCAGGAATTGCTTCCAGTAATGGAACAATAATTAATCTCATAAATGGTTCATGGGATGTCGCCACGGCAATCAATGGAATTGCAGCTTGATGAATAGTCAATAATCGTGGAGAAAATCCAGCAGCAGTAAATTCAGCATCATTCAAGGATATTTTATATAATAAAGTCAATTGATTATCTCTAATAGCTAGAACATCCAACAAAGTATTTTCCAATTTCCCCAACACAATAACCAATTCATTTTGATACTCAACCACATCAATACATGATCCTTGTTGTTGAAGTTTTAATTCAGATAAAAGACTAAAATTGTTCTCTTCATCCAATTTGATTAATCTTACAAAGAAATCCCATCCCAATGAAACAATATAATCAACATTACCTACTCTTTTATATCTAGCATCAACAATTAATCTCTTATGTGCTTGGAATTCACTTATAGGATCCAAATTTTCCAGATGCCTTAAATATAAAGTACCATTCATTCCTACTAGAATAATTTTATCATCTCCGACAGTTAAAATATTCTTTATGACAACAGGCATTTTGATAGTTTTACAAATTATATCTTCTTTAACGACATGAACATTGGAATCATTACTACTGAAATAAACTAACCCTTGAGAATAACATGAACCTAAAACGAGTCCTGCAATATCAACTAGTTTTCTAGGTGTTTGTGGGAATGGTGTTATCCAATGATTAAATTCATCTTTTATTATTTGTTTTAAATCATCATGAAGTTCTTCATTAACATCAATAGCTTCAATTTTATCAAGTAATGAACTATATTGAATTCTATCATCAATTATTTCATCTAATGATTCATCGAGTAATTTTGATGGTTGAATTGCTGTTCCATGTTCATTTTCAAATTGCTTTAAAGTTTCAGGATAATTGTTATCCTGTAAATATTGGGCAATCAAATTATGAATATACGTTGTTTGTCTTGTCATTTCGTGATGATGGTTGCAATTGTTGGGGGAGGTTATAAAAATTGGAAATTTGTTGCCTTCATTTATTTTTATTCTGTCCCCCTCTGCCTATCGCGATCTTAAACGATCAGTTTCCCAAAGCAAAATTTGAAAATTAGCCCCAAATTCACCCATGTTTTCTCTCTACGAGTTCTCTGAAATTAAAACATTATCTTACATTTATTTAAAACTAGTATACAACATTTTACAACATGGTAGATAATAACAATTATTATCTCTAAATCTTTTCAGCTAATTCTTCTAACAACTTGTAGTTTCTTTGTTCAACAGAACCATTACCTGGTAATCTTGTTGAACCCATTAAATATTCATCAACTTCTCTAGCACATTGACGACCTTCTTGAATACCCCAAACAACTAATGATTGACCTCTTCTACAATCACCAGCAGCAAAAACATTATCGTTTCTATCAACTTTGTAAACATTTGGATCAATAGTAGTAATAGTACCTCTCTTGGTTTTTTCAACTTCTAAATTATCGGATTCTGGTCCAACAAAACCCATAGATAATAAAACAACATCAGCTGGGAAAAATTCTTCACTACCTGGAACTTCAGCCATTTGCCAAGCACCTGAATCAGAACGTTTCCATTCAACTCTAACAGTTTTGATACCTTTAACATTACCTTCTTCATCACCAACAAATTCTTTAGATAAGATGGAATATTCTCTTGGATCCTTACCATAATGAGCAGCAACTTCAGTATGACCATAATCAACTCTGAAGATTCTTGGCCATTGTGGCCATGGATTGTCCTTTGGTCTGGCATTTGGTGGGTGTGGTAACAATTCAAAGTTGGTAACTGATTTAGCACCATGTCTGGTTGAGGTACCCAAACAATCATTACCAGTATCACCACCACCAATAACAACAACATTCTTACCTTCTAAAGTCTTTCTAATATCTTCCAATTGATCTTCTAACAAGGCCTTGGTGTTGGAATGCAACAATTGCATGGCAAAACCAATGTTTTTCAATTCTCTTCCTGGAATCTTTAAATCTCTTGGAATAGTAGAACCAACAGCAAAGACAACTGCATCAAATTGAGATTTCAATTCAGAAACAGTGACATCTTCACCAACAGTAGTGTTACAAACAAATTCAATACCTTCAGCAGCCAACAAATCAGTTCTTCTCTTGACAATTCCTTTGTCCAATTTCATATTTGGAATACCGTACATCAACAAACCACCTGGTCTATCACTTCTTTCATAAACGGTAACAGAATGACCAGCTTTATTCAATTGATCGGCAGCAGCCAAACCAGCTGGACCAGAACCAATAACAGCAACTGTCTTGCCAGTTCTGTGAGATGGTGGATTTGGTTTAATCCAACCTTGTTCAAAACCATGATCAATAATGGCACATTCAACAGATTTAATATTCACTGGATCTTCATTAATACCCAAAACACAAGCACCATTACATGGAGCTGGACAAATTCTACCAGTGAATTCTGGGAAATTGTTGGTCATCATTAATCTTTGCAAAGCATCATACCATCTGTCATTGAAAACCAATTCATTCCATTTTGGAATAACGTTGGAAATTGGACAACCAGTATCAGAAGTACAGAATGGAACACCACAATCCATACATCTAGCAGTTTCATATTTCAATTCTTCTTTGGTTAATCTAGAAGTCATTTCTTTCCAATCCTTGGTTCTTGATTTGGCTTCTCTGTATTTTTCATTTCTACGCTTGTACTTCATGAAACCTCTGAGTTTATCTAATTTGACTGGAGCCTTCTTTTCAAATTCAGTGTTGAAAATAGTATCTTCAACATCAGCAACTTTTGGTTCTTGTTTGTTGGAAGGTTTGTGAACATGTCCCTTTTTGATCTTGTATGCTTCACCATTGGTAACATCAGCTTCTGGGTCCTCCTTGATAGATTTCAAGAAACTGCTTAATTCCTTGTTCTTTGCTTCTTGGGCTAATTGCTTTTCCTTTTCCAAAACCTTCTTATAATCATTTGGTAAGACTTTAACAAATCTTGGCAAGTATCTGTTGAAATCATTCAAAATACTGTCAGCAACTTCAGAACCAGTGTAATGACGGTGGTCTTCGATCAAATTTCTCAAGAAAGCAATTTCTTCAGTCTCGGTAACTTGGGATAATTCAACTTGGGCTTTATTAACTTTATCACTAAAGTCTTGGGCCATGTCCAAAACATAGGCAATACCACCACACATACCAGAAGCAAAGTTTCTACCAGTGGAACCCAAAATGACAACTCTACCACCAGACATATATTCACAACCATGGTCACCAGTACCTTCAGCAACAATAATGGCACCAGAGTTTCTAACGGCAAATCTTTCAGCAGCAATACCTCTGATAAAGGCAGAACCAGAAGTAGCACCAAAGAAAGCAGTGTTACCAGCAATGATTTGATCTTCGGCTTTGAATTTAGATTCCTTTGGAGGGTAAACAATAATTCTACCACCAGATAAACCTTTACCGATGTAATCATTAGCATCACCTTCCAATTCCAAAGTGACACCAGATGCTAAAAAGGCACCAAATGATTGACCAGCGGAACCAGTAACATTAACATGAATAGTATCATGTGGTAAACCATTTTCACCAAAAGTCTTGGAAACACGGTATGACAATGTAGTACCCAAGGAACGATCAGTGTTGACAACTTCACAGTCAATAGTGACAGGCAAACCTTTAGCCAAGGTCAATTCAGATTCATCAATCAATTTGTTATCAACTCTAATGTGCAACTTGTGATCTTGTTTTCTAACACAATGAGTGGCAACACCTGGTCTAATAGTATGGGCAGGAGTCAAAATTGGAGACAAGTCAATGTTTGCATTCTTGGTAGTTCTGAAATCTTCTCTAACTTTCAATTTTTCAGTTCTACCAACCATCTCATTAATAGTTCTGAAACCCAATTTAGCCATGAATTTTCTCAAATCATTAGCCAAATAGTAGAAGAAATTGATGACATGTTCTGGAGTACCCTCGAATTTCTTTCTCAATTCTGGATCTTGAGTAGCAATCCCAACTGGACAAGTACCCAAATGACATTTTCTCATATAGATACAACCCATGGCAATCAATGGAGAAGTAGCAAAACCCCATTCTTCAGCTCCCAATAAACAAGCAATGGCAATATCTCTACCAGTTCTGATTTGACCATCAGTTTGCAAAATAACTCTACCTCTCAAGTCATTCAAAACTAAAGTTTGATGAGATTCGGCTAAACCCAATTCCCATGGCAAACCAGCATACTTGATCGAAGTCAATTTGGCAGCACCAGTACCACCATCACCCCCAGAAACTAAAATGTTTTCTGAGCCGGCTTTGGCAACACCAGCAGCAACAATACCAACACCAACTTCTGAAACCAACTTGACAGAAGTTCTTGCTCTTGGATTAGCACATTTCAAATCATACAACAATTGTTTCAAATCTTCAATTGAGTAAATATCATGATGTGGTGGTGGAGAAATCAAACCAACACCTGGAGTGGAATGTCTAGTTTTACCAATTTCAACAGAAACTTTATGACCTGGCAATTCACCACCTTCACCTGGTTTAGCACCTTGAGCCATTTTGATTTGCAATTCATCGGCATCAGCCAAATAGTATGAAGTGACACCAAATCTACCTGAGGCAACTTGTTTAATAGCTGATCTCATGGTGTCACCATTGTCTCTGACAATAGATCTGGCAGCATCTTCACCACCTTCACCAGTGTTGGATTTACCACCCAATCTGTTCATAGCAACGGCCAATGTGGAATGTGATTCCATAGAGATAGAACCATAGGACATGGCACCAGTGAAAAAACGACGAACAATTTCTGTCCATGGTTCAACTTGGTCAATTGGAACTTCAGATGATGATTCAAAATCAAAGTCTAACAACCCACGTAAAGTACAGTTACGAACAGCTTCGTTTTCCTTTTTGGCATAGGCTTCATAAGCTCTCTCATTCTTGTTACGAACAGCATCTTGCAAGGAGGCGATAGCAGCAGGGTCATTGATATGGGCATCACCACCATCTCTCCAGTGGTATTCACCGGTTTCTGGTAATCCAACTGGTTTGATGGTTTCTCTGGATGGATAACCTCTTTCATGCAAAGTGAAGGCATCTTGAGCAATATATTCAAAAGTAATACCCTTGATTCTGGAAGCAGTACCAGCAAAACATCTATCAATGACTGAGTTGTCGATACCCAAAGCTTCAAAAATTTGAGCACCTTTATAAGAAGCCAAAGTAGAAATACCCATCTTGGACATAACCTTCAAGATACCAGCATCAATGGAAGATTTATAGTTCGAGATGATTTTTTCTTCAGTAAGGGCTTCATTCTTTAATAAACCTTGTTGTTTCATTCTAACCAAAGTTTCCATGGCCAAGTATGGATTAATACCATCGGCACCATAACCAACCAAACAACAGGCATGGTGAACTTCTTTAGCTTCTTGAGTTTCAATGATAAGTGCAACCTTGGAACGTTGCTTTTGTCTAACCAAATGATGGTGAACAGCACCAACTGCAATCAAAGCGGAGATTGGTAATCTTTCTGGGCCAGTGTTGGCGTCACTTAAAATGATAATTTGATTATCATCAGCAATTGCTCTAGAAGCAGCTTGACAGATTCTGTCAATGGTGTTAATATAACCTTGAATACCTTCAGATTTATCAAAAGTAATGTCAATGTTGGCAACAGACCATGATGGATAAACTGTTTCAATGTGTTTAATTGCCAATAATTCTGAATTAGTCAAAATTGGAGATTTCAACAACAATCTATTCAATTGGTTTGGTTTCATTTCCAATAAGTTACCTTGAGGACCAACATAACATTCCAAAGACATGACAATTTTTTCTCTAATTGGATCAATTGGTGGATTGGTAACTTGAGCAAACAATTGACGGAAGTATTCGTATAATAACTTTGGTTGTTCTGAAATACAAGCCAACGCATTATCGTTACCCATAGAACCCAAAGCTTCGTTACCTTCAGCCATAGGAGCCAAAACAAACAAAAGTTGTTCGTGAGAATAACCGGAAGCAATTAATCTTGGATCAGATTGGATGTTGACGGAAGTATCAACTGGTTTAGAAGCAACATCAATGCTTCTGGATGCCAATTTCTCATTCAAGTCTTGCAAGGTGATCATGTTGGCTAAAACCCAAGATTTGAAGTCGTATTTGGAAGAGACTCTGCTCTTTAATTCCTTGTCATCAACGATACGACCTTCTTTGGTATCGACTAACAACATTTTACCTGGTTGCAATCTGCCCTTTTGTAAAACTTTTTCTGGTTGGACTTCAATGACACCAACTTCTGAAGCACAGATAATACGGTCATCATCAAGAACGTAGTAACGACATGGTCTCAAACCATTACGATCCAAGTTGGCACCACAATATCTGTCATCAGCAAAAGTGAATAAAGCTGGACCATCCCATGGTTCCATCAAACATGCAGCCCATTCGTAGAAAGCCTTCTTTTTAGGGTCAATGTATGAATCATTCTGCCAAGCTTCTGGAATCATCATCATCACAGCTTCTGGTAATGAAACGACACCATTAATGACCAACAATTCCAAAACATTATCAAAAGCAGCGGAATCAGAACCACCTTCTTCAATGATTGGGAACAATTTGTCCATTTCATCACCAAACAATTGAGATTTCATAACCCCTTCTTTAGCTCTCATCCAGTTCTTGTTACCTCTCAAGGTGTTGATTTCACCATTATGGGCAGCTAATCTCAATGGTTGAGCTCTATCCCAAGATGGGAAAGTGTTGGTGGAGAAACGAGAATGAACTAATGCAAAATGGGATTCATATTCAGCGTTAACTAAATCATGATAGTAAGAATAAACTTGTTTTGGAGCCAATTGACCTTTGTAAACAATGGTTTTGTTGGAAAGCGAACATATGTAGAACCAATTGTGTAAACCGATGGTATGAGAAGCTTGCTTTCTCAAAATGAACAATCTCTTTTCGAAATCTTTTTTGTGTTTGGAATCAAATTCTTCTTCAGAAATATCTTGACCCCATGTTTCCTTGTAAACAACGGCTGGTTGTAAAATATATGGTTCTCTAGATAAAGCAGCGGCACCCAAAATAGAGGAATCATGAGGGACCTCTCTCCATGCCAAAACCTTCAAACCCAAGGAGTCAGCGATATTTTCAAAAGTTTTCTTAGATTTATCAAAAACGGCATCGTCTTTCTTAAAGAAAACATTACCAACACCATATTGACCCTTTGGAGGTAATTCGATGTTGCAGTAGTACTGGAATTCTCTTTTCAAGAATCTGTGTGGAATTGATGATAATAAACCAGCACCATCACCATCGTTTGGGTTTAATTCACCACCTCTGTGTGTCATGTTACACAACAAGTGTTTGGCATCAGAAACAATTTTATGAGATGGGACACCTTTCAAGTGACAAGTAAAACCGACACCACAAGCATCTTTTTCTAACTCTGGGTTATATAAACCTTTAGCGATTGGTAAAGCTGAAGCCCAAGATTTATTCTCAGGAACTTCGTCGTAGTTGTAAACATTTGTTGTGCTGAATTCTTCTTCTGGCAAGTAAGATGAGGTTGGACTCATTTAACTATGTATATGTCTAGGTGGATATGTAGAAGTAAGATAATTTAGGAATGGATATAGTTCCAAGTTACAGTTAAATAGATTTTGTTTTTTCTTGAATTCGGTAGATAGGAGTTTCTAGTGAGTATAATATAAACACAGAATTTTTCTTCTCTTTTGTGAAATAGATACTAAAGTAAATAAGAATAATTGAAATAAATATATAATCAATACACCTTCCACTACCTTCGTTAATATAATGATATATAAGGAAAAGAAAGTAAGTAAAAAGAGAAGAGAAAAAAAAAAAAAAGAGAAAAAAAAAATTGTTAAAAAGTTATTACTTGTGAAATTTATGGGAAAACTGGGTGATTCAAATAAGCATACCGGAAGGTGGTGGTGTTCAGATGGGTGATTCAAAAAAAGAAAAATTAAATTTAAATTGAAATAATTACACAAATTTACTTGCTTCAATTGTTGTTGACTGTAGCAAATGGAACTGAATGATTTACAAATATTAGGTTCAAATATTTTGTGTTTAATAAGTAATTCCCATAAAAATTGAACCATTTTTTTCCCCTGTCTCCTTGTGTCTTGTTCATCCAAAGTGGGGACTTTCAAAATGAGAGCGAGGAACAAAAGATTAGACGGTCAGAGCTACCATGCGCACGATATCTATTTTTCTTTTGTGGTTTATCTGGAACCAATCACAGGCAACCAATTTATAAGGAAGGTAAAGATCACTACTTTGTCCCCCTGGTAAAGTCTCACCACCTATACTTTATACTACTGGTCGTATTTATTCAGTCAAATCAGCTAACATTTATTGACTTTCAATGGCTATTAACTACATTACAGTACTAGATCCCATGAGGTAATTGAGAATCTCCATCATGTGCACGTTGACTCATTTCGAGAAACTCTAACGTATGTAAAAGTATATTTTTACGCTAATCTCCAGAGAATTACGTAATTTCCGTTTCTCCTCTCTCTTGACTTTTTTGGTTTTGAATTATAAAACAATAGACTCCTGCAACGGGGAAAATCCAGTAATTTATTGTATCAAAAATTTGATATGAGGGGTGGAACAATCATAAATTGCATTCTCTTTTCAATCAAATTCAGTATATTTTTCCACTGAAAAAAAAGTTTGCGTACAAAAAACAAAAAAATTTACAAGATACGCTTTTCGATGATAAGAACTAAAGGAGTTAAGGGCTCAAATCAAACGTAATGATCCTCTTCTGTTCTATTTTATTCAATTTAAAATTGTAGTTAACCAACGATGAGTAGATGAGATGAGGAAATTAAGCTCAAAATATTACACTTTACGTCTTTCATTTGATCTGGTTTGTGTTAGTCACTACCCAATTACCATCATGTGATATTTTCCTACCTGTCTTTACTTAATATGAAAAAAAAAAAAAAATCTAAAAAAAAAAAGTTGGACCTAGGGATGCTATCTTAAAGGGAACGTAAATAATAATTAGTCCTGCATCGGGCCGTCGGTTTTCAAAGGTTGATTGATTATTTTTTTTTTAAAGAAAAATTTATTTCTAGAAAATGACAACCCGGATCAATCCGATGCACGTGAATCACACGTGTTGAATATATGCAGTACTTTTTTAAATGCTACATTTTCTTTTTTTTTGTTTTTTCACAATTCATGCAAGAAAAATAATTAGCGATGCGATCTCAATAGTACCAACAACCACTCAATCAATAACCATGGCTGAATTAAAACAAGTATCATTTCCTCCAGAAGTATTAGCGAGAATTGCACCTGACGTGTCCTTACAAAGACATTTATCCATAGGTATCAGACCAAATTTACGAAACTTTACGGAATTCAAGCCAATTGAAGTATCAACCACTACTCAATTTCAGGATAATAATGACAATGTGTTTGGATCTTCAATCATTAAAAGTGGATCAACTACTATCATCAATACAATCACTTTAGGAATAACAGAAAATTTTTATAACAAACAACCAGAATATTCAACTGTATACCCATGTGTTGAAATATTACGTGGTAGATCCGGTGCCCCTACCGATGAAGAAATGATATTATCTCAAGATTTGTTTGACACTATACGTCACAATAGAATCATTACTTCTGACAGCTTAAAGATTGAGAATTTGGGTATTTCTGTTAAGGATGAACAAAACGATAACCAAGAAGTAATTTACTATCCTGACTTGAACCCTGAACAATGGCAATATATTAATCTTACTAGTCATCATAACAAAGCATACTCGTTTGTATTATTGTCCAATATTAAAGTATATTCACAAAGTACGTCAACCAACTCCTTGTTTGATTTGTGTTATTTGTCTATACTTGAAAGTTTGAAATCATTAAAGTTACCAAGATGTTATGTATCTGAAAGTTTCACCACCAAAGTTTCTATGAAGTCACGTAGATCAAACACAAGAGGTTTGGTTAATACAAACAAAGCTAATTTGAATATTGATTTGAATGAAGCATTATATGACAAATTATCATTAAACTTAAAAGACGGTGCCATCGCTAGTAATTTTGGGGTTATTGCAAATGAAGATAAAGTTATCTTATTAAGTGATTTAGAAGGTGAGGCCGAAGAGACATCTGTGGTATCGAGATTATCCATAGTTAACAATAATGAAACCATTAACAAGATTAGTTTAATTAATGGTGATCCAAATAGTGAAATCACATTAGAGATTTTAAAAGAAGCCATTGAAATCAGTAAAAGGAGAAGCCGAGAACAAGGCCAAAAGGTATAGAATGTATAATAACAATACAAAATCAAAAGTAAAGTTCATATTGTAGAAGTGTCATTAAAAAGCTGTCGAAGAGTCGTGTGTCTTGCCCGAAATTCAGGTGGCAATCGGACACAAAAGGACTGGACGAGTTTTTGGCTAATTATACACGTCAGTTGTGTGTGTGTGTGTGTGTGTGTGTGCGGTCTGCTGAAATCTATGGAATTTGGCTCATCATTTTCATACTGACGCGTACTTTATTATTATTGCCAATCCTTCATTTGCTTATTTTTTTACTGTCTATTTATCATTGGTGTAGGTGAAAATGATATATCAACCGTGTCAGTCTACAGATTTTGCTACTGTATAATATAATCGTATTTGTAATCAAATTTATTCAATTCACACCACCGATCAATCAATCAAAGAAATACGAGCAAAAGAAGAAGAAGAAAAAAAATGAAGGAAAAAAAAAAGCAAAAAAAAAAAGTAAGAATGTAAAATCTCTGCGAGCGAATTCTTCACTTGTTTTATATGTCAATTCATACTTAAATTCGATAAATCTTACTCCAATATTTTACTTTTCATTTTTATCATCTATTAATATCTATTACATATTATGCCTGATAAACATACCGACTCAACAGGAATAATTCCCGAAAGTACCGTCCAACATCAGGATGAACAACAACAACAACAACTGCTGCAAGATGGAGACATAATTCTCACTAGTGATAATTATTCAGAAGATTCGGACTTATCTTCCAAAAGAAAGTTAATAACTGATTTATTAGCTAAAGATTCAATTCAAGAAGGAGATGAAAGATGTGTTCTTCCTGAAAAGTTTCTCGATGAATTTTTAAACTCATCAATTACAGATTTTTCAACCTTGAAACAAGAATTAGGTCCAATTGATTTACATTCAATTACAGATCAGAATGGAAATTTATTTGCAGAAGATGAACAGGAAACAGCAAAGATAGCACACGTACCTGTAGAAGTATTCAACTATTTGGGGAAATGGTTTGGCATTTTGGGACAACCTGTATTTAGAGCTATTATCTTCAATCCAGAAACTGGACTCAATGAGCTTGAAAGATTCCCTGTGTTTTTCTGGGTTCATCAATTAGGTAAAAAGACTCAGCCAACCTATCTTAGACATCGTCATAATGCTCATCACCAACATGTTAGTCATCATGATGCACCAATCCCAGTAGTTCTTTCAAGAACAGCCACTTTTTATAATTTATTGGATGTTATTCGTAACGTGGTGTTGAAAGCACCTCGTAAGTCCATGTCGGATTACAGAATATGGTTTATCAATCCTCAGAATAATGACTTGCCCTTCTTGGTTTCATTGCAGACTTTCTTTTTTGACATCCCCAAGAAAAGCTTAGTTATGCCAAATTTACTTTCTGAAAAGTTAAAAAACCAAGGCATCATTTATACACCTTACCAGGTAATGGTTGAAGTAAAAGAAAAGAACCAAGAAGAGTTCCCTATTGACCAATTCATCTTATCTCATTCGGATGCTTACAACGATCCGGGTCAAGGAGGCGGTCATTTGGGTTTGAATAACTTGGGAAATACATGTTATATGAACTCTGCATTACAATGTCTTTTGCATGTACCAGAAATTAACTATTATTTTTTCTACAATATTTATAAAAAGGAGTTAAATACCGATAATCCGTTGGGTTATCATGGTGATGTTGCTAACGCCTTTGGTTCTTTGTTGAAACAGGCTTTTGACCATGCCAAAAATAGCTCTAGCATCGCACCAAGAGAATTTAAATCCACAATTGGAAGATATTCGTCAATGTTTTCTGGTTACCTCCAACAAGATTCACAGGAATTATTGAGTTGGTTATTGGATGCTCTTCACGAAGATTTGAATAGGATTCAACAGAAGCCATACTGTGAAAAACCAGAATTAAAAGATGATGAAATTAACAATCCACAAGCAATCATGCGATTAGCAGATACTTGTTGGAATCAACACAAAGCAAGAAATGACTCTGTGATAATTGATTTATTTACCGGGTTATACCAATCGACGTTAATATGTCCTGATTGTGGAAAGACTTCCATTACATTTGATCCATTTAATGACTTGACATTGCCATTACCAATAAGTAAGAAGTGGTATCATACATTTACCATAGTAGATTTATCAAATCCAGGTGTAATTCCAAAAAGAATTATGAAGTTGGAAGTTGAATTAAACAAAACTTCAAATTTCGATGATTTATTGGGTTATCTTAGTAACTTTTTGAAGGTTGCATCTAAGGACTTGTTTCTTTATGAATTGTTTCAGAATGCAATTTATAGTGATTTTCAATTAGACTATAGCAAGAACAAGTTTATGCCGATTAGTGATATCATAAGAGACACTGATGATGTGGTTGTTTATGTCATTCCTCACAATCCGGAAACCGACGTCATTGTTCCAGTATTTAACGCAGTGGAAGATGCTGATACTTCTTATCAAATGGCTAATTTCTTTGGTATTCCTTTGTTTGTTGTTTTAAATAAGGAAGTGGATTTGAATAGTTTTGGGTTCATTAGAAAGAAATTGGTTGAAACAGCTTCATTATTAACGAATATTGATTTGGTTGAAGAATACGATAAGATAAAGAAAAGCTGCCAGGATTTCGTAGAAAAGGAATTCTACACAAAACTGGACTTTCCTGCATTGCCTGCAAATGGTGAAGATGATAACAAAGATGATGATGATGAAGGTTATGACAGTGATGTTTCTTTAGCTAATCCTTACCTTGGTGCTAACTTTGGATTCAAGATCTTATATGTCCATGACTACAGTCCAAAGTTGAATACCAATTATCGTGGACGCTATAATTTCAATCAAAGTTCCAAAATCAGGCAAGCAGAAAGAGTGATAAATGTCCCTACCCATAAGCCAACATTTAGTGACTTCAAGCAATTGGCAGATCTGTTACCTGAAATGAAAAGAAACTATTATCACTATCCAGATTATCAGAAGTTAGACGATGAGATGGATAAATTGGTAGATGAAGTGAATCAAAATTTGGCTGACCAAGCAGATATTGCCTCCTCTGATTCATCAGAAACCGGTAGTTTGAAAGCTGCTGAAGAGCCTGATGGGTTCGTATTAGTTGATAATGAAAGAACCTCGAAACAATCTGATTCTAGTCGTACTGTTCAGCAACCAGCTGGTGCTTCATTAGGAGGTGAAAGTAGCAATTCAGTGCAGATGAACTCATCAGATGAGGAAACAGAAAGTGAAGCCAATTTGGGTAGCTTGTTTGACTCTACTGCAAATATTCCATTACCACCTCCTTCAACATATTCTGATTCTACTAAACCTTCAAATATAAATTCTCCAATGGAGAGTAATGATGATGGTTCATCTACTGATCTAGCTTCATCAACCTTGATTTCTAAAGATACTGTATTATTGTGTGATTGGGATAATGAAATTTTCCAACGTTGTTTTGGTGATGCATCCTTAACTACCTGGGAGAATATACCAAGCTTGCCAAATCAAGAATTAGAAAAAAGCAAAGCTCATTTTGAAAGACAAAGAAAGGCTAAGATTACATTGCAAGATTGTCTCAAAAGTTTCAGTACTCCAGAGGTTTTAGGTGAACATGATTTGTGGTATTGTCCAAATTGTAAAGATCATAAACGTGCTACAAAAACTATTCAGCTTTGGTCAACTGGTGATATCCTCACTATTCACTTGAAAAGATTCCACAGTGCTCGTGCATTTAGTGATAAGATCGATGTCTTGGTTGATTTCCCTATTGAAGGTTTGGATATGAGTCAATATGTTGCCAATCCAAGTATCACCGTGGATGACAGTATTTATGATTTAATTGCTGTTGATAACCATTATGGTGGTCTAGGAGGTGGACATTATACTGCATCAGTAAAGAATTTCCGTGATCATAAGTGGTATTATTTCAATGATAGTCGCGTTACAGAGATTCCTAACCCTGAAGAAGTTGTTGCCAATTCTGCGTATCTTTTGTTTTATCGTAAAAGAAGTTCTATAGCTAATGGTATTTTGGGAGGAGAGAATTTCATTGAATTACTTCAAAAGGGAAGAAATGAATACACTGAAGCATTACAAATCAAAAAGCGTATACTACAAGAAGTTGGCAATTTAGTTAATTCATACACAAAGATAGAGCAAGACTTGATTGAACAGCAAGAAAAAATGAATAATCAAGAGAAAGAAGAAGAACAGTCGTCAGATAGCAATGAATCATCTAAAAAATCAAGACCATTTGATGAACTTCAAGACTCAAAATCTACATCTTCACCTACCGGAAATGCTCAGTTTAACTTTGACGAAGATAACGATTATGATTATGAAAATGAAAATGAAGATACTGATAATGATAATGTTCGTAAACAAAGACTAGTTTCCAAAGATAGCAATAGCAATAAGTTGGTTCATATTAAGAGTAATGGTAGACAAGAGGTTACTTCCTCTCCTGTTCCAATAGAAACTGATGGCGAAGGCGACTGCGAAGGTGATTATGCAACTAGTCTAGCTACTGAAACAACATCTGTGCCGACTAATAATGATGAAGATGAGCAATAAGTAGTTTGAAATTTTCCTGTTTTTTTTTTTATTTTATTTTCTTTTCTTTTCTTTTCACAACAAATGATACACACTCTTATTTTGTTTGATCTTGGTTTTTTTTTGCAGTAAGTTGCATGAAATCTGAAGACACTGTTTATGTAAAAAGCACACGATAATGTCGCGATGTCGTACGTTCTGGGTTATGTCGTGTTTTTTCCCTCTGTCTCTCTCTCTTTCGTTTAGTTTGTCTGTGTTTGAATTGAGACTCTTTTCGGCTGTCAGGTTTTGAATTTTGCCCCATAAATCCCAATTGACAATCACAAACAGAACGACTTCAAGACAAAACGACTAATCAGAATCATATCATTGGCATACTAACAGAGGGAATCTATCTTAATCTCAACAATAGTTTATACATTTCTTTTCACTTCCCAAGCATCTATCATCAATCAAAAAGAATATGAGTTTAGGAATATCAAGGGAGGAACAGGAACTTAAAGTTCTTGATTTGATGTATCAAAACTTTCCAAGTTTGAGTATTGATCAAGATATATTGGTCAATTGGCAAGTTGAACTTCTGGATAAATTAACTGATTTTACTTCATTATCATCAATAGTTTCTGATAATATTATAATTGATGCTGATATGATTGAATTTGATTATGTTCCGGATATTGCAAATATTATTAATGAATTAGAAGATGCATTTGATGATGATGATGATTTTAAAGTTATTATATTGGAGATCTTAATATGTTTGATTTCATTATCTTATAGAATTAAAAACGTTTTGCATCCGGTTCTGGATCAATTGATTGATTTATTTTTAAAGAAATTAAAGTCTAGAAATGATTTTGCAATACAAGAAATTCAAACTCCAAGTGTTGTGAGTCAATATATGAGATTGATTATTTTGTTTATGGATATTGGATGTAACAACAAACAGTTTAAACTTTTGATAAATCAGTTGATGTGTAATAAGAATCCAAAAACGAATTTGGTGTTGTTGGAGTTATTTCATCAAATGTATACCAAGTATCAATGCCAGTTCCCATTATTATCTGTCGTGAATCAAACCAACTATTCTTTCAACAAGGACCTGTCGTTAAAGAAGGTGTTTACTATTCATTCATGGTTGAAAATCAATCATCAGTTTCATAGTTCCAAAGAGGATCCAATTACATTATTTACATTGTCAAGTTCTGGTTCAACTAATGATGATGCAAACAACGGGACGTTGTTAAAAGTACAAATAATAAATTATAATCAATTTAAAATTGAAATTAAAAATAATATTAATGGCTCACGAATCCGATACTCGTTCAATCAAAAGTTGCAAGATACTAACAAAAACCAAGGATTTATCCACTTTGTTTTAACATACGACAATTATGCCACGTTGAACTTATACATTGACGGTGAGTATAGTGAGTCAATACCATGTCCTGATTTGCATAAATTTTTAAGGAATTGGAACAAGATTTCTGTTGGTGAAACAAAAGATGATATTACTTTGAAAAGTGATGAAATTGCACTCCGAAATTTAACTATTCTTAATACTAATTTATCTTATGAATGGATTAATTTATTATACAATCTCGGGCTTGGATTCTCATGGGATACAAAAGATTTGACGAGTGAGACAACTTTTAGTTTATTAAGTCAATTAAGCTATCAAGGTTTATTTAATGTAACCGTTAAGTTTGACGAGATCAAGGAGAAGAATAAGGCACACAACAATAGTAATTCACATATATTTGGTGCAGGACATTCCAGTTCTCGAAATTCATTAGCGGCATTTGGAGGCAATTTACGATACCACCATCACCATCATAATCATAATCATCGCAGTAGGAAAGCAAACAGTTTAGCTCGCAAAGAGAAAATGCCAAGAATCCCCCC